AATCCAGGTCAGGTCTAGGACCTGTTCTTCAATCCAGGTCAGGTCTAGGACCTGTTCTTCAATCCAGGTCAGGTCTAGGACCTGACCTAGGGGAAGAACGGTTGCTCTTATATAATCAGTCGCCCAGGGCTCTTCAATTGACTAAGCAGCCACTAAGCTAACTTGACTAAGCTAGGGTTGAACAGGCTGGAGGGGTAGCCCCACCTATTGAAGGGGATGCACCCAATCAATTGATCAAATCGTCTTTTTTAGCCAATTAGAAGGGCGGGCAGCTTCGGAGCGGCTGGCGAGGGGGGCCACGGGGGTGCGCAGCGACCTTTTGAGCTTAGATGTGGGGGATTTGATTGGTTGATTTATCCTGGCAGAATAGCGTCAGATTAAATGGGCCATGTGCGAGTCAGTATTAATACTACTGTAACGCACTGTATTTTGAGTTATCCCCTGGTTACCTTATTAGCTTTCATTGCTAGGTAAAACTCGTATAAGCTACCCAAAGGAATAGTTAGGGAATACAAAGCCTTATAGTGCGAGACAGTGTTATTCGCACGTGCTTTATTTATTTTAACGTTATTTTATTTAAATAACGGGTAAATCGGGTAAATTTAAAATTATTATATATTTTCGTAAAAATATTTTTTATATTATTTTTATTATTATTTAAAAATAATTTATTTTTTATAATAATATTATAATTAATAATCGTATTAATTTAAAATTTAATAATTATATAAAAATTTAATAATTTTACGTTTAAAATTATTTATATAATTAATATTTTAAATAATTATTATATAAAAATTTTATTAAAATTTTTTAAATAAAATTTAATTTAATAATTTTAAAAATAAATTTAAAAATAAATTAATAATTATAATTTATATATAAAATATTATTTATTTAAAAAATAATTAAATTTTTATTTTTAAATTATATATTTAAATATTTATTAAATAAATATATTTTTATTATTAAAAAAATTTAATTATATTATTAATTAAATATATTTATTATTATTTTTTATTAAATATATTAATTTAAATTTTAAAATTAATATAATTAAATAATAATATAATTAAATTTTTTTAATAATAAAAATACGTTTATTTAATAAATATTTAAATATATAATTTAAAAATTAAAAATAAAAATTTATTAAAATAATATATAATTTAATTTTAATTTAAAAATTTTTAAATTAAAATTTTATTTTTTATAACGATTTATATTTTTTTAATATAATTTAATTTATAAATATAATTTAATTTTTATAAAATTATATTTTTAATAATTAATAAAAATAATTTATACGTTTTATTTAAAATTATTTTAATTTTTATAATGCCACGTATTTTTTTATAAATATAACGGTTTATATTTTTTTAATATAATTTAATTTATAAATGTAATTTAATTTTTATAAAATTATATTTTTAATAATTAATAAAAATAACCCGTGCGTTTTATTTAAAGTTATTTTAATTTTTATAATATTATATATTTTTTTATAAATTTTTTTTTAAATTTAAATAATTTAATAATTAATTTAAAACGTTTTAAATTAAATTTTATTATATATAATTAATTAAATTATTATAATAAATCTTTTTTTTTTAAACTTAAATAATTTAATAATTAATTTAAAACATTTTAAATTAAATTTTATTATATATAATTAATTAAATTATTATATTTTTATTATTTTTAAAAATAATTTATTTAATTAATTAAAAATTAATATAATTAAAAAAATATAAATAAAAATAAAACTTTTAATTTAAACTTATTAAAATAAAAAAAAATTAAAAAATAAATTAAAGATTTACTATCCGTTTACATCCGCACCCGGGATAATCTCCGGCAATCCAAATTTAGCACGGCAGTTCCCCCCCTTTTCCCCATAAAAGCGGGAGGCGATAAATCTACTTCGACAAATCCCGAACTCGATATCCGACAAGCATACCCAACCTCTAGCAACATCAAAATTCCAAGGACCCCAGACCACTTCCGAATCAAAAAAGATCCGGAAAGGGCAAGCAAGACCATACGCAACACCCACCATACCACAGACACCTCCGAGCAGCAGCAACCAGCGCCTCCGCGCCACCGCAGTGCCGCCCCAATTCTTCCGACGCAAAACCCGCCTAAACGGCGCCCCAGCCACCCAACGGACCCCACCTCCCCCGCTCTCAGCGTCCGGCGCACACTGCTCGTCTCGCGCGCACCCGCGCACCGCGGCCGTATCGAGCCGCATCTCTGCGCTGTGAACGGCTCTCCTGCCCTGGTGACGGCGTCAGCGAATACGCTTCGCGACGGAAAAAGGGAGGGGGGGTTCGCGCTGGAGGACGTGCGGTGGCGCTCGCGTGCTTGAGGTGGGGGGTGGAGAGGTGGAAGGGCGTTGGCCATGCGTCGTTGTTGATGGAGAAGTTTCTTGTGGCTTGGCGAGCTAGGAGGTTGTTTGGGAGTTGGTGAGCGGGTTTTTGTGAGGGTGGTCGGGCTGGGCTTGGATTGGGGGCGGGTTACTTGTTACTTGCTGGTAAGCTTGTCCGTGCCCGGTATGTAAGTGAGGGATGCTTATTAAGGATTAAGTTTGACCATGGAGTAAGGCCGACGGGTCTCGAGGAAGGTCATTCAGGGGGCGGGGGTTGGGGGTGTTGCGGAGTTGGGTGGTAAGTCGGTGGTCCGGATTGGATAGCTTTATGGGTATTGTGATGCTTACCTACAGATATACACTTTCCCTTACGCAAGACTTGCGACCCCTACGGCCATTATGTGCGCTTCTATGTGGTTAAAAAACATTGGCAAGTTGGTTGGAGGGCTTGTTCAAAGCGGCGAGTAGAGCTGATTCAGTTCATGCCCAAAAAGTTGCCAGTACTGTAAATTATCTTCAATAAAAGTACATCGTGTGCTTCACGGAACCCAAGTTACGACAGGCCAAACTCAAACATCAAGTAATGCCGTATAGAGCGTTAGATACCTCTATCAGGCTGGCTTCAAAATTGCTCAAGAGTGTTCCTGATAGCCTCTCATGAAGTGACGCTGAATGAATTCAAATGATATTAACCGATCCCTGAGAAGCATTCGTAAAAATGGACTGAACACTATCCCCCGGGTTAACATGCAAAGAAAACAGTCCGACGCGCCGGTAATTCTCGTGGCCGACTTGGACCAGGGCAAGGCCCCAGATCAAGTCGAATTTCGCGGGTCTATCTCCACGCGTGATTGGTAAACATAGAACTCGAGGATAGATTTCCTTCGTGTCGAACAGGACACAAGCGGAGGAACAGAATATATAGTGATAATCATTGAACTTGGGCAATCGAGTGCCATCCTCATGGTTTCGAAAATCTATAATTCTTCTTCTATTGCTCTCCTGTTCATATGTATTTTCGGCGGAGAGGCCAATATTCGCGGTTGCCAAGAAGCCAGTGAGAGTAAGCATGCCACCGCGAACCTTCCCAGTCTCATCCTCATCGTTCTCAAGTGTTGTCCGCGCGCTGGTGACGGATACAAGGGCCTCCAAGTCAGTCCTACCATAGAAAGGCATCAACGAGGATCCGTCAACTGCAGCCCATGACCAGGAAGGGGCACGATAGGATTCAGGCCGTCGACCAAATTCGTTCAGGCTCCACATCAAAGCGTAGGGTAGATCTTGACTCCACATTCCGGCCAGGTATTTCGTATCCCGGCATCCAAGTGTCGTAAGACGTCGTTTCATGTCTTTGGCTATTCCAGACAATGCCACTAGTTTGTCACTCGAAACAGTGAGATCGCAAGTGGTGTAGGTTCGTGCTATTTCGTACCAATCCATAAAGAGCTGTGATAGTTTGTCCTCACAGCTAGGTTGAAGTCGATCCGTGCCCATCAACGCTTTCCAAGCATGGTGATTAGGTTCGGTTCTAGTTTGCCCTTGCTCTTTCTCATCGTATTTATTATATACGTACTGATTGAAGTTCTTTGGATGCGTCTCACTGCAAGTAATCTCGTAGCACTCCCAGAATACTTGTCGTGACCCGAAGTACAGGACTCGCCGCGACAGTATCCTTTCCTGGAGCACCCAACCACGTTGCAAAATGGGCCCCACCCAAGAAGCACTGCCCGTATCATGGTCAAATCGATAGAGATGTGGATCTTCAGGTCCATCTACACTAAAGTTGAAGATTGTAGGTTTAAGTTCACTGGGGTTGCGAGAGAAAAACAATCCGCCATGATTGTCCTCGGCCCCTAATGCTGCAATGTTCAGAAATGCATTGCCGTACACGTCCCGCATCGATGAAGATTCTTTGAGCCAATCCTCAGCAGAGTCTTGGAAGATGCACAGGCTATCGATCCATAAGTAGCAAATCTTTAGTCTTCTGGCTACTTCTGACGCATCTCGGAATGTCTTGGGAAGCGTGCGACATAGCTGCTCCCTGGAAAGTCGCTCTGAAGTAGAGCGAGTTAGTTTCAGACGTAGCTGGGACGATTCTCCCCAGCGGTGGCTCAGCGTCAGATACGGGCTCTGCGGATCTACTTGACACTTTTCAACGACGCAAAATGTAGGCTCTCCAGTGGTGTCGTTTAATTTCACAAGCCGGCTTGGAACGTAATCGGTAATGTTCTTCTGGTTGCATCGAGTATGCTTCTCAAGGCACTCATCAAGCCATCCCCGGATTATATCCCATGTAACTTCATCGCCAGTGTTAGAGCCGATGTCAAGATTTAAATTCATGCTGCTAACTGCAATATAATTAGCTTAGACGAAAAAGGCATCGTCCTAGAAGAATATACATACCGTGCGGCACGATATAGAAGCAAAAATCTAATAGCGCATATAGGTGGTATATACACGCTGGTACTCCAGATTTAGGTTTTCGGATAACCGTGAACAACGTATAATAACCCAACTCCAATATCATGGGATCGTGCTCCGTTCTTTCCCCATGCTGTGAATAATAAACCTGGCTACAAAGGAGGCATTTTTGGTTTACGGCCTGCAGGAATGACTCTTTTGAAGCATGATGTCCGAGAAGGAAATTCTCCGGCATATTTGACCGCTCTGCGTCTTCAGAGGTGCCATCCTCCGATGCTTCTGACTTCTCTAGTTCATCCGCTTTCTCCGGCATATGTAATTGCTCCGTGCGTTCAGGAGTGTTGTCCTGCGACTCCTCCGATTCCTCAGACTCCAAGGGCTCCTCCGGTATATCTGATCGCTCCATATCTTCAGACGTGCTGTCTCCCAACTCCCCTGACACCTCTGGCACCGCTGGTTCCAAGATATTAGGTGGCTTTCTAAATCTCCCCCGATCATACTTCTCCCATTCGTCGAATGTGCAGACGCGCTTGGTCTTCGAGGGATCCCAGATCCCTTCCAGGCAATCACGACAAACGTTGCAAATCGGCATGTTTTGGCGAGTTCCGGGGGAGGGATAGTAGTAGGTTGAATGAAGAACGCCTAGGCTGTGCTATCAGTGTGAGAAGAGGCTGATACCTAATATCATGAAGATGGACGATTGTGATGTGGATGACGTGGCTCCACTGGCGTAAAAAGAGTAACCATGCTGTGTATCGTCACACAGAGGGGTCGCCGTTGATAGGTAGTACCCCAACGTACCTACGCCCCTATGTACATATGTACCTCTTTAATTGAACCAGTATCATTCCGGTATTCGTTTTGATTAATCCCAATCATCAAGCCTACGATTCGGGCTTCCAGACTTGTCAAACTTCCAAACCCCTAACTTTACGCCATTGCAATATACCTAAGTGCTAAAGCAGTAGGGCTACACAAGTCCCTTCGACAACACTAAGCAGAAGCAGCCACGAAGAGAACCGCTCTAAAGGCCCTCTAAAAAGGGACCTCTCTTCTACATCCCCCAGCATCGAGGTTTCGTCCCGTGAATGGGATAAAGATCCATTATCAAAATGCCCGGCTCTCCGTTACACTTGCCTAGAGTGCCGGGTGTCCTTGCATGGCCTTGATCACGACATCTGTAATAGTCTCTCCTCCCGCATCATCACGATCCGCTCTCCAAGTCCATCGGCGGCTCGCGATATTCCTGGCCGCTTGCCACTGCGTCTCGAGACTTAGGACTAGCCGTCCGTCAGCGTCTTCCGTGATGTCGACACGAGCATCCTTATCATCACTGCCTGTCACGCCTGGGCCTCGAATGGTCTCCGTGAAGTCTATATCATCCCCGTGCAACTTTTCTCTAGCCTCTTCGGTCAACTTCAGCGCCAGGGCGCGGGTTGCCGCTTGTCGAATATAGTATGTGGCTTCCTTCGCGTTGGGATACTGGTCATATGGTGGGTACATGTGTTCTAAGGGGTTTGGTGGTTCCTTCTCCTTCTCTCCAGAGCTTGCCGATGCGTTATTATTACTATTCTCACCGCCGCTGTTCTGAGGAGGAAACGGGACTAGGGAAATGCGGAAGACCATCCCATTATGTGGCACGATCACGATGTGGCCACGAGCGAATATCCGGGCTTCTGGCGTAATAGTCAGCTCGAACAAGGATTCGAGGCGACCCACGAGGTGATTGACGAAGCTAAGCTCCATCTTCGCGTTCCGACGGGTCGAGTTGCCCTGCATGAGGGTTGGGGAGAGCGGTTGGGAGGCTGATTTACACGCGGCTGTTGAAATTCCAGCGCGTTTCAAAGTGAGAACTAAATCCTCCAGGAAGCTAGACACGACTTGGCCGTCCCTAAAGTACTCGCTATTCGCGACCACAGCACGGATGATAGTATACGGCTGATTTAGGACCCCGCGGTTGGGCGGGAGCTGAGTCATTGTAGTGCGTCGGTGGTAGTTTTGTCTATGTCCTTGAAATAGGAGGAACTGCATGTAGACATAGTACGCCGTGCACGAACAATGAATATTGGAGATATTCTCGTACTTATTATCTGGCTCAGCGAGATCTTCGAGAGTAAATATCATGTGCGTTTCCGAGTCTTGTTTCCAAGTAATGCATGATGAATCAGAGTAAACGTCCGAAGACAGGAGAGTGCGAGCCTCCCGATTGATCTCGTACCATAGCTCTTGATGGAAAGCGGTATTTCTAGCCTCGAGCACTCGATCTTGTAGAGGCGCGTCGTCGGGTGTTCGTCGGGGTAAAGGCGACTGGTCCACGATTTTACCGTTCTTCTTCACCGTAACTCTAACCCTTTGCGAACCGCCACCAACATGACCGAGATCTAGTCGGACAGTCCCGTCACCATTGCGCCTCAAAGGAGCAATGCTGCTATTTCTGAACTCGGGCGCCGATTCGGCGAACCCAAATCGAACACCTAGCGTATGAGGTTCATGAGGCAGGGCGCAGACTGCCCAGCCATTTTCGCTGACAGCCAATATGTCCGCCCAGTATTTTGCTTCCAGTTCCATGTCCTTCTCCAACTTCTCCGCTGCCGCTACGACAGAATCCACCGTATTGTTAATACCCATGAGTCTCCATCCAGTAGCGACAGCGACATCATCCTGTTTGCGTGGCTCCGTTATATTGGACGCGTTCACCTTAGAAGCTCCTAGTGATCCAATGGGTACTAGTTCTCGCAGCGCAGGGGAGAGTGAAGCCATGGCTTCTTCTCGCTTCTCGGTCTCTCTTTGCTTATCAGGGTCATGCAGCTTGTTTTTGGAGCATAGGAGGGAGATAAAGTCGAGACCCAGCATAGCAGATTGGTGGGCGAATCTAGAATAGTTGCCGTCAGTATAACCGCTTCCATCCGCATTTTCTTCTCCAGGCCACATACTCTAGATTCTTCAAGAATTCTTCTCGCGCGACCATAACATTATTATTCTTATCCACATCAGCCTCCTCCTCCTCCTCTCCGTCCGAAGACCGGTCGACCTCGATATGCCCATCCTCCAGAGCGGCAATTTCCTCGCGCAGCTTTGCCTCGGTCACGTTGCGGAAGCCGCCGCGTTCGGCGTTGACGCGCGTGATGAATTCGCTTAGATTCTTTGGTTTTTTGTCGCCGGTTGGCCAGGGACGCAAGGAAAATGGCGAGTTAGAGGATGCCATTTTGATAGTGTAATGGCTAACCGGCTTTCCGTGTACTATATTGGCCGCAAGATATCATGAAAGGAACTCGATCTTAAACTGGGCGGTCATTCGCGTCTTGGTGGTTTACATGGATGTATGTTGATGATGGATGTTAAGTATAATGTACCCAGCTGCTTTGCAGATGGTTAGCAAGGATATGCGGGTCTGTGGCTGACTCTAAGCTTCCGGATTTTTTAAAGTTTAAAGGGTCAGGCCCACTTGTAGCTACCCCTGCAACAGATCATCCAAGGTTGTAGGTACATACGGTACCTATCTAAGTAATTCGCACTTCATTCTCATTTTTTGTCTTCCAACGCGCTTCTTCTTATTGAAAACGCTTCTGTTTGGCCTCTCGAAAGACCACGCCAGATTATTCGTAAAGTTGAGTCCAGATATTACGCTCTTGGGAAGGGAAATTCCGATCGCCTCTTCAGATTTTGCGTGATGCCGTTGTTCAATATGCTTGTTGGGCTGTCTAGGTATGTAGGTACCGGTATTTATGAAATCCTCGATCTGGGTTGATTAAGTCTCTACACACTACAAATCCCCTTGGTCTATGGCGTGATTCACGTTACTCAAGTGTGCCCTGGATATACAGCTATACAGCACATCCATAAGAACATCTGGCGATGTCCTGCGTTGATATCTAGCACAGGGTCATTCGAGAATATGCGACATGCCGATCCCATCATACTAGCTCATTCTATTAGATAAATTTGATGTGACGCTTCCGGGTTTATACCACTGCCAGGTCAGGTTGTTGGGGTTTGTCTCGAGAAGTGCTGCAACAACGCCATGTTTCGAGATGCAATCAGCCTATCGAACATCGGCTAGGAAACGTATGAAGGTTTGGCGCAGTAGTAGGTCGCATAGAGGATAGTGGTAATTAATTGCTACTGGTCATCATCTCGTCCTGTCCTCACGGAAGCTCGCCTATGGCTGCGCGAATTATTGCATGTGTACTAGATATATCATACCTATGGAATGGGAGATATTCAAATAATACCAAGAGGTATACCTCAGATTCTATAGCTCAACTTGAACAAGAATACGCCAAGTGGGGATCCTCGCCGAGACACTAATTCGGTGGCTATGTCATGATAAGTCAAGAGGTAAATATCACTTTCCAACGCAAATACCTACCTAGTATTATAAAGTGCATTAAAGAATAATTAAGGAATAAGTGTAGATATACCCATAGAACTCGGATATCAACTGAGGCATACAGACAGGGTGTGAGAAAAGAAGATTGAAAAAGACTCAACAAAGTTTAAAGGTGAAAATAACTCAGAAGAAGCCTCACCACTCAGCTATGAAATAATACCAATATTGGGGGTACCTGATAGGTACGGAGTACGGAGTAGTGAGGGGTTTATTGTTACTTCCGTCGCCTACACGCAGCTACGTAAGCGGGGTTATACATCATGGATGCTTTCTTATAGTGGGCTGGTGGGTTGAATAGGTAGATCCATGGGTGGATGGACTTGCCTTTACACCCGTAGTACCAACTACGTAACTGGGAAGTAACTGCCCCTCATTGATAATTGATAAGAGCTTCTTTTTGCTCACTAAAACTGGCGTGGCTTTTTTCTTCTCCAAACAATGACATACATTAATAGGTGAGGCCTAGTGCGAATAAGCAGTCTTTTTTCCCTCGTCACATCCATCATACATTTCTGTACTACGTCCTGCCGGTCCACGAACCAGTGAACGGTCCGATTGCTGTCTATTAAGTGAGGACAATTCATAAGGTATCTCCTGACACCTTCGTTTCAATGTTGATTCCGTGGGCTGATTCCAACATGAAAAGAACGCACTACAGGTCCTAGTTATTATAATTTCTCTTGCTCGCCCACATCCACACCCACATCCTCACATCCAACTTACTAGCCCAGCTCTATTCAACCTTAGATGCGTACACCTACCTTCGTAAAGTATTTTAATTAGATTACCTTCAACTATCATCTTGCGGGATTCGAAATTTTCTACTCTATTCCATTATTATCCCGACCTTCGAACTCGAACCTCTACCTAAATCTCGACACCTATTCTAGCAATATATCCAATATGGCGACACCGAAGAAGAAGATCGCCGTCATGACCTCCGGAGGTGACTCCCCTGGCATGAACGCCGTTGTTCGAGCTGTCGTACGAATGGCGATCCACCTAGAGTGTGATCCCTATTGTGTCTACGAAGGCTATGAAGGCCTGGTCCAGGGCGGTAATTTCATCAGGAAGATGGAATGGAACGATGTCCGAGGATATCTTTCCGAAGGGGGTACATTGATAGGCACCGCAAGGTGTATGGCCTTCTATGAACGCCCAGGTCGTCTAACTGCTGCCAAGAACCTGATCCTCAGCGGCATTGATGCTCTCATTATTTGCGGTGGCGACGGATCTCTCACCGGTGCTGACCGATTCCGAGCTGAATGGCCTTCTCTACTCAAGGAACTTGTTTCGACCGGTCAGCTTGAAGCAAAGCAGATCGAACCCTACCAGCACCTTAACATCGTTGGGCTTGTCGGCTCGATCGACAATGACCTTTCTGGAACTGACGCTACCATTGGTGCTTATTCCGCCCTAGCACGTATTTGCGAGATGGTCGATTATATTGAAGCCACCGCTTCCTCCCACTCGCGAGCCTTCGTTATAGAGGTAATGGGGAGGCACTGTGGTTGGCTTGCCCTAATGGCAGGCGTAGCTACCGGTGCCGATTTCATTTTCATTCCAGAGAAACCTAGGGAAGATAACTGGAAAGAAGAGATGAATCAGGTCATTAGGAAGGTATGTATTTAAGTTAGTACCTAGCCCCAGGGACGATTAAAACTAACGTGCCAAGCACCGTGACTGGGGAAAACGCAAGACCATCGTCATCATTGCCGAAGGTGCTCTAGATAGACACGGAACGAAGATCACACCGGAGATGGTAAAGGACCTATTAGCCGACAAATCAGGCCTAGCCCTCGATACCCGCATCACAACCCTCGGCCATGTTCAAAGAGGTGGCACTGCAGTGGCATATGACAGGATGCTAGCCACTTTACAGGGAGTGGAAGCCGTCAGGGCCGTCCTTGAGGCAACACCGGAGACAGAGACATGTGTTATCGCTATTACCGAGAACAAGATCGTCCGGAAGCCCTTAATGAAGGCTGTGCAAGAGACCAAACAGGTAGCCAAGGCTATCGAGGCACAGGATTTCGATAGAGCTATGGCTCTACGTGATACTGAATTCTCCGACCAATACAAATCCTATATGATGACTACTACTATGGGTCTTGATCAGGACATACACCTAGAAGACAGCAAAGTACGTTTTCGTGAGAACCGAATGCCAATCTCAATGAATGCTAACTCTTTGCAGCGAATGAAGATCGGTTTTATTAACGTAGGAGCACCTGCTGGTGGTATGAACGCCGCGATCCGTGCAGGCGTAGCTTACTGTCGATCCCGTAAGATAACCTTACCACTACACCCTGCCTCTTCCATTTCAAAAGATCCCTTTCTTCGTCGAGTTTATTGAATATCCATTTTCTCCTATATATTCCTATGTAGATCAGGGACACTAACCTAGACACAGGGGGGCATGAGCCCCTTGCAATTCACAATGGTTTCGCTGGCTTTGCTCGACATCACGGCGACAAACCTCTTGGTGCTGTGCGGCATTTTGATTGGTTAGAGGTCGACGGATGGGCAAGCAAGGGAGGCTCAGAGATCGGAACGAACCGTGAGCTCCCGGAGGAGTCTGGCATAGAACTGATTGCCAAGTTGATCGAACAGTATGAGTTTGACGCGCTTTTCTTAATCGGAGGTTTCGAAGCTTTCCACTCCATATCACAGCTGCGCAAAGCTAGGGCCAGGTTTCCCTCGCTTTGTATTCCTATGACCTTATTACCGGCAACCATTTCGAACAACGTCCCTGGGACAGAATATTCTCTGGGATCTGATACCTGTCTGAATGAACTCGTCGCCTACTGTGACAAGATAAAACAGTCTGCCTCTGCTACTCGGAGGCGAGTGTTCGTTATTGAAACTCAAGGTGGTCGGTGTGGATACGTCGCGATTCTGGGAGGTCTAGGCGTCGGCGCAAGCGCGGTCTACATTCCGGAAGAGGGTATCAGCCTAGAGATGCTCACCGCAGACGTCAAGCACCTAAAAGAAGTTTTCAAGAAGGATAGAGGTCAATCACGGGCGGGACGATTGATTCTTGTCAATGAAAAGGCGAGCAAAGTCTTCTCAGCCAAGCTCATCGCGGATATCATCCGCGAGGAAGCCCACGACCGATTCGAGTCTCGAGACAGCATTCCAGGTCATGTCCAACAGGGTGGTGTTCCCTCAGCTATGGACAGGTGCCGTGCCGTCAGACTGGCTATCAAGTGCATACAGCACCTTGAGAAGTACGGGCCTAAACCCCAAAAGAATCCCGAGAAAATCAGCAAGGACCCCTTGAGCGCATCCGTTATCGGTATACAAGGCGCGGATGTAGTCTTCGCGCCAATGGAGATACTAGAGGAGAAAGAAACTGACTGGAAGAACCGACGGCCGACAGTAGCCCACTGGCTAGATAACAAGGAAGTTGTAGACATCCTTGGTGGGCGTCCGGCATACCCATTGCCGGATAAGAGCTTAGTCGGACTCATTGCGAAGGACGCGAAGCGCGGTCTTATCAAAGAATAAAATGGTTAAAAATGCTGACAGGTGATGGGCTGGGGCGGGAATAAGGAACTAGAGCATCGGGTCGATACCTGGGTAGATAGATTGGGACGGTTATGCGCGCATCGTCATGATTCTCCTTTACGGCTGAGGAAATATAAATACTCTATGATTGCACTTTATGCTCATATCGCTGTGTTATGTATGAATCAATCTCATGATGCCTTGGTCGTACATATATACTTACATTGAGTTCTGTTCTGTCCACAAAGTCGACTGGGAAAGGTAAATCTATCTAGCCTAGGTCGGGTTGTGGGAGGTTTTCTAGGTAGGAGAATGATGTGCGACTATACATCATGGAAATGTACGAAGATGATTCTTGGAGGTCTTGGTATCGACACACTCAGAAAGTGTTAACGCCCGGCTCAATTCCAACAATATCAACCCAAGTCCGAGCGCCTTTATTCCAGCCAAGATGTCTAAGCCGGGGTAAAAAGACTGAACAGGCTTCGAGTCGTCTTGTCCTCACTGATCTGCCCATGGAAACATATTACCAGAGATAGCACAAGGGGGTGGTTTCTAATTGGGTACCTGCCTGGGCATGTAGGTATAATCCTCCTACTTTTGAAAGGAGCCGTGATGGAATCTTGGCACGTGGATTATGTGAAAATCGACGTTGAATGGAACACAAATGTAACCATACTATAGCCCAAGTCCGGCTTCTCTATGAGTCAAAGAACCGGGGGCCGTCCATCAATAGTTAATATGCATACGGGGTTACCAAAGATCGGATGCTTAGGATCATTAACCCGGCTCATTCCAAACACATTCCAACTGTATCCGTATGTATGTACGTCAAGTTTTTGGGTACTCCGGGGGTACTAATCGTAACTGATCGGGTAAATCGAATAATTCTACGCATGATGTTTCAACAGAATCTCGAGTATCATGTCTGATATCTTTGGATGGATTGCATTGGAATCCAAGAACTTCGGGACCGTATTTGCCGCCCGGGCCCCGAACAGCTGCCCGAATAGATTGGCAACGTAAATAGGAGCATGAGCCGCATTCCAATTGTAGAAAGCGGGGAAGTTCGCGCGATTTAATGTACCAAGGGATTCTGAATCCTGATCGTCGTTCTATATGTTACTTATTAATCAAAGATATCAACCTTTGAATAGCAGTCCATATACTCTTTTGCGGCCTAGTAGCGTAGAGGACGAAGGTGAATAAATATCCATTGCAACGAAAGGTTCTAAGACTTGTTGAAACGCAGTAGTCGATTAGGTATTCCGTCTCGCCACAATACATAATTCATCCGTGCGTTTGCCAAGTAAGCCACAGTCTCGAAGTGGCAAAGATCGGTATCATGGATGTTCGGGACGCCCGTTCGAAGTCTGATGCCAGCCTAAGTTATTCTTGGTATCAATTTTCTCAGCTTACAAACCTAGGTAATCAAGCCCATGTTAACGGGTTTTGTGGTGAAAAAAAAATACTGAAAGGTTTTCAAAGTTATATCATCAACCATATGCGCATGTAAGTAGCAGACATTCTGTAGTTAGTCCAGCTCACTACTAGGTATTACTAAGAGTGACCTTGGAACTATATTATAATACTATCTCGTAATTAGGATACTATTTACGACATCCATCAGAGTTGAGTTATTATTTGACTCAATCTTAGGCACAACAGTAGGCGGTAGGTGATGAACCTGATATATCTGAGACGGCCCGCGCCTTTTCTGTCATACCATCCATCTACAGTGGTTGGTTGTTATTCATCATGAAGGTCGCCGTAGTTTCCTACAACATCATTAGTCCCGTATCAATACCGGTTGCAATTGGTCACCTCGATATTTTGCTATGCTACGTACCTACCTACCTAGCAAAGCATGTGATTAGCTAGCTTATTATGCCTACACAACGGCCATGTACTGAAGTTGTACTTACTAGTAGTTGCAATATTGCAAGATGATAGGCTTTACATATAACTTCCATCATCTCGCTTACGATTTTCAGAAGCCAGGCCGCCTACAAAGGTCAAGCTTATTTACACCAGGGCCGATGATGGGGAACCGTGCATACCCCCGAATCCTTACCGATGCAACATCGACTGTGCACCTAGGTCCGAAAAACAATGGACTTGCTTCTTTTTGCGCACATGGAAACATCAATGAAAACGCCTGCCCGATCTAAAGGTTAGGGTTGCCCAGTAAGCCCCGTCCGAGACCCGTTGAGGACCAGACCTCGTCCGTTCAAATTAGGACATATTTGCCTAGGATGTATGGACCCCTGCAGCAGCGACAGCTATTTGGCTGACGAGAGACCCCAATGTCAATCGGGTCAATAAGATCTCTCATCAGTCCCGCTTACATATGAACTTCTATTTTTCTCACCACTTTTGTGAAATATTTCCTTCTTTCTCTTCCATTCATTTTCTTACTCTGGCTCTGCTTGGTAAATTCGAGCCTTGACGCTATCATGAGTACCGTTATTTTGTGCTGGCACCCGATCTCTCGCGACCTATAAGGATCTCAGAAGAGCCGACGCGCTCTCACAAAATGGCGAAACTCACGTCGCTATTTCAGATATCAATATGGCTTTTAGCCGGACAGGTGTCGTGCGGCTCGATCGCAGCGTGGTGGAACACAAGAGGACCCAGTTTCATAATGCAGGACGACGATACAGGCGGTATACGATATAGTCTCTGCAACAGCAACTCCACGCCAATATTCCCGGACGACAAGACTCTCGCAGCCCCTTTCTACAATTACATTCCCAAGAACAAGACGAGTTTGGCCGCGTCCGGATGGACGGATAGCGAGACCGCCTGGGTGAGTTGAAGCTAAGACGCTCTCATCATCGCGAGATGAGCTAAGTGGAGCCGGTCAGATTGTACAAGACTTGCTGACGCCAGCGGACAGGCGTCTATCTTCTATTTGGATAACAACGACGAAATTATTAATGCGTTATTGAAATGCGATTGGAACACGGGGCATTGGCAAAACACGGGCGAATATATCACTTCGGGAGGTTCGCCTAAAGTGTCGCCGACCTCGGCTTTATCAGTCGTGCTGCTAGGGTCCATGGATGGGTATCGCGTTTACTACAACGACCTCGAGGGATCTCTGCACCAGATCGGGTATACTACCGCCACGTCGTGGGCGTACTATGGCCTCGTTTCCAACGACAAGACTTCGGCGCAGGCCATCGGGTCCACCTTCTCCAAGAAGAACATCACGGTGATGAGGCCTAGGGATGACAACAACATAGGGGTGTCGCGCCTGTTCAGCGACAACCTGTGGCATCTCTGTGAGTCCGCCCTCACCCAGCCGTACTAACGCAACAACACTAACACCCCCCCTCTAGCCACCTTCCCGGAACCCCTAGCAGGAAGCAACGCGACCAACGCAACACAAGCAGCAAACCTAACCGTAAGCTCGAGCGCAGCCAACTTCAGCCTCCCGGCGTGGAACGGCAGCGCGTCGGCGCTCGCGGTCAGCATCGACGACGCGTACACGCGCAGCGTCTTCTACATCGGGACGGACCGCAACATCCACCAGATCAGCAACAAGGACTACGCGTGGAGCGTGTCCGACCCACCCTCCGACACCGCCGCCGCAGCCGCGTGGCCCCAAGCCGACGTCGCGGGCGGACCCATCGGCATCGCGAACGCGTTCGGCGCCGACGTGCTGCGCCTGTACTACGTCAGCGGCGGGCGCGTGGTCGAGGCCAACGGCGACGGCGGGACGTGGGCCGCCGCCGCGGCGCTGCCGAGCTACAACGCGAGTCAGGCCTCTTCTTCTTCCTCCTCTTCGTCTAACTCGACTGGTTCCGCGGACGGTGGTGATGATGGGAATGGAGGGTTGAGCGACGGCGCGAAGGTGGGGATTAGCGTCGGGGTTACGTTGGGCGTTATCGCGGTGGCGGGGATGGGCGTCGCGTTGTGGTTCTTGAGGTACCGACAGCGCAAGATTGATGAGAGGAAGGCGAAGGAGGCGGCGGGCGAGGGCCCGGCTTTGGGGCCTGGTGCTGTGGGCCCCGGGAGCGCGTACGGTGGGCCGTCGGATAAGACGGTGAGTAGTCATGATGGGTACGCGGCCGGGACTCAGGGGTATCCCGGGCAGAATGTGAATGCGTACGGACAGCAGGTGCAGGGCGGGTATGCGCAGCAGCCGGGTGCCGGGGGGTATGCCGTCGGGGCAGGAGCGGAGGGGTATGGGTATCCTCAGCAGGTGCACCCGGGGGTTGGTCAGGATGGCGCGTGGGCGTACGGCGCGCCGGTGGGGGATTATAATGCACAACAGCAACAACAGCAGCAGCAATATTATTACCAGCAACAACAACATCCGCAGGAACTTGCGGAGCCGGAGAGGCCGGTGGAGTTAATGGGCGAGGGGCATTATAAGGAGGTGCCGTGATAACCTACCTACCTAGGTACGTGGTTAAAAAAGAAAGGAATAAAATGTCCGGTGGGAGGTAATGGTGTTTTTCAGATATAAAAAGGAAAACTTGACTCAGCATTTACCTTCTATGGCATCCGATATCTGGTGTGGGCATTTGGACACAATGCGGGTATGGGGTTAAACCGGTGTTCGGAGAGAAACGGAGAGCAGGAGGCTTGCGTCTGTATATATAGGTAGATACCTAAATGCTTCTCGGCATGATACTGCATATGTCGTTGCATATATATAATCGAACGGCGTATAATAAGTGCTAAAAGTGTTCGAATTGACGACAGGTCATTGTTCTCGTAGTATCTATGTGCGTAGTATGACCCCTTTTTGGTTTCATACGACATGAGTAAGAACCCACAAGTTTAGCTTGCGAGAGAAAATATAGTTAAGATAAGTCAGTGAGCTCTTATCGTTCTGATACTGTGTTTCGATTATTTCTTATTCGCAAAACTGTCTTGTCGTAGTAAGAGTCATTGTGGTAATTGAAGCGACAAGACGGGAGCGTTATCGGCACGGGAATTGTTGTTTCAGTACTTTCAAACTAATTAGGGAACTTATCATTGAGTTCTCACTGTATCAGGTGAATTATTAATCACTAAGTACATCCATAGGAAAGGTTTTATAGTTGGTAGTTAGAATGACCAACGTGATGAACCTGAGGAAGATCCTTCCCAGAGCCCCATACGCCGGCAATGCCCTTGCAAATGCTACATTCATCTAGTCCGACAATATTTTTCACAAGGTGACCAGATAACTTTCATTCTTGTTAAGTGGGCTTACCGTTGGTAACCTGGCAATGAATACCTAGTATAAATCGTTACACGAAGATTGGCACCAACATAGGGGTAATTGGGAGCAATTTCCATTAACGCCACCAACCAACACAATATACACGCTGGCGGCCTTAATTTATTAGACTGTTGACGTATTGTGCTACCGATATGGCTACCCAATTCCTATTCTCCAAGGAATAGAGGTTTATGTGAGACGTTGTGAGATTTATAACATCACGATAACACCAGAATAGAGGGACGATGGCCTGATATAAACCGGGCCTTCGTATATCATTTCCACCTTGATACGTGTTCCTGATTCTAAGTGGATTTGACTGCGGCAGCTGCAGTTAACAAAAAGTTTCGAATCACGGACTAATAGTAACAGAGTTCAAGCCGCCCAAGATATATCAGCCTCCGGATCGGCCCGTGAACTCTGAAGTGTGGATCGGAGTATAATTGGACAATTGGCTTTGAAAACTGAAGGGACAACAAATCGAACCCATCTTATGCCCAATGATATTCGAAGTTGTGATGGGTTCTCTGCTAGATTCAGGGGTATTCTGATCAGGGTTCGCGTGGATAGCAGGTCATCTCGCTCATCAGTGATTATTCGTCTACATCCCTAGATACCTATATTTGATGCCCGACGACTAGGTCGTGAATCAGATATAGTTCCTGTCTATATATGGAGAACGTAATGAGTGCCCGACAGTCCGGGGAATCCTTGCTAAGCTCGAAGAAGCACAGTTCACGTCCTCCACAATAGTCGACCTAGTCAACCGACGATCCCGTGATTTCCATGTTTTCACGAAGAATCAGGTATTACCTAATCGCATTAATATCGACGAATATTGGTACGAAGATACATTTCACGAAGATCATCACGAGGTGGTCTAAGCTTCAGTAGACGATGGCTGCGATGGAGGCCTTACGAAAAAAGCTAGACAAGGGAAAAAGACTAGGAAAAGACTAGGATCAGACTGCATTATTGCGTCAGCGTCCTCCCCACTGGTTTCGACCCCACCATCACTCTTCCTCGCTGCCTATCCGTCACAGTTTACCAACCTCGCTAACCACTCATCAACAGGTCTCGGTACCCCTCAGACTTGGCAGCTGGAATATGCAACAGGTTCTGCGTATGATGCATTCGATCTATATTCGATCCCTTTCTATAGGACGAGGAAAGAAGGATAAGAAGGATAGAGAAGGGAAAAAACCAAGCCCAAAAAACAAGTCTGGCGTCTGGCGTGAATTCGGTGAAAATTACGCTCGGCATTTTCTGACGCAGGCAGGATTAGGATAGCGCCTACATACAAGGTAAGTACCTACGCATTGGATTTTACGCATAGTACGCATAGTATCGTGAGCAGATGTGGCGCGTGGCATTATCCGGCTATCGCATGGTCGATATTACATACCTTCTATGTAGGCGCAGTCTACTCATTTTGGCTGCCCAACTGCGTCCGGCTGTTTGTCTCACTCACAGAAAGTGGCCCTGCTGTCTCACGAGGGCCACCAGTCACGCTCAGCCTGCAGCGGTCCTGCTGAGTGAGTAAGCCAGAACATCCAGGACACCCTGCTTCTGCTACTGTGTCTGCTATTAGTCCTTCTCGTTCGGAGGGACTGTTCCCATTGAACACACGATGGGGCGAAGCTACACTATGAATGCACCATTCCATCAATATCAGAAACTTTCTATCTATCGATACCTCTTTAGTTGCTAGCTGCCCTTCTCTGCCATTCTGGCCTGATTCCGTGACGTTCTTCTCGTTACAACACCCGCAAACCTCCGTTCTTCTCTCGTACCCTACGGTAGCATCGTCCAGGTTTGAGGGGATCCTAGTTTAGCTTGCCAGCCCTAGCCTGCCTTGATTCCCCCTCCACCGCTCCAAGCCAACCCCCCTGCCTTTTTTTCCGTGCTTTATTAGTCTCGGCCTGCCCAGTTACTGCTGTGGTATGACGACGTTTGTCTCTCTTAGCTTCTATCCGGCTTTCCAGAACCAGAACAGAAAATTACATGTTTAAACGTTTTGACTCCCGACGAGATCTCGCATTTTCCCGTCTCTAAATCTATCAGTTTGTACGACCTTTTTGACACCCAATCCGACTCATCCTCACTAGCTTACCAACAACGGCGCCAGTCCGGGATTCAAAATCGTGTGACCCTCCATCAATTTCCGCGTCCTTCTGACACTTTTCAGCTCTCATAACTCACCCAAAACCCTAAACATTCTTCCCTCCCTTCGCTTAACTTCAAATACATACATACCTTCCGCTAGGAAATAACGCCTCAAAAGAATAAAAAAGAAAAATCCAAGCTAGCGAGCTGTAAGAAGCTACACAGCTATTTTTCAAGCGTTGATCCTTTCCCAATCAGCCCACCACCTCTGAAGTATCCTTCTACCCCGCTGCCGCTGCAGGAGTGACGCACTCCAGCGGTGAAATCTTCACCACCCCCAATTGATAGGCTCATCCTTCCGTCTATCCTTCAGGCGATCCTTTTGAGCACAGAAAGGAACACTCAAGCATAAGACTCGAGGAGATGGCGTACAGAAGTAGCCGGAGTGATATAAGTGAGAGAGGAGACTATACCCCTCGGAGAGCCCCGGCTCGGGAAGTCGACGACTTTGAGATCTATGATCGAAGAGAGCGTCGCGCTTCGCCGAGACGAGTATCCGTGAGAGAGTATGAGGATCTAGATCGGGAGCGCGGCAGAGTAGACCGCACCCCCGCATTTCTCAAAGATGATGCGAGGAGGGCAGAGGCCGGACAGCTAGTACTGCGTCAGCGTGAGGTCGAAACCGTCGACCGCAGACGCCAGAGTCCTAGTCCTGTCCGGTACCGAGAGCGCATCGTTGACCGGGAGCGTGAACGGGCACCTTCGATGCCCCCAGAGCGCCGGCCCAGATTCATCGAACGGTCGCCTTCACCGGCCCCCACAGCTGTCCGAGTAGAATCTCGCACAATTGAAAGACGACGAGAGCGATCGCCAACTCCGCAGAGAGAAAGGGATCATGATCTCATCCGTCTACGCATCGAGCGTGAAAAGGAGCGGACTCCCTCTCCCAGCCCATCGCCTCCACCTCCACCCCCTCCTCCGGTTATCCGAGGTCCAACAATCGAACGTGAGGTCATCACGCACTATCGCGATATCGACCATGGTATGTCTTAACAATGTCCCCCCCGCATGTCTCAGACATAAAAATCAATCTAACGTATTTTTTTCCCTTGTAAAATAGGTCTCATAAGAGCCAAACCGCCAACCCCGCCACCACCACCCCGCACGGCGCCCCCTCAGATGCGGGAGCGCGACCTCGACATCGACATCGACATCCGGGGCCGGGAGACGGACGTGGACATCCGGGAGCGCACGCGGTCGAAGTCGCGGCCGCGCGAGCGGCCCCGCCCGCTGCTGCGGCCGTCGTACTACGACGACGACGACCTGGTGATCGAGAAGGACCGGGAGATCGTGCGGGTGGCGGAGGGGGCCCGGCGGCGGGCGCACAGCGCGGCGCCCCCGCGCGCGGAGTGGGAGGACGAGGCCGAGTACATCACGGACAAGATCGACGCGCGCGGCCGCATGGGCGAGGCCTGGAACGGCGCGACCAAGGACTGGACCATCGTCGACGTGCCGCCGGGCACCGAGCGCGTCAAGATGGACGGCGTCGGCGGCGGCGGCGCAGAGGTCAACTGGTCCCGGTACAGCGGCGTCCGCCGCTCCAAGTTCGTGCCCGAGCGCGACGGCACGCCCGTCAGCAGCGCCATCAGCGAGCCGCCGCCGCTGCGCGAGCGCGAGCCCTCGCGCGAGCGGGACCGCGAGAGGTTGAGCATCCAGGTCTTCGATAAGCGGGAGCGCTCGCGCGACCGCGACGTCGAGGTCGAGGAGATCTCGGACAGGCGGATCTCGATCCGCGACGGGGACCGCGCGCCGCCTCGCAAGAGGAGCGAGATGTGGACGGAGATCACGAAGGACCTCGTCATCCGCGAGGCGATCGAACGCATGGGGTACGAGTACGAGGAGACGGAGTGGTTCTTCTACGTCATGCAGTACCTGCGCTACGTGAGTCTTAACTAAGCCCCCCCTTCCCCCCTTCCCCCCTTTCCCCTCTCTTCCCTTCCCTTATCTCACCTTATTTTACTTTTTATTCTCCGCCGACGTGACACCCGCCCGTCGCACGGTTCCTGAACTAGCGCGCTAACGTTGGGTGTGCGATGTTTTTAGGAGGACGTCCTTGAGCTGGTCAACTTGTCGGATACGATCCGCCGCAACCGCCGGCGCAGGACCCAGGAGCTCGAGTGGGAGCGCGACCGCGAGTGGGACCGCCGCCACCGCAACCGCCGCTCCGTCAACTGGGACAAGGTCGACGACGAGCGCATCGTTGAGCGCGAGGTCGTGTATGACCGCCCGAGCCACCGCGGCTACGTCCGCTAAGCGGCCTTGGCCGCGCTTCACAAGGGAGTATGTAGGCCCGCGATGTAATTAAGGGCTGACGAGTCTGCTTGTGGGGATGAGCGAATCGTGGGCGGGTGGTTGCTGGAGTCGTATCTCGAGAACACGCCACTCCGACGGGTGGCCCGTCTGCCTTTCTAGTTATATACACGATGTCGGCGGGCTATCTCTGAGTTATACCTATCGTATATCGGCATATCTCGGCTGGCGGTGGTTCCGAGACGAGGTTGGATCGAACTAAGCGGGTATACGTTTTCATTTGTCGTTTCCATATCATATCATGAACGAAGTTACGGGGCTACGAAGGCGATCTAAATGAAATCAATTCAATTCATGAGCAGAGCAGAGTGGAGGTAATCCCATGTTGTTATTTTTTTTCCTCTTTGGTGCCTTTGATTGGAGAGTGGGGGGTTATGAATGAATGGTACTTTTGTTGTCGTCCTTGTATCTAGACTGTTGAGTGAGTAGGTGGCACGGAAATTGATCACGATTTATGACCATAGTATTTCGGTTTCTGATATGATGGAAACCTATTTGGGGATATGTCTTTTATGTTGGAAGTTCATGTGAATTGCTTTATTACGCAGGTGCTTGTCTAATTTCGAACTGGGTTGTTCCGTAAGTGTAATCCTAAATAGGAGGAGATAGATTAAGGAGAAGCGAAGTACGGGGAGGACTTGGAGGTAAATCAATTGAAGCTGACTTTTGATTCATCGTTATCTCCAAACGGTTAGAATGGGGACGCGTAAATGTGATACCTATTCCTTATAAGGTATCCGGGTAACAATCAAAACAACGACTCCTATGTTTTCTCAACGCTCTTTATAGACGAATCTCACTTCATTTTAAGTGCGTTGAACGGCCTACTCTTTACACATAGTTACTAATTCAGGAGTAGGGGATTCAGAACTATCCATATTAAACGTAGTAAATAGGTACATATATCCATGATATATAGAACTTGACCAGCCTCGACGTGAGAACTCCATAGTCCGAAAACTGTATTAGAAGACATCATTCCAACTATTTAGTGTTCTCAACAACCAATCCTCGATATTTAAGGCCACATGCCCTACAATAGTTGCTGGAAAAAGGGTCTGTCCCAATACGTAATCTCGACACCTCCATGAACTCTTCAAGGGATTCGATAGCAGCCTCTATCATCTCCTCCTTGATCTGAACATCAACGGCTCGGAACGTCCGGTACTCCGCTGGAATATTCCACTTAATCTTCTCCTCAATGACATTACTTAGTGTTTCTCGTGCAAGTATGCAGTCGTGCTCTTTCAGATGTTGGACGGCTGATTCCAAGGTCTGGATCTCGGTGTTCAGATAGCGATCCCTCACAACACTAAGCAACCTCCCAAATGTTTCGATGTCTTCATCGCCCGGCGTTTGAAATTGGCCAGGTAACAGCGAGGTATTCATCCTCCATTCAAAAACGTCCAACGGAGTGTCCCCATATTCGTCTCGCCACCGCACATCCATTGTGAACGTGGTTTCGCCAATGATATTCATGCTTTCTACATTGGAATAAAGCGCAGCAATCTCTAAGGCATTCTGATTTCCCGGTGTGTCGTTGAGCTCGCAGCCAGCATCCATCAGTAAACGAGCCATGGTCGGATTATTATGAACCCATGCCCAATCTAGTGGTGTGCAACCTTGCTTGTTTCTCTGCCCGACTTCCGCCCCAGCTTGGACGAGTAATTGGAACTTTTCTACTACTTCAGCCGCCGAGGGGGTTTGCGCAAGGTAATGCATTGCTGAATCTCCATAAAGTTTGTCAGGGATGAAGATGGCCCCGTTTTCTAGAAGGACATTAACCATTTCCGCCGAGCCTTCCACATCGGACATGGTTAGATAAGAGAGTGCTGTTACGCGATCTTGACAAATAGCATTAATGTCGCATCCGCCGTCGATCAGAGCTGGGATGCAGTTGAGTTGCCCACAGCGTATAGCTTTTGTTAGAGGTGTGTCCCTCGATGCGTTGTGGATATTAGGGTTTGCGCCGTGAGATATTAAATGTTGGATCGCGATAACGTCGTTCTTCAGTGCGGCCCAATGCAAAGGCGCGTAGCCAAAGCTATCAAGTGAGTTAATATCCTCAGAAGACTCTCTTAAGATTGCGGCTAGATCACCGCCGCCTTTTATCGCCTCGTGAATCGGCCAGTACTCGTCTATATCCTCATCCAGTGCCACTACTTTTTGCAATATATTTTGCTCGCTTTCAGAGAGTCGCCAAGCATATAATCTATATCTCGCTGTTGCTACTAAACGTCTGAAAGATTGATCAGAATAACTTCAGTGATATATTTAGGACTTTCAACGCTTACTTTGCGGCATCTGTACCTCGAATAATTGATGTCGCGTCTTGCAAGAATAGCTCCATCATCTCATAATGACGGAATAGGAAAACATACTAACATCTATTGTCACTACGAGTTTCTTTTGCCGTCGAAATGTTTGAGTGCTTACTTCCATAATGCATTCATACTCCTCAAAAACCGCGACGTCAAGAGGGGAGATTTCTCTCCGAGAGAAACGCAAGCGCACCATGTCAACCTTGCCCATAGATATTTCCCCCCAAATAGATGCGTTCAATGGAAGCTCACGCGCCACGCGCAGATGAAGCGAGGCACCAACGCCAGCGACGCTGTCAAAAGACAGACTCGCCTCGAGCCTTCGAGAACAGAATAAGATTGGGAAGCGAAAATTGACATAGACTGGTGATTTAGCACGCTGACAAGTAAACACATCGCAACGTCGGGTACCTAGTCGCGGAATGATGTTGTAAGCGGATTTGAGCCACCCATGTATGGATGAGACGGCAGGATGTGGCCGGGTTCGAGATGTAGGCGAATGACATTGACATCGACAACCTCTGACACAAGCTCTTGGCAACGCGGCCGTGAACTGTAATAGTGGTTCTTCAGTTGCCTTTTCATCGGGAAATAGCTGTGGTGATGTCTCTCCTATAATATCTTGGAGCTTGGGTTGATTGTAACCCCCAAAGCCTAGGTTGACACCACCTTCAGGTACGTCGTCTTTGCCATTAGTATCAACAGCGTGAGACGATACATCGCCAATGTATCGCAACTGGCTTAGGAGCTGCAGCACAGATAACCGAGCGTGAGAATGCGACTGGCTCATCACTACCGTATGAATATCAATGATCATCCTTCCTTGCACTCTGTGAGGGATCAATATAAGTGATACTAGAACTCATGGCAAGGGACGGGTTTTGACATACGTTGAAGCGAAGAAGGAAGTCAAGCTCAATATGGTTTGTAGATCGGTACAGTTCTTCCTTGCCCTTTCGCTCAGAGAGATGATTCGCTTTCTATGTCGGAACCATTGTATTCTGGCGACTTTCATGGGGCTATTTCCCTTTCTTCCTAATTGGCATGCACGGCAAAGATCTTCAAGCTGTGGTACCACCGACTCGAGATCCACTCGAACACGTTCAATTAACGACAAGCCAAGTTGTGGAATGCGTAGTTTGGTCTTGGACTCTTCGTCTAGATCGACCATCGTTTCTCTAATGAAGGTCCCAAACGAATTTAGGAGTTCCACCTGATGACTTTAGCCCACGACTTGGACTAGGAAAGGGGGACGGTACTAACATCATTGAGTAACTGAAGCAACTCCTGCCTAGCTTTGACCACAGATCTAAGTGTATTAATGATCTTCGGAATAGCGGCAAGGGCTTGGCCAATAGCGATGAAACTACCAATTGCGCTGATGACTTCCATCTTGCAACGATTTCGCGAGAACTGACGAAGATGAAGGGTTTTGAGACAATCTAGACGAAAATGGAGGGTCGTTGGGGTTTGGACAGCCCGCTGAGGACGCGGGCGTCGGTGGGTAGTTATGACAGAACGAGCACATAGCACTGCTGAGCAATGCAACCCAACCAATCGAGGCTGGGAAAATATGCAGGCTCGGGCACAATGGCCTCTGCATAGTATTTCAAAGTCCATTCGTCTAAAAATCAAGCCAAGGTGGCTTATATGCCATTCATGGCTGGCTCATGTCAGGCATTTGCGACATTTAAAAAAACATGTGCCTTTCCAGGCAGGCTTAGGTAGGCTGAGGTTACCTAGGCGTCAACCAAGGCGGATAGGTGCACAGGTAGGCAGTTTAGACGATCCTCGGAGGTAGACATAGGTATTATTGTGGCTGTAGTCAGGTCAGCGTACCCAAGTACAAGCATACTGGGACCGAGGCATGATTGCACTACCACACAAGACCTATTCATATCAAATTAGTTAGCAAGAGTCAAGTCCTCAGACTAATGATGCCTTTCATTGATTCCTGTCAAAATGTAACCGAGTCCGACGCCATTACCATCCCGCATTTCCTCAAACCAACGCCATCAAATGCATCAGCCCAATCGCCGCGGGTGCAGCAACCGATTTACCATCCGAGCAGACAAACAGCCTAGCCCCATAGAACTCCGAAACCTGCGGCAAGAGATGCTGGAGCCTTTTCAGGAGGCTTAAGCGTGCCTCTCGCGAGCTGCTTCAAACTGCTGTCTCTGTAACTCCTCAAGCTCCTCTAGCGTCATCCCGCTCTCCTCGAATTTGTTGCCTCGCTTCTCTCGGACCTGTTATCGTAAGTAAGTATACTTTGGCTCCTAATCTAGTAGAGCTTAGACGTACCTTCTGCGTCTCCTTGTGTTGCGCAGCCGCCTCGAGGACGGCAGGGATGTAGTCGCTGAATCCCAATGTCTCCAGTGCTTTGGTAATGTGGTCGCAAGCAATGGTTTTCTTTGCTTCCTTCTCCGAGATCTCGTTCGCCTCGGAAGACACGAGAGTGATGAATTCCACGCAACACTCTATGAGAAGATCGCGGGCTTCCTTAGAAAAAGAGACGCCACTTGACGACGGCAGAATCTCACTGACGATCTTCTGAACGGTTGCTAGTCAATATCAGTACGCCGTAAACATGACCTTGTCGTCGTGAGAGGCTCAAAAACTGGCTAGGGTAATATCCCAGACTACATACCTTTGGGGAGTGATAGATCATCATTACCTAAACAATATATAGTCAGTAAATCTGAGCTCCGTATACTGAAAGAAAGAAAATGGTGTGGAGGGTAGCAAGCTCGGCTTCAGGGCAGTACCAATGCGATCAAAGGAATCCCAGTCAGTTCCTTTCTTAGATCGACCCATCTTGAAAGTTGAAAGAGAAATGAGTACGCGTAGAGTGGTCGATGTTGAGGTTTAGTGTTACTAGTTAATGTGCTAAATGAAACCCATTCCTCTTGAGAGGAAAGAGGATATATAACGGTAGGAACCAAGCACTTCGAAGTTATGCCACTGCTCCGAGGGCGATACTTCGTGACCACGAGAGTGAGTAGGTATTGTACGCTTTTCCATTGTTGCCATCAAAGTCATGCGCTTGACAGACCAAGAAAAAGACCAGGGCACAGATAGGTAACTATTGGTACTGCGCATATCCAGACTGTGACACCGTTCATACTTTGCGCTTAGTCACATTGAGCGAGGTTTGCTCCATTCCTCGTAACGTGATGATGATTCATAGAACTCATAATCGTACTTGTGTTGAATAGAGGAGGATGAGTGTATCATGATTTAGAAGCAAGTATAACTTACCGCCGTACTCGTGATCCGACATATTGAATGAAAATCGAGATGAGATCGAAAATGAATCTAATAGGTAGTGAGATTCGCGGTGGAGAAGGTTTGGGACTTTGCAGCCTTAATCGCCTAAACTGTCTTTTTTATTGAGATTTATGATTCCTGTAGAATGGAGATGGCTGTTTTTATAAGTGAATATCAGATGTCTGGATAGATGAGAGTTAAGAAACACGAAGCGTCTGCCTTCTTTGAATTGAGAGGAATCAACCATCTTTTGTATCGCACTTGCAGCCTCAGACAGCCGGCGCGCCATCCGGAGTGGACACTGTGGCTGACACCCGGTCTACGCGCTAAGATATGGACGTGGCGCAACAGACCCGATTTAATTCTTCAGTGTACTAGTTTGAAAATTTCATGCATTTTTTTCGTCTTTTTTCTTTTCCCTCGTTCCATCTCTTTCAGCATCAGCGAAAAACTCGGCCTTGACTTTGTTACGGCTATCTTTTCGCTGCGTCTCTTGAACTTATTGTTTATATAGCTTTTATTGGTCTGTGCCATGGTACTAGATATGCGAAATGCTAATGGCTTTTCCACTTGGTGCTGGCGTTCCATACAGAGCAGCTATTAACTCGCAACAACAATCCTACCAAGGTAGTGCATACCTCAGCATTCTGCAGGTTCCAAATGTATGTATATTCCCTATCTCTACTCTTTCCTTGCAATGATGAGCACGTTGTCGCCCCAGTCTTACTACTGCCTAATGGCAATATGGTGATCGACACGTCAAAGCCAAACGACATCTCTGAGTTCACATGATATAAAACCTCCCAAAATTGACACTGCTTCTCGTTCATTTACTAACGATGGACTTACAGGATACTTCATTACGAGAATAGAATGTACGTGTATATGCTAATTCCCGTCCGTGACTACCTCGAATATGATGTCGAACTATCAAAGTACTATCAAATACCGACTTTACATGACGAACACTATATTTTCCTGATCGATTAACACCGTTCCTATTATATTGTACTATATTGTAGATGGAACTTGGGATGCTAATGTGTCTAGTATGGGAGATTATTGCGTAGGTGTCGTCTTCAGTTCGTCTTGATATAATTAGATGATGACTTGCATCCATGGATCACTTGTAAGGTACGTGGAACATGTTGAATCCACCTAATGTATTTGCTTGTGATGATTATCGTTATAACCGAATCTTCATGTTGAAATCTACGAAGTCTTTTCATCTTTCGGCTGAAGCAATGCTTCTCTTTCCTTTACCTATGCAGCAAATAGAATATCCACCATAGCTAACTTGCTGCATGACTAGTGTTTTTATTCTGCTTTGTGCGTCATGCGCCTTGGAAGTTGGCTAGCTCTGCTGCATTCCAACTATTCAAACGTCAGTATACCAGCATGTCATTATGAAGTACCACATACCGGTAGTGTTTGCCGTTGAGATTACTGGTAGCACCTTCGACCAGTTTGGCTATCACATTCCCTGGCTTCTTAGGGTCTAGAAGTTTGCCGCTCTCATGTTCGTCTACAAAACTGGCGTGTATCTCCGGTGACATCCCGGATTTGCCGTCATCTCTTATCTGCCTCTGCATCTCGGTATCAACCTTACCAGGCGAAATTGCTACACTGGTGATAGAAGGTTCCTCCACGGCTAGATGTGTACAGAGGTGTGTAAGAGCTGCTTTGGAGGTTCCATATGATCCCCATCCTGCATATGCGCCAAAAGCTGCGCCAGATGAGACGAAAACAACTCGGCCCTGTGACTTTCGAAGTTCAGGGATAGCTTCTTTGATCTGTAATCACAGTCAGCCCAATCACTTCGTCGTTCCTCATCACCCCTAGGCTAGACTTACAAGTGCCAAGGCACTGAAGACGTTAATGTCATAGGCGTGTCTCCATTCCTCAACACTAGATTCAGATATCTTAGTGATTGGAGCCAAGACTCCATGATTCACGACGATCCCATCTATCTTGCCAAAGGCTCTTACAGCTGAATCGATGATTTTTGGAGCAACCTATCCTAAATATGAGTTATTTGATTATACAAGGTGCATAGCCATAAGGTCTAAACACACCTTCAAGTCTGCTAAGTCGGCGGCCATGAAATCAACTGATGTAGCATGTTGCGTCTTCAACTGCTGCAAGTTCTTCTCCGTTCTAGCAACGAGGAACACTTTGTGCGAAGCCTGAATTAATATTTGCGCCACGGCTAGGCCAAGACCCCGACTAGCGCCGGTCACGATGAACACCTTCGACATTATAAATAGAGCAGTCGAGCTCAGCAAGGTATAAATTAAGTTGAGAATCCGCTAAGTGAGACTGTCAATCAATGACCAGTGTATGAGTGATAGGTATAGACTCAACGATTCCTGAAATTGTGTGGAATGAGAAGATATAAGAAATACAAGAATAAATCCTCTATCCTATCAGAGCTAAACTTAACTGACGGTGGGGCTAAGAGGGGCAAACGTCATCTGCGTCTTGTACTAGCCTCCGCTATAGCAAGGGCCTCCATAGATTGCGACTCTACTTATACGGATATTACATATACTCCTTCTTTAAGATTCCGCAGGAATAACCGCCGCGGGATCCGGCATATCCAATCATGGCCACAACCGTAATCCTCGGCGCAGGCATCATCGGCACGTCGACAGCATACTACCTCTCCAAGCACCAGCCAGGGTCCAGCATCCACCTCGTGGAGCCGTCGCCCGAGCTGTTCGCGTCGGCGTCCGGGTTCGCCGGCGGCTTCCTGGCCAAAGACTGGTTCTCGCCCGCCTCGGCCGGGCTGGGCGCCCTGAGCTTCGAGGAGCACCGCAGGCTCGCCGAGCGAGAGGACGGGAGGAGCAGGTGGGGGTACGCGGCTAGCACGTCCGTCGGCTTGTCCCCGCCCACGCACAAGAAGAGGGTCGACGTGTGGTGTCGCGTCGGCGCCAGCCGCGCTGAGGCCGCGAGCGGCGCTGCGACGGCGCCGGCTGTGGCGCCGGAGTGGTTGAGCGGGCATGGGGGCGCGGTGGAGGTTATTAGTGGCGAAGGGACCGTGGCGCAAGTGTGAGTTGGTGGTTGAGGGTTTTCTTTCTCCTCTACTGTTACTATTACTATTACTACGTGAACCCTACCTGCCCGAGTATCTGAGCAGGCGGGTAAGTAAGTAAGCGAAGTAAGGAGTCCTAATCGTGTGATCTAGGGATCCATTGCAGCTGTCGCAATTCCTACTCCAGAAATGCATCGACGCGGGCGTGCGACTCCATCACCCTGCGAAGGCGATATCTATACAAACAGACGTGCGCAACGAGCTCGCGAGTATATGTATCGCGGACACGCTGTCTAGCTCCGAGACGGATATTCCGTGCACCAACGTCGTGATCGCGGCCGGTGCGTGGTCGCCCCAGGTCTTCGCTACGCTGTTTCCCACCTCGGGGTTCGAGTTGCCTGTCTCGAGCCTTGCGGGACATTCGCTGGTGGTGAAATCGCCGAAGTGGACGAAGGAGCATGAGGGAGATGGTTGCCATGCCGTCTTCATGGAGAGCAAGCCGGGGTACTCGCCGGAGATCTTCTCTAGGATAGGGGGACATATCTACGTCGCGGGATTGAATTCGACGACGGAGCCGCTGCCTGCGTTAGCTACGGATTCGAAGAGTAGTATCTCGAGGCCTGCTATCGAGAAACTACGCGGAACGGCTAGAGAGGTGTTGGGTGCAGACGACGTAGAGGTGGTGAGGGAAGGCCTGTGTTTCCGTCCGGCGACCGATCGGGGCACCCCAATCCTGAGTCGTATTCCGGACAGTTGTCTTGGGCCCGCTGTGAACACGAGGCCTGCTCCCGAGGGGGGAGTGTATCTTGCGACTGGGCATGGGCCGTGGGGTATCAGTATGAGCCTTGGAACGGGGAAGGTCATGGCTGAGATGATTCAGGGGAGGGAGTTGAGCGCCGATGTGTCTGGGCTAGGTTTAAATGTCTGATCGGGAGACTATGTCATCGCGGTGTCTTGGACCCTGTTTATCATGGAATGATCTCGATGAAAGATAATTATCAGCCCTGAGGATGTTCGGTGTTCTTATCACTTGGTTATTAAGAGCACGCATTCAAAATGTCTTTGGCCGGTTTACTAGCTCATACAGAACATGACAACATCTACCCCTTCCTATATGTTAACCTAGGTAAAAAAGAGAATAACAACATCCGTCACACACGAAATAATCTAATGCCCCTTATTGAACAAAAGAGAAGGAAGAAAAGTCCGTCTATAAATCAATCCTTCATTAATAAAATCAAACCGGTAGATCATATACCTACTGGCTTTAATCGTACCACAACCCAAAGCTTCATTAAAATACCTTCCTACCCATTTAACTATTTTATGTAACCAGCTGATCGATTGTAGCCCTAAAAGGTAGGCTAATCTATCGGCCGTGTGCCACATAAAAAAGCAGTGACACTTCTGAACGGTTCCTGGCTAAAACGTAAGCAATCGTAAAATCTAAGACTTCCAGACTCCCACGATTGCTCACATGGCCTCTCCTACTAGCAGTAAGGTCTCTGAATAATTGAACGCTATGAGACCTACATTGGCCTACACTGCAGTGATAGTGACAGTGACAGTGATATTGGTTAGAAAAATGAATCAATCGTGAGTCAACATGAACTTCCATGACGAACATCTGCCACGAACATTGAAGGACGAATATTTCCAGTCACTCCGCTCTCCTTGCGTCGAAATCTCGATCCCACAATGTTCGAACGGAGGGGTTAAGACTTGATAGCGCAAGTAAGAGGGAAAAAAGTGGCGTCGCGTGTGATGACGGTGGCTTGTCTGACCCGAGGGCTCGAAATCGCGATCGAAAAAAAGGGGGGGCATAGGGTTATCAGCGCCAGGTACCTACCTACCTAAAAAGCTCGGGGGCAGCGAGAGAAACTAAAACAAGCTCAAGCCCTACCTATCTACCTAAAGAAGGTACCTACCTATCCATAAGTGTTTCTGCGTTCGGAGCTAGAGTCCGTGGCACGCGAGATCGAGAAGCGTCGTCCGTTAGTCGTGTCGCAGCCTCGCAAAGCCGAAAGCTGGCGAGACAGGTACCCGTCGTGTGCGCCGCCGGGGACTTAAGGCAGGGGCCGGGCGTGAGTGAGAACGGAAAGTAAAGGGAAAAAAAACAGAGTTACGTCCGAATGGTCTCGTCTTGTCTTGTGTTGTCTTGGCTGGGAGTTGTCTCACGACGCAGGGCGTTGTGGACCTGCGGTTCGCGGAGCAGGTATGTAAGGTAGATAGGTATTTTACTTAGCAGCTTAGGTATGTATGTACGCATGTATGTACGCACTTTAAAAACTAAGAGCTCCAGGTGAATCACCCCCCTCCAAGATGGGGGAATGCGTGAGACAGCGTGGGCCGGTGAGACAAGCTACCTGCGTGCTGGGGCGTGTGACGCAAACGTCAGCCGCCACGGTTGCGCAGTTTCTCCGGTATCGACAGAAATCTACCTACCTATCGCAGCTTGTTTCGTACGGCTTACAGACGCTAAAGTTATCGTAGACGGAGGTAAGCAGTAGAGGTATTTCAGCTGCGGTGGATTTCGAGACATGATTGGGACAAATTCGTAAGAAATATGATAGTCACGGTGAAGACCGAAGATCAATTGATCGATATTGGAAAGATAAGCTTGTTGGTAGCTTTTGATTCAAATTAGAGTATGCTAATTATACAGTGATGGGTGTTGTTTGAAAAGCAAATATAAACATCAAAAGGTATCTTTATCCTTGCACCGATTTACACCCCGAATATGCAGCCCTAATGTGATGATGAAATACAAGAAAATGTGGATTGGTAATCGTTCAAGGGAATCCTCCTCTCCAATTAGTCGTCAAGCCCATTCGTAGTTCCGCGTTGATGTCGAGCACATGTGATGAATCTTAGTGCTGATAGGTGTAGTAATAGTAGTAGTAAAACATAGTGTTGAAGTGAAGTGAGGAATTGGTTCTGCAATGTGAAGGCTAACATTCAGGTAGCTCGAAATGCTGCTCCTGTTCCCGAACGTTTTCTTCGTCGAGGTGGAAGACTATTCCTCTTCGTTTCCAGTCACCCCTTTTCAGCATTGCGTCGCTCTCCTTCATCCAGTTGGTAGGCCGACGATGATTCGTGGGTTGGCTACGTGCCGACGAAGCCGAAGAGTCTAGCTCGGCTAGGCCGGGAGGGATCGCCTGCCAGTCTTTCAGGGGCCATTGCCCGTCCTGGTCATAGACGTATGGTCGTGCTGTTGACGACCGTCTGAGGTAACAGTTGCGGCTCTTGATGGGTGAATACTCGGCCGAGTCCTGTAGATGGTCCTCAGCGTGCTGAGTTTGGTCGAAGAAGCGGTGCTCCCGCTCGTCTTCCTCCCGCTCGTCTTCCTCCCGGTCCCTAACCTCGTCGAATTCTGGAATCATGTGTGGTGAGGTGTTTAGACTTAGAGGTGGGTGTAAGGAAAGCGGATCATAACGCCTATCGTGTGAGGCTGTCGATGATGCCTGTGAGGCGGTGCTCGAGGTACTCCATTTTCGGGAGTGTTGAGCAGCCTGCTCCTCAAAGCTATCTTTTCCACTCTTCAGGCTACTTTTAGATTTCTTGGAAAAGAGTGACGAGCGGCTTAAACTTCGCATCGTGAAGGATATATATAGTGATACAGGGTTCTTGCGAAGTGTGAATGAGTGTAAGAAGGAAAGGAATAAACGGTATTAGTGTGTGTTGTAGTTATAGCTTACGGGTAAGCACCGAGGCTTGGCTTAGGTAAGGTCGGGAAGTTGACCAACTATGAGCCTAATAAATATACCATAGAGAGTGCCATTCGGCTCGGGGACGCAGGAGGATGTAATACTTTAATATCAGTCCACGAACCTCCCGGATCGTCCCTGAAGATCCGCTGGTAAAGAGAACTGGTGCCTTGCAGCTAGCCCGCTAGCTTGGAATTTTTAGTTGCACTTGCAAATGCGGGCAAGCCGCGGAAACTGGCTATATGAGAGTGAATAGAGAAAAAGCTTATTGCCCACACAAGCGGTGCACGAGACTATCACGATCCCTGGACGCTAAGCCTGGGATGGTGTGGACGAATGCGTCATTGATCAATAGCGGCATGTGGCCGCATGTCTATTGCGTCCCGTCATAGGTACCGCCAATCATTGGGTCCTGTGTCTCAGAAGCCCGGTTGAACCTTGGTACCATGTAGATTGGTGGGGAGGGATAGACGGAGGGGTGGGAATTTCCAAGGCTGGGAGGAATGTTGAAAACACCGGATTGTGAGGATCTTTCTCACTCACACTCTCTCGTGTTACGGGCTGACGGGTTGGATCAGGTTGTCAACTATGATTCTTGGATACAAGAATTTTTATACGGGCGAATTTTATCGCTCGTTTAGCTTTATGGTATTTCGTATTGTGAAGAGACGAGGGTGTGCGCAGAGCTTAGCTATCTCCCGTGTCGTACCTATGATCCCATGTGTTTGGATGATCTTGCAGATCCTCCATAGCGGATCAGCGATTACAACGCTGGTTGGATGATGTGGGGATGACCAAGCCCAGCTTAAGTTTCTTAAGGCACAAAGTCCATTGTAGGTTGGCGACCGGTTTTAATTATTTAAGAAACTTTTTCTTGTCCCATCCGAACTATTCCTAGGGCTATACCTAGTATTGTGCTAAACTGATATTTTCAGCTTCCTTTGCGCTTGCAACTAATTTCTTTCTCGATGATTTTTCTCTGCTAATTTCACAACCGATTGAGTATGATCAATTGCGGGGAGGCCTCTTAAATGACTGTATAGCAGTGCAGGATGTAATGTTACGTCGGGTGCAGCATTGGTTGTCAATATTCCAAGGCGAGTTTCAGGAGTATCGCTGAGTAATTCGCGCTGATGTCACCTGCTGGAGAATGAGCACTCACCACTTTCTTAACCTAAAGACACCAGATAATGTCTAATATCAACCCTTATCGTACTGTAGATCCGTGTCATTCATTACCTTGGCAGTTCTCGGCTGGTTGGATTTTAATTTTATTCTTCATCTAGGTATTTCATTATCCCTAAGGCGTCGAAAGCGACTGGGCATCTAAGATTGGGATTGTAAGCTTTGAGTCAGTTGATGTTGAACCCAACGGAGAGTTTGCTCGCCAACTTAATATGGCCCGTAAGCTTCGTAGGGCTAAGCGTCTGATCTGCATATTTGGATGCCGAAATCCTATCCTACAACCTTAATACTACGTATAAATAAAAGGACTGCATATGGTAGTGAAGTGCGAGTCAAGCCAATTGAGGCGGATACTCCTAGCCAGGTTTGAAGACGGATGCGGTCTTCCTGGAATGCCTTAGCATATGGGTATTTCCCCTAGCTTAAGGCTTAAAGCAATAACCGTATTTCCGAGGAAATGGATGCTACCAATCCCTATCGTCAAGAACGCTCTTAAAAATTATCATAATGACAGCTGTAGCATAATGCTTGGTAGGACCGGCGTATGCCCCGCCGAGTATGCATTTCATATCTGATGTTATGTTGATGATTCGGTAGCAATGCCGAACATATTGCGTACCATCGACGTACCTAACCCTGTATCACACCTCCATCGTCAGCAGCTTATGCGTACCCCTCCAAATCAGCTTGGCGGCGGAAAGAAAAGGAGGAGCAGAGTAGCCGAACCTCGACAACGTACATATTCAGCCTATCTAGGTGTCAAACTACATAGGCGGAGACCACCTTACTGAAGACTTAGATACGGTTGAGTATACATTTGAAGATCCCCATTAGGCGTCGATGTCTCGAGGAGTTCGAGCGAGTCGCGGAACTCCGCGCTCTCTGCTCTTTGATACGTCGACCTCTGATCTAAGAGACGGTGCCCCGGAGCTCTAACAAGATACCCATTCTTATACATGGGAAATGGCCAATAAAGAAGGCTTCCCGTTATCGACACAGTTGTGCCAGTGGATGAGCTTGATAAAGTGTCCGAGCCCGATGATTTAGACCAAGCTCTTCACGAAGTGAGTAAACTAGAGTTTGCTCGAGTGGTCGGAAGAAGATTCACCCCAATTTCTGGATTAAGCTCTTTTATAGCACGCCGTCGTGTTCTCCCGGAAGCCTTTTGACTCGCCTTTGCTCCCAGTTGTCGATATCTTTCGCAGCGAGTCTCTGTATATACACCTGCATTAGTACGATGATTCAAATATGTGTTGTGCAAGATGCGGTGCTTCTAAGATAGGATACTAACATAGTATTCATCTTTCATATTAACTCTCCGGCCGAGTTTGCTGATGCCCAATTCCTCTTCCCGAGTCATTTGCCTAACTCGCCGGTCGTGTTTTTCATAGCGTATAGCCGTAGCAGGTGTCAGTACGAAGGAACCCGCTACGATGACAGACATAAATGGTAATCCAAAGAGCAAGAACGGATGTTTCGCCATCAATCCGCGATATCTTACTGCGAATGTGCTGGTATCAGCAGCACCTCGAAATTTCTTAGTCGGAAATACCCCCATTGCGAAAGGCTGGGACAACTGTCAATTGGAGTATCTGAAGTCTATTTCGGTAACAGAGTATCGGCTTTAACAGTTTAAGGGGGGTTGCTGCTGATAACTGACGGTGGTATTAGAATCGAGGGGGATGTTGGAGATGTAAATTATAAGAATATCGCATGACATCAATCACGCATGCGCCGTTGTAAATCGTTTAGACAGGGATACTTGGCTGTACTTGGGTACCTTACTGCCGGGTCTGGCCGTTGACGCCCACATTGTTCCGAGCGCTACCGATTGGTCCGTGCTAGTTTTCTGTTTGGATGTAAATTGATTAGATTGGCGTCACATGACTTCGCGACAACTTAGTTCGCGTAAAACGCGCTCTCAACTTCTCATCCGAAGCCTTCAAGTTTCCTCTTTCGTCCGAAATAGACTGACCTTAGACGATGATCGCGACGCGATGGCTCCCACATCTCATGGAAGAGCCGGGCCTAACGGTCGTGAGAACCCTGCCAATGGTTCTCTGAATAGTAACAACAATGGTCCACCTCCGTCAACTTTGGCGGCTCAATTAGTAGAAAACATTTCGCCTTCGACGCGCTCCTCTCGGCCGGATGAGACAGCAGAGTTGAAGAGATTCTTCGGAATCATTGAAGAGGTTAAGAATCAACCCGATATGTTGAAAACGCCAAAGGAACGAATGGAGCATAACCACATGCTGATTTACGTATATACTCGAGTCGTTCTGGAAACTTTAAGGTGGGATGACCCCTTTGCCGACAGGGTCCAGCTACGCGCAGATGCATCAAGAGCTGTCGACTTTCTGAAGATTACCATTAGAGAAACTCCGGATGTCCTCTCTGCCAAATCCGAAGAAGGTTTGTTCCTTTTTAGGGGTAGTGAACCTCTCTGGCTGTGGATATTTCCAAAAGTTCTGAAAATGCTTGGTAGTGGCTATTGTGCTGATCTGAGGGACGAAATCGAGTTATTCTTTCGCGAGATATTTCTGATAGCCTCCCGTACGGGCGCTCAGTGGTCGCTTTTGCCGCAATTCCTCGCATATTTCAAGTCAAGCTTTAATGGTATGTGTGTAGTTGGTCATTCCGTATGCGAGGAAATATCAGCTGACGGATCATGAAGCTATAATAAACCATTTTAAACAACTGAAGGCCCCGTCGACAAATAGAGATGTTCCTATTCAATTACAGCTACCTCCAGCATGGTTTCTCGCATCAACTGTCGGTGATGATTTAAAGCCAGTCCAACAGCAGTGTACATACGATATAGCATTGGCATCGCACGCTCTGCAGCATGCATCTGGTCTCTTGTCGATCATGACAATACCTTTGCTGCACCACTCCCCAGAATTTGACATTGTGTCCTCTTTTCAGGAGTACATTCCGTGGCTTTTTGATGCTTACTTTCATCTTCATGAAACACAGGTTCAATGGCAGTACTCGTTGCCCAGTGTCATATCTCTATTTCTGCAGAACAGCGTGCAGTTCCTTGACGCATTTGAAGCTATAACCAGCATTGACACCTGCATAGAGCAGAAAGTGTCAACATTACTTGTCCTTCTCTGTATGGAGATGTCCAGTCAATCTTTAGGATGTCTCATAGCCGACGGACATGGGAATAAGGACCACAAAGTACTCTGTCTGTCGCTTGCGAAGGTGGCTAAGGCTTGCATGCACTCAAAACCAATATCGCGGCTCGTCACGTCACAACTGATCCCAGCGTTAGAGAAGCCGATTATAGGCAGTGAAGCTAATATCGTTGATACTGATTTTTGGGTAAGTACTGCCCCCGCACCAGAGAGAGACTGCTAACGCAAGATTAGAGATGTGTACAGCTTCTCCGGAAGGTCGTCACTGATCCTGTGCCTACATCATTAGGTGTCGAAATACAGGCCGACAAATTTTCTGATGAAGGCCTTCGCCAGCAAGTCGATGGGCTAGATATAGGATCTGGCGATGCTACGGATGTAGAACGACAATCAAAGCGTAGGAAGGTGTCGGCTGAACTGTCATCGCTGCGCAAAGTAACCACACAACTTCATCGCCTCCTAGGAACAGAGCCTGACACGAATCTTATTGATTTGAAAGCCGCATTAGAGTAAGTGAATCAACTATCTGGCATTGGATTCATACAGTTTCTCACAACGACAGAAATCGATTTCAACAATTGCCCGAATCTGGAATATGTCGGATTATTAGCCTTCTTGGGTATGTTTGCTGCGCCGCAGATGATACTCTTCTGGTGCATGGTAAGAAGGATGATAGGCCCATGCGGCTCGACTGTCGGCATTGCCAAGCTTCTCAGACCTCAACTCAAGCACTACTCTGCCTGGATCTTGCGGCAAAGCGAGCGGTTCAAGAAATATTTGCCTCCCTAGTTCAATTACCTGGATTTCTTGAATCGCGAAAGCCACGCGTATCTGCGATGACTGCTATTAGACGTATTGCAAAACACTGCACCGATCCTGAATTTCTAGACATAGAGGTTTCCGTGGCTGCGCAGTGGTGCTTGAAGTCACTTCAGAGTTCTGTCAGAGAGCTCCGCATTGCTGCTGGGTAAGTCATCGTCGAGAGTACACTTGTAATTTATATCTGACACATTTTTAGTCGAACTGTCGCAGTGTTCCTATCTGAACCGAATCAATCGGGTGCCACTTCACCGATCGTGCAAAAAAACCGAGCGAATGTTCTCAATATACTGCGCTCGCTTTCCGAGCAAGCCTCGCCTCAGCTTACGGAGACTTGTATCCTTGCTTGGTCTCAAGTCGGAAGGTAAGCGTAGAGGCTCAAGATCATGGGCAAGCACGTGCTAACATTCCATATTAGTGTAATATTTGACGATCAGTTGAATCTCGTGCTCGTGAAGCTTGTTGAGTATCTTGGTTCCGAGAGCATAATTACGTCTGCGGCTGCGTTTGCTGAGGTACGAATATCTACTCGTTACCGTTCCTACTTTTCGTTAGGATGCTTACACCAAGTAGATAGTGAAACTTGCTCGCTCTCGAGGCATGACTACACGGCAGTTCTTTGAGCCATTTTGGAGATTCCTTGCGTTTTCGGCAACTAAGGATCTTACTTCTCGGCCGAAACTCACCCGACTGTTAGCAGAGTTGTTAGACATGAGCATTGCGGACCTGTTGCTCTATGTACAAAAGTATGCCTTGCCCTGGCTTGTACTCACGAAGAAGCGAGACGTAATTCAAAAAATCGCCGAAGCTAGAAACGAAGAAGAAACATGGCGACCATGTCTCGACGAGGCTAATCTAGGTCCAATATTGGCTCTTTTGCTCACCCAGGAGGCCCCTGATATTCAACAATATTGTCTGGATTTGCTGAACCACATCTCCCCTCATCTTAATGGATCAGGTGGCCTTGTCGAGCTATTACGGATAGAGCCGATCGGGACTACCTTGGAGCTTTTAAAAGCAGCAGGCGATGCTGATGAAGATCGCAAGGTTCACGTGAGTAAACGATGCAACAAACCTCTTCCTTGATGGGGAACTGATTTTTCCTTTGGCAGATTCGCAGCGTGTTGAATAAAGTGGCAAGCATGATGTTAGCAGGGAGCGGGGAATTGAAATCCAAAAAGGTTCACGCATCAGGCCCCTTCCTCCAGAGGTATGCTCTAGCTCTAATGGCTGGGCTAACCCAAGTCATTAACGACGTATCGAATCGGACCCCAACGCAAGAGCGCAAACGCCATATCAAAGCGATGGAAGAGATGATTAGAACAGGGAAGCATTATATTCGTATTGCTCGTCCACAGGTAAGCTCAACAGCTTGGTTTTGCGTTTGATGCATACTAACTTTACAACAGATCTCTGCTTGTCTTCAAGCAGCGATGTTATACGACGACCTTCGCTCTGCAGCTTTTTCATGTTGGGCTGCCATGCTCCTTTACTTAGAGGATGTCGAAGCTCTTATCGAAACCACTTTTTTCCTTATTAGCCATTACTGGTCTTCATTCGACGAAGCAACACAGAAGCGGTCCAAAGATTTGATTGAATCTCTATTGGATAAAGAGGGAGCGGTCTTAGAAGCCACTATAAGCAAATTACCGTCTTTCAGTCATATTCATTATCTGTCTGACATTGAAGGGAAACTTAGCAAGCTTCGGCAACCCGTTGACAGCAGAACAGCATTCTCTTTGCTGGCAGAAAGAGTTAGTCACGAGAATGACGGAGTCGTCCTGCTTGCTTTGAGAGAACTTGCATCCTACTTACAGAGGCAGCAAGAGTACTTACAGGCATCTGCCGTAAGCGAACAACCTGATTCGGTTGTGTCTACCCTCACTCGCTCACTCCTCGATTGCTCGTCCAGATTTAGCGGCATCCATGGCGAAATTAGCGACCTTTGTACTCAATGTCTGGGTTTAGTGGGTTGTCTAGATCCAAACCGCGTAGAATCGGTTCGCGCCGAGAGACAAATTGTCGTCAGGAGCAATTTCGAGCATTCAGGCGAGACTACTGATTTTGTTATCTATCTATTAGAGGAGGTGCTTGTCAAGTCATTTCTCTCTGCAACTGATACGAAGCTACAAGGCTTCCTCTCGTATGCCATGCAAGAGCTTCTCGAAAGAGCTGACATCAAGGTTGCAGTGCAAATGGAAGGAACAAGGGATGCAGCCCCTATTTATCGAAAATGGTTATCGATGTCTGTGACTGCTCGGGAGGTGCTAATACCTTTCCTGACTTCGAGATACGTCGTCCAACCTATGGCAGCACAGCAGACGGAATACCCGATCTTTAGACCGGGTAAGACGAGGTATGCCAACTGGATGCGGAGCTTCACTCTCGATCTTATGCGTAAACCACAAGCCCCATTTGCCGAACTGATCTTTGAGCCTCTATGCCGAGTTATTCGGATCAAGGATCTGTCGACAGCGGAATTCCTTTTTCCATACGTCACCCTTCACATTGTAGTTGGCGAAGATACTACAGAAGAACAGCGGTCGAATGTGCTTAATGAACTGCTCAATGTGCTTCGACACGAGGTCCCAGATAATGCAAGTTACGAAGAGAGAGAAAACCAGAAGTTGTATTGTGAGGTAAAGTACAGCTGTACACTTTTCGCAGACTTGGTACTAACTATGACAGGCCGTGTTTCGCTTCATTGACTACGCTATGCGCTGGCTGCAACTAAAGAGGGCTGGAGGCAACCTTGGTCCTCGGGATGTCTCAGCGATGGAAATGGTGCAAGGTCTACTTGACTCAATCCCTGCAGAACTAATTTCACAACGAGCTGTAGATTGTAAGGCTTATGCGCGAGCCCTATTCCACCTTGAACGGCATATCCGTCAAGTAGATGAAGAGAAGAGAGGTGCGGGAGAGAGAGACCGGCTACTTCAAAGACTCCAAGATATATATACTCAAATCGATGAACCGGATGGACTTGAGGGCATATCTGCGCACTTACATGTGCTTGACGTCAACCAACAGGTTCTGAGTCATCGAAAAGCCGGGCGATGGGCAGCAGCTCAGACTTGGTACGAGATTAAGCTAGCTGAGGATCCCGATAACGTCGAAGTTCAGATCGATCTATTGACCTGTCTCAAGGAATCGGGACAGCATGGTTCGTATCTATTTGTCTGCCTGTTCATCTAAAACGCTAACACTATTGCAGACGTTCTCTTAAATTATGTTGAAGGTATTGAGAAGCATACTGCTGTCGCGACGATTAATCGGATAGTTCCCTATGCTGTAGAAGCGTCTTGGGCGACAGGAAGATGGCGTACAATGGAGAAATTCATCACGAAGTATCAAGGAGACCGCACAGAAAACTTTAATGTGTCAATCGCTCAAGCTCTTCTTTACTTGAGGAAGGGGTGGACCAAAGCCTTCGTCGATGAGATGAGAATTTTGAGAGACAGAGTCAACGCCTCCATGAATTTTTCAACCACGTCGTCATTGCAGGCTTGTCACGAGCCGATGTTAAAATGTCACGTACTAACCGATCTAGAACTGATTGCTGGTATTAACAACGACGGCAACCAACACCCACAGGAGGTTCTGAAAACACTCAACAGACGCCTTGAAGTTCTTGGATCCTATGTCAACGATAAACAGTTCGTATTGAGCATACGGAGAGCAGCCATGGAGTTGATGCGGTAAGTCGTTGAATCTCACCTCAAGTCGTCAAAAGCTAACCCAATTAGACCAAGATTCGGTGATCTAGATATATCAGCCCTTTGGCTATCTAGTGCTCGACTCGCAAGAAAGACCAATTCCATGCACCAATCCTTCAATGCGGTACTCCATGCATCTCAGCTTGGTGACGACTCGGCAACCATCGAAAACGCCCGGTTATTATGGAAAGAAGGGCACAACAGAAAGGCTATACAGACCCTCAAAAGTGCTATCGACAGTAGAGCATTCACAAGCCAAAGCTTCACCGAACACGAATCATCTGAGAGAAATCTTGAATCGCAGCAGAATATGTTGACCGCGCGCGCTCAATTGCTTCTCGCAAAATGGCTTGATAGTGCAGGCCAGACGCACGCTACCGCGCTGCGAGAGCATTATCGAAGCGTCCCTAAGAACTATGGCACGTGGGAAAAGGGCCACTACTATCTTGGCCGACATTATAAGAAGGTGCTTGAATCCGAAAGGACGTTAAAGCCGGATGACCAGAGCGACGAATATTTGACAGGGGAGACAGCCAAGCTCGTTATCGAAAACTACATGAGATCGTTAAACTATGGGGTCAAGTACCTCTACCAGACCCTTCCCCGGATCCTGACTCTCTGGCTCGAGCTTGGTGCCCAGGTCGACAAAGCACCAGAAGGGAAAATCTCGCTTTCCAAAGAACTTCATCACCGTCGTAAGATACAACTTACGTCGCTTCATAAGTACCTCAACAAATCCATTTTCAGGTTGCCTGCGTACATTTTCTATACCGCCCTGCCTCAACTTGTAGCTCGCATTGCCCATCCGAACATGGAGGTTTTCATGCTACTGGAGGAGATAATATTGAGAGTTGTTGAAGCCCATCCGAGACAAGCTCTATGGAGTTTATTTGCCGTCACGACCTCCCGACAAACTAATTCGGAACGGAGGGCGCGCGGCCAACGGATGATGCAGAAAATCAGGGATAGGAGTAAGAAGGTAGAAAGTGGCTCGTTGGAGTTGAAGACTCTGCTGCGCATGGGCGAGAAGTTGGCGGAGCAGCTCCTTCTCGCTTGCAATAACGGAGATTTCCAGAGCAATAGGACGACGGTTGCAAGCATCACCCGGGATCTGAACTTCAACCACAAGTGCACGCCATGTCCCCTCGTCGTCCCAATCGAGATTTGTCTTACAGCCACGCTTCCCACTCTCACGGACAACCTCAAGAAGCACAAAGCGTTTTCTCGAGATGTTATTCTCATCCAGTCATTTTTGGATGAAGTTTTAGTGCTGGGCTCTCTAGCCAAGCCTCGAAAACTTACGGCTCGCGGGTCTAACGGGGTGAACTACGGCCTCCTGATCAAACCAAAGGACGACCTCCGTACAGATCAACGTCTTATGGAGTTTAATGGCATGATTAATCGGTCACTAAAGCGAGATGCCGAGTCCAGTAGGAGGCAGCTTTACATTAAAACTTATGCCGTCACGCCGCTGAACGAGGAGTGCGGTATCATCGAGTGGGTTGATGGACTCAAAACGCTTCGAGATATTCTGCTCAATATTTACCGATCTCGTGGGATTGTGCCTAATTATCAACATCTCGCGCAGATGATGAAAGATGCTTCTTTGGGGGACAAGAATATCGCAATCTTCTCAGAGAGGATACTAGGGATGTTCCCGCCGGTGCTACCTAATTGGTTCATCGCGCAGTTCCCGAATCCTTCGGCTTGGTTTGCAGCCCGACTTAGATACACGAGGTCGTGTGCAGTTATGTCGATGGTTGGCACGATCTTAGGACTTGGTGACCGCCACGGCGAGAACGTGCTTCTCGAAGAAGGCAACGGCGGCGTGTTCCACGTCGATTTCAACTGCCTCTTTGATAAGGGCCTGACATTCGCGCAACCGGAACGAGTGCCATTTCGGTTAACTCACAACATGGTAGCGGCGATGGGTATCTACGGATATGAAGGACCATTTAGACAATGTTCAGAGCTAACTCTGAGCATTTTAAGACAACAGGAAGAGACGCTGATGACGATTCTGGAAGCATTCATCTACGACCCGACACTAGACCTTCAGCGAGACAAACGCAGGAAGAATGAAGTCGTCAGACTTAATCCACAGAGCGTTGTGGATAGTATTAAGAGGAAAGTACGGGGTTTACTACCAGACGAAAGCATACCACTAGGAGTCGAAGGGCAAGTAGAAGAACTGATCAAGCAGGCGGTCAACCCGAAGAATTTGACGGCTATGTATATCGGATGGTGTCCTTTCTTTTGAGGGGTCGGACCGGTGCAAGGGAGTCATCGTAAATGGGTTATTCATGTGGCTACTTGTTTTGGGGTGTTCGAGTAGATATGTAGTTTATACCTGCATCTTTGCCTCGAACACATGTTCTAACGACTTCCCATCTTGGTACCTACCTATTCTCTTAAAGCACAGATTCGAAAACGCATGCACCTATCCATCCGAAGGTGGGATATGTGTTTATAGTATACAAGGAAGATCAGATGAACAAGAATAAAATATTGATATACATGAAAATCGAAGATTTCTTTCAGGTGGACGATCATTTTCCTAGGCAGAATTCAGGGGTGTGCGAATGGCGCAGTTGTACTTTCCAACTTCCAGTGCAATTACGCTGGGTGACCAGTTGCTTTAGCGACTTAAATGAGTTCGCTGTGGCTCTATTAGGCACCTACAACCTCCACTACGCGCTGCGATTACCCCCTAAAATATTTCCTACCTGTAATGTTACAGTAGATGTAGGTAGCGTTAGCAGGAGTGTCCGTCTACGCGCTCGCACGCGTTTCAATGTTCAACCCCTCGAGTTCTTCTCCAATTATTTCACCTCGTCACCTTAACAACCAACTCACAACCCTCTTCTTCCGTCTTTTTCTCGACACCTAAACATTCCACCTCCCTCGCACTCTCTTTTTTTTATCTCAATTCAGATTGTAACTTGACATCTGGATCATCAATAAAACTTTCTAGAGAGATACTTCGTCAAGTTCGTTTGGGCAGTTTGTCATAATTTCCCAAGCAACTTCGATTGAATCATTTCTCAACTAACCATTACCGTATTCATCCCATTGCGCTGCACAAAAAAAGAACCATCATCTCACTGCGCAATTCTTTGTCCCCTTTCTTCACTTAATTATCATCTCGACTTCCATAAGTAATCTCACAAAGCTTCGCGCATCTACTTTCCAAATAATCTCGTAGCCATCATGTCTTATCGAATCGGTAGGTCTCTACTCTCGGTCTTGTTCTCTTCCCGCCTTCTCAAACATGACATGTCACATCCTACAGTGCAACTTTCATCATCGCCGCTGTCGCACGCATTTTCTATCCAACCTCCTAGACGGCAATGACTAACCAAATTTTTCAGAACTCGCCACCAGCGCCCGTGCTGGTTGCCAAGATACCGTATGTAAATATGAGCAAGCGAAGATTCAAAAAGGTGATCTTCGCTTCGGTAATTGGGTTGAGGTGCAGGACCATGGCTCATACAAATGGCGACACTGGTACGATCTCACCTTCAACAAAACTTAGAGTTGCTTTACTAACTAATACACAGGGGTTGCGTCTCTGGCTTATCTATCAGTCATCTGCAGGAGGCCATTAGTGACGGCAAGGGCGGTTACCAGTGGGATATGATCGATGGTTACGATGAATTGGAGTAGGTCCTACTAGGTTACGACGTATACGTTGTTTCTACTAACATGTCGCCCGTAGCGATCATCCTGACATACAGGAGAAGATTCGACGCGTCGTCACTCAAGGTCACATTGACCCTGAGGATTTCAAGGGCGTAGGTCATAGCCTCGTATAACTCGTGAAGCTCTAGCTGATTTCCAATAGGATCCCGAATTCAACAAGCCTGGCCAGAAGGCTATTCGTGGGCGTGCTAAGAAATCAAAGAAGGGTGCAGATGAGGTCAGTAAAATTTTGGACTCTTGATTTTATTTAGTACTCACATCTTGCAGGACGAAGAAGAGGGTGAGAATTCTCCTAAGGCTCCCAAGAAAACCGCCAAGCGTGGTCGCAAGAAGGCCGATGATGATGAGGAAGAAGAAGACGTTAAGCCCGCCAAGAAGAAGGCTAAGGGCGGTCGCAAGGCCAAGAAAGCTGCTGATGAGGATGAGGAAGAGCCAGAGGAGCTAGAGGAGGAGGCTGCCCCTGTCAAGACCCCTGCCAAAGCACCAGCCAAGGCATCTACTAAGGCATCTACCAAGGCATCTGCTAAGACTACTGCTAAGAAGACTGGAGGCAAGAAAGCGGCTGAGGCTCCTGCCGATGATGCCGTGTCCGGCAGCGACAACGAGGAACAGCTAGAAGAGGAAGTTGTTTCTTCAAAGGCCAAGGCCAAGGCCAAGCCGAAGCCTAAGGCGAAGAGCGCTCCTAAGGCGAAAGCCAAGGCTGCCCCAGTTGAGCAGGACGAGGAAGAGGAGGAGCCTGCACCGAAGCCAGCCCCTAAGGCGAAGGGTAGTCGCAAAGCCAAAGCTAAGGTCGTCGAACCCGAGGAGCCTGAGGAGCCTGAGGAAGCTGAGAAAGAGGAAGAGGCAGAGGTTGAGGCTGCTCCCGCTCCGAAGCGCGGACGCACTCGAGGCCGCCCCAAGAAGGCGTAAATCACTGGCTCCCACTCGATATAACGAATATCGACGATCGGAACGGGTAGTAGTGATAATGGCATGGGCTTTCTTGGGCTTTATTGCGGTTCAACTTAAGAGGCTGTCCCTATAGGGTTCATTGAAAACTCTCATACTCATCATTTACTATTACATCGGAAACTGCAGTAGTCCTCTGGCTGAGGGGGCATCTGCAACAAATGCGCGCGTGCTTTTTCGTTTAGCAGGTTTGTGAATCTATGCGGGGATATTGAGATGAGAGATTTCCTTTTCTCGCTTTCATGGTATCCGTAATCTCAGGAGGAGTGTGCAGATGGGAGTTTTGCTGAGAGAGATACCAATTGATGCTTTAGGTCCTTGCTGTTACGCCAAGATTGGTATCTGAATTGTACTTAGCTGCACTTCATGATGAATACAGGACATGACACGGCCGTGCTATCGGGACTTATGAGTGGTGATCCTGCGAACTGACCCCTGACAGACATTTGACGCTAATAATTGCTATATTAGTTAATTAGTACATATGGCTATTAAGTGCATAATCAATTACGTAACTTAAAGACACAACATGCTCGGTATATGCATATACCTATGTAAGCATTGTATCATAGTGGATCTCTAATCCCATCAATACTTCGGTAGCTGACAACTGACAACTCGCAACTTACAACTTATAACTAAACAGCGGGTACCTTAGCTAGACGACCAGACGAACCGCGATGTCCGAGACCATTTAACACGACATTCCCGGTTAACCTAGCATCTAATAGCGTTGAGAAGCCTCAGCGCATCTATTCAAGATGCATATACCGGTACAAACGCTGTCAATCGCGGTGCTGCTAGCTCTGCCTGCAGCCGTGCGTGCCGTCTTCAAAGACGAGGCCGGCCACATCGACTACCACCACGAGCTCCTCGGAGTGCCACAACGCGAAACCACATTCTTCCACCGACCCAGACCGCAAGACAAGGCGAGCCTTCTGTACACCCTCAGCGATCTAGGCGTTCTCGGCGCCGTCAACCCGGGCAATGGCGCCGTCGTATGGCGGCAGCTGTTAAGCAATAATCTTACCGATGGGGGAGGCCATCTAAGAGCCGGGGAAGATGAGACGTGGCTGGCTAGTGCCTTGGGTAGCTCCGTGCATGCGTGGGACGCTATTAGCGGACGCAATGTCTGGACATTGGATTTCGAGGGAGAGGTTAAGGACTTGGAGATCATGGAGATGACGGCGAACGATCACAAGGATGTTCTGGCACTACATCAAGAGGATGGCACGACTGTTACACGAAGAATACATGGAACTGAGGGACGTGTGGTCTGGGAGTTTAGGGAGGTTACTAGTAATGTGCCTCTGCAGGTCAGCACCAACATCGATAAGGTGTTCGTCGTTACTCTCCACGGATCATTCCTATCGTACAACCTGAAGGTCATCGTCCTAGATACCTTGACCGGAAAGAAGCTCGACGAGATCGTCATCGGCACGAAAGGCGAGGTGCAGAAGCCGGAGGACGTGCAATTCGTCGGCGCCAACTCCGCCGCTCCGGTCGTCGCTTGGACGGACAATAACCTGACGAAGCTCAAGGTCAACGTCCTCGGCTCTAAGAACGCGCAGGAGTTCCCCCTCGTACCTGACACGGCGAGCGTGGAGGTTCACGCCCCGCATACCACTCGATCCTCGCCGCATTTCCTCGTACACAGCCGAACTAAGAAGGGAAGCAAGGCGGATGTGTTCCACGTTGATCTCAAGAGCAATGCTATTACCAAGGCTTACGACCTGCCACTGCTCGAGGGAGGAAGCGCTTTTTCTACTAGTTCATCTGCTTCCAATGTCTACTTTACTCGGGTGACTGCCGACGAAGTCATTCTCACTTCGTCTGTTTCTCACGGTATCCTAGGCCGCTGGCTTCTGAAATCGGGGGCTGAGGAGCTGATTGCTGTACACGGCGTTTCTGAGGTCGTCAAGAAAGCGGAGGATACATATGCCGTAAGATCGGCTATCGTCACGGATGCCGATGACTGGACACAGATCGTCAATGGGGATGTCTCTTGGACTAGACCCGAAGGTCTCAGTGGCGCCGTTGCGGCTACGTGGGCGGAGATCCCCGAGTCGGAAGATTTGGCGAAGACACTGGAAGCTGAAGCTCACACTGATCCCTGGTCTGCTTTCGTGCACCGGTTGACTCGTCATATCGACGAACTCGAGTATTTGCCGGCATACTTACAGGCTATTCCCCAACGACTTTTCGCTAGCATTGTTGGCTCAGAAACTTCAGCGTCTAGCGGTACGCTTTCACGGGACAGCTTTGGATTCAACAAGCTTGTTGTTCTAGCGACGAAACGTGGCAAGTTGTACGGTCTTGACGCTGGCAACCACGGAAGAATTGTCTGGTCCAAGTCGGCCAACGAAACCCCCGGGAGCAAGCCTTGGGATGTCAAGGCCATCTACGCTGATGATGCAAAAGGAATTGTTACCGTCCGCGGCGCTCAGGGCGAATTCATCATTGTCAAGTCGGATACCGGTAAGACCATCGAGTCAATGCCCGTTGGCCTATTTCCACCGGTCGAAAGCGCCGTTCTAGTGGACAGCGACGCTGGACCTTGGCTGTTACCTATCGGTGAAGGCGGGAACATTGCCGAAGTACAGAGTCAATTCGCCCCTAAGCAGACTGTTATTACAAGGACGAGTGATGGCGGACTCAAAGGTGTAAAGTTTGAGTCAAAGGGCGAGCTGGCTGCCGAAGTCCCAACTTGGATTTTCACACCCCCTGCCGGACAAAAAATCGTCGAGGTGGCGAGCCGTTCTAAGCACGATCCGATTGCGTCGATCGGCCGAGTGCTAGGGGACCGTACCGTTAAGTACAAGTACTTGAATCCCAACACCATAGTAGTTGCCGCGATCGACGAGCAGGCAACTTCGCTCACAGTCTACCTACTCGATACGGTATCCGGACAAGTCTTAACGTCATCAACCTACGAAGGAGTCGACCCAACTAAAGACATAACCTGCGCCGTAGCCGAGAACTGGTTCCTCTGCTCCTTCTTCGGCCAGTACAAGCTCCGCGAAGCGCAGTCCCAGCAACTGAAGGGCTACCAAGTCGTCGTGTCCGACCTCTACGAGTCCGACTCGGCCAACGACCGCGGGCCCCTCGGCGACGCGGCTAACTTCTCGTCCCTGGACCCGGTCGACACGCCGACGGGCCCGTACCTGCCGTCGGTCACATCCAAGACGTACATCCTCTCGGGCCCCATCACCGCGCTCGCCGTCACGCAGACGCGCCAGGGCATCACGAGCAGACAGCTGCTGGCGTACATGCCGGATTCCCGCGCCATCGTCGGCGTGCCGCGGCTCGCGCTCGAGCCCCGCCGCCCCGTCGGCCGCGACCCGACGCCCGCCGAGATGGAGGAGGGCCTGTCGCGGTACGTTCCTGCTATCGAGCTTAACCCGCAGATGCAGCTCACGCACCAGAGGGAGGTGCTCGGCGTGAGGCAGATTATTACTACGCCTGCCGCGCTCGAGAGCACGTGTCTTGTCTTCGCGTACGGGGTGGATGTGTTCGGCACGAGGGTCGCGCCGAGTCTGGCGTTCGATGTGTTGGGGAAGGGGTTTAATAAGGTGGCGCTTTTGGGCACGGTGGTTGCGCTTGTTGTGGGGGTTGGGGGGTTGAGGGGTTTGGTGAGTTTTCCTTTTTAGTTCTGCCCCTTTTTTGTCCTTCTTGGGTGAGAGAGAGAGAAAGGAAGGAGAGGGGAATGAGAATGTGCTAATATTTGTTTATAGGTCCGCAGGAAGCAGATCGATGCCCGGTGGAAGTCGTAAAATTGACGAAAGAATTATACGATCAAAACGACAAAAAGGGGGAGGCCTACCTGATGAGAGAAAAGGGGTTATGATAAATAAGTAGAAGGAAAGAAATGAATAGGGATAAGGAGGTCGAACTGTATACTATTTCCTAGGGGAGAAGTGCCATTTTAGAGCCGAGCAGTTGACTTTGGCTCGTAGATGGGTATCGAATACAAGTTTCTATTGACGTATGTCTATTATTTCCGTAGATTCACGACGTGATAGACTTGGGATTATCTATATAAGTCATGATCGGTGCCAATGCGAGCAATACTTATATCCTTCTAATAGTGTCGTACCAGCGACTTTCCAATTCATATTCAGCTATCCTTCATATCTCATCACAAGACGTGAAATCGTCAGCCAATACTAGAACTTTCTTTTATTCTTCATCTCTTATCGAGCATCATCTATATCTCTATCGTACGTACGACATTTGATCCCCATCTTATCCCATTTCCCCTTTCCTCCCGTTCTCTCGAAGCCAGACGTGGGCTCCGTAAAAACGGCTTTGCCTCCTCTTTCTTTTTTTACTTCTTGAAAAGAAAAAAATGCTACTATCTCTATTACCTCTATCAACTCTCTAAGGCGTCAACCTCTTCGGCGTACGGGGGTAATAACTAGCAAGATGCACGCTGGGCAGATTCAAGTACCACGCAACCACACGGTCCAAACCGATACCGCCTCCGCCGTGCGGCGGCACGCCCGCGGATCTGAACACGTCGACGTAATCCTTGATACCTTGGCTCTTGGGGTCGATGCCCTTCTTGCGCAAGCGCGCTTCCAGTAAGTCGGGCAGGTGGATACGCTGACCGCCGGATAGAATCTCCTGGCCGCGCATGAAGAAGTCGTAGGCGTTAGTCACCTTCGGGTTCTCCGGGTCCTCAATGGTGTAAAAGGGGCGAGCACTCTCGGGGAACTTGTCCAGGACATAAAAGTCCGTGCCGAACTTCTTGCGCACGAGGGCGCCGAGCGCCTTCTCTTGGGGCGTGCTCATGTCCTCGTCGTCCGAGACGTTGCGGAACTCCTCGGGCCCTTCCTCCCGCAGTAGTTTTTGGCCTTCGGCGAAGGTGAGGCGGACCTCCTTGCCGGGCTCGGGGAGCAAGAATTCGTCGGAGGGGTAGATGGCGCGGATAAGGTCGATTTGGTCTTTGCAGCGCTCTTGTAGACCGCGGAAGATGTACAGCATGACTCCTTCGATCATGTGCAGGACCTCGTGGTAGTGGTCCTCGATTTCCATTTCTAGATCGAGACCGGTGAACTGCGAAATATTGTTAGTATTCTATATAGACGGGTTAGGATGATGATGATAATAGCTTACCTCGGTCATGTGTCTTGGTGTGTTGCTGTTCTCCGCTCTGAATACGGGTCCGATACAGTAGACGCGCTTCCGGCCACCAGCAATCTCGAACTGTTTGTAAAATTGAGGAGATTGTGCCAAGAATGCCTGTTTGTCGAAGTAAGGTAGAGAGAAGACGTTTGCGCCACCTTCAGAAGCGGCTCCGATCAGACAGGGAGGTTCAAACTGGACGAAGTCTTTCGACTCGAGATATTCGCTAAAGAGTTTCCGTACTGTCATCCGGACATCGGCGATCGCCTGCTGTACGGGTGCCCGCTTGTGCATAGCCGGGTTATTAAGATGCGTGGACAAGCTTGCCGAGGGCGCGGCAGCTGAGTCGGTAATAGAGAGGTTCTCGACGCCCTCAGCGGGTGCTGCTGCGGGTGCTTGAGGGTCCTCATCGTCGAAACTGGCGATAGCACGGTTCGAGGCATTGAGGCCTAGAGGAAGAACTTCAGGGCCAGGGGCAATCAGATAGACCTTGGTTGGGTGAAGTTCGTAGTCGCTAACGCGGCAGCTCTTGACGGGCTCTAGAGGTTTCTGGACGGTGGCTTCGACGAGAACGAAACTCTCCAGTCGCAAAGCACCAACCCATTTAACCATCTGTTTGCTAACCGGCTCTCCCTCGGCGCTGGCAGAGACCACGCCCTGGATAGTCCAGTTTCGCTCTTCTCGCAACTCGACGAACGCCATCTTGGCACCTTGCATACGGGCATTTTGAATCCAGGCTCGCACCTTCACTGTTTTCCCAACATGTTCCTCGCCTAGGTGCTTTAGTTGTACTTTTTCGGCAGCGACTTTTATGGTATGGTGAATGTCGCCGTAGTTATCCTTAGCAAGATCTTCGTTTCCGCCAGAAGCAGCCTTCTGGGCGGCGGCAGCAGCTTCCCTTTCAGCAGCTTTGCGTGCCTTCTCGGCTTCTTTCTTAGCCTTGGCCTCGGCCTTCTTCGCGCCCTTCTTGGACTGGGCGGGAGATTCTCCATCAGCCGGCGGGACAGCGCCCGAAGCTTGAGCTGGATCAACGGGAGCTTCAGACATGGTGTGGTCGTGTGAGTAGTTTTGGAAAGGAATTGAGGTATTTTGGACTCAAATGGAGGGTATTCTTCCCCTATTTATGCCGTCGGAGCGATGCGCAACGTACGATAAATAGGTGACAAGAATTAGAAGTTGTGACTCTTCCGGTCAACTTTGAACGTGTGACGCGGGGCAATTTTCATCGTACCGGCGACTTGCGGCGTGGAGGGGTTTTATTACCTAATAATTGCATATACCCATATTGACCACACTAATAATGGCTAAATAGATATTTGCATATAAGCTAGATCGTCAATGCTTAACTGAATTTTCATCCTGAACCTCAACTTACATCAATCATTTTTTCATCTCAAAACTGTATTCCTAAACCTGATATCACTCTATAATTACAATTCCCGGTCATAGAATTGAATCAAAATTACAATAATGTCCGAAGAAAAAGTGGTAAAGAAGAGACCCTCGGCCTTCAAAGCCAAATCCAAGAAACGCCGCCAAGATGATGAGAACGGATCTCGAAAACGGAGAAAACTAACTGCTTATGAGGAGGATGAGGAATATCTAGACCTAGAAGCCGGCGTGAACAAGAAGATCGCCTTAGTCGACAACCTATTACTTGCCGACCACCTAGCCAAGAAGATCAGGAGATTTGGGAACGATCTAAAGCCTGTTGAGCTGAGCCAACTAGACATATCACGTATGTTCTCATCGCTCGGTCAATCTTAGACATGTGGACTAAGAAACAACCCAGCAAACTATATCACAGACACGACGTCCTTCCAAGAAATACGGACTTTAGAGAATCTTCCCAATTTCCTAGAGAAATTCGCAGACCCAAAAAGCCTTGGTGAAGCGCCGAAGCAGAACGGTTCGCCTCATACCCTCATCGTCACCGGCGCCGGCTTAAGAGCCGCGGACCTTGTTAGGTACGGCTTAGTCTCCTAACCCCCCTTTCAGCATCGATATTAACAAGTTATAGATATGTCCGGAAGTACCAGACGAAAAATAACGCCATCGCAAAACTGGTATGTGATTCTCAATCTCTCGCGTCGAATATGGTTCTGGACCAAGTCAACTAACAACTGCGCTAGTTCGCCAAACATATCAAACTCGAGGAAAGCGTGCAATTCCTCGAGAAGCACCGCACGGGGATTGCGGTAGGCACGCCCACCCGGTTGTCTGACTTGGTTGACAAATGTGAGTCCCTTTCCGTCCCTCTCCTTATTCCCTCTTTAGCTCTAACAACCAACCAGCTGCCCTAAAACTAGACAAACTCGAGCGTCTAGTCGTCGACGCCTCGCATATCGACCAGAAGAAGCGCGGCGTCATGGACATGAAAGAGACTATGCTGCCGCTGGCTCGCTGGCTAGCGCGTCACGAGTTCAAGGAGCGGTACGCCGATCCTGAAAAAGGCTTACAATTGCTGTTCTACTGAGAATGGATGTAAGGCGTTGGGGCAGGTTGTAGATAAAAGGTTAGCCCCCTCTCCGAGAGGATGCACACGTGAAGACGGTCACATATGATACCCTAGAAATCGATAGACTTTTCCATACCAAATTGTTATCACATCCACGCAAAATAAGATTCCTAGTAATACGAGGCTCATTCCTTGTGATACTAATAAATTAAGGGATAGTTGAATCGATCGTGTTATGCTAATAGTATAGACAATTGCCAGCATGATTAATGATCATTAACCCATTAACATCCATCCTCATTCAATAATAGTGAGTCTTCCATATCCACATCATAAAAAGTCAAGCATGATGCTCGTCTAACCCCAATAACCGTTCACCCAATAATCCGTTAAGAGAACCACACATACCCATACTACTAATCCGAAATACGATGGCTCCGCCCGAAGGCCTCGCGATACGGGGATCACCCACGGCCGACTGACTGAGGTGGTGGTAAATTCAGCTGAAGTCGTCTCGAGGAATGCGGTAGGTGTTGGAGAGGCGGTGATAGGAGAATAGGGCACCGTTACGATAGCTGTGACCATAGTCGTGATGGTTGTGGCCTCCCCGGACTCCCCGGAGCCGATGAGACTTGCTTGTCGCAATTGCATACCCGGAAGATTTGAGACTTCGCGACCGGCGAGGTAGTCTTCTTCCCGAGATCGCAGCAGCTCACTGTTGACCGTGCCAGGGGCCACCATGTAAATCTCGGCGCCGAGGTTCATACAAAGCGAAATAGCATGACTGAGAGCCGGACCATAGTTATTCGAGTCGCATTGCGAATACAGGCACTGAAAGAGGGACTACATAGAAGAGTCAGCTATTTCGAGATGTTTATCTTTTATCAAAGATGGAAGCAGACCTTCTGGTAGTCTTTTTCGTTGCAGAGGCATTTGGTATCGAGGCACTGAAACACGAACATGCTATCGACCATACATCGAGAAGCACAGCCTCGAAAATGGTTAGCCTCAGCCCAAATTACCAGAACGGGACTCGAGGATGAATTTACCTGGCGGTCCGGCGGGTGGCTTAGGGATTGTGCTATTGTCCGTGCCGACAACTAGTCGCAACAGGTTCGCGAAGAGAACCCGCGCGAGCAGGATCTTTGCAAGCTTCATTTCGTCCTAATACGCTCAATATATCCGAGATAAAGTCGGGAAAAGAGTGAACTGTTTGTATCATGTATTCCCGTCGTGTCTTGTTTTATGGGTTTTCTGCTTTTTCGAAGATTCCATAAATCCTACAAAGCGAAAGGAGTGAAGACAGTAAGGATGATCACCAAGAAGATCAATCCGAATAAAAGCGAATGTTTATATTTTGGAAATCCAAAAAAACGAGGGTGGTTCATAGAGGATTTGATGATGTCTGTCGAGGTGAAAAGGAGACGAAGATGGTGCAAGATTTCGAAGTCTGTTGGAGTAGTCGTCAAGTCTAATCGTCTGAGAAAGAACGACTTACCGACAATGCTAAACTTGAGCTGGTAGGAACTTCCACAATTATGATCCAAGAGGGAAATGCCATCGTAAAGTCGTAAGATATTGGAAAGTACGATGATATACACTATATGGATCGACCGTCAGTACTGCCCGGTACCAAAGAACATGTTCCCCTTAAATCAACAGCCATGAGGATTCTCTTGAAAGTCTATCTATATAATAAGCCAAGATAAGAGGCCCAAGTATGTCGAGCGCAATAGTCGTATATATATTGCCCCATGAAACATAGATATTATTAGATATTATAGTACGTATTATACTACCACTGTCCTAAACTGTTCCAGTGGTTGGATAGTACGTATCAGTAAAGAAAGGTGTGATACTAAACAACTCTCTACCTAACTTTCTATGGAAGATTAGGTCTCGGCAACATATACTAGATCCTCCCCATACGGAACCAACATAGGTACTCTTTCAAAACTCATCCCTTCGGGCCCGACTGCTCGTATATTGCGGAGTCTAGTCCAAGTTAACATAAGGTCACTACTGAGATAGGTCACCATGGAACTAACTATACCGATTTTAAACAACCCTTTGAGAACTTATATACGGAATAAGTATTTAAGACATGATTTACTACGGAATTTTTACAAATGTATGGATGTAAATTAGAGGCAATGTGAAGGACATCCACCGGTTGTTTCAATGGGTATGTATGCTATATTCAAACGGAAAATAAGAGGGTGGTTAGAAACATTAGAATCTTTAAGTGCTAATTGTATCTCTCTTTGATATGAGTTCTATTTATATTTCGTTTCTTACCAGATATTACAACGATGTTTAGAATCTCCTTGAGTTAGGAAGTAGGTAGGAATACAATCATCTAAAGCCGCCAACCCCCTAAAAAGTCCATTAAAGGGGACATGCATATAAACAGTCGACCATCCAAAGCACTAATGCATCTAAAGAAAACTTGATAAGGTAGGTAAGTACCGAAGTACTAACTCATCAGCCCCACACCGCTAGCAGAACCGGGCGCATTGGGCTCCACTGAAATTTTCTGTCTGCATCGTTGCTTGTGACCTGCAGAGCTTCATCGCAGTCCACCGCTTCCCAACCAAACAATCTCTGCTCAAGGTGTTTGCGCAGACGTTCTCGTCTATTACAACATTCTTCCCCTTTCAAATACTCAAGAAATTAGAAGCCAGAATGTCTTCCAAGAAGCGCAAGTCCGAAGAGGACCCCACCGCCATCGCCGCAGTTAGCAGCGACAGCGCCAGCAAGAAACGCAGACGCATAAGCGACGCTGTAGACGAGGATGTCCCCAGAGTCGAGAAGAAGAGCAAGAAGGACAAGAAGGTAAAAAAGGAGAAGAAGGAAAAGAAGAGCAAAAAGTCCTCCAAGAAGGAAAAATCCCACAAGCGCGCTTCTCCCGTCGAAGACGAGATCGCCGCCGAGGAAACCACTGCGCCTGAAGTAGTCGACGGTCCTTCTGCCGAGGCCCCCGTCGCTCAAGACCCTCCTACCGCCGTAGAAGGCGAAGCCTCGGTCGAAAAGCCGTCCAAGAAAAGCAAGAAGGAAAAGAAAGACAAAAAAGACAAGAAGAAGGGCAAGAAATCCTCTACTCAGCCCTCAACCACCGAGCCCGCCCCTACCCCCTCTGACCCCCCTCCCACCGCCGCCGGCGCCGGCGCCTCAGAAGAAGAAGAAGAAGAACAAGACACCACCGGCGGTAACCAAAACGGCAAAAAATCACGCTTCATAGTCTTCGTCGGCAACCTCCCCTACAGCGCAACCGCCGCGCAAATAACCGCGCACTTCAGCGCCGTGCACCCGACCTCCGTGCGACTGCTCCACGACCCGAAGACCAAGAAATCGCGCGGCGTAGCCTTCGTCGAGTTCGCGCGCTACGACCACATGAAGACGTGCCTAAAAACCCTACACCATAGCACCTTCACGTGCCCCCCATCCACCACCTCCGCAAAGGATAAGCGCCCCGCCGCTCCCGAAGAGAGAAAAATCAACGTGGAACTGACGGCCGGCGGAGGCGGCAACACGGCGAACCGCAAGGAGAAGATCCGGTCCAAGAACGCGAAGCTGAACGAGCAGCGCGCGCGCCGCATCGAGGCGGAGATCGAGGCCAAGGCTGAGAAGGCGCGGGAGAAGGCCGCGCGGGGCGGCGGCGACGGGGAGGAGGAGAAGAAAGAGGCCGCTGGTAGGAGCATTGAGGACGCCGTCCATCCCAGCCGTAGGAGAAGGGTTCCCGGCGCCTGATCCGCGATTCCGCGATTCTACTGCCACTGAAACCGCAACCACAACCGTAACCCCTAGCCACCATTCACTTCCAAATTAGCCCAACTACGTAAGACGCTTCCCTTATGGAGATATCATTTTTTTTATTAATACGACGACATGCTTTGGAAAAAAACAAACAACTAGACCCGTAAACACCCACAAACCTTAGACAAGACAACAAAAAAGAACACAGCAAATCTAGGGAGACATGCTGTAAAATTTAGATTCCTCTCGCAAATATGCTATCTACAGAATTGTGAAAAGGCGAGTCTGAATATCCTTAGGAGAGGGGGTCGCGAGCTCTCGCTACCGTTCTACCTAAGTCCAGTCCGGGGCGACACGCGACACACTCTCCTGCAGAAAACGACTAAAACCGGTTATACCTGTATTATGTCCAATTCGTAGAAAAAAGGGCAGCATACAAGTCTTGTTGGTAATCTGCGTCAGAACTCTTAAGCACGACGAAAAGACTTCTCAGGTTTCCGTGTTAGAATATGCTCCGGGTTTCCTTCTGCTGACGGTCTCTTGCGATTTCTAGCAACCTGCTTTCTTCCCCCTTCTCCTCCTTAATTCTGTCATGGTCGAAATATCCCATGGTGTGCAACAACAAAAACACGGCCACCAAAGATACGTCTGTGGGTATGTAGGTTTCAAATGAGGGGACGCGAAATATGGGTAGTCGGCCAACTTCGAAGATGCCTGAATACGTCGGTTCCTCATGGAGGATAAGTAATCTTTCCTATATGTCCACCAAAAACGCCTTCATCGTTTCGCAAAACTTTCTGGCTCGCTCGACCAAAAACATGGAAATGTATCAACAACGCGACAGGAACATCTGCTATCCGTTTATAGGATCGTGCATTTGCTCTTCTTGGTGCTTCCTTTCGTTGTCACGGGCCTAGGGTTGAGGACGGCTCTATAAGCAAGGTTAGCATATCGTGATCCATCAGCGTCTCTTTCACTATATCATTATCATACCTGATAGCCTCGTCGAAAACACTCTTAAGATTTCGCTGCGTAAGAGCTGAGCATTCCAGATATTTGTGGGCACGGATCTCTTTCGCGCAAACCAAGGCTTGGTCGTATGAGACGGGTTCCATCCTCTTCGCCCTCAAGCTTTCCAGGGTGGCGGGGTCCTCTCGCAAATCCAGCTTAGTTCCGACCAGAATGATAGGAATATTCGGCGCATGGTGGTCGATTTCGGGATACCACTGAGTTAAGTTAGCAATTGTCTTGATATCGACCTAGAGTCTAAGAAAATGTTGTTTTGCTGTTTACGTACCTTGGCTTTTACGTTGTCGAATGATGGCGGGCTTACGATAGAGAAGCAGATCAAGAAGACATCGGTCTGGGGGTAGGAGAGCGGTCGCAGCCTATCGTAATCTTCCTGACCAGCAGTATCCCAAAGCCCTAAGCTGATGGGCTTGCCATCAACCATGACACTTGCGGAGTAGTTGTCGAATCTACATGTTCAACGTGAGCTAATGAGCTAGAAGGGGGGGATGTAAGACGGCGAGCAAACTAACACGGTAGGTATATATTCACCCGGGAAGGCATTTGTCGTGTAGGAAATGAGAAGACATGTCTGACGCTAATGTTAGACTTCGGGGACCATGGAAACACGACTCGAATTCGACTGAATTGAATAAGACGGACCTTTCCGACGGCACCATCACCCGTAACGACGCACTGCAGGAGAATCTCGCATTAGCATAGTGTACTCGAGCTGGTGGATTGCGTCGGTGCTCGCTTGATTGCTGTTCGAAGCGACATGACGACAAACCAGCAAGCCGACAAACATTAACAGGAACATACCTTCAACGATTGAACACCAGGAGCTGCCATTGTTGGCGATCTTAATATGCTTTATTCGATTTACCAGCAATGGGAATTGGAAACTAGACAAAAGACAAATTGACAACTGCGATAAATTCAGCGATTGTTGGTATTGTATTTTGATGATGATATGGGGATTGAATATGGCAAGTTCTAAGGAAAGTCTTGTCGGCGATACAATCAGGAGCAAAAGAGGTGTAGAAGGAGCTTGCGTTGCATAAGGGTTAGAAATGTTTTGACACAAGGTCGGAAGGGTGTGGTGCCGCAGATCGCAGGAGGTGGGCAAGCGTGCTGCAATGGGCAATGGCAAATAGAAGCTGGCTGCTGGCCACTGGCCGATGGTAGGCTGGCTGGCTGGAAACTAGAAGGGGAGTATGGGAATATCAAGAAAATATGGAGCACGGCGCTACGGTCCCAGAGTGCCAGAGAGCCAGGCAGTTATCGTAGCCTGTAGGAGTCTAGCGGCCTGGAGCTATACTGTATGCGTCTATATGTGCTGCAGCACGGTTCGCACGCTGGAACGATAGCTGGCTGAGGAGGCCTGATAGGGTAGTTTTGCCAGTCCAGGGTGTCCCGATAGGGATGGGGGAGCTTCTATTTGGCTAGGGGGTGTGTGGGGACAACGCTTACAGACAGAACGGTGGTTGATTCGAAGGCTGGAACGCTGGGCTTTTTTGGGGTTTGGGGCGAGTATCTAAATGGGCGGTGGCGCGAGCGTCTTTTGGACGAGAATATTGGAATTTCAAGTGTCAGGTAAAAGAAGGATTATGGATGCGTTCTTTCTTGTCGTCAACCCCCAACTTGAAGGCGGTAAAAGTTGGACAGCTAGATATGAATGTACGTATATCGACTGTTGTAAAGGATAACGATATCGCTGGATGACCTGACTGACGGGGGCTAGAATGAGACGATAATGATACCTACTAGGTACTACCTTGGTAGGGAATGGCGACGTCTTACTGAGCCCTGAAGAGAACAAAGAAACATGACAACTTACAAACAGGAGCAGATAATCTGATGCTGATGAAGATGTTACAACTCACAAAGCAGCGCGTACCGAAATCTGAAGGAGAAAGAAAAAGCCAGTCGAAGTCGAGATATCATTCGATGTTGGAAACCAATTGGTGTGAGATTCTTGATTTATGATTTGTGATTTAAAAGACGCCGTCGCAGCTTATCGAACCCCTATAATTCGGAACTTATTAGCCCACTCGGAAAAAGTGAATGTGGAGGAGGTACCCAAGTATCTCGAAACTAACGTAAGGGGTAAAGTTGGCCCAAGCGTCTTTATTGGTTGCTCTTATCTCCATGATTTTCATCCATCTTCAATAATACGTACAAGTGAGTTTGTGTCCATGAATATTGGCGTACGTCTAAGTTTACAGTTTAATGTCATTATGAGGTAGTTTATTCTTGTATCCAGATGGGGCTCGAGATTTAAACAAACAAATACGAGATATGAATAAATAATACCATATACCTGGATAAGCCAGACAAGCATACACAAAGTTAAAAATGTGAAGGTGGAGATATTATACCAAGTAAGCCACACTTCTGTAACTTATTTATCCAATAGCACCTCGCCGATGTATGGATATTCGGTTGTTTTATAGGACTATACCGAGATCGATCGTCACAGGCTATCTGACTGCCGTAGGACTACCCGCTCTGCATGTGCAGTACGCATGCAAGTTAGCTATATCTGTACTAGATATGTAGGCAAGCAAGATTGCATACATTAAGCATGTAAGCACTGGACAATAACTTTGTTTGTCTAGACAAGCAGAGAGCTTATGAGAGAAGAGCTGTCAACGAGGTCGACTCGATAAGTCGAGGCGCCATTTGAAGCGTTGCCTGTAACAACCAATCCCTTTGGAACATCCGAAGACCTGTCGCTTGTCATGGAGGTCAGGGGGCTTGGCCTGGGGAATTTGATTGCATCAAGCTAGAATGAATATAGACAATTCGTCAGGCTAAATGAGGAGTTTGTAGCGACTTCAATCCGGTAGCTACTAGAAGCCATTCATTGATGTCGACTCCGGGACGCTTTCGAACACAGCCGTTGCGATTTCAGGGGCACCTTGGTCGTTATTCGACAAGCCAATGGCGTGTTAGAGTGAGCTCCAGGGGCGTTGTCAAAGAACGGTAACCCGAAGGATCATCTCAAAACCGGTACTTCGTCTTCCAGCAACATGGTCAAACTAGGTAGCCTGGTAGCTTGCTTGGTAACTTAGATATTACCCTACGAGATTACAACTAGAGTAGACATATAGTATGATAGGTTGTGATGCAAGGTAACTGGATAAAATCTCGAGCCAATGAGTAAACCGAATACTCGGTATATTACTGTCATGCTTTTAAAGGTTTGCCATAGAACAGCTGATTGCTTCTCCGAGAATTATATGTAGTTCACAAACAGTGTCATCTCGCTAGCTCCAGTGGGATATTTGAGAGGATTTAAAGAAACAAATATCGTGAGAATGAGAAACCGTGAAAACTCCAGCAAACGCAAATGAATCGAAGCTGTTTCAGAAAGTTCTGGCTCCGGTGGAAGTTACCAGCGGAAGGTTCCATGGCTCGGCAAGCAGGGGAAAGTATGGAAACTGACAAGGATCACCCAAGACACCGGATCCCTGCAGATTATGTAATTGATTTTCCAGTCTTCTCTTGAATGACGTTTGATACCCTCTTTGAGCGGGTTCCAAAATCTTCCCATTATAGGTAGATATTAGGTAACTTGAGTACGGCACTTGAATTCCTACCTACATATTGATAATCTGCCTTTTCCTCCAAGATTGACAAATCCGACTAAGATTCGCCTAAGTTGATATCTCCGGGCTCGTAAACTGCCTGCCGTTCTTAAAGGAAGTAAATGTCTGGAGACGGGATACGCGTACAGGAACAGAGATGCAATACGAGTGACCAGTATATCAGCACAATAAATCGATATGGATCAGTGTCGATACCGTTACTGCCTAAATAAAAGTCGCCCAGGCAAGCCATAGCATACAACAAGCCCTCCAAAGCGCAACCCACCAACCCAACGACGGCCGTCGTCTCAAAGTAGAATAACAGACACCTAAATACGGTGAATGGCTCCTCATCAGGCGTGGTAAGCAATGTCGCGGCCTAGATGGCAGTAATTATCACGGTCCAGGCTGCTGCACAACAGAAGAAAAGACTGATGACGGATAGCAGTTTGGGGAGGGGAATACTCGGGGTAGCCCCCGAAGTTGTGAGCTTGCCTTTGGATAGTAGCGGTGTTCCTTCCAATGGCGTCTTTGTACTGGGGGACGTGTTAGGCCCGCAGGGTCGGGACGGGTCGAACACTGTGTCTATCCTCGTGACTACCTTTTGTTATAGATGGTACTGGTGAGTAAAGTCTCGATTCGAGGTCAAATTTGCTGGTAGGCAGTTTTGTTGAATTGGTGCCAGCTGGTAAATATGAATTCCACATGTCTCGAAATTGGTATTCTTTGATACCTAGTAGAGGAAATAGGAAATTTATGACGAAACGCAAAGCCTCTTATAATTAGGTAGTCGATGAGATCTAGGCATTCAAGGGCTTGGTTAAACTTTGTAGAAACTATATACGCCTCTTCAAGGTCGAAAGGTAAATCATTACTGAAACCTATCAAGCCCGTTGAGATTCCTTTTCAATACCCCGGGAGGATATGGACATCTAGCTCACGTATATCTTCTGTGTAAGTGTAGCTAAAGCCCAAGTCCACACCAATCTGAAGCAAAATCGCGATACCGAATTCAAATCAATAGTAGCACAAGCTTGAAAAATATACCTAGTACGTAACTACTAATATAGATCATTAATACATTTAAAGTCGGCTTTATGACTTTCATATTGACTACTAATATCTGATCTTAGCATCAATATATATCACTCGACCAATTATACCGTTTAACTAGGTATTCATTTCAATATTCTTATAGGAGCTGGTATCAACCCCACTATTACGTACAGTATGACCCCTGCTCCCAATATCCACATGCAATTGTTCAATAGGTAACTTTAAGGTGGACGCGTCTAAATTCTTAACCGCGTCAAGCAATCACCACTCACACGTCATTGTACCCGACCACTTCTAGCCTCGAACCTACGCCCATTCAAATCTTCATGTGGTCTCAATTTGATAAGGGATAGGATTTAGAACAATAAGGGTGTCGATACTGTCATGAGCGAGGCAGAACCCTCCATCCACTTCCGTTACTAAACAAGTTGCTCAGCTGGCTGGTAAACCTGAAGAGGAATTGGCAATAGCACCATTTCCGTCACCATGTCGGACTCATCCACGAACAACACCGGGAACCACACCGGGCGTCTGCCCCCCCTCAGCACGCCGCGAAACCTAACGACGCCCAACCGCCGCGCCATCAGCGCCGAGCCCTCCTCAAACCTCCGCCTCTCCGCCTCCGCCCGGCGCAACCCGAACACGCCGCACGCGCGCGCCGCCATCCGGGCCATCGACCAGCGGCGCGCAGCCCTCTTCACGCCGGGCCGCGTCGGGCGCCGGCGCAGCCTGGCCCGCGAGCGCGAGCGCGAGACGCCGCGGGACCTGCTGCGGAACCTTAGTCGGGTTCTGGCGCCGACCTCGACGGCCGTCTCGTCCTCGTCCTCGTCGCCCGGCCCCAATGCGAACAGCTCGACGTTGCAGACCCTGATGGAGGAGGATGATGACGACGACGAGTTCCCGATCGAGAGGCCGCGGTTCTCGCTACCGCTGGACAATGATGATGAGTACGATAGCGAGCTGAAGCCTCCGCGGTCTAGTATACTGGAGGATGAGAATTATACGGTTCAGTCGATTGAGCTGCCTCGACGAGTATGGAATGAAGCGCCGCCGGGTAGGGATAGGGTAAGCTTTGGGAGTGTGCGGATGAGTGATTTTATTGGGCCGGATATAGACGATGCTGATGATAACAACGTCGGCATCGATTCGGGCTTCTTTCCACCACCTGCGTTGGATGATACCGACGTGGTCATGGATGAGGATGCCATATTCGAACGGTATTATTCTGTAGGTTTCCGTTTATTAATGAGGAAATGCTAATAGAGTTATAGCGTGGATGAGGAAACACGACGTCAAACTATGGGAGGCCGAGATGATTTTGGCCCGATTCAGATCCCCGATATTGGAAATGAGAGCACTTTTGTCATGGCGCCAGTGGAATCACCTACCCGAGATCCCACGATAACCGAAGGCATTGAGACGGGGGATGCTCAACTAGAAAATGATGACGATGACGATATAGAACAACCGTTTGATCCCTTTGACATGGGTGATAGCGATGTGGAAGGCGATGGTGGCAACGAGGGCAACGAAGGCAACGAAGAATTAAACGAAACCATTATATCTCAGGCCATGGATCCTTTGGCGCAAAGACGACCCACGAGAAGAAAGAATGGCAAGAAGATATCGAGACATGGCATCGAATACCCTTCCTTACCCCAGGGTGTGGTGAAACGATTGGCAACGACACTTGCGAAAACAGCCGGAGTCAGCAAAGCAAAAATTAGCCCGGATACGCTGGACGCGATTATGCAAGCAACGGACTGGTTCTTTGAGCAGTTAGGAGACGACTTGGCAGCCTACGCGGGACACGCAGGTCGAAAGACAATCGATGAAAGTGATATGATGATGCTCATGCGAAGGTATGTTATTACACAACTTTGGAGTGTCTACTGGCCCTGGCAATACTGGTCATCTAATTATAAATGCTGCAGACAACGGCAGACGAATGCGTCGACAACAACATTTGCCCTAGCGCAACGACATCTACCCAGAGAACTCCTACAAGAGTTGCGTATGTCAGTCCCACCGCCTACGAAAGCTCCTCGAAAGAAACAGTCACGACACACGGAGGTGGATGAGGAGGAAGAAGTGACTTGAGGCCCGGCAGAATTCCGAGTTCCGTCAAATGATACATTGCGTATTTAAAACAAGGAGTCTACGACCATTCCTTGTTCATTCGTACCCTACGTGAGATATCCGAAGGTGGCTTCTTGACTACCATGTAAAACATTATCGACGTCGCTATAGCGAGTCCGTACCTACGGTACGATTGTTAGTATAGTAGTCGAGGGTAGGAATAGGGACAAGGGAGAGGGTTGAGGCATACCATGTGAAAATGTACTGGGCATGGTTATTCCTTAAGTTGACCTCAGCCGGTCTACCAATGGGAATGCCCTTGGCTTCCATGTCTATAGCCTCTAGCAAAGTTGGCTCTGCAGAATAAATGCAACGTTAGCCAAAAGAATTATCTCAACCCAATCAACCAAGTGCTGTGCTCGTGATCCTGTCTCATCTGTTCAAGGAACATACCCATAGTCTGCTCAATCCACACAGCCTGACTCCCCGTCAGCGTAGCCATCTGCTTAACATCCGGAAAGTAGAACTCGTTCTTATCCGGCCTATTCTCCGGCGTGAACATATTCTTCTTCCACGGCTCCCTCAGCAAGCCCTCGACCTCGACCTCGCCGCTCGGCAGCGACTCCGGCCGGTCCCGCTGCAGGCGGTGCTTCTTGCTGATCCAGCCGCGGTTAACCAGCACCGTCGACCCCTCGCCTTCCCCCCCGCGCTCCAGTGGCGTCACTACCATGTACCCCTGCTCGCCGTCGCGCATCCGCGGCCCGACCAGCATCTCCCGCTCGTGCGCGTACCGCCCGCGCGCCCGCACCCGCCGGAAATCGAACTCGTGCACCGCGTCCGGGTCCACGCGCGGCGGCAACGGTAAGGGCGGCCGCACGATCCGGTCCTCGAATTTGGCGATCAGCTCTGTTTTCCACCCGAGACGCTGCACTTGCCATGTTCCGAGCAGGAACGCGGTTACGGGTATGATGGCGAGGATTATGAGGCCGGGCCCGTGGCGCCGCCCTGTGCGCACGAGCTCTGGTGGGTTGTCGAGGATCGAGGTGAAGGCTGGGTCTTCGGCGGGGGGACGCGCGGATCGTTTTGTGCTGTGCGTGAAGGTGCGACGGAGGGAAGGGGGTGAGGGTCGGAGGATGGTGCGGCTACATCGTGACGACTTCGTGGGGGGGTGGTAGCTGTGGGTGGTGCGGACTTGGGCCTCGAGGGCTTGCTCGACTCGGCGGGCGAGTGATTGGGGGGTTGTTAGCCACCTGCCTGGTGGCATTGTGTAGGGATTACCAGGTCTTTATATCGAGGTCAGCTAAGAAGAGCTATACACTGTGATATCAAGAACCATGATGACGTTCTTTTCTTCAGAATTAATGGAGCTATCCTATTGGTGAGGCTTTGCAGCTAATGGGGAGTGGGGCTGATCGGACAGGGGGCCCCGCTGCCTAAGGCTGGCGCTAGGTTGGGTACGGAAGTACCTGCAGTATGATGTCCAGTTAAGTTTCAACGCTTACATCGTGGCAGTTAACTTAGGTTCGTTCAGTTACCACGGACAAATAACATTTGAGCATCTCGACGCTCTTGCTCCAGAACATCATAAATAAATCTCGATTCTCATCCTGTCGAAATCTAAGGCTGGACACTTCACATTTATCGATATCTCTGCCTGGCCATCTGATTTTAACTTTTAAGAAATAATGAGCCCAGCTCTCAGCTTCATCTTCACGATCTAACAGCCTCGCTGTTCATTTGTTAACATCTACCCTATTTTGCGTATGCTGTGTTTCGGGCCGTAACAATGGAACAAAATGTGTTTTACGAAGGCAGCCTGGAGGATGCCATCTCCCTTGCTATTCAGGAGTCAAAGATGGTGCTTGCCTTTGTAGATGGTGAGAAAGCACTGAAATTACATGCATATTTGACAAGCAGCTAATATAAAGCTAGACGGCAGTGAAGAAAGTAAGCTATGGGAGACTGAGTTATGCACAAATGAATCGGTGAGTAATATTTATATGAATATATGAAATATAAGAAGTTGGAAAAGTTAACCTTAGCCAGCTACAATCACCACTTGAGCACTATGCTGTGTCCTTGCGACTTCTCAAGGATTCTAGAGAGGCTGGGTTCCTAGAAGCTCTATTTCCTATCCCGAAGAAACCCACCATTGTCATCATCCAGTGAGTATCAGCAGCTATCATATCGAGAATTATTACTTACTATATTATAGAAATGGTACGCTTAAGGAGTACATCCAGGCAGGAACGGCGAAAGAAGACCTCGTCCGCAGAATTGCAGCTATTCTTAACACTGCTGCGGCAGGTCAGAGTCAACAATCAGCTATGACTCAACCAACACCAGTAGCAGCTTCTTCTGGGCACGAGACAGATAACCTGTACGATGACAATGGTGATGATCAACCGCAGGTTGATAACTCCACTATACAAGCGCACAACTCTCAGCAGACCCAGGAATCGCAAGAAAGCCGCGTAGCCAAGGACTCCAGGGACAGAGAGAAAAAGAATCAACAGGAGACAGTCGAGAGTAATAGTAGTACTAATTCCGCGGAGCGGACTTATGCGCAGGAAGTTCGCCAACGCAAGGTACAAGCAGCCGAGGAGAGAAGGCGGATTCTGAAGCGTATCGAAGACGACAAGCAAGAGCGCAAGGAACGCGAGGCCCGGGAGAAGAAAGCGCGACAGCTATTGAACGGATCCCAAGAGGGAGAAAGTTCCAGCAGTCAGACCCAGCCTATACCCCTGTCTATAAGACAACCAGGCGGCTCACGCGGAGAGTATGCCAATATACAAGTTCGACTTTTTGACGGCTCGACAATCCGATCCCGCTTCAAGAGTGATGCCACGCTGAACGCCGAGGTACGCAAATGGATTGACGAGGATCGCACAGACGGAAATGCGCCGTATACTTTCCGCGTCGTCTTGTCACCTCTCCCTAATAAGGCTATCGAGCCTGCTGAGGAGATCCAGTCGCTTCTCACTCTCGGCCTCGCCCCATCCGCAACACTTGTCCTAGTCCCCGCCAAATACTCAATGGCTTACCCAAACTCAGGCGGGTTCATCTGGCGAAGCTTAGGCGTCGTCCTCAGCATATTTGGCGCTGGCTATGGCCTGTTGAGTGGGGTATTTGGTGGCATTACGGGGATGATATTCGGTCGGCGGCATGCTCAACAATCTGGAGACGAACAAATCCCACTTGGAGATTATCGAGGGTTGGGCTCAGCGAGAAATTCGCGAATCAGTGGGTTTCAGAATCCGGGGGATGCGCGAAGAGATACCCAGTTGTATAATGGCAACTCGGTAAGTCCATCCATACAAGTTGACTTATACCTGATCTGCTTGATTGCTAACGCTATATAGCTGAACTTCGAACCGCGAAGAGACGATGACGAGAACAACTAATTCAGGGGGCTGCAATTTTACGACAAGCTACTGTGTTATTAGTGATGATATTGATGTACACTACCTAGTAAATTGTGTACGTGTACGTATACCAAGGTTGACTACTAAGGACTTTGCCACGATTAGGAAGAGAAAATGATATGGGACTCTTTAATACCGCAAACTTCGATCTATACATTATTTCTCTGCGATATTAGAGAGTATATATCCGTCTATTGCAGTATACGAACCTGTCTATTCTTGTCATTTAACGACTTGTTTCATTTTGCTGTCTATTCCGCCATCTTTTAACAACCCGAAATAAAATAGGGGCATGGATTCAATAACCCATCACTGCGGAATTTTTATAGTAAACAACCTTGGAATAATCCGCACTTCGGCATATTTAAACCTTTGCAATTTGGTCATTACAAATATCAAGCAAGAACATCGATGATACACAAAGCAAGACCATGGGTACGGGTTACCGAAGAATCCAGAGTGAGGTATTTACTGGTGTGGACTGTCTGACATTACTGTACACTGCAAGACGCCCATTTTTAGTTTATGCCACGGAATGTGATAACACGCCGTAGACTATACGCCAGAGGAATGCGTATTTTCCTTCCACCCCTTCCTAAACCGAACCGATCCGTTCGTCGATCCATCTAATCATCATCGTCCCATCTCGGTCTTTACTCCCCCCTCCCCATCTCCGCATTGCAGCTCAACTCTGGGTAAATTTGGAGAACTTAGTACTGGCTGGCGGCGGCCTGGCAAGCCTTCAGCTGCTCGAGGTACCAGCCGCAGATTTGCATGTTGCCGCCCTGCTCGTCCATGCACTTGGTGAAGGACTGGGTCGCGCCCTGGCAGTTGTTGCCCCACTGGCTCTGCTGCTGCTGCTGGGCTTGCGCTTGGGGAGAGGCCTCGGCGGGCTCGGAACCGCCGCTGCCGCCGAAGAGGCCGCCGATGGCGTGGCCGATGGAGGAGCCTACTGCGACACCGCTGTTGACCGTTGTTAGTTTTTTTCCCTAAAAAGAGGGTAGCCTAGAATCCTTCTGGGTAGAAGAGGAATAGGATTGCGACATAAGGAAAGAGAAAGGAAAGACGTACGCAGCAGTGCTGGCCATCTGGCCGAAGAGACCGGGGCCCTGCGAGGCCTGGGGAGCGGTGGCCGTGGGCGCGGGACCATGCTGTTGATGCGCGGGGGCGTAGGTCGCTGCCGGTCGGGTCTGCTGGGGAGCAGGCGCCCTCGAAGGAACGGTGGGACGAGAGGGAGCAGGTCTGGCGGCGGAGCGGTTGCGAGGCATTTTGATTTTCGATGTTTTCGTTAAAATTAGATGGTAGTTTCGTTTGCTGTCGATAGGGCGGGAAAAAAAGAGCGTCGGAAAAAGTTGACAAATTTCGGCTTGGCTTATTATAGTAACTAGAAAGTTGAGAGTGGAAAGCGACGGAAAGGTAACTTCGGATTTAAAGAAAATTGCTGCAAGGTCGAGGGCGGCAACTGCAGAAGCTAGCACTGTAGCTGTGGCGGTGGCCAATCAGGCAGCGTCAATCGGTCATCGGTCACTTGCAGTTCGGCATAGGGTTCTTTCCCCAGACCCGACGAATTGGCCTATCATTGTATCCGTGCGTTATGTAATCATGCATGTATGCGTACAACGAATTAACATCTACGGATCCATTCAAATGTTGAAGCTTAGTGAGCTCAGAACATACGATACCTAGAGAAATATTCAAGGATCGAACACCTTCGTATGAAATTCATGAGAAGAGAATAAGGGCAGTATTATAAGAGATTCTAGGAACTGTGAGGTCAGGGGTTTCAAAGCCAAAATGAAAACCCTCACCCCTCGTCTAAGCTCTATATCGAGCAAATGTAGCCTCATCCAACGGACCCATCACGTGCAGCAAATACCCCTGGCAGCAGCAACACTCTCACCACACATCACCGCGGGCACCAGTAGTAGCAATGGAACCAACAGACCCTTCTCAGTCCTCAACCGCCCGCCGCCAAACTACCCAGGCCACGTACCCCTCACACGGCTCGAGCGCGCCGCCCTCGCCGTCGGGTCCGGCATCGTATCCTTCTTCGACCCATACCGGCACGACATGATCGCCGCGCTCGGCGAAGCCACCGCCTCGCCATACTTCATCCAGCGCCTGCACCGGGCCATGCTGTCCTCCGCAACCGGGCGCCGGATCCTGCGGGACCGGCCGCGCATAACCTCTTCGTCGCTCAACCTGCCCCGCCTGCGCGCGTTGGCGCCGAACACGGTGGGCGGCACGTACGTGGCGTGGCTGGACCGCGAGGGCGTGTCGCCGGACACGCGGGACGCGGTGCGGTACGTCGACGACGCGGAGTGCGCGTACGTGATGCAGCGGTACCGCGAGTCGCACGACTTCTACCACGCGCTGACGGGGCTGCCCATCGTGCGCGAAGGCGAGGTCGCGCTCAAGGCCTTCGAGTTCGCGAACACGGTCTTGCCGATGACAGGGCTGTCTTTGCTCGCTATCGCGACCTTGAAGCCGGCTGAGCGCGCGCGCTTCTGGAGCATCTACGGGCCCTGGGCGGTGAGGAATGGGTTGAGGTGCGATGAGGTGATTAATGTGTACTGGGAGGAGGAGATGGAGACGGATGTGGATGAGCTGAGGACCAGGTTGGGCATTGAGAGACCGCCGGACCTGAGGGATATTAGGAAGAGGGAGAGGGCGGAGAAGAAGAGGTTGAAGGAGGCGGCGTAGGCGCAGGCTGTTGCTAGTTAGGGGGTTTTTGACTATGGAACCTCAGATGAAATATGGATATGACGGATGAAGCAAAAATAATCGTGTCATTAGGAGTTGTACACTATTGTACCGTGACCACATGGAGGAAGTACTCCTCCTGTTTTTCCTATAAACGCCAATGCCATGCCGCCCAATCGTGCCGCGCTTATTCGCCCTGATATCATCATCACTTCTTATTCGCCTTTGCCCCCTTGCCCTACAAATCCAACAGGTCGTCGTCCTCGTCGTCCCAGGCCTTGCGCCTCGCGACCACAATCTTCTCTTCCTCCTTGTTATCCGCGACTGCGTTGAGAAGCTCTTTGAGCTGAGCCTCGGTTACTTTCTGACGTAGCTGGCCTGTTCGCGCGAGCATGATGAGCCGGTTCTCTACATCGTTCGCGCGCTCCTCTTTGACGAGTCGGATGCGACCAAGGCGATCGGCAGCTTCCGGGTGTAGGATCTGGTTTAAGATGGACTGGCGTGCTTCGGCTTCTTGTCTATTCGATGTATTTCGTTAGGAGAAGCTCTTCATCTAGTGACAAGGTAGGTGCTCACTGCTTCTGCTGCTCTGCCTGATTTGCTCCCTGGCTGGCCCCCGGATTGCTTGCCCCGCCACCCTGCGCCTTGAGCTGTTCTAGTCGCGCTTTGCGAATCTGAAAGTTGGGTGTTAGTTCTTGATCCAAAGGACTAATTATCGATAGAGAATGTACCTGTTCTAATTCTGCGTCTGCCATTTTGTCGTCCTGCTATATCTTTTACGCGTATGTACCTGTTGGTGAGTTGGGCGAAGAGAGCAGTATAAGTTAGTGGGGTATTCTGGAAAACGATGGTGGGGTGACCTGGCTGAGGCTCTATCGATATCAGAGACGTCATATAGCTTTGTTGCATAATGAGATATAGTTATTGTTATAGCAATCTTATTCATCTATCATTACTAACCTATAAACCAACTACGAACCCCTCGACCATAATCAGTATTTGTAACTTTAATAGCTATCCGATAGATGAAGAAGAACTCGGAACTCTCACACATATCAGGATAATTTCTAGATATAATTCTAAGCAAACAGTTCATCATAAGATCTTATAGGAGTGAATGGAGAAAAACATCTTCTCATTGACGATTCTAACGATGGCTAATTCACCCCACCAGTCCAATGCGTTTTATGTGTACACTGTATATACAGTACCGACGAGGTTTAGAAGTCGATCTCTTTGTCTAGGATCGGATCATCCCTAGGCTGGCCACCCCCAATCTTATCCAAATCTTGGACGAAGGGTTGTAGACCTAATGGAATGTCCATTTGGAGCTCCCTATATCTGCCTGCTTGTCGCCCTTTCACCAAGGATATCACCTGACTATTCAAAGTGTGCCTAATTCCAAGCTCCCGGGCCCGTCGAACGAAGTATCCGTTGGTTACGTCTATAGGAGGCATCTTTGCCTTGCGGATCAATGAAATCCACTGGCTGTATTCGGACCTCTGCAACTCCAGCTTTCTTCTAAGCTTCTTCGGGAACGACTCTGAAGTGAAGAAGTCAAGTATATCAAGATGCTCGCGTAACTCAGGAAGTGACGCGACGATGTGTATCGTCTCTTCCAGCAACCTGTCCCAAAATTCCATGATATGTTTAGTAGTCCTTATTTGGTCGAATCTGCAACCTAAAATAACGGATATCGTGTCGGCAAGGGACATAAAGATCATTCCAGGTAGTTTTTGTCGCAGGAAAACCTCCCAGACCAGAGGGACCACGGCCAAATCACCGGACTTGGAGAGGAGTTTTATCATATGATCCCTGTGTTGACGTCCAAGTCCTTCGGAAGTTCTTCTGTCCAGATCTACGTCTTCATCGTCTCTAGGAACGGAGTGGAGTAGGAACTTTCCAGGGATGTGTTTCAGGGAATATTGGTACGAAGAGACCCTCTCAAATCTATGGTCGCTATGGCAGAGGATATAATTTGGCCTCGAAGCTGGATCCTTAAAGATTGTCTCGTTCAATTCCTCCATCATCCCCAGTCCTGGTGTGGCTAGGCAGATTGTCGTTCGGCGGTCGATTGAATGAGTAAGGGCAGCCAGACTAGGGATAACCGCCCCTGTGAGGGTACTAACGATGATATTGTGTAAGATAGGCGGGCGTGTCCACCTCTGAGCGAACTGACGACCGACATATTCGGGGCATGGGACGGCTTGGGTTGATAAAGGGACTCCTTTGTAATTATACATCGTAATGGCCTGACCCTCTTCTCTCCACATTTTCATGGAGCGTATATTATGAGTGAGTAGCTGGACGGGTGGCAGTTTGGGGACGCTAGAAAGAGCTTGAGCGGCAAATCGGGCATTTGCATCAAAACCGATGATGTGAATCTTATTGTAGAGTTTGACTCGTGGTATGGGTCTGACTGTTTCGGCTTCGACGTCAACATTTAGTTCTGCTTTTGCCTCTGCCACTGCCTCTGCCTCTGCCCCCGCTTCTGTTTCTGCTTCTGCTTCTGCTTCTGCTTCTGCTTCTGCAGCTAACTGAGAGGCAGATTCGGGTACTGGCACAGTGGTCCCAACACGCCGCACGATAATATCGGAAGTTGGTGGGGGTGGTGGTTTATAGAAGAAGTTATCGAGTGGCATAGTATTCGGATCTCTCGAATTTTGACCTGGCAAAGTCGGGGGGTAATAGATCGGAGGGTCGAGGTGGAAACCATCGCCTCGCGGTTGTGCACCTAATCCCCCAGTAGCAACGGCAGACAGGTGCTTGGCGGCCCCCCGGCCCACAAAGAGGTTATCGCGAATCCATGTCGAGGCTCTGTTGGGTATTCGCGCTGGAGCCCGCGAAAGCGGCCGGCGAAAAAGATATGAATACAGGGTGGAAGCTTTTGTGGTTGACCTTTATTTTATTTCATGTCATTTGCCCGACGGAAGTTGGAGTCGCGCGACGTAGGAACGACGAGTCGAACGTCAAAATTCTCGTAGCCGATTTTTCACCATTTGAGGGAAATAGAAAATTCTGAAGATTCTAAGGAGTTAGACCAGTCAGAATATAATATTTAATCCGACATGGCAATATCGAATACCTCAGAAAGAAATAACCCGGACGATTAAGGTCATGGACTCGATACGTTGGTGTGTAACTACGGCAAGTTGGTGGCCTTTCAGTTGATTCCATGATGTCGACATTAATTTTTTTTTCCACTTGAGTCGGGTCAAGGATTAGCGCTAAACCGATCAGAATTGTGAGAGCCGTAATTGGCCGAGCCAGGACCCATAGCCCAACCCACAGTTATGGTAAGCGCTATAATCTTTATCCGAACTCTAATTTTGCCCTGAATCACCGCCATAATTCTTGCATCGCGATTTAGCTTTCGGGTTTGTTTATAAGACAGACTTTGTTCAACTTTCAACTTCAACCTTCCCAACTATTGACGATCGCTTCACGATACACTGAACTATCTGAAGGTTTCGCCTTTAGAGGTTTGTATACCGTGCATCATGGATCCTCCGAATATCTCGCCGCAATTGGATCGGCTTGACGATGAAATTGATAACCTCGAGGAGGCCTTACAGCCCATCCTTGGTAACATCTCGGATGTGGCCAACAAGCTACCTTTATTAGACAAGGCGAAGCTGTTTGTACTCGTGACGTATTCTATTGAATCTATGTTGTTCTGTAAGTACAGCTTATGAAGCGCTGAATCCTCGCGAACTATTTTTTATCTAACTATATATCAAGCCTCCCTTCGCCTCAACGGTGTGAATGCGAAGGAACACCCCGTTTTTAAGGAACTTACTCGCGTGCGACAGTACTTCGACAAGATCAAGAATGCTGAAAACCCACCACAAAAGCTCGAGAGACCTGACCAGACTCTGAATAAGGAAGCCGCTATCCGATTCATCAAGGCTGATTTGGCCGAGAACAAGGACAAGCTAGTAAATACCAAGCTATCCGAGATGATTGCCAAGGAGCGCGCCAAAGCTGCTCTCAAGGCCGCTCAGCTCGGTAGTAAACGAAAGGCCGAAGAACCTGCTTCCTCCGACCAAGCGAGTGCCGCAACCAATACTGAGGGGACCGACTTAGAAGCTTCGCAGAAGAAGAAAAGAAAGGAAAAGAAAGAAGGCAAGAAGCATAAGGATAAGAAGAATAAAAAGGCTTCAACCTGAGATCTGAGAATCGTGGCCCTTGCCATTACCTATTCCAGGTCGGAACTATTCCGGAACAGTGATACGTTTCTGGTACCACCGTAGGAAATTACCTTCGTAGGTGTTTCGCAACTCCCACCAGTGTCTTTGGAACGTATAGAGGTCTAACACGGCGTTCTAGAGGCCCCAGTACGACTGCCATATTTTACCCCTTAGTGCGTAAGCTCTGCGTGTAGGGAGACCATCAGTTCTCCTCAGAGCATCGGAGCTTGGTTTACGGCATCGACAGAGTTAAGGAGATTATTACTCATACTCATTGATGCTAAGCTTGGTTGGTCTGATTGGTCACTACACGGCCATATCGGTAATCACTGGCTATATCTAAGCTAGATATGTCTAATACTGGCTTCACTACTCCTGAACTTTAGGTAGACGTGGGTCTACGGACATACCCACAAACATCATGAGTTGTCATCAAAATTGAATATCATACCTACCACTTTCGCAAGAACTCAAATCACAAGCGTAAAAGTTTACAAGAACTAATGCTGAATCAAGTAGGATCCAAGGTAAGAGATAGTAATGTGAAGATTGTGATATCAGAATTTTACTTTATTCTAAACTATGTCTCTTTCGTCGTAGTACTCATAATACTCCACTTGGCAAGCTCTCCATCCTACGGTTACATGGACTATTGACGTTATAGTTCAGTCGTTCTAGCAATTATTCCAGTGCTAAAAGAGTTTTCCCAGATAATTTGCCATGTGGTCTCAGAGATATGACAGTACCTCAATTTTGAAATGTTATACTTACCATTAACCAATCCACAACTTGAATTCGGCTAGATTTGACTGTTTTCATTTCGATTAAAAATAAAGTGATCCAGTGATCTTGGTGCATTGAATGAAACTAAAACTGTTTGATGTAGGCACTCAACGTTCACACCCAAAGTCACTACTAGGTACACGGCTTGGGAATAGGGGCAAAGTAAGCTTACTAAGAAAATCGAAAAGCAGGAGCGCTGAAAACCACTAGAGTATATAAATCAATATAGTTACACCACCTTTCACGTACGACCATAGGAGCTAGAAACCTCGGGATCCCGTCCGCTCTCCCCTTAGATAAGCTGGCTACTGCCGAATCAGTAGTTGGGTCGGTGACGACCAGCGAATCCTCGGTGTTGTACGTTTTATTTTTGCCAGTTGATTCATTTCTTGGTTACTTGTATATCAGTTTTGGGTTTTGGCTGATCCAAACGAAGTGCTGTTGAGAAGAGAAGACTTCACATGGGATAGCAGACTGAGCCTCAGATGAGCAAACCACGGCAACTCGGAGTGGTACCACACTTGCTGAAACTCCAATGAGCATAGAATCTGGCTCTCGCGGGTATGAATTATTCATGTCATGTTACAGTCCCATATCGTTTTCCATAAGCGTGAACGTGGGAGATATTGACGTAGCGCTCTAGAACGAGCTACTCAAAAATGGTGCCGAAGTTAACACATTCCCCGTCGATTGAATGGTTAGCTGTCATAACTGATAATGATATTTGACGTCGTTCCTATTTGTGTAAGTGCGACTGAGGCTAACTCGGCTGGTTACTGGCCATGTCCCCTAGATATTGGCCGATATGTGCATATGTCAATAAAGCTTGGCTGTTTAATATCCGACCTCATAAACGTGGTCCTCATCTCTTCGCCACCAACGACAACAGCATACAAGACAGGTGGATTTATGTCCGGCCAATCAGTGCTTCGAGCGCTTGAAACCTCGCGGCCAAGATGCTACGGTAATCTGGAGGTTGTATGGTAGTTTACCATTTGGTAGATAGGAGAGTAGCATCGTATTGGGACGGCATAGGGCAGTATGCATGTCACAGTCGTGTAATGTGGAGGGTCGTTTTTCAATTAGGTATCTTGTTTCCTACCTATCCTTTCGTTGGGTAACAAATAGTACCTCCCTGTTCTTCCAGTCGTGTGATCTAAAGGATTTTGATGAGTAGAAGTAAAAAGGCGGTCTGTTTTTTAAACAAAATCTATGTCATGTATGGAATGTCTGGTATGGTAAGCAATATCAGAGTGAGTCGGAATTGATTTTCCAGGTCATGTAGGGAGGATAGATCCACATAAGTGCGGGGAACGTAATTGAATGTCTCTTCAACTACAGCAAGAGGATTCTGATAACAAATCATCCGCTCACGGGTTTCTTTGGCGAGTGTATGTGGACGAGTGGATGGTGGGTGATGGATATGGTGGCAAGTGATGAAGTTTGATGAGCTAATTTGATGAATAGATGAATATTCATCGAGCAGAGGTAATATTCTTATGAAGCTTTCTACCGAATTTCTACCGCAGCCTCTTATGTAATTGATTTCAGCCGTTGCACAAGTTCCGGAATCACCCTTTACTTTCCCATCACTTTCTTCGACACCACGAGATCTCCATCAGCCTCATCTATCTTCTATCAAAATACAAATTTACACCAAGAATATGCAACAGGGTTATCTATACATAAGCAGTTAGCTGATCGGCCGGGAACGCCGAGAATCCAATCATGGACCACGCCCGCGCAGACTGAGCGACCAGGGACGAAGATCGCCGAACATAGGTATCTTTCCCCTGAAAGTCGGATTCATATTTGAAACTTCTGTCTTGTTATAGCGAAGTCTCTTCCTATGGGCTCTATTTACATGATATTTCAGCGACTGCAATCCAATTCTCACGGGACTTGGTATACCTCTTTTTCTTCTATCAGGTACTTAATATCTCCGCCACTACCTACTGCCAATGTTCTCGTTAGGTACCCGAGATTTCGGGCCTGACAAGGTCGTATCTCGGTATGCGGGTTACACTGTCCGAACAAGCATCGCCTGTTGCTTCCCGTTCAAGCCTTGTCCGCTTTGCAGAACGGCATCGAATCAGGTCAAGGTTTGTACCTGAACAACACAATTTCACATTTCGTCCCGACATAGAGACACCCGTGGTAGCCTTTGCATTACGCGTACTAACTTTTATGCTGCAAACAAATCCTTCAACAGAGTTAGAGAGGAGGAGACCAGTATCTCCCCGTATTCTGCATAGCTGCAGTCTACTCCCTTAGAAATCCAGCCGGGAAGAAGTCCGTAGCAGGCGCGTGGACTGCATGATGAATGGGTTCCAGCTTATTCCTTTTCCCTTATATTGGCCTGCGGCCCGATTGTTACCTGACTCTGACCGACTTTCGATGCCTTCTGCCCGGGTCATCCGTTTGTGAGACCTGTCACAGTTGCATCTGCCCGTCTCCCGCATCGGAGGTGGTATACAACCTCTACGTATGGTGATGTCAACTATACTCGTCAAAACACTGCAATGCTGCACCCGAAAAAGCGGACCAAGTCAGCTCAGTACAGTGCATTTTTATACCCAGATTGTACTCCTATCATCAAAGCTACCTATTGAGCTTCTTAGCCGGTGGTAAGCGTGGCGCTGAGGTATGCAGAGGGTTGCAATTGGTGAGCTGCGAGCGAGATATTTACATCCATAACATGGGCCAAGACGGTTCTATCTGCCACCGGTCATACCTGAAGATCTCAGCATTATTCGGGTCGAGGCTCAGGGACTCATGCACAATAGAAGAATATCTTTTGCCTGCTTATTGTTTTTCCCCTATAATAACACTTCGTGGCCTCGGAAAATCCCCTCATAATCTTGGCAAACAGTTTTGCTATTCTAATTATGAGACGCGGGCTTCGCGAATCGGAAGAAATCAACAGCCCCTGGTATTTGTCTTACTATGTCCTTCTACCAAATGGCATCATAGCAAGTGCACACTGGACATTCTTTATCAGTCATGCGTACAGAAAATACACCGTTAGATACTCGGGGTAACAAAACCCCACTCTCGCTAATCAGGATGCATTAATCTCCATGTCAACGTTCTAGATTTAAGGGGTTATCGTCCAATATGATTCTTGCAGGACCCATCAAGCTTCGCTCGAGAATCAATACTACTAGCTACTATACCGGAGTCTCATGGACTAGGGAATCCCTATTTAGGACAAATACCTAAGAGCTGCCCACGATTTCTGCAGGGTTCTTGATGTGGCCAGCCGAATAAAAAGTCTGGGGTATGCACCCAAGTCCCGGGATGGTAGCATGTCGTCCACGTTACTCAGGACAACACGCGATCGAAATCAGGCTGAATCAGAATTGATATTATCAGTTCGATGTGGTTTGACGTCTTGGTTACACCGCAGCAGTGACTATGACGACTTCAATACAGAATTTCAGCTGCGATGAGCGCAATATCAGTCGAGAACATGTCTGGAAGCTAGTTGGCGATTTTCTGCCGCTGTTTCTTGCTCCTCGGCCGGCTTATGTTAACGTGAACGTGTTGTCCTCTTGCCATAGGCTGTGCGTTCGCTCTATCGTCGTCGTGTCTGGTAATGTGTAGCTCTGACACGCAGCAAGAGGGAGGTTGCTTACCTTGTTTTTTAATCTCTAGGTACGTATTCTTCCCTGTATATGCGGTAGGGAGAGTGGAAGAGTGGCTATCTTAAGGATCCTATTTAGATGGACCAAATCCAAAGACCGCCGAATTTGAGCCATTTCCTGGCAGCTGAAGCAACATAGTTCGTCGAACTTCCGCATGACCTCTTTTCATCTCGAGCCGTGCATACGGACCAACCGTTTGGCTTCGTAAGCTAGGTAGGCTAAGTGCGAGATGTATGTAGCACCAATCACTTTAGGGATACGCGAAGCCCAGAGTCAGCCTCCTGTGAGGCTTGGGACCACATCCGCACTTGGTCATCAATAGACGAGCCGATGAAGTTGACGTATTTCTCATTCGTTGGAAGTATCTTGTATACCGAAATTTAGAGCCAAGGATCTGCATTTCAGGATCGCATATACCGGTCAATATACATACTGTAGCCTCTCCTGTACTTAGTAAGCTTGGGGGAGATTTAAGGACCACTTACGTGGATATTTGGCCTCTCCCGTCCCAAGCAACACATACCAGATGGCGTACGCCTTGGTTAGGTTGGACGTTGATTATCTTGGTAAACACCGACTACTACGCAGTTGTTATATGGAATCAGGCAGTCTATTTTACTTGATTACCTTACTGAGAGATTCACTGATATCATAGGCCTCGTTATTACATCTACGTTACCGTCTTTGGGTGACTCTGATCGGTGAGTGATGAAAAACGTCGTTAAATCCGATAGTTTTAACTTCAGCATCTGATCTAGTCTGTCAGTTATATCTTGCATATATGTGCCTTCAGAATTCGAAACAGCCCCGAATGTGTCTACCCGAAGCATATTCAAGGGCTAGGGTTTAGAAATCTGACGAGGCTTATAATACATGGGATGTGTGGTGTATACGATACAGGGGTCACACGCCGGTGAATGTAGTATCCACTTCGCTTCGCGATTCATAATTGCATCGCTAAATTATTGTTTTTTCTAACCCCTCATTTGCTTCGAGTAAAATCGATTAGCGGTACGGTATTGACTTGCCCCTCACATTAAAATATCCACCTATTTTCTTGATTCGTGAATATATACGGAGACTTTCTTCCCTTTTGCTATGGACCAAATCAAATTTCCAATAACAATGGCGTCGAATATCTATCTAGGCGCTGTCATTGCTACTTATACTTTTATCATGTACAGTACGTCTTACGCTGCCTTGACTCGTACTACAGATTAGCGTCAGTTTCTCTTACCGGCGATCTCCTAACTTTGAGCCTCAGCTCCCTTCAATATGATGAGACAAACTCATCACGCATAGGAGAATTACTGTATGCTACATTCATCGTCGAATGGTCGCGTGCTGTACGCACGGGAAGAAAAGTTACAATGATAAGACAGTATTCTCGGGACAATTTACACCGTCTCCCATGATATCCAAACTTGGAATGCTTGAGCCAAACACGGCAAGAAAATATTTTCTTCATCAACTAGGGACGACGAATTATACTCAACTACAATGCGTGTATATGCAGCCGTATTGTACCTACATGTAGTTCGTGACGAACTTGGAATGGCTGCATTGCCCTGGCAATGTCTGGCGGCATGAACCCCACGGATCACGGATGTGTTGCCAGGACCAGCCTTCTTCGGTTTGGATTTTCTTTTCGTTTTACTTCATCGACTTCCACCATTTCCAATGCCTCTTCCACTACCCCTGACATCTTCCCGTTGAGACTATACCGGTCCCTTTTGTTCCTCTTCTCCTTCTCACGCTAAATAGTAACACCAGCAATGCTCTCCCACTCCTCCCACACCCTCGGCCCCCCTTGTTTTTACCTCGGAGTTACTCCTCATTCGTTGCTCTGCGGTAGCGCAGAAAGCGATTGGGATCGAACGACGACGTACCTACTGGTGGGCCTTTTTCCTTACCCATTACAAGCTGCCAACTTTGCCAGAGCCAGGGATAAACATGGTGCGGCGTAACATGGACTTACAACCAGCTTCCAATCGTGGGACTAACTCCCACATGGCCAGCCGTCCCGGTATTACATTTACGTAGGTCATTTATGTCTCTTTAAAACGTCCTCTTCGGCATACACCGCGTGTATGTCTGTCATGGCTGTATACCTTCCTCTCCCGAAATTCCCTACTAGTAGTGACTAGCACTATAGTTCCCCATTATTCCTTACCTCCTCACCTGTCTCCCCCCTTCTCTGCACGCAATCGAAGTGCTACCATTTCTCAGAAGCATTTGCTTCCGATCCCTCTGCCTCGTGACTGATTGGATCCCTGATCGGCTCCGGTGCCTTAGTCTAGCCAAGGAGCCACACGCCTCTCGGTTTGACATGCTTGTGTAGGCTCACCGAGTTTAGACAAGGGCATAAATGCCTCCCACGACAGCCGACAGAGCTAGTCACTTCGTTGTTAACGAATCCCGTTACGTCTAGTTGTTGCTCAGCCGTGGTCGGGGACGTATAAACCGACTGCTGCTAAAGGTTTATTATTAAACCTAGCCGACCTTATGGGATTTTTGGAACTTCCCTCAAGCTTAGCTGCCAAGTTTCTCTTGGACTAAGACGAATTTACTAACACGCCTAATCCGGCCTATTCTCTGTTCGCCTAATGCCCCTACTATAAATATATACAAGGAAATATTATTCCCCGCCCGCTAAGCTCACCCTCGGCTTTCCCTTTTCGGACCACCTAAGAGTTTCCAGGCGCCTGTCGGTCAGTTCGATTGCTTGAAGGGTTATTCGTCTGACGGTCTTGGCCTAAACTAAGACCTAGAAGAGCTCTGCCTTGGGCCGGGTAGGAAACCTTCTTTCACCTCCCGCCCCGAAGGGAACTGGGTAGGCCGTGTACGTGGAACCTAGCTTGGCCGTTAGGGGTTTCGTTGTTGTAACTCTAGAGTTCTTAACTTTGGTTCGGGTTTCGTCTACCCCTTCCTAGTTCGACTGTTGATACAACTGCATACAATATATGCATCCTAATACATACACAATTCAACATTCTTACTATAAAGTCGGTGCCCATGTCGCTAAAACACTTTGCTGGGCGTCTCCCTTGCGTCTGGAGACGCAGGTATTCTACCTCGCCATCATTAAAGAAGCCCGTTACTGATAATGGGCCGGCTACTGGACGAGCGTGGTCTAACCCGGCAACCCATAATCCGAGATGGACGGGCCGCTCCGTGTTCACCCTGTCGGCCACTGCCGGTTTGTTGGGGTTTGGCCTTGCTACGGCGTCGCTTCAAGGCCCCCCACAGCGCGCTGTCACACTCCTTGACAGCAAGATGCCGACTCCTCAGTACGCATCCTTAGATGAAATGGAAGATGTAAGCATATACTCTTTACCACGATATAGAAAAAGGGGGGACTTTCACTTGGATAGAAAATGTTGATCCATGTACCTTACTAAATCTGTTGCCAGGCGCTGAATGAAATTCGTCGCGAGATCTCCAAAAAGGGCGGGGGGGACATTATCAGTACAGATCCAGAAGACCTTCTTGCTCATGGATATTCCGAATGGTCGACGGTAAACCCTGATGGGTTGCCAGTTGCCGTCGTGTATCCGCGTTCAACAGAACAAGTATCAACCATCGCTCGTGTCTGTCACAAATATCGTGTACCTATTATCCCCTATTCCGGAGGATCGAGTTTAGAAGGAAACTTCTCGGCCCCCTATGGCGGCATCAGCGTTGACTTCGCGTATATGGACCAAATCATCCAGTTCAACAAGGATGACATGGATATCGTTGTTCAGCCGAGCATCGGTTGGCAGGATCTTAACGAAAATCTGAGCAGAATGGGGAGTGGTCTCTTCTTCCCCATAGACCCTGGTAAGTAAGCATTATGACCCCCGTCGCGCATTAGAAGATACCACAAGACAACTACCTTTTGAATGAAAATCTTTTTTTGTTGTTCATATTTGATCTCTAAGAGAGAGGAGTAGACTGACTCATACACCAAATTATAGGCCCAAGCGCCAAGATCGGTGGCATGATTGGTACCAATTGTTCTGGCACGAATGCAGTTAGATACGGAACAATGAAAGACTGGATTATCAACTTAACCGTCGTTTTGGCAGACGGTACAGTTATTAAGACGCGGAGACGCCCGAGGAAGAGTTCAGCGGGTTATAACCTCAACGGCATATTTGTGGGCTCCGAGGGAACTCTAGGCCTAGTCACCGAGGGTAACGTAATGTCCTTATAAATTCAGCAACTGTGATTTCTAACAGAAAATTAGCCACTCTCAAACTTGCTGTTGTTCCAGAGGAGTTTTCTGTCGCCGTGGTAACGTTCCCTACAATTCGCGATGCGGCCTCAGCCGCCGCCGAGGTCATGCAGACAGGAATTCCCGTCGCAGCCATGGAAATCATGGACGAAGTTCAGATGAAGGTCGTCAACATAGGAGGAGCGACCGCGCCGCGTGTATGGAAAGAAATGCCTACGCTCTTTTTCAAATTCTCGGGGACCAAGGCGGGCGTAAAGGAGAACATCAGCCGCGTCCAAGCCATCGCCAAAAACAATAAGGGCAGCAATTTCGAATTTGCTAAGGATGCCAAGGAGCAGAAACTCTTATGGTCGGCGAGGAAAGAGTCTTTGTGGTCGATGTTGGCTCTGAGGAAAAATAACGAGGAAGTTTGTAAGTTCAATATCCCCTTTCTAACCCCCACCCCTTGAATGCGCCAAGCTTTACGGATAAGCAGATCACCTACCTGCCTTATCTCTTTGGTTGGCATAAGACTACAGTCTCCACAAAACCGGTAACTGTACATCGACGATGGTGCAGGCCCTCAAAGCCTGTGAGCGTTGAGGCTTTCACAGTGATCTTCGGAGGCGTCTAACCAACTAGAAGTGAGATTTTGTGGAACTCAGGGGTTGCTGGAAGTACAGTTACTAATCGTAGTGGAGCTGTAGTCTTATGCCAACCAAAGAGATAGTATCCTCAGTGTTTTAGATTCTAACATAATAACTTCTGCTCTAGGGTCAACTGATGTCGCCGTCCCATTTAGCAGACTGGCTGATATCATAGAGGTCAGCAAGAAAGAGATGGACGACCTGGGACTATTCGCCAGCATCTTAGGCCACATAGGAGACGGCAACTTCCACGAGAGCATCATGTACAATCGGAAAGATAAAGATGAGCTCGAAAAAGTTGAGACATGCGTCAAGAACATGGTCAAGCGGGCGCTAGAGATGGAGGGGACATGCACGGGAGAGCACTCCATTGGCTGGGGCAAAAAGGAGTCGCTTCTATGGGAAGTCGGCCCGGACACTCTGGCTGTCATGAAGCAGATTAAATCAGCCCTAGATCCCCTGTGGATCATGAACCCTGGCAAGATCATGGACATCCCATGAGTTTCTCGCTTCTTGTCGGCCTCCACCTCCACTGCCCGGCGCTTTCCGTCTAGCTCCACCAGCATCACATAACTAACGAAGCCATGAATTCACTCAATTAGAAGATTGCACTTGATTCTACTGCTACGAAGCAAGGAGTTTTACTGCGAACAGGAAACAGTCCCGCACCTACGGCGCATGAATGGAAGAACAAAATTTGGAAAGGATTCATGAGTTAGCATATGATTTTTTGCATGCGGGTTATTTAAAAAAGCAAATACTTTTCTACTTGTTGGATAACGGTAGATAGACTTCTAGATGCGCCATAATAGTACCGATGAAGCCATTCCAAACCTCGTTGGGAAAATTGGTCCGTCGGTAAGAATTTTGATGCTTCAGTGTCTCCTGAACTGTGTTCAGCTTCTGGTCGCTGGTTGGATTTTGTAGCAACCTTAAGTAGCTATAGATTTTATATAAATGTATATGTCTACTAAATATGCGGTTGTTAGCTTTATTGCCATTCCTTATGGCTTAGCATGCGACTTTAATGAGGCTCCTCATAGACGACGGGATTTCCTTACATGCAAACGTAAAGTAAGCGGTCGACTTTCTACTGTGTGGTAATTCCAATTAAATCATTCCAATACTTGATGAATAAAACGTCTATTATGAGATTGGGAATATACCCAAGCCTATTTCTTGAGAACTTACGTTCGAATACGTACCTGACAAGCAAGTACGGTGGGTAGAAAAGATGGGAAAGATAGGGGTAAAAGTGGATCTACCACCTACTAGGAATGCCCTCAACGTGTACGGGCTCTGATATTTTCACGATCTCCAGGAATTACCTGTATCCTAGCACTCCTCACATGTTGTAATATAGGTACCTTTTCTACATTTATCACATTGACTCTATCTTTTACTAACAATCTGGCATTTCATCTTCTACAATCGGAACCGACTGGAGCGTTAGTTGTGTATGATATTAATGACCTTAATCAGGAAGATTTGCAATCCCACTTTCTATTATCTTTTCTTCAAGTTTTTCTAAGAACTTTGAAATTGCATATTTGCTTTTAATTGGGGAAACTAGAAGACTTCCTCATGGTCTATGCATCGTTTGCAATGCGCTTGAATGACCATGTAGAAACATGAGTGGTTTACTGGAGAAATACTATAGAGGTAGTTATGACAGGTTCTTTATGGGATTATGAAGAGCCATGGTGCTCACATCTTGAAGTTGTACTCACATTAGTATATATCTAGAGGTGATTTCCGATATTCAACAACATACAACCTCTAAGATTTCGCCAGAAGAGCCTAACTTGCACTAAAAAGATTTCCCTACGACTCCAGACATCATGCAATCCAAAAATTTGCCATTAATGCAGACTGTCTCATCTCAAGAGGTAATCCTCGTCATGACACTTACCAAAACACATATCAAGACATGACCGCATTTCTAACTGGGGCATCAAGGGTATTGAAGGGGGATGCCGGATGGATGAGACAACAATTCACCATACCCGCTATACATTCAAATTGTCGATGTAGCTTTGCTTATAGCTCGACAAAGACCGTACCAAGCTCTTATGCAAGCATCAAGGATGGTGAGCAAACATGCAGCAGTGTCTCGGGTGGCTGCATAAGACGTTATGGGGATAGTCAGAACATTACTTGCCACTCGTCAACCACCAACGTCTTTATACCTTGTTTATAAATGTTTCCTGTCGTTAAGGCCCAATATTGACTCTGGCGTACAAGAACAACTCGGAGCAGATACCTATTGAACTTTCTGGGTAGGTGCTTAACCCGTAGCTACCTATGTACCCAAAGCACCTACCCCGAAGTATCTTTGGACGGGACTGCTCCGTTCAGATTATCAGATGATTATTCAAGTGCCCCCCTAAATCACTTAATAACCTAATTGCCCGTACTGTTTACCTAATCGTTTACCTAACAGTTAAAGCTTAATTCTTCATTTCGGAGGTGAACAGGGCATTTGAATATCTTGGCGGTTCTTATTAAGAGCTTTCGACTTTCCACGTACATGTAAGTGCATTGTTTGTATTGACTCACCCAAGAACTCACAAAATTTCTCAAATGCAACTCTATATTACCACTGTCTATGAGCTACCTGGTAGTTCACAAACCTCATTATCTCAACCTATTCTCACTCTTTTCATAGGTACCTAGACGGTAATTCTTGTGCCTACCAGGCATTTTCCATTTTCTCCAAAACAACATCAAACCTTAGGCAAGTCTCCTTCCTACCATATTCCTTCTATGCTTTTACAGTGGCATATATGCTTCTTATGCTTTCATCCAGTACCCATAACTTCTACTCAGATTGTTTGTGCTATAACATACCATTTTACACTTTTAATCTTCGCCATCTTCCAGTAAAATCTGGCTCCACACAAGGACCAGAATTTGAATCATTCTTTTAGTACGAAGAGCTGACCTAGTTCTAGTTTACTAGCCTGACTAAATCCCAATATGGATCGCGGTAATGGTCAAGCTGATGGAAGTTCGCACCGGGAACGGCCAAGTATCTCGGAATTCCTCCAGAGTAGCATCGTCGTTCCGGAGAATGAAAATGGCGCACTATCCGTCGGCAGCGACCAACGACTTGCTAATGGTAACAACCCTCAGAAAGGCTTTCAACGTGAGTAGTCTGAAACGATAACCCATACTATATGTCCATCAACTACATGTAACTAATACTTCCACATAGGTCAGGAGGCATCTGAACCTGCTACTTCCTCATCTAACGCATCTCTATCTCCCGTAGCTGCTGCTGCAGGAGCCCCTACTTACCTTCGACAGTCAGGCCCTGGGCTATATAGGTCACATAGGAGACAGGGGTCACGTCGCAGCTCAAGCCCCACGCCGTACGCTGGGGCTCCGGGACATGGGAGTCATAGAAGACACCCGGCTAATTCAAACGCTAGCCGTAGACCTGGTTCACGTCGATCGTCTAATACCACCGGTATCAAACCTCAGTGGGCAGACTGGGAAAAGATCTGCCTTCGTATACACAATCTCCCTTCCACTACCACGACTCGTGACATATGGTCTGTTTTCAAGAATCATGGCGAGCTCGTCTCCATTGAGCTTTTTGAGAAAAAGAACACTGGAGAGCGGGAAGGAAGCGGGCGTATCCATTTTAGGCCACCCCCTATCAAGCAGTTCTGGCAAGACTTCATGATAGTCAACATTCGGGGCAAACCAGCCAAGATCAAGGTCGAGCTCCAAAAGGAACAGCCATCGCTCAAAGTCCAAGCGGCGAATGGCCATTCTTACCCTTACTTGATAAGCCTTAAGATGGATGCTTTGCAATTCGGCGTACTTGCTCAAGAGAATGAAATGATTCCTCTGAGAACAATTCAGAACACCAACAAGCGATTTCGCTTTTCTCTTGATGTTGATATCCAACACAAGAGACTTGAGATCGTATTTGCTTGCAAGATTCAAGATCCACGTCGCGAGAACCCCAGCATACAGCACCCTGATCCCATCGGAGATATAGAGATCACTCAAGAATACAAGGCGCAGATTCCATTTGCACATCTCAAGAGGATCATCTTCATCGACATAGACGAGAACACGTGGGCCCTGCTCATTCCATTACTAACGCCCCCCGCCTTCTACGTGAAGCATGATGTCGCCGGATCTCACTCGGATAGTAAGAGCATATGGACCATACGGGATGCATGGGATCGGACTGTCGATATCACTTATGACACATCATGGTTCAAGAACGACCCTGTTTCGCTACCCAGAACTAACCAGTTTATTGATATTGGAAGATGGACAATGTACCGACTCATCTTCCCGAGTTCCACCCTCTCAGACTGGGCTGTAATGAAGTCCGCGTTGCAGGATTTTAACATCAAGGTAGATTATAAGACATCGAAGGAATTTTCGACAGTTACGACGCAGGTCCCGAGTTTCTGGAGTAAACTTGAGCCACATAAACCGAGCATCTCGGGACCGAACTCTAACCTTTCTCTTCTTGCTGACACGGAAGACATCCATCTTCCTTACCAAGTTCGATATCAGCTTGAAGTGTGCATCTCTCAAGGATTCTTGAACGAGGTCGACATTACAACCGAATTTCTACAAAGATTAGCAGACCTCTCGAAAGACCATACTAAACGACGCGACAGGGCTAATGATCTTTTGATGTACATCTCACAGCCTCGCACCGGCAGCCGCCTCGAAGATAGAGACAAGCTTGATGAAAAGAGAATTTATGACCCCATGAAACTCTTCGAGGATAAAAGAGCGCTGAGTCACTATCCGGAAATCTCTCTTCCCGATAACACTCAATGGATGAGAAAAGTCGTGGTCACACCTACGACCATGTACCTCAGCACACCGGCGCCAGAGTCGATGAACCGTGTCTTGCGCCACTTTACCAAGTACCAAGATCGTTTCATCCGCGTTCAATTCACTGATGAAATCTCCAGAGGCCGCATCTTCCCGACTCCAGGCACTGCGCAGGACAATGCGTTGTTCAATAGAATACACCGAACTCTATCAAACGGTATCCGGATTGGCGGTCGTCATTTCCAATATCTCGCAGCTGGAAATTCACAATTCCGAGAGAACGGTGCCTACTTCTTCTGCCCGGACGACTTCCTAACCTGCGACAATATTCGAAATTGGATGGGCGATGTCACCCACATTCGGATCGTAGCCAAGTACGCCGCTAGACTTGGCCAGTGTTTTTCGACGACAAAACTACCCAGAACCTCTCCTATCGGCCAAACAATTGTGCATATCCCAGACATTGAGCATAATGGTTGGTGTTTCACTGATGGAGTTGGGAAGATTGCGCCTAGCCGCGCCAAATTCCTCATTCAAAATCTCAACACGAGCAATCTCGTCACTCACACTCCGGCTGTTTTTCAGTTTCGACTCGGAGGTAGCAAAGGAATCTTAACGCAGTGGCCGGATGTGCCCTTCAACGATGTCCACCTTCGACCTTCGCAAAACAAATTCAGTTGCAGCTCGAGGGGTCTCGAAATCATTAAGACATCCAGGTTCTCCGTTGCAGCATTGAACAGGCAGACTATTATGATATTGAGCTGCTTGGGCGTTCCAGACTTCGTATTCGAAGTTAGGATGAAGAAACAAATAGCAGACTATGAGAGTGCAATGGTAGACCCGCATGTTGCTATGCGGTTGCTCAGCAAATACGTCGATCAGAATGGGATTACCACAACAATAGCACAGATGATAGCAGACGGGTTCATGAAGACGAAGGAGCCATTTTTCATGACTATCTTAGAAGTCTGGCGTGCTTGGTCGATGAGATTACTTCGGGAGAAAGCCCGGATTGTGGTCGACCAAGGTGCCTTTGTCTTCGGTTGTGTAGATGAGACTCGTACACTGCGAGGCTATACGGAGCCAAAAGTAGAAGCCGAATCAACTGAACCTCGCAACAAAAAAGACCCCAGCACATTGGCGCAGATCTTTCTCCAGGTGCCAAAGACAGGCATTAGGCCGGGAGAGACGGCTGAATACACGGTGATCACCGGAATCTGCATGCTCGGACGAAACCCCTCTCTGCATCCTGGTGATATTAGAGTAGTAGAGGCGGTAGACGTTCCGGCTTTGAGACATCTTCGCGATGTTGTCGTATTTCCTGCAGTTGGGGACCGTGATATTCCTTCTATGTGTTCCGGCGGAGACTTGGACGGAGATGATTACTTTGTCGTCTGGGACCCCGAACTCATACCCCCCGAGTGGAATTACCCTCCTATGGAACAGGATGTCCTTAAGCCAAAGGCACTCAAGCGGGAGGTAAGAGTTGCGGATCTCATCTCGTTCTTCGTACAATATATGAAAAACGACTCTCTCAGTACGATTGCGCACGCACATCTAGCGAAATGTGACATGCTCCTTGAAGGACCCAAGGACCCACAGTGCATCGAATTAGCACGCCTACATTCGAAGTCTGTGGATTATCCGAAGACTGGCCAGGAGGCTCACCTGGAACCGTCGTTACGACCAAGGCGCTTCCCACACTTCATGGAGAAAGCGCCAAGCAAGACGTATCACTCAAAGAAGATTCTCGGTCGACTATACGATCGAGTGGCTAAGGTCAGCTTTAAACCGAAGCTCGACGGCGCCTTCGACCAGAGAATTCTTCGTAGATATGCGCTGAAGGATGATACGTTGAAAGCAGTAAGAATGATCAAGAGACAACATGACAAGGCAATGAAGCAGATTATGAACCAGTATGATATCGAGACGGAATTCGAAACCTGGTCGACATTCGTGTTATCGAAGCCTCGGGTTGGAAGCGAATATAGAAGACAGGAAATCATGGAGCCGGTGATGACCTGCCATAGGGAGCGATTCAGAGAAGCATGTATCAAGTTGGCGGGATCTAGAGACCCTAAAGTTCTATATCCCGTAATCGCCGCCGCCTACCTCGTCACGTGGGAAGAAGTGCAGATCGTACTAGGGAAGATAAGAGGGGAGGGCCGGGAACAGGACCTGGCTGACGACGAGATTCCGTTGATAAGCTTCCCCTGGGTTTTCGAATACGAGCTCGGTCGAATCGCCGCTTCCCAGGACGAGTTCGAGCTCGAGGAAGTACCGAAGCCGACTATGGCATTACTCGATGATGATGCTGATAACGACGATGAGGAATTTGAGCGCCTCGTGAGTGCCGGTATTATCGCAGGCGAGGACGACGATAAGAGCCGCAGTTCCGAGGGACGAGAAACGTCGCCTACCAACATTAGCCAAACTCTGGAGGAGCTAGTTGTGCTGGAGGACGACGAAGAGACGAGTATGGATGCCCTGGCTAAGCTAGGGCTGAGTGACTGAAGAGTCCTTAAGGTGGGGATGGATTTGCTTGGTGCGCTCTTGCTTGAGAGGTATGAATAAGATTGAGAAGATGGACGAGATGTTCTCGCGTCTTGCGGATCAGGGAGCATCGTTCTCATATTTCTACTTTTTTGCTAGAGCTATACCTCGCTGTTAACCTTAATAATCTGGTTGCCTTGCCTTTATGCCCTTCCTTACTATTACTATAAATCGAGACTTTTATGGGTGAATAGTGATATTTTACCATTTCGAATGGGTACTTTGAGTTCATGAAGGGATATTATGTCGAAATGGTCGCATGCCGATCCATGATGAGCAGCGGTAGAGCCCACTGTAAATATAGCGAGTATTAATAGTGAGCACCCCTCTGTAAGGAGCGGGACAATGAGATTGCGTCGCGCTCTAGCCAATCAAAACGCGGAAAATCCAAGCTTCCGAATGATCTAGCATTGAAGCAAACTAATTACCTAGGTACCGGTTTATTTCTATTTAAGCTACGCAACAATCGCCAAAGTTTCACCATCCTGTTTCCAAGAGCTGTATCATCGCCAAACGTCTTCTTTAACATGAAGCCGAGCTCTTCCACGAGTACGATCAGGGTATGGAGTGCCTGCCTATCCTTGAAAGGCGTGTTGCCGTCGCGGGACGGAGTGGAGCCTGAAGGCCCATATTAAACCCCTTTCCATATAATCATTTACTCACTACCCCACGACAGGATGTTGCCACTGCTGCCATCCCACCCAGGCTTGGAAGATGCTTACGGCGAGGCTGATTATTCCAAGAATGATAGCGATAATAACGCCGGCTAGAGTTGCCATCATCATATGTCTGGAACCGCTCCTGCGCTCTAGCCATTTTTCGAAGTAGCTTCTGGGCGTCGGGTTCTCTAATTCATCGTACAAGTCGATGAGCCTGGAACCCCAGTACTCGTATCCGACTTGCTGCTCGCCCGGTCCGCTGTAGGAGGAGGATTCGAGACGAAGAATGTCCGGATCGAATTCGCTCTTGGCGACGAGTGACCGAAGTAGGGATTGCGACTCTGGGTCAATAGGGAACAGCACCTTTTGAAGGGTGTCGAGTGTCTCGAGAGCTAATCGCCGAGGGATGTTTTCCCTACTAAATAAGTCGTTGTCAGCTTTGTCGCGTACTTCATCCAAAACGGAGAAATCAGAGGACCTACATAGGGATGGATTGCCCTGGTGTCTGCCCCGGCCCTTCTCCTCTACTAGCGAGAATATGTTCCTTCAGGACGCCCGTGTAGTGGTATATGGCAACAGTACCGTCTGCATCATTAAGAAGCAGATGATTCCTGAGGTCATTAGTAGGGATGATCTTCAAGTTTGCGACTTTCCTCAGTCGCTTCGCCGTCACGGAGGCCAGATGAATCTTAGCAGACAAGGCAACGTCGTCATTGGAATTGAGTGCAGGTTGTTCTCTTTTATGAAACACCGATTCCATGAAATCCTTAAATGATCTATCACTATGCCAGGTGCTAGGCTGCGTTCCTGCTTCCAGCAAGCCGTCAGACTGGTTCTCAGCAGAGCATTGGACCATGCTGATGATACGGGCAGCAAGGCCAAAAGCCCTATTCTGGTCAACGGTTGTCGGCAGTTTCTGAGTCCCGTTTTGAACACGCTGGCTGAAATATTTCGTCGTTAGCTTTGATCGTGCTTGGTCCGCATTGCTCTTGAGCAGGACGATGATGTCGACGAGATCATCGTGGGATCTCAAGGCAGGGCATAAATCACCAGTAAAATCCGGAATATAACAAGCCGTGGCTTCTCTGTAGAAATCAAAGAAAGGCTCTAATTTTGCAGCGCGCCGACATGGACAGCCAGACGGTTGATGGCACGCTTTCCCGCAAATCCACCGCTCACACGGTGTCCATCCCCATAGATATTTGCATACTTTGGCAAGGTTATCCCTCGAAACGTTTGCCAGCGGGTAAAATATCTCTCTTGGTGTGTCCATCTGTCCAACTCGCTTCGACAAGTGTAGAATACGATCTGATTTCAAGTCTGCTCATCAGCTTCCCGAGGCATCGAATAGGCGCTTTTTGCATATAGCAGGCTAGCGAATATATATCAGCACCTTCACTGCGCGTCACATGATCGGGTCGCTGTACCCTAAGTTACCATTCGACCAAACGGGGTGAGAGCATAATAATCTTCTATTGGGGGCTGTGCAGCAGTGCCACCACAAGCCGCAGCCTTCTGGAGGTAAACGGTATCTTATGAGTATTTTGGGACCTTCAACTGACCTAAACCTCAGTCCGAGGTTTAGCTGTACCAGGAAACGAATCCCGCAACATGATGCTAGCCGACGCAACATGCCCGCTCAGTTTAGAGACCAAGAAAACTGTCGGGAATCATCCACAAAACTGTCCCCCGATGCCAGTACCAACCCCGCCGACGATACAGTTGAAAACATCAACTCCAGCGTTGAAATTGCCAGCTGATTCCATTCCGTCGTCGACTACAACAGATGGCGACCGTGACTCTGGATATGTTTCACAGAGCACAGATTTAGCTGTAGAAAGGAAAAGCAACACCAACCATGGATCACCCATACTAAACTCTCTACCTCCTCGAGACGGAAAGGCAAAATCACCGCGTCGGGCTTCCATTTCTTCTATTCTATTGCCCAAAATGAAGCCACAACTCAACGTCGATGTCGACGAAGCCATCAATGAGCGATTCAAGGTCGTCCAGACCAGTTTTGAAAAGCTCCTCCTAGAACACATCCGTGATAACCAAACGGCCGGGGCAAAATACAAGCCAATGTCAACACGACTAATGATGATGGGCACCTCGTGTACTGATGCTAGTCCTTATCTCGTCGTGTTCTGCCACTCTGAAAGCAAGAAGCTCGTCAAACGGTTCATAACGGACCCTACAATCAAAGATATTTGCCAGCCCTCAGATCGTGATGTACCGTCCTTTAAAGTAAAGGTCATAGGCAACGCCCCCCAGCTCAAACTCACGAATTTACCAGTACAAATTACAGTCGATCACGTCCCTTTTGATACATTTTGCGGCACTCCCATCCGATTCACACACCTTTCTGATGAGCGCAATGCCACCTTTGGTGGATTGATCAAGGTAGTGACGGAAACGGGAGATACAAGAGTTTATGGAATAACCGCTGGACATGCGGTGGAAGAATGGAACAACGAACTCCAGTCAGCACAGGAAATCAAAGGCGAGAATGGAGACGATACTGAGCATCATGATTTGCAACCCGCAGTGAGTGAGTTATCTATGGATGAAATTGAGCTGCAAGAATCTTCGGATTCTGAGGATAGTGATATGGAAATGAACTCCTTCTTGGATACTCCATCAGATGTCACGTCCGACGGGAAGCCGGGGCAATGGTATTTTACTAAACCTCTTGTTCTCGGCTCAATTGTTGCACATCCGAGCGCGCTAGTAAGCACAGAATATCAGAAAAATCAGTATTACGATTGGGCCTTGTTTGAAACGAACGTCTGCAAGATGAACCGACTCGTCATTGACCCAGAGGAAGAACTGGTTCTCTCGCAGAAGCAACCTGGGACTACTGGTCAATGTTCCGTGTATATGGTTAGCGGCTCGGGTGTCAAAGAGGGCCAACTCTCTTCGACGCCCGGCCGAATCCTGCTTGGATCCGGGGAAGAATTTGTCAATACTTACATGTTGACAATACACGACAAGCGAGGTAAGACTTGCCCACTGGAAATTGATTCCGAGGTTAACCAATAACGCAGGCATATGCGACGGTGACTCTGGGTCGTGGGTTGTCGATTCCCGCACGTTTGAAGTTTACGGTCACCTTGTTGCGTCAGACGTGTTCGGCTCCGGATACGTTATACCTTTGGAAAGCATATTTGCCGACATCAAGCGGCATTTGCGCGCGGAACTGGTTACACTCCCCAACACCATCGATATACGAAATGCACAAGCGAGTATAAACACGGATCAACTCTTGACGAGCCCTGAAACTGAGCGTACGGACGCTACACCTTCTCCGCCCAGCTTGATTGAATCGCCATTTATTAGACCAGGGACGGATTCAGTTGATGAACGAGATACACATTATACTGGAATGTGTTCATCAACTGGAATGTGTTCATCAACTGAAATGAATCCACTCGAAACGGGCCCAATTACACATTCAAGGATGGTTTCAGTTGATGAACGAGAAGCACGTTTTACTAGTGTATATTCATCAAGTGAAAGTATTACACTCGGAGTAACAATTCCACCCTCAGGGATGAATTCAACCGATGAACTAGATATAGATACCGGAATCTATTCATTCACTGAAATGAATTTACTGGGAACGGATTCAATCACATATTCAGGGATTGATTCAATCGATGAACTAGATACACATACTCTATACACTGACCGAAATGAATCCACTCGGAATAGATACACTTACTAAGTGGATCTACCTCAGCCTCTTGGAAGAGATCGGACAGACGATTCTGGTTACATTTCGGTACCAGACACTACTCCATAACTGTAATATGTTGCCCTTATTACGCTCTTATTATACTAGCGCTAACTCGAGCAGTCCCGAATCCTCAAAGAGAAAACGCAGCTCTGAGTCTCCCAAATAGAACCACTTGTCCTGTCGGCTGCCTTGTCCAAAACATAGATTTCGCTTTTATTTTGATAGAACACATTTGAGAAATTGTTCACTTACTGTCATTATGAATCCCCTTAACAACTGCCGGCCTCACTTCCTCGTTCTCTTAGTATTTTCTCCAATACTCTCGTTCAGGTGATGCTCTAAGCCGGTATCGTCAACGTTGCTGAGGAACGTGTAGCGTCTCTATACAGACTCCTGGCATCAGGTAACGCCAGGTAAATAAACCCTTTCTGAAGTCAACCATCTTAGCTGTGCCTTAATCAATAGAATGGTGCCATATTATTGGTGTTTTTGTGTGAAGATATCTTTTTCATAAGGTTGTTGTTCATTATGTTCATATCTTGTAGCCTTACATACATTTTCCGTGGCCCAATACATCTCCACTAGGTGGATACCTAGCACGATCCTGCGGAGATGTACAAGCTTGAAGTAGCGTAGTAAACCCAGGTACCTAGGTATAAGTGCTACTACGGAAGAGGGTTGATCCTCAAGCGAAAAGTCAGAAAGTCTTGGCAACGCACAATTTCCCAGTGCCGGATGAGCCCCAACTTCAGGCCTCATCGCCCCGATTGAGAAGCTACGAACGATATTCTTCTCGACGACGGTAAAATTTCGCAAGTTCTCCTAGGGTAAGTTCGAGCGTTTAATCTTTCTTGTTTTAATTTTTGGTATACGTCACCTAATTTTAAGATCAACCCCTTCAATTAGAGAAGAAAATCAGAATATTCAAATCACTAACTTGTTCAAACCCCCACCAGTTTTCCGAAGGTTCTTTACCTGCAACCCACAACCCAGCACCACATCTTCGCGAACACCGACACAGAGAACCTCTTTCTTCACATACAGCCATGGCGGACGTGCAAGAGATCTTAAAGAAGAAGTTCGGTGGTGCCGCTCCTTCGCGAACTGGTACGTAGTAATTATCATGAAGCCCTTTCTTCTTGTTTTTACCTTCATCTTTTTTACTTTGGTGGGGGAATGATTATTAATTTTGGACTAGGTGGAAAGGGTACCCCGCGACACAAGCAAAAGCGAAATGTCGCCCGGAGCGCCAACGACGACAAGAAGCTTCAGGCGACCCTGAAGAAGCTCAACACCCAGCCTATCCAGGCTATTGAGGAGGTCAACATGTTCAAGAGCGATGGCAATGTCATCCACTTCTCTGCTCCTAAGGGTGAGTTGCGAAGAGTGTGAAGAGTCAGCATCGTCTTCCGAGCTTCGGCTTGGGGAGCATACTATACTTGACTTATTCCACCCTCCCCGTTGTTTCTTTGTTTGGGAGCTATTTATATGAAAAGGGACCATATAGCTAACGCTGTACCAGTCCATGCTGCCGTACCCGCCAACACCTTCGCCATCTATGGAACCGGCGAAGACAAGGAGCTTACGGAACTGGTCCCCGGAATCTTGAACCAGCTCGGACCTGACTCGCTCGCCTCTCTCCGAAAACTGGCCGAGAGCTACCAGAGCATGTCGAAGGAGAATAAGGAAGCCGACGACGACGATATCCCCGACCTGGTAGCCGGCGAGAACTTCGAGAGCAAAGTCGAATAGACAGGCAGCCTAATGACGCACCTTTACAAACGGACCAGACACCAGACTCCCTCCCTTTTATTTGAACGAACGGAATGAGTACGGGGAAAAACGAGGAAAAAAATAACGGGAACGATAATAGCATTTGGTCGACTCTCTTACACACGTCGCGAGATAGGTTGGGAAGGGAGTTTTCGGTAGTTCATCCTTTGCAAATTTACGAAGGGGGGATTTTCCCAACACTCGTCATTAATCAGGTAGTCTAGCGGATGGTTCCGTTTTTGCCTCTTTCCCCGCAGGCGATGGCAGACCAATTCCAACACACGCTACTGTAGCGAGTCTGCGCTGCGGTCTGTTTCTCCGTCAAAGTTCTGCTAGCAGGTCACTTACCTAGGCACCCCGGCGTGGTAGTGAGGAATCAATATCATTGCTTGTAGGTCCAAGAAGAAAAAAATTATTTCATAAACGGGTTGCCTTGTCGTCCTTGGTGATTTGTGCCTTCAGATGACGGATTGACTACCTAAATCCCTATAAGTGGAATGATTCATCCCCTAGATTCCGTACCCATCCTCTCAACGCTTCTGCTTTAGCTTCCCCCTTAACTCTCCTCCTAGCTTCTAATAATGCGGAGTCCTTCATCTCGCCGTATGTCTTGGCGCCTAGCGCATTTTGAATCTCGATTTTCACCAAGCTATCAATTTCCATCTCCCCTTCGTCTGATTGTTTGATGGGTAAGGATGAAGGCGAGAATGGGAGCAATAATAAATCAATCACCTCGACAGCAAGTCCCCAGAGCCTCCGCCTCGCGGCGAAGCTAGCTCCCCGCGAATCGGCGGAGGACTGCTTCCGCCCTTGCAAAACGCCGCCCAGCGTCGCTTCTTCAAGGCCTGAAAGCGTCCAAGCTAGGGCTAAGTTGCTGGGAGCCACGCCCGTCGTCCCTGCTATTTCCTTCACCTGCTTCTGAGAGAAGGCGAACTCGGCCGTCGTCGTTGAGACGGTGAAGGGGTGGAATGCGTAGCCCCCTTTCCCTTGGAAGGTAGAGGCGGACGAGGAGTTCAGGTATGCTAGACTGTTCATACGGCCCCCCTCGGCCGAGGAGAAGGCGCGGTGGCAGGCCGTGGCGCTGTATCGGGATGAAGGTAGGATTAGGGTTTGTAGATATGCGTTGCTAGGAGAGACTAGGAGTGCAGTTATGGAGGAGAGGAGAGATGTTAGTTGGTGGAGGGCTAGCTTGTCGGAGCAGGATTTGGAGAGTGTGGCAGGGGCATCTGGGCGCGCGGGTTTGCGGCGGACGATGCCTAGGTGGGAGAAATAGGCGCGGCCGGGTAGAGGTGCGGAGGGGGAAGTGGTAGAAGGACTGTCAGGTGTGACTTCAGGTGGTAATTCCCACGGCGTGGCGTCTTCTTGCGAGGCCATTATCAACTCCATGCTTGCGTCGCCGCAGGGCGCTTCGGAGCAGTACATGTGGAGGAGGACGTCTTCTCTCCATGTGAATGGCTGTCCGGGCCATAATTTATCTTCTCCTAGTTCTCCTTTTTGAGAATCGCTTATTTCGTCGCTAGTCCGCCGTCGCAAGAATTTAGACGAATCCCCCTGAGCTAGGGATTTGCATTCTTCCAACACAAAGCGGTTGAAGGCCCTTATGGCCAGCACCTCGGCATGCCAATCATGTAACAAATTGCCTTGTGCTTGTGCGACCTTTGAAGAGGGAAGACATTTCATGCCCGTCCTGCCTCGGGTTAGATAAAACTTCAAATTAGGGACCTCATGTAAAGAATATGATAACAGGCATAGCTGACCTACGCTATGGATATACACCACAGTTCATCATCCTTTCCTATAGTTGGGTATTAGTCTATGTCATGATATCTCTAAATTCACAAAATTCCACGAAGGTGAAGACTCAAATGTACCTTGAGCCACTATACCGGCCAGGGGCACCCATTCTCGCAGTCCATTACCTCGGACTTTTGGTTTCCTTTTTGCAGGCAGAGCATCATAGTGCTTCAGTACCAGTGCTGCGACATCATCTGGTGTGACGGTCATCGAGACATAGTCGACCTCTTATGAGGCATTGGTATCATGTATAGAATAATCTTTGAGTTGAGAATAGATCTTATAAGAAGATGCAGTATGCAACAATGGAGATATCACAGTAGGGGGGTTCATCGCCTACAATCACCAATTCAAAATTCCAAGTTCAAGTTCCACTTTACTGAATCCAGTCCGCCACATTCCTAGCGCACGAGCCACATCAAGCGAGACCCTAAGAGAAAAAAAGGCGGCTTAGTCATACAGCCCACACAAGTGCGCAACTTTGAGATTTACGAAATTCGTCCTCTTATCCTAATTCAATCAATCAACCACGAAAATACTAACACAACAGCAGTCCACCTAAGTTCTCACCACACAACAACCGTCATCATGAGAACTTACGACGACACCTTCTCTGGCCAGAGAATCTACCCTGGCAAGGTATGCTTTTTCTTCGTCAATTTCCATCATTCCGACCAATACCCATGATCATACCTTCAAATCATCACTGCGCGTTGAAAGGAAGAATAAAGAAGACCAGAGATGGATGTGATGGATTGGCCGCTCATAACGCCCGACCGCGAACATCATAACCTACCTATTTCATACACACAAGCGCGAGTACTGTCTGGAATTGAGTGCTAACCAAATCGCAAAATAGGGTAAGCTCTACGTTCGAGGCGACAGCAAAATCTTCCGATTCCAGAACGGCAAGTCCGAGTCGCTCTTCCTTCAGCGAAAGAACCCCCGCCGAATCTCATGGACTGTTCTCTTCCGAAGACAACACCGCAAGGGTATCTCTGAGGTACGGTTTCCATATCAATTACCATAGCCCATCGCGAAGAATGCTATTATATATCCGAGGATGCTTCAACGCTATGGGATTAGTATATGGTATAGGATAAGGGCTGATAAATAGTACAGGAAGTCGCCAAGAAGCGTACGCGCCGCACCGTCAAGTCCCAGCGAGCCATCGTCGGTGCTTCTCTCGATGTGATCAAGGAGAAGCGAACGATGCGACCGGAGGCCCGCTCCGCCGCCCGCGCCCAGGCCATCAAGGAGTCCAAGGAGAAGAAGGCCGCCGCCGCCGCCGCCAAGAAGTCCGAGAAGGCCAAGACCGCCGCCGCCTCCAAGGGCCAGACCCAGCGCATCGTCGGAAAGCAAGGCGCGAAGGGTGCCCAGCAGAAAGTCCAGGCCAAGACCCGTTAAAGACACGTGCCTGTGATTTTTTTGTTCTGGGGAAGAGCAAGCGGGAAGGACTGGTACGGACGAACTTTAGAGAGGACATGGCTTCGAATGGGGGAGATATAGTGCATAATTCACTAGTGTTGCCTCTCGCGTCTGGCGGCGTCTTCGGTGGGATATTTCCTCGATTACGAATAAAAAGAAACCTCACACACACACTCACATATGCAATTACATCTGTTCGGTTGGGGGGAATGCATGGAATGTCTCATGGTCATGGGAATTCTAACCTGGTAGCTTCATAATACCAGTTCGTTCTACGGTCTGACATTGTGTCTCGTGCGATTGTTTTACGGGATTCCGTTATGCCTTGTCTGCCTTCACGACTCATCCCCCGAGTTGCCTCCTCATGTCAGGTCGCTATACTTAAGTCAATATAGACTTGACATCAGTGACAACGCGGCTAAAAGGGTAAACGTTGTGGGCGCTACGAACAATTACGCTGATGAAATAGGTACCACGTCTACGATGCTAGGGTACATGACATTAAATGTGTGCTTTGAGTTGAGTCTATTGAGTAGTCTACCAGCTTCCAAACTCCGGTGCTATGAATATTCGTAGCTGAGGGGAGCTCGTCCCGGAGCAGCTAAGTCCAATCCTCTTGTTTCCGACCTGGGGGCATAGAAAAGAGGAGTGAATCCGCTCTTCTCCCCCATTTTCTTCCCCGTAGCTGACAGCTGTTCACTCTATGTTTGCTACCTAGCACGCTGTAGAATTGACTTCTGTTTTTTTCGTCCCCCTCCTAGCTTTCTATATGCGATGCGATATGGTAGAGTAGGTAGGATGGGTACTAAAGTAGGGTAGGTAGAGAATTCATTTTAGATACGATATTTTTATAGCTTGGCCAGGACGGCGTCGACGCCGGAGACGCTGACATCCTTGGCGGGCTCCTTCTCGGCGTAGACGACCTTGCCGTGGTCGACGACGATGGCGTAGCGCGCGGTGCGGGCGCCGAGGGTCCAGCCGATGCTGCTGCTGAAGGGGGCGCCGTCGTCGGAGGCGAAGATCTGGTGTTTTTGGTTTTTGTGTTAGCTGGGAATTAAGAGATAAGAGAGTGTTGGTATGGATGGCGGGGTAAAAAATCCAGGGCTACGGGAGCCACCAGCTAGGTATGTCGCGCATAGTGGCGTCCAATGGATTTCCCGCGCCCGTTGTAAAACATTCCCGTTCGAGAAGGAGACGAGGTGATACAGGATTTTAGGTAGTTGGGTTGGTTGACAGGGGGGGAAAGGGGGAAATATGGTATAAGAAATAAAAATAAAGAAAAGAAGAAAGCTTACGATCTCATCCTTGATGCCGTTGGCCTTGGCCCAGGCGGCCTGGACCCAAGCGTCGTTGAAGGAGATGACGATGACCTGGTCGACGCCGGCGGCCTTGAGCTGCGGCAGCTTCTCGATGTAGCCCTGGATGTGCGTGTTCTGGCAGGTCGGCGTGAAGGCGCCGGGCACCGAGACTAGGACGACCTTCTTCTCTTTAAATTCTGGGAGATTGTTAGCTTTCCTAAAACATCCGTTATGCCATTGGCGACTAGGAGATAATTACCCTTGCTGGCGTCGTACTTGACGGGCATACCGCACGCCGTCACGGCGCCTTGGTCCGGGTTGTAGGGGACGTAGGTGAAGGTGACGCCTTCGGGGAAATCGTCTCCGGCTTTAAGGGCAGACATTGTGGTTGATGTGTTTTAGATGGTTATTAACAAGGTAATTGTAGATTTCAATTTTCTGTTGTCTGAGACAAGAGTTCGAAATTGTTCTTCGTTTGGATTATGGAGTATATTCAGTAGTAGACAGGAAAAACAGACAAACTCAAGATGCGGGAGTTTGTCGCCTATATACCTTTGCAAGCTTCTAGATCTTTCAAACGGGAAGACAACTTCGGTTGTTACAGTAAGATGGACATTGAAGGCCAAGTCTATGTACCTAGGTATAATCAATACATCCATCCCACTTGCGAATTCGGAATTCAAGAGTCCCGCGTAAATCGATCCCACCAGCCCACCGAACGTTATGTAAGTATCGTACCTGCTGTGCGCCTGCTGTGTTAGTAAGTGGTGTAAGCGGTTTGCGGTTCAGGTAACCCATGCCAAGAATTCTGCAAGACCGTTTATTCTGGAATCGCTGCTTCCGGATCACGACATGTACATCATGCCCTCCTAAACCGTTAATGCGATGAAAGTACTGGACCTGTCCAGGTGGGGTAGACGAACCTTGATGGATAAGGAGAGAGGAGGGGGAGGGGGATAGGGGTACCTACTTCTCTTCGATTGCAACATGTTCCTTCTGTTTTCTATATCCGCTGCAGAATTTGTAACAAACGAAGATCAAATAAAGTCTAGTTCGGTCTAAATTACCAAGCTAAGCACAAGTGCTATACTCCTAAACGCAGGTGCGGCCATCTATCCGTTCGTGCGCCCAGGCGAGTATTTCGTCATCTAGCGCTATCCACAGCTATAGTAGAATAATACGGAATAATACATACCTCTTTGAAAGCATCTTAATATTATCTCTCAACATGAAGCTACATTCGGTTTCCGAGACCCGCACCACCAGGCAGTATCCTTAGTAATACATATCTAGTAACGCTCACAAAATCCGGCGACGTATTACTCTCGGCATAAAATCAAAACCCCGTCAAACATACGACTACGACTGTTATTCAACGTTTGGGGCAAGGAAAATATTTACGTGCGTATTCCAGGAACGGGACTGTGAACTATTCTGGGGACATGGTACCTAGTAGCTGTCCTGCTCTGTCAGCTATCGACCCGCAAGAATGTGAAGCTATGTGGGGGCGCGTGGGCAACTATTAGCTGCCAAGATGAAAGGGGCATGCGAATAGTATTTGGAATTGTTACATGTAGATAGCTTCGTCCTATACCGGTGTTTGAAAAGACGCGCGTGTAAGCGCGCGATCTGGTGCGATGGGCAATGTACAATGTACAATGACATACAATGACATAGCGTATCAGAACGTTAGCTAAGAGAGTAACAATATTTGGAATATGTCACCGACGATGTGACCTAATTCCAAATTTTGGCTATGCAACTACCCAGCTAGCAGCTTACGTACATCGCGATAGTCTGGGTTACTTATGAGTCAAAGATTGTATTTGAATTTTTCGTAACCTGTTGAATTTTGGACCGCCTTCTTGACCATACTTCTCAGGGGTTGCGTGTTAAGTCAGATGTATAGCGAGTGCGGTATAGGGCCGACGATGAAGTCGCCGAGATAATCACATTCGCCCTTTGCGAGGCATTGAATCCTTCGAGTGAATCTCCATAATATCACCAATATCAAAGGATACCTAATACTGGAGTTTCAGTGGGTAGAGACATCAATTCGAGCCCGGCCAGACGCCGCTTCGATTCCATTGGATCCCGCCGGACGGGAATTGGAACAGAAGAGACGGATACTCGGTCTGGGACGCTTCGGAGGCCGAGGAGAAGCAAAAGTGGCTGCTTGGATTATATAATCGCACATTTCACACGCCTTTTCCATCCGGATTTTCTCCACCAGATTATGACGTTCAGTTAGGTTAGACAGGTTAGAATGGGTTAGGACATACTCAATATTTACGCCCTTCATATTCCCGAAAGCGACCGAACCAATTCCGGCAGGATAAACGCCTGCACGTGGGCTAATTCTAGTATGCGATTTCAATACTTTGCTTCTTTCATCGGGGGACAACTCAACCACTAGTATACCTACATGGTGCGTTACTCATCAACATACATGAAGACTAAATCTAAGCGAATATGAGAAAATATAAGAAGTCGTGATAGAAGATATGTAAAAGCAGTAAAGTTAACATCTACATCGATAAGTGCCCAAAAGTAGAGAGAACCACTCAAGACATAAATCTATCACAATGGCAAGTGAGAACAAGGGAAGACCTCCGTACCCCCCTTTCACGGCGGAAACGGCCCAGGTCAAAGTGAAAGCGGCTCAAGATGCCTGGAATACTAAGTATAATTCTCCTCTATTGCTCGTCGGAGACTAATATAGGGGCTAACGTGATCAACAGAAACCCGGCGAAAGTGAAGCTCGCTTACACACCGGACTCAATCTGGCGTAACCGTGACACCTTCCTGCAGGGACGGGACGAGATCGAGGCCTTCCTCACTAAGAAGTGGGAGCGCGAGAATGGATACCGGCTCCGCAAGGAATTGTTCTCTTTCACCGACAACAAGATCGCGGTCCAGTTCTGGTACGAGTGGTACGACGAGGAGGGCCAGTGGTGGCGCACGTACGGCCTCGAAGATTGGACTTTTTCTGACGACGGATTGATGAGGAAGCGCCAGAGTAAGTTGCTTCTGTTCCGGCTTTTGGTATGTGTTTGCTAACTTAGGTGATACTAGTGAGTGGAAATGATGTCAAAATCACTCATGAAGAGAGATGGTATAAGGACGGCGTAGACGTGAATACTGTCGATATCTCTGAGAAGCATTGGTAGAGGGGGCATCAATATTGAAGAAGAAAAGTACGGGCGGTCCTCCCCAATCTCGAAGAAATCAAAACTACGACAAAGTAAGAAAGATAGTGCCTACAAAATTTGGTATGAAAAATAGAAATATTTTCGAGCGATATTAATCGCTTCCGCTTCGTGCTACTCGGGGTAATCTTTCGACAGACAGGAAGAAGCCTAGAAAGGGAGAAGAAGCTGTCGTAAACCCCCTCATTAAACCCGATTTATAAGCATGCATCGTATCAGCACTAGTGAATGAGGCGCGCGATCCAGCCTCTTAACATATACGCGCATGTGTGTGCATAAGGCGTTGGGCTCGTGTCTTAACGTACCAGCCACATGGCGCATCCTACCTCAAGCACATGGCACTGGCATTTAAACGTCCTTGGGATGCGTCTGAAACCGGGATGAGCGAAACTACCTACCTAGCCTAGGCACGATATACATACCTACTTGGTTCTTAGTTGTCATTGACAGTGTCATTGGGGCTGAAAATGGCGTATATATCGTACGACAGAAGACGCGATGGGATAAGGGAGGCCTACTTTGATCATTGCTTGCGAGCTGGCCATGTCATTGGTCCAATGGACTATCCAACGAAATTTGATTTGAGGGAAGATTACTAAGAATAACTAGATAATTGACGGATCTCACGGAACTCGACAAGCCTATTATATCTGTTGATTCGTCGACGTATTATGATAATAGCTTCAACTACTGGGATAGAACCCAGTGATGCGGTACGAACGGTGTCTAGTTTGATTCGATTCAGTAGTGAAGAAGCCAGCGTATGCAGCTGGGAAGAGTGCTTTAGGACAATTGGAGTTATCCCTGCATCATAAAAGCATCGTGAACTTGAGGGGATACGCAAGTCAAAAAGAAAAAGGGGCTTGTATAACAATGCAGGGAACCTTTTAGGAACAAGATTAAGCTCCGATGCTGCATGACATCAAGACCCTTGTATCCGATCAATCGTAGATTTTCTATCCCCGATCGTATTGTGGGGATACAGGGGTGGTCTTAGATCTCGAGATTTAGATCAGGGGTTATTCTTTCTCGACACCACTAGATTCTCAGCTTCAAACACTAAATGTTCACTGCTTCAGCCTCAGCTCCCTTCTACAACTCTGCGTACTACATTGTAATATCGTTTTGATGTGATGCCTGCTCATTCATTCTCGTGAAACGTCAATTCTATTATTGCAACGGCTCGTGTTTGTCGCTCGGTCCTATTGCTGTATCACGTTCTTATTAAAATCCCATAATCCATTCATCATAACAATTTCATTTCTCGTTTCTAAATAACCATCTACAAGAGGAGCACCAAAAAAACTGGTTTCCTTATACGGATATAACCGTCGGAGGACTCGCCAGTTTCCCATCGGGCTGGTTGGTCTAGTACTGGCCTGCTTCTTAGTGAACTATACTGAGTCACAACTAGTGTCACTTATCCAAAGAGGTAACTCATCCGACGCATTCATTACTGGTTACTTCTAAGCTGTTGATGGCTAGCTGGTCTTTGGGTATATACCAGCGTGGCAAGTAAGGCGTTGTCTTATCCAATTATTGACCTTCTGTCCAGCCAGAAAGCTTCGGGCCACGACTTGCTAAATTAGTGATAGAGGATATGTGGATTCGTATTCGAGGAGGCAGATATGGCGTGTGTCACGATGAGGAGAATTTATCATAATAGCTTCATATGGGTTCAGCTCTGGCGTCGGACTGGTAGCGTTTTTACATTAAGTTCAGGACTTCATACCCGCTTAGCTCTCCAATACTTCCACTTAGTCTTGCTCTTTTTCGGTGTTATATACGCGAGGACTTCTTCCTTATTTCATGCGTCTTAGTAGGCGACTAATCTCTAATCTTTGCTATTCACATATACGTGAAACGTTTCAAGAGCTGAAGATTTTCATCTATCAATCATTCTATCTATAATCCACAATGGGTCTTATTTCACTCAAATACCGACGACCAAAGCATGTCAATAAGGAAGAATTTCTACGCAGCTATACTTCCATCTCAGAAAACGAGACGGGAAATCCTTCACTTAAATCAGGGCACTCAGGTCCTCCATCGGGTGTACCTGACGCTCTTACGTTTGACAGGATCATCAACGGTGGAACTTGTCCAGTGAGTCACTTCGTCGACGTTGAACCGTGATCTACATGCTAACAAACTGTTGTCTTACAGCCATGTACCATCCGCGACTTCATGAACTACCTGATCTACATTGAGCACGCAGCCGAGAATCTGCAGTTCTTCCTGTGGTATCGTGACTATGTCAAGCGTTTCAACGAGATTAACATCTCCGAAGCTCAGCTCTCTCCAGAGTGGACACAGACGATGGAAGATGAGGCCACTGCCAAGATCCAGAAAAACGCCGTGGATAAGATGAGAAAGGAGCCGAAAGTTGCTGTCATCTTCAAAGGAACCGACTTCGAAAAAGGGGCCTCGGATACTGTCGTCGAAATCAAAGACCCCTTTTCAACACCACCTCCAACCCCAAGCCTCAACGACACCACATCAATCTTCTCAGGCTCCCAACTATCTAGCCATCAAGTTCAAGCTCAAGACGCATTCAACGCCGCCGGTGCCACACAACCATGTAAGTCATTCTCAACACTCCTTGCCCATCCCTCTTCTCTTCTCTCTCTTTCTTATACTTCCTTATACAAAAACAAAGACATATATAGACTAACACCTAACGCCCCTAGTCACCATCCAACCCTTCCGCGCAGAACTAGACCGCGTGATCAGCACGTACCTCGCGGACTCAGCGCCGCGGCAACTGAACCTGTCCTCGCGGGAGCAAAAAGCGGCCATACAAGCGCTGTCGCGCACGACGCACCCGTCGGCGCTGCGATCCGTCGCGCGCGGCGTCGAGGCCACGCTGCGCCGCCAGGCCCACCCCAACTTCGTGCGCTGGAGCATCTGCAACGGCAACCCGGCGCGCGTGACCTTCGCGCGGGGTCTCGGCGTCGGGGTTATCGCCTGCGCTACGCTGGGCGCTCTGCTGCTTACGCTTAGCGGGGCGGCGCGCGGCTGGAGGGCGCTTTTCGCGGTGGGTTGGGTGTTGGGGATTGCGACGTTGGTTGCGGCTGCGAAGGGCATGTGTGTTGTCCTGCATGGACTGCATCATCGGCATGTGAGGCCTTGGGAGTTATTCGAGGATCCGTGTTCCTCTTCCTCTTCTTCCCCAACCTCCTTCGACGAGTCGGAGCTCGAGGAGCAGGGCAAAAGGGGCAAGGGGAAGAACAGCTTCGACTCGTTCGGCTCGAGTAACAGCTACGAGGACGAGCCGTGGGTGGTCAGGTACGAGCGCCGCGGTGTCGTGCGCAGGGTGTTCGACCGCGAGGTCTGGATCCGCGAGCCGGCGCTACGGCAGGTACAGGATGTTATCTTCGCGCAGTCGCTGCTGGCTGCGGTTTTGGGGGCTGCTGTGCTTACGGCTGTGTTTGTTAGTGTGCCGGCTGGGGGGTTCTTTTGATGGTGTGTTTTCGTCTCGTTGGGTTTGTTGAGTTTGGGTAGGCTATGGATGGGTTGTGAGTTCCGGTAGGGTATACTATATGAGGAGTTCAGGGGCTAGGTTAAGTCGATCTGCTTGTTTTTCGTTTACATGTATACGAATGAGATTCTATGAATATGAATATCTCCGTGAACCTGTCAGAATACTTGAAATATATATATAAGAAGTTTTCTCTATGCCGCCAAGTCCTCTAATTGTTTCCAGCTTAGGTATTCAAGTGTAGCAACTCATTTTAGAAGTTTGCCATAGACCTTTGACTATAACAATTGCTGAGCTATCATTGTAAGTTAATATGAGCTTGTAGGAATACTATTTATTTCGACGAGTGTCTTGGATCTTTGGACATGAATATTGTGTTAAATGCTTGGCTTGTATGATGCGTACCTACCTAGGTACCAGTTCTGAGAATAGGAGAATAGGGGTTGCGGATCTCGGTCTGACTTACATAGTAAGTCTCGGTTAGGCGCATGACGGATAGGGCCGCAGATTGGCACGTTACACGGTTACGTATGAGGGGTTTTGGCAGGTGGGCAGCGTTTCTTGTACTTGGTTATCGATAACAAGATAGGCGTTGGTGGCATGTCACTGCGGAGACGAAATGTTGGAATGATTTAATCTCATTTGCCTTGTTCAACTTATGGATCCAATTCTGTCCCACCGAAAACCAGATCGCTCCCTATAGCCTTACTCCGTTAACCGGATATTAGATATCTTTAATAATCCAGATGTTGCAATTACTATAGCCATAAGCCACCAGCCATATCTCTAACTCGCCGAACACAGATCTGACACTCGGTCGAGAATTCATGCCTCCCTGATCATCTCCCACTTTCAGGCTTCTGAGCCAACAGAAGCTTCCCATTCCCTCCTTTGATTATATCTTACTTCCTTATTAACCCCTCTTTCGCTCTTCTTGGCGTTGATTGATCCTAGCCGAACGAGAAAAGATGTCTGGAGATCACTACCAGGCCGAAGTCGCGATTGAGGATGGAGAAGACGATGCGGCGCAGCAGGCGACCGGAAGACCGCGAACCATGACAAGCACGGCCGAGATCGATAGCACTATCACACATCCCGGTTCTGTTCGTATAAATGTCAAAGGCGCATTCATCGTCGACACTCCCGAGCAACCTGGCACTCCGGCAAATCCATCCGGGTCAAGTGGGAATGGCTACCATGAGACAAAGGATATTCGTCTCCCTAATCATACAGCTGTCATCAGTCATATCGCCGTTGATGTAAGCTTCTCCCAGCATGATCGCGAGTTTGCGACTTCATATCAATTAAGCTTAACACCCAACTGTTTCTCCTAGATCGGTGGATCCCTAGCGAAACTGGTGTATTTTTCCCGCGAGGCGCATTCGACCGACCCAGGTGGGCGACTCAATTTTCAATCTTTCGAGACGGATCGCATCGACGATTGTATAGAGTTTATGCGACACCTCAAGGACAAGCAATTGGCTCTCAATGGCTCCAAGCCGGGCGAGCTGTGCGTGATGGCGACTGGGGGCGGCGCTTACAAGTATTACGACAGAATACGACAACGGCTCGATGTTGACGTCCTAAGAGAAGATGAAATGGAGTGTTTGATTATTGGTTAGTCACTTCTAGTCATATCGGCTTTAAAGGCAATGGGGGTAATATAGGCCGATATACTGACATTGCGACAGGCCTTGATTTCTTCATCACCGAGATACCCCGCGAAGTCTTCACTTACTCCGAAACGGATCCTATGCACTTTGCTTCGCCTAATGCTAATATATACCCCTATATGCTTGTTAATATAGGATCTGGTGTTAGTATCCTTAAAGTGTCTGGGCCGCGGACATATGAACGTGTGGGTGGTACCTCTCTCGGAGGGGGCACGCTCTGGGGTATCCTTTCGCTTCTCACACCCGCCGAATCGTTCGACGAGATGTTAGATATGGCCGCGCATGGCGACAATGCCAAGGTCGACATGTTGGTTGGCGATATTTACGGCACTGATTATGGTAAAATTGGTCTAAAGAGCACGACGATCGCTAGTTCCTTCGGTAAGGTTTTCCGCATGAAACGGGAAGCGGAGAACGAAGCCGAAGATACGGGTGGACTTTCCAATGGGGATGACCAAAATCGAAGGCAAGAGAAGCAGAATTCAGACCAAACTTCCTCGACTTCCTCGCAACCGCAGCAATCGCAACCTCGTCCTACGTCCTCTAGAGCTAGTGAATTAGCGCGATCGCGCTTCTCCAGCGCCGATATCTCGCGGTCTTTATTATACGCCATCAGTAACAATATCGGCCAGATTTCCTACCTACAGTCGCAAGTACACGGGCTTTCCCGTATCTACTTTGGTGGGTCCTTCATTCGCGGGCACCCCCAGACCATGAACACTCTAAGCTACGCTATCAAGTTCTGGAGTAAGGGCGAGAAGCAAGCCTACTTCCTACGTCACGAAGGTTACCTAGGTTCCGTAGGCGCATTCCTTAAGCACCAACCTCGGAACTGGGGTCGCAGAGGTAGTTTTGAGGCAACCCGGTAATCCGAGGAAAGTTCAAAGAAGGAGAGTGGTGAATGATTCCTCATGATATCCTATGATAGGAGTTTCAACAATTCATGATGGTGATAATGCTAATCACAGGTCGTGGGAAGAGGAAGGGAAGAGGAGACTTGAGTGGACAATAAAACGTCGCCAAGCCCGAACGATATGTGATGCTGAAGAAATACCAGCATCTCCACATCGTTCTATACCTAACTACCTGCTCCTCGCTCATTACCTACCTACTCACCTACCTAGGTATGTCTCGCCATACTTGCGTCGAGACGTCACTTGTATGATGAGATAGCATTATTTTATGTATCGAATTGCCGAATAAGATATGCATCGCGGGCATGGTTTAGACGCGGAAAATACAGGATACTCAATAGATTAACTTATATTTTATTCGACGCCCTGAAATCGTGCGTGATGCTCCACATCAACAAGTGCATTACACGCTTTTACCATAAGAACTAGATAGAACAAAAGTGGTCGAATAAACAAAAATCTGCGTAGAATAATATTTCATACCCCGCCACTAAGAAGTTTATAATAAATCATATATCACATTCTCGCAAGGGACAAACTAAAATTCGATAGACAAAATAAGAACGAAAAGCAACCCATACAGACAATGTCTTAAATATGAGAAAAAGCAAAAATAGGATGATCGAACCCAGGCTCGAACTGGGGACCTTCAGTGTGTTAGACTGACGTGATAACCAACTACACCATCCGACCGTTGATAGAACCCCTCTAGAGAAGGTATATGTCACTAGCTCATATGGAGAGATGCAATTGATTCGCTGAGAGTTTGGTGTGTGTAAGTGGGGATAAGGGGGAAGCGAACGAATAAGGATGCTAATTTTACACGGATATAGTGCTAGCATAAAAGTATGCACCGCTTGATCCATAACTATAGCACCATGATGGGCAGCTATCAAGCCAACTATACAGTGAAAAAGTATTGAGTTTGCTCAACTCAGCCGACGAATATGGAGAATACTTACGTCCAAGGTAACAGAGTGCTACTAGCTAATTATGTAGGGTAATTATAGCAAGCAAGATATCCTTTCGTTTTCAATTTATCGCGGTACATATAAAGGGGGTCTATCTGTGTAACTTGAAGAAATATAGAAAATGTATCGCTGCCACCTATGCTAAATGTTCTGGGAAGCAAAAGGCAGCGCTAGGCTCGTCAAATAGGTCCGCCCAATCCTCCCAGATGTCCTCATCCGCATGTTTATGTGAAAACATAAAGGGTAATGTTATATTTCCATGTCCTTCGGTTCGGGAGAACCGTACCATTCAAGATTCATATAGGAATCCTGGTCCGATTCATCGATGGTCTCAGATGTGATAGTCGTCGACTGCTCATCAGCCCCTATTTCAGAATAATATGTTAAGGAAGGCGAGTCGTCGAAAGCCGGTTCGAGGTCCATAGGGAACAATTCATGGTTCATTTGCCTATCCGCGTCCTCGTACCAGACTTCGACATCCGCAAAACAGTCCTCTCCAAATACCTTCTTGAATTCAGTCTCTATGGCTTCCGATGGATGGATGCAATGTTCATGCTCTTCCCCGGGCCCGAAGACGACGCAAACAGTAGGTGTGTGGTCTGCAAAGACGCAATGCTTTGCGTGAGCGGCACCGAGGGAACATTCCTCATCTGTACCATGGCGGTGGCTCGGGTTGGGGTCAAAGTACGTAGGACGAAGACCGGGAAATTTACAGCCGCAAGTGTACGGACGCTACCAACGACATCAACACTTTGTTCTTTATACCTCTTATATGGCATAATTGTGGTCGATGTGATCAGGGATTAGACGTAGCATACCTTTGGGGCTTCTACCAACGACACGTATGTAGGCTTGTCGTACAGTGAATCGTCGTCGTTAGAGCTATCGAAACTGCTTTGAGAGCTACAAATGGAGTGGGTATGCCGAGGAACTTGGAGATCTTCAAACAAGACCTCTTCTAGGCTACGCCTATTGTTGCCAAATCTATCTGGGGATGAAAATACGCGATAACCATTCGAGAGAAGCATCGATGGTGGACTGGATCTGGTTCGGATATATCTAAGCTGAATGTCAAACAGCGCCTTCTTTTGACCCTGGGTGATCTCGTCGTAGCTGGCGAGTAAAGCCGGGTCGATTGAAATAAATTTAGCTTCCCTCGGAAAGCCGACCTGTTGAGCGAGGACTAAGATCCGTGTCTCTCGCAATTGTTTCCGTGGAGCACCGACGATTGTATACAATTTACCATCAGGCGCTTTATAACCTGGGACCCAACATATATGGGCTATGGGTACATTGGAGGCTTCAAAGGTCGCCAGATTGACAACATAGACTTCGTTCTCCTTACACCTATAGCTATGTATGGGCACCCAGACGGGGGACTTATCGATCAACGTGTCTGTTGGAATTATTACGCCATGTGCTTCAGCTTCGTAAATGTCGCCTCGGATATCATCCCTCAATTCGGCTGGGTTGCTAAGTACTCGCGGCTCTTGCTTATTAGACCCTTCCAACGGTTGAACGATCAGAGTTGGTAAGGGAACCGTGAGATCTAGAATAGGTGACCGGACGAGGGTATTTTGATGGGACCAGTGATAGTTTCGAACGGATACACGATATTCAGCCATGATTGCACTTTAATTCTTGCTGTGGATCATACATGACTGCGCGTCAACGGCGGGTATATTAGTGTCAGAACTTGACAGGCATGCTAGGAACGCTGAAGCCGCCAGTAAAGGATCTCGAGTGGTTAGGCTCAAACCCTTGGCAGACGCGCACGTAAGTGGCCTCTCAGATCTAAGCCTAGCAATTTTTGGAAAACCTCAAAAAGCAAATAGGTACGCGGGGCCGAGATCCTTGAGACGCGTTGCATAACTAGGTCTGCTTAGTAATTTTAATATGCATAGATTTCTTCGCAACACGCACGCACTTGCAGCATCACCCAACCCAAATCGACCAATCGTGAAGATTATTTCTGCAAGAAAAAGGCTGAGGGGTCAGCGTGAGCTAGACCAGCTAGACTTAGGTAGCAATGCTCGATGACTAGCATCTCTATGGTGAAGCGATCGACTAATGCGGCTCCAAGGATGATGGGGCATAGGGCGGCACCAAGACATTAATAGACGTTGGATATAGGTATTAAGGTAGCCAGTTGTACAGGTACCCAACTCGAGATACAAGTGCGTACCTTTCTTAGACGCGGGAGGTTGACGCATGAGACGAAGCGAAAACGGGTGGCTTGATTAGCTCAGGATCTCGCTTGGCCGATATGAAACTCTTTAGTGCAAGTCACCGATCGTCGAATCGTCGATGGCATGCTGATCATGGCTGAGTATGGGGGACTAGCGGACATACACCGCATTAGTCTAGCGTTTGAGTGTCGAGCATGGAGTATCGTGAAGGTCCTTGGGTCTTAGCCATAGATTTCACTCTCTTGCTCGCTTGCTTGCCTGCCTTCTCTCTTGTTTGCTTGAATTATTTATGACGCCTAGTCATTCTTGGTTGGAGATTTAGCCTCCCCCTCCCTTTTCTCTTTTCTCCCTAGAACGCCTGCTACCCATTCTTCGATCTCTCGCTCTGCTTCCTCGTCGGCTGTGGCACCAACACGTCCGTAATTTCGCCGTGCCATCCTCCTCAAATCGTCAACACTAGAGACATCGAAAGCCCAGGCTAGACCTCCGGTAATCATGATTCCGAATCCCATCACGTGAAGAGTAGCCAAATTCAGAGCCTCCAGAGCCATTAGGTTATTGTCTGCTGGTATCTTGTCTACTGGTCGATTACTTTGATTGTAGAATTTAGGTACTGTGGCCGTATATTTCCTGGCTATTGAGCGCCTCGTGACGAGGGTTGAAAGAAACATAAAACCCGCGCCTCCGAAGAACAAGCCTAATTGTTTTAACGAACGCTGCGAGAATATCGGCGGTCGAGGTCCAAGGGGTTGTATCGTGTTTTCAATGGGCCGAAGAGGCTGTGAAGGCTGTGAGGGCGGAAGAGACGTTTCTTGCGAGGGTTCTCTATCCTTCGCCATTGTCATAGTAGTCCCAAATGACCACATTGATGTCTGTCTATATCGAAATAGCTCAATTCAAGGTAGGAGGTAGAAAACGACGAACTGTTATTCTGAATATAAGCGAGCGACATGTGTATTGAAGAGTCAATTCCTAATTGATGGAAATTCGGCCTTCCATAGAAATGGTTGAAAGGAATTTAAAAAATTAAGGTTGGAAGTTCTTAGTGTCGTGTGCTAATTAGAATTTAGTTCTTCCCAACTTCGAAGCTGCTCCTTCCTTCGGAGACCTCTGCTAGTCCCGATTTTCAAATCCGGGGTAAATAGGCGGGGTAATTCAGTAACACTGACAATACCGGATATCATAATATTTATTCCGCTTAGATACCTAACTAATACTTGAGCAGATTTAAGCATAATTAATTACCTATCCAGTAGGTAACTTCCTAAATCCTCTTGATGATTTCTAGGTACAAGACATCATACGAACATGATGTTTCATATGGCAAATAACGACCCTTATGCTCCCTTATCATTTTTGCTTTACCACTTTTACCATGCATTCTTGACTACCATCTATCCATTTTATTAGCAAAAATCATTATCGAGGTGTTTCGAACCGACAAACCTAGATATATATCGCGTATACATATGCAATCTCAGCTAACCAGGTCAGCCTATCGAGCTATCAAGTTAGCTCTCGGAGGCGTTGTTGGAGTTTGAATCCTCCGAGGATTTGGCGAATCGAGGACGAATAGGAGGATCCATTGCTTTCTCCTTAAGCTTTCCTCGCATTCATTCCACATGCCCGAGCAGTCAGGAAGCACCCGCCTAAAGAGTCGCACGAGAAAGGCGAGGCATGGCCTAATGCTTTCTAACTTGAAATGAAGCCAGAGATCGGCGGGTGATAGAGAGCATTGAACATCCTCCGTCGGAAAAACTTCAGACCAATGAACGGGATGCTTGTCGTCATACTCCTTCAACTCTACCATTATCTTGAGAGCTGCTGCGAGATGACTAAGAGGGACTCTGAGCTTCGAGACGGTCGCAATCCTCTCAACATTCTCAACAGCAAAATGGGCAGAGATTACCCTAGCTGTGAAGCTCCTGTACAGTTCCTTTCTCTTGCCATCTAATCTAGATTGGTTGACCTCGGCCATTAGCTTTTTATAAAAGTAAGCGACGCGGCTAGAGTGTTCTACTCCAGCAAGCGGGAATCGAATAAGTCCCCTCCAAAGGTGAAATCTCGCTATATGGCCTGGGGGCGGTTCACCGTCCAAGCACTTTCGAGCGGTAACGGTCCATTCACAATACGTCGAGAACCTACTCATCTTCTGGACGCAAGCGATGGTGATACAAGAGCAGCTAGAGTGGAACCATGCATGGTCTCTTAGAGGCCTTGTCTTTATGTGATATGAGGGTCCATCGGGCTCTTATACGTGGTGACAGATACAGAAACACGCCTACAAGGTTTCGTTTCTGCCCCGGAATTCGACGGTCGTCATGGAACTCCCCTAGAGTTGTTACAATTTCCACTTTAACTAGGGGTGGAAGGGAAAAAAAGCAAAACGAACAACAGTTGGCAGGGGGGGGAAGCAAATAGAATGTGGCTCGTTGTGAACATTGCTAGTTGCTAAGGTTAACATCATTCGTAAACTTCTAACAAGCAGCCTTAGAAGCCTCTGATAGGTTCTATCTCCACTAGTGTCTGCAACTCAGCATACTTGTTTCTCTCCCACACCACGGCCACCCTATAAATTACAACATGAATAGGGCGGTGAGAAGATGCAGCCGGTTGTTACCGGAGTGGCCACGTTCTACGAGTTTCAGCAGAGTAACCCGTCGATCTTAGACGACTTAAGTAGGTATGCGTGTCAAATAGAATGATATGATCTTTCATGGACATGGCTATCCGCATGAAGCGGAAGACATGTGAGAGGCTTGCAAGCATCCGTTAGGTAGAGGTTAGTATAGATACATGTTCAGGGGTTACACTAAGGGGTGCCTTCAACCTGGTAACAGGGTGAGATCGATCTAAAACGTGGGGCTTAACCTTATCTCGGGGCCAAGCAGCCGATTTCCTTTAGTGCTGATAAATATGCAATTAGCGACCGGGGGTCCAGTCCACTAGACTTCAACGGATTCAACTGGATTCAACCTTATGCCATCTTCTTCCCTTAAACAACCTAAAGCTGACAATCACCGATACTAACACACCTCAGTACAAAGACTTAATGCTGCTACTATGGGCAAGGATAAATCTATCAAGAAGATCCAACCTTCGTCAAATCCTGCCGTGGCGTCTGCAGCCGCAGCTAAACCCCCAAATTGGCCCCCGTTCAGGCCTCCTCTACCTGTCGTAGAGCTTAGCCCAGAAGCTCCCGTTCCAGGATTAGAAGACAAGATTATTCTTTTCAGGAACTTTTGGCCGAAAAACCTATGCCGAGACTATGTCAATTTTCTTAAGACATTGCCCTTGATCACTACACCCGGTCGACCAAAACGCGGGGAAGCGTTGAGGGTCAATGACAGGTTCCAGGTTGACGACCCTCGTTTCTCTCAGAGACTCTGGCTTGAAACAGGACTCAGAGATGCTTTGCTGGGAGAGTCCGTTAGTCATCTATGGTTAGAAAGCATCGATGCTTCATTCACCTTGTTGGCCGAAGGACAACACTGATGGCCTACAATAGGGGTGGCGACGTGGTGGGCTTGAATCCCAACATTCGAGTATATCGTTACTCCAAAGGTCAATATTTTGACTGTCATTGTAGGTGTCCCACATCATCTCTTTCGGATCTATATGCACATCATATTCGTTGAGTTTGGAGCATAGCATGCAAGCCAAAGCTACGTGGCCTAAGGAGCGACGTTATTTCTGCAGCAAGTTATCTGCGTACAACAGCATTTTTGACGTCCAATGCCTGAATATGCGGTACAACGCCAATTTTTATTGCGGATATACATGCGCTGCTCAGTCTTGAGGTATTAGTGGAGTAAATCAGATTATTGGTTGCCGCATCATACGCATCTTGGAGTCGTTTTCTTCTTCCAAATGGTAAAACATTGTTTACTAATCCCTCAGCCGCAGACGATGACTTTAATCTAGTCACTCTACCATACATTAACGAGGCTTCCGGTACCATCAGCACTAAAACAACCTGGACATTACTGCTCTACTTGACCTCGGCCACCGAAGGCTGTGTCGGTGGAGAAACCGTTTTCTACACTCATGATCGTAAATCACCTAAAGAAGAAGTTGCTATTGCCCCAGAAACAGGATTGCTTCTCCTCCACAAGCACGGGGATGATTGCTTATTGGTAAATACAGAAGCACCTCTGACCCCCCTCCATCAAGGCCTGCAAGACTAATGCGTAGGCTCTTAGCATGAAGGTCGGCAAGTAACAGCGGGAGAGAAGTGGATAATTCGCACCGACCTTTGCGTAAAGAAGTGACTTCTCAGTTCAAGCTCGCCAACTTCATCACAACTCAAAGGTGGCCTCTCTCAAATACAAGAAGGGTTCCCATAATGGGTTTCAAGACAATACAAGATAAGACATGGCCTCTCCCATGCCTACGGGCAAGATACCAATGGAACGGGTACGAAACTTCAATACTCGCGACCTCCGCACGTAATCGAACCCTTCTAGATGCATAGCTATCCACATGAAATCATCTAGAAATACGTGCAAGTATCCGAATATGCCGAGACAATTAGATCAACCAACCAAAACCGGGTCCGGAGATTTCCGTGAGTGGGTTCCAATAAGCCTCAGTTCTTCAGCAATCAGAAGCGCATGTCAGAGGTATTATTCGCCGAGGAAAAGCTAGATTTGCTTGACTCGAGCTCACCCAGTGGATACATACATATGACGCAGTTTCACCTGATTCTCAAGACGACTTAGATTCATTGGCTAGAATAAATAGTAGGATCTACCCAATAGTTCACCTGATTTCCATTGCTCTTGTGTTTATCACAGCACCGCCGACTCCTAACCGCCTCTAAATGTCGACAAAGTCGCCCCGAAAGTAAATGACGGCGGAATCAGTCCACATCATGTCTTACCTAGGATACGCAATTTCACCGCATTCGGCATGGATCTGGGAGCTGATTCGCTCCGGGGAGTTTCAACGGTGCCGAGCTGACGGATTCCAGCGGCTTTCAGCCGTGAAACAATCGTTGCTTAGGCACATCTATCGAAGGTGGCTTGTGACTCTGCGCGTTTAATTCCGTAGCTGCATTTCCTATTACACCCTCTTTTCCTTCTTCACAATACCAAATAGCTTTAGCCTGGCTACATGTCTGAGATATTCGTCATCTACATCTCCCCGACTTGCATTTCTCGCGTCTTCTTTCCCGCCCCCTACCGCATCTTTACATACCATTACATATCTAACCCCCAGCCTACTTTGAAGACCCCGTATTCTAGAAATTTCTTCAGGTGACTATCATACATACGAACACACTCAAGCATCTACGGAAATGAACACTAAAGCAATATTAGAATAGCTCAGTACGATGAAGTTTGAAGCCTAATCTCTATGGTAACACGGACAATTGATTACGAGGGAAGCCCCCGCCGGCATATTAAGGTGTTTCTAGGCCAGCTACCTACCTATGTACGATTTAATGTAAGACACCGGGGATTAGGGCTGACAGAGCCGCCAAGCTAATGTTAAGCTGACCATGGTCCTCGAGTCTTCCGGGGACAAAGTGAACACCTGCGTTTCTATCAAGGCGCGGAAATCTAGCCGAGCCTCCCTCATCCTCTGATCATCTTAGACACTAGGAACTTTCGGTACGGTCTCACTGAACTCATAATGTAGGCAATTTGGCACCTGACGTTCTCCTGAATTCGAAAAAAGTGACCGTATCAGGGGAATGTCAAGAATAAAAAGCGTTGAGTTGACATATCGGCAACCAATCCGGAGTTCGGAGTAGGACCCAATCGGCTCAGGCGGGTATCATTGATAATATACTACCTATCATTAATGACAATGCGGACATGACAGAAAAGGGACTTACTCTTCCAGTTTAGGGAAAATGAAAATGATCTACAACAAGGTCGCGCAGAAGCTTGCGTACCTGCCTACCTGATAAAGTTTACATGGACATTGATCATATCCTAGACCTTCCAATCGCTCTCATGTAAGTCACTCGAGAGGGGTACTCCAAACCTCACAACCACCTCGAAAACCCCTTTTCCAACTCTAGGTACCCTTATTCTCAGAATATGAATATGAATTCTGCGAACATCGGTATAGATATTCCCATCTTCTCCCAACTTAGAATCTCGTAAACACAAACAGCATATGAATGTCTTAGATTACCTACTTACTACACAACCCACGAAACCACAGGAAATAATTTTCCCAGAGTCATGCGCAGACAAGCCTCAGCTTATACTAAAACCCAACGTCCATACATGTAATTAGAAGTTTATTAACATCTACTAGCTTCAAAAATACATAGATAGTAGTCTTATGGGAGTCAGATTCCGCGCCGCCGAGCCAAAGGATGAGTGGGGTAAGGAAAGGATACGAGCTTCTTTCCTTATTTCTAGAGTATCGTGATTCCGCGTGCATTTTCTTGCAACGTACATGGAGTATGTGAGAAGTATCGTGAGCTAGTACAGAGGACCTGATGATCTGGTAGAAGAATTCGTTTACATAGAAACGAGGTAAGGGTGGGCACGATGATGGGTAACTACGCGTCAATGAGTATGTGGGTTATGGTATAGCATACCCAACTTCTACCATGCTTTCTAGAAGTACGTATACTCTAGATGGGCAAGATAGTAGATGTATGTAACATTATCCTAAGAGTGTTACATCACTAGGCCTTGCCGACGTAGAAGATAGGACGAGTACAGGACGGAATAGTCGAGTATCATTTTCTAGAACAGGACATGTCACGATCATATAAGGTAGAAGCAGATAATTCGAAGTGCAGATGCCACAACAGTGCAGGATCAGGGTCAATTAATTCTCATTCATCATTGACCTAAACCACGAATCTTACTCATTCGGTAAGAGCGAATTGGTATGCCATAGACGCCAGTTCCCATGCGTTGTGAAAATCAACCCTCTGCCAGATCCCTTTTTGTTTCATTACTAGAAGATGCTTAGTGACCAGCCAGGGCCTGAGCACGGCGGCGGTCACGCTCCTCGGCAATGGTGAGCTTGACACCGCGTCCCTTGGGCAGGGAGACCCAGGGTTTCTCGGAGCCGATGACAAAGACGTTGCTCTCACGGGTGGCGAAGGTGTTGTCGATAGCGTCCTTGATGTGGACGATGTTGAAACCACCATCGTGGCGCTCACGGTGGGTGATGACGCCGACACGACCCATGTTACGACCACCGGTAACCATGGCAATGGCGCCAGTGTCGAACTTGATGAAGTCGGTGACCTTGCCGGTGGCTAGTTCAATCTTGACGGTGTCGTTTACCTTGATAGCAGGGTCAGGGTAACGGATGCTGCAGAAAATAGAACGTTAGCATAGGCGGAGGACGGGGGATACATACAGCCATCAGTTCGAAGCTCGATCCTATCACAAGATGGGAAAAGGTGGTTCAACCAAAGCTTGATCCAACGGCTGAATGATGTCTGACAGAACTTACGTTCTCGCATCGTGCGTGACCAAGAATGGGATTCCGCCCTTGCCAAGTTGCACTCGCTTGACCTTGCCCAGCTTGTACTCGGCCTCCTCGGTCTGGATTCGATGGATTGTGTAGCGGCCCTTGGTGTCGTAGATAAGGCGGAAGTGCTCGCCGGTCTTGTCGATGGTAATGACGTCCATGAAGCCGGCAGGGTAGGTCATATCGGTTCGGACCTTGCCGTCGACCTTGACGAGACGCTGCATGAGGATGGCCTTGGTCTCGCGGTAGTTCAAGGCATACTTCAGACGGTTGCGAATGAAGACGATGAGGGGCATGCAGTCGCGAAGCTTGTGGGGACCGGCGGAAGCCTTGGGGGCGTAGACACCGGACAACTTGTCAAGAAGCCAGTGGGAGGGGGCGCTCAAGCGCTTCTGGTGCTTTCTCCTGTGAGTCGCAATTCAATTAGTATAGGCCATCATCGATTGGAAATTTTGGAACCGAAAAGCCCACGTCGGTGCGCGCTTCGCGAGAGCGACGACGGCTTCCCACGGAAATGGGTTATCTCGATATTTAAATGCGTATGTGTTGATCTGTATAGGATATACTTACGGTCCGCGAGCCATTTTGTCTGTTCAACGATAGGTATTGGAGATATCGTGAAGTTGGCAGGTCGTTGTGGAGGGTTTTCTCAAGGACGGAAAAAGTTGTTGAATTAGAATGCGACTAGGTTAATAGAATTTCGCTGGAAGTGAAAAGTTGTGGGTTGTGCCCTAGTGGGTCTTTTGGCTTGTGGGTAGCCTTTTCCTTGCTGGTCCGTGCACCGAAGTTGCGACTGATTTCTTGGCAATGGCTCTTGCCGGGATCGTCAAGTCCATCCAAATTCTAGACCCCTCATAGTGGAAGGATATCAAAACCATCACCAACCATAATCAGGTGTATGTAATCTGTGAGTTGCGCCCATCTCTTATATGCCACGTAAGTCAAAAAAAATAGATGTTACGCCAAGTATGAATGTTTGGATCTTTACATTTTAGTAATTGGTATGGGGCAGTTACATATTATAATTTATGGCTTATATCCAAGAGCTTGTAGAGTACGGTAGATTCTCAGAATCGCGCTCATCTTGTGCGAACAATCAACGAGAAGCAACTCCCAGGACAAGCTTGCTGCTACCTAGAGATAAAAATCGAATCTTCAGCTGCTTTCGCAAGCCGCATTTTCTTTCCTTCATTCCACGCGTGTATCATACCTGTTCGTTAGATTCGCTTCCCCAACTGCTAATACAACTAATATTGCACATGGCCATTCTGTAACGACAGGAGCATCATGCTGAAAGTAGCATGAAATTGGGTTGTAACCCATCTCAAAGTACGCCCTCGACATAAACTTGGGTCGAGTTATGGTAAGTACTGACTTCAATTCTTCCTCACACCTTCGGGTACCTCGTAGTCTATCCGTCTCGACGATTAACGTTAATCGCTACGATATTATCCCTGTCATATCTGCAGTTGCTATGAGCTCCCCAGACCTTCTCGGGCGTGTTGAATAGTAGACTTCCTCCAATGTAGTTGGTACATGTCATCCTAGACCACGCCTCTCCGAAGGCGGCTCGTTTGTGGCTTGCGTATCATCAAGAAGAAGACGTGATATGTCCATCTCCCCCATAGTCCCCGAAGTAAAGCCTGTGCCGGATGCTTCGTTCCAGTAGATGCCTGGATGATGTTGCTGGGGTGCTTCCCCAGTCTCGACAAGATTAGAAGGCATTGGCCACCTCGGTATGTCTTCTTTTGAGTTGGCTCGATTAAGTTGTGGCTCGAGCAAGGCCGACTTGGAAACATGTAAAGAATTCTCGATAGCCATATTGACTGAGGGCTCCATCAGACTATTGCCCCGCCCTGGCTCCCTCACTCCTAAAGCCGTCTTTTCCGTACCTGCAAATTTCTCGGGATACTTATTACGTAGTCTATCACGTAGATCCGTCGGTTGTCTAGTAGATAGGTTGAATCTCGAATCCCTCTGGATCTTCGTCCACTGAGGGCCATAAAGTTCAAATCCTTCCAGTATTTCCCTATCATCCTGCTCGGAAAATGGGCGTCGTTCCCTACGGTGCGATTTTTTGAATGGGCCTCTAATACCTAGTTCGACCAGGTCTTCCATCTTCTTCCGATGGGCCCGGCTCTTGCGCTGCCTGGCTGGCGTAGGATCAGAATCATTCGGACCTGATTGGGCCTGTTCGATCTCGGCCTCCTCTTCTGTTTCGTTGAGAATATTCTCGGACATAAGACCTTTCCTTGGTCTTCCTCTAGCATTCACAACCGATTGTTTCTCTTTGGGCGTATCACTTCTAGCTGCCGGGCTGGCACGTAGTTCCTCGGGACAACAAGTACGAAACCTATCTTTCAAGTCTCCCGCCGTCCTATCGTTAAACCTATACTCCGGATCTTCCAATATATCCGTCCATCTTCCGACACCATGTTTGCTCACACCCAACAGTAAGTGATTGGTCTCTTCTTCGGACCACTTGCGACGTGGCTTGGCAGCCCGCCGCTTGACTTTTCCCGTTGGTGTTCGCTCGGGCTCGGGCGGAGGACTCGGGTTTGTCTTTTCCTCTACCGTCTCCGATATATCGGGAGGCTTAGTTATGCTGAGAGCCTGCGGAGGCTCGGAATGCGGGCGGTTGTCGAAGGATCCGGAGGAGATTGGTGGGAATAGAGAAGCGTCGGATGGCGGCTCCAGTAAACCTACTATGATTGGAGGGAACATATGTTGCTGAGCAGTCGCTTTCTGTTTCTTCAGCGGCTGTGGCAGCTGAACGAAGTCTTCTTTCACTGGCCGTCTCTTCTTTCCGACATCTTCTGTGTTATCCGGCGTATCATCCAATATCATGCGCAAGTCTTGGGACGAGATGTGGCTTAGTAATGTTCGGTCCGATGAGTAACTTGCATCGGTCCTCAAGGCTAAGTTTGAAGTAGGAGCCTCGTCTACCACCGAATACAAGGAGGGCATGGATTGCGAAGCCAATTGACCCAAGTTCGAATCTGGCACCTCGGGTCTCTGGCTAGCATCGGGCTCGATAGGGTGTAGACGACCGGACGTCTTGGGAAGAGGAAGAGCTTTGATGGGGGGAAGTTCAGCATGGTGAGGCCGCGGAGTAGAAGCCGATTCGTTCAGCAGATGAATCAATCGTGGCTCGATGGTGGCCATCGTGAGTCGATGGTAGCGGGCAAGAGATGGTCATTGGGAGAGAGAAAAGGGTCCGGACGGACTCTTAGATTTTTTTGCACCGAGGGGAGGGGGGAAAAGAAGATGGAGGCGAGAGACAAAGGCGGGACAGCGATAAGAGTGAATGGGTGGTCGAGACTCGGACAAGTATACGGGAAAATAGTGACGGCACTACTGTTTGGTCGAAGAAAAAAATGGTACGAGAATTGAACACAGTATGATACTGTCTACCTGTTTGTGGCAGATACGTAGAGGAGCGAGGGAAAAGAAGAGAAGAAGAAAAAAACTTGGATAATGGCGCGAAAGAAGAGGAAGAGAAGAGAAAATAGTTTGTAGATGGCAATCTACTCAGATAGGTAATCAGCGCCGATTAACCTTCACTGGAGATCCTCGATGTGTTTGTGGCCCCTCCTCTCGACCTCTCTTCTCTTGTTTCTGGTATTATTCTCCAAAGGGGAGGGAATAAAATCAAGAGGAAAGATAGGGAACGAGAGCGAGAGCGAGAGTGAGAGAGAAAAAAAGACTTCTTCCTACCATTGATACATGCTATGCAGGTACTAGGAAAATGAAAGCGGTATTAGTGCGGGTTGGCCGCGTTTGCATTTTCCTTCCTCAACCCTGATGATCAACCCATCTTTCTCAACTGGAGGTACTTCACGTGAAAATACCATTTGATCCTGTTCTGTAGCAGAGCATGTAGACAGGCAGGTATATGTGTTAAGCATGTACTAAACTAAAAGTGCAATAAACCAAACATATTAGGTTATGTTGATTAGAAATACCATCCATGGATGTATGTATTCGCTGCTTGTCGGGGTGTCGGACTGCTAGGGGGATTGACCTGCAAGAGTGAAAAATATTCGATCGAATCTATTTTATGAAGTGGAAAAGAGGAAAAAAGAGAAGAAGGATTGATGTCTGGTTACACTAAAGATAACGCATTCCCTCTATGTAGGAAGAAAGAGGATCATCGGTGGGAATTCAATTAATCATCATGCCTTCTCGGCTGGTAAAATGCCAAGCATTTCTCTAATCTGCAATTGCCTGCAATTGAGATGGAACAGTCTGATGCATTCTTTCTCTTGTCACCTACTACCGTTTGATCCTTCCAGAGCCGGGGGAGACTTGTACCTGTATTGTCGCCCAATCGGGACGATGCCGCCACCCTGAACTAGCCGCTCTTTCCCCTATTCTGATATTGCGCTACACCCTCAGAAGACAACCACAACCCAACCACAACCACACCTAAGAAGTAGGTACACCCGTAGATATCATTCCACTTCGACTTACTCATCATATGTTGTTTATGTTAATATGTTTTTATGAGCATAACGAACCTCATTCATGGGTATCCAATTATAATTACATAGGCTTGTTGAAATAAATTGAAGGCGATATACCTAATATTACCTAAGTGAAACAGCTGCTTGAGACCGGAATTCGTCAGCTCCAACGCAAGTCTGCAAGCACCTATATTAGGAATAAGTGTATATTATCACCACCATTATTGTCCTCTCCTATCTTACCAAAGCCCTTAATATATACGATATCCAATCGACGATAGCAACGTTTTTAATTCCACAGGACAGAAAGCAACCATGGCCTCTCAACTCCCCGCGTTCCCCCGTACCATCTTCACTATCGTCGAACCCATCTCGCTGTAAGCCATAGCAACCTAATCAAAAATATCTCATAAACTCTTAACAAAGGTCAATTCAGCATCGGCGGCTTCCTAGGCCCCTTCATAAATCCCGACTGGTTCATCGCCTCTCAGCTCGACAACCCGGACGTCAACGATGTCCCTCAGAGCGACGGCAACGGGCGCCTAGTCGCCTACCAGCTAGGCAACGTCTACGGACTGCTCTTCCTTCTCGGTGTCGCGATGCTTCACACCACATCCGAGCTCAAGGTCGTCCGGAACTATCTCATCTGTCTATGGTTCGTTCTACATTTTCCTGTCCTAATTCTCCTAACTCTCCCGAACCGGTGACTGCAAGTGGGCTCTTAAAACTACGTAGTTGAAAGTGAGAACACGTGCCTCCCGGTTACTTACCTACCTATTCTGTGACTCCGGTAATTTATATTCGAGCCTAGACTAACATGGAAGATACAGGATCGCAGACATAAGCCACGTCGGGGTGACGTGTTGGATGCTCGGGTATGACAGGACCATGGACGTGGGTTCGTGGAACGCTGTGACTTGGGGTAACGTCGGGTTTACTGTAAGCTCTACCCTCTCCGTCTTCTCCCGGTTTCCTGCAGAAATACGTGAACGGAAATATATGCTGACGGGTAATCCCAAAGGCTTTTCTATGCTTGACTAGGACAGCCTACCTTCTAGGCCTCTTCGGACCAGATAGTCAAGTCGTCACGGCGTCTAAGAAAAAGGCATGAAAAATAGCCATACTCTGAAGGTAGTTTACACTATAGTAGCTAGCTGTGTCCAAATCACGAGCACAGGTAAATCCGATTATAATTAGAACCCTTTGAATTCATCGGAATATTTATGCCTCGATCCCTTAATAATGGGGATGGGTATTCCGGGAACGTAACTCATAATTGTACAGCAACCCTATCCCAGCCTCAATGCAACTTGCTTTGATGTCGAGAAAAGAACATTAACCCTTCCTTGCCAAAGCTATGCATGTCCGTCATACTAAACCTCCCATGTAAACAATATCAACCTCGCCGATCCTAGTTCTCACGAGGTCGCTTGGCGCCGTGGGGGTTCTGCCAGTCTGATTGTTGGTTTCCGCCGAAGAATGCTGGGTTGAAGTGCGCCGGTTGCTGGAAGCCCATCATGGGCATTCCCATAGGGCCCATGCCTCCCATCATGCCAGCGTTCATGGCGGGATTCATACCGCCGCCACGTCCTCCTCGCATGCCGCCCCCGCGCATACCTCCTCCGCCCGGCATCATACCGCCACCGCGGAAGTTAAAGCCGGGACCACCGCCGCCGCCTCCAGCCATGTTGCCAAATCCGCCTCCTCCGAAGTTGCCGCCTCCCATGTTATTGTTGAAGCCGCCAGGGTTATTGCCATGGAAACCACCTCCCATGTTGCCCTGATAATTGCCTCGGAATCCGCCTCGGGGACCATTAAAGCCACCGCCGCCGCGACCACGGAAGCCACCTCGATCATTGTAACCTCCCATGGAAGACCCCCCTCGGGAACCTCCATCCTTATTAGCTCGAGCAGGAGCATCCTTAGGAAGTGTCTTGAACGGGTTGGTGGTGTGGGAGGTGTAGATGACTGTCGTCTTCTTGCCACCAGGCTGCGCAAGCTCGGTTGCGATATTCTCAAACTGGCGCTTGGCTGCAGTGGCAGCTTGTTGGGAAGTAAATTCTACGTACGCTTGTCTATGGCGATGTCAATAAAGTGTGCGACAACTAAATTAGAATTATCAAGCGTTGCTTACCCCTTAGATTTACCGTTGACCTTATGCTCGCTAAATGTAATGTCCTTCAGCTCCTCCTCACAGGAAGCGCGACGGATCCAACCGCGGATATCATCATCAGTGGTCCACCACTGCAACTCAGATAGGAGGAGAGCGCTAGTGGCGCCGGGATCAATGGGGCGGTCATCAGATACCTCCTTGCGCTTCAAGCTCTGGCTAGGTGTTGCACGTTCGTTGTATGTATGCATGTTGTTTTGCTCTTCCTGATCATCGTGATGAGAATGCGCCATAGAATCGGGGTTAGAACCATTGGCTATTGTTATTGAAGAGTTATTCTCGTATGCGTGGTTGTTAGATTCTTCGGGTTTAGAACCATCGAGAGTGGTCGTGTCGGCATTCGTAGAGTCACCCGCATCGTTCGCGTCAGGCGCGTCGCCATAGACATCGATCTCGAAATCCTCGTCCGCCATCTTGAATTATCCGAAGTTCCGGTTTGGAAGAAACGGAATGGTGTTTAAGGAGAGACTAAGAAGTAAGGAATTGGATAAAAGGTAGGTCTGATATCTGTAAAGTGAGGATGTATTCAGAGTAGATACAGAAGGTGCCTGTCGTCTTCGACTCCATATCATCAGTCAACCGGAAATACATGATGCGGAATCCTCAGCTGGAAAGATAGAATAAACAACAGCAAGAGGAAAAAAAGAAAAATCACACAATATCGAATACGTACAATTCGCAGCCTTTGACGTGAGATGTCCCCGGCGTGCTGAGTCCCCTAAGCAAGTGTTTCCTTCTTAACGACGATGATGGGACTTTGAACTAATGGAGATAATCAAAGACGAAGCTCTGTGCCTGCAGTCTCCTCGCACTCTTCCTCGAAAGAATATCGCTGGCAGGTCCCCTTTCTCCCAATATGTCTTTATGTTAAACCGTTATGCGATTCCGATAATGATGGTGTAGTTAGAGTACAAGTAGCTTGATGTCCGACAGGATAAAAAGATGTAGAGTGGATAATCCCGAACTCCCCATGAATCTCTCTTGCTGCTATGGGTCGTATTATTAGTACAGTATCACCCGCCTCTCTTATTGTGAGATAAGAGCGAGTAATATGAGGAAGGAAGGAGTAAACCCCTCTCCTAGACTAGTTCAGTGAGTATAGGAAAGGACGCAAAATTGAAAGGCCTAAGGGTGCTCTAGAGAACCAGGCAAAAAAGGGAATAGGGAAAGGAGTTGTAACGCGTCGTAAGCGACTCAAGGGGTAGAGAGGGCTACTCCGATGCGCATAGTCGACAAGTCGGTCAACTCAACGCGCTACACTTGGCCAGGACGGAGTAATGGAGTGTCGTATGGGTCAAGTCTGTCGTCTCTGTCAATGTAAGTCAAAGACTTGGAGAGGAGTGGATGTTGGTTCAGATTCGATTGTTGAAAGTCGCCGATGGGAAGAAAGTTCAAGGGTGAGTTGAAAGCCTGAAGAGAGCTTAGCGCTGAAATGGACAGAGCAGACAGAGCTTCGGGACCCGGAGGACCCACTATAAAATACTCTAAGGAGCTTTAATATGGACTGAGGCTGCGGGCAGACAAGGGGAAACGATGGATACATGCATAGACCATTTTAGCGCTGTACCTTTTTAAAGCCCAATACGATAGTACAGAGGTACATGATATCGAACTCACGTGCACTGGTGTGTTCAACTTCAGCGCATCTACTCCGTACGCAGTAGAGAAGCAGGCCAGATTGCACATGTGCAAAGTAAACACTAATCCACTTTCGGAAATAGCATATAATTTGTGGACCCTGAACATTTACCAGGAAATCTGGCCCTTATCCATGAATCCATTATCCATCACCTACATCTCCAAAATCTCCCAACGCCAGCAACTCGATTTCCTCCTATCCTAATCATAATTACTCCCGACAACATCACTCTCCGCCACTACGCTCCTCTATACTAATAACAACTTTGTGCCTAATCCTACCCATTCACCATGTCGGAAGTACAAGATCTCCTCGAAATCCCCAAGGACTTCGTCAAGGACGGCACGCAATTCATGACGCGATGCACTAAGCGTATGTCAACCTTTGCATCATATTCCCAATTCTCTATTTACGTCCTCCGTATTCCTGCCTGGAAGCACGCGTCACAACCTCAGTAGGCAGAGACGAAGAAAGAGCAAGATGAAGTGAAGGGCAGGGCAAAGAAACAAAATGAGCACGAGGACTGGAATTAGAATGCTAACAGTTATACTTCGTGCAGCGGACAAGCGAGAATTCATCCAGATCAGCAAGGCTGTTGGTGTCGGTTTCCTAGTCATGGGCGCTATCGGCTACTTGATAAAACTAAGTATGGTCTCCCTCGCCTTATGCAGAACGAAACAATCGTTGTTAACACATTTGTCGCAGTTCACATCCCCGTCAACAACATCCTAGTCGGTGCCGCGTAGAATGGCTTATAGCTATATGAGGACTGGTCATTCATGGGGAACGGTTTGATGGTGGTGGCAATGGCGATGGTCACGGTCACGGTGAAGGGGGTGGCGTTTAGTGGAGGAACATAAAAACAAAACGACGCCTTTAATACCACACTGCGAGATATCGACAGTAGTGTGATCCTATACGATATACGAATTCATCGCGATTTGGGTCGAGGAAAAGTTACGGTCTTGTCAGATCTTTAACAGGCGCTCGAGCTTATGGGATCATAGGATGTCCTTCTATACTGTCTTCCCAAGTTAGGACCTTGCTAGGCCACTGTACAAAATTTCATTGCAATATCCGATCTAAACGAACAAGATGAAGAGCTCGGTCCTAATACCTTCATGACTTTCATCCTCAGAAATTTCCTAGACGCCTAAACATGTCATACTGTAAATCCGTTAGTCATGTATCACTTACTAATCCTAAATTTTCATGTCCGTCACATAACACCTTTTAATTGAAGATATCATCGTCTTCTTCGTCCTCAAGGTCTGAATCGTATCGAGCGACACTACGGCCGACGCTCATCGGTCTCAGCTTCTCATCGTATCCAGTGCCCATCCGGGGTTCCCCCTCGTCAAATGAGGATTCATTATAGGAGTGTAATGAGACGGTGCCCATAGCATTATCCCAGCCGTTCAACGACGAGGCTATTTCATATTAGTGTATTTTCCCCTATTTATCATATTAGTCAAACTTACCAGCAATGAACGGGGCATTAGGATGCCAACTCGCATCCCTCACGACCGTAGACCACCCGGGCAGGCCACCATTATAGAATTGGCGGAACGATCCGCCTGCTCGCGGTAACGTCCGAGCTTGAGATGTCGAATTCTTGACGTCAATGGTGGCAGCGATCGTTGCGTCCATATTGTAGACGTATACCTTTCCATCATGGCTGCCCGAATACACGTATCGAGAGTTGGTGCTCCCAGGGGGCGAGAAGTGACAGCGAATCAGTGTCCGGAGAACCTTGTGGCCGCGGAACGTGACAAGTGAGTTGTCGTCTGGGTGTGGGAACCAATCCGTGTCGTCAAACTGCCCCCATCGGTAGTCAAACTCGCTAAACCGAGTGTGACGCCGCGGGTTCTTTTCTTCGAATTGCGCTGTGGTATACATCATCTTGAGATCCCACAGCTTCATGCTCTGATCCTTGCCATTGCTTATCAGATACCTTCCGTCATTCTTGCTATCAATGTACGTGAGGCCTTCGATGTGACCGACAAACGCGCCGGCCTCGCGCCCATCGCCCATGCTCCGCCTATCCCACACCTTGATTGTGGTATCGTCACTTCCCGAATAAAGGATGTGCGGCGACGATTTATCGGCGAAGCACACAGCATTGACATCGTCATCATGTCCTTCGATCGAATGCAATACCGTCCGCGACTCAATATCATAGACCACTATAGATTTTTTGTTCGTTCCAGCAACAAGCTCCCGTCCGTCACCAGAAAACCGAATCGAAAAGATACCAAACTCTGCGTGCCACCCAACTCCCCCGGTTGATGATAAATTTAACATATAAGGGTCACCCGTGTCGTTAGGATCCGTTGGCGCTAAGCAGACGTTGTCTTGGATTGAGGTGTACGCTAGCCACTTATTATCAGGACTTAACGATGCGTCCGTCAACGTCCAAGACCCAAATGTGAAGGGCACTGTCTTGTAATGCCGCCAGTTATAAGGATTGGAAGTGTCATACATCCGAACTTTCATATCCTTAACGCACGCGAAGAAGAAATTGCCATCATCTGAGAATTGGCCAGAATAAACATTGTCGTCATAATTGATAATCATATCGGCAGCCGAGCTAGGGATCATAGACTGCGCCATCAAGCCTTGGTTGATCTTGCGCGATGATCTGTTCCCTATGCCTAATTCGCGATCCAATATCCGGCGAGCTAGCCGCTTCTTTGACTGGATAGGGCTGTAAATGTCGTTGACGCCAAAGTTGCCGGAATCCATCAGCTCCCTCCCCTCATCACTGGGGACCTTGGGAAACCTATCCGGGTCTAATTCACGCCTTCGTCTCCCAAACTCGTCGTCATCTTCGCCGAATGCTAAGTGACCGAGGTTCGATCTTCGAAGGAAGTCTAGTACTTGACGTCGCGACAACAGACCAGTTCGACGACCTACTTATAGAGGGTCAGGACACAAATGACCAGATACTTATGTAAAGGTAGGGTCGCACTACTTATTAAGTTAATTAGACGCTGTTGTATGGCAGTCCGTTCGGCATCGGGGGATTGCGATCCTTCCGCATTGCCGCCCTCATCGTCATCGTCATCCTCTACCTGGACCAAGAATTGAATGTGTCCCTCTTCGGCATCTGCGTAGTATGTCAATCAGGTGATAGTCTAATACGACCGTAAGTTTGACGGACCATGAAACTCATCCTCTTCCTCAAATAAGTCATGCTCCATATCATCTTCATCTACTTCATCATCCTCTTCTTCGTTGTCTTCGTAGTCGGGGTCATGGTCGTCGTCTTCATTGTCTTCGGCGGCGACATAATACTGCGGACGACGGCCTTCGGCATTCTCGGATCCTGAACTACTCATTGTATCTAGGCCGTAAGCTCTAGATTTGTATGCCTAGCAACAGTCTGAGAATCGGCGCGGGTTTACGTAGATTAGGTAGATTATTACGGTAGCAGCAGCCTTCCTGTTGGCAGCTATAGGATGGTTAATTCGATGGTTCGCAGTCAACTAGAGGTAGCAAGATCAAGGACTAGATGAAAGGGATATTAATTAGACAGTTTGCGATTAATGATTTGGACCTGCCGAATAGCGAATACTGATACTTCCAAGAAACAAGATCCAAAAATGTACTTTTCCTACGCCTTACATGACGACACCGGAGTTAGGAATGGTTTTATGTCGACTCAGCCGGTCTCGATTGGCGGGGTGTTTGATACAGCTTTATCGTTACTGCTAACACCTTGGTTCCGGTCCAGGATCGGTAAGAGACGTCGGCTTTTATGCCGGACTTAACGAGAAACCGCTGTTACCTCTTCTGTTCTCCGCCATAACAGCCATAACAGCCATAACAGCTCATTTTCAATGTTGCTGTTAGAATATTGGAACGTGGAAACAGATGCAACAATTGATATCCATGAAAACTAACGGATGTTTCCAATTCTATATTTGTCCTGGTATAACATGAGTTGTCATTTCATAGATCTGAGTCACAAATACCTAGTACCTACCCCTACCTAATTAAGAAGGCAGTTAATTAACTTCCAAGGTTCTTAGACTATGAACCTTATTCAGGTTACAACTTGGAAACTACCCACTTACTGAGAGATACCATAAATATAAAAGAGCTATCAATAAGATATAAGACATTCATAGGATATAACGATGGCATAGCTGCTCAATTTTATAAACGACATGATAACATTAAACTTCATTTATTGGCGTTATTAATCAAGATCCTTGATACTCTTGAAGTCCGTGGTTTCCAGGTTTCCAGTTATAAACAGCCGGTAGTTACGAAACACAAATTTCTTCACCTTCTTTTCCTTTTCCCTCTTTAGGTCACACTCGCACCAACCTTCTCACCACAACTCCATGTTTGCCCGAAGAGTAATGAAAATGACGACCTTAATCATTCATTATGGCAGGCAAGAGAAGTTATAGTCTTAGTGTTTCATTGCCCTTTTCCCGCCTTCCTTCTATACGTTCGGATCCGTCACGGGCCATCACTTCAAATCGAATACTACTACAATATCTCTTACTTAACCCGTGATTATGGAGTCCCACGAAGAGCTCCTCGACTGGGCCACAAGCCAAGGCGTCAAAATGACTGGCATTGCACCAAAACGCATTCCCGGTCGGGGAATTGGTCTCCTTGCTACTCGGGCGATTAAGGTCAGCCACGGCCTTTCAACTTTCTTCGAACTCACCCGTATTAAAAGTAAACTAACAACTGTATTAGCCGGAAGAAATATTACTGGAAGTGCCCACGGCGTGTCTGCGCAGCATAGACACAGTCCGTAAACCAATAGCCCGGCACCTCCCCAAGACCATCTCGGTCCACGGTCTCCTCGCCGCCGACCTAGCCTTGGACACATCGTCCAAGTACGCGGTCTGGAACGCCGTGTGCCCGACCCCCGAGGACCTAATCAGCATGCCGCTTGTCTGGCCCGAAGAGCTGCGCGCCCTGCTGCCCCGCGCGGCGCGGGACCTGCTCGCGAAGCAGGACGCCAAGTTCGCCAAGGACTGGGCCGCGGTGTCGGCGGCGTTCCCTGCGCAGCAGCTGGGCGAGCCGCGGTACAGGTATGCGTGGATGCTGGTCAACACGCGCACCTTCTACTACGTCAACGCGAAGCTGAAGAGGCGCGTCAAGGACGACCACATGTGTCTCCAGCCCGTCGCCGACTTGTTTAATCACGGCGACGAGGGCTGCAATGTGGCGTTCGACCACGAGGGGTTCGCCGTCAAGAGCTTGCGTGCGTATGCTGAGGGCGAGGAGGTTAAGATCTGCTACGGGAAGCATAGTGGGGATTTCTTGCTCGTCGAGTATGGGTTTGTGATGGATGATAATCGTTGGGATGAGGTTCTTCTTGATGATGTGCTTTTGCCGCGGCTGAGCGCTCGGCAGAAAGAGAGGTTGGAGGAGGCTGGGTTCCTGGGGAAGTATGTCCTGGACCGGGAAACTGTCTGTTATAGGACACAGGTTGCTGTTAGGTTACTGTGCTGTGGATTTAGGGAGTGGAAGAGGTTCGTGGATGGGATTGATGATGGCGAGCACAGCCAGCGAAGGGTGGATAAGGTGCTTTTGGATCTATTACGGGAGCAGGACCAAATTGCCGAGAAGACAATATCTGAGATCGAGGCGCTGGCTATCGGTGACCAACAACAAAGGGAGATATTAGTGAAGAGGTGGAGACAGATTCAAGATTTGGTTCGGACGAATCTTGCACGTCTTGAGATGAACAATAAATGAAAACAATATATGGTTCACAACGACAAGAAATCCATCTTGATTAATCCAAGATGGACCATTAAACATTGATGGGCGTTTATGATAATATAGTTACAAGCAAGTCACGATGCTAACTTGCGCCCAAACTTTTCTGTCCAAAACGCCTTGTGTTGATGCACCCCGAAAACCCGTCTCCCCATTTTTGATCATGCCGTTTTAGTATCTCATAATACAAGGTTATTTCATGAGCCATGTCGTCGATATTATTTTTCGGGGTTTGAAGATAAGCCCGTTTCTTTTCTCATAGCCTCTTTTCTCGCCTCAGCTTCTTTAGCGTTGAGGAAGTCTTGACGCAACATGTCTTCCTTTCGTTTCCGCAAGGCTTCTTCTTGTACCGTCCATACTGTTATCTCTATGTTAGCACATCCCGCATGATCCGCGCATATAATATTAACATATCCTTGGGCATGGAGGAAGGAGATAGGGGGTGTTCCACATACTCGGTTTATCAGATTTCGAGTATTCTTTGAGCTGGACCACGAAATCGTCGAAGTCTTTCTGTCTCTCGTACCGCCGTTCTAAGCTCTTCTTCTGCAGATCGGGATTGTACTTCTTGAACAGCTCCTCTTCGGTTGGTTGCACCCACATGACGAGTGCTGGCCCTCCTATGCACATAACGCCGCCACTACGTATCAAGGTGTTAGTTTCCTTGTTGGGTCAGGTGGCGGCGAAGGCTGCTGTTGGAGGCCTTATGCGCTTAAGATAGATCAGGTGGGCAAACATATTAGAGCACGCTTACTTACGCAGCCAGCATTTTGAGCCATGTCCCAAGCCTCCCTGACCTAGCCGCCATCTTAGGTGGGTTTGTTAGTATCCTAGAGCGCCTATTAATTGGCGTGGGTGATGTGTTTGGAAGGGCGCGCAAGAGCTTGATACTGATGCATATCAATGGCGATTTGAAGATCAATGACGAAAGTTCATTGTCAAGGTTTCCCCATTACATAGCTTAGTGTGGCTGATACTCGGTGGCTGAGAGAATTATCGCAAATCATGAATTCCGAACATTCTATTGGGTCACGGGCCCGCGTCCTCGGTGTTTCATCCTATATCCATGTCACACGTGAACTTTTCTCAACGTTCTAAAAGTCTGATTTATCCACTCAGGAGACCCACAACATCACAAAGTTCAAAGCTCATTTTGTGACATTAGGCATTATGAAGATATCCATTTGTTTGTTTGAATAGGAAAACAAGCTTGATCGAATGATTGATTATCTAGCAGGTGCTGTTTCAATCGATCTGACCCCACATCCATAATGCGGGACTTTAGCTTCTTGCATTTCCCAATGGCTTGGGTTATCTGTTAGCGCTTCCATTAGCGGCATAACACAGAAAGACTGTCTTACCGTTCAAAATAGATGGAACCAGAGGAAGTCGACTGAGAATTCGAGTTGACGTTCTACAGGGGAAAAAACGGTTGTCTAATGAAATGACACAACGCATATCTAAGTAAACAATTCTCCTACAAGCTGTTCCGTTTCTAAAGTGCCCGATCGGTCAAAGCACGTTGCGCTTATCCATTCCAAACTGTTCACCGGCTCGGGTCATCCCGTTGCCTGATGTTCACCTTATTCAGCTGGGCATGGATATATCTTCGGCAAGAGCAAGTCTATTATTTAATTGATTTTAAGGGTTAACTACTTTAGTGCTCCGAAATTCAACCAGCTATGATGTTATTTCAAGAAATATCCCTTAGTTGCGAAAAGAAAACAAGTAGTTTCCATTTTGGTATCCCGTGATGGTTGCAATGGTTGAATAAAACCTGGATAGCGCATCTGGGCAGTACCCGGTCCCCGGCATTACGAGTGGACGTGTTCATGCTGACAGGGATGGGTGAGGCTGGCTTCACCTCTGCGAGGTACCCGAAGGGGTTGCTACGCCAATCAGATATCGCAGCTACGGCGGCCCTTGTTGGTTTTGATACTACGACTCTGCTTCACTATGGCCGATTTCTATGTTCATGTAACATGCCTCGGGAGGCCACGAGGCCACGAATTCATTTCCACCTTTGTCGTTTCGGCGACTTAGCAACTCGCAATATTACCTGGGTAGGTAATACCATAGCTCTTCTCTATGAGCCATAAAGTCATGAATATTTAAGGTTAGAATAGTCTTTTAATTACTTTGATGTTGCAGATTTGACAAGCGCACGAAGTGTTTGTTCCATGTATTACTCCTGCTGTGCACCCATCCTTGTTTTATCTTTAAACCACTTGCGCTGTCCTGTCAATCTGACCTTGTCAAGGCTCGGGACCTAGGTAGCCAAAATTAGATATTTATGTTGGTAGATGCTCTTTACTCGGCTCTCTACATCGTACTAATAGCAACTGCTTTTATCCATTATAATCCCTCGATCGGCGTGCAACTGAATTGTTAAAGATATAAAAAAAGTATGGAGAGGGATGGAGAGAGGCTTGGATTTTCGGTCTAATATGCAGAGTAGATTGTAAAACAATTCATTTCTCAGGCCTCCTGATGAGGTCTTCTTGGCATCGCACCAGTTCAAAGAAGTGTCATCGAATGAACCAAGCTTATGGCTATTTTCGTACAAATAAAAGTCGTTAAAATGTCACTTCTCTAGCTAAAATAGTGCATTAGATACTTAATCCAACGTAACCATTTAGCGCGTGGACATCCCGCCTGAACTCGGATAGCTTAACCGGCACACCTGCCATTTGCTTAGAATGGCGGGAGGGCTGGAGGGGCAGTCGCAACTAAAAGCCCAAAGTAACCTTGAACGCTTAGTGCGTAGTGACTCTCCATACATATTCCATTTAGGTAGGGCAGTCAGGCAGGACAGGGCAGGTACACACGATTCCTCTACCGGTGCCCATTATTAGGATCCTCGAGTTTCCAATTGTTCCTCTCTGTTACCCGAATTTCCGGCTCATCTCGAACTTCACTTCCACTTTTTTTTTCTTCCCAACTCCTACACTAGACGATCGTCCTCGTTACTCATATTCTACTTTACCCTTCTGCAGAGCAGACATAATAGTAATTATAGGGACCGAAAAAAGGGTCATGCTTGTTCAGACACTTGCGCGCCGACCATAGTACATTCCTTTCATCACCAACCAACCTACCTTTTATTTTCCACCATTCACATTATTCACATCATCCGCATCATTATTGGATCATTGACGAAGTTTCGCCCTTCCATTCTCTTTCAAACCCTCTCAATATACTTTGTCACCGAGTCTGACGATTGCTACACGAGACGCTACAGGCATAGAGCTTGTCACTTATAGTCGGCGGAATTTCCAAGGTTTCCCTCCAACTCACAGCGGCACATATCCACTCCTTCGTATGATGCTCTAGCATCGCTTTTCCACTTCACGGCTGTCTTCAAGAAATCTCGTTATTCGCAGGTGGTACCAGGTCGTTGATCATCGAGTGATTTTGCTCCCTAATTTCGCATGCGCCATCAGCTCGTGCCGTGACATCCTTTAAATCTTTTGGCCTGCAGTGCGTCTCGGACAAAGCTTGTCAGCCAATCCCGAGCCAAGTCTTGTTGCGTTTCCGCATACATTAGTCTCCCGAAACCGACGATCGTTACTGAGCCGAAACGCTCAGGTACAACTACAGATCCAGATTTAATACCCTTGCGACAGCTGTTAGCCCAATTCTGGACTCGACTTTTAGTCGTTAGAGATTTCATCGCGCAATATACCGACGCTTCCTGTAGAAACAAGAGAAAGCATTGTGCTTAGGGGAAGCCTGGCAGCGACTACCTAGGCATCAAGCCGTAGATTTTTGGGAGCCTCGCCTTACAACCCCAAACCAAAACTTGCGGAATTGTCGGGCTTCGAATTGCAGAAGATGGCATACAACGGCGGATACCAAGATCAACAACGTCCCTACGCTGGACCGGCAGCACGAGTGCCTCGTGGCCCTTCTCGAGAAGGATACCCTCAGGCACCTCAACACTACGACCAATATCAAGATGGTTATGACTATGGCTACGATGAATATGACAACGGTTACCAACAAGATTACGGCCCACCACAAGACATGAATTACGGTAGACGACCACCGCCCAACCAAGGTTATCCGCCGCAAGATATGTATGGCTCTCCTGGGCCTGGTGCTCCTGGCAGAGGAGGTCGCCCTCCCCCACCCGGTGCTGGCGGAAGAGGCGGACCAATGCGAGGTCCTCCTTTTCCGCGCGGTGGTGGCCCTCCGAATCTCGGCAGAGGCTACCCACCTCCTAATCGAGGCGGGCGGCCAGGGCCTCCAGACCGATCCATGACATCAGACCCGAATGGTAAGAGGGTATAGTTTTCAAGAATGAGAGACTCAGGCTGATTTTAATAGCAAACCACCACGCACCTCCTATCACGAGCCCGAACGAGCAAGATTTTGGCAGTCCGTTTCCCGTTTTCCCCGGACATGGCAGAAGGTCAGATTTGGACGAGGAAACCAACATCTTGAATCGGATGGGTGGAATGGATTTAAACGGAGGACGACCCGATATGCCACCTAAGAATGGTCCTAGACCCGGTCCAGGGAGAGGTCCAGGTCCAGGACCCAGACGGGCGCCGATGATGGATGACTACGGACGTCCGTCCATGGACAGTCAAAGAAGTGGACGAGGACCTCCACCACAAGGATATCCCGATCCAAGGCGAGGCCCACCACCCGACCAAGGTTATGGATATCACGATGATGGATACGGACCCCCAATGTCGCCTTCAAGAGACGGATTTGGACCACCGGGTCGAAGCATGACAATGCCTGCGAATAATGAGTATATGCGAAATGGTATGCCACACCCACCGCCGCCACCGCGTATGGATAGTGCGCCGTATAGTAGTGGCCCTCCCGGACGCGGCCCGCCCCCTATGCGACCTTCTACGGCATCAGGCAACCGACCCCCTCCTCAAAGGATGTATCCTGACCAAGGTCCTCCGGGACCGTACAATAACGGTTCACTACAACCGCCGGGATGGAATGAAGAACAACCAGACCGAGGCTCTATCGGCGATTTGTACGACTCATACTACGACCAGAGAGTAAGTGGCGAGCAATATCCGCCTGGAAATAACGTTCGCGAAGACATCCCAGACTTTGATGCGGTTCCTTCGCAGGGCCCACGAGAATCGCTCGAGCAGCATATGCGTCCCGCCCAGCCGGGTATGCCTCAACCTGGACCTGCCCGTCAGCCCGAGATGTCGAGAGCCAAATCACAGCCGAACTTGCGCGAACCACAAGCAGCAGTTTTTGAGATGGCAGGTGACATGCCACCCGTACCACCGGGTGGGTTTCAGGCGTACAAACCGCCTGGTGCTGCACCTGGTTTGCCAAGTACACCGAATCCTCCAAGACGTAGTTCGGGAGGGACACCCCAGGGCGGACCTGGCTCCGGGCATCCAGCGCCTATCAGACCTGGCCTCATGCCAAATTCGATGGTGAATCTAAATGACAAACCGGCCCCGATTCGTAACTACACCGGTGGTACACCACCCGCAGCTGCCGGAGCACAAGGCCGAACCCCGCCGCCTCCGCCTCCGCAGAACGGACGACCGACGTCTGTCGCTGAAAAAGTCCCCGTCACACCCGAGGAACTAGAGCATTTGCGCAATATCATAAAGAATGATCCAAATGATCAGCAGTCTGCACTCACACTAGCGAAGAAGCTAGTTGAAGCAGCGGATGTTCTAGTTCCTAGGTTGCCCGACCCCAAAGCGAGAGCAAGGTCCCGTGAACGATATGTGATGGACGCGCATAAAATTCTGAAGAAACTTGTCAGCGCGCAAAATGGCGATGCCATGTTCTTCTTAGCCGATTGTATGGGTCGTGGTGCTCTCGGGGAAACAGATAACAAGGAAGCATTCACGCTATATCAATCTGCTGCGAAAATGGGACACGCTGCGGCAGCTTATCGGACAGCCGTCTGCTGCGAGCTCGGTAACGATGAAGGTGGCGGCACGCGTAAGGATCCGCTGAAAGCAATTCAGTGGTATAAGCGTGCTGCAACACTTGGTGACACGCCGGCGATGTACAAGGTTGGAATGATCATGCTCAAGGGACTGCTTGGTCAGCCTAAAAATCCCCGGGAAGCTGTCGGATGGTTAAAGCGAGCGGCCGAGCGTGCAGATGCGGAGAACCCCCACGCTCTGCACGAGTTGGGGCTCTTATATGAGTCGGCGCAGCCAAATGATGCCATTCTACGTGATGAGGCATATGCCCTCCAATTATTCGAACAAGGGGCCCAGCTCGGGTACAAATTCAGTCAGTTCAGGATGGGATGCGCTTACGAATATGGCTTGATGGGATGCCCAGTTGATCCACGGTTATCTATAATGTGGTATAGCCGGGCTGCGACGCAGGAGGAACATCAATCCGAACTGGCCCTTAGCGGATGGTATTTGACGGGGAGTGAGGGTGTCTTGCAGCAGAGCGACACTGAGGCGTACTTGTGGGCTAGGAAAGCAGCCCAAGCCGGCTTGGCCAAAGCGGAATATGCTATGGGTTACTTTACCGAAGTTGGAATCGGCGTACCTGCAAATATGGAGGATGCAAAACGGTGGTATTGGAGAGCAGCAAGTAAGTTCATACCGAGCGCCTAGGACTCAAATCTATTACTGGGCATGAGGAAACTAACGATGATATAGGCCAAGATTTCCCCAAAGCCCGCGAACGACTGGAAGATCTTAAGCGGTCTGGTAGGAATGGTCCTCGTCAACGTGAACGCATCTCTCGAAGCAAGATCGGCAAACAGCAGGAGGGCGAGTGCTCCGTAATGTAGAACGTTCGGACATCGAGTTCTCAACTTGTAGTTGATCAGAGTGAAATCGAGGACCAATTTCCGAATTTCTCTCGTCCGGGTTCGAGACGGAATAAACCTTCAGCAAGCAGCGGTTCAATTAAATCGACAAGGCCCATTCACAAAATCCTAGGATGGATTCGTTAGGCCTGGTAATCGGCAATATGCCAAAAAATAAACTAAGTTCCATTTTAGGGTTGCATATCGAGTTGAGTGAAAGTTGTAATCTCATCGGCCGGTACGCGGAGTACGGAGAGAGTATCGGTCTTAGTGTTTTTCAAGATACCAAGCTCTACCCAGCAGAGTGAGGATTTATACCCCGAGTTGGACAGTTAGTCGGTTCCAAGCTCTTCTGCAAGCTTGAGACCATAGAAGATAGTCTAGAATAAAGAGATTTCCACTGCATCTACGCCTGCTGACTATTCTCCAAACTGTCGAGTCATTTGCATAGAAATGGGTTTCGTGAATTGCGCAGCATTTCGATTGGTGTTCGAGAAGTTGCTAAGACTTACGTGCAGTAGCTCTACGGCGGCCTGTTCGTTCAACTAGTATGCCAAAAAAATATTTTTTAAGGATATTGCTTAAAGGGGTAAAGAATACACTTTAGCCCCTAATTTCTCTGATTTAGCGTTGATAGATTAGTACTTTGGATGTTTGATTTTATAAATTTAGTTTGGCATGTAAGGTATAAGCTTGCTCATATAAAATTAAGTGCCAGGCCATGTTCCTTTGATAATTTGATTTTGAAGTAAGCTATGTATTGAATGATTGAATGATTGAATGATTGAATAAGTGGTACCTTGGTAGAATGTTACGTAAGCGGTTGACTGCGCGGGACATACTACCTAGGTAGGTATTTCTGAAGCTATTCCCAACCTTACTACTTGTAATCTTAGCATTCGAGTTATATGAGCTTTATTATTAGATTAAAGAATTAAGCAGTTAAGCTGTTAAAGCAAATTTCAAGCCAATATGTCGTCTATAATTTAACCCATATGTTAGGTAGGTAGGCTGTTTAAGGTTTTGAATTATCTTGATTACTTAAGTATATAATCTAAAAGCTAAGCTCACCTATGATTTTCTAGCTGCCAGTGATAGCAGGTACTTACTTATACAAGTAAATCTACATATAAACTTATGTATTACCTGTTGAATTTGCTAATCCCCAACTTATTGCTCTACTTTTATGTGTATTCATCTAACAATTATTAGTAGTGGCTACATATCTACTATTCGATTAGGAATGGCCAACCCTATTTTCCAGCGCTCTGAATTTTTTTGGCATAGATGTACGTACGAACAAGCCACCACAAGCTCCTCCGTCCCGTGTCCCCAGACCGTAGCCGCTATGCTTTTTGCCTGGCTTTTCTCGGTATTGAACAATGTCGAACATTAGTACAAAGGGCCCTTTTTCTGCCGCCCTATTGCACGCATGGAATCACAGCATACGGTTTGCATAGGTGGCTGCACAATTATTGGCTTCAAGCGGGAACCATCCTTGTTGTATGTATGGCCAGGTATGGCTTAGTCTTATACATATCTATGTACCTCTCTTGACATCCAGGGGTGGGAGGTGCAACGGTACAGTGAAACCCTACCATAACGGTAGGAAAAAAATCAGGACTTTAAGATCGTTAAAACGAGGTATCGTTGTAAAAAGCTACCCACTTTTGGCAAATATTTCCTAAAATAGCCAAGATTTTGACGCATGGGTAAAAATATTATCGTAAGTGGTAATAAAGTGGGTATATAATATCTTAAAACGGAAAGATACCTATATATAACGATTTGTTTAGTGAGAAAAAATGAAACTAACGATAATTCGTTATGACAAAATTATCGTTATTTTACATATAAAATTCGGGAATCCTGAAAACTTTATCGTTATAATGGGGTATCGTTATACACTAGGATCGTTATGGTGCGGTTTCATTGTACTGCTTTTGTGGAGCACGACTTAGAGTAGGTACCTAGGTACGTAATATTATCACTACGACCTACCTAGGTATTGAGGCTTGAGACGGGCAATTTCTGTTAATCCTACGACGATCACTTCAAACTCCTTTCTGTGTTACCTTTTTCGATCAAAGCCTCTACTATTGTTTGACGACCGCGTCGCCATCTGTCATGTCTTCATACTGCTCGTCTGTCTATATAAAGCCCCGCTTTCCTACGCATGTTGTCCACTTCCTACCACCTCTTTTTATATATATATATATACCATGATCTCTACATTCTTTGCCTGAATGCTACGGAGCACGGGTAATAACCTATGAACTGTAAGTAATAAACCTTAATATCCCTTCGTTTACATCTCCTAACCTCCTTTATGTTCCTATGGAGAGTTTTAAAGTCAACTGTGTGCTGTTATATTATGGAGGCATGGCCCTACGAGATGGTCCATAAAATGAACTTGACACTTGGAACAAGGCAGCTCCTGACATATTGGCTACTCACACACTATATTTCTACCCCAACACTGACACTAACTTTGATGCAGTCAAAGCCGTTCTCAAAGAGAGTGAAGTCTCTCTTTATTCCTATACGGCCTGTAGGTCCTCTTGCGAGGAATTCGATGATATGGAGGTGTTGGTCGATATGGACTCTCTCTTAATTATGAGTCGTTGCATCATCCAGAATTACAGTGATAGGCCTCGTTCAACGACCGAAACTAAAGGAGGAAGCCAACATTTGGTGAGTTATTCGTGTTTATTAGGACTCACTCTCTCTTTAGCCTCGACCTCGAACTCACTGTATGGATTAGCAGTCTCTGGCAATTTCCGCATCTAACAATGGCACCGTCATCGTTCTAGAACACATGGGAAATGGCAGACCAACTCGTACAGTAGTTAGGAGCTATGAGCCCGGAGGACCGTCATGCGATTCTAATGGATCCAACGACAATGGTGACTATTCATCACCATCACAAACTTCGATTGGCGCAGCTCTTTCTGACTCTGACGACGAAAGTGATTCAGGGGTTGATGTTAACTCTCGTCCTGATATTGGCACGCTTCCAAAACAGATAGAAGCAGTTGTCAAAAATGACCCAACTCCTACGAGCGTTCCAAGGCTGTTTTGGTACCACTGCAAGACGGAACCGACCTCCATCAACAGCGTATACGTACGTGTCAGGTCTCCCGGCCTCATTTATCGATGGAAACCAGGGTCTACGATCACATTTAATGTGAATTGTGATAGCTTCCCCAGCACTACCTATAGGGAATACGCCGCCGCTAGTCTCGAGAGGGCAGCCGAGGAAAGGAACAAGGGCAAGGTTGGCGTGCGGTTCGAAAGAATCGCAGACGAAAAACCTGCCGTATTCCAACTCAAATATTCTGATTGTTGCCGATGCCACCCAGACCACTTGGCGGTGTCTTTCTTCCCTAGAGACCCGCCCTCTGATCGACGGCTATGCGTGTACGGACCAGCTTTCGAAGACGCGCTAATCCATAAGCACATGGCAGACATTTTCTGCCATGAGCTTGGTCACATCCTTGGTCTGCGTCACGAATTCGCACAGACGTGCCCGAAAGAGCAGCAAGATCTGTCAGTACAGTTGGGCAAACGCAATGATTCATCGGTTATGAATTACTTCGACCACCCGGGCCTGTTTCGCATCCAGGAAACCGACTATGATGGCGTGAGACGACTTTATGAGTCTTGCAATGGTGGACTTGACGGATACAAGATTGTGGATGAATCTCCTAGACCTTTTGCACCTTTGTAACATTTCTACCTAAGGCAAATGTTATACTTGCGAGCTTGCAAAGCTGCCTATCACGCTAGAATCTGTTATGGGAATCTAGCGGTATATTTCTAGTTTTAAATGCGTGTAATTGCCCTAAGAAGATATGTTCGTGGAGTTCTCGTGAGCCGTTAGTATGAAAGTATACGTGCTACTTGCGCCGTCTTACTCAGCGTGCCCCTTCGGGGCACCGCGCTTATTTGAAAGTGTGATTTCGCTAATCGAAGCGCAGCGCCTTCCAACGTACCTATTGGCGGGGTTCATTTTGTGCCACTCGAGAGGTCCCATTGCAGCGACTGGATATAACACTCCAAGCGTAGGTGGCTAGCCTTGCACCACAAAGATCAAGACTTACCTAGTATTGCTATAACATCTCTCATCGTCTTCCTCCCTTCAAATAATGCCCCGTTTCCACTTCTCGCATTTTCTTTTTTTAATCATGATTTTCACACTTTTAAGAAGCCTAGCTGAGCGTCTCTTGTTACGGAACAGGGGCAAAAACCATGGCTTGTAAGTAATAAATTCTACTATGTCTTCCTTCGTATCTCTTATACTTGACTATGTCAACGAAAGGGTTAGGAACATTCATATTCCATAACTTTATGCCTAGAATCTTAAGGATTAGATGCTATAAATATTACAGGATGTATTGATTATTCCGACACAAAGTTTCGATGGCTTATCCAAAAGATCCATGACTAACTCTGAACTTGATCCAGTCAAACTCATCCACCGAGAGCCTGGAGACTTTCTTCATACATTCAAAGCCTCGAGGTCATCTTGTAAGGAATTTAAATGCAAATATGCTATTACAGAGAAGCAGTCAATTAATTTGGAGAAACTGTTAACTGCAGGTGATCGCGTCTTCCAGGAAGACAATGCTGAGCCTCGTTTGGCGCACAAAAATAACAGAGGAAGCCTGTACCTTGTAAGTTATTCATATTTATTGGAGTTCACCCCCTTTATTTCGACCCTAAACTGATCAATTCTCTGGATTAGGAGCCTCTAACAAGCTCAACGCCAAACTTCGGTACTGACGTTGTCTCGGAGCACTTGAAAAGCGGCAAACCGATTTACACGGTACTTGGTAGCTATGGACCCGATGGCTGCTCGTGTGACTCTAACAAGTTTGACGGCAATGATGATTGCCTATCGAGATCACAGGCCTCGAGCAACAAAGCTTTACCTAACCTTGTCGACAAAGTTAGCTCAGTAGTAGGTGTCAACTCTAGTCCTATTACCAATCTCAAGCATGATCCGCATATGACCGACACTCTTGAATACGTGGAAGCTGTTTTCAAGTATGCTCCGAGTTCCGCCGGGCAGTCAAAAGCCTCTGAATGCCGCCGCGGGAAAGACCTAGATTCTATCTGCAGTATCAATCTTGGGTTGGACAATATCATTTATCGATGGAAGTTCGGGTCTGTGATCAAATACAACGTCAGTAGGGCCAGTTTTCCGACACCTGAGCGAGCAATATCTGCTACCAAGTGTCTCGAGCAGGCTGCCAAAGAATGGAACGACGGCGCTATTGGGGTGCGATTTGAAAGAGTTGCGGATGATGCCAAGGCCGTCTTCCAGCTTGTGTACATCCCCATCGACGAAAACCACCCGAGGCGGCTAGCACACTCCTTCTTGGCTTGGCCACAATATACACGACAGCGATTGTTGGTGTACGAACTGGCTTTCAGCCGTCTATGCCATTCGATGGTTGATGTTTTCTGCCACGAACTTGGCCACGTTCTTGGACTGCGGCACGAATTCTCACTTGAAAAGGAAAAGACTTGTCCATCGGTCCAGTGGGGTCCGAGAAACCAGGAGTCCGTCATGGCCTATTCGTCGTTTCGTATCCAAGAGACGGATATCACCGAGTTGAAGCGATTTTATGAGTTTCGTGGCAAAGAATACAAAGGATTCGAAATCGTCGACTTGGATCCAAAGTACTATTTCTAGCTTTTGGTAAGTTTTATCTCTCAGATTTCCAGATAATTGTTCTAATTGAGATAACATAGGTAGATATGGTGATCATGTGCTTAGTGCATCGACACCACTGCCAATCGCATATAGACGGATCTTTCGCGCATCATTTAGGTACTTAGATAGCGAAGTACTTAGATTTGTGTTTCGAAATGGTTTAAATACACGAAGGGAACTTGGAAGGATGGAAAGGGTGTTGGAAGGTTTCTAGATAGTTACGAATTATGAATCAAGTCCACGCCTCTTCATCTGTCTTCATATCTACGTAGTTGAAATAACCTTGTGTTAACCGAGAAGCGCTGGTACGAAGCGTGTACTGGCCTATGTAACGAGGAATTGATCGAATTCAACTGGAAAGGCTAAGCACTAATATTGTAATTTCTTGATTCTTCAGATAAGTGGACTCGAGGTGAGATGAACTGAAAATCGTATATCGCCTCTAGGTTTATATAATTTGTATCGTTATGAGGGGCAGGGAAGAAAGAAATGTTAGCATTCATAAGAAAATATGATTTCTATATTTGACTAAGCCAATACGTCGGATAATAATGCGATGTACAAGCCAGCCCCTATCCCCAAATTTACCAAGTCGGGAGGGTTAAAGAGGGATCTCCCATCCGTGCCATCGTCTATGCACCTCTCGTTTCGAGGTAAGACAATTTTGTGACCCGTAGTCTATAAATATTTATGAAATGCTTGAACGCGGGCTCGACTCCGAATCTATCGACAAGCACTTCCGTATGCAACCGTACATCATCAACTCAAAATACCCTTTCGTTTCTCCGTATCAATGTCATATCATGATTTTTTTTCTACCCACTCTGTTACTTATGACTTGACAGCCTCCTTGGCCTCTGACTCGGCGGCCGCGGGCAGGTTCTTTTGAGAGGACCGGTAGAGGAAGATTCGGGCACACTGGGTGATGCCGACAAGGCCAAGGAAGAAGTTGACAGCGGCGAGTAGGTAGTTCTGCGGGGTGATGACGAAACACCAACGAGTCCAGATAAGACCGGTGGCCGTCAGGGCGCCGTTCTGGGTCAGAGACAGCTTCTCGGCGGGCCGGGCGAAGTCAGAGATACCGGCGATGACGATGGCCCACTTCATGACAGGCGCCCTGTGGTTGCGAGAACACATATCATCAGCGACGGTTGCGCGCGTGACATATCATACACGTAGATGAGAAAGGGAACGATGACGGCTTACCAGAAGTGGACTGTCTTTAGACCGACAGGGCTGTTCCACATGCGCTGGAACCAGCTTTGGGAAGCAGCCTCGCTGTTCGTTGCCGTGCTGGCGAAGCGGCGGCCGGTCTGGGGGAAGCTGGAACGGAAGACGGCGCGCGATGCGGATTGTTGAAATATCGGCCGGGCGGCGCGGAAGAGGGTAGTAGTGGGAGGCATTTTCCTTAGGAATCGATCGAAGTCGGGGTCTGATTAGGAATTGATGCTTCGAATAAGTTTGATGGCGTAGAGGCGAAACACCTAAGCCTTATCGCTTCGAAAATTCCTTGTTCGACCTTTCCCGCCGATAGATATATTGTGAAATGTAGTCAGAATAAAGAGATTCCCAAGTCCGATATTGAATTTTAGTTGGGGTTTGGGGGTCCGGACGGAGATAAGATATGCAGGGGACGTCATGTTGAGGAACATTTCTAGAATACTTAGGTACATATATACAAAGGTACCTAAGCGTATATAATATGCACAAAATACATAAAATTGCTAATGCATATTCCTCTATTGGAGGGAAACTTTATGCACGATCGACGTCAATTCATCGGCTTCAACGCTTCAAAGCTCTAAGCTCTTAACATTTATTGCGACGGAATCTCGAATAACCTAAACCAACCCGCCATTTTCGATCGCAACGTGCCAATCTCGAAGATGTCGGGCAAGTACGCTTTCACCAAGGCCCTGAAGGAGGTTCGCTTCGCATTCTGCCATACCGGAGAGGGTAGTGCTGCGACAAGGTAAGCGCGAATTCGAATAGGTTCATCCCACCATACCAAGTACTGAAGCTGACCGTTTGCCTCTCTACCTCCAGAACATTCCTGATGCGATCATACCCTACTATGAAGAAGAACAACCCCTATACACCTATCCTCATGCGGGAAGCTTTTGGCACATTACCCAAGGTCTATGCGAGATATGGTCCGTCTCCCACCAACAATACCATATAATGGGAAATACTAACAAATTGCGACTGGCAGAGTTCGGAAAGGAAACGGCAAAATCATTAGAAGGTACATGAGACACACTCGACCTATATCATGGATGTTTGGATGACTTATGCTAACATATCGTTATGAAACAGGACTCACAGACAAGGAAATAGAGGAAGCCGTCACGCAATTGGTGAAGGGTGATGAAGCCACATGAATACCCATAGCCGGAGTTAGGGGAAGCTAGCAGTAGACAATGCTGCCATGCTATGTTATTATAATGAGAACCGACTTTGTGAATATTAAGCACTAGACATGAACATGCCGCCCCTTGTCCCCTTACTTTATCATACTACGACCTACTAAGTCATTATAAGATCTAGACATCAGTATGCTAATTTCATCTTATAGCATAGGATCACGTAAAGACCGGCGGTTTTTATTAAACATTAAACATTAACATCCTAGTAAAACCCTATCTGCAACCAGCAATAACAGCCCATGGTAACCAGCATCCGTGAAACGCAATATCATGTATGCCCTTCTTCTTTTGAAAAGGGAGAAATCCGTGCAAAGAAAGAAAAGAAAAACCAAGCAGCAGATGTAAGTGCTCTTCCGATCTGTCAGAACTTGTGGTTGTTTGTGTGACAAGCTCTCATCGTCGAAATCGAAAGCGCAACGAAGGAAAATAGAGCATAACCTAGAGCACACTCCTTATTGCGGATGCTCTCATAGTAACGAATTGCGAACCAAACTCCTTAACGCCGCCCATTGTTCGGCACCTCTGTGCCTTGTATGGCGTCTCATGAGAGACGCCTAACCCTTCTTTCCACCTCTCTTGCTCTGGTCTTTGTGACCAGTGCCCTTGTTCTGATCCTTGTGACCGCCGCCCTTTCGAGCTGAGAATTGTCCCGTTGAGCGGACATCGGACGATGCTTGGGTCGGGGTACGGGGAGAGCCCGACTGTCCACCACGCGAGGACGCCATGCGAGCGGCTCGGTTCGCAAATGATAGGGGATCATTTGCCCATGCTGCCGACGCCGGTCGGTGCTCGTGTCTTGGGGTTGCAGCGGGACTGAGGGATGGCCAGTCATTTTCTGTTAGGATAGTTGGGACTGCTGCCGCCTGTCCTCCTGTCTGACCTCCAACCTGACCTCCCGTCTGCTCACTGGACTGCTTATCTTTCTCCTTCTTTCCATCATCCTGCTCTTTGGCCTGTCCGCCAGTCTGTCCTTCAACTGGCTTAGCAGCCTGCATAGTGGGCGACAACGCCTTGGCCGCGTTCGGAGTCGAAGTGCCAGATGCACTAGCAGATGTAGCCGTCGCACCAGAGCCAGTCTTCATGTGCTGTCCCTTAAAAGGGCGTCCCTTCCGACCAGGTTTGTTCGAGGATCCCGCACTAGGCTGTCGCAAGTGGCTCGGAAGCGCCTTGCCTTTGCCTCTGCCGAATTGCTTGCCTTGTCCTGGACCTTGGACACTGCTGAATCCACCCTGAGAAGTAGGTGGGATGCCTGTGAGCTTGAATTTGGCCTTCTCAAGCTCGTTCTGGCTACTCTTCTTGGCGTGCTTTGTCTTGTTCCAGTTCTTGCCTGAAGAGGCCGCAGCTGTGGTGAAGTTTCGCTTGTCGTTCTGAACCTCTGCTTTGCCATCTGGCTGAGAGGCGTCCTTGGCGGCAATGCCGGTGCTACTGGTCACTGACGACATGAACGACGGAGCCGCCGGGTTCAGGCTTTGGGCCCGACGAGGGGCGGGTGTTGGGCTGAGATTCTGCTGGCGGGATCTTGTTTCATTGCCAGTACCCCCGTCCTTCTGCTCTTCCATCAGGGCCTCCTCTTGCTGGCGTCGTTTCCAACGGCGGACTTCAGAGATCGGGTGAGGTTCATCGCCACGGAGGCTGTAGTCGATGATGTTGTTTGGCACACCACGTAAAGCACGCTGCAATTGACGTAAGAAACTTCGTCGCTGGTCCTCGGTACCGAGAACCTGGAATCCTCGTTGGAACAACAGGTGATCCGCTCGGGGACGTCCGCGGAGAACGAGTAGGACGTCGTAGTTGTTAAGACGTCTGAGATTCAATCTTACAAGTACGTCATTGACCTGAGCAAGCCACTCTTCAGTCACGGCCGGGTGCAAGTGACTTGGTGTCGGGGGTGAATTGACCGACAAAGGCGGACTAGGGGTCATGGTTGTAGGTCGCGACGATGATCGCCGAGATCCGCGCGAGCGGGACGATGTGACCGATGCCCAGGGCTGAAGTGCCGCTTGTGATGACGGACCTTCGTCATCTTGGTCACCGTTCACTGTTGCTTTACCCTTGCCTTTGTCCAGCTTGGTCTTAGGGGTAGACACCTTGGTTTCCTCGACAGTGACCTGAAGAGGAGGGGTTGCCGGTGGTCGTGGGGGCTCGTCGGCCCAGCTCTGTGGAAGACGGGCATTGGGTCTTCCTCGACGCACGATCATGGTGCCGTAGTCATATGGCTCGTCACCATTGTCATCAGCCTCGACGCTCCTAGCGACTACAGGCTCAGGTTCACGAGCAGGATCCTCTTCTTTCGGGGACAGGTGCTCGCGGGGTGTGAAGTAAGGTTCACTCGATTGACGAGAGGCATCAGTCAATGCTTCTCCGGCCTTAGCCTTGCCCTTGTCGACCTTTGCACCCTGCTTGTCTGATTCGTCTTGTTTACCGTCCCTTGAGGGGTTCTCTACTGGGATTCTAAATGGGGCCATTTGTCCTTCGCGCGCTCGATGACTGGATGGACCATAGTATGGCGGAATTGCCCATGTTACTCCCTCAAACGAACTCGGAGCAAAGCTATGAGCTCGGTAAGGGACACTCGGGTCGACTCTTACGCCCAATGTAGCCAGTCCCGCAATGGTAGAAGAAGCTTGCGGGTAATTGGGATGCGTGGGTCCGTAGTTGGAACGCTGCGTGTCATGCTTTTGTGGTTCGGCCTTCCTCGGACGAGGGGGAACAGGCTTAAAGTATTGGGATCCGACACGGTATCCAACGTGTAGGGGTCTCGATGAGATACCAGGGATGAAATGGTGACCGCGAACCGAGTTGTGAGCACTTTGCTCGTCCTCGAAGCTATAAAGGATAGATGGTTAGCTAACAAGACATAGAATGAACACGGAAGAGGTGACAACTTACATGATAACAACACCATGAGCTCCTTTCGCGGTCCAATAGCGCTTGGTAGGACCTATTTTCTTCTCAAAGTACTCGACTACCTTTCTGGCAGTTTCCTCTTCCACATAGCCATCGAATCCGTCCACGTATATGGCGTTGTCGCGATCAACGCATCTTGCACAAGAACATGGCTTGTACTTCTGTCGCTTGGGAAAAGCGCTGTTGAACTGTCGCTCGTTGCGACAAATGCCGTTCAACAATGTGCCGTACTTGGTACCCTTACTACCATTCCCATTGTTCGCCTTAAAACGGCTAGGATCCTGTGCATGAGGTGGGCCATTCTGCACCTGGTGACTGGCAAATACTGGTTGAAGGCTACCAGTCAGACTGCTTGTGAACGATGGTCGCCGAGACATAGATGCGTTCGAAGACCGACCGTTTGAAGGTCGACGGTCCTTACTGGTGCTTTTGTTAGTGCAACCGAGAGCCAGAGGCTTGTCGACAGTCGGGTCATACTCTTTGGTCGGCGATGACGAACGCTCTGATCCGTTCTGCTTACGAAATACCTTCGTCGGACCATGAAGCGGGTCCTCGCCAGCAGGGAGCCAGGTCACCGATGACTTTGAGCAGCTCCTTGACTTGCTCGAGCGATGTCTGGTGTGGTCCTGGTCTGGAGCCGGCGCAGGTGGCGGGCCCATGGGTGGCTGAGGTGCACCCTGTTCGGGGTACTGGTTCCAGTACGCCGGCACCGTGTGCTGTCGGTACGGACCGTATGCAGGCTGATCCCACTGACTGTCGGCTTGTTGCCAGTAGGGGCGATCCTTGTGAGGAGGTATACTGTAACGGGTAGTACCTACATTCGGCTGCATGTAAAAAGGCACTGTCTGTGTGGGATACGCCGGGACCTCATTCTGGTTGCCATAAGGAGGCACTGAGACTGATAGTGCGGGCACATTGTTCTGTCTCGTGTATTGTTCTTGTGCCGTCTGTTCGGCAGAATCTGTCGACGCTGAAGCTTCCGACACTTGAACAATCATTGAAGATGATTCGGAGTCATAAGAAACGTTACCACTACTCTGCTGCATGCTGACTACGGGATCACCAAGCTCAGTAAGCTTGGTATCAACAGCATGCATTTGGCCATCATAGATATTTCCAGGACGGCCGCTGTTGGGCATACCAAATGCCGGAGCACTGTGGAATTGTTCTTGTTGTTCAGGAACCGTCAGTTCCGTTCGCACGATCTTGGGGCTGCCATTGGCCGGCATCACTGTCTCATCAGAAGACCCGGATCGTGGCTGTGATGTGCCATCCGCAATGACAACGCCATTTACGATTCTACCCTGCCGTCCGACGCTACTACCTGTAGAAGGAGGTGCTTCCTAAGCATCTCCCGCAGGATGTAGGGTCACAACTATTTACGAGTTAGCAAATGCGATGAATTAGAAGCAATTGGAAGTGAGAGTACTTACTGTGAAGCTGGTACTCTTCTGCAACTCCGTGGCCACGACGAAGATTCATCCAGTGAGTCATCAGAACCGAGCGGATTGCGTTGTGATAGTTGGGTGGGAGATTATGGACTGCACCCAGTTCGCCGTTGGTGAATACCGACATGATGTCGTTCATTGTCTCGGGTTGAAAAGCATAAAGCTTCTGCTGATTCGCGCCGTTAAAGAGAGCGTGTTGGACGGTCAGCTCAATCCAAGGAACCAATGCCTCGCCGCTCTTATAGGCGAGATACTGATTCTCGAAGTACATGTGATGGATCACACTCCAGAGATTCTGTGCTCCAAGATAATAGATGTCGAAGGCATCAAAGTAGATGTACAGATCAATGAAAGAGGCGAGGGGCTGTATGTAACGGCACCGGTCATAGAACTTGTTTCGCAGCTCATCTGCGTAGCTCTGGATATGCTGCGCATCCCAATATTCCATGGGTCGGATAGCCAGAGGGTTTTCAACCGTGCGAAAAGGTCGCTCACCGTTGTTCGTTGAGAAAAATGAATGAGCAGTGCGAGGGTCAATGTTCAGAAAGAACTCTGGGCCAGGTTCGCCTTCATGGGCATGTTGAAAGCCGAACCTGCTTGGAACGGGAGCGGGACCAGCAGCCTGAATGGCTTGGTCGAGCGTAAAGTCCGCGGAGGAGTATGTGGGTGCCATGGGCATAGTGAATAGTAAGGACGGTGGAGATAGTATGAGTGAAAAATGCAGATGGAATGGCTACTAAGGATGGGTATCACGAGGCGTAAAGAGCTAACGTGAGTATGAGGACGAAAATGTAGACTGGTGTCTACTATTGACGCGTGAATAGGTTGACTTGCGCGCGTCTAAGATGGTGCAGATATGTTAGACGTGACGGAAGAAAAAAAAAAAGGAAAGGAAGAAATGCACCGTCCTACTAGGAATATATTGCTGGTAGTAGGATGTGAGATGTAAACAAGAGGTACTTACTTATTGTCAGTGTTGAAAGGGCGAAGTTGAATATCTCTGCGACGGTTCGTAGTGTTTTGTGACTTGTGTTGGCACGAGCTAGTCGTAGAGATGTGGTGGAGGAAGTTGGAAGTTAGAAGATTGGGTGTGTTGTGTTAGGTTAGGATTGGGACGGGAAAGGAAAAGATGGTGAGAAGGAAAGGAAATAGAATTGGATTGCTGGCTGAGATTAAATAGAATATAGTGTACGGTTTGAGTCAGAGAGTGGTTAGGTGGGTGCTGCTCCGTAGGAAGGTCAGGGACGAGATAGTTGCAGGTGGTTGCTTAGGATATTGTCAAAAAAGTGCCTGTCAACCTGATGAGTGATCTAGCGGCCCCTCAAAAAGCAGGCACCAGGCATATGTACCTGCAGACAGTCGTCAAAATGTGATTATATTCCTTTAAATTGTGGGAATCCCGCCCACTAGGCGGTGACTTAGTTCTGAATATACCTACGGAGTACTCAGGTATACGACATATATCGTAATCAGCAACTGGCACAGACCTGACGAGACCTCATTGGTTATGATCTTGGTAGGTACCTGCCTAAATTTGAGCAAATACCTTCCATCTTTCACCCGAACTTGCCCACGAGGATGGGTATGCCATTTAATAGTGTATTTGCGTCACCTAACCAGGTATTCTATCCACATATGGGGACGGCTAAGAATTCAAGGTTTGCGCCTATTCAATATTGTATCAGCTACATGTCGAGGTAGTCTGGTATTTGGAGCGGGGATTCTTACATTAAAGGATTAGAATAAATACAGAAATTCTGACGGGCTGGCAAGTACCCAACCGGAATACATTCATGGGCAAACCAGGGTGACAAATAGAAAAGGACATGGATCACAAGTCGATAATCAATATATATCGTAATAAACGTGAGTGGATATGCTTTCTTTCTTACAGAGCAGCAATGAACCAGTAGTCCATGTTTTGCACAACTAATATTGATGGGTGACCAACATCACCCTACCTACGTGTACATGATTGGGAATTACTCCTTATCTGCCTGTGCTTGCTCTAACATCTCGAGTATCTTGGAAGTTTTGCCAGAGGCAAGAGCTCTTCCATGGTGCCAGTCAACAATCTACTCCTACGTTAACCCGTGATAACTACATATGAGAGGGGAACTTGATTGCGAAAAAGGGACTTACTACTGGCGCCGAGAAGCTGGCAGCGTTCTGTCTGTACAAATCTAAAGCATCCTTTTTGGTCTTCGCACCCTTGATGACCTGGGAGATTTGATCAGGGCCCACGTAGTCCAGGATAGTCTGGAGCTGATCGGTTGTAGGCGCGGTCTCTGTGATGTCTAGCTCAAACACTCGATTCAAGCGCTTGGGTTGTGCCTGATCGCTTGTTGCTGTGTCTGTGTCTGTGGCATTGGCTGCTGCTGTTGCGCTGGCGGAGACCTCCCTCAGAAGCTTTGCGACTTGAGTCGAAGCTGGTGACTGCGCCTTGTGGAAGAGGGTGACAATGTCAAGGGGTTTGTGCTATTCGCTTATTAGTATTCAACATGTTTAACAACAGCAATCACTGATTCAGAGCTCCAAACTTACAAAACGGAACATTGTGGCTGTAGTCCGGCTGGTTGTGGTTGTATTCACAGATTCAGTGTATAGGCTGACTGATGGTACAGAAACAGCAAACCGGTAGTGATCGGAGCCGGTGTTCGGGTGATGTTGAATTTGCCGTTTCGGGTCTCGGATGAGGTTGGAAGCAGCGATAAGTTCTATCTCCAATATCAAGTGACGTCGGTGTCGATCTGCTGATCAGCCACATGCAGCCTGGCAGCTCAGGAACAAACCTCTCACTTTTCCCAAGAAGGTATGGCTATGTACCTTAGTACCTGGTCAAAATGAAAGGTACCTAAGTACTGAAGTACTTTTTAACATTTTAGATAGAAGTCGATGCCTTAGGCAGGTACGGTTGACCTTTACTGTGTATTAGGCCTGCTACTAAAATGGGTGCTGAACCTTAATATAGGTACGTACCTAGCTATGCACCTAGCTACTTGGGTACGTCTACGTGCACTGGCCAGACTGGCGCCGTTGCTGGGGTAGGTACGGCGGCAGTTTACATAGCGGACCTAGAAGTCGCGTTGCAGCTACTGGACGCATTATTTTTTTTCTGGTAACGTCCACCTCAGCGTTACTGCTGAAAATTAAAATCTTTCCAATCATTTCATTCCATTTCTCGCAACCACCCGAACACCGAACGCTTCCACCTATTATCCATACCTATCTTGGTACCTAGGTGCATCAATCGAGGCGCTTTCGTTTGCCTATCTACCTGGTGCATCCGTTCAGAACATTGTTTGGCTAATTCTCCGTAATCACATTCATTAATCAACGAGCTGGCGGACCGAAGGACGAGGACAATGAGGCCATTGATCCTGCATAATGTTCCGGACGAGGAGCTCTACACCGGCGATGATGGTGTTCAGCGGCCCTATGCTATGCTGTGGCCCGAGTATGTAACTGATTCTCCGGCTTCTCCATCACCCTCCAATAAGAAAACTCCCCATCAGAATGCCCTCACTCGATCAACTTCGCTTACCACCATGGACAACGATAGAGGCGATCGGCAGCGAACCCTCCCCCGTACGCGCGCACGAGAGGTGACCGAATCGGGCTCGTTCGGCAAGTCGACTAGGAGATCCAGGTCGCGGACGGGCAGCGCGCCTCCGAAACGCGAAGATGCTACTATGCAAAGTGCCGACAAGATCTTTTCTAGCTACTTGAAAAATCGACAGCAAGCTACTCCCGCGACCGCAACCACGACGACCGCCGCCACGTCTTCCTCACAGCGGAAATCTAGTTTCATCGGCCAGCCCACTTCACAGTCGCAAGAGGATGCCGCTTCCACCGCGCAGGTATCGACTTATCGGAAAGAACCTACCGAAGTCATCTTGAGAGGCTATTCGTCATCGTCGCAACAATATGCGGCCATCAATCACTACGAACAACTGGCGGGGAGAATCTGCGAAGACTACTCTAGGGAGCCGCCGATAGAATCGCGACGATATAAGTCGGATCTACGAGACCCGGCACTGACACGACGACAACCATTAACAGCCCTTGAGCGATCCAAGGTTAGCAGAGTTGCTAGTGGAGAGCATTGGGTCAAGATTACGTTTGAATCGGCTGAGGCAGCGGAAGCTGCATTGTACGCCTCCCCACAGAAGATCTTTGGCTATCTGGTCTACGCTGAACCCTATCACGGCTTGCCTCCTAAGGAAGATGCAGCCGTGTTGGACGCCGCGGGCGACAGTGGCATGATCGACCCATTTAGATCGAGAAGTAGACCGAGACGGCCATCACAAGCTCGCGCAGAGAAGGGTACAGGGTTTCCCAAACCTGCCTCTGTCCCGGCACTTGAGCGTACTATCAAACAACATGAATCTCCCACAGGCTCGCAAAGTTCGACCCAGACTTTGGATACGGCCACTGCGTCAACAGCGACTGTGACGGGAGCAGCCCTAGAACTACCCCAGAATGCGGAGCAACATGACGGCGCCTTTTGCCGACGGATCCCCGAGGCTCGGCGAGTGAAGCTCTTGCCAGCCGAGCAAGCCCTTGCTCCTCAGCCCACGTTCCAGCAATGGCTGCTAGCTTGGATCCCGTTAATTGGATGGTTTGGCGGTTCCATGATCGGCAACGAGGTGCCCCGAAACGAGGTCGGAGAGTTCGACTTCAACCGAGCTAGTCTGTATTGGAAGTTGATGTTCTACCTCGACCTATGGTTCAGTCTCTTCGGCCGTGAGCTTGTGAGTGGTGATAAGGACGACTAGGAGACCTTACCCATAGCACCGGCTCCGACTTGAACATTTTGTATATGCCGCTATAAGGGGATGAACAACGAGAAGGGCGAGGCAGTCTCACAATCATGCGTTCTGGAGTTGAGGAATACGGCAAGAAGACAACACTGAAACACATTGCTGATGGTCTTCTTCCGAGATAATAAAGTATAGGGGATGATGCTATACTTGATGTTACGATTACTATAGGCAAATTGGGGCGTGCGGTGGGGAGGGGCTTAGCTAGGCTCTTGCATTACTTGCATGCTATAATCGATATGCAGTCTACTTTACGATGACTTTGGAAGTGTGTCCGGAGAACATCATTGATTCGTGACTTGTGTTATATTTCATCCTGTCATTCTGACACGTGATGCTACGTCCATACCCAAAATCATATGTGGGATTAAAAGGGGGTAAGGGATTAGGTTATGAAGCACTTAATATGTAGAAGATGGAGAAGGAGTATGTAAGTGCCGTTAACAATGTCTTATTCACCTGTTTCGTCGACCGTAACAATTATTGGATTAATCGATACACCCACGCGTGCGTTTCATACCATCAATCATGATCACCAACCCTCCCAGACCGATCCCGTTGCCCATTTATCATCCTTGATGTGGCTTTTTCTCTCGCCCGTATCCCGTCCTTTTTGTAGGTATTGGGCACTCATGTACCTAACTTAAGTATGCTTGCTTCGCAACCGAACCCCAGCTATCTATCATCCACCTCATCTTTACCCTTCGACGGCGGTGGTAACTCGTTCCCATCGTTGCTACTACTACTCGTAGCACTCTCACTCTCATCCTTCCTCCGCAACCCCTCATCCTTCCACGGCGACTCCGCCTCCCCGATCCCATTCTCATCCGCCCCTATCCTCAACCCGCCTAACCCAGTCCTCTGCGCCGACGTGCCCCTAACCGTCGCCGCATCACGCTCATCATCGTCGTCGTCGTCGTCGTCGTCAGTCCTAAGCTCATCCTCGCCACCGACGAGCAACGACTCGGGATCCATCACGACGTCCGTGCCGCGCCGCCTTATGGGCTGCGGACTAAACGGCCTTACGCCCCGCTGTTTCTGGCTCAAGTTCGACTCGGAGAACAAGCTCTGCGAATCCGCTTCCCGGCCCCGGTCTTTCTGGTCTACGGCCCCCGTCAGGCTCTGGTACTGCACGTCGTCCGAGTCAACAAGCAAGCTGTCGGCGCGTCCGTGGCTCTCGCCGCCCCCTCGCGCCGTGAGCGAGTCCGACGACGCGTCGTTGGCTAGGATGCTCTTCGGAGGCAGTATACTAAACAGCTTCGCGCCGCCGCCGTCCCCCGCGCCGCCCGCCCCGACACCAGACCCTATCACCACGCCTCCCGTCGTCGCCGCCACTGCGCCCGGCAGATCATCGTCGCTCGCGAACAAGTCCTGCCCCTTTTCCAGCAGATCGTCCAGGCCGCCGCCGGTCCAGCCCTTCCTCGCGAGCCCCTCGAAGATGTCGACCTCGGCGCGCACGAGCGAGCAGCTCGCGTCGAGGATGCGGGCGCTGGTCTCCTGGGAGTCGCGCAGGAGGGTGCGCGCGTGGTCGGCGTGCAGCGCGGTCAGGCCGTCGAGTTTTGACGTTAGCGCGACGAGGTGCTCGCGGAACTTGGCCACGTCGCGGCGTCGGCTCTGCCTATGCAGCTTCAGCCCCTCCTTCTCGAGCCGGCGGATCTCGCGCGAACGCGCCGCCGCTTCGCGCTTGTACGTCTCGTCCTCGTCCTCGATCGCGCGCCGCCACCGGTCTAGCTCGTGTAGGAGGGGCACTTCGAAGGACCGGTATACGGTTTCGGAGAGGATCTGCTGGTGGTTCGCGACGAGGTGGTGCACGCCGCTGGCGCCGAGGAGTAGGTCTGCTGTGCACGTGTTCTTCGTCGTGAAGCTGTTCGTCAGGCTGGCGCCGCCTGGTGGCCCGAGGGCGTCCGCCCGCGATTCTTTCAGCCGAGCGCAGGACTCGAGTGCGGACCCGAAGGCGGAGGCCGCGTTGGATAACGCGGATAAGGCGATTCGGTACGACTTGGCTGTGGCGAGCAGGTCGGAGTACGCTTGCTGCGACTGCTCGAGGTCGGACTTCGTAAGGACGGCGTGGACGGGCCGCGGCGGAGGGGGCAGTGGCAGGTTATACGATGATAGAGGGTTGGCGGTGGATGCGTAGGAGTATGTTGGAGAAGCGGGTAGAGGGACTTGGGAGGGCGAGGGGGAGGGTGGCCGTGCTGGTATTGATGTTGCCGTCGCCATCGTGGCTTGTTCCCCTCGATTTTCGGTCTTCTTATACTTCTAGGGGCTGGTAGGTATGATGTGATATGATATTACTGGTTGGCGGGGTTTGTTTACTTTGTAATATCTAAAACCAGAATATCCGATACGGTAGCGTAGCAACGGCCGTGTGGATTAGCATGTGGCAGTGGGTAAGACGAGTTCTAAACTATTGGAGCAATAGAAAGGGTTCGGTATTGTTTGTTAGGCTGATGTCGTAGCGATACGTCCAATAGGTAAGAAATGATATTACGACATCGGTGGTCTGATAATCGTTTAGGCTAAGAAGAACAGAATAATACTGCGAAGACCGGACACACCGGCGCAGAGAATGACGATGTAGAGACAGAGTTGAACTCTTGATGGAAAAATGAAATATTGTTTCAAGAAAAAAAAAAAGGATTAGATAAAAGGCCGGAGCCTGGGTTAGGGATGTTAATTATTAGTTGGAACCTAGCAGGAACCTTAAGATGCTTACGCCGGTCTGCAGCTATCTTGTGATCCGACTCCACCATCTCCAACTACAATGATAAGATAAGGCGGCACTCCCCCCTATTTACTACATACTACAGCGCAGCTGCATAGGTGGGAGGCTTGCATTCTAACCCTTTCCATCAAAACATGCAGTCACTGTCTACACAAGTGGATTTCTTTGGCATATTCAACAGCGTACATGTCTAGCTTCCATTCGCTATGATATTTCGACTCCTTTTGAAAATTTGGGCCGGGAAATCATACGAAATGCGATGATAAAGTACCTAGATGCTAGGACTATCAATGGATTTGAACATGTCAGATGAACTCCATAGACTGAGACATGCATAACGAGGCATGACGTATCATTCAAGATTAGTTCCAGTATGTAGAAATCAACGTTCTATCAATTGTAGGTATCTAGGTATCTAAGTATGCATCTGGAAACATAGGAAGCTTTCCTATAATTTCGATCGTGTCCTCAAATAGCAAGCAGGGAGATAATCGTCTAGACGCAAAATTCTAGTAGTATTCTGTCCCCTTCTCTTTCCATCATAAGTCATCGCTTCTCGTCTAGAACGACTCACAACTCTGATTTCTTGTCGCCTTCAGCTGGTAGATGTGCTCCTAAAAAGGCCTCAACTTCATCGAGTTCCTCCACGCAAGCCGAATGAGCCATACCGCTATTACAGAATGTTAGTCTACAGAGCAATGCGAAAACATTTTAATGGCGAGAAGAATCAGACTTACGGATATATCTTCATAGTGACATCGAAACCCCGCGTCTTCAATAGCTCGTAAGATACCTTACCGAAGTTCGTCGGCACGACTTGGTCTTCATCGCCGTGGCACATCAGAATCGGGGTTTTGTGGTTATTGTCATTCTCCTTGACGAAGTCGGAGAACTTGCCATCCAACAACAGATAGGACGATAATGCGACTATGCCAGCAAGCTTGTACTTCGATGTCAGTCCGGTGAAGAGGGATATGGCACCGCCCTGAGAGAAGCCGCCGAGAACGATGCGGTTAGCTGGTATGCCAGAGTCGATCTCGGATTGGATCAGCCCGTTGAAGTAGTCCCTGCTAAGCAGGATGCCCCTCTCATCTTGGTCTTTTCTAAGGTCATCCGTCTTTCCACTCAGCGCAAACTAAGGTAACTTATTAGAACCAAGTAGTAAGGAGCTAGATACTACATATACTTACGATATCATACCAGCCGGGCATCAGCATTCCCTCGGCCTGTGCTTTCGGTGTGAGTGGTTGTGCATAATCCCACCTACATAACGGCGTAACTTACGGCGGTGACGGGTATGCGAGGAGCGTGGGGCAGGATGAACTTGACCTCGTCCAATCTCTGCCGCCGTCTCCAGTTCTCGACAGCGGAGGCCCATCCGTAACCTGTGTCGCCTAACCCGTGCACGAAAATAACGGTAGCCGTGTGCTTGGCCGCGGCCGGGAACAGAAGAGGTGGGGCTCTTCTCATCGCCATGGTGGGATGTGATTTTATGCTAGCAAACGCGACAACGACGAAAAGAAATAACACGAATGAGAGGATGAGTTTAGGCGAGGGGAGAAATGTAAGCACCCGCTAGATACATTCGGGTTAGAGAGGGGAATATGATTGAGGCTCAAAGTAGGACCTAGTTGAGACCGGATGAAGTTTCGGTTTCAGAGTCTGAGGGCTGCCAAACCGACACTAGAATCCTGAGGAATATTGGTATGAGCCTATGAGGGGCGCTAACTTGTGGGGTGTTCCGATATGTACATACCGTATAGGTGCGTGCTTTACGAACTGTATGTCTCTATTATCAAGACCTGATTGGCTATAGGCAAGTGCAACTTCCCGGAATGAGACGGGCTCTTTTTAGGTCGATCCACCTCCCACATCCACCTCCGCCATCCTCCCACATACTCCCACATAACGCAACAACGCTCGAATTCTTAACACTTCCAGGCCCTAGGATGCTGACGGATTCTTTGGTAATTGCTGAAGAATTCGCTATGACGCCGCTATAGTCGCGACTTTCGCGATTTTAGTAACTTATACGAAGATTTCGGCGAACGAATGGCTTGGAGTGAGTTACCCATCCTAGGGCATGCTTACCTAGGTACTTAGGTGGTTACAAATCAGTGTCTGAATCTTTAGTTGTCTCATATTTTCTCTTTAAAGGCTATCTAATTGCCATTTAATAGTTGAAGAGTGACTTATGGATTATACCAGATTAACTACAAGATCAATTTTGATTGTATCATTAATTGTCGCCGTTGTGGCTTTCTTATTTTCAACATCGTTGTTTCGGGTTACATTACCCCTTTTCACCTGGAAGTCCATATCCTCTTTCGTGCAACGCCGCCCATCAACGGAATTCTCACCACCAATGGCGAATAACAAAATCCCAGTTTACTTTTTTAGCCATGGAGGGGTAAGCAATTGATATCTATGTCACAAGCACTCAATCTAACTTCGATATGACAAACAGCCAACCGTCCAGTATGATACGGACCACCCAGCTTACCCAGTCCTTCAGAACATTGGAAAGGAGATAACCGAGAAGGTAAAGCCTAAAGCTGTCGTTGTCTTTTCAGGTCACTGGGAGGCCGGAAGTAATTTAATTGAGGTGAACACCGCCGAACACACAGATTTGATCTACGAGTACGTTCCCATCCTATCGTACCTTTTCATCATTAATGCTTATGAATCCCCATAGTTTCTATGGGTTCCCTCCCGAGTTCTATAAGGCCCAGTACCCAAATAGGGGAAGCCCCGAGCTAGCCTCTCACATCCTCGATCTCCTGACCAAGGCTGGAATCAAGGCGAAGGGGGTAACCAGGGGTCTTGATCACGGTGTATGGTCGGGGTTCAACGTCGGTAAGCTACTCACTGTCCTACCACTACGCAATATGTCTTGCTAAGGCTATCAAGCCTTTCATCCTCAGGATAATCCCCTCAACGTTCCCTTGGTCCAAGTGAGCTTGTACGCCAACCAAGATGTCGACATGCATTATCGGCTAGGGCAAGCAGTCGCCTCCCTGCGTGATGAAAACATCCTCATCATCGGCGCTGGAATGTCGGTACATAACCTCAGGGACTATATGGTGACGCAAGGCGACCCGAGGCCATTGCCCTACGTGGCATCATTTGACGAGGCACTAAAGGAGGCCGTCGAGTCTCCTCCGAGCGAACGTCAGGCTCGCATGAGCGAAATTGCTAAACGGCCAGATGCTAGACAAGCCCATCCGGTGAGTATGAGGTATGCGAGGTCTAGAGAGAGCATAACTAACATTTTATTTTCAGCGCTTTGATCACTTAATGCCTGTCTATGTAGCGGCTGGCGCAGCTGGTGATGATGTAGGCAAGAGGACATGGACACTACACGAAGGTAGTATGGGATGGGCCCAGTATAGGTTCGGGAAAGTCCCTGCATCATAGGAGGATGGGACTGGATACCATGGGCAAGAATGACTCTTGATGCGTATTCTAAGGATATAGAGTATTATGTTGTCAGAAATTACGGATCTAAACTGTTATTCTATATTCGATTTTCGCACCGGACTTGACGAAGGGACCATGATATAGGTATGTCACACAGCTGCTATTAAAAATAGATTAACGAGTTAGGAAATTCTTCCCTTAGCGGCGTAAAAGCTCCAGTCACCCCTTACTTACGTCCCCACATTATGCCGTGCCGTGCTCTATTGCAGAATTTACAACCACCATCTAACATAATCCTGTACCTCATTTCCTTGGACGATCACCATGGACCACCTCATCAAATCATTCATCCGCGTGCGCCGGCAAATAGAAAACGCAGACGAACTTATCCAACGTTTCCCCGACATAGAAGGACAAGCCCAGTCCGATCCATCATCAATCACAGACGAGAACAGGAGACGCATTCTCGACTTCCCGGACCCTGAAACGCAGATCAGATAGCGAACATCGCAGCCACTACCCCGCTATCAAAGCCGGCGTTGCTGCTGCGGGCGGCCGAATCGCCAGAGCAGCTCTCGCAGGCCGAAGTCGACTTGCTGAAAAATCGGTACTGGCTCGATCTCATGCCAGCCGAGTGACGCGCCAGCGCCGTCTCCCAGGAACACTTCGCCGAGACCACGTCGCGGCTAAGAAAGGTGCGCGAGCTGCTGTACGAAGAAAATGAGGCTCGCGCGATTGCGAACGCCGAGGAGCAGGCGTGGAAGCGGGTTGTCGCGCTAGCGATGGGACTCGAGGACTCCTTCTCCTCTTCTGCTGATCGGGCTGCGCTCGCGAAGGCGAGACCGTGGGTCCGCCGGCTCTGGGACGAGATTAAAGATGTGCCGGGTAGGAGGTGGGGGTATGCTGTTTTCGTGGAGCCGGGGTACGAGGAGATGGACGAGTACTTGTGTTGGCGGGACGCTGTTTTGTTACATGCGAGAGAGGCGATGTGTTGTCCTGAGATGCTGGGGGCGAGGTGGAAGATGCAGAGGCTTGGGTGGCCTGTTGCGGAGGAAGAGGAAGATCGGAATTTGGAGGCGAGATTTGATGTCATGAGAGAGGCGTTTAAGGAGGTGGTGCATCGTGTGCCCGAGGAAAGGGGGCTGGGTCATGGGTGCCCAGGTATTTAAGCATGCCTACAGCAATAGGCTGCTGAGATCATCAACGATACAAATCGACATAGCAAAAAAACTAACTTGCCACGACAAAATCTTGGAAGGAGATAAAATGTAATGTAAGGAGGTAGATATATTCGAATGACCCTGGGGAGTCATGAGATCCGATGGAATGATATAGGATACGGCATGACTACGAAGCATAGAAGCCTCTAACTTCGACTAAGAAAAGACCATGCTTGCGCGAGCTCTAGCAGCTCAACTCCTACCTAGCCACTAACCCCAACACAATACCACTCCCCCCCCCAAAGCATAGTCGAGCAATTCTCCCCATTAGCTCCCAGAACCTTATTCCAAGCATACAGCTGCGCCGCAGTAACCCCATTCGCGGCAGCGAAGTCATAACACCCCTGTCCCGGCACCGCTTCCGCGAATTTATCACAATTAGCCGCGATGCCCGTCTGCGTCGGCCCGGGCGCGCCGACGCCGACGCAGTACCACTCGTCGCCCCACAGCATAGTCCCGCAGTTCGCGCCGCCGACGCCTAGAACGCCGTTCCACGCGTACAAATCGGCGGGCGTGATCCCGTTCCGCGCCGCGAAGACCTCGCATCCGTCGCCGGACTGCGCCTCGGCGAATTTGTCGCAGGTAGCTATGATACCTGTCTGCGTCGGGCCGGGCGCCGTCACCGATATCGTGGCAGTGGTGGTGGTTGGTGTCCGCACGCCGACGCAGTAGTACTCGGAGGCCCAGAAGGAAGTCGTGCACGCGGCGCCGTCCGAGCCGAGGACCGGGTTCCACTCGTACAGTTTCGAGGTCGGGATGCTGTGCGCCGCGGCGAAGTCGTAGCAGCCGTCGCCCGCGGAGGCCATCGCGTAGTTGTTGCAGCTGGTGACTAGCCCGTCCTGCGTCGGCGAGGGCGCGTTTCCGCCCGAGATGGGGTTGGCGGTGGTCGTGACGGTGGTCGTTGGCGTCACGACACCTCCGGCCCCGCCGCGCTGCTGGTTTCCGGCGTCGGCTCCTGTTCCGAGAGGCGGCGGCGCGAGGGAATAAGAGCCCGTGAGACCAGGAGCACTTATTTGAGATCAGCAACGAAAATAGGATCTTTAAGCCTGCTGGGAAGAATGAGATAACTAACCTTGTGCAGACATACTGACCCGCCGTGAGACTGTCACAGAGACCCATGATGTGGGTATTCCATTTAAGAAATTGTGATATTGTCACGTTCCCTGCAGCTCCTGCAAGGGTTGCACTATGGGGTAATTAATTAGCCAGAGATTCTCAGCCCGGCACCAACTTTGTGTTCGGGGGTCAAGCATTACCAAGTATCGCCACTAGCAACCTGCGCGAGCTTGCATGCCGCCGGTAGGCAAATGCTCTTTGACACTTGGCAGGTATCGCTGCCGGTCAGGTACTGGAGATCGCCGGTAGTGACGCCGTACTGGGAAGACAGCGCGTCACAAGATGAGGAGGCCTGTCGCTCTTCGAGTGACCAAAAACTGACGCCTCGTCTCTTGGCCTCACCACCGAGCGTCTGTCCTGAGCAGGTAGTTGACGCTGCAGGCGAACTCGTGGTTGTGGTGGTAGTGTTCGCTCCAAAGTTGATAGACGTTACGGGTGGAGCAACCTCGTAAGTCGGCAGCTGCCGTACCGCGATATTCGGGATCAACGTTGAGCAAACATCAGCAATATCCTGGAGCTGACCAACTAGGTAGTCTGAATAGTCAGAGTCCTCCAGATAGCTTGAGGTTACACGGCGGTATAGCATCTGCACGAAGCAGTCGTTGCAGAGCTGAGGATGGGTGGAATGTTAGCGAAACCTCTCTCTCGAGCTCTAGTCTAGCCCAACTTACAACATCGTCGTCGTATAGGTTTGCCATGCGTACGTCATCCGAAGGGATAGACGATGCGTTGCCCGAGCAGCTTGGATCCGAGGGGTTCGTGTCACAGTCTGCACGAATGATATCTGAACCCGTGAAGTTCTGCGAAAGGGGTAGACACCAAGTGTCTGCCTCGGTCCTGAGTCAACTTAATTAGTCGGACCATCTCATTATCAAGAATTTGTTCTTACATACATTGAGGACAAGCATGCAATGCCTATTCCGTCTACAAAGCGCTCCGAAATTGTCCATGCCGGGACCAGCTTCCCGTAGGCTGAATAATACTGATCATCACACGCAGAGGCGACGTTTAGATCCCAATCTTGGGCGGCATCCGAACAATTCGTCCCACAGAGCGCCGTAACATTGTCATCTTCCCACCAGTAATTCTCAAAGGAACTGACCATCTGGAAGAGCGTTTGGTCGCATTCTGGAATAGATTGGTTGCTAGGTAATCCTGTCAGTCCGCCTTTTCGCTCCGTTTCTTGGAACGAAAACTTACAGAGCTAGAATACAGTCCTCAGTCACGTTGAATGCAGTTGCTAGTTTACCACTGTCGAGGGCAGGATAGAGGTTGAAAGATGCAACAGCATTGAGGTATACCGATATGGCCACGAAGTAAGGGAGTATATTAGCCATTGCGATGACGGAAGAAGGGGGCTGGATCGTCCTTAGTTCCTACTGAAAACCTAGAAAGATTAGGGAAGAGACTGGAGATAGTTGGCTAGTCATTGCTACAAATGAGCCACCTAGTAAAGGGGATATCAAGAGCTAGTATCTGCTGGGACTATAAGACGTTGTAACCGCGGCTAGCGTAATAAGATACTCAACCCGGGGTGCTTAGAACGTAATCGGAATCGCGTTGCCAGGGAATATAGTGCGCCAGCACGGTCACCCCCTACCTACACAGCAAGTGATCATCGACTTCCTTGCTCACGCCTCGATAGTCGAAAACATAGGTGAGAAATTCATTGAAGTAATTAGCGTGGTAGCACACGCTGGGATACACCGCATGCTGACATCCTTTAGGTATATATGAAGGTCGTTGCGGCGCTTACGCCCTCCTGTCTTTCTAGTTAGCCTGTATAACGGCTAAAGTAAGTACCACATACTCTTGCTGATGACCTCGACGATGGGAGCCTCATGTGAGCAATAATACACTATCTTAAGGCGGCAGGCTTTGAAACGACGGCGACACCCTTGTCCTGTACGACGTCGTTTCCCAAACAGCGCTCCAATAAACTCGTCGTCAGCTTACTGAGACTCTTGGCGCAAAACCGTAGTGTAGATGCAAAACAGGTTGCACTTTCGCGCTTTCGTGGTCTGTAGTAGCTACTTCTATTCGTCTTAGAAACCGATTGCTTTTACTTGTTGACTCACCGGATTCTCGGGGCGCACTGGGTGCTATCACACTAGACTTCTACAGTTGTGTGCTCACATCTGAAGGCTGAGTAGATACGTATTTCGTACGTCGAGCTCCGTCACGGGTCTTATGTCTGACAACTGGGTTGGTAACTGCTCCCTGGTGCGGCGTATGATAATTAACCAGTATACCTTGGCAAGATGCGAGGGTCCAAGAAAAGCTTCCCTTGATTACCGAGTAGGGTAGTAGGTGGCCGCCGAACCAGTGGGGTGCAAGAGGTTATCTCGTGCTAGGCAACGTAATAGCCCGAGTTCTAGCAGGTCAGCGGCAGTAATATGCCATCTACATACACTCGGGACCTGCGTCCGAGCCGAGAGACTCCGCCTAAGCCGCTTCTTAGCTGGTGAGGGCCGGGCAGTTATCGGTGTGACTACCGAAGTTACACAGCAGGAGTCAATTTCATCTATAAGTTTGATTGAATTGGAGTCTCACCCACCATCCGTAAGCTGGTGTGTAACGTTGTTAATTGTATGTCTTCCGCCTAGACGTGTCTAGACGGTCCCAGCTTCAGACTGGAACATGCCACTACGATGACATCTCAGCAGAATTATTGAATTCCACTTTTCTTGGCGCGCCGCTTACGTGCCCGTGATATCTAATCCAAAGAGCTCGTTAGAGTCTGAGGAACATGGCTTCACACTTCTGGTGACACCGCCGGTGGAGGCTCCGAACAGTGTGGCAGACTGGGCATGCAGTCGCAGATGACTTCTATCAACAATCCGCTCTGCTGACATGGAGTAGTACGTATCGGTGTTGCTGGGAGGTAGCTTGATCCCCCGACGGGCAGTGAGGTCAACACTTGATCAATATAGGAGAAGTGAAGGGATCAAATACAAATCTAGCCAGCAACCTTCTTAGACGATCACAAAGTGAGAGAAGTGTTATACCACGGCGCTCCAACCAGTCATCGAGGCCTAGTATTCTCGCCGTCACTATCATGAAGTCGTTATTTTTGCGCTTGGCGCTGCTCTGGCATTTCTTTAATACGATCCTTACCATTCCGTCGCCCGGAAGAAGGACGCCGCCTCCGGATCTCCTGCCGCCGATATTCCGGCGTGCACTTCCGACTGGCACCTGCAACGCCGACACGCCCTGTGAGAACGCCGCATGCTGCGGTATCAACGGCCTTTGTGGTTATTCGCCTACCGAATGCGGTGCGGGTAAGCCTGAGATTCGTTCTTGAATATCTATTTTCGCGTGTGCTGATGTGTACCTAATCCCAGGTAACTGTACGTCCAACTGCGACGCCAAGGCAGAATGTGGCCAGTACGGAAAGGAGGGCCAAAAGGAGTGCCCACTGGGGGTATGTTGCTCCCAGTTTGGGTAAGTCGGATCTTTCGAGTGAGGCAGCGGGAAAGGCGACTGATCTTTTGTAGTTTTTGTGGATCAACGAGCGACTTCTGTGACGAAGACAAAGGCTGCCAAGCAGATTTCGGTGGTTGTGGTGACGTTAAGAGACCTTCGTGTAGTGGAACGTCTGCCAACAAGAGGACGGTTGGATATTATGAGTCGTGGTGTCAGTGTATCCCGACCACACCTAGCACTCAAAGCGAATCACTGACAACTTTGACTAGCGGCGACTCGAGCATGCCAACCGGTGGACCCTGATGATCTCAACCTGAATGGCTTCACTCATATCAACTTCGCCTTTGCTTTCTTTGATCCCAAAACATTCGCAATCGCGCCAATGGATGACACCAGCGGCTTGCTATATGAGCGTTTCACCGGCCTCAAAGACAAGCACAACGGCCTCGAGACTTGGATCTCCGTAGGTGGGTGGTCCTTCACCGATCCAGGCCCGACTCGATCGGCATTCAGCGACATGAGCAGCAGCGCAGCCAATAGGAAGAAGTTCATCAACGAGCTGATAAATTTCATGGAGCATTATGGTTTTGACGGCGTAGACCTGGACTGGGAGTACCCGCAGGCTGACGATCGTGGCGGCGTGACGGCCGACAAGACGAACTATGTCTCCTTGGTCAAGGAAATGAGAGCTGCATTTGGTAGGTGCCTCTTGGTAGGAATAAAAAAATGCTAATGGAATTCGCAAGGTGATAAGTACGGTATCACGTTGACGTTGCCCACGTCATATTGGTACCTACAACATTTTGATCTCGAAGCCATCCAGCCAAACATCAACTGGTTCAACTTCATGGCGTATGACTGTGGGTTATCTTGAAATGTCGTTGAATTGAGACTTGTACTAACACTGCGGCCAACGGAAGTGCACGGAGTCTGGGACGCCCAGTCCCAATTCGTCGGGCCTTATATCGCACCCCATACGAACGTCTCCGAAATTGACCTGGGTATGGATCTTCTATGGCGCGCCGGTGTCAAACCCGAAAACGTGGTCCTAGGTATGGGATGGTACGGAAGAAGCTTCACGCTGGCGGACCCATCCTGCAGCACCCCCAATGGAGTTTGCAAATTCACCGGCGGTGCCGAACCTGGCGAATGTTCTCAGGCCAGCGGCATCCTCGACCTCCAAGAGATTAAGGACATCATAAAAGACAAGAATCTGAGTCCCCAATGGGACAAGACCGCAGCCGTCAAATGGATAACCTGGGATAGCGATCAATGGGTTTCGTACGACGATGACGACACCTTCGATCAGAAGCGCAAGTTTGCGAACAATCGCTGTCTCGGCGGGACTATGGTAAGTGAAAACGATGTTACCGCCGGGACTAAGGCTAACGCGAGATCATAGGTATGGGCTATGGATCAAGTCGATCAATCCGCCGACAACGGGTTGGCGCCAGCACCGGGAGTGACCACGCAAGACCAAGAAGACGCCGAAGGAATGCGTGACGACCTTGTCGCCGGCGTCACCTGCTACTCCACCGATTGTGGAGCCAAGTGCAAGAAGGGCACTAACGAGGTGACTCAGATGAACGGCCAACCGGGAAAACTGTCTACATCCGGCCGCTGTAACAAGGGCGAGTACCGTTCGCTCTGTTGCGACGACGGTACTACGATGGGTACCTGCAAGTGGCGGGGCTTCCGCGGCATCGGCCTCTCTTGCATGGGAGGTTGTGCCGATGGCGAGACCGAGGTCGTTCAGGACACCAATAATCACGGCAAGAGCGGAGACCAGACCTGTACGGGTGGTATTCAGAGCTACTGCTGCAACGGTTTCAAGCCGGCTCCGTCACCCGAAGAACTAAAGCAGAAGGCCGAGGACGAAGCAAAGGCGGCCGCCGAGGCGGCTGCAGAGCAAGCCGCACTAGACATCGCCGCGAAGGCGTTCTGCAGACTAGCGGTGCCCGCTCTTCTCGCACCTCTAGAGGCTCTTGAGGCTCTCATCCCTATCGTGGGTGAAATCCTCGACATAGCCGAGATTGCTGCAACGCCAGCGTTAATTAAGCTCTGTACCGATGGTATTGAGAAGGAAGGCAAGGCTGTATTCAAGGTATTTGGCAAAGAGCACACCATCGACAATTTCAGTAAACCTACCGCGAAAAAGACGGATAGACCGGCCGAGTCCAGCCATGTAAGTGACCGATATCGTAAACGGAGGTGCCCCAGGTCAGTCGCTAATCACCTCGCAGAGCACTGCGAAGACTAAAGACGATAGCTGTAGCGGAAACGTAAAGCGTGCAGGCCGTGCGTGCCGTGTTAAAGAAATGGTGCGCACGACTGCTGTGTCCAACGTCCGTCCTGCCAACATAGGTTCAATCGACTGCAACGCCGAATACACGCAGCCATGTCTCAACTACCGCTCCATCACGAGCCGCTACCCGCAGCACGCAACACTGACGTGTCAGTACAAGTTCGTCGACAATAAGAAGAGGACGGCACCGCGTAACTTCTACAACGAGCGGAACACGGCGGCATGGAACCAAAAGATGCGCGCATTCCCACCAAAAGGATGTGACTACGACGAGTTTCCCCCAGCCGCCATGGCTGACCTGAATGACGGCTATGACCTCCTAAAGCTAGAAGGCAACCCCTCGAAACCGGTGGCGGACCGGCCGGCCTACGGGCGCTACGTCGACGCGGGCGAAAACCAGAACGCTGGCAAATTATTCAATAAGTGTCTTAAGAACCCGCAGTCGCACACCGATGACGAGAACGAAGTTTGGGTCAGAGACCGTAGCCCGCAAACCAAGTACATCGACGTGCGCGCCGTCTTCACGCGGCAGCAATTTACCATGGAATTCCCCGGGCTCGGCAACCCAGAGGATGACGGGCTAGGGGAGAACGCGTGCCAACCGTACCAAGAAGGGGTCGATCACCGCGGCTACGCGTTGCAGAATAACGACGAATGGTTCGACAGCCACGAAGATGCAAAAGCGATGCAGAAACTGTGGGCGTCGACCCCCAACTACAAGCGCGAGTGGATCGACGCTGTCGGCGTGGTGGTCGTCGGCACCAATGATAGCCGCCCAGCCACGCGCGAGGAGACGGCCCACGAGTTCGGCTTTGATAAGTGCGAGGATGTTAAATGCTCGCGGGAGATCAAGGCGCTGAAGAGGGTGGCCACGTTGGTGAAGGAGGCTGCGCCAACGGTGCCGGAGGTCGCGCTTGTGGAGCCCACGCCGGCCGTCAATGAACTAGCTGGCGGCGGGGAAGAAGAAACGACGCCGAGCCGGAATAGGCTAGGGCTATCTGAATCGGGTCCTCCCAAGCAAACTATGGCAGCCGAAGTTGTATAATTGGTTCCCAGACTCCTATCGATCTAGCACTATGGATGAATAGCTTAAGAAGCATATATTCAACGTATTACTCAATGCATGCTATCAAGAAGCCTTCTGTACGCTTGGTGCCTTAATCGTAGTCCAAGTTCTTTCTGCACATTGCCTTCTGTTAGCTGATAATCTAAATGCCACTAGCATTCGGCAAAACTCACACGTAATCAGGTTGAGCTCGTTTCCACTCCAGCAAAGCTCGTCTACACTCGTCTCGTTTGAAGTCGTGAGGCCAGCCGTGCTCCTTGTAGATGCGAACTAAATTCTAAGACGCAGACCATTAGACTAGCTTCTCAACACGATAGAGAGGTGCCATACCGTGGTGTCATCCGCCCACTTCCCCTTAGGCTGCGGTTCATCATCTTCAGTATCGCTGTCGTCGCCCTTACCCTCCTCTTCATCGAACGGTATCCAGCCGGTCCGGATAGCAGAAAGTATCTCATTTGGAATGCCGAGCCACTCCATGCGCACGTATTTCTGTCGCCACTTTTCCAAAAACTCTCGTATCGGCAGCGTCTCGTCGCAGCACCGGTCACGCCAGCTCCGAGGGTCGCCCTCGGGGTACGTGGGCTTGTACACGTAGTACATAGAATAGTATCTTGTCACGGTGCCGTCCGTCGTATCTAGTAGAAGCACCCATTCCTCGCGGTCCCTGCCCGCGGTTAGCTGCACCACCCACTCAGGCCACTGCCACTCCGCCCGCGAGTTTTGGCGCAGCCAGTGCATGGCGGGCGGGGGCGGTCGAAGCTCTCGTAGGTCGGATCTGCTCGCGAGACGCCAGTCGCACGCGAAGCACTCCGGTGCCATCCAATTGAAGCGCTCTCCGATCTCGCCTCGTATGTAAGGCAGATGACGAAGCAGCTCGACTACCTCGTCCGGCTTGTGGATATCCCATTTAGCGAGGGACTGGTTCGTGATCTCGGGCCAGCCACCAGGCGGTGGATGGTCGATGGCAGATGAGTCTATGTGAGGTAGCGTAGCGAGAAACTCGTAAAAGTCGCTCAATGCAGACACGACTTCTTGTCTGGAGTAGTGAGCCGGTTGCCTGAGGCGCGGATCGGGCGACACATTTGGGTCAGCCATGATTGTATATACAGAGAGTGGGATTGAATGATACAAAATCGCGTTGTGCGGTTCAAAGTGATGGTGGCTGATGTTCAACATCCGTCATCCGGTTACACGAGGTTACCCCAGGAGTACAAAAACCCCTGAGTTCAGCCGACACCGCAGATCGCAGGTTCAGTTCCTCATTCTGTAGGTAGTTTGCCAATAATCAATATTGAGATGATATATGATGAACTTGAGTCAATGTCCCGCGCGATTTCATAATAATTAATGAGCAAACCCTATGATTTCCTGAATGCTATCAGGCACTTTCGTACCGTGCCAGGCACTCATGAAATCTGGCATTAACAATTGAAGCTTCAGGTAGATTGTTGTTCATGTTTTCTTAGTTCATCATTATATCCTCACAGAATCATCAATGTTTGCGGCTTGAAATCTAACACCAGTAGGACTTCAGCCATAGTATATAGCCCTTCACCTTTCCATTCCTCTCAGGAATAAATCTCCAATAGTAACCGTTCAACGCTCATCTTAATCATCTTTCCATCTTGGACCATAGCAAATAAGCTTTAGGTTTTCATCTGTTAACAACGGATGAGCAACCCCTTCTACGACTCCCTGAAGGCGACTTTTTAACTCTGGAGAGTATTCCTAATATTGTGATCGAATTCTTCAATATGTCTGAGAGGGGTTTCGGTGCATCTTCTCGTGCTCCTTTAGCCGATATTACCTCGCAAATTCCAAATAATGTAAGCTCGCTATCGTCAAACTAGGAGGGATATATACTGATTCAACGATCTCAGCTAGCATTGATCAATAACATTAAAAACGTCAAGTGCCTGGCTCTCCTCCGGGTTAGGGCGAAGTTGATAGAGCATAACGGTGGTCATTGGTGGGAAATCGATTTACCACCGGCTTCTGGTCCAAATGGAACATTTCCTATGTCAAATGCAGTCTATTTAGGACCATTTAACGTTTAGGGAGATCTAGCTAGAAGGGTGGATAGTGAAGCCTAGGTCAGGATTGACATCAATATGATAATGCCTTACCACTCCCATTGACAGGATGAACACCCCAACTTGTGAGTAGGACGTTCTTTTACATCTTAGCAGTATCGAGGTTCAAGAGCTAGCCAGGTACCTATGTATGATAGGGTATATGCAATATAGCACATCAAATTAATTTGCGATGCTTTAGAAACATGTTCACTTGCGTGTTGAAATCTATCTGATGTGATTTACTTCCTACGAGAATTGCGCGACTTAAATTCTCACTGCTCCAAATCATATATCAAAAATTACGTGCAAGGTCTTGAGGGTATATGAGTGAAAAAGGCGAAGGAAAAATGTGAAAATTCATACTAAATAAAGCATAGCAAAAAGAGAAAAACAATGATTTCGTCCAGGTTCGAACTGGAGACCTTCAGTGTGTTAGACTGACGTGATAACCAACTACACCACGAAACCATATAGCGCCACTTGCACGAGCCAGCGCTGAGTAATCAACTGATGTAAGAACTGCTCTTAGAAAAAACTAAGTACCGTATTCTTACATTGTAGGTTGTGCATGAATAGTGTGCCCAATCAGAGGCTAAGTTCTCATATTGCTAGATATGCTTGCTTTGAATGTACGACTCTTACCCATCTCAGTTTAGCATTAATGTGGAATCTATCTATCTCCTCGGACTAATCCAGGAATACCCGATCTAATTCGAATGCGGCTTCGATGTTGTTGTAGGATTTTCACATGTACATAGAAACTAACTTTAAAATAGGACTAAGGAATTTAGCTTGTTGATCTCGTACGAAATTAAAATCTGCTTTCCGGATGTTCTCCGAGCGTCCAAAGAAATACGGATATTAATAACCTTAATTTCCAATAAGAAACGCGCTATATTATCATACCGTGGTATTGAACTTAGTCGCGTACTTCTAGTGCGGCTGCAGCTTTCTGCCACATCAATCGATCCTACTGAGCCAACGTGGAAGCGAGTTCAACTATTAGTGCCTGAGACTTGATAAGTCAAATCCGAACGAAACATTGTGACGTAAATTCTTCTTCACCGGCATTACTTTGTTCTATTCGAGATTATCCAATCGAATAATTTCCAAAAGGTTGCTTTCTGTCTTACATAAGCTGATACACGGAGTAGGTAGTGTAGAAAGAAAGTTAAAAGCTTGGCCTTGCAGGCCCCGGAATATAAAATTTCCCCACATCTTTCTCTTATCAATCCGACAAAAATGTAAGTTCTATGATTGGTCAATTCCTCTCTGATAAGTTTCCGCTTACACGTTCATGGGGGTCAACGATTTACAACTACGTTGATCTCTGCCCTGTCTACCCTACTTTTTCTTGTCTCGGATTTGACCTGGAGATTCCATCTGCATCTCTTATCATCTTGGTATGTGTGGGTATAGAGGATCCAGCTCGGTTCCGTTCGTGCGGTGTGTTCATGCCAGCATGATCTGGGAATTCGCAATTTACAGTTTGTACAATGTCAGGCGTGTAACTTACACGAGTTGTTGCTGTAAGAGTCTATCAAGCAAGTGCTTATCTCAACTATCGGGGATATGCTGATTAAACCAACATTGAAGCTTTAACAAGGCTGCTTGACAAGAGGTTAAAGTTACACTTCCAAGAGCTGCAATAAATCCCACTTCGGTTATACCTAGACGCTACCAGCCGCCTGGCGTGGAACGTGATAGGTTCACTTTCGCCATCTTAGATGAGACACCATGTTCCCAGGCAAGACCCTGCATGCGGGGGTAGGTTCAGCGCAAAGCCCGAGATATTAGGACGCAAATCTTGGCCAATCTGAGATTTGTACGGAGAGCCTCGAGCACCGAGCTATCTTACTGATAAGCGAAATATATATCATATATAACCTATAACCTGAGCGCCTTCTTATGCGTCTATATAACCCTACAGGAATTCCTAACCTTGGTATTCTTGAGTTACGGCCCTATCACTTTCTAGCCTGATCAACGATTCCTTTCGTCTAACTTCACCGCCTGGAGCTTTTACTATACTTGTCACAGAGGCGAGATGGCGGAGACGATAGTCACCCCGCCTCTAGACCAAGGTGTCGGATATGGCATCGTCCTTGGCCTGGGCTTTGGGTTTGCCCTTGGAATGGTGCGTAACAACTCGTTCACCCACATAAATCGCTGTAGCTTGGTCGCAATGGTTACTTCGACGTTACCATACAAATCTCGACTACAAGATATACTTACTCATTATAATATTAGATCCTAGTTACTTTCATCCTCAAGCGATATAACTCGGAACTCCAGACTTCTGAAATGTTTACTACTGCTGGTCGCACAGTTAAAAGTGGCTTGGTCGGATCCGCCGTCGTATCTTCTTGGACGTGGGCAGCTACACTACTACAGAGTTCGGGTGTCTGCTATAGGTATGGTGTCTCCGGTCCATTTTGGTACGCGTCGGGAGCGACAGTTCAGATTCTCCTTTTCGCGACATTAGCTATCGAGCTAAAGCGACGCGCTCCCAATGCGCATACGTTTCTCGAGGTGTAAGTTCTTCATATCGGCCGCAGAGTAATGAATGCGAAACTCACAATCAATATAGAATTAAGGCTCGTTATGGAACGGTCGCCCATATGGTCTTCATGGTTTTTGGCCTTGTGACCAATATCCTCGTCAGTCTCATGTTGGTTGTTGGTGGTTCGGCTACAGTGAGCGCTCTTACAGGAATGCACACTATCGCGGCTATTTACCTTCTTCCCGTCGGCGTCATTGCATACACTATGGTCGGTGGCTTGAAGGCAACGATCTTGACTGACTGGATCCACACCTTCATCCTACTCATTATCATTATTATTTTTTCATTGACGGCCTATGCCTCGTCTGACAGGCTTGGCTCACCATCGGCAGTTTATGATCTGCTTGTCGAGGCTGCTTTCAACCATCCGGTTGAAGGAAACGCCGAAGGCAGTTATTTGACCATGCGCTCGAAAGAAGGAGCCATTTTCTTCGTTATCAACATCGTTGGTAACTTTGGAACTGTGTTCCTCGACAATGGATATTACAACAAGGCCATCGCTGCCTCGCCAGTCCATGCTCTACCTGGCTACATTATCGGTGGTCTCAGCTGGTTCGCGATTCCCTGGTTGACTGCTACCACTATGGGTCTATCTGCTCTGGCTTTAGAGGACACACCGGCATTTCCGACGTACCCTAACCGCATGTCTGATGCGGATGTATCAGCCGGACTTGTGCTGCCGTACGCCGCCGTTGCTCTGCTCGGAAAAGGAGGCGCGGTCGCTACGCTTCTTATCGTCTTCATGGCTGTCACTTCAGCCACTTCGTCCGAACTGATCGCCGTCTCCTCTATCTTCACTTACGATCTCTACCGTACCTACTTCAAGCCCGACGCTAGCGGCCGACGCCTCATCTACATGTCTCACGTCATCGTTGTAGCATATGCCCTGTTCATCTCCTCGTTCTCCGTCGGTCTCTATTACGCGGGAATCTCGATGGGCTACCTATACCTCATGATGGGTTGTATCATTTCATCGGCCGTGATACCCGCTACCTTGACTTTGGTCTGGAAGGGACAGAACAAATGGGCCGCAGCACTATCTCCAATCTTCGGACTCGCCTTCTCCTTGATCGCATGGCTTGTCACCGCTCACAAAGAATGTGGCTCTTTAGATGTGGAATGCACGGGATCGAACAATCCTATGCTTGCAGGAAATGTTACCGCACTTCTGTCTCCTCTTGCCCTCATCCCCATCTTCACTCTCATCTTCGGAATGGACAATTACGACTGGAAGTCGATGATGGAAATTCGCAGGGGCGATGATCACGACCTCGCCGCTACGGCAGGCGTGGACCTCGAGCAGACGGTTGGCGGGCACGAGGAGACAGCAAACGAATTCGCCGATGAGCAGTCGAAGCTGATGCGCGCAAGCAAGATCTCCAAATGGACGACGGCGGGGCTGACGCTCGCGTTCCTGGTCCTGTGGCCTTTCCCGATGTACGGCAGCAGCTACGTGTTCTCCAAGCCCTTCTTCACCGGCTGGGTCACCGTAGGCATCATTTGGATCTTCTGCTCTCTCGGCGCTGTCGGACTGTTCCCCGTCTTCGAGGGACGGCTGACACTTGTGAGGACTTTCAAGGCCATTGTCCTTGATCTGTCGGGGAAGAAGCACGTTACGGCTATCCGATCGGAAAACGAGGGAGCGGCGGCTATTGATGGGAAGGCGGCGTCAGGTGACGAGACACCCCCCGTCGCAAACGAGCCTCTCAAGACGGAGACGGACGAAAAAGCGGAGTAGATTCCATGGTGTTGAGTTGAGAGGTGTTTGGGGGATTTTGGAGTGATTTATTGAAGAAAAAAAAGATACCCTTTATATGTTAGGAAGCTAGAAGCGAGATTAGTTGACATTTGTAATTTATAAATCTAATAACTCCAACGATCGCCCTTGTCCACATAATCCGTGAGCTAGTCGTTCTAGAAAAAGACTATGTGTTTAGTAAAACTTGGGGTAGCCAGTTTAGTATATTCGCCCGCCGCTATTCACAATATTGAAGTCGCTCACCGTAGGTACCTAAGAGTTCAATGGGGGAAATTCAGGACAAGAATTTCGAAAATAGACCCCTCCTTCAATGTCCTTCATTCTGCCTTTCGTCTCTCATCACCTTTAACCCAACCCGTTTATTCAGGGTTAGTAATATTGTAGTCAGGCAGTATGTTCCCACGGCTATCGCTCATCTCCTCGGGGTTCATTGGCAAGCAGTTATTCGTCTCCAAAGATAATGCATTATTCAACCCAGCGCTCACCGGTCATTCCTGAACCCTCCCAAGTCAGATCTTAACTTATGCGCCTACTCATATCATACCCCTCAATGTTGGTCAATGTCGGGATAAGCACGTGCCGAAACGGCGTTCTCACCGACGGATGAAGATTCCAAGAAATCGGAAAACGCGGAATACTCCTACCGCTACGTATGTCTCGGTGACTTCCAGTATACCTGCAGCTTTAAAGCCACATTGCATCCTAGTAATGGAGCCATTGGATGGACCCTGGGGTAATCTCATGTACTCCGCAACGTGGTCTATCGCCGGATTAGGAAGTAGTCAAGCAACACGCGCATCTGCAACGAGGGCAGAGCCTCCCGCGGATTTCTAGGATTCCTCGTCGGCTATATTTTCCTAACACATGGGCGGATAGGATACGGGTGCCATCGATGTGTCTTAGGTAACTGGTAACTGTCAACTGTCGAGATAGGCACGTCCTCGCACCAATCACGTTTGCGACGAATCGAATGCTGATGAGTACAACCACACAAATTTGGCGACGAGCCCTTCTCCGAGGTGGCTCAGTGTCTGACAAAGTCCGACGTCGTTGGAGCTTGGAGCTTGAAGCTTGGTACCGAGCGACAGCAGCTATTCCCTCATCATGAGTTCGACGCTCATAGGTAAGATTGCTCCAAAAAACTGACTCGTCGCAAGTACGGACGGTACCTGAGATGTGGGAAATGCGTGATATATCATGCAACTTATATATGGGCTGTATGGGCTGTCTGCAATGGAGACCCATGCATAATACGTCTCTCGGTCTATACGTCCCTGGATGTCTGTGGAAGTTCTGGATGGTTGCACACGCGCACCTGCGCACACATGCGGCTGAATACATGGTGATAAGCCGGGGTCCCAAATGCATTAGGGGTCGATCATTGGTAAGTCAACCCGGCTTTTCCCAGCGTGCAAGCCTGAATCGGGCGGACTCGGCAGTCGAATCTACGAACCCCCCTCCCTCCATCGAGAGCCCATGCCGGTTCCCTGGCTGGTGCCTCGTGCTCCCTGAAGCCTGGTCGTTGGAGGGACTGGAGGGCTGGGAGGTGGGAGTGCGTGGGCGGCGTACGTAGTTGTAGACGACCCTGACGACGGTGGTAGCGTATGAATACCTAATTAAGTAGTCTTCTAAACTACCGGTAAGTAGGTTGCGTTCCGCGTTTGATCTCCAATGCAGATTGTCGCCATGTGCGACTCGCCCGTCTGCTGGAAAACTTAAATTTCAAAGGCCAAGGCGCTTGGCGAATACTGGACATCCCTACATCCCTTCCAGGGCGAGCGAGTCGCCGTCAACCGATCTAAGCGGATGCCGGCAATGTGAGAGGAAAATAAGAGGCTCGCAAGGACTTTCCCGAAAGAGCTTCTTACGCTTATAGCTACCATAATGATAAGCTATCGGGCTATCAGGAGGAACCGGTGGACGTCACGCAGGTCACTTAGGAAAAAAAAAAGAGGGTGAACTAGGCGAACTAGGCGAACAGACGAACCAGACGAAGCGGGCGAAGCTTGGGTCGAGCTTGGGCGAAGTTGAGCGAGGAAAAGTCTCCTTCGACCCCACTTAGATGAACAAGTGCGAATCAATGAACATGGATAACATGGATAAGTTGCGTATCAGCCGTATGAGGCCGAATGAAGACGATTATCTTAACCCCTAAACTAATCAACCCCTACAACCCCCCTAACCCCCCTAACCCCCCTACGATCCCCTACGACCCCCAGGACCCTCTATGACCCCCCTACGACCCTTAACGTACCCCACCCTCGCCCGCACCGCCTGTACCGTTGCACCGTTCCCGGTCCGGGTGGCGGTCTTCTGATCTAAGACAATGCCTGTTCGTCATGGTACCGAACCCGACAGAAGATCGCATAACCTGCATATCTCCTCGTTGCTCGTTGGACTAGCCGTGCCCAGCATCCAATCACTATCTCTACCTGTTCGTGCCCGAGGTCTTTCGGATTTCCAGGGTAAGGTATATAAATTACGTGGAAGTTCGGGCTAGGATCCATCTGGCTTATTATTTAGTCCAATTAGTAATATTATCAACCGCCTTTCTAGCCAACCCCTTATCGTGAACTAGTCTTTGTTCCCTAGATACCTAGCTTATTTGATATCAGGTCAACTAGCTCGACGTCTACAATATATAAAGCAAGCATAGGAATCAAAAGAATTGGGAGAAGTATTGCAAACAAGACTCTACGGACATCATGGCTGCCGATAAAGTATCTACTATACCTCACCCTCTTCGACCTCTGTCGCCCGACGAGCTGTCCAAAGCTCGGGATATCGTCATCAAGGCACAAGGTGGCGATGGCGTCGCCTTCTTCTTTCGCTCGGCTATCTTTAACGAGCCAAAGAGGGAAGACCTGACCGTCTTTCTCGCCGCCGAACATGAAGGTCGGGTGCCTGAGAGTGTCCCGCCGAGAGAGGTCCATCTGTTGTACGACGTTATCAAAGATGGCCAAGCTCAGCTTCATGAGACGGTTGTCGACATCGACGCTGGCACCATCCCAAGCGTCAGGGCGCACGAAATGCACTGCCAGACCAGTTTCACTGCGCAGGAGTTCGGCAAGTTCCAAGAAGCCTGCGTCTCCTCGGAGATGTTCAAGGCAGCCTTGGAAGAGTTCACACTACCAGAGAATTTCGTCATCACAATAGATCCGTGGCCTTATGGAGGCCCGGATCCCGATGAGGAGATCCCTCGTACTATGCAAGGTCTCGTCTACGCCCGAGACACATCCAATAAAAACATCGACTCAAATCATTACGCTTACCCATTACCCATCATTCCCATCATGGACGTTGCCACCAAGAAATTGGTCAGAGTAGATCGTCTCGCTACTGGAGGACGTGGTGACAGCCTATACCCCGCTTCCCTATCAGACAAGCCTAAGAAACTCTTCGAGCACAACAGCTCGGCAGAATACGTGCCCGAGCTGTTGGACCGGCCGTTCCGCACCGATATGAAACCCATCAACATTACCCAGCCCGAGGGCGCCTCCTTCAAGGTCCACGCCGACAACCTGGTAGAGTGGCAAAAGTGGCGATTCCGCGTCGGGTTCACGCTCCGCGAAGGCGCCGTGCTGCACGACGTGTGCTACGACAACCGCCCCATCATGTACCGACTGTCCTTCTCCGAGATGACCGTCCCGTACGGCGACCCGCGCCCGCCGTTCCACCGCAAACAAGCCTTCGACTTCGGCGACGGCGGGATCGGCCGCGCCGCCAACAACCTGAAGCTGGGATGCGACTGCCTGGGCGCGATCCACTACTTCGACTCGGTGATGACGGACACGGAGGGCAAGCCGGATTTAGCCAAGAACGTCGTCTGCCTGCACGAGCAGGACAACGGCATCGGGTGGAAGCACACGAACTTCCGGACGAACCGCGCGGTGGTGACGCGCATGCGCGAGCTGGTCGTGCAGTTCGTCGCGACGCTGGCGAACTACGAGTACGTGTTCGCGTACAAGCTGGACACGGCGGGCGGCATCACGCTCGAGACGCGGGCGACGGGCATCGTCAGCGTGGTGCCGATCGACGAGGGCAAGACGTCGGCGTACGGCAACGTCGTGAACCCGGGCGTGCTCGCGCAGAACCACCAGCACATCTTCGCCGTGCGCATCGACCCGGCCGTCGACTCGTACGACGCCGCCACCGCCGTCGTGCTCGAGGAGAGCCACCCCGTCCCCATGAACCCGGACACCAACCCGCACGGCAACGGCTACGAGATCCGCCGCCGCCGCGTCGAGCGCGCCGGCTTCGAGGACGCTGAGCCCCGCCTTAACAGGGTTGTGCGCCTCGAGAACCCGGTCAAGAAGAATGCTATTAGTGGTAAGAATGTGGGGTACAAGCTCGTGCCCAGCCCGACGCAGCTCCTCCTCGCCGACGAGAATAGCGTGCAGGCGGCTCGCGCCCCCTTCGCGAGGCACCACCTCTGGTTCACGGGACACCGCGACGGCGAGCTCTGGGCCGCGGGAGAGTTCACGAACCAGGCGCACCGCGAGGTGGGCGGCGTCAAGACGATGGTCGAGAGGGGGGATTGGTTCGTCGAGCCCGAGGGCGAGAGCGAGGGGGTGAATGGGACGGCGACGAACGGAGAGGCGCACGGAGAGGAGGAGGCGGATAAGAAGGGCAAGAAGAGTACGCCTGTTGTCTGGAGCGTCTTCGGCCTTACACACAACCCGCGAGTTGAAGATTGGCCTGTGATGTGAGCATGGTCCCCTTCTTCTTTTTCTTTTTTTCTTTCTTTTCTTCAACTTTTTTTCGACTTTCTGTTATGTAAAAATCTTTCGAGGCCGTAACTAACGCATCTGACCACGCAGGCCTGTCGAAATCCACCAGCTCCACATCCGCCCGGCTGATTTCTTCACCAGCAACCCGGCGTTGGACATCCCCAGCACGAGAAACGAGAGCAGCGTGCTGGTGCCCTGCTACGGCGAGAAGGTGGCTGAGAATGGCGCGAACGGAACTACCCAATCCAGCACCTGCTGCAGCAGCACGCCCAGTCTCCGCACCGACAGCACGGTGCAGCGCAACCCCGTATCCCATCTCCAGGGCACGGGTCCGGACATCGACCCGAAGGACATTCCTGTCAAGGAGAAGAGGCGACTCTCCGCGACGCTGTCGAACTTGCTTAATTGGAAGAAAGATTGATTTGGTGTATTGGAAAATTTATGGGTTGGATCTTTGATTATCGGGTGGATAATGATGAAATTTTTTTAAGTCCGTGATAGAGACTTTCTCGCATGAGACCCCCCCATTTTCATGAGATACGAAGACGACAGCAACAAAAGTAAACTGCGTTCACTTATTAATACACCTGACGAGACGAAGACCTTCGCTACAATACAGGCTCTAGACTGGCCGTGCATGGTTTAGGGAGAATAGGTTCTCTAGGTCTAGGTAGTTTTCGAGCATCAGGTAGACAGACAGGCAAAGACGGAGACGTCTCGGATAATGTATGCATGTTATTGATTCTATCTATCTACATATTGATAGCCCGTGGGGTTCCAAGCGGTGGTTCGAATATTGCATGTATGTCTCAAGCCCCTGAAGAAGCAAATGCGGAAGACGGTTAGAGATGTTTGCGTTATACAAGAGTACTAGTTTTTACCAGCCAAACATTGCCAATTGAAGCTCTATATCTGCATTTAGATGACAAAGTTTACAAATGTATGATGTCTTATGTCTAGTTCGTTTGTCGAAGTTGAATAGGGGAAGATTCTATTTAGGTCGGAGTTAGAGTATCTTCGTTTAGAAGCGACCGATGAACTCACGGAAGGTGCCTAGCTCCGACTTAGGTATTTTGCATTGCACATGCAGCTGCCCGTAGCGTATAGATGTACATGATAAATCCATCACACCCCGCACCATAACGTACTTGCCCCCACTCGTTCATTTATACGCGATTGACATACATTCATAGCAGCTGCACCGTCGTTAGGTAAGCTGACAGGCAGAATTTCTGTATCTTATCAACTAAGAACGCGTCATACATCATTGTACTTGCATATGATGGCTTGCAATCTCAGGTCTCCTATAAAAAATTCATAAATTTTGCCGATAGGTATTGTTGACATATATGTGTATAAAACAGCTTGACTTTTCCAAGTTATATATCGATTAACAGTTAATGTATTTCAGTATCATATGCAAATCATTCTCTTCCGTTGTTGCACTGAATGTACCCATATGTACCGAGCGTGGGGTAGTCTTCGGTGTAACGGCGGTCAGTTTACCAACCACCTGCACTTGCCAACCGTCCCCGGCCTTTGTCTGGGCCTTTCTAAGGTGGAGGTGCAGGCAGCGTAAGGAAAGCGCAGGGTGGTCCTAGGGTACGATGTAAGTTATCGATAGCGCCTGCTCCACTGGTATAAGCTCTGGAAACAAGAAGTGAAAATGGGACGATGATTGGATCTTTTACATCATTAGATCGTATCTCCGATTTCCTAATCGCTTTAGCCTTTTCAACCATTTTTTCTTTCAGTAGCATCTCTTTCCTCCCTTCACCATGTTTACGGTATAGTGGAATATTACTCCAATTCATTACTCTGTGCTTATATCGTATGGCCGGCTTCGATTCCTTTTTGTTCGATATATGCGCCCGGTGATCGATCACGTCAAGGTCAGGTCATGAACGGCCCCTCCTTCGATTGAACCCGCAAGCTCGGATTTACCATCAAGTAAGATGGTACACGCCGCAACCATTGCGCCGGCCACCTCGCCCGCCAATCGCCCAGGTAGAGCGCAAACAAGATCCGGCTCGATGGGAAGCTTTCGTGCTGGCTCGCCTCTACCCTCTCTCCCGCCGAACCGAGCAATAATATCATCTCTCCGTCGTGTACCAACCCAACACCATTATCAAACATTTCCGACACCACCGCCGAGGACAGCTGGCCGAAGACCGGGTACGGGTTCCAGCTCTTCTGGTTCACAGGGTCATGATCACCATGGCACGACGACACCTTTACCGATCAAGCAGCTAGCTCTCTTAGCACTGCTGTCCTTATCCGAGCAAACGGCTCTTAACTCCATATCGCCATATCTACCCGAGATGATTGAGTCATTCCCTGGTGTAAGCCATGATGAAGTTGGTTTATACGTCGGTCTACTGGCTTCGGCTTTTGCCTTAGCACAACTGGCGACGAACCTTCTTTGGGGATACCTATCGGATATTATTGGGCGCAAACCCGTCATGCTACTAGGCACCTTACTACTGTGCTTTTGTTTTACTGCTTTTGGGTTCTGCACTAGGTACTTTCATATCGTGTTAGTAAATGTTGCTATGGGGCTTCTTAACGGCAACGCTGCCGTAGTTCCCACTTGTTTGGGGGAACTGACCGATCGGAGCAACCAGAGCAAAGCTTTCACCTGGCTGCCCGTCGTATACAGCTTGGGTAGCATCACGGGCCCCGCGCTCGGTGGTCTGTTAGTAGGCAAGGTTGCCAAAGACCGCTATCCTTTCCTCGCCCCGAACATTCTAGGAGCTTCGCTTCTCGCCTTGACCGTAATTGTGCTTAGCATTTGGTTTGAAGAAACCTTGGAAGAGCAGATCGAAGTTCCTCACTGGTCCGAATGGCTTCCATGGTTATCCAGTTCTACGAAGCCCACCGAAAATGGAACTACACGTTCATGGACTTGGCCTGGGGGTCGCGACTCAGATAATGAGCAGAGGGAAGCAAATGATGATGACGCAAGGGAGGACAGCACTTTACTTGGGCCACAAGAAGACGAAAATGGAGAGGACGATCCGAAATCGTCGCACGATACTACGACGTGGCGCCAACTCTTAAATCGAACGACGATAGTTCTCCTTAGCACACATCTAGTTTTTCAGCTATCTAATAGCTCATTCAACAGTTTGTATCCCATATTCGCATCCGGAGAGACGCCTACGGGGCGAGACCTGCATGCAGATGTTATCGGGGTATCGCTCTCTGTGGCAGGAGTATTCACCATCCTATTCCAATTATTCCTCTTCAGGCCGTTGAAATCTCACCTAGGTAATGTTAGGTCGTACCGAGGTTCTTTGCTTGGGTTTGCGATTACTATGGCTTTAATACCATTCGTCGGTTATGAGGATTCAAGCCCGCCTTTCGGTATAGGGAGTAGCAAATCATGGTTATACCTGGAGATAGGAGTAATACTCATCATCAAAAATATATGTGCTGTTGGAGGGTTATCAAGCGTCATGTTACTAGTAAGTTCCTCTCTTTGCGAGGGGCGGCCGATTGATGAAATAGCTAACGTACAGGTAGATCACGAATTCAGCACCCACTCACGCGAGCTTAGGCACTCTCAACGGCATCGCGCAGACTCTTTCGGCTGCTGGTAGAAGTGTAGGCCCTTTCCTCTCCGGTGGACTTTTTACCGTCTCGACACACGTTCAGCCAAAAGGCGAAGCTCTTGCCTGGGGTTTATTTGCAGGGATAGCCTTGGCCGGATGGCTGGGGAGTTATGCTATTCATGGCGAAGGCCTCGAAAGTACCGATGATGGGTACGAAGCGCATGCCACGCAAGCCGACGAACACGCGAGCGATAATCCCGCATAATCTCGAGGATTCCTGTCTGACAAGCAAAAGCCGTAACATCGATGACGTCTGCTTACGCCAATCTCTATTTGGGACCGGCGAGTCGGATAACCATCCCAAGGACGCATAATAGTGATTCGTATCACGTCTCAAATTTTTGTTTGCTCGAAGATCCCCAAACAACATAAGAGTGACTGCACCGCCACTATCGCATTTAGGACGCCGAGCTCGAGTGATATTAGTGTAACCGCACACGAACGCGCAGACTAGGTGTTAGCTGCAACTATACTCGCCGGATCTTAGGGTTGGTGGTACTCTTATCGTCGGTAGTAGCGTTACATCGTGAGGAAAGTAGTCTTAAAAAGACATTCGCCCTTAGCTTTTACGTCTCTTAACTGCCGCTCCGTTTCGTGATAAGACTAGGAGATCGGGTTGCGCATCTCATATATAGGGTATCAAGACTGGCCTATATATTAGCAGCCGAGAACTCTGATGATAATGATGTATGACGATAGACAGATATTATGTATGCTTGGCAAAGAGGTGGAACAAGACGGATTTGATATCTATATGGAATCAAATTTAGATCTTACGCTTAGCAATCGATTTATACAACCTCTTTTAATACATTCAAGCTTAGTGTTTTGGTGACTAAGGGAAAAGCGGCTCTTATTCGGCGAGTCAAGCTTTAGAAATTCCACCGGTGTTGAAAAGAAGTAATCCTACCTTGATATGATATCAAGTGCAATATTTTCGAAGGTGTAAAAGAGAAGGTGTATCCGAAGATCATAAGACAAAAACTGCGTATTCAGGATTAGGTAGAAAGCCACTCATCCATGAGTGTTTTTTTTACGCACTTCGGCATGAACGGAAAACCGAGCTAATGGGATATAATTCTCTGATAGGACGCGTTAGTACGAGAATCGTGGCTATGGAGGCGACGACATGAGTCGATCTAAAGACTTCGGGAGAGGCGGATCACAAATGACCTAGGATGTTCTGAGAAGAGGCTCTTCGAAGATAGTAGTGCGCAATCAACGGTTCCTCCCGTTGAAAAGAACCTCGTCGCCTTCTTCCGACCTAAGCACCTTACTAGTATGCGCGATCCTCAGCTCGCATTGGGATATCGGTTCTAACCTCTAAAATCCGATGTGATCAAGAGAATGTGCTAGGTTTTTAGTCCGTAGGGCTGTCCGTTAATACCTACGTAATGTGCATACATACACTCATGTCGTGTGTAGGCACCAAGGTAAGCGTCGGTCGACATCTGCCTAGACCGATTTGACTAGGGTTATCGACGTCATATCATCCTTGAGTTCCGTGAAGATATGATATGATAATAAGAGAGGTGAATAAGAGAGGCGGAAATCGATTCTTCCGCATTCAAATTTATGAATTGTATTAATTGTTGTATGATCCCCATCCGAGATGCATAGGTGTATGTACGGATCTACGTAACCCTGCCAGCTAAAATGACGCACAGACATTTAGTCCTAGAATAGTACATCCAAGGGTCTCTAACATCGCGGCTATTTTAGCTTCCAAGCCAATGGAAATAAGGTTTTTCTAAATATGCACTGCCACCAGCCTCATCCACTAAGCGATGGTTCAGCTCGCGTGAATTCTGGATTCTCATTGGCTTAATTCACGCCTCGTTGATAGAATTGTTGGAAGTACCGGGTTTAAATTTATTGTAGCCAAGTATTCAGTTCTTTTTCCCTCTTTCCCAAAGCACTGGGTCTCGCCTAAGAGTTCCCGTATTCTAAATCCTCACCTCAACCAGTCAACCACCCCATTTCTCAAGTGTATTCCCATCCTGCGTCAGCAACCACACGATTCAAAATATCTTACGGCACGATCTCTAACTTGATATGGGAACTCCTCGCTTGCGAGGCCGCCCGTGATCACCTTCCCAGAAGTGACCTTCTCCGTGGAAGATCGCAACCTGGCTTCTAGAAGCTATGGATCCCCCCATTTACGCCAGGGGGTAGGATCGTCTTCATGGAGTGTATGAGCACGGGCCAGATACCAGAAACCTTCCATTCGTGTTCCTTACAAATCTTTCCAATTATATCCCATCTACTACAGATCTACAAATATCATTCGTTGGCCTTATTTCAGCCTCCTCGCCTGGTCAATGCTCTATGCGAATGCGTAATGCACCATGCAGCCGGGAGACGATTCCCGTGGTACAGCGTCGATTACATACTCCGCGTCGAGTCCTACGGGGAAGAAGACGGACAGACATCCACAAATGTATACCGGGATTCCATACCAGAATGCCCCAATCTTAGATCGCCGCGTTGCATGGTGCATACCTAAATATATTTTCCGGTTCTGAATTTTCTTGTCTGACCCTGCCATATTGGGTTAAGCCCCCCTGACAAGAACCCGAACGTCGTGGGGAACCGTCGAATTCGGTCTTGACTTTAGCCATTTACCAGGTATCGTAGCTATATCCGGGTCAGGGTCGAAAGCAACGATAACGGATGGCTGGCTGAACAGGGGTTCGTTAGCCAGTCACTAAAGCGCGAATCGCAGTGAATCCCAGCAATCCCAGGCAAGTGCAGTTCCCCAGCCTTATGCCGCTAAATTCTCACCGGCGCCTTCAACCACAAGCGCCATCTCCCGCACTCACGGACAACACGGAATAGCCGACTTTACTATTCAGACTGGCCAAGTTCCTGCTGCGGTTTAGCACTGTTTCTAAGCTTGTCAACCATTACGGAACCTGATTATAGAATCCTAATTGGCTGTCACTAGCATTCTTTTTAGAAACTGTGATTATTCAACTATACCAGCTTCCTTTCTAGTGTCCTAGATTATCTCCCCAGATCCTCTTCAAGATTCGTGGAGTAAATTTCCTTCTAGAAGCTTTCTATCCCCGATTAACCAATCAGAGCTCGCTTTTAATATCACCGATGGACACAAGCCCCCTACCCGCCTAGTTCTCGACCATATTTTATGATCTATTCTAAACCATCTACAGAATAACATCTAGCTTAGTAACACGGCAACACGAACCCCCCCAGTATGGCAGTTTTGACTGTCGTCAGCAATCAGCTACTAGTATGGGTGAGCAGGGCCGGAGGACGCGCTACACGTACATGGCTTTAAGTTTAAAGTCATGATTGACCTGTCACCTACTCTAGGTCCACCCTGGCCATGGAGGCTATCCGAGGTGAGCTTTATCACATAGCATAGTTTATGTAGGATCATCGTCATATGTTGATAGCTTCATCACCAACAGCAATCATTGGTAGGGCGTCTCTCTAGCATGTCGCATGGGTATTTCATCGGTCGCGGACCGACGCCGGTGGAATATCCTCACAATTCTATCCAGATGCTAGTCACTTGTTATCTGAATATAGTTTCTATCATCATTTCGCCCGTGAGCACGTGGTTCAGGATTAGATCATCCGGACCATGACCTTAGCTCAATTTGAGTATCTCACTTTCCGTTACCCTCTCGGGTGTCTCTAGATAGCTTCTTCAACGATCATTTAGTTTAGGGGTTATAGTCGACTTATTATTCTATCAGGTAAGACTCAACCCACTCGGCCATCTAGGATATAAACATCGACGACCTTCCAGGTCGATAGGGACATGAACCAAGTTATTCACTCAACAGCAACTTCCTTGCAAACTACACAGACCGATCAAATCTCGAAGGTAGTCATTGCCTACTCCCAATTAGATATGAAGCTGCGCTAACTTCTTTCCAAGGCAATATATATTTGACATAAAGCTCAAATTTCAAAATTCGTATCAGGACATATCTCGCTACTTGACGATTTAAAGGACGTTCAGAATCTCAATCAAGATATCTACCATGTCTTCATCACGATCTGGTCACAGAAGCTCCCGTAGCAGTAAGGGAAGACAAGTGCGTGACGGCTTTCAATTCGTAAATCCCTCCCGCGACTCAACCTTGGTCATAGTAGATGCTATATCTGCGACCTCGTCACTTCATAACTGCTCTCGTATCTCTCGTATCTTAACGGCTAACAAAGTGCGTAACAGTCCTCGGTCCAGCAACTCATTGAGTCTCTGCGCACTCACCGAGTCAATACACTCACTGAACTCTGCCGAATTGAACGAGTTGCTGCTAGCTGTGATAACGAGGAAGACGCTCAAGCATTTCAAGCCCCGATGACTTCCGCCTGGGATTACTATGTGAATAGCAATCAGTTCCTAACGGAATTGAGGGGTCTGACCAGGAACTATCCCATCTCCGGAGAGCTTGTCGACCAAGCACACCAACTGGTCCGCAACGACCCGAACTCCAACCGGAGCTGGAATTTGGCCTGGTTGTGCCTGGTGAAGATCCGCGATGAGTAAGTCTCAACCCCTGTAACCTCTCCCCTTTCTCCTGTGCATATATTGGCTCGAGTTCTCCTCAGACTTCCGACCTCACTTCATATCTAACTTCGAATGTAGAGGTCTAGTCCCTACTTATGCGCAAGCGGACGCATGGCGCAAGGAGATGTGGGGTGGTCGCGACCCCACACCGGAAGAGGCAGACCAGCTTGCTCAGTGTTTCGAGTATGAATGGACTCAAGCTGTCGAGAACATGCTGCGACACTGGCCCGTGACACCGACATGGTACTAAAGTCGACGATGTTTCTTTCGAATCATTCCATAAATGCGGGTCATTCGACTTCAACATCATGTACACTCCTAGCCAACAAGGAGCTGGAAGCATTTTCTCGGGATTATCTCTGGTATAGAGTCCTTATGCATTATTTGGGCGTTCATTTAGAAGGGGTTTCAGCATTTACAGGCGCTTTGTTTATTTCCTTATATTCTTGTTTTCTTGCATAGCATAGCATGGTATGGCATGGAATAGCATGGTCTGGGTGTCTCTCGTTTTAAGCATTAGCATTGGCGGCGTTTTGATTTATTTTTCCTCTTGTATGGCAACTGACCACTTCCTTTCGTTTCGCTCTGTATATACAGTCAGATGCCTCCCTTTCGTTCCATATGAATATATTCATCATCCCTTTCTCTCCAAAAGACATTTTCCCTGTTAGCTTACGGTTTTGACAATTTGAAAAAGTGTTTCATGTGGCTAACACTGAAGTAGAATCTCCTAGTCCCTTGCTGGTAGACCTTAGCTCCTGTCATTTAGCCTTAGCCGTCTTCCCGCAACGGCCTAAAGTAGGCAAGGCACTTGACCCATAGGCTGCTTCCAAAGCTACAGCTATGTGGCCGTTCGAGCTGCGGTGTCGAGGTAGTCTTGCGGTTGACGGTGATGTACCACGGTCCTCGAGTTCGTTTCAGGGGCTAAGGCACCGAGATCGGGTTATCATCCTGACGACATGGAAATGTCAAGCAACATTGGGTGAATGGCCTCCGTCATGAGTGATACCAAAGATATTACTCGGACACGGACTATGTGACTGTCCTCGACGACTTGTCCAAAGGTTAACCTGAAACTTGAACTACGGGGCCTATTTTACCTCCAAAGAATGTGAATGAGGTTGACGATAGTGTGCGTTCATCTACCAGTACAAGAGAGCTTTGTCCATAATTACTAGTACGTGGATAATACATGGAGTCAACATTTTCCAGGCAACCCTTCCCACAGTGTTGGTCACCAGGCTGAGGATGGAATTAGGTATATGTTGAATTGAAACAAATCCTATCTCTGGTAGACATTTGTTTTCCTCCAGATGTTTACCCACTTCTAACACCGAAAACTAATCAATCCAGTGATAGATTCTCTCACCTCTTGACATAACACAATCCATCATGCAGCCCTTCATGGGACCGCCCATGATGTCGCAATCGAATGCCGCGCGACCTATGGAAGGACACATGATGCCGCAGCCGATGCTGCCATATCCTAGAATGCTCCAGCCTCCAATGCTGCATCCTCCAATGTCGCAACCTATGATGCCGCAACCCATGGTCCCACAGCCCATGGTCCCGCAACCTATGTTTCCACAACCTATGATGCCAGAGCCTCTAGCGATGATACCGTGTACGCTACAGCGAGTGACGCCACATCCGGTCGCACCTAGGATACCAGAAGGCTCATATTCTCACCCTGTGAAGCCAGACATAGGAGGACTGAATGCGGGGCGACTAATCTACAACCTCGACGATAAGGACATGCTAGCGAATCTGATGAACTGGCCTGTCTCAGGGAATTACATGGTCTCATGTTCCTTCGAAGCTGTACCTTTGACTTGCCTCGGTATCAAGTTCCGAAAACTCTCCGATTACGGCAAGGTCATCGAAGAGGGCCCCGACAAACTTGTGATCGGGTTCAAGCATCGGAACCCAGAGATGATGCAAACGTTGATCAGGTTAGCATGGGTCACTCAGTACGTGGATCTAGGAGTTCAGTGCCGCATGCACTTTGAGCCGTTGATACAATACCAAACCATCAAGATGATAATCGAGCGGATCGCCTCTATACCGCCATCGACTTCTTCTGAATATTCGACACCGAGTAACACTACACCCAGTAACGCCACATCTTCTGTCAGCGAAGTTTCCACAGAGGATAGCCATCCAGTTGATACGACTAGCGAAAGTGACGACGGGGATAAAGAAGAGGGGGGAGGAACACAGCATCCAGATCCCAACTACGACTACTTCGGCGAATACCAGTCTCAGTTCGTAGAGCGCAATTTGCTAGCTTTTGTGCCTTTGCCGAATCCACCAGTCTACCCAGTAAACCAGCCTCAACAGAATCATGGACCTTATGGGACTCAAGTTACACATGTAGGATGCCGAGGACATCACGGTCGTCACAACCGTCACGACCATCACGGTCATCACGACTATCAAGGCCATCAAGGTCACCATCAAGGCTACCATCATAACTATGGCCCTCAAGGACGTCAAATCCGTCCAAGATTTCCAGATCATCAGCTTCAGGCGACTTACGGTAATCAAGGACTTCAGACCCCCCCAATGCATCCAGGTCATCAGCAGAACCACGGAAATCAGGGGTACCAAGCCAATTCACAAGTCAATTCACCGCATCAGGGTCACCGAGAGAGAACTGACTATCAGTCATACCAAAACAGCCCAGCCCATAGGGCTCCGCAGACGTACCGCGGCAATCGAGGCAACGCAGGCTTTTCCACGCCCCAAAGACAACCGAACAATCGCGCCAACCAGGGCAACCAATTCTACTCGACGCCGCAGTACCACCACCACCAGCGCAACCGCTACAGCCAAGGCGGTAGTAGCACGACGAGCTTTCCATCGCCCCAAGATCACCAGAGACGACAGCACAACCACAACAATAACAACAACAGCAGTAACAACAACAACATGCGCAACGAAGGCTTCTCAACGCCCCGCAGTCAGCAGCAGAGGAGGGGCGGCAATCAGCAAGCCGAAAACATCGCCACGCCCCCAAACCGCCCGCAGAACCGCGGCAATCACAGCGGCGAAGGCCATACGACGACGCCCCGGGGCCGGGGCGCTAGGTCACACGGCAGACGGCTCAATCGCAGGGCCGGGTACCGGGGGAATCGCGGGAGCCGCGATCGCGACGCAGCCGGTGGGGATAGCGGTGGTGATGGTGGTGGTGGTAGTGGTAGTGTGCAGCAGCAGAGCCATAATCCGGCCACGGACGCGACGGGTCCGGGTCTGCCCGGCGGAAGTGCGCGCGGAACTAAGAGGCCGCGCGAGGAAGCCGCGGGAGATGAGCCGGGGAAGGGGAATAAGAAACGGCGGGGAGGCGGGGGAGGGGGAGGGGGTAAATGATGATGCTTGGAGCGGGAAGCTTCGTGATGTGGCTTGGCTTAGGTATATAAGCTGCGGGCTTGCATACATAGGGACCCCCGAGTTCTTGTCGACCGCCTGCGCCACTTACTTACAGGTACTTATATAGGTACCTACAAGGATAAGAAATTTACATATTTAATCATATTGGCTTTTGCATTTCAGGGGCTGAGTCATGTGATTAGCAAGTCGTATCTGGTCACGTGCTCTGGATTAGATCTTCTCTGTGGTTACATGGATCAGACGTTGGAAATACCTATGTATCCTCGAATTTGAGTCCGTCAGGGTGTTTTCTTGGAAGGATCTGTCGTCTGTAGACTCGGATATTTCTTACCATGGGCACTGAATCTTTTCTCAGGAATCCAGCGATAGTTATTATGATGGCTTCCATGAGTTTTGTAACATTACATGAGCGGAAGGGCGGTGCAGCCAATCACGGCGATATCATCATGCATTCTGGCTCAGCACTGCCCAGGCAGTTTTTGCCCGACGAGGCTGGGTGTCGTTGCACGAATTCGAAGAACTAGATTTCTGCCTACCCAAGACCTAGGTGCGATTAATTGCCAAACGGAGCGTTCTCTATATTCTCTCAACAACCAGGATCTCTTTCACTCCGACCGCTAGCATCATGACATCAAGCGTAGATGGACGCATCAGCAACCTCCGGGAGCAGATACAAGATAGCATGGTCGCCTCGATCTCTCAGCACCTTTTCCTGCCTACAGACAAACTTCACGAGATATTCACACTCTCAGCTGTCCAGGATGCTGTTCAAGAACTTAAATGTGGCCCGGATGATCGTATCAAGCTGGCAGATACGATCTACCAAAAAGGCAGGAGGGTGTTTGCTATGCTCATTTACAACAATTGTCAAGATTTCATTGTAGACTTCCGCAAGCACGGTGCTCTTGATAGCCAACTCCCGCTGAGAGAAGACGATGCGATGAAAATTATGAAACGACCTATTGCCCGCCGCATTGCCCGTGAGTTCCAATGGGGGTTTTGCCCCTATACCTTCCCGGAGAATATGTCGGCGTGTCATTGCAATATCGAGCAGAATATGATCCTTCCCTTTATCGACGCTAAGCATATCGGCTCTGGTGCATTCGGTGATGTGGATAAGATGACTATCTCACCATCGCAGCAGAATTTTGACAGAGAAGTAAGTGTTTTCACATTAGCCTATCGACCCGGCTACTGCATAAAACACATTGTGTTGACATGATGCTTTCTAGGCCAAAACTGTACAAGTGGTGCGGAAACGACTTAAAGCGACAGGCGAGACAGAAGAGTTTAAAAGAGAAGACACATGTTTACGACTCCTCAACCAGCTAAACCATCCCAACATCATTCCTCTACTGGGCTCTTACACGTATCTTGACGAGCATAACTTCCTCTTTCCGTATTTTGACATGGATCTCGGCTCATTTCTAAAGGCTAAAACCCGCCATCAAGATTTCCAATGGGACTCTACTTTCTACTCGGCCCTCACAGGACTCGCGTCGGCGCTGTCGAGTACGCACCATCTTATACTCAACCAGGAACACCACGACATCGATTTCGAGGCAATCGGCTACCATCATGATCTCCGACCACCCAACGTCCTGGTTCGTTCCGATACATTTGTCCTAGCTGACTTCGGACTGGGGAGGCTAAAGCAGGTAGAGGATCCGTCGCACACGCCATACAAATGGACTAGTGGGGATTATGTCGCCCCCGAAAACACGGACGGGCAAGAAAACCCACAAACTGCCAATCGAGCCACCGACGTGTGGGCTTTTGGCTGTCTTCTCGCCGAGGTTGTCACTTATATGCTGACCGAGGCAGAGGGGTTGGAAAGGTTCCGCCAGAATCGACTCACACCGGGGCGGCTTCATCACTGGAAGGACTCTAGATTCTATCAGCCTGATGGTCATGTCAAGAAAGAAGTCATCGATTGGATGGAGGCGCTAAAAAGCGATAATCCACATCCAGATTGTGCTCCCCTGCTTGTTGAGTTAGCTCTTGACGTTCTTCAAGCTGATCCGCAACATCGGCCTGACATGAGGACTATCTACCAGCGCTTGAAACTTGTGAATATGAAAAAGCACTTTCATACTGTTCAAGATAAACTTCGTGAGATTCGGGGTTCGGTAGAAACATCTGAGCCACATTTTCGGCACCATCTGGGAAGTCTCCGATACGCGCAGGAACGGTTCGAGTTATGGGGCAACACTCTTACTCTGGGTGAAAGTAAAATTTCCGTGTCCGCCCAAGAGCAGTCGGAGAGATATGTTGAGATTATGAAGGAGTTACTTCAGACACTAAGAGAAGAGCCAGGGAGGCGGCACTTGGGGGATGAATCTGTCCTGCTTCCCTTTGCATCCCTGATAATCCAACCCGTCGAAGAGCTCTGGAAATTATTGCCGACTCGTCTTCTGCAATCTGCCGAGAATCAATGGGAACAGAAAGTTATGGAGAGTGGCTTTCTACCAGCCGCCAGTATGGCTAATCTCGTCAATCCCCTTAAGTCCGAATTCGAAGAAGAGGCACGAAAGTTCAAAGACAGCCTTGACGATGCCGTGCCTTTTAGCGAGATCCTCAAGGTGAAATCCATCAACGATGTATACGACATCACAGACAAAATTCAACGTAATGGGCTCCGAAATCTACCGGAAATTCGGATATATTTGCAGCGGCTGAGTGGCTATGCTGACCTGGTCAATGATATCATTGATGGGAGTGACGATGTTTTGGTGCTCCTCTGGGGATCGATCGCAATCTTGTTACAGTTAGCGGAACCACTGGATAAGGCTTTCGACTCACTCCTTAGCACCATTGCCGAAGTAGGGAAAGCATTGCCCGACTTTGGAGTCTCCGCGTCGATATTCAACCAAAACATGGAGGCCAAGGAAATTCTGATCTTATTTTTCAAAGATTTACTCAACTTCTATGGTGCTGCCTTGAAGTTTTTCAGTCACCCCAGTAAGTAACATCGCAAAATGTGCTATTTAGCATAATACACATCGCTAACTATTACTGATCATCGCCCCAGGCTGGATGCATACTTTTGATCGTTTGTGGCCAAATCAGTATGCGTACTGTTTGGAAATTGCAGGCCATATCAAACGGCTTACTCGACTAATGAGGACAGAGATACGCATTGGAGACATCCAGCAGGAAGACGAGTTTCGAAAGAGAGCATTGGAGAATTTCAAAGCGCAGGCAAGGGAGGCTCGTGGGCAGGAATTCTACCGTATCATGACTTCTTTTAGTCTATGTAGATACGATACTGCCCTGTATCGTCTTCGTGGCCTTCGCTATCCAGGAACCGGCGATTGGCTTTTCAAGGATAAGATCTACATGAAATGGCTAAACAGCTCGCAGGAGGAGACGAGAATCTTGTGGCTGAAAGGGATACCAGGGGCAGGTAGGTAAAATTTTCTTCGAAGCTATCTCCAGCATCGTGAACATCTCAATACTCCAATGCTATCCTAGAGATTCTAATCTATATCTAATGTTGGGGCTATTCATCACAGGCAAGACAGTCCTTTCCAGCGCAATTATCGACCAGTTAAGGGACATCCAAGGGACCAAGACGGCCTTTGCATTCTTAACATACCAGGAAGCTAAGACTTCAGCGATTTCGACAATCCACTCCCTTGTATTCCAGCTAGCAGAAAGAGATGAGGATCTCATGGCTATCGTTTGCGAATCAATAGACGAAAGCCTAAGGAGCGACCTTAATGCTGCAGCCAACCTTCTATCCTCCCTTATCCACTATGCTGGCTTAGTCTATCTCGTTATTGACGGTGTGAATGAGATTAGCGAAGCAGAGCGGGGCAGACTCGTTACGGAACTTCTCAGGCTGGTCAGGGAATGTGAAAATCTTAGAATTATCCTCAGTGCTCGGCCCGAAGCTGATCTAACTCGGTTACTGTGTGATACAGCAGCCATGATCCAGATTCACAATCATAATGAAGGAAGCATTAATAATTACGTCCTTCAACGCGCTCAGTACATCTTGGGTACTCACAATATTCCCTTACATATAAAATCCGAGATTAGGAACCTTCTGTTGCCGTTAGCGAGTCGTGCGAAAGGCATGTTTCTTTTTGCCCGGCTCGTTATATACATGGTTGAAACTGCACATGACATGTCAGAACTGCAGGAAGAATTGAAAGTTCTCCCAGAAAGCCTTGATGATGCGTAGGATCACCGTACCTAAATCAATAGGATGAACTTGGAACTGACCAACTATCGTATAGTTACTTACGTATCATTGTTCGCCTGGGAAATCATAAGGACAAGAGAACGGCAGCTAAGGTCCGGAGACTCTTAGGATGGGTAGCCTGTAGTGAAGCTCCAATTACAGTTGAGGAGGCTCATCAAGCATTAGTTGCGATGCCTGGAAACCGGGATCAAGTCTTCACTATGGTGAAAAAGCTCGATGTTGTCGAGCCTCTTGGGCCAATCGTGGAGACTAAGGACACATACAAGATACAATTTGTTCATTTCACAGCAAAGGAGTAAGCAGCGTGCGCTGGACTGCGTAGATTACTACTGACTGCTTCACAGATTTCTCTCTAGACCTTATCTTGGCGCGCAGCTGATTGACACGACCCACAGGGCATGGCATAAAGTTACAGTTTATTTCCCAAAATCTCTGCTTTGAGTTTGATTAATAATCAATAAAAGGAGGGAAATTTCTACTCCCGTTCATTAGTAATAAATGGCTGGGCAGCAAGGTTCGCGATATTACTAATATTAATAGCAAGGGTAAGCTTAGGCCACGTGGGCCTCCGTGCGGCTCTGCTCTCGTATACCTGGGGTGAGGATAAGGGACCTAAACACCAAGAATAAGGGGGAAATGAGTATATACGTAGGACGCAAGACCTTCATAATAATGGACCCATCACAAGTCAAATAAGGGACCCAACTTGAACTTGGATAACTTGCCTATACCATGGTTTACATTTGTTTGGAGCAAGTAAGCTAAAGTAAATCAAATATCTCTTTGACTTATGCCATGCGCTGACTAAGCGTCCCCTGGTGTTTGATTTCATTATTTTGACCTATTGTTGTGGAGTCAATGCCTAGAGAGGAGAAGATCAATGCCAACACGTTCAGGGGTTTTCCGAGGCATGTATTATACCTCATAAGCGGCGAGCGAAGTTGTGGACTACCTAGGCGACGTATTCACTACTGTCGCTGTCCCTCCGTCCGCTCCCGCAGTTTCAAAAATTTGCAAGAAGCGGCTCTTGCTTATTTCATCTACCGACTCGGTCTTGGTGCGACAATCGTCCACGATGTCTAGGTACAAATGCTCAAGTTCCGGCATTTCAGCGCCAGGGCGAAGAAGGTAATGGGGGTTCTCATATTTGACTTCGGGCATGACTTCCGTGGCGTACGGATGCTGCAGAAAGCAATTGACGTCCGAGAGAAGGTCACCGACGGTCTCTTTGTCATCCAGGAGACCATAAACAACGATACGTAAGCTGTACTCGCTGTCTACTTCAGCGGGGATTTGTTTCTTCGTTTCACCCTTACTCATTCCTCTCTTGTCGTTGACCTCCGAGATGAAGAGCGTAGCATCCAGTTTGAGGCGAAGCCGGCGAAGTGCATTTATGAGCCCCGAGTTGTTCAAGATACCGGCATATGCACCGGAATTCTAATCGTAAAGCATTAGAGTATCTCCAAATGGTTTCAAATTCACAGGTACGGAACGGGCTCCAGTCTCCTGGGAAAAGGAAGAGGTGGGTGTTGCTAGTACCTTATAGCTTGTTAGAACGTTAACAGAAGCTTATGACTGATCTAACTTACGACGCCGAAACAGGTGTCATAGTCGCAATCGACCTCCATGGATTCGGCCAAGGCTGACGCGACGGAGCCTTTTTGCAGTAGTTCATTGGCTTGGGATTCACTGAATACCGACTGCTCATTTTGGAATACATCGAACCCGGAACACACATCTGGTGCGGTTCCCAACACTTGCTGTCCTGTTTCTACTGGCTCGAAGAGTACATTTGCGATCTCGGCGCCGATGAAGTTGTTTGACTGGCTTTCAAATCCAACGTCATGTTGATTCTGATAGGAATTATAAAGATTTTGGGATGGGAAAGAAGAATACCGATAGCAAGGCAACGACAAATCATTGTGTAGAGTGTCATCATTCACATTGTCGTCGTCTAGAATGTTGCGGTCTGTATAATCGTGATGAGGCTGCGTACGATCCGTACGGGATTTTTTGACTTGGTGGTCTTCAGGAGCTGAATTGGGACTCGGTCGCTTACTTCCCGCAGAAGGTTGCAAATTCCAAAGGCAGTCGTTATTATCCATGGCTAGATGAAAGGTCGTACTGAGGGGGATGATCTGTCCGCCGTCGAATGTAACTCGAATCATCCGAACCGTAGGCTACACACAAGAATTCCTGATAGTAAGCGCCATCTCAAGTTATGTCATATCCCGTTAAACCATTTTACCTATTATTTACTTTTATCACGTTCACTCTTCGGGGTTATATGCATATTTGCCAATTTTATTTTATACCTATGCATATATGTTTTCTGAATATAAGCCTGGACTTGGTAATCCGGTTAAAGCAATTTGATATCTCAACTGCGGACGTGGCTGTGCAGATCAGATAGATCGAGAGAGCAACACATCGAAACATACATAGGCATTGTTTACCTAGTTATAACTTACGACTGTGCGAAATGGTGGGATAATATGGAATTCCTCAACTAGTATGTTACGAAATGCTTTCTGTGCAAGTTCCCGCTACCAAGTTGTCTAGTCCAAGGACAATTGCTCACGGTACAGCTGGCTTAGACCGTGTGAGCCGAGCAGCTTATCAATATGGCCTGGGGTATCTGTGGAAGACTTTCGAATCCAAAATCACAGACCTGTTCGTTCAAGATGTAACCCAGAGTAGGGTCGGCGTGGTCGCGGCAGAGGGAGACCAAGTCCACTGGATATCAACTCCGGAAGAGTTATACACTAATCTGGGGAAAGGAGTCCCAACGTTATTGTAAGAATCGCTTCACCATGTAATTGAATTCAGCTTACTTTGTGGTTGATGGGAGTCTCTTCAGAATCCTCAACCGCTATAATTCATGGAGCAGAATAGACGTCACCATCAAAGGCTTCTCCGTAGCATGCCATCTCGCTAGGATCAACCCCTTCTTTTTGCATTTCGTAGTTGGGATGGGTCGGAAGGTCTCGTCGAAGGATGAAGACTTCATGTCATGCTACAGCACCTTTACACCGGAAGATAACTATCCGGTCTCCAGCATGAGCGGGATGGAGACACACGGCGATTCACTTTGGGGTGAGTCTCATTGTCATCTCTTCTTTGGGTACCTAATGACTGGCTAATGGTTCGGCATACCTAGAGATCTGCTACAACGTTCGACATTTTGAAAAACATCACCGAGATCTAGAAGACCCATGGTCCTGTCGTCAGTCGGCTCTTCACCAAAGCTTCGCCGTTTCTAACCAGCCAACCTGGGTCATCATCCAACCCCCTGAAGTTTTCGACCTGACTATAGACTCGGCGCCACACCCGATGGCCTTACATCTTCGATATCTTCACGCAGCTCTTGTAAATTGGAGAGAATATCTTGACTCTTTTGCTCAAAGCTTCAAGATCCTCGTGAGTAGGCTTCGTTCCATAACGTCATGTACCGAAGTCTCCAGACTGTCTGACTTTGATGGCCGGAATTGCTGCCCCTGTATGCAGAATCAACGAATAGCAATACCAAATCCATACAGGAAATTCGAGATTAACTTTTCGCACGAGCAAAACCTACACCACCAGAGAGGAAAGCTTCATCACGCCCGGAACATTCTCACCAACACGAGGAATACTATGAATGTCATCGCCGAACACGAATCTGCTGTAGCAGAGAAGCAAATCCTTTGCCCAGCCATTCACGATGACTTCCAACGTAAATTGCGTAATATCTCTCGGGAGGTCGACAGTTATATCGAAACAGTACACAAACTTCTTCGCATGTCAGATGATTTGAGATCCATGGTAAGTCATGGTAATTTGACTCACTCTCAGAGATGACAAGTTTGAATAGCGAGTGTGTCCTTAACATCGTTCAGTATAACAGTATCCTCACATTTTATGGCCAAGAGCTACAACACGACACCAGCCTGAAGCTTGCACAGCTGGCGCAGGCCGATGCTAGCGGAAATAGAGACATGGCGGTTTTAGCCGACCTTACATACAAGGACTCCCGATCTATGCGGATCGCGACGGCCATTGCAGTGTTCTATCTTCCGGTGAATCTGGTAGTGGTGCGTATCAGCCTTTTAGTTTTGAACCCTCAATGTCTTGTCGATGAACTCGGATCATGACATCTGCGTCTTACTCCAAGGCTTGCTCTACTACTCAACTAATCTTCCGGCTCTCAACAATAGTCATTTTTCAGCAGTACACTGGTCTGGTATGGAACGGCGGTCGACGTGGCAGAAAACCACAATTCAAGTATTCAAATCCGCGGCGAGGTATGGATCGCGAGCGTAGCGGCTGTCGTGCTTGCAATTGGCACTGTGTGTTGTTCCTGGTGGTGGAATTGGAGAGAGCAAAGGAAACCAAATAAAGAAACCCCTTAAAGTAATCGACTTATGACAGGACGCCGGTAGAAAATATATGTAAAACATATATGATCTTATAACAAGTACGTTGGTTCACGTTGACACCGAGTTTTCAAAGACCAAGCCGTAGCAGCCAGCCAAGATTGTCCTCTTCAGTTTTAGCCATTCATCTGTTCCGTGATACAGAATTCTTCTCGGCCTAGCTCAATTTGTTTAGTTCCAAGTCATATACCTTTCAGGAATCAACGATCTTACCTCTGTGAGCTCCCTAGACGCTTCCACGGAGATCGTCTCTCCAGAGGCCTAGTACATTAGCAAACGAAGCCTGTACTACAACTCCAAACCCGTCGGAACACCTACCGCCACGCTGTAGCTTTGCCCAAACAGACTCTGCAGCAACTCGTCCAGCTTTACGCGATCCACGTAGCGCGTTTCCAGAAAAGAAGTAACCATCTTGGTGGTGATGTCGTTTCTGCTGGTATAAGGCAGTCAACGCGACGCGTAGGAGGTATTCAGGGGTGCTTGGCAGATTGGGTTTAAGATGGGAGGGATATGGTGTCGACATGGGAATCCCAGCAAAATCCCTCATCAGGAAATCACCCATCGCAGTAAACCCGATAATTCCGGCGCCGCATTACGGAGTTAAGATTTGGTCTCAGCGGCAAAATCGAGCCGCACAACCTAGAGCTCGGCTACCCCGCCCCCGCAGTCGTCTCCAGCGGGCGACGGGTTGAAACGGCTCAAACAGAGTACCTACGTGCAGGTACTCTGCAAAGTACAACGGTAAATTGACTGACTTCATCTTGACCAATACAAACCTTCCAAATCCTCCGACCTTCATCCTCAAACGCGACAGCAAATCGCTCGCATTCCGCCAATTCTAATCATCCGAAATTCACCGTACCCAATCCTACCCATCCCGAACATCCAACATCCAACGTCCAACATCGTCCAACCCCCTTCGCCCTCCATCTTTCCCGCACCGTCTCCGCCTCGCAACGCAAAACTTCCCACACACCCCAAATGCATAAAGACCAGCCCATCCACCACGGCTCGCTGGAGCACCTGCTGCCGCCGAGCTGGAAGGCGCAGATCACGGCGTGGCTGGCCGAGGACACGCCGTCGTACGACTACGCCGGGTTCGTCGTGGGCGAGTCGCCGCGCTCCGCCACGCTCTGGGGCAAGAGCGCCGGCATCATCGCCGGCATCCCCTTCTTCACCGAGATCTTCCGCCAGTGCGGCTGCGACGTCGACTGGCTCGCCAAGGAGGGCAGCTACATCAACCGCCCCAAGGACGGGTCCGGCAAGACGAAGGTCGCCACCGTGACGGGGCCCGCGCGCGGCTTGCTGCTCGCCGAGAGGGTTGGCTTGAATTTGCTGGCGCGCTGCTCGGGCATCGCGACTGTGAGCCGCGATATGCTTTTGAGTCTGCGCAGCGCCGGGTACGAGGGCATACTGGCGGGGACCCGGAAGACGACGCCTGGGTTCCGCATCGTCGAGAAGTACGGCATGCTGGTCGGCGGCGCGGACACGCACCGCATGGACCTGAGCTCGATGATCATGCTGAAGGACAACCACGTGTGGAGCCGCGGCAGCATCACGGACGCGGTTCAGGCGGCCAAGATGGTCGGCGGGTTTGCGCTCAAGGTCGAGGTCGAGGTGCAGAATGAGGCGGAGGCTGACGAGGCGATTGCTGCTGGGGCGGATATTGTTATGTTGGATAATTTTACCGGTGAGGGCGTCAAGATCGCGGCGCGCAGTTTGAGGGAGAAGTGGAAGGGCAAGCGCGAGTTCTTGATCGAGGTTTCCGGCGGCTTGCGCGAGGATAATGTGTTTGATTATGCCAACAACGGTGAGTTTATGTTATTTTTATTTTATTTTTCTTATTTTCGTATTTTCTTTTTTCCATGTTGTCTTTTAATTCTGGTCTCTCGACGCCCCTCTCGACGCCCCTCTTGTCTTGCTGATCGTGGTGATGGCAGATATCGATATCATCTCGACTAGTTCGATCCACCAAGGTACACCGCACGTAGACTTTTCGCTTAAAATCGATCAGGAGCAAATTGCCCAGGCCTAGACTTCGTGGTCTTAGATTGCCCGCATGGTCTAGGATGGGTGGTCGATATTGACATTATAGAACTGCTGGCCTCACTTCGGCCGAACCCGGACTAGCGCAAACTTTTAGTAATTATTATGAATAATGGACGCAGCAGAAGCTATGGATCATCAGGTCCATGAAAGATTCGCAGACATGTGCGTAGCATTATTATCAGGGGGTTATGCATGTTGGTAGGAGACGGTGAATTTCATCATACAGGGATGGACAACCGAGGCTCCAGTTACGTTGGTACGGTAGATTGACGATTGTCAAAAAGCCTAGGATTCAATCAGTTAATAAGGAAATTAGAGAAGAAACCCATCACATACGACCATATGAGCTAGAAAACTCGGGATCCCGTCCGCTCTCCCTTAGATAAGCTGGCTACAGCCGAATCAGTAGTTGGGTCGGTGACGACCAGCGAATCCTCGGTGTTGTATGTTTTTTGCTCTTTTTCCCCCTATTTTTCCCCCTCTATCATATCGCATGATGTCTCAACATTTCTACGTATTTGAGTATTTTTTTAAAAAAAATTCATTCTTTTTTACTTCGATGCCTTTGTGGTCTGCGTTGTCTTGGTCTTGTCAAGACGTGGGGTTAGAAAAGGGGCTAGAATCAACGAACGTTATTACGGAGGAAACTCCTCCAACCCTGTGTCAGCATATTAACAACTCATCTGTTTCGTTTTGGAGACATCCTGATTCAGATAAATTGGCTAATTCTCGGTGTAGGGTTCCTGCCTAGGGCTAATTCGCATCTCTCACTTCTCACCTCGCTCACTTGCTTTAGACTTACGGGTCTCTACCGCGTGGCGTCCAGGGGGCGGCTAGATGTTCCGAAAGTCTTGCAAGCTATCTCCTCCAGTCTGAAATTCTGTCACTTTTTTTCTCCTACCTACCTCGGCGATAACCAACCTGACCTGACCGAATCATACATGATGACATGCTTTTACATAAAAAAGTAATACTGCAGGTTTGCCACCTCTCCAGGCCCTCCGTTAGGTGCCCTTACGATGGGGCTCTTGACCATACATTGCCTATCTGCAGGGCATATCGGCCAATTTGGAATCACACACGAGGACACATCAGCCTTTTTGATAGGACTGCCAGGAGTGGGCAGCGGTTTACGTGGGATATTGTGGGAATATAGTCCGTTTGCCCTAGGTCATCGGGTGTGAATTGAGACAGGTAACCTACCTACCTTAACCCTATCATGAAACCCACAGGGTCCGTTACGTGAAAGTACGTCGATGATTCGGGAAAGAAAATACACATCTTATATAATGATTAGGCAAATAAGCCGATTGGCTCCCGGCGGCCTCTCACAGTCCCCAAGATGTTTGTGTCTGCTCGCGTCTCACATTGTGTCGCCCATTCATTCGTTCGCTTGACATCGCTTGACAATCACAAGAAAGGTCTTGTGCATCCTCGATCCCAGACTCAGGAGCCCATCGGGTTATAGGAACTGCCCTCAAATGCCGCACTGCCTGCCGGGACTCGCGTATCCCGTCATCCTGGATTTTTCTTCCCGTTGCGCATGCTCGCCGAGCGTAACACGTAGCCTGTCTCTTGGTTTGCCTTTTGGTCCTGGGTAGCGGGCGCGGGCGATACGACGTTTTAAGGTGGATTAGACGAACAGTGGCAAAAGGGGTAGCAGGTACCAACATACCTAAATAGGTACTTACGTATTCAAATATTACTACAATAGGTGTGACTAGTTGGACTGACGATCCGCTTCGCGGAGATCTCACGGTGAACGGGTATCATGCAATGCAGGAAAAGCAAATCAGCGGCCCGAGCCATGATTCACGGAGTCGGGTTGCATGAGAACTCGGGGTTAGAACCATTGACTACGGGAATTCACGCGCTGGCGTTTCGACTGTGGGGATCCTGTAGCAGATAGTACGCAGTAAGATATGGGATTTGCTATGTACCTAGGTTATACGTATGTATGTACATGATGTGAATCCTGCGGTGAGACATGGACCGAAAATCGAATAGGGCAGGTGTCTTGTAGTGCCTAGCGTACACGAACATGGCCCGAAAAGCCCCCAAAACTCGGACGTTCTCTGGCCAGCTCGAGCTATTATAATTCCCTCCGCTATGACCACGTCGAGAGGTTGGGGCTTAGAATTTCGAACTGGCGCTCTCTGCACACTCTTTCTTACTAAGAAGTGGCAATACTTAGGTAGGCAGGTAATATGATCTGTAGAATGTGATCGATTTCTACTCATTGTTGAAATGTAGTATCAGTTGCCTCCGGCCTCATATCCCCCATGATACCGTTAGCCCCCTCCACCCCCTTTAGTAAATAGTAGTAGGGGGTTGAAGTAGCTATCCGTAGATGGCAGCACACGTCCAAGTCCCTGTTCGGTTATAGCTTGGCCAAATTAATATAGCATAAGTGAATTTCTACCGAACTCCCTGATAACCTTTATCCCTTTTTTGTTTATCTTATTTTCGCCGGGTTGGTGCTTAACGGGGATTACCTATAACTGGCAATGTTGAAGACGAGTACCTAATGACCCTTTGAGGGTTCAACAACATCACGCTGGTTTCTCGCGAGGTTTCCTCGCGGTAGTAAATACACTAGGATGAGACGTATCAGTGTATGTTAGATAAAAATCGACGGTTCTTACTCACGCTGTGATGTATGGCCTAATATTTGCTGCTCGGACTTCCTGCCAAAATGAAGGCACGATAGACTCGAATTGTTCTTTGGTCCACCCACAACTCTGAAATAACAAGCCGCAATGATTATCCAGTACTTTTTCCGTAGTTAGCGAGGTCTGTGCGTGTCTTATTGTCTCTGGAAGCCGCTATTGTAGGGGTAAGGGCCAAGGGGTGGCGTGAAGGTGTCAAAGCATACCATAGTGTTCGGTCGTAATCGAATTCATCAGAGCCTGCCGCGCTTTCAACTTGTCATCCTGGGCCCAACTCCCAGCCGGAAGTATCTCGCTGCGCTGGACTATCTTCTCGAAATCGGCATCAACCAACCAGTCAGGGACGTGCGGTGACGGGTTGAAGTCCATGCCGACCCTATCGCACAAGCCTCGAAATATCTTTAGAAATTCGGGACATAAGTCGGCCTCAGCGAACTTGCCGTCGAAGTCAAGAATGTTCAGCGCGATTTCCGTCATCTCGAACAGCCCGCCCGGTTTGAGTTTCGCGTACGCTTGACGAAGTAGTGCAGGCCAGTCTCGCACTCCCCCGGCTATGCTCCTCGCGTGGACAAAGTCGATAGAGTTGTCCGGAAAGTCCCACGGTTCTTCCACGTCGCCGATCACGAACTTGACATTTGGCGGAACTCCCTTCCTCCTCTGGATCGGGTACACGTCTATGCCGGTGATCTGTGTCTGAGGGTAGCGGGCTGCCATCTCGATAGCCCAGACGCCAGTTCCGGTGCCTAGATCTACTATATGGGCCGTGTCCAGCGGCAGCCGCGTGTGGGTTAAGGCGCCATCTAGGCAGTGTCGATATAGCTTGTGCTGGACCTCCAACCTCTTCTGCTCGGGCTCGTCGAAAGGTAAGAATATCTTACCCGAGATGTGATAATGATGACCAAAAGCCTCGATGAACGGCATATTCTCTAATCTCGGGTCCACAGCATCGGTGTCTGAGTTAGATTCGCTGCTGTCCCCTGTAGTAGTTTGTTTATCCTGGTTGATTTTTTTTCATTATTTAGGAAACGGGGTTAGCCAAGGATGAGGACTAGCTTCAACTCACTTCGCGTTGATCTTTCTTCTCCATCTCCTCTTTCCTCAAAATGGGGGCGGTTCGTGCCTGGGAAAAGCTACCTGGAGGTAAGGAAATTTCTTTGCCGACTCGGTTACCGACTAAGTAGTTCTTATTCTTCAGTTGACGCGCCCGAGTTATGTCTTCTCACGGTAGTTTAAAGTGAGTTTTCTGTGTTGATGTCTCATCGCGCGCGATGCTTTACGGTTCTTCTATCTGTTGTCCTATGTGGTGCAAAAATGCCGGAGGATCCACCGCACCTACGACTCTCCTTCTGCGTTGGGGTTCCAGCACTGCCGGGCTGCCGGGCTACCATTCATAGACGTAGCTCGTCAGCGTTTTGTTGTACTGGGTAATGGATAGCATGTTAACAACTGGACTTCCAGTGAGCGATGCCGGTATTGCATCTTTCGGGACGTAGAGCCAACTGTGTCGCCGCCGGTCCTCGGCAAGTCCAGGTTTTTTTGCACGCCCGAAGATATGTCTTGGAAGCCGATCCATGTCGGCTAAGAAAGTCGAACTCGGGTGGTCAGATCTTTGGCTAGTTTTTTTGGCGACCCCCATCTTTCCCTTTCGCTCGCCCACCCGTGCTATGTTAATGTATCAAAGGCCGCAATTAGCTTAGCAGAGCCCGAACACGTCGTGAAAAGGGAATCCCGGAACGTACATGTACACTACAAACGGAAGCGCAGGCAGCTGATGGATCCCACATGCGACAGGATAATAGGGATAATAGCGAGAGGTGCAACGAATGCTGCGGTCAAAGTTGCATTTGCAGCGCGTGCTTTGCAGATGAGAGCCACTCTGGGGGAAAACGGTTTGTGGATAGGCTAGAACGGTCCGATTCCTACTGGCTGCAGGACGGGGCCACGCCGCGTCGAAACGCATCCTGCAATACTGACAGTTCGGGCCCCCCCTAGCTATCCGCACAGGCGATGATGCAGTGTAGTCGAGAAACCTTTTCCCGTATGTAAACAGGCTGTCGAGGTCATCCAGGACGTGCTCTCAAACGTTTTAACGGACATGGCCGCACTCGTGCACTGCAACCGTAGCGTAGCTTTTTTTCATCTTCTAGACTTTCTGAGGGACGTATGTAGTGGCTCTATGCCCTTGTCCCTGCAGAAGCCAAGCACCAGTAAGCGTCGCGAGCTAGGCGGCTTACCATGGCCAAAGTGTCCCCTAATGTAACTGTATGATGTCCATAGGTGGGTAGCAGCGGTTAGCATTTCTCTGACGTTGACTCGCCTAAAACCACAGATCCTAGCGGTTACGTGCACAATTAATTTTTCTCTTTTCAACCGTTGACCTGTAAAGTCGCCAACGATAGGGTCCTAAGGCAGCTTGTTCGCGAAAGAAACGTGGTATAATTTTACTAATTCGAATACTCGTTGTATCCAGTAGCATCACCAAGGCTTTCTTCATCGGACACACTTCGAATTTCACAAATTGGAATACGCCCGTACGAGGTTGGGATAATCCTTGATGATGGTAAAGTCCCAATATGTCGAGATACATAGCGGCGTCTTCCATGTGACTAGGTAGGTATTTGGCCACGTGGATTATATTGATGTTGATTCATGCGTATGTATGTATTATGTATGTATTGATAAGCTAATTTTGATGATTTAGGGCTGATTTTAATATCGTGTTCTGCATTAGTTGATGTTGAAGTGTGGTTGCTAGGTCATAATACGTGCGTTACGGCTTATGCGGAAGAACACTTCATCAACGGTGCCTGGCTCTTCAGCAGGTCTGATTCACCTATAAGAACCATTTCACATGATGAATGGTCAGGTAACCAGATCGATCGTGAAAACTCATCATTGAGAATCTACGACTAGCTGCGGGAGGAAAGGCATGATTAGCCGCATCCGCGCCTATAGACTTCCCGTTCGTACCTCCAATCTGATGATATCGTGGAGACGTGTCACGCCCAATCGATGCACAGGACCGAAGACAGAAAGAAGATGATATATACCATGCTCGGCATGCTCCAACCACTTGATATACTAATCGTTTACGACCTAGGCAACTAGGTAAGGACGGAGGATGGACGAAGGATCAACGAGGGCCGGCTTCGTCGGCCGAGCAGAGTTATAAGACCCGCGAGCAAAATGTAAGGACCCCCACTTCCTCGCATCGAGCTGCGAGTGTTTCCTTGGAAGACAAATACACCTGCAGATCCTAGCATGATGTTGTGATCACCAAGCATAGGCGCATATAGTCGTTGGTGATGTTGAATATGACCGTCTTCCATCCGTTCTCCTCTTCCGTTCTCCTCCCTTGGCCTTCCCCCAGGCCGCCTGGCCGCCTCCAGTTCGACCACCCCCTGAGCGATTTTAAATTCCTTGCAAAATCCCCAAATACGATCCTTCCGGGGTCTGAGCGCATCAGGCGATAAGAAAATAACTGCGGATATAACTTTTCACTTATTATGTATCTAGGTAATAGGGGTCAGAGAAAATGAGGGGACCTAATGTACAGGGTCTACCGTTCACTTTTCGAATTAGGACTATAGATTGGCTCAAAATAAGTGATGCGACTCGTACCAAAGTCAGGGGTCAGTCGGTTCAGATATCGTCATTATACTCATTTCCTAGTCTTTTATAGCGCGCATTTTATGGCACAGTATGTCACCTATATCCTAGAATCACCTATTATCTAATCTACATTACAATCTAGAACCGCGGATCTACGTCCAATGGCGGCGGTCTCGAATCCCGTGGCTCGTAATGCAAATATATGTACGGGGCAGTAGACGCGACGAGAGGCACAATGTTTGTTTTAATCGATCGCCTTCATGAACTGATTGGCCATGAAGGCTGCGCTCTTCTGCACGGCGTCCCGCTTCTTCGTCGTCGGCGGAGCTGCAGCGGTTCCAGTCTTCGGAAGCGTCCGCCTCGGCTTGCCGACGGATGCAGGGACGGAGGCGGCTCTCCTTGCCGTGGTTGCATTGCTAGTCGGGTAGTCGATGGCACCATACGCGCACTTGCCGCCCTTGAAGGCCGCCGTCGCGGCCGCCTTCCACAGCTCCGTGATGTCGGTGACCATGGGCGCGGTCCACCAGAGCCGACAGTCGGACTCCTCGACGACGTACTGCGCGGGCACGCCGTCCGCGACGTCGCCCGCCAGGATCTGGTCCTTGACGTTCAGGCTCGCCGCCGTGCTGCGGTCCACCACGTACTCCGTGTACGTGTTCAGCGTCGCCGCGACGTCCGTGTCGTTCGTGAACCCGAGCGCCGCCTGCGCCTGCGCGTACACGTCGTCGAAGCCGTAGCTCTGCGACCCCTTCACGCCCCCGACGCCCTGGATCAGGCCCTCCTTGCTCGGGCGCCCGCCCATGGCGATGCTCTTCACGCCCGCGTTCGACCTCAGGAATTCGGAAAATAGCGTGCACGTGGAGGCGCAGTATCCGTCGAGGAGCAGCACGATGTTTTCGGGGCCGCCGAAGGGACGGGTGAAGTTTGCGCGGGTGCCGTACCCCGTGATGTCGGTGCCGAAACCGAAGGTGCTGTTGCTCGTGCTGAGCGGGTCGCTGAAGTTCCACTGCATCAGGTTCGTGAAGTTGTCGCCTAGGAACGTGTGCGGCGCGAACTTGTCGTCGTAAGAGACGAAGTTGCCGTCCGTGATGTTGAGGTCGTACCGCCAGTTGAAGACCGATTCGTATGCCTCGATCACGTCGGCGGAAGCGGTGTCGGGGTTGAAATCGGCAGAGACGTCGGAGAAAACCTTGGAGACGGCCGCGAAGCCTTCGTGCTGTCGCCATCGTCCTAAGCCCTCCTGCACGATATCCGGGAACAATTGGCGGAAACCGTCGTATCCGAGGAAGATGTAACCTCCGCCGTTAGCCTGCACGTCGACGACGAGCTTGGTCTTCCCAGCTTGTACGGCAGCTGCGTAGAAGTCTTGGGCGACTTGTTGGAACTCGACGGGATCGCTAGGAGAGAAGGAGAGCATCGCGAGCACCGCCACGTCTTCAAAACCGGTTTGGTTGATGAAGTAGCCGGAGATCGAGGAATCGCTAGAAACGATGACAGGACTGGGGTATCCTGAGACGGGAACTCCTGCGGCTTCAGCATCTATCGCGCCCGAGGCTGTTTCGGTGGTCTTTGACTCCGTCGTCGCACTACTGCTAGTAGATGCGCCGGGGCAGAACTCGGCGAAGAAGGAGGGTCCATCGACGACTGTTCGCCAATTACCCTTCAACCTCGCTTGGTTGGGTAAATCCAGCACTGTTCCATTCTCGAAGGTGAACGAGGTAGAGTTGCCAGGGTAGATGTACCTAAACCATTGTCAGCCTCTTCTTTTCGGATTCAAAATTGTCTACCTTTTTTTCAAAATCGTACCTTACGCGACCTCCTGTTTGGAAGTATCCTAAGTTCTTATTCTCGGCCAGGAACGCCTTCTCGAAGAACATGGAGTTGTAAGCAGCGTCGAGGTCCTGGTTACCACCAGCCTGGTTGATCCAATCCTCGATGAAAGTAGCAGCGTCTACGCCGTTGATGAGCTTCACGGTGGATGGGTTTTCCACGCCATTGACGATGTCGTCGTATATCTTGATCACCGGTGCAGAGCCGTCGGGGCCTTCTTCGCTAATCGATACTAAGGCGTAGGGTCTCTGCCACTCAACGGCGGCAGATAACGCATCCATGTAGACTACGAAATGGCCATCGTGGGCCGGTCCGAATAGCTTAACGTATAGATCCGCTTGCCACGCGTATTCGTTAGCGTACTTGTCGGCGTTTAGGGCCTCCTCAACTTCATCAATCGAGGCCCAAAGATCGGTAGGAGGGTAGCCATAGTCAGCCGGGGGGTTCTTCTTGAAAGCAGTGTCGGATTGCCATTCGATGTAAGGCTTCAGCTCGTCGATGAATTTGAGCGCCCCTTCCTTGTCGATCGGGACCGAATTGAGACATTCGTAAGCTATCGACGCCTCAACGATTGGCGTAGCGGTGGCGCCGATCTGGGCCGACCAAGTAGAGCTCACAATCGCACACGGCTCTGTCGCAGTGGGAGCCGTAGTCGTCGTTGTCGTGTTCGTCTGTCTAAGACCCAACTTGGAACCAGCTGCTGATGATGCGAGCGCCAACGCGCTGATAGCGGAGGACTTCATGGCTGTCGATTTACTACGGCTACTACCTACTACCTCACCCACTTGAACAGGCACAGGAACGTAAGGTGAGGAATGCAAATCATGGCATGGCTGGCCGGCGCGCAGACAAGCTCCGTCTTATACGCGATAGCCCCCCCGCGCGCAGGCGCCCAATTCACAATAAGTTTTTTCCTATTTAGGTAGGTGAGACGACACTCACTTTAACCGATTGGGTTTCGATCTTGATATGATTGTTGGGGTTAGGCGTGGAGAGCGGCCGGGGGCCCTTCGAGGGGTGGTGGCACAGCATGAAGAGATCTACGGCAGATATATTATTGAGCCTGTGGTTATGCGTCGTATATGGCTCATACATAAGACAGAGCTGCAAGCATGAACGATTTTAATTTAAACGATCTGACGTATCAAGCAATAGCTGTATATCTTGCGTGTCTGTCAACCCAGTAGCCCAGTTAGCCCAGATATTCGTGCAGTCGTGTTGTTGTTCCTGGCCTAGAACAGTCTGCTCGCCTGTGATTCGACAGAAGTTGATAGGCCCCCCTTAACCCCTGGTAAATCCCGTATCTCGCGACCCTAGTTAGCACGCCTTTCCGGGGCTCCCTAGCGTCACCTCTTAAGAATGTCCAGGTTTTGTTTATGTGCAGAATCGGTATTCGTCCATATCATAAATAGGTAAGCTCCCGTCAGCGAAGGATCTTCCGGATGCCGGATCGTCTTCGTCGCCTATAAGTGTACAGTTTACCGGATACGTGCAGTAGAAACGAAAACTTGTAGACGTATCTGGCTGCCTAGATAAGTACGAGCATTACGAGGTATCAAATAGTAGATAGGTATGTACGTGATTCCTTCCCTGACATCGATCACCAGAATGATGCGATATGAATGCTTTGCATGTTCAATTTCCGATCCCTGCTCACCGATAGGTACGTGCCCTACCGAGAGATAGGCCGGATAGGATAGGTGGAAAATAGCTTATCAGCCATTAGTAAGCCTTGCAGTCTCGTTGTCGCTGAATAACGTAACAGTTCTCAAAACCTTACGACTTATAATTAATTAAAGCGAGATATTAAGTTAAACGTATTCTATTATAACATTTCTATGATATCTCTAGCCCATATACTTATGTCTTATCGCACACCAATTCTCTTTCTTTTCAGTCTCGCAAAGCTCAGGTTGAGTATCTTCCGCCGTGCTACGTTACTGCTATTTCGGCAGTGGATACGAAGTACCGGCGAAGCTAGCAACGTAGCGCTAAGTGTTAATAACTAAGAGCCGTCGTTCAGCTTTCTTCGTAGCGAACGAAGTCGGTATAGGAATAGGCCAATCCATTTACTTGCGTCATCCTATACCGTCCGTCGATGAGCCTATCTAGCCTACCTAGGGAGGTATCTATCATCGATTGATATTATATAAGCGAACCATCGTATTTCTTTCTTGAACTAGTTTGACCCTGGTAACTATCATCGATGGACCTGCCTTGTCAGCTCTGGTGAGCCATAGGAATACGATCAGTGGGAAAAGTGTTGCCTAGGTAGGCTAATCCAATGAACTTCTCCAGATATGATGATGGCCGACGACATCGTCGCAACTATCATCAACCTTGAAAAACAACCCTGATCACATAATGCTGGTTCTTTTCTTCTTTCCCCTTAGGTACCTACTCTAAGCTCTATTGGCCCGCTTCTTGCATGTAACGAAATACTCCGAGCTCCAGGATATATGGAAGGTGCCTCAAATTCGGGATATGCGCGCTCTGTTAACAAGCTCCTACTTCGTGTCTCGCCACGAGGTTTGTCGCGGATTCTTGCGGATGGTTCGGATGGTTAACCTACTCCACGTGTATTTTTATAAGACCATATTCCCGGTTACGCGATACGAGAATAGAATACCACAAACTTCATTGTACAGGAAGCATGCTGTGGCTGTGTTCAGAGAATGGCACCACACTTGCTTACGGATCGGCTACAGTGGTTACCTTGGATGCCTAAAATCAACGTCCAGAAAGTCGCAAAAGAGGAGTTTAGCATTTTTGCCGCCTCTATCGTGTCGATCTATTTCTCCAACCCGCGGAAAAGCATTGAGGGCTACTGATGAGATAGATGGAGTAGGCAACCTTTCCATCCCAGCGCTTGATTGAGGAAGCAAGCATGTCTATCCCAAATGGAGGTAAGAACCTTAGACACAGGGTGAATTGATGATGTGAGAAGTCTTTTTCATCGTTATTCGGGCAGAGTACTAGGTAAGGTACCTACTGAGGCGCCTTTGCATGCTTATTCTATACCTGCAACAGCTTCTCTAGTGATAACATAGCCTTCTTGCTGAAGTCACCCATATCGGAGTACTTCTCGGGCGCCTTACTATCAAAAACTTCAATTGACAACCAGCCCCTAAATCCCGTCCCAAGCACGGCCTTCAGAAAATCCTGCACGGGGAGGTAACCCCCATCATAGGGCAGAGGCCGGTAATCATAACTCCACTGCCCTCTCGGCCGCAACCCCCTCGCGTCGACCTTTGCCTCGATAGGAGGATCCACCTTGTACGCATCCGAGATCTGCAGGAGGTAGATCTTCTCCGGCGGAACCGTCTTACTCAGCTCCGCCAAGCTCTTCTGCCACCTAGCCTTGAGCTCGTCCCGGGAAAGGCCCTCGACGAGCCCGGACCGCGTCGTCGGGTCCGCCCACTCGCCGCCGCAGCTGTGGAAGGTGTCGAGGCACAGGCCGATATTCGGCCGGTCCGCCTTCTCGACGATGCGCCACACGTCCTTCCAGTCCGGCGCGTGCGTGGCCCAGCACCAGTTCTCGTACGCGATGCGCAGCCCCTTCGGGGCCAAGAGATCGGCCAGCTCAGCCAGGTCGCTTGCTAGGTCGTCGAACGAAGACGATATGTCCGCGTCCGACGACCCGACTTGTAGCATATCCGTGCCCAGGGCTTCCAGCACGCGGATCCAGCCTTCCGCGCGCTGGAACACTTCTTCTCTCTCGGCGCTACCTTTAGGCCATCCTTCGGCGCGGGTAAAGGGCTGCAGCATGAGGATTTTGAGATTATGCTCTGCGGCCTGGGCTCGGATCTTTTTGCCGATCTCCACTAGGGTGTTGTAGTCCTTGGGGTCTGGCTTTTGGCCGTTGAGCATTTCGCCGTATGCCAACATGTCCGGCATGGCCAGTTCAAAGGCATCGAAGCCGGCGTCTGCTATAGCCTTGAGCTTTAGCGGGAGCGTATGCGACTCTTTGTGTCCGATACTGCATGTCGCATAGCACGTGGGGATTTTTGTGCCCTGATAATTGATCGGCATGTTGAAGGGGTGATTGTATTAGTTGGTTGTGGAATATGGAATATCTATGTAGGTGCTTAGGTAAGTACATATATCTCGAAATTTCATGATGTCAAGTGAGGTCGAAAGAAAGTTGGTATTATATAAGGATACTTCGAATTTGTCCCTATGATGTCAACGAGTGTGCTTAGGGAGGTACGTAACGTTGATGTGACACCTATTACACTTGTGTAACAGACAGTCGGAAAATGTTCTGGTATACCCCTCACGATGCGAATCGTACCTTCTGTTGATGTACTCTATATGTGGAATAATTCATAATTGGTTCACAGTTCTCATGATATAAGCTATTCGATATAATTACTTAACGTAAACTGCTAAAAGCAGTTGGAAGAATTCACGAACTCTTTGTTTAGTATCTAGGTACGTAATACCCAGGGCAGTATGGGGTGGCAAAACTCACTTAGATTGCCAGACTTACTAGAAGAATACAACCTCCTTTTAGCCCATTTCACTTACACATAATCACAATATGTTATAAATCACTGAACTTGTTTATACACGACGTCAAGTGTAATTATTTATTTGTTTATTAAGTTCATTTTCAAGTACCTGCTTCTAATGTGACTCTGGAATCTGATTCCCGACAAAGTGTGGGGTAGTTTGCCCCGCAGTTTACTGCGCGGCTTAACATAATGGCGCACTTGATTGGGCACATTCCTACGGTTTAGGTAACTTGGGGACTGCCTACGTACGGTATACTTGAAACTGTAATCTTTATGAACAATAATTGAACCGAAGCGAGGGTTTACATATCGGATATAGCATATATAATCCGACAGTGCGCCTTGTACATCGTCGTAAATATAAATGCGGTCAAGATTTTAAATTAAATTTATACTGTAGGTTATATCCCTTATTTCCATCTTTACCGTCTTATCCTTGTTACCTACCTACCCTTAAGCACCTAAGAATGAGCGACTCCAGAGCGAACGGCCCAATCCAAATCCTCCCAAAGTTCAATGCCAATGATCCGCGTGAATGTTTTCTTATACGAGCAATGGTTGAACAAGCTCTCGCTTTTGGACCTTCACTCGGAAGTCCACCGGCCTAACGAACCAGCCGTTCCAGAATCTTGGGGTCTTGGACGAGTCCTCCAGTTGAAGCTAGGGCCGAATCATTAGCATTATGAACTGCAACAACCAAACAAAAAAGAAAGAAAAAGTGGCAATGAACAAAACTCTCGACTCACCTCAAACCTCCTCAACACGCTAGGGATCAACTTATACATCTCCATCAAGCCGATATGCTTGCCGAGGCAGACGCGCGGCCCCATGCCGAACTGCATCTGCGTGTTCTTCATCCTCCGGATCCTCGCTAGCTCCTGGTCCCTGTCCTTCGTCTCGTCGACGAGCCAGCGCTCCGGGCGGTAGACCTCGACGTCGTCTCCGAAGACGTCCTTACGGCGGTGTATGACCCACGCGTTGCACCCAACAATCGTGCCGCCCTTGACGAAGTTGCCGCTGATCTCGACGCCCTCGGGGGGCACCACGCGCTCGAACGGGAGCCCGGGCGCCGGGTGGATGCGGAAGGCCTCGTTGATGCAGGCGTCGAGGTACGGCAGGTCCTGGCTCTCGGCCCAGGTGACGATGCCCTTCTGGTTATCCTTGAAGTGGCCCGCCCTAGCCTTCTCGTCCAGCTCGTCCATGAGCTTCCGCATGCACCTCGGGTGTCGTAGGAGCGAGGCGAAGACGCCGCTGATCGAGACGGCCGCGGGCTCCGACCCCGCGAACGCCATCGACACGCACATGGTCACCACGAGCTGGTCGTTGAAGAAGTTGGGGCGTTCGAACTTGGCTTGGATGAAGTGGGAGAGGAGATCGGGCGGGGTGTCCTTCGTCTGCTCCCAGGCGAAGTTCTCCTTCGAGAACGTCTGGTTCGACGGGTGTCGCTCGGCTAACCGGGCCTTAGCGAAACGGGCGACCCCGAACGTCGCCTCGCCGATGCCGTGCTTGGCAAGCCAAAGCCTGATAGGGTTCTTTTTCCACAACTTATCCAAAAAGGGAATTTGCCCAATCTGTCGTTCACCTAGGCATTAGCATATCCTCTTATCGTCTCAAGCTCGGCAGCGCGCTTATGAGGCATATTGATCTTACCAGCGCCGCATAGTCAAAGAGTGCCGCATTATCGCGGACGATATTGTCGACGTCCGTGTTGGATTCGAGAAAACCGTGCCGCTTAGAGTACACCATGTCCCCGATGACGTCGAACGTATAGAACTGTAGCCAGCGGTAGAAGTTGCATACTTCGCCTGTGGATGCAAACCGCTCGTCCGTCTGGTCTAGGAATACCTCGTTCGTCGAATCGAAGAGCGGCTCGTATTGCATCTGGGCAGACATAGAGAATGCACTATTCACACTTCGCTTGAGCTGCGAGTGGAAGTATTCAGACTGAGTACTGAACAATGTCGGCAGTCGTTGACCCCTGGAAGTAGCCATCTGCACAGGGTAAAAATCCGACTAGAAAATTCATCCGTCAGTATTTCTCGTTCACTCCGTCTCATCGTCAACTACATCGAGTAGCATGTATAATTACCTTCGTAAATCCCTTGCCGAGGCCGTAGATGACCTTGATGGCATTGGGGTTCCCAAACGACAGAGCATTGGGTCCTAGACGCACAACATCGCCGTATTTCTCGTGGAGCTTGATATGCCATTGTTCCGGATGCCGCAACCACACCTTATAGAATCGAAACCAATCTGTAAAGTGTGCTAGTAATGGTCCGGGATACTTGTTCAGCCCTCTGTTGAAGTAATTTCGAGAGAGGTAGAAGACAGCCACTACCAACAAGGCCAACGGCCATTGCTGAGATAGCCATTGGATGAAAGAACCTGCAATCATGGCGACAGCGATATGATAAGGTACGAGATCGTTTCAATGGGAGTCGAATAGGAGCGAGGTCGTCACTTCTTACAATGCTTACTAGTCTACATATTTCCAATGATACATATACTTTTTACTGATGTGGGAGAAGCTGTAGAGGGTAAGGATTCTCGAGCGTGCATTACAGCCCTGTAGGAACTTGTTTCGGGTGACATGCTCGTGATAGACATGCAGTATAGGACTGCCGGTCGAGGATTCAAATGTCGGCAGTTGCTAGTGCTGTTTATAATGACGCTCGTAGACGGGGTCTCATCTCGAATCTTACGTCGTCTAGAAGGATTTGTCTTACATCCTTTGTTTTCCGAAAACGGGGTTAGATGTCGGCTTTCTTCCTGAGTTGAGATTGTGTGGTGATTAGGTGTATGAGAATCCCGGAAGTATGGTTACATGGCAGATAGGTGGAGGGAGGTGAGGCAAGGTGAAGTGAATGGAGGGATAGATGATGTGATAGAGATATAATGACAAACCTAGAAACCCGACAAACCTTAGAGCTAACCAAGTTCCGGAGCTACTATCCAAAGCCTAAATCAAATAAATCGTGTACCCCTGATGTTCGAGGCGCATCGGAGCCAACCCCGGTCGATACCTGCCTGCCATCGAAACTGAACAAGATCTCCATATAACCTTGAGAGATACTTGAGCATCACATCGCGTTGAGTCGCGGATGCCCCAATGAGATTTCTTCCTTTCGCACGGTCCAACGTTTACCCTATCGTGTCATTCCTACGAGCTAGGTTTGGGTGATGGATAGGAATCGTGTAAGCGGCAGGGGGTCAGGGGGGTCCTCGTAAGAGGTAAGAATAAGATATATTGCCCGCATTTAATAAGGGCAAATCCTGACAAGTTTCAAGGATTTATATCCGAGGCCTACATAAATCTACGCCGCTCGCCAGCATGGAAAACACCCCCGACACCCCCGGATAGCTGCGAACTTGCGGGTTTCTCGTGTGATAGGCAATTCCTCAACGGCTGGGAAGTGGGACTCTCAGTAGGATAATCCTTAGGTATTTGCCTTCGGCAGTTCGATTTTGACGAAGCCGAAGGACTTTATTGTTCGAAGGCATCGTTATTGTCGGTACTACCTATTCGAGACACTTGTGAGGTTTCCATGTTCTAATACCGGAATACGCCTATCGACGACGAAGAAACCATTGACACTGAGATCGAACAAGCGCTCATGGGGATAAATGTCCCGTGTCTCTACAACCGATTAAGCTTTCATCACTACCATGATTAATATTATAAATGCTCCTAACTAACGCGGGACGGTCCGCCATCCGTTGCGCTAAGCCTCGAAGTATTCAGATTGCAGTTCGCCGGGGATCGGAATGACGAGATATTACTTCCCCGTCAACCATATTGGGTAAATAAGTGTTACGATCTGTGGGGAATCAGGCTTCCGGTTGACGCTCTACCTTGTCTGGTTATTCTTTCCAGGGTTGGGATCGAATTAAGCAGGTAAGTTAGTCTGGTGGGGACTAGATCGCATCTTAGACTCAAGATTAGTCGGATCAGAAGTGGATAGTCTTTTGGTATGTACGGGGAGCTTTCATTTGAAGGAAAGTAGTTCCTCCTGCTACCTGTAAGCATAGGACAGAAGGAATACCTCACAATAGAAAGCAGCGGCAAAAATAATAGCGAAGGTGGCAATGGGCAAGGCGACAATCGCCACTGAAAACAACTTTTTAGAGATAGGGGTGCCTCCTGATCATGCATGACGTCCTCATCCACAGAGTGGGATTGAGGGGATTTGAACGCACTAGTAAATAAGTACGGTTTCGCTGAAAATATCTCATGGGGTCATGCTTGATTCGACATAACCCTGGCTGTCCCGTTCCTAAGAGGAACCCAACCCGGAAAGTAAGGCGCACAGTCTAGAAGTAATGCGCAAGATCTATATGGCCGTTCCCATCCAATAGGGGAAACAGATTAAGAGTGCCAAAAACCTGATCTGCCTGGTCTTGTTGGTCTTTATTTGAAAAAGAAGACCCAGAGTTGGAATCAAGCGAGCACCCTAATGATAACAGGATAGGGTCAATATCGTGGAAAGGAGAAGTAGGCGATTCATGTGCCAATGAATTCTGAGGCACAGTGCTGCCTTGATGGGCTGAGGCGATGGTTGATTCAACGGTATTGGTACCTGGCACATAACCCTGATCCTGACGTAGGGACTCTTTTGGTATGAGCCCGAATAGCTGAGACGAACTTTCCGTAATTCGAAGTCGTTCGCCGATATCTTTGCTTTGGAGGTATTCCAACGCGCTAGACAGCAAAGACTTCGCAATGAGCGTGTACTGCATGGCATGCGTGTCGTTTTTTGCGAAATATTCTAGCGCAGTGATGGACATACGGGCATATTTCTCAAGGATGCGACCGAATCCTCCAAGGAGGCCAACGCCGAGCACCAAAGATGATGCGAATAGCCACGATCTTTCGAGCCGATTAGCAGGAGGTAAATATTCCGAAGCAATCGGGTTTGAACTCACACTATTAATGGCATGCGTCCGTCTAGAAGCTGTCGATTTACGAGACCCAATACTGACTCGGCCATTAAGCTTGCTGCATCAATACATGCATTTGCGAGTCTAGTCCTCCCCGAATTGTCGCTACTGCTACTTGGCGGATCGGCGGAGGTGTAATTTTCCGGAAGGCGTTTACATAACTCGTATATGAGGAACGGTCTGGTTATTAGCATGACAGCGTAATGATAACAGGACATAACTTGGCAAGCCCCGATGACATTCTGTCTGTCTTCCCCCGAAACTTCGTCAACCGTTCTCTTTAGCCGAGACAGCCATCTACGTGACCAATCTCGAAGTTGACATGAGATTCCTTCAGTTAGTTGAAGCGAGATCTTTCTTCTGGAGTATACTTGGAGTACGATTTCTTCCGTAATCGATAGTATTTGGACCGACGCGTTCAAAAGGTCAAATTTCTCCTGCCCATTAGCGTCTAAGTCTCCACAAGGCACTGTGCAATCTATATCCGACATAGATGGAGGTCTACCCATGGATATGCTAAGGAACAAGTCGATGACCCGCAAGCTCTTCCAGAGACGGTCCCTAAATCGTCATCAATACTGGCGTATCGTCGTTTTCGCGCGTGCCTTACCTTCGGGCGTGCGATTCAGGTCCGAACCGAGAATTGACTTCTGTCCGGTGCAAGCCGATCGAGTATGCAGCTCTCGCGGCAATCCCTCGTTGGCATTAGCTGCAGTAATAGCTCGCAGTTAATTGTATAACATACCAAAGAAGAGAAACGCGCCATTTATTTGACATGCTCGGAGCATGTATAAAGTGACGAGGGCGAAGGCTTGAACAGTCTCGGTTCCTAGGTCGCCACCAAGGCATTTTAAAGCTAAAGTCTTCGCATATTGAAAATATCGAGCAGCAGATCCTTCGTCGACAGATTGAGACCCAATGGCTAAAATGAGATAATTGACGGCAGAAGTCGCATCTCTGGGTCCTTTTTCAGAAACCCATGCTGATATGTTGTCCGCTAGATGAGCATTCTCAAAGAAATCAACCAATCCGGATGTCTGCAGCAGTAAAGGTTAGGCAATATGTACCAATCAAAGTAATACACGAGCTGACTGAATTACCACTGAGATAAACATAGATACTAGCCGTTGGACATCAGCGGGATCCACATACGGCTCTTTGTCATTTCCGGGAAGCAATGGGTCGGAAGAAGCATTCTCTAACATCGAGACTCGGCTTGTTCGAGGCGTAAATGCGTTCGGATCTACTCGGGACGCTACAATCTGCCGTACAGTTTGGTAAAGGGAAAGCGGTGCACAATCCCCAACGAAAGCTTAACGAAAAAAATTCAATCAGAACACGGGGTTCATATCAAGTAGTGGTAAGGTCTTCCATACTTAACTTCCCCCTAGCGTCGCGCAGTAGCCGTGCCTCCCGGGGGACGTCCGCTTCTTCCTCTGCTGAAACATCGCCGTGGTGAGGGAGATCACTCTCACCAAATGAGCGAGAAGACCCAATCAAGGGTGCAACAGGAATATCAGAGGGCGCCTCTGGTCTAGCGGATGACGGGACGGGAGATTGGGGTGTGGTGGATCCAGAAGGAGGTATATGCGGCCTCCTCACTCGGCGACGGCCGGCAGGAGAAAAGCGGCAGGTCACACTACCCTGCCGACTACTACAGTAGCGACAGGGCACGTTTCCGTCGCACTTGACTACAAGAGCTTCCGTCAATTGATCCTCATATGAATATCATGCACGGATACTTGCCTACCTTTCCGTTGTTTGCACGTATCACAAGCATTGGCGATTCTGATACGGGTCATCGGAGGAGTCATATCGCGTTCTGAGTCTGCGATATGAGCTTTGAAATAACCATCAGATACCAATTGCAAAATCTAAAGAGTACTTCGTAGGTAAGTATGAATTTCTTATTACCAAAAATAATGCAAGACGGTGTGAAGGTGAAGAATAGTGGTGAGCGGATATCGGAATATCGGAAGTTAAAGATGAAAAGAACGGACCCTAAGATGGCCCCCACGGTTTATTCCCTGAAAGCGTAGCTGACTTAGGGCTGAACACTAGAGGCGGCTATCCGAACTTCCGTAACTACATTCTCACATCCGACGCCCCTTCCGATTCAGTTTCCCACCTACGGTACCTCCCAGTAGGTACTAAGTACTAATTACCTAATCTAAATCAAGATTTATGATCATGGCTTCCACTCATTATACATTATCACATCTACATGTACATCTCTAAGCTCTAAATCCAATATCAATGTCAGCGTTCTCTCCCACTTAGGCCTTCATTCCAGCTACGTATGTCTCATCCCGCGTTTGCTTTAGAAATGGTATCAACGCCGTCCCTCCCGTTCCAGTCAATTCTTTATCTAGCTGATGGTCAGGCCGCGACGACGCAGAGGCAAGATTTGTCACTGAAACTTGGCTGTGCTTCCGCGAGGGCACAATGATGTATCTTGCCACAAGCTGCATGTGCTTATTTCGAAAGTCCCCGAGGGCTTTGGTGGCATCTTGAAATGACAACCATAATTGTCGTTGTTCATCAGAATCACCAAGTTCGTATGCGAAATCCTTCAGACTTTTCTTAAACGAGACCTGTTCGAGGAATGCTCTATGTGGCCCGGGCATGTAAGAACGGACCTCTTCATGGAAAGTTGGGGTTGGTTTGCTAGTCCCTGAAGACACTGCCGATCCGGCACGTGCGTCGTTGCCGGATGATCTATGTTCAACACCAAGAACAGCGTCGAAGAATTGGATGAGTGAGCTTTGCCCATTGCTCCCACCTCTCAATTGCTTCCAGCTGAGCGCACCATCCTCGTCTTCGTATAAGACTCCGTTCGGAAGGCCGGCGGCGCCCATATTCTTACTTCCGGCTAGGTATGGGCGAATTTGGTGGTAAAAAACGGTGGGGTCGCATTTCTCATACATCCGATCAAGAAGTCTGCCGAGTTTCTCAATACAGATAGACAATTCATCCAGAGCGCTCGTTATCGTCGAGTAGTCTCGTTCTTGGATAGCGTCAAGGGCCTGCAACATGACTGGGATTATATACGCCCCCTTGGCTTCCATTGCTACGGATACCGCGAAGAACCATGACTCATCCTGTGTTCCGCTAAACGTGTGTAAGGATTGCAGCTTGTCAAGATCTCGGAAGTCAGTTCCACTACACGTGAAGTTCCAGAGGTTGAGCGCAGCGTATGTTGCCACTGGCGGAAGGCTGAGGTGGTCTGAAACTTGGAGAAAGGGAACTGATATCGGTCGAGGGAGAACCTAATCGTTTCGTCTGTTAGTTACCTATCTAGCGCGTGCCACTACTCGAGATTGGTTCATACTTCTGACGCCTTTTCGTCGCCCCAGATATACGCATGTGCTAAGAAGGATAACACAACATAGGCACGACGCCACTCTTCTTTTGTATGGATTTTACCCGTCGAAAGTACCGGCATGCGATCGATGGCTTTTCGTATGACTCTCTCCTTTATCAGCAGCGGAAGCTCGTCCAGCAAGGTTTCCCACGGAGTATAATATGGACTTGATAGACGCCTTAGTGGTTCTCGATCGGGAAGAAACCCATTTTTGGATATAGAATAACCCTGGAGATAGTCTTGTTGATACAAGTGTTCCCCGTGTTCCGATGAAAGTTGAGTACGACCCGGCATCGTGAGACGCAATTGGTATGTCAAACTTAGATTAATGATGTGTAGTGTACGCTAAAGGAATGCTGAAGAAGCAAACCAATATTAAAGACGTGATTGGGAAAGGGGTCCTGATATATTTCTGCGGATGCTCATCGGAACTCGGATAACGGATCACGGAAGTGCTAATTTGGTAGCACGACCAGCCTCCACTTGTTAGAACACATTCATCAGTTGACATCCAGCTCACAGGATCGATATTAATGAGCGGTATTACGGCTCCATATAATGTCATCAGTTCTGCGCCTTCGCCAATTCTAGCCAAACTACGTCGGGGCCAACTGCCAATAGGTTCCCCTACTAGCCAAACGTCGATCTAGCCAGACCTCCAACATGCGACAGCCATAGTGTATGAGCCCTTTCAGCTTTATCTGCTCCATCTAGCATAGGTCTTTCGCGATCACAGCACCGTCATCGGCATCATCTAGCGAGAAACATGCATAGCTATCTATAAGCATGGTGTGCATTATCTGACTCCCCGGATAGAAAAAGAGTCGGCCGAAGATTCTCACCTCGGCAAATACAATGAAGCTACCTCGAGGCCTTGAGGTGCAATGTAGAAGTATAGGTACTTACTTACGGAAGGGGTCCCATATTCTTTTAATCTAAGACACTGCGAAAGTATTCTGCTGATGCAGTCAGCGAGGTTTCTTTCTCGGCCAATGAGTGCGATAGGCGCTCCTCGAATCCATCGCGAGGATTATCAGTAACAATCGCTCATCATTGTCCTAGAGACCGATGTTCTCAGAAGCGACCACGTTATTCAACTATTTGAGTATAAAACTCTTCTCAGGTTTGTAAGTCTTTGAGATATTATGACATAATTACATTGGTTTTTTAAAACACTACACGAAGGACAACAGTCGTAATATCCGCCAGATCAATAGATACTGCGTTAACGAATAACGACGACTATTTAGTTATGCAAGTAAATAGTTTCGCTGACTAACATTTATCTGCGGATTTACTTATCTGCATGGAGCTCATAAGAGCCTAAGTTAACCCAAGATTTCGCTATATATCAATATTATTGGACTGCGTTGGCTATTTTATGGCACCCTCTGTTGGAAACATGCATTCACCTTCTGGGGCTATCCATGTATTGCATGTATTCCCGGAACGCTATGGATTGCATAGCCCTGGGATTTAGGGACCAGAGTGCCCCTCCAGGGCTGTAAGTGCAACAGGTTAGCGTGTAGAGAGGGGCTATCTTTAAGTGAATATCACTTTAACCATATGAAGATATACTTGATATTCATTAATTCAAAATAACAATACATTTGTAAATTAATTTAGCGGGATGGCGAATGATACACCTCAATACATTCTTCTTCAAACATAATTTCAATTCTTATTTATTAATGGTTGCGGCAGAGCATCCCATTAGCATAAGTTTCGAGCTCAAACTCGTCAACGAGGTGAGCCACGATGGAGACCGTCTTGACATATCTTCAAAGACTTAACTATACCTTCTAGTTTCGTAACGGTTTTCAGGTAAGCTTTTATTTATCGCACGTTCTGTTTGAAGGTTAGAAAGTGGTTGGGGCAGCAACTCAAGTTAAAGAACATGATGCCGTAACTTGGGGTCGGTTAGTCAGCAACCCTAACCCCTAATTTGTACGAGACTGGTCATCCGTACGTCCCTTTCATTATCCTAAACCTATAGACATAGCTGGGCGCATTCATTTTATGTCTCAACCTATTGACACTGATAGGGTGGTATTAAACTTCGATCACCTGAGATTCCCCAATGTTCAATGGGTCAAGTACTTAGGTAAATTGTAATAGGGGATCCGTAGACTTAGGTAAGCTAAGGAGATATCAAGCCACCCCGATTCAATGGTGGGTCCGCATCGGCGCGCCGAAAGCCCCACAGTCGGCGACTTTCCTGAATAGGAAATTCTAGGGGGGCGGAAGGCGTTCTGATTAGTCACATTCAGGACGCCTCCTAGAATCTAAGGTTTATTTTCTTAGGTATTGATAACAATCAATATGAAGCGCTCGAAATATTTAAGAAACTTCGGAGAAGATCTACCTTGGACCCTGCTCTCATTTCCAACCGCTCGTTTTCATATGGCTATTTCTATTTACAAGTCCATTGATCAACCTCGATGCCTTGCATAAACAATGGCCCATAAAATAAGCCATGCTATCATGATAGCCCAAAAGCCCGATAAAATGGTCATCCTCCTCCATGGTACTAAAAAAGATGCTGTACAGGATGACGTGATGATGGTCGATATTGCAGTAAGCACAAGACGTACGTCTTCGTGAGTTGATAATCTCACCATATAATAACTAACCCAAAGCATTAAAACCGTAAATAACTTAGGGCGCTGAGCAACATAAACTATACTTTTGAATAGAATCGACCGGAATAAGTTAGCCAGCCTCAGTGAGAAGATGTCTGGCCTGAGTTTGGCGATACCAATTTGTTCCTCTCTCTCGATTTCCAGCATTACGATGTTTTTGTAAGAATGACTCGTAATGCCTGAGCGCGTTCTGAAACGAATCACAAAGCCATTAATTGTGAGGGAGTCTTTCCATTCAAGGCATTTCAGTCCCTCCAGAGTCGGCTGAAAGGTTGGAGAATAAATAGGACCGGATATTAGACTTCGATGTTCGTATTTGGTATCTCGTCTCCAGTTGGACCTAGGGCAGAATTCGATCTTAAGATAAAATTTGCCTATTGTAGCTCTGCAGGAGAAGAAGACCTTATATGTGTTTAATGGAATATGGTCCTTAGTCAGATGAACAGTCAATCTGCCTTGGTAATGGACAACTTTCAAGTGTTGGTCAACATGAAGGAATTCATAAACCTCATTATTGGTTGGGAATATTACTATGGAACTCTGGTGATATTTTTCAAGAAGAGAAACGGTACTGGGAAGAATCGCCATTTGTAAGTAAAAAGTGACCATCTTATAGGGAGTATCTGGGTGAATAATCACTGGATTTTGATTGCGTAGTCTAAATCCAGTAGCATTGAAGTTAACAAGTAATAATTTGTTCCATGTGACCCAATTGGAATCAGGCGATGCGTCGGCTCGATTTATGCGTAACTTGATAGCAACATAACCATCAATGCAACGTAGTGAACGACACTGCAGCATGACATAGCCGGTGAAAGTGAATTGTAGTGTAATACGGATACCCTTCTGGGTTACTTCAAAGCCTTCGTCCATCTTGGCTTCATAGGGAACCATGTCTGCACACCCGATAAATTCAGACGGCGATCTTGCTAAGATTGAAATTGCCTCATCCGCATCATTGGCTTCATCGGTTTCGTGGGAGCCATCAAAGCTCCAGGTAAAGACTGTCTGGTCAGTTGATTGTTTTATGATTTCTTCTTGTAATCTCTGAAAGGCTTTGTCGCCTTCGCCGTACAATAAAGGCATGTTGACATCGAAAATTCCCAGGAGGCAATACGCCATATCCTCCTTCCTTGAGGTTTTACGTTTCGCTGCCCAGCACATACGCTGTGCAATGCTGAAATAGTGAATACCGCATTCCGAGAGAAAAGCAAAAGAGATACCGGTTATTTCTTCCAAGAGAGTCTCAATATCAGATTTAACCCCTAGAAAGGTCCATGAGTTGCTGAAAAAGGAGACATCGACGGGGGCAATTAATTCTTGCAGCGTCCACCCTCGAGAGAACCACCGGCTGTTGCGAAAAGATGAATCGGTGGCGCTTAGGTCGGTATCGTCAGAAGATACATCTTCCAGATAAACGTAACAGACGCGAGACTCTTTATACCACCGATACATGGAGTTTATGGCTTCGGATAACTCGGTGCTACTAGTTTTGTCGATACAGCAAGTATCGACCCAAGCCCATTCGAGTCCGTTTCTTCTAGCTTGGTCACAACAGCCTTCGATTTTTCGGTATCCTGTCTTCGATGTACTTGGATGGGATGTGCTCTCAACCCCGCATTCAGTTGTGAGAGCGAATTCTTGAAGGGTGATTTCATCCGCGCCCCACTTATGGGAAAGTATAGCGTAGGGTGGTCGTTTATCTTCGCCAAACCAGCGGAGCTCTTTTGTCTGCGTATTCAGAAGACGCATCTTGATTGAGATCCAAATGTAGACTTAGACTGGAGAAATATCAGTGAAAAAGAAGAAACAAAGGAGTGTGTCGAGGCCTGCGTTGGGCGAGACATTCTACCACTTCGTTCAGAGCCTTGCCCTTAAATCTCGGGGGTCACAACGTGGCCTATAAATTATTGCAACCCTATTACACCATATGTTCCATAGGCTGACAGATAATGGCCCCTATTCCATCGTATTGGTCAAACTTGATACTAATCATTCAGCGAATAGAAATGGCATAATTAGGGATCATCGCTGAAATTGTCTTCAAGTAAACATTGGAACCTTGAAGGGAACTCCCGGGTGGCTTAGTCATAGCTTGGTCAACCTCCATATATCAAAAGACAAGAAACGCCAAGAGGGAAATACAATATATCAACTAGGCTAGTCCTGTCCGATTCCGATTCTGATCAGCTATCCCAAGAGGCTTCGCAAAGATAATCAGCCTAGATGGAATGCCGCATTTGAAGAGGCCTGCATGTGCGGCGGCGGCAGCCGTACAACTACCAGCTGTAGCCGTGTCCATCCTGCGCAGGAGTGTTCTGCCTTGTGCGTGGGGGGGAAACGTAAGACTATTGGAGCGGCATCGCCGAATGGACTGTGTAACACTTGTAAAAGATACCAAATGACGTTTTGCCGATCTTCGAACGCGACGACTATCTTTAGTATGTAACACCGAAAGTTCTCACTGCCCCCTTCTTGACCTACCTCAGAAGTGGAAGCTTCCTAATGGAGCTAACTAAGGAGTTTCTGCCCCCCGGGTATGCCAGAATTTCCTTGAAATCTCAAGGAATCACCAACTCCTATTGTTGTAGCGCAGGGTCCAGCACGGGACTTTACACGAATATTCTAGGATAATAGATGCCAACTCCGCTAGCCTTTACTCTGAATGGTTTTGCTTCAAACTGCCTTCGATATAAATCTCTAAGTCGCTAGTCCTAACCTATATGGTTCCATAGGGAAGAGTGGTCATTGCGAGAAATATTAAAGTGAGTTAACACAGGATGATCAGGTGACGAATAAGAAGCTTTATCGTCACGTGCCCTCAATCTAGTCTTATCTAAGTTCAGGTGGTCTGTGTGTTGGAGATATCTTAGTTGCTCACGTGATTCCCATTGAAACAAGAAGGGTTCAGAGAAGAATTTGTCGTTTGTAAGCAGATTGACTTTGACACAATGAATTCGTTGAATCCTTTGATACATGTGAAGTGATCAGTCTGATAGATTCCTTGGGTTTTACGAAGGAGTATTAATACGAAGTCGTACTATCACAATAATCCTGCTGACAGAAGACATTTATGAAAGTGGTCCGTTCGCGAAAGGTACACAGGTACTAATCCCTTATATAATACGCCCCTGAGTTAGCTGATTAAGCACTCAATAATTTTAGGACGAAGAGATCTACAGAGATTCCCTAATCAGAGTGCGTATTTAATCCACTCCTTGATTGAATATACTATGACTACAGAAAGTAATCAAAAAGAAGAAAAATCAAGAATCGAACTTTTAAGGGTGAGGTACCTAACTTGTGTTATGGCTGAGCATTGTGAAAGTAACCCAACGGGGTGGCCTTCTGTAGGAAATGGGTCAAATCAACCTCGCACTTGAACAATATTATTGTCTGGTTCACATGTATTCTGTGAGGGAGCTCACTAAGGAGTCAGACAGACTGCCCGCATTTTCCGGCCCGGCACAACGCATACACAGATGCTTGGAGGGTGAATATCTCGCTGGGTTGTGGAGTTGTGACTTCAACCGTAGCCTAGATTGGCAGAGTTATCGAGTGGATTGGATCGAATCCAGCGCATATGAGCGACGTGATCTACGATTCCCTATCAGAAGCTTCCTCCACGAGAGCTGATAGTCAGAGGTATCGGGAGTCGGCCTGTACGAGGCCGCCCTGTTGGCAGCTGGCCTTTAGCTGTAGACAAAGGAAGGTTCATGTATGTATACCGTGTTCCCTGGAAGGGGTTAGTTAGAGCTCTTCGCGCAACAACGTCGTTCTTCCCTAGCTTCTTGGTTCCGCCTCGTGAAAATCCCCATAAAGGCACACGAGCACTGCACCCCATCGTGGTCTTGGGCAGCGACCAATGGAACCATTAAATCCAATACCCTGCCTTATACAGACGAATCCACCGAACTTCAGCTACTAGGCTACCATATGAACTATCAGGATCCGAGTAATCCGTACGGAGCAGTCAAGGCGGGTCACATTCTGCTTTGAGGCTATACAATGCCAGTACCTAGTTGAAAGGACGCAAATTGCGTAAGATTTCAAAATTGGCAGCATTAACTTTGACGACCACTGGGTAGACTTTTGCGGGAATATTGCGCATGAGTTCATTGACCGAATTAACGACGAACATAACCACCCTATTCTGGCAGTCGATAAAGCCTTGCGAAGCGGAAACAATGAAAGAAACGTTAACGTCTTTCCACCGCAAATACACCTCGTTCTTCTCATACGGAAGTACGCAATTTCAAGTTATAGCTGTATATTATTTCGCAAGACAACCAGTGGAGAGGAAGAACAGTTCAAAAGAATTGGTCATGTGAATATCTCAAATATTCCCGAGATAGGAGAATGGACCCAAAGGGAATTAACTCTCGTTCAAAAGGGAATATAGGAAGCCTTCTAGAAATACAATCCTTCGCCAATTCAACGTAGGAATTCGCTGGGTAGAACAAAGGAATCTCTTGTACATTGAAAGTAGAGAATACTCTGATTAGTAGCAAATGCGCAAAATTTACCTATTCATGCCCCCCTTCCTAGATTGTACCCTTCCGTCTCATTTATCCAAACAGTAGATCATCATGTAGATATCTACATTTAGCTAGGTAAATATTGACTTCCGTGAGCCTCACTTGTAGTGGCCTAAAGGGGTCTGTTGTGGGATCGTCGTTTGGCCCATCGAAAAAGGGGGTTCGAACGATTACACATTACTAGATAACGAAGATCAAATTTCAAGTGCTTACTTACATAGTACAAGACTACCTACTAAGTGCGATCAAAAGCACTCGGTAATACCCGTAATTCATCGAGTAATAGGCAGCATAGCATATATTCAACAGCTATATCTACCTGCCTTGTATGCTACCAGACAACCCTGAAGGGCATCCGTCTCCAACACATTCTTCACTTCACTCCGGCGACCCGCACTCTCGAAGTCCTACTTCATTACCATCAGCCTAGGATTCTCGTTTACCTACCGACGTCCTACCCATACCTATACCTGACCTAGCCTACCTAGGAATAGCTACCCGCATTACATTAAGCTCACATTAAACTATCGACTAAACACGTAGGAAAGACGTGGCGGAGGGGACGTTCGTCGTCTTCGTCTTCTTGCAAAAGGTTTACCAATTCTGGCCGATTATATGTATCTACTCTCACCCCCACTCTCCCTCCCACTTTGGTCCGCACACCCTGCTTTGCTTTGCTTGCCTTCTCTCTGCACGTCGCGAATTCAACTCTTCCCGGATCTTTCTTCCTTATATACACAGGCGACGGCAGCGAGAAAAGCGCGCGTCAAACCCCAAATGAATCCGCCTCCCCGCCTCCCCGCCTCCCCGCCTCTCCTCCCTCCTCCCCTCGAGAGCTCTCGTCTCCTGCATGCTAGCGCGCGCGAGTATGCTATTCGCAATCCCTTCCTGAATCTCTTTTTGCAGAACGCCTGTGTGAAAAATCATTGGCCGCCTAATGAGAAGAATCTGAATTCAAACACGGGGGAAGAAAAAAACAACAAGAAGCGGAAAACAAGACACAAGAAAGGAAAAAATTGTGAAGTGATGAGAACTCCGACAAAACCATCTATCGTGGTATCGACAACTCTCGATGTGAGGCGGATCGGATCTCTGATTAGATCGGATTACTCCCCGAGAGTGACTAGACTGTGACATGTGCGTTGTTCTGTTGCGATCTCGACTTGGGGAAGAAGTCTGGACGCGGGAAAATGTAGAATCTTCGGACCTTCTGACCTTCTGGCCAACATCGTCATCTCGTCGTAGAAAGTCCTTCCTCACTCCATGCACCCCGTAACGCCAACTCCGTCGCAAATGTAAAAGGGAAAAAAAAGTGTAGACAGACCATTCCGAAGACTCGGGTCGATGATCCAGCTGAGAGAAATCACAGCAGTGTCGTACAGTTCGTTTGAGATCGTACTGAAGCACAAAGTGCTTAGGATATCACATTGAACGAAGCCAAAAGTTAGAGTACCGCACTATCTTACAAAGCTCGCCATGGATGTTGGGTTGATACTCTTCATTCATGTTCGTGAATATTATTATCCTTGTGATGGGCGAAAGCTGCCTTGAAGGATTTGCCACGGGTTCGCCTTCGTATCCGACTGACAATACCCTCACTTGGTGGTTGCGAAGAATCGGGACCGGAACGAGTAGATTCGAATCTACTCAACATAGCAGCCGAAGTGAAATCGTTAGACATTTCGTAACTCATCCGAACCCGATCCATCGAAGCCCGCATTCGATCATAAGAAGGACGAACACGATCGCAAGATTGACGTACCGGAGGATCCGGAGCCGGATCCACGGGTTGCATTACGGGCACGTCAATGGAGGGCTCATGTCTCGTGTAATTAGTACCGTCACTACCGTTCTGACTGCGAGCGTTATGCCCGACAACAGATTGCGTTGCAACCGAAGGCGGATAGATAGGTCTAAGATCTTCATCTACACTCGCAAATTGCTTATGCCGTCTGTGTCGGGAGGACTCTGACGAGTGTGAGGAAGTTGACTTTGCCACAACCTCACTTTCATCTTCCTTCTCTATTTGGTCGAATTTACCCATGGCAACCTGCTCCCGAATAATGTCCACGTCGCGAGGAATGAAGACTTTACGAAGAGCTTTGACGGCGTAACGCGGAGCTAGCGAAATGATAGGAGTAGCAATCAAACAGGCCCAGAAAGAAGCTTCGGCATAAATCTGTGGAGCAGCGCCATAAAACGTACCCGAATACGTGAACGAACTATAGACGCCGGTCCAGAAGAATATTAGAAGGTCACTGACGGCGATGATCAACAAGGTAAGCCAATCCCATCGGTAGGTGTTGATGAGAATGTAGAGGTTGATCGTGATGACGGATTGATGAGCAACATAGGCGCCTAGCCGGTATCGATCGCCTATATCCAATCCGTTGGCGGTGACGGCCGAAGTGGGGGCAAAGGTTAGGTACGCGATAAAGAAGCTCATCACACTTTGATAGGCACCATCGATCATGTACATCCTGCGTCTAATTAGCATATGAGATCAAGATACAAGGGAATAAGATATAATTACCAAAACTTGTGCTGAGTCCATTCAAGGCGCTCAATGCCGCGTCTGTAAAGTTGAGGAACAGCCAGAGAGACCGCGTCAGACACGTCTTGGTCGAGGACACCGATGACGATTGGAGGTACGGAGGTGAAGATAAGGTTAAAGAGAATGATGTAAGTGTACTCGTAGAGATATGTGATGTCGAAATTGCAGAAGCATTGGAACCAAAGAATGCTCAAACACCAGACCATATTCTTGTAGAAGAAATTGGCGATCGCTTCAGCCATTCTTCTGTACGACCAACGACCATGCACCAGAACAAGTCGTTGTAGGAATCGAAATTGGCCAATGGCATAATCTGCAGACATGACAGCTTGGCGACCTTCTACACCAGCAATACCCACGCCAACATCCGCTTCCTGGATCATGGCAACATCGTTGGCGCCATCTCCAATGGACAACGTCATGACATCGAGACCATTCTTGACCATAGATACGACCGAAGCCTTTTGGGCAGGGCTGACACGACAACAGAGAACCGATGCGCATTGCTTGCAAAGAAGCAAGAACTTCTGCTTGAGCCTATCGTTCAGCACCCACCTCAACGTGAACCCGTCAATTACCAGAGCGTGGGTCGGTGCAGGGGGTTCGTGGTTCTTTCTGGCGAGGATCAGATCTTCATCACTGCCACTAATACCGAACGTCCTGAGATGCTTGTCGAGTTCCTCGTCGATCTGGCTGAGGAATACGTCGTCACTAGTTTTGCCACTCTCATCCTCCTCTAATTTGAGGTTAATCAGTTCCATATCGTTGTTCAACAGGTTACATGAGAATCCGATGTTGATAGCAGTCTCGACCTTGTCCCCGGTCAACACCCACAGCTTAATACCAGCGCGGCCAAGCAATTCGATAGTATCAGGTACGCCATCTTGAAGTCGGTCCTCGATAGCAGTACCACCCAGTAGAGTAAGCTCTTGTTCGATCTTGTCTGCGACTAGCTCCAATTTTTCTTCTCGTTCCTGCATGGCAGTGGCGGCCTTGTCGTGCTCCTTGCGCCATTCCAGATATTCTTGCTCGGATAGTACACGTTGGGCTATGCATAGAGTTCGTAGACCTTCCCGGGCGAACATCTCGAGATGCTCGGCGGTAGTTTTGCGCAGTTCCGCCTGCTCTCCGCGCTTGAGACGCGAGTAGATGATGCTGTCCGCACCTTTGCAGAACAGGATAATTCGGCCATCAGGCATTTTAACGATAGCACTCATACGTTTTCGGCTGGAGTTGAATTCGATCGTGTTGAGGATCGGGTAGTGTACTTCTTCTCCCATCACATTCAGTTTGATGCCATCGCTCGTCTGCGCAAGGACAGTGAATCCCATGTCACGAGCAGTTGATACAAGAGCTGCCTCATCTGGGGACTGGGCCTTGAACTCGATCTTCGGAGGGTCACCAGGGGAATGTTCTGCGATGACGGTATGACAGAGAGCCAACGCTAGCATAAAATGCGCGTTTGCTTCCTTTTGTTCCTCACCAGATTCTCCCCGCAGGTCGTCGACAAAGTCAGGCGCGATGAACGTTACATCATCGTCGTGTAAGTACGGATTGTTATGGATCTTCCTCAGCCCTTCCAACGCATGTATCTTTCCAGCGGCAATTTGTTCCCTAGCTTTAGCAGCTTCCTTGGCCACGTCGATACCCAAGCGCTTCTGCATGCCAGCTTGCGCCTCGGTGTAGGCTTCTCCATACGGCTGACCATTAATCGTAGCCTTCTTGAATTCCATGACGTTTTGCGTGAGGGTTCCAGTCTTGTCCGAGAAGATATACTCTATCTGGCCAACATCGTCCGAAATGTTCCATGACTTCGGAACACAAGGATAGTCAATCTTGTCGTAGTACATCTCGACATCGCTGTAGATGAAGATAGCCTGCAGCGTTCGCACAATTTCAAGCGAGATATAGAGGGAGATCGGGACGAAGTTTTGAAAGTTGATAAGCGCGGCCCAGAAGGTGATAAATCCGGTCATACCGGGCGTACCACCAACAGAACCGTAGTCAAACCAAGCAGTCGATGCATCGCTCTTGGCCCACGAGACTCCGTTGACAACGGCACAGAGGAGACACAATACACCGAGAATACCGAAGTTGCACACAACATTGAAATTGAGCTCTCGTGCGATACGAGCACGTTTGCTCGGCGTAATACCCGCGTTCATCATGATCTTGGTATCGTGACCGGTAAACATGACGATACCAAGAACCCATTCGGTGTTTCTTAAGTTGCAACCACGGAGAAGCATGTTGTCGATGGTTATCGGCTCCGACATTTCCTTAGGACCATGCGGCAACATCTGCTCCCATTTGATAGCACCATTGTATTTGTATAAGTTGGGCTGAGGAGGCTCGCTCTCGACGCAAAACTGAGCGCGCTCGCAATCCCTGGCATGCTTCAACGTTCGTCCACATCGAAGCGCTTGGCGAACCTTCAAGTTAGTTTCTCCATCCAGATTCTTTGTCTCTACGTAGCATGCGCCGTCTGAATCGGACGTAGAGAGGACAATGATATCCGCAGGAAGTTCGTCATCATTATAGAGTCGCACAAAATCGCCGACCTGCAAGTTCTTCCAGTGATCCTTGTGAAATCTAGCATTGCCCGTAGGCGTCATCTCGTGGTTGATGAGATCGCCCTTGACTCTAGCGATCATCTCCACTTCGTCTGGGTTGTACGATTGGCCGGAGGTCGGGCGCTCGGTGACCTCAAGAAAATCTTTCTGGGGAACAGGAGAGTGAGGCGGGAGAGGGGACGTAACCGGCGTCATCTGGATGTCTTCGTATGCAGATACATAGGATGTCCTATCGGTACGAGGGGACAGCATAGATTCGCGACGTGTCGCCTTAGTTTCGACGGAAACACGCGGATCCCCCGAAGGCTCCAACATATCCTTTTTAGCGTCCTTCTTCCAGATGCTTTGAATCAAACGCCAGAATGCTGCCATGTTTCTAGATGTAGCCTTCTTGATCTTCCTCCATAATGAGACATTATCCGCGGTAACATTGACATTGTCCCACCCTACTAGGCGATGAACGGGTGCATTATTCAATTCGTTGTCGAGAATCGTCCGGCGATAATCTTCAATCGCGTCTTTGACGGCTGTCACGGCTATGATGAATATCAAAGGCACTGCGTTGAGTCCAGGATTGACTCCTCCGAAAATGGGAAAGATCTAAACAAGGAATTTGGTGAATCCTCTACGAAAAATAGGATATGGGTTTAGAAGGAAATACTTACCACAAGGATAACCATGAAAAGGAAGAATATGTTGGCGATATTGTGGAATTGGAACCACAAATTCTTAGGGATGAAAGACAATGGCGTATATTTAGCGGTCCGGATCTTGTTCCTGGCGTATGTACGAATAGGAAGTCCCTCGTCGTCTTTCAACTCGTCAGGCAATGGTAGATTGAAATATACCTGCCTCCCTTCCCCGTCATCCGTAGATGATGTCGTGCTCTTAGCATCGGACTGCTCATTCTGATCGGTCGCGGTGGCGCTATCGTATTGAGTGTTGTCTTCCGTGGATTGACTGCCACCTGAATGGCGTTTCTTTTCCGTTGAACCAGTCGACTTGTGTATTCGGTCCATGAGGGAAATCCTCTTCAATCCACCGCTCTTGACGGTGAGTTTTCGAGTCGCCCATCTCGATCTGTTAGTCTTGTCGACCGGATCAATCTCGTCGTCAGCTTTCGCCATTTTGGGGGAGTTGCGGGCAGAGCCCGATCAACCCGACGTGTCCGCCAGACTGGCCCTTCGTGGCCACGATTCGCTCGTTGAAAACCGTCGAGGTCCTAATTAGCAGTAAAAGGAGAAAGCTTGGTCAATTGGATGCAATCGCGCCGGGGTCGCCAAAATGGTAGAAAAGGAAACGTCGATTGATATCGTCGTTACGGCTGAATTGTCAGCGCAGGTTTGCATCGGAGAGAAGGTTGGTGACTGCTCGTTTGCTGGCTTCCCTTGCTTGATACTGGGTGCGGCGATCGTGTTGTTGATGACAGTAAGGACAGAATGGAAAGGGAACAATGGAAGTTTTTGATTGATCGCTACCGTCGGAAGGGCCGGGGGTATAAGGTACACCGAGCACTGTACTGGCACTGTAAATCACGGGTTGCTAGGGAGTACACAATCGTTACGCGTATCAGCACCTACTACGTATGTACCTGCCTATTACTCTCTCCGAAATGCACTAAAAAGTTCACTATGATCTCGGCGGTAATAGGGGAAGCAGCCAAAGACATTGGCACAATTTTATGCACTTCCAATTGAGTGCACACATGGTAGAAAGGTACATGCCTACATAAGTACCTATATATATATATAAATATATATACAAGTGTACCTGCTTATTGTCGTTCATTCTACCTATCTATCATCTACTCAGATACCTAAATATCCTCTAACTAATCTTCTTCCTTTCTCAATATAATTATTGTTGGCTCATACATATTGATATCTTATATGCCTGAAAGTATTTCTTTATGAACTTATCTGATTATTATCATGATATGAACTCCTTCAACATTTCAAGGTCATGACAACGAAGTACTTGACAAATGTATTCCAAATTGGTTACGAACCGTCCTTCCCACTTCTTTTGTGGAGTTCCAGCCTGTTACTTTTGCTTTATAATCGGAACTGCACTGTGGCACCATCACAATTAGGGAAGTACTATTACTAGCATACCCTTGTACCACCAAGAAAATGCCTCTAAGGAGTTCCCAGCCCAGCGTAACTTGCTTAACCAGCCAAACTTGCTGATCTTGGTTGAGATTGTTTTGTTATGCAGGATGCTTGTATACTAATATGTACCTATGAATCCTCACAATGCTACTGCGCAATCATTGGGTATCTTTATATTTAGGTATGGGATACTTCATAAATAAAGTTCTTCGAAATCCAACACGCAGGCAACTTATTTAAACATCTCGTCGGATCTGAGAATTTGACCCAGACATATCGCTCTACTATATCCATTCATACCTCATTAATTAGTGCCCCGCGTACAGCACGCGTCCGGTGGCATACAGAGCATTCCTAGGACCTAAATACACTGCCCAGGTCATGTATTCTACCCAATCTTTGCGGCTGAATTCGGTAAGTGCCCCTCGGCAACCCTCCGAGCTGACCTTTAAAACCCATAGAAACCCCTTGAACTCGCACAACATCGTTACAGCGCAGCAGCGTGGGACCTGATTGACTTCCGTTTACGAAAAGAGCCATTGAATGATTCCATAGGCTTTTCTCGACCCAAGCATCTTAATTACACCATGTCTTTGCGCGCTTATATGGATATAGGGATTCACGAGCATTGCGCAAATGGGTATAGCTGTCGTGTCTAGCATCCGCACCGTCAGACGCTACTCGATAGACACGCACTATCTAGGTGTTTGTGTGGGTTACCGTCAAGGCCGCCTGCGTAGATTCCACGTAACCGCCTGTTAGCGGCAACATGATGTCAAAACACAAGAGCTCCGCCCTCGCGGGAAAGGCCATGTGCGACCTACCCTCTACCCGGTCTCATATACCAAACAAGATCCAGGAGATTATCTGTTACACCAACAACAGTGGCGAAGTCCTATTCCCGTGCGGCCAAGGTTGGTGAAGAATATTCTAGCTGTTAGCTGCGCCTTTAGCCTAGGCTTCTTTCTCAATTAAGGGTCAATTACTTTATTTACTTTTATTTTCTTTTTCTTTAGAATGCCTCTAAGGTGCTTCGCCGCAATATAATAAATTTGATAGCTGTCCTTACCTACCTATTCGCTCCGCTCAGTTTCCCCGTCCCTGTGAAGAAATCTGGGTCACAAACGCACATCATCGATTTTTCAAGCAAGTGGTATCGGGGGCACAGATGGGGGTGTCCTATGTAAGAGATCCTTCAGGAGTTGCGACTCTGACCAACCAGCGTGCGTCGCTTATTGCAACATGTTGTTGCTAATATATTAAGCACATAGGAAACATGAAGGCCTAACTCCCAGCAAGCACGTTATGTTGGAGAGACTAGACAAATTATCAAGAGCATGATACCACCAACCCTCGAGTCAGGGTCGTAAAGAATACTTCACTAGGTACCTACCGCATAGTAGCTGACAAATTGAAACCCGCCATACTTCGTAACGAAAGGCTAGACTGTACTGCATAAGTCTTGTAAAACCTGCATACTCGGTGTCGGACTTCAAATCCCCAATTCAATCTATTTAACCCCGAACAGGCCCCGAAGTAGCGGATCCAATCGCCCTATGAGATTCAGTTTACCAGGGCCACCAGGTAGGCTTTACGATACCGGTACAGTTCGAGGATCACTGTATGATCCGGGTATCCGCCAAGCCTAAGCAGATCTCTAATAAAAAGGCCCTCGAGGCGAGAGAGGTAAAACCGTTCGGGTGCAGCGTTACATGTTCCCGTCGCCCCTAGAACGCTCAGAATATACTCCATCTGACAAGTTATCTGACAATCTGAATAAGACAAGGCTTTAGAATTCCGTCCGAATATCGTGGCGATGCAAAAGCAGCCAACGTTTGATGGGCGTTGCGTCACTTTCGTCAGATTTTAGCATTCATCTTACAACCAAAACAAGAGATGCACAGCAGAATTCGCGGAGTACATAAGCGCAGTGACGATTGCCGATTCCCGTCTTCCATTTCTTAAATTAGACCACTCGTACACCCATTCATCATCCTCTACATAGTACATAGATGTAGGTATTCTGTGCGTAAGTACGTAGATGCGTCTGATGTATTGACCTAAGACAGTTTATATATTCAGCCTCACAGCCCAAGCAACCAGGAATTGCATTCAAAGACTTGTGTATCTAATATGACACCATTTACTACCTAGTCTTGTTAGTAGTAGGCGAGTAGATATGAAAAACGAGGCTGTTGGTTTACCTAGCACCATCTCCACACCATTCACCTGCCTGCCTGCTAAGGCAGTACCCCTATTTTCAACGCTAGAAATATTCCGTGATGATCGTCAATATTAATGGATTTGAGGATTGCTTATAGCCTGCACTGCGACCTGCACTATTTACATATCACCTAAGCCTTAGGCGCCTGGCATTCAAATCTGTCCTTTTTATCAATTGCGTTGAGAAGAGATTGTGAGATGCGGTGAAGGATTATGTTCTTGCCTTCCAGCCTTCTCACCTATCCCATCAACCCCCTCTACTCAACTGATGTTCGTTCAAAGACAAGAGAAAGGTGATGGATCTTGGAACTGCCTAGTATGTACCGTAGAATAGACGAAAGAGGCACATCTGGTTCGCAAGTTACCATTCCGAATGGGGTTCCCCTTTTATCCTTGGCTCATTAAGACTTTCCAGTGAAGATACCCAATTAAGTTAGTCCACACGTTCTTTGCTGCAAATCAAAAGGGATTAACTTAATTTTGGGGCTTTTGGGGAAGTGACCAACACCGTCTGCCATGGCCTGCCACGGTTTGAGAACGGCCCCACATCTGTGCGACGCGTTCTTAGCCTCTAGAGCGTTCGTCTGCCAAGGATTACCTTAACCTTATTAAAAGTTTAGTTTAATAGTACATACCTGGTTCGGAAGTGAGGGTTTCGCAATGAGAAATCAATATTCGTTCTAGCCAATCCCAAGAGAATCCCATCACAGATCTGTATGTACCAAAATTAATTACGTGGAGTGTGTATATTTTATATTCGATGTCCCGAAACGGGGATATCAGGGGTTTCTTCGGCAAGCCTTCCGGCCGGAGTAGCACTCAGTCTCTACCGGTTGCCAGCTCGTCTCCGCCGGTGCTAGATCCGCAATCGTCAATTTCAACCCCTAGGACCCCGAAATCCACACCGAAGCCTAGAGATCGGACCGATGAAATCAAAGGGTCCGATGATGAGGACGGCGATTCGGATGGCTCTCTCGAGTCAATCACCGCTTTCATTGAACGGAAACATGGTCCTAGTCCCTACCAAAGAGATACAAATCTAACTTCTCCAAAAGCTAAGAGAATAGCTACTGCTTCAACGTCCTACCCCAAGTCTCCCTTGACAATACAACCCAAACACAAGTTTGACCTGAAATACTTAATAGACCATGCCCGGCAGTCTGACCGAGCGGAGGAAAGTGCCAGGAAGGCTGATGAACTCATCAACCAAAGCGAGGATGACGAAGATGAATTTGGCCAACTCTTGACGGAGGTGCAGAACGACCCGTCACTGTTGCAGAAAACAGCTAAGGAACTCCTCGATAACGATGAGGAAGATACTAGGGGCGACAAGCTTATGAGAGCTATGAACCGCACCAAAGTAGACGGGTCTCGCAGGGTGTGCTACTTCTTTAACCTGGAGCAACCCCTATTAAAGCCTCCTAGGAAACCATTTCCTCAAAAAAGAGCAACAGGAGCCTGGCGCTGTCTCGCCGACTCAAGCACGCGAGACCAATCCGTCATATTCGGGTATCCACATTCTATCGTCGATAGAGGCGGGAAGATCCCGGACGAGATTTTCCTCTGGATCCTGGATGAGCTCTGCGTTGAGAAGAATGCTCAGCTACGCTCGCAATATGTCAATTTGTTGGTTTGGTGTCTAGATAGCATTCCCCGCCTCGTCACCACCGCGCGATTATATTATATGCTAGAGAAGCTAGGCGGTCCCAAATACTCTCAAAAGCAAGATCATTCCAAACTTCAAAGCTTTCCAAGGGTAGAAGACCCGTATCCTCAGAGAGACTGGTCAGGCCTTGTCACTTTCTTAATACTTCTAGACCGGATGGCTCGGAGCATGAGCACGGAAAGTGTAATAGGAGCCATCAAACTATTGCTGCGTATGGCTCTAGACCCCCTAGTAAGCACTACGGTTCGTCCTGAGCATGCTGAGGCGATGGGGTCTCTTGTCGAAGCTCTTCCGAAGCATGGCACGAACGAATGGGATGAGGCTGTAAGTTCCGACCCCTTTTCTGCCTATTTCACATTCGCAAAACTAACAATAGAGAAGTGCGAGACCATATCCTTATATTTCTACGAAATCGTAGACGGTCCCGGCAATCACGTAATTCCTATAAGCTACATGCCCAATACCGGCACCAAGCAGCTCGACCTACGACGACGCATGGCAGCCGTAGCGTTCTTCCAGGACACCTCGCTAGGCCGCAAACCAGTCGACGAGGCTCTAACACTAGACGCTCTCACAGACCGGCTCGAGTCGCCGGACTTCCGCATCAGCCAAACCACCGACTTCGAGGCGCTACGCGCTCTCGTCACGCTCCTGGACATCGTCCTCGGCAGCGGCGGTTTCATCATGAAGCAGTACACGTCCTCTGCCACCAACGCCAACGTCAACGCCGGCTCCGACACCCAAGACGGAGTAGAAGACAGGGACGCGGGTCGTAAGTTCGACGCCGACATCGACGGCCTGACGTTCCGGCTCAAGATCATCCACGACAAGATCCACGACAGCACGCTGCTGTCCCGCAAGGTGGCCAAGGCGTCCATCGACTTGGTCGCCAAGCGATTGACCTACGCCGTGCGCACGCGGCCCCCGCCCAAGACCAGCATCTTCGACCCCGAACCCAAGGAGGATAGAAACCTGCCGAAGCAGAGGGCTTTCATGAAGAGCTGGGCGCAGAAGAAGGCGGCTAAGAGCGCTGATTCGTTAGCTAATGGGAACGGGGGCAGTGGCGGCTGAGGTGGTGATGAGAGGTAGGGGGGGTCGAATGTGATGAGTTAGTGTGGTTTAAATAGAATGTTGGGAACACAGAGTGTGCAAAGTGCAGAATAAATTGGTGGTTTATTGATGTGTTGGACGTCCTGCAACGCCTATGATATACAGACAAGCAGCCTTTCTAATTTGAGTTACTACCAAGAGCACGGGCTAGCTAGGTAGTTCAGCCAGCCCTACGCCCGAATGCAACTACCCCTTTCAAGAGACTTCCCACAGGTTAGGATAATAGTATGACACACTGCCCAAACACACGATCTTTCTCTCTCCCCCGTCTTGCTGAGACGTCCAGCGTTTGTTGGTTTTGTGATTTCTTTGCGTGTTCGCGGATGAGGTTGGAATCTCGGGATGAGGATGAGAGCAACCTTAGTCGTAGAACTTTCGGTTGGGGTTCTTGCCGAACAGCGTCTCTCGCATGGCGGGTAGACCGCTAGATTGTAGAAGGAGGAGCCTCTCGTCGAAGGTGTTGTTGATCTCGATCTTTCCCTGGCCACCTACGATTGCGAGGCCACCGGAGCTGTGCGGATTATATCTCGTTAGCAATTCATGAACCTAGTCTTCGACAATCAAGTCATTACGGCATTATGAAAGATGTTGGTACTCACCAGCCCTCAGCCAACGGATTCTCTTCGTCGATAGTAACAGTAGTCGTCTTGCCTATAGTCTTCTTATACTCCTCCTCCGCGTCCTTAATAGCCTCTTTCACAATATCATAATCGACCTTCCTAGCACGGACCTGGATCTCGCTCTCGGCCAGAGCGTACAAGCCCTCCAGCAACAAGTTCTTCAGGGTGACGCGGTACTTAGCGGGGTCCTTGGCGCCGTCGGCCAGCCTCTTGGAGGCGGCCTCGAAGATGTCGTCGAGCAGCTGCTGGCGGGCGGCCAGGACCTTCAGGCGGGTCTTGTTGGCGACGGTGGACCGCGTGATCTGCTGCGACATGGCGGCCTGCTTCAGCTTCTTGGCGTGCGCGGCGTCGATGGCGTCGGTCTCCTGGCGCACGAGCTTGGACTTCTCGATGCTGAATTCCTCGTTCGCCTTGATCTCGATCTCGCGCGCCTTCTCGAGGGCTTCTTGCTTGATGAACGCCGTCATCTTGCGGAGCTCTTGCCCGACCTGTTTTGAGAGGGGGTGTATCCATTAGCACGTTGTTTGTTATAATAGACTCGAGACATAAGTATCGATCTTGTTTTTGGTGAGACATCGATCGAGTGCGTAGGACTGTTTACCTGGTCGTCGGACAAGGCGTGGACTTGCGACATCTTGAGAGGAGTTTGAGGTGCGTATATTAAGTGGTTGGAAGCTTGAAAGGAGCGAGATGGGAGTCTCTCAGCAAGACGTTTTAAGCAATCCGCCTGATGAGAGTTATTTCTAAGGTAGCCAAATGTCAGAAAGATGTCGATTGTAGGTTGAGAGAAGGTAGTGGGTCAAGATAGCTTCTTCCGCAGCGGCCTGTTAAACGTTGGATTCCGGTGACATCTATCAACCAGACGTTATGTACAGTTACAGAAACCCAGTCGTGGAGCTGCATCAATCAATGTGGGTAACCCCAGCTACCTCATTTCAGTTTAGGGTAGATGTACATTATGTAATGTATACAGCTTCACCAGCCACAGTCTTTGATCATTAGACCCTTGCGCTTGCCCTTGCTATCTGGGACATCCATAGCACATGTGGCTAGTGAGACAGGTACCTAATCTTAGCTCCTCGCAGAATTCGCTGCAACATTCAACGCCACTGGCGTAACACCACAGCAAGACCACAGGCAGTATACTCCAACAGCCGAAGTCTGGTGTCCCCTGCAGAATGACTTGATTTAGGTACTTGATGACTTGGTGTCTGATCAGTGACCACTGACAGCGCTGGCACTTGATGCTACCGCGTTTCAGTCCATTGGAGGTGCTTGATTGATTAGTTGCTTTGTTGTTTCTGCTACTACAACGATACTATAACAGTTTGGGTATAATAACAAGGTCAAGCCAGGACAGCGTCGTATAGATCTTCGTCTCATTGCTTCGTTGTCCCGACCCCGACATCCCAATTCCCAATACAGCCGTCAGGCTTAATGGGGAATCTAGGGTGACCTTTGGAAATCTTGAAGCAATTACCTCATTACCTCAGACCCCTGGAATAGAGTTCTGTACTTTCCGCATCTTGCACTTCAAATTTAGTCTTTGAACTTTAACCTTCAACGCTCTTGTACTTAGGTACTCTTATTTTCATTTCTAAAACACTCCATGTCGTCCATGCTCATTCAACCAACGTAATTATAAATTCATTCGATTACCAAATACACATTTCTTTGTCCCAATTGTGCCGTTGAGTAAGAGAGAAAACCGACCCGCCAATCTCAACAGATTCACACCGTCAGGTACACGAGCCTTAGAACACCGCTGCCTCTTTTTAAGCCACATCCCCCCTGTCTGTCTGTCCCTGGTCTCTGACGGGCGTCATCGAGCTCAGTTCACCGTCTAATGAACTTGGCCTTTCGAACTTCTAATTCTGCGACTTGTTAAATTCGTGTCGGACTCTGTTGCGATCACATTTGTCGACTTCTTCTTTGTTACTATCGTACTACAACAATACATTCATTTATCCCCGCTCATTTACCGAATCTAGAATCGTCCGTCTGGTACTCGAGGTGGATAGTAGGGCAAGGATTATTCGCATCCGCCGTCTCATGGGCAACCGAGGCGCTTCTTCATCTGGCAACGATCGCGGATGAGCTGACCAAACATCTGTCGCAATGGGTGTATTTGGCGACCTCTCGCCGGGAGGCACCATCGCGGTAGGTTTGAATGCTCATACTTAGGATTCCGATCATCTCATTTACCACCAATACTAATGCGATCTCCCATCATAGATTGGTATCCTAGTCGGTCTACTGTCCACGAGCGTCCAGTCCCTCGGCCTCACCCTACAGCGAAAATCGCATATGCTCGAAGATGAGAAGTATCCCCTCGAATTCCAGCGACCGGCATATCGAAGACGAAGATGGCAGCTGGGCATGGGCATGTTCGTCATATCCAACATATTCGGAAGTACCATCCAAATCTCGACCCTACCACTACCAGTCCTATCGACTTTACAAGCTGCCGGACTTGTATTCAACTCCATATGCGCTACATTAATATTAAACGAACCTTTTACGCGATGGTCTTTCTACGGGACCGCACTTGTCACCACCGGCGCTGCATTAATAGCTATATTCGGCGCGATACCCTCTCCGGCACACAGTCTAGCGGAGCTACTGGAGTTGCTTGGTAGATGGCCGTTTATTCTCTGGATGTCGCTCCAGGCTGTACTTGTTATCTCGATGGCATTGGTCATCGATCTAGTCAATCATTTCAGCAGTTTATCGCAGAATGCCAGGTTCCGGCTAGCCCGTGGACTCGTATTTGGATGCATCAGCGGTATTCTATCGGCTCATTCCTTATTATTCGCGAAATCCGCCGTCGAATTGGTCATCAGGACAATCGCTGATGGCGATAACCAATTCGGGCATTGGGAATCATGGATGCTTGTGCTTGGATTGGTCGCCCTGGCCTTGAGCCAGCTGTATTATCTTCACCGCGGATTGAAGCTAGTATCCACATCCGTGTTATACCCTCTTGTGTTTTGTATTTACAACATCATCGCCATTCTAGATGGCTTGATTTATTTCCACCAGACCGACCTCATCACACACTTACATGCAGGGCTGATTACCTTGGGCACGGTTATATTATTATCTGGCGTTCTAGCATTATCATGGCGCCTCAGCGACGAGCAGCACCCACCAGCTGTTGGGTCATCAAGTCTTACGCCAGGACTGGGACTTGTCGAAGATACAGAAGGGGAGGAATCATCTCCGACTGATACCGAATCGGCTGGTGAGGCTGGAACAGCAGTACCGCCTACATACAACACATTCGCACCGAACGGGGAGACCACACCCCTCACACCAGGCCGCAAGCCATCCAGCCGCTGGCACGAGCGCGCGCAGATATGGGATGAATTGGAAGACCAAGAAACGCCGAGGCCATCATTGAGAAATAGGTCGAGCACTTTACCTGCAAGTGCGATTGGCGAAGATACGCCACTAATGCCAGGGCGAAGAGTCATATCAGGGGAATCGACGGCGTCACTAAACGCGGTCGAAGCGGACGAATCCTCGCCGAGGAAGATGTTTAGACGACGAAGAAAGTCAACCGGATTCCCGGGTTTCACAGCACGTAAACATATACGGCGGAAGAGTTCCGCCAGTGCTGGTGTTCAAGATGCTCTGGGCGGAATTTGGAAGCTGAGGTGGTGGCGAGGGAAACAAGACGACCCGGACGTAGCGGTAGCAAGCCCACCGGGTAGCGGAAGTAGAAGTCGACTGTGGAGTCCATCGAGGCGGCAACGATATGAAGACGAGCCGGATGATGAGGGCGAGAGAAGGTCGAGACCAGGAAGTCCTAGAGGTGATGATGCTGTTTAATTAAAAGGGTTGAACTGCTAGACTTCAAATGTGCATATACCTAGGCGAGATAAAGATGGGATGCATAGGAGATACATGGGCTGGATAGCCTGGCGTTATTCGAATAATAAGACTTATTCAGCGGACATGCTGAAATATTGAGGTTATTTTGATGCCAATATGCCATTGCAACATAAATTGTCAGTCATCTCAGTGCTCTCTGTATAGCAATTGCCACTAGTATATGGATAAACAGGGTAGCCATGGGCGCAATTACGGAGATGAGATGAAGCCGAACCCTGTTGTGCCTGTCGTTACATTGCGGAAATGGTGGTCTCACCTATGTCTTGCTTACGGCGCCTTACCACATGATTAATCTAATCCGACCCCAAAGACGCAATGCACGAGGTACTGACTCGTGCGATTAGATTTTAGCAATTGTCGTTCTGCGTGATTCAAATGGTCCTACGATAGTGATGGTCTGCCGTGTTGATACGTTCCTAGATATGAGGGTGAAGATAAAATATTCTATTTTAAGTGCTTGTTACTCTTCACTTAAGACCTACATGAAACTTAATAGGAAGTTGCAAGATAGTTATCTGATTTTTGATCATTTGGAAATCCTCTGAGTTAATTACTACCGCTACTCCGAACTCGCTACGAGTCTGACGGTCTCATCCTGAATCCTGAGGCTTGAGTCCTTTTAATACTTCTACCTATACAATCACCAAGAGCAACCGGCAACAACGATCTTGTCACATGCAGGGGTATTCAGCTCTATATTGGTTGGCGTCAGATTATAGGTCGGCTCGGCATATGAGATGTATTATATCCTCTAGAAATTCGAGAAGCAGACTAGGTCAGCTCATGGATATTGCCAAGCGTAACAATAATGTAACATGATCAGACTTTGGATTGGCCTCCTTGCTCTAGGGCTGAGGCGATGTGTAAGGTACCGGCATGCAAGTAAGCAGGGCGGTCGAGTTTTGATTACCTAGTCCTAAATCGAAAGACCTGATATCCTAATTCAGATATCTTCTAAGCGTGAATAGTGTCATTAATCTAGCCAGAAGACATTACACTGCAGACAATAATTCACTTTGAACTTTTACCCTTCTACGAAATCATTAGTAAGATATTTATGTAAATGGTGATTACCAAGGCTTGAGAAGGTATTTTGGTCCTTAACAGTTTCAAATTATCACCTGCACTCCTTACGCGCCAACAGGAAGCTATTCGATATCACCAGGCATAAGGATGAGACGGCAAAGTCGTCAATTTGTAGCCTCCGCCACTTTATACACAACTACCGGTTCTCCTGGGGTTATAACTAACTAGTAAACTAATATATGGTCGTTGAATTGACCAATAATACAAAGAAGTTTCTTCGAAGGATTGAGGCTCACTCACTCTAAATGCATTTCAAATATATGTGACGGTAGCTGGTAGTCGTAGGTAGATTTGTCCTACAGATCAGATGAACCACCTGTCAAGGTATGTTCCCATATTAACCCCCAGATTCAGGGTCATCAAGTGCGCGTGGCTGACAGCCGCCTCGCCTCAAATATATTGTAACCTAACCAACACCGAGATAACGTAAGCTACCAACGACTAAGCTTTAGAAAGGGACAAGTCTATCTAGGCTATCCATAGTGAGTGAAGGGCTCACCATAGGGAAATGCCGGCATTCACGCAGTCCGGGTTCCCTTGGTGTAGGAAAATAAGCGGAATGGAATCAATAGAGTGGTCAATACTTACCATACCCAACTCCCCTTTTCGTCCAGCGCCGTCATCAAATTACCTAAATCACTCAGTAAGCCTACTGCCTAGGTCAGGGGTAAGAGAGTTTGGGAGTCTAGGACACAGGCTAGAACCTCAACAGGATCGGTACCACGGGTATGGCATATCTTCCAATCCTCGACGAAGGGAAGGGGCTCAAAGTATATGGAAAATAGTATATATAGACCATAGCAGGCACGTCTCTAGACCAGAATTTACTCTGCTCATCAGCGACTCAAGCTTCCAACTCTCATAACAAACAAGTTCTCTTCATCAAACCACTCGAACAAACTCAACCAACAAAACCTCAAACTCACAACAATCCAAAAATGGTCTCCCTCCGCAGCACCGTCCTCGCCGTCGCCCTAGCCGCGACCCAAGGCCTCGCCTACAGCGGCGACATGACGTACTACACGCCCGGGCTCGGCGCCTGCGGGAAGTACAACACGGAGTCGGACCACATCGTCGCTTTGGCACCCGCCCAGTACGGCTACGACGCCAACCCGAACAACGCGGCGGTGTGCGGGAAGACGATCAAGATCAGCTACGGGGGCAAGACGGCCACCGCCACCGTCGTCGACAAGTGCCCCGAGTGCGCCTCGGGCTCCATCGACGTCAGTCCGGCCGTGTTCAAGGAGCTCGCGAGCTTGGATAAGGGACGCGTTAAGGTTACTTGGAGCTATGCCTAAGCGATATATGGAAGATGTTGGCTAGGGGCGAATTTGTGAGGGGTGGGGTGGTTGAAGGGGGGGATGTTGGATGGAGATGATGGATGTGGTTGAAAAGGGGTACACGAGCAGACGAGGGGTGTTGAGATGAACATAGACGGGGTGGGATGAGGTGGAAGTTTGGAGGACATAACCGAAAAACACATTCGCTTCCTAGTAGATACTTCTTATTGTACATACATACATACACAAATCAACACGTTAGCCACTCAGCATTCGATCATAACGGGACGATGTGTGATGTGACGTCCCTGAGGACCTTTCTAAGATAATATATCTAGGACCAGTCCGCCGGTCTACGATGGGTATCTATAGGACGTCCCTCAATGTAAGGAGATGAGAATACCTTTTAAGTCCTAAAGTCTATCACACAGTGTACAGACTCTTGAACCAGCCTACTATGCCCCGGGAAATGCCGACCCCGTCATAACGCCCAAAATGTGATCATACGCAAGCCTGACCCAATTCTCTAATAGAACATTCCCCGTATAGCTCATTATCAAGCGTCTCACCACCATATTTTCTTCTTCTCGGCCTCTTGCTTCTTCATGTTAAGCCGTCTTAACATTTCCCGATTACGGGGGTCCAAAAGTCCTACGTTTCCTTCGTCGTGGAACCAGTGGTACCCGTTATCGCTGCCTTTTATGCTGTCGGTCTGCATTTTGACGCGCTGGACCTTTCTAAGTTTAGCCAAGCCGTACTTGCATACCCAAAGAGAGAACAAGATAGAGGCGCCCGTGACGGCCGCAAAGCCCCAGTGTGTCTCTTCGATAAAATTCTCGAGGTTCATGCCGTAGAGACCGGCGATGAATGTACCCATAGCTAGACCTAGTGTTCCGACGCTGAATTTTAGATCTAGGAGCATGAGAGAGTTGCGGTTGGCATCTAAGATTGCCCGAATACTATTATTATTAGTTTGATATTGAGTGGTCTTAGGTAGGTGATTAATTAACTTACATTTCTTCGGTGTTCCGAATGCTTGACACTAGATTCTGCGCCTCTTGGACGATTTCGTCGCAGAGTTTATGATATGACTCTAGGAGCATCTCGACTTCGGTGTGGTCGTCGAGTTCGCGATGGATCTCGTGTGTTTTCTCGGTCAGGTACATATCGGCCAAGTCGTCGTCTGCTTCAAGGAGTTCCTCGATAGCGTCTCGGACAAGCTTGGCCTTCTGTTCAAAAGTGCTCACTCGCTTGGATAGAACGAGAAGAATTCGCAACTTGTGTCGATCTATGTCGTCCTCAAGCTCGCTCAATATACGGATTACCGGATCGCGAACCGCCTCGAAATCTGCCTCAAGTTCTTGGGTGACGGATTGCAGGACGGCTTCTAGAGCGCGGAACTCGTATGGTAGGCCGCCGTTTCCAGGCACTTTCTGCTGAAGCTTGCCTTGTAGATCGTACATGAACGCCGACTGGGGATAAGATGCCTTGGAGCCGTACGCATCGAATAGTAAGACCCGGTTGTACTTTATTAACACTTTTAAGTGTAGTAAGTTAAGCAAGATAGCGGTTGGTCGGACGAGGATATGTGGTAAGTTGGAGGAATCGATCTTGCGTAGATCTCGAGGTAACAAGCCAAACTATGTCTGGTCAGTTACCGTCTTTCTTAGAGGTCTTATGTGATCTAGGTATAAGGTGGACAAACCCTTGCGATGAGCTCGCTCTTCTTAAATTCGCCATCTACCAATATGGCGTTGCCATTTTCGTCGACTTCGGTACATCGCAATCTCGGCTCCAAGGCAGCTTTCTGACTGAGCTGCCGTCGCATATTGAACATGGAATTATTATCTGGGCCTCTGTCTGAGTCGTTGGGAAGGTCATCCGGCTCCAATGGTTTGCCCTCCTTCTTTGTACCAAAGCCCCAGAGTTTATCTCTCCACGTCGACTGGCATTTTGTTGGGGGTCGGGTTGAGGAGCTATATCGCAGGCCTATATTTGGCAAGAAGTATGGAAGATTTCTCTGGCGAACGCCTCGTGAGGCTTGGTTACCGCGCGATTGTATGAGCAAATCCAAATCTAACATGCCGGCTTGTAATGACGTATTTTGCGAAAAGTCCATGGTACAATCTACCCGTGGAGGACTCTTCTGGGGTCTTCTGGTCGCGCATAGAACCTTACGCGCCGCCTGGCCAAGGTTCTTACTACTATCATGGCTCCAACTGAAAAAGCTAAAGCTTTCCGATTGTAGGCGAAGGAATCTGAGGAGCCTGGGAGACGGCACTAGCGGATGTAGCGAGGTCATCGTGAAAGGTCTTCGGCAGTGAGATGATATTCGTGTTTGTTAGCAAAGTTGAATTGAATCGGATGCCATTATTCCTTTAGGAATTATACACGGTATGCGTGATGTTCGATGTAATAGTCATGCGCGCAATTTCTCATGTTGAAATATCTATTCGAAATAGAAATAGTCTGGAAAATTAGTTCGCCTGTAAAAGCTTCAATTTTCGGACTTTACACTTATCTATCGCGATAAGGTTCAGTTTAGACCATCTGAACCCGCTAATTCGGTCCGCTTGGTTCCCGGCTGATTGGATCATTGGGCAGATACCTCTGTACACAGTATGATCTAATTTAATAGGCCGAAGATATTCCATAAATTCAATTCATCCAGAATTTAAGTACCTAGGTACCGAAGCACGCTTTAGGTTGAGGCTTCATTTTTATATCAAATTCTACACTGACACAATCAACCCTCATGTTTGCTTCTAAACATTCGCACCTGGCAAACGTGTACAGTGTCGGATGACAGTAATGAATTTGATCAGACAACTGTCATTATACAGTACAAAAGAAACTTATTCAATATGCAATGGCCTGTGCATCCCATATATATAATGAGTCAACCATATTCACTTAGGTAATCCAGATTCGTCAACGGCCCGTGTTCTGCACGAACGGTAGGTATTTCATTCCATACCCTACCGTACCTACTTCTAGTTCCTGTTGTCAACACGGAATTCTACTACTTTATCACCAACTCTCTCATCACCAACGAAATTAGCAACGTATCCATATGAAGCTAACGCTTTCACCCTAAGTTAACCGTTGATTATGAAGTTGACCCCGTTGAAGATTCCTGGCAAGCGCTGCCAGAAGGACGATAACAACCCTGTCGCTGTCACGCCACGCAAGAGAGCTAAGTTAAAGTCCAAGTCGAAGTCACACCTCCAGAAGTCCGCTGAGGAAAATGCATCTTACCTTGAACTCATGCCGCTGGAGATAGTCGAGCGTATCTTTTGGTTGAGTGAGAATGTGAATCTTCCCCGTGCTAGTCCTCGGATTGGACGCCTTTTGTCGGGATCATTTACTCGACAAGAGACTTTCATCATCGCTTTCGAGCCTACTTGGGATGCCTGCCTTGGTATCGTGTGCCCTCGACGCGGCTTTGCTCCTTGGATGATCACTGTCCCTCATATATTAAATGGCAACGCCGAATTTCAGGCAAGTACAATATATACCAGATTGATATTTATTGCAGTATTGATTAATTCGAATTAGTCTGCTCTTCTGGAATTTTCCTGGGTCGATATTTCCTTCATCCTAAGTTGTTGGGACCGTTATATTGTACGACGTGCGAAGCAGCTACGCCTAGACAGCCATGCTTCCATAAACTTGCGATTCCAACTAGGTCAACACACGCCGCCAGTAAACGCTCTCCAGACTACGGGGGAGAGTAGTGTAGCGGGTACCAGCGACAACTTCTGGGCGGACTACCGCCTATTCCGGGACCTGGAGACATGGGAAGGGGATCATCGGCGCGTTCATGTCGGCCATCAATTAGAGCTATTCACAGCAAGCACACTTTACCAGGTCAACGCAAACACTCGAATTCCAGATAAGCTTCTCTGCTCGGCTAAAAGTGAAACGGACCTTCAGAAGTTGTTCTGGTTGGTCCGAGGTGGTGCCAGCTTGGCTCCTGACCAAAACTGGGAATGTACTCAGGAGGCATTCCGCAACGCGTTCCCCGAGGGTATGCGCACGTGTGGCCAGCTCAGCTACGCCCTGATGGGAATACATTTCATGTTGGGAACAGCACAAGGCTGGCCCGCCCATGTATTTTCCGAGGCGATAGCAGCACTCAACGACCTTGAAACGAACTCTCAGTTGGGTGTCCTTCGTCGTTTCAGGTACCACTTAGAAATACTTCAGGAGTCTAAGCAGCGACTTAGAAATACTTCAGGAGTCTAAGCAGCGTTGGGTTAGGAACCTTGAAAGCCTCAACGAGACGCACATTGGACTGCTCAATCCCTAAGATAGCGTCTTTGCTATATGACAGGTAAGCTTACTCAAAAAGAAATAAAAACCAATTATTGGCCTTCGATTGGTCATCAAAATCGGATTTGCTAACCTCCTTTTATAGTAGATAGCTACTATTGAACCAGCCTCGGCTGATATCGTCGAGAGAAAGGATCACATTCGAGAGTGATAGCACGTCCGTTCAGAATAACCATCCACCTAATTATAACAACGGCAAAATTGTTTTCATTACCTAGCCAGACGCACCCCGGTTCGCTCTGGGGGTGGCACACAACACCGGTGGCAACCACTCAGATAGCAATGAACTCGGCATATGACGTTCTTTCGTATCCTCAAACTCTTTACGGCCATGCCATCGAAGTAGTGCCAACAAAAGAATAATTAAATAAAAAAAAAAAACTTCGCGTACTTGACTGCCTCTGAAATTCAGAAAATAAGTCGTTATGACACCATGATAATGGCTACTCCCCGCCAGTCTTTCGAGGACGATGCCTATCCTTCTCACGTTATACTACCAATTCTAGTTATATTTCTGGCCTGTTGATAGCTATGTGAGCATCTTAACTATCTGCTTATCGTATGATTGTATTATTAGTATGTACGTAGTATCACAGAAGCAGTATAGCATAGTAGGTGAGCCGACCAATCTAAGATGTCGTAAGTCGTAATGCCGCGCATCTATTGCCATAGACGCGCTGGTGACTGCTTGTGTAAGCACCTAAGTAACACAAGCCCATCCGACAAGCTCAAACTCTTTGCTGGCGCCGGGATATGGCAGTCAGTCTATTGCTCTACCTAGCGATACCTTGCGATCAGTCAGCGGCTAGAAACGGACAAGCAAATGGCGGAATCCGGAGACATGGAGTAAGTTCATTTAGTCCATCCTCGTCTCGCGCACTTCTGCTCGATGGCTGTTGGTTTGTGAAGATTTTTCATCCAAACTGACCTTTCTTAGTGTCATAAAGACCGGTCGTACGCATACTTCTCGCGACATCTTCCCTTTTCCCCGAAGCCAACTCGTCAATTGTGGCGTTGGCGAGCAGCTGAACAGATGTTGGATGAATATTTCTGTTAGGGATTACTCTCGAAATCGCCAAAATGAGCATTGAGGATTCGACGCCGCACACTATCGCAGCACGAGATCGACTCCATGTAACACAAGACTATCGACTCGATGAAAAGCAAGAACAGCGCCTCCGGAGCAGTATGCCAACACCCACCAAGTTTTTTACGAGTATAAGATGCGGGCGACCAATCAGAGCTCGCCTGCACGCTGCAGCCACATCTAAAAGCAAGATAGATGCGCTAAAAATGGCGGCGTTACTAAAGAACGTGATAAGCGTGGTAATTGGTCACCCGAAAAGCGAATAACCTCAGCTGCCAGAATGCCACTCTGCCACTCTGCCCACCGCGTCCGGCATTCCGTGGCCAGCGTGGGCTTGCCTGCCTGCGAATGCGTGGGAAATGTGATAGCAACTCCTACCATCGGCCGTCGGCCAACAAGCTGACGTTTTCGCACTCGACGATCCTTCCGATCTGACAGCAATGGCCCCGTTAGTAGTTAGCGGGTGGCACATGATAATTGACGTAACCTTGAGATCTATGCCCTCAGTAATCTCTACCATGGTCCGCGGACATGATACCTACCTACTTAAGTGTCTCATCACACGCTCCGATATGCCCGCCGTAGGCCCTTTATATCTCTCGTCTCCTCCTCCCCCGAGAGAATACCACCCATACTATAAGGTAGTACCTTAATATATTGAGAGGCAAAAAATAACCATGACTTCCAAAATGGGCATCGTAGTAGACCCAGAATACGCGCAGATCCTAGCGAAATCCAGCGGGCAATCCGGGGATAACATCACTACCGACGTCCTAGCCATCCGCGCCTGGACCAATGCGCTCATCGAGGCCGCCTCCAAGGCCCATCCGTATCCCGAGGGCATGCGGGAGAGCACGCACTCCACCACGTCACTAGACGGCACCATCCTGCATATCACCCGCTTCCTGCCGCTGTCCGTGCAGAAGGAAGAAGCGGAAGCTGCGGCGGAAGCCGCGGCGGGTGCGGAGGCGGGGAAAGACGGAGGTGCGGATAAAAAGGATAAAAAGGCTAAGCGGCGCCCGAAAAGAGCCGTAGTATTCGTGTTCGGCGGCGGCATGATATCCGGCACGGTGCAAGCGTCGCGCGGCTTCATCGCCGCCGTGGCCGAGAACAGCCAGACCCAGGTCTTCGCGCCGCAGTACCGCATCGCGCCCGAGCACCCGTACCACGCCGGCGTCGACGACGTGTACGCGACGATACAGTGGCTGCAGCGCAGCGCGGCGGACTTCGACGTCGATCCCAAGCGCGTCATCATCATGGGCCAGAGCGCCGGCGGGGGCGTCGCCGCGGGAGTCGCGCTTATGGCTAGGGATAAGGGGTTGGATCCCCCGCTTGCCGGCCAGTGTCTGAGGTACCCGATGTTGGATGATCGCACGTGGTACCCGGAGAGCGATCCGAGGAATAAGTATTGGACGTGGAGCGTGGCGGCGAATGATATGGGGTGGACGTATTATCTGGGAGGGTTGAAGAAAGGTGAGTTTTATTTTTATTTTTATTTTTGTTTTTTGTTTATAAATCATGCGCTTCTGAAATCTTACCTGTTTGTGTGAAAATATTAGACATGTGTGTTGCTGATATTGGGTGCGATAGAGGACAGAAACGAAGAGACCGTACCGTGTTATGCCGTGCCTGCGCGGGCCAAGGATCTGCGGGGGTTGCCGCCAACGCAGATCGGCGTGGGTAGCTTGGACCTGTTCAAAGACGAGAACTTGGATTACGCGGCGCGGTTAGTGAAGGCGGATGTTGGTGTCGAGTTCCATCTGTATCCCGGCATGCCGCATGGCTTCGACGGGCCGCACGGGTTCACCGGAGTCCCCGCGATGAGGTTGACTGGTGAGATGTGGGAGGACGAGGCGAGATGGATTATGAAACTGTAGGGCTGGGTAAGCGACGTTGTTTACGTTTTGTTTCTTGTCTGCATAAATTGTGTCGGCTCAATGCCAAAAACATGCGGGATATGGTTTTTGGGTATGCAGCCTTGTTGGAACGGTCTTGCAATATACCCATCTTCTGTCGTTCTCGCTGGGATCGGTCGTCTATTGTAGGAATAAGGGTACTACTTCTCGGATTGTTAGCATGGTTATCAGTATGGTAAAGCTCATAATAGAGTCAATATAACGCATCTCAATTGTTCGCAAACGCCGATGAAGACTACTGGTTACTGTCATCACTTCTGGGTAAGCGCTACTGTACGAAGAATGACGACATCAAGCGTTGGAGATGTTGATGGCGCAGAGAAATGTGTTGTGTCTGATAGGATGTCAGCTGAGGTGGTGTTCATCTAATACTTTGGCCATGAAGATACTAGTACTATGATGAGGAACCAAAGTCTTAGATGGGATGGTGTCTAGTATAAGATTTTTTCACAAGTTCGATTTACTTCACGAAAGCAAGAGGTAAGTATGGGGAAGGGGATCTGTCTGGAATTGTGTCATCGTCATCCTATGGAACCATTCAATAATAATGTAGCAAAACGGTACCGATCAAGGCCTTCCCGTGCATTCCTAAACCCTTCCAACGACTATAAAAATATTTCCTTCTCGATCCTTCATCTCATATCCCTATAGACGACAACTGGGTGTGGGATAATGACGATCAGAATGCCATATAGGCCACTCTTTACCAACCAAGACGAGTCTGGCCTGCCCAACGGAAGAGCACGGGCATTCCATACCAACTCTGGCCAGCGATGTCGAGGATGTTTCGTGCGGCTTGGGCCAGAGGAGGCCAGAAGTACTCCTCGTCGAAGTCGAGATCAAACTCAAAGACCATAGCGGGGAAATCACCGTAGGCGCGGTTGTGGGCCCAAGAGGTCCAAGTGACCTTGATCGACTCGAGGTGAGGTGTGAGGCTAGCGTTGAAATCGGTTAGATGATCCATCACTTCAAACATAATTCCCTCTCCGTTGTTGAATCGCGCGTACGGCTCGACATCGAGAACTAAGCCCGGCTGCTCGAATGCCGTGATCTCATCGTGTTGGAGTCCCTGCTCGCGGAATTCGACCGCGACGTTGCCGAGGTTGTTATCAATGAGGTAGCGGCGGAGCTTGTCGGTGATGTACAACCAACGACTACCTTGGTACGGGGTGTCGGGGCCCCAGAGTGCACCGGCGACCATGTTCGAGTTCTGCTGCGCGAGGACGAGGACGGTGGGGCAGCGTCGCTTCCACTTGATAGGTGCTTCGGTAACGCACATGACGAAGTCAACTTTGAACGAAGCTTCACCCATGTCCTTGCGGATGAGATGCTCGATGACTTGCATGCGCTGCATCAACTCCGTAGACAGTCCGACACCGATGAACTCGTTCTTAAGGGGCAGCGCGGGGGGCTGTGGGGAGCCGACGCGAACTTCGGTCGCGATGTAATTCGCAATGTGAATATCGGTGATGCTGATTTCGAAACAATAGGTATTGTCGTGAATGAGGGTAGTCTCGAAGTTGTCCATGATATCCTCCATGGGGATAGACTCTGCGATGGTGGCTTGTACGGCATGCTCCTGGGGGACGACCTCGAGGATGTTCTCGTTCGACTCAGTGGCATTCTTCAGGGCAATCTTACCGTCGCCAAAGGTCTCGTGCTCAGCAGTAGACTTGTCATCAATTGCAAGCTTGTCCACAATAGCCTGGCAATCGACAATAGCCTTGTCATCAGTAGGAGTCTGACCCTCGATTGCTGTCTTGTTCTGAATAGTGGCGTCATCCTGGACAGCGGTCTGATCATCGACGGCAGGCTTGCTCCTAGCAATAGCCATGCCGTTGACAATGGACTTGTCACCGTTCATCTTACCCTCGTCGGTGGCCTTATCCTTGGTAGCGGTCTTGTCTTCGATGATAGCATTGCCCTCTGTGGCGGACTTGTCCTCAAGGGACTTGTCGTCGTCGCGGGTCTTCGGAGAAATATCATCGGCCATTTTGACTCGAAGTAATGTCAAGTTGTTGATGAAGTGTGATGTGATTGGGAGATTTGGGAAGTTTTAATAATTGAGTTCCTTCAATGGACGCTACGTGGGCATGAGTATGATGCGTCGCGAGGCAAGTAGAAAATTACTACGGATGAGAGGGAAATAATACTTACAATGTATTTACCGGGAAGAACGAATGAGATCTTCGCTCTTGTTACTTGATGATCCGTCGCAAGAGATAGGTACGATGCGTTGATACCAAGTTTATATTTGTGATGAACTTGGATGAAGATGTGCCTCTGTGTAAAGGCAGAAGAAGTGGGTGGAGATGATAAGAAAGGGTGGAGAGAGAAAGGTGAAGAAGGGAGGAATTTTAATTTTGCGAGGTGGGATTTTCTGGTTTGTTTACATGGGAAATGCGTGTCTAGACAAGCTAGAATCAGTCAAAGCAGGGCAAGAGAGGCTGTGTGCGGCTGAAAAAGCTAGAAGCCATCGTCAACTATGTCGACGGTAGTGAAGACGGAGCTCAGGGGGGTCGACGTGGATCATTGGAACTGAGTGGCTAGGTCCTAGGTCTCAGACCAGGAGCAAAGTTTGAAGAAAGGAGAACAGCAGTTGGTTACTAGAGGAAGCCGAGTCACCTGAATTCAATATAGATGGATTATGCATGTTAATTATGGAGGCATTTTACGTTATTTATTGTCGATCTAGTTTGATGGTATCAAATGAATTTTTCTCAGATAAACGAAGCATCACCCCCTTGTATCGGGTATGATAATGAGCACCTTTGCTTGATGAATATAGTAATCTACAGAATTGTGTGCCTATTTAAAGAGGATATCGATTTGTAGACTTTATTGTTGAGTCTTGGGAATACTGCTAGTCTTTGTTGAAAAGGGGTTCACATAGATGTAAGAATAAGGTTTAGAAATATCTAGCATTAAGCTTAGTTACTTGTTGGTGAGTTCTATATAAAGGTGTTCAATACAATCAGTGAGAGATCAAATGAAAATCAAATGTTGCTGAGGAATTTATATGCCATAGTAACATATGGACGTATATTCACCGACGGTAGACAACGCCTATGCCAGGAAGACATTCTCGCCACGAAAGAATTTATTGAAAGTCAGCTTTATCTAAATATTCACAACTACTTGGCTATCAACAAAAAAGAATGGCAGCATAAGACGCTCAGCTGGCGCGGGCGTTGCTGTTAACAGAAAAGAATTTGAAGTCGAAAATTTAAAGTATTGTATCATAGGATTATGTTAGAAGTTTCTGGAGTGCAGTAGGCTCCTCTTATTGCTGTGATAAAGAGAAGTCACAATGCTTCAGCGTTGTTGAAAACATAGTCAATCTTGATTCGAAATCCGACTCCTTTTCAACCTTCTTAAGTGATGAATTAGAAGTGTAGGTAGTATCTAATTCTAAGTGTCAACAACTGTGCTACCTCTCCACTAAGGTAAGTAAGTATTGCTTGTTGAGAATCTACGTGAAATTGAACATTGATTAGCATATTCGTTGAGCTGCAGACTCAGTTTAAGATTTGATATAATGCCCCTATTCTACCCTAGTAACCTCAAAAATGAGAAGTCCCATATTCGGTTCTGCCCAGTTCTGGTTCATATTCATTTTCGTAGAATCCGATGCCTTGAAGGTTGTCTTTACAGCCCATTTTGTCTTCGTCTTCTCACCTACCTCTTGCCAAAACTTTTGGAAGGTCTCCTCGCTCTGCCGAAAATTTGTGCCATTACCCTCAAGATTCGGAAACTCTCCACCAACACCACTACCTAGACCGCTACCGACGAGAAGGGCGCCGGGCTTAGTAAAAGAGGCAATTCGTTGAGCGGCCTTGACCTGCCCTTCCCAGTTCCAGATATGAAGCAAGCTAGTTAGGTGCAATACGTCAAAGCGGTTTAGCAGCGGACTCCAATCCGCGTTGTCGTCGTGAAGGTCCCTCGCATGAAACTCAAACGACAGCTTCGACGCGTCGCGGAATAATTCATAGCTCAGCGCGTTGAACTCCGGCACAAGATCTAAGCCGACCAGCTGCTCTGGCCTTGCCCCGTCAATGAAGAGCTTGCGGATATCCTGGCCGAAGCAGCAACCGAGATCAAGAAACCTGGCGTTGGCGTTGCTTCGGATGCGCTCGAGGACGCTGGCGTACGAAGGGTATGAGGCGAGGCTCAACCGGATAAAACGCATTTGGCCGATGCATGGCCACGGGTAAAGGGCGAATGCTTTATCTCGCTAACACATGCGACATTGGTCATAAGCACCTCTGTGTGTCGTCTAGATTAAAATCACCTTACAATAGCTAAACAGTGCGGTACGACTTCTTCTGGCGCCAGACCAGCATATGATTCTAGCAACTGGCGCGATGTAGGGTCAATGTCCTTGACATCTTTCTGCAACCATTGGGACGAATCGTGCGCCATCGCGTCGGCAATTTTGGTAATGTGATAATGCTATACTTGGCAGTAATAAGCGACGTAATGGAGGAAGTGGAATTAAAAGTGCCAAGCAGTGTCAAGCAATGACAAGTCTGAGACTAGTCGGCAGCCAAGAAACTTGACGGGTTAGATAATAGGTTAGAACCGTTAGAGACAGATGGGAAAGCCGAAGACAAAGGAGACGACGCATGTACTATAGTAGTAAGTCAGATTCATCGTACAGCTACTACCTAACGCATATAGGATTAACGGCCGAGCAATTGCGCGTACGCGCTTCCAGTCACACTTGGTTCGGCAAGTCACCGAAGGCTTAGCCATCCCTGGCACATCCAGCGCCAAAAACAGTAATCCATTGGTCGCATTTACGAATGGGATCTGCCCAACTAGGTTTAGCTCGCCAGGGGTCTCTTGATAGACGGTGGTTTCTCGGTCTAAGCACCAAAAAGCCGTTACCAATGACTTGCCCAATGACCTGCAGGAACCCCGCGCTATTCTACCCCTTTTTGGTAATTCGTGCCCTCCCACCGTGCTACGATGCCGTGTCACATAGTGTCTACCACCTTACCGATTATCTGGATAATATGGGATAGATAAGGTGATGAGCGTTAGATCAAAGGGAAGGCAAGTATAACCAGGTCAGGTCGCTGTTTATGGTAATGTACATCTATTAGCTATTATGGCGATGGTAATGTTACAAGAAGCACCCCTGAGCCCAACTTGGGTCTTGAAGGTGACAAAGTCTTATTCGTGCCTCGGTAATATTTTGATAAGCGACAACAGTAAAGCCACCTCCCGATAGTTACCTACTGTCCAGCAGTGATACACACTATGCTTAGGATAGCCCCCACTGCCGCCATTCCCACCGAAGTGTTCGATAGTCTGGCAGATCTGACCCCACTGTCGGGAGTTGAGCTTGAAGTAGCTTCGCCGGTAGAGGAAGTGCCGCCAGTACTAGTTGCCGATGGGGCTGTCGTCGAATTCGCTAAAGGACTGTCCACGTCGAAGTAGGTTCCAGCGACAACTGACCCTCCCAAAGTGTCAACAAACTCCGTGACGTTGAAGTTCAGCCGATTGGTGACGTTTGATAGGTCAAGCGGCAGAGCATAAGCAAGCGTGCCGGGGAGAGTATAATTCTCCGGCTGGTTGAATAGTAAGAGCGTGTAACGATGCGTTACGACCGGGTTCTTTGCTTGCGGCGCCGGTGGGATAAACGCGGCCAAAAACTGTGACTCGGTGTCAAGCTCAAGAAACGTAGTGTTACCCAGCGTCGTCACGTGTTCCGAATTACACGTATAATTGCCCCGGATGGCATGCAGACCTGTCTATAAGCAGTAAGGAATTAGCGGGCGATCTCTTATATCTAGTTAGGGGAATATGGACGTATATCCCGGCTCCAGAAAGGATGTGTCGCAAACGCCACCAATACTAACCTGAGTTTCGATGTTGCCTTGAAGCGCATCAGGGTCCACCATCAGAAGGATATAGGTCCCATTGCATTTGGAATCTACCGGTAGACCCACGGTAGGAAAGCCTTGGGCGGCGAGGACTAAAGATGGCGTATCAGTATGATTGGTCCAGGTTGATGATGGCCGATGGGGGAATAAGCAGGCTGCACAATAAGCAATCGGCTTACAGTCAAGGGACAGTAGCTGGCCGGAATAGTTTAGAGGAGTTTCACCCCATGCGACGGTCAGCGGATTAGATGTGGCCGGCTCGAATCCAGAGAAAGTCTGGCCCAGGGTCGGGAGGACTACCGAGCACCAGACCAGAGCAGTGGCTATGAGATAGCGACTCATCGTGCCAGAAAGGATGGAAGAACGAATGACTTTTGAGACTAGGAACTATAGGGTGTTCTTTTCAAAGAAGATATTCGTTTTTGATCGGCCAAGAAATAACCGGATTTGATATGATCGATAAAGGGACAGGGGTTGAGAGGATCAAGCCCGTTAAAGGATTCTGCAAGACGACTTTAACGGCCAACCTGCATAAGCACAGTCCGGTGCACCCCGGGGGTCACTGTGTGGGCGCACGATGGCGATAATGGATGGTTACGCGATGGTAACATGACCTCGTGGCTTTAGGTGCCAATGCAGAAGAGTATAAGTGAAGGTGGTTTTGATTAGCGGGAATAGCATCCGAGACTTTGACTCTTCTCAAAACTTGACTGATACTTGATCAAACGGTTTTGAGACTCTTGAATCATGCCATTCTTTCTCGAAGATGGCCTGGCTGGACAAGACAATCTGGTTTACCTATACTTAAGCGAAGGAAGGCTTCAGGATTTTAAGGATTTCAAGGGTCCTAAGAAGAGTTTAGTATGTCGATCTTCTACTCCAAATACCAGTGATCGTGACGCCATTCAGCTCGGTAGCAATGCCTGTCCTGATCGACAATCTTTCAGCCCTCGTCCCCCGCGCCGTAAATCCGCAGTCGAGTAAGACTTAAGCCGGAAGGTCGCATGTAATCGCATCGAATTCAACCGTATAGTGGGACTGTAGGCGGCCAAATTCTAGAATCTAAACATAATAGTGAATCCAGCAATGCTACCTGAACTGCTGGAGCGTCGTAGTTAGCAATCTCTTTACTCGGCGTAGAATGATCAACAGCCTATTTTGGCTGCGTCGTAGCTGAAGCGCATAGCACACCTTAAAGCTATCATTAGAAACTGCCTAAAGCGGATATTCGCCGTCATCAGACAGTAGGGCTGCGAATCTTTAGTCATAAGCATAACCACAGCCACCAATATGATGCGAGTGCCAATCCTTTTAGCCCCCCTCTATCTACCGAAGGCTGCGTCTGCTAAGGCTATAGGTTGGATGTCAGCCTGTCATGCTTTCTTAGACCTCCGACCTTGACTTGGCGAACTTGTTCAGTTAATACTCATCGCAACCATGGAGTTGACGCCGGAAGAGAAGGCCACCTGGAACGAGAGTCGGCAGCCGCTCATTGTCGGTATTCTGGTCACATTTCTCGTTCTCACGAATGCGACGTCCGTGGCACGAGTTGTCACCTCGGTCCATCGACACAGGAAACTCCAAATCGATGATTACTTGATGATATGCGCCGTCATCCTCAGCGATGGAATCATATCGGCTATGCTGGCCGCGGTGTCGAAGGGGTTTGGATTACACCAATTTCGAGTCCTGGCCACCGACCCTCAACCCCCTTTCTTGATCGTCCAAATCTTGCAGATTATTTGGGCCTACGCGGTGTTGAACGGATTCTGCTTCTCGACCATCAAGCTGTCCATTCTTTTCTTCCTAAGGCGCCTGTTTTGGGTTACTCGATGGTTCAAGATTGCTTGGTGGGTTAATGTGGCGTATGTTATTTTGTGGACGATCGGTTCGACTCTGTTCTACATATTCCAATGTGCGCCAATCGACTTTTACTGGAACAAGATTTACGCCGGTGCCGGGATTACGCCCCCTGAGCATGATGCGAACGGACAATGTATCAAAGCGCTTGCTAGTATCGGCACCCCGATCATCCTCAATACCGTTGGAGATCTGTTTGTTCTCCTCCTTCCTTTACCCATTCTCCTCAAGTTGCAGACGACAACTCCGAAGCGCCTGCGATTACTCGGACTATTCGTCATTGGATTCATGGCCACGGCAGCCGGTTTCGTTCGATTCGGGTTCATATTTGCGTCGAATACTAGAGCTGACGCAACTTGTAAGTACCAATATACCTAACCAAGAGTCTTGGGGATTGCTGACTTCTTTCAGATTCGTCTGTTGAATTCCTTCTTTGGAGTAATATAGAAGAAGCGCTTGGTATTGTCTGCGCAAATATTCCCATTATCGCTACTTTATTCGAACAAAGGAAGAAGAGAAAGTCCATGGTAGGGCCCAATGGGCAATGCTTCCAGAGCGCGCAGGCTTCAAGTTCGAGGAGGTTCACCAGATCTACTACACTGAACCATGAAGGCAGCTATGAAGCGCTTAACGACAAGCAACATGACTTCGCCATGGAGGATCTTAGCCTCGGAAGCATCGCGAGGATTGAGAGGGGTGAGCATTTTGAGAGATCGCCTACTACGGGAATTGCGGTGACAACGTCTATCACGACCCAATTCGATAGTCCGGGTCGCGCTGTATAAATAGCTGAATAACTGTTAATGAATGATACCATGTGAAATTTTGAAAGTTATCACAGGAAATATTCTAGTCCTACACGCGTCAACTCGAAAAGGGGTAAGAAAGACTAGGTACGTACCCAGGCAGACATAGGGGTTCACGACTACCGCGCAATTGCCAGGAATACCTTGGGACATGGGTATCCACAATTTCCGTAGACCCTTATGGTCGTAGATCGGGCGTATCGTGACGACTTTCCTAGGCGTAGGGGTGCTTAATTTGGTGTAGCTTGATGGACCATACTACTTTCATAGCGTCTCTTTTCCATAAATGGATTGCCATTCCTTGGAGCTCTCTAGTATATACCGTAGCTACCTGCCTAGGTAGGTACCGGTATGTGTTCATCTTCCAATAGCTGATTGAAAAGTTAAGCACCTGCCCGTGATGAATATGAATGACTCTCGAGCCATTGAGCTCGCCTCAGAACTATTTGCTGACGCTCAAGCATTGAAGCAAATAGGAACTCCAGATTCGCCTGGCGCGGCGACTGCGCGTGAGCGAATTCTCGACTTCGCTTTTGAGATCTACAATCTTTTGTTGGACCCGGCGGAGCTTCTCAGGACTCATGCTTCGGTAGAACGATATCCTTCTCCTTGATTATTGCCAGAGCTCGTGGCTAACCTTTCAGCACGCCAATTTGATCTCCCTACACTTTATCCAACGCTTTAACATCGCTACCATCGTACCGCCGGACTCTGGCATCTCCTACTCTACAATCGCCTCCGCTTGTGGGCAGCTTGAGCAAACTGTCCAGCGCATTCTACGGCATGCCATTGGTTTACAGATCTTTCGCGAAGAACATCCAAGCAGCGATGTAACTTTTGTCTATCACACACCAGCCTCTCTTCTCCTCCGCGACCCCTCCTTCGGAGCATGGATGGGCGCGACCTGCGAGGAGAGCTGGCCAGCCGCAACCCGTACCGTAGACGCCTTGACAGCGTTCCCATCAGCATCGGAGCCGACAGAAAGTGGCTGGGCATTAGCTCATTCGACCCCTCCATTCCCTACCGGTATTTCCAGCGCTTCTGATCAATCAAGCTCTGATGGCGGTGGTGCCTCACCGTCGCCCCCACGTCAATCCTTGTACGATATCATCGCTTGCAGCCCCGCCCGCGCAGCCCGCTTCTCCACAGGGATGTCTGCCTATTCCAGCGGGCCAGGGTACGCGCCGGACCACTTCGTCAGGGCACGTGGCGATCTGCTGGCGAGATTGCCGAAGGGGTCCGAGTTCGTCGATGTCGGGGGTGGCCTGGGCCACTTCGCCCGTGCGCTGCGCGAAAGTAAACAGTGCCAACACCTCGACTTCGTCGTCCAGGATCTGGAAAAAGTCGTCTGCAGAGCGGGAGACTACGCGGGAGATCTCCAGAACGATGGTTCGCACGGACATCCAAAAAACGGAAATGGAAATGGAAATGAGGGACAGAGGCAGGGCCAAATCGTCTTCCAGGCGCACGATTTCTTCACGCCGCAGCCCGTCAAGGGCGCTGCTGTGTACTTCCTCCGCTGGATCTTGCATAATTGGAGCGACGAGTACGCGGTGCGGATTTTGCGGAATATTGGCCAGGCGATGAGCGAGAAATCCCGCTTGATTATACATGATTATTGCATCGAAGATCTGGACAAGCTCTCTTTACGTAAGAAGCGGGCAGCCACGTAAGTTCCAGCGGCACAAATTTTGGGGAAGGGTTCGTCAAATGCGAACGCAGATCTAACCCAACGCTTTTAGGAATATGGACATCGGAATGATGCAATTGCTGAATGCCCGAGAGCGAGACGAGGCGCAGTGGAAGGAACTTCTCGCGAAAGCGGACTCTCGATTTCAATGGATCGGTGTTACTAGACCGCCAGGAAGTGCACTCGCTATTATTGAAGCTTCGTGGGGAGAGATCTAGCTAGGTATTATGGGTATTTAAGAGCAATTTGAGCGTAAATGAATCATTGATAGGTACCTTATAGTGCGAGGCATTCCACAGCACTGTGCGTAGACATTCAGCCACTCTGTTTCAGCTGAGATTTGAGAAAAATTATTGGAAATCTCATTTACTTCGTCATGGTCATTATCATTCTACCTAGTGAAGGAAAGGATATTGATACGGGTTATGGGCCAATATATCTTTTAAAAAAATCCTGAAAAGAGTGATATGTGAAAGTTCCCATATTTCCTTTCACCAAACAAGCCCAGAGCTCTCAAAGACCCCTAGCGACGAGAATATCTTGAAGGATCCGCTGGAAAACGCGCACATGCTTGGGACCCAACATGTCGGCATGACTTCCAGAGCTCTGATGGAATTTCAAATCCTGGGTGACAAAGTCCTTCCACTTGTATAAAAATTTGTCATGCCACTCTTTGCGACCGCCCTCTGTGACGCTGAGGAGAGGGTCGACAACAAAGACATCCATTGTCGGCACCGACCCCACAGGCTCGTATTTGCGAGCTGCCATGCCAAAGTTATGCGCTATATCAGCAATTCGCGAAAGTCCTGTCCTGTCAAGTTGTAGTTCCTCCAGGCGTGCCGGCTCAGCGTTGGACATAATGAACTCCAGCGCCACATCTGGAGCCTCATTCCAGAGGCGTGGGATCACTTCATTTGAGTATCTTTCAGGGATAAGTCCCAGAAAGAAGCTAACCATAACAAGAGCAGCGCTCCATGTGAGATTGCCGACTAATGGTGCTATGTCCGGTGGGCTGTCAAGGGCACCCACGAAGCGAACTTCATCACCATTGGCGATCAACAGTTTGGCAACCTCAAAGGCAACACTGCTTCCGAGTGAATATCCAGCAATTGCATAGGGACCTTCAGGTTGAGTGCGTTTGATGCCGTGGAAGTAAGTTGTCGCCATTTCATCAACAGATCCGAAGAACCTCTCGCCAAGGCGGACTCCACGAGCACGCAGACCGTACACGGGTCGGTCGCTAAGATATCGCGAAAGGGGTATGAAAACGAGCACGTTTCCGGATGCGGGATGTACGATCCAGAATGGTGTCTTGTCTCCATTTGGCTGGAGCACGACTACAGGGTCGTAAGACTCATCCGGATGCTTGCTATCATCTATGTCGGTGCAAATGGAACGAATTGTCGGGTTTCGCAAAACTTCGGTGAGCGTTATCGCGTTTTTGGATCCGAGAGCTTTCTGCAGCCGGCAAGCGAAGGCGTTGATATCCAGGGAGCTGAAGCCCAGGTGGAAGATGTTGTCCGTCACGCTCACTTCTTCCGCCTGCAGGCCGAGCATGTCGCAAGCAAGATTGAGTGCCGACTCTTCGGCTGGATTGGATGGAGCATCACGGTTAGCCATCCTGAAGGCATGGATTGATGACCTGTTAGACTCGTCCGCCTCCTGGAAATCCCCCGCTTCGAAAGCCTTTCGAAATTTTGCTCGCGACAGCTTTCCTAAGGAACTTCGGTAAAAGGAAGACTCTGGCAGTGGGATTATCCTGAAAGGCTTTTTATTCGTGATCACACTGGAAATTCGACTTATGTTGTCATCAATGTATGCTCGGGATTCTCCGGTGACATCGTCCTCGGTCGGTTTATAAACAATACAGTACTCTTCAGTGCTTGCGCCTTGGGGACGATGAGGGAAGACGACCGTGCATGAAGGGGCTACTCCAGGTAGCTTGATTTGTTCGATAGCCGTCTCCACCTCAGAGCAGAAGTATTTGACCCCATTCATATTGATCGTGTCTTTAACGCGGCCGACGATGTGTAATTGGCCATTGGAGTCTATGCGGGCTTGGTCTCCGGTAATAAACCATCCATCTTGAGTAAAGGCTTCTTTGGTCGCCTCAGGGTTTCTGTAGTATTTCTTGAATATCACAGGGCCCGAAAGTTGGAGATCCCCTATTTCGCCAGGGGGCACCTGAATGCCGTCATGGTTCACAACTCGGACAAAACCCCCTGGTATTGGGGCCCCAGCAGAGGTAAATTCACTCCCTGACTTCACATCGTAAGAGGGGCAATTAAATCCCCATGTCAGGCCGGCGCATGACTCAGTCAAGCCATAGCCAGGACATATGAACTCGGTTTTAGTCCCGTAAGCCTGGAAAATCCTGGTCAATTCCACTGCGGTTTTAACCACATTAGTCTCACCCCCGGAAAAGAGTGCGCGTAGACTTGATAGATCAAGCTGCGCGGGGTTATGTAGTTCGGGGTCTTTCTCGAGCGTTTGAGAGACGACTAAATCGAGGAAGAAATTCGGAGCAAATGTTACGCTGACACGATGTTGGTTTATGAGCCGGGGGAAAAGGAGAGGATCAGCGAGAAGATGGCTGGCCTGAACGTGGACTTGCTCTGCGCCCAGCGACATAGCATGTAGATGTATCTCTACAAGGTTGGCAACATGGTCCAGGCCAATCCAGTTCAAGAACACGTCTTTGCTATTTGTCTTGCTGTGAGCACTCTTTCCAGCAGCTGCTTGGAGCATCTGTTCGTGGTTGAGGCAGACAGCTTTTGCATTTCCTGTACTCCCAGATGTGAGCATAAGGACTGCAAGACCATCGTCCGTAGGTGGAGCCGGCGCCTTAAATGTAAGTTCTGTCTCCACCGGTAACGATTCTATCGTTTGGATGCTCGCATTGACGTCGTCTTCGAACACCGAGGACAATGCTTCAGTTGTCAAGATAGTGGGATTTTCCAGCAGATGTATTAAGTGCGCGATGTGATCTCTTCTCAACCTTGCATCGCTCACGAAAGGTGGTGCAATACAAGGTACACCACCCGCCGCCAGTACAGCCCAGAACCAGCGAATGTTATCGCTGTTGGTGTTGAAATATAGCAAAACATTGCTGGAACCCCGTGTTGGTTGAGCTAGTCGAAGACTTATCAAGGAACATGCGTCATTCTGGGCTCTGGACCAGAGTGAAGCATAAGTCAAGCGTTCTGCAGCTAGGCCACCATTGCGTTCTGATACGAAACGTAAACCGGCTGTCGTGTGTGCCGATTTCTCAAGTACCGAGAGCAAAGGGGATAGGTTCAAGTCCTGCTGCTGTTGAAGTGGTGAACCAACTGAAGAATCACCAAGACCTTTTATAGCCGTTGGAGACTGAGTCTCAGGCCCTATCACCTAGGTTAGTTAAATTGATCGTAAGGATGATGCCAAGGACCAGCGACGCTTCTTGGCAGCTTGAGTTTAGGATGCTCACCCCTAGTGCCGTAGCCATCAAGAGTTTCCAACCTCATCACGAAGATCTTGGGGTATAAGGCTTATCGAAAAGGGTTTCTCTAGTGTGCTTACAAGATGCAGTTGCCAAGCTACCAAAAGGGAATAAGAAAAGGGGTTCTATAAGTACTCATGCGAGATATTCCAAATGTCACCGGTGCTACAGAAAATCATCATTCCCAGCTACACGGTCCGTGGCATCGTACGGATATTATCCGACGATATAGCGACCAATTTAGTATACTATTATACCTTACACTTGCATGGCTCCTTCGAATACGCTATAGCCCAATGGTAACACTGTGCGAACAGCGGGTTGCAGTGCAGATCATAAGTGGAATTATTAGTGTGGTGATAACACGCTACTCTTTGTTAGGTTGCAATCCCGCGCAGACGGAACCTGGTACCTGGCTTGCTAAACACCAAGGAATATCTCTTTCGAGCGAAAGTAGGGAGTTAATAAGCATAACGACGACGATCTTTCCTATTCTATGCTGAAACCTCCCTTTTCTGGGACGATGAGGCTGCAAGCGAGGAAACCTCTGGCATGTTTACCACAGCAAGCAATGGGACTAGGATGACCCGACACTTTAAGTTAATGCATAAATAGATAATTATCCCGCCTGTGCTTGCTTCTGATTCGCTCCCGCGTCCCTGCTTTATACTATGTTAAGGTCACCGCTCCACGCAGATCCTAAGAGCTACTACAGATATGGCATACTAGTTAGATTCTAACAAGTAATTCGGTACGCAACCGTGGAAGAGAAGATTTCTCCACTGGCGATGAGGATTCGGCTGATACGGGGCTTTCTGTCTCCTTGCAGGACACGAGTAAATGTCAATATGCCTAAGCCTAAATAGTGACAACCAGGCTACTTCTCTGCTAACCACGTATACTATCCAATGGAAATAAATATATCTGAACAAAATGTATTGGCTTAAGAGTCCGAATTGCTATCATTCGACGATGCCCTTAAGAACCCCTTTTTTCTTTAATAAAGGAGATTAAACGCTCACAAGATTAACTAGTTGAATTATAGGCACCCTCGTCATGTTCTAGCCATCTCCTTCATCACTATTCACAGTATTATTTTCGGTGTTTCCTCTATGGGGTCTTTTGATATACTCCTTGAAATCTACAGAAATCTGGAAAACCTGTTTGAAGTTTACTTTGTCTAAGACATTAGTGATACGAAAATCTGGGGACTTTTAGAGGGGTTTTATAGCCTCTAAACCTGACTTCGTGATGGCCGGATGTTGCTTTGAATCGATCATTCCAGCTTTCATATTTTCTAATTAGTGAAACGGTGAGAGAAAAGATAACACATAGAAATACTAGTATCATAAGCGTGTTTCAAATACGCATATAGGTAGACATCTGTTAACTATGAATCGATCGTTGAGGGTCTTTTGTTCTGAATGTTCCAAGAGACTATCACAGATCTGAAGTTTGATCGGAGAGATAGACGGATTTGCGGCAACTAAGATGAAGGGCTACATTGTCCTCATGTATTGTGAAGTGTTTACCTTCCCCTGCTATACGATGAAGTGTTCACCTTTTTACCACAAAGATGTTTATAGCTACAAATCAGGAGACAAAATACACTTAAGCACCCATAGAAACTCGGTGTTAGTGGATGGGAGGCGCTAGTTATAGACCAATACATTGCTGATACAAATGCTACAACGCGACGTATATTCAAATTTAACTCTTTATCGTTCATGCTTTATATCCAAGGTCTGGTCAACCGGGCCATGTGAAACCCTATCTTGCCTCCTAATCCCTAGCCGTGGACAACTGCCGGTTAAAAGGATGGTGTCAGGGACTTTGTTGGAGGACTAGTAGCCAGGAACTTAGCAAGATTGGAGTTGATTAGAAAATCAATAATATGGAAGGTATCAGGTTATTAGATGGACCGCAGAGTTCTTCTCAGAGGACTTAACTTATTCATCGTCGAGAATCTATCTGTCTACAAATGACAAACCTCTTTTCTGAACACATCTTTGTCTCAAGAGAATTCACATGAGCAACTAAAGCTAAATAAAACTCTAACGCATAAACTGTCTAACTTTGGATAAAACTAAATTGATGCAACGTGACGATGAAGCTTCTTGTTCATCACTTGATGGTCCTATAAATGGTATCCGATGGGTTTATACGTTTACGCCTGCCTCGGGCCATACTTATGAACAATGATCCAAATTATTAAGTATGGTTTCACACCGATTGGGAATCAGGATTATGTGGGCTTTTATGTATACTTACTAATAAATCCTCGGGTAGACGAAGACTTAGGCTAGTCAAGGGGGATAACATACCTGTGTCAGACAAAAGTCCTATAAGATTTGTTAGGATGATTAGAGAAAATATGCATGATGAGACCCTCGACGGGCACAAAAAGTTTTTGGGACAATGATGATCGAGCAACACAGAAAAATGATATGGGCATTTTTCATCGATATCTTAGATACCTAAGTTGCAAGAGTTGGACGGCACTACACACAGCATTCCGACAGCGCCAAGAACACTAAAGGCTCTTTTATCCATCACTGAGCCAGGGCTCGTATGCGTTATCTGCGGGTTCCAATCGTAGCTAGATTGCCATGGGCATCTCAACTGCTCTTGAAGACTTTATATGAATATCATAGGAACCAGGCAACTGAGCGTAGCTGAAGACTTTCTTTCTCAGTTACGGAAACTGCTGAGTAATGTCGAGCAAGACAAATTTGAAGCAGGGGCTGCTCTCCTCTAGCTGGCGCTGTGGCTCCGCCGTCCTTCAGCGCACGTGTACATATAGAGCCATAGCGTTAGCCCTAATTTTAATCAATCGTCTCCGTCGTTACCGTCGCTTCGAAGATGATAGTTACAAATAACTGATATATGAGCACTGTTGGGAATCGTTTATGTAAAAGTGAGTCTTAGGATTTCAATGCGCTTCGTTTCCTGGTAAGGATAGGCACCTATCCCTCCTAAGACGGAATAATGCAAGGTGTTATAGTGTCCTATTAAGTCTCGTACAAGGTATTGATGTACCCCCACAGCCACTATCAGACCCTCTCATCCTGTGTTTGCACTGAAATCCATTCGTTAACCCATTTCCGCATCCAGTCGACGCCTACGGACGAAATATCGCGTAACGTAGAACTAGCTCCTAGAGCGCGTTCGACCGACATTGGTTTCGACCCGACACCTTTATCAGCCCACAAGTCGTTGGAGTAAAACGATACCAACTTGATAGCCGGGTTAGATGTAGCTGTGCTCATTAGGTCGTTACTTTCTCCATCAGCCGCAGCCTCCTGTAAACGCCTCAACCATACCGACGATGAAACCACTTCGATGTTCCGGCCGAGGCGATCATGCACAACCGCCATGATCGCCGGTACCAACTTATCCCAAGAAGCCGTATTCGGATTCCGAAGATTAAACACAGTAGCACCAGCAGTACCACAACCGCCTGCCCCCTCCAAAGCGCGAGGATTCGCCAGATCAACGACAACATCAGCGAGCAAATCCGTTGGCACCCAATCGACCTCCGAGAACTGCGGACCCAGGCTATCTGGCAAGCAGCCAAAGCCCAGCGAGCTTACGACCAAGCTCGGAAACCACTCAGAACGGTTCCACACCCCGGGTCCGCGAACCGCACCCGCGACCTGGCCGACTCGCGCAATCGTCACGGGGACCCTTAAGTGCCGTGCCGCGGCGTCGCAGAGGAGCTCGGAGAGGAACTTGCTCCGCGAGTACCCGTTGGCGATCGGCGCGTCGAAGTCCTCGAGAACGGCTTCGGGAGCTGGTCCCGCGTCTGCTGGTCGCGCGCTCACGGCGCCGACGGATGAGATGAAGAAGAAGCGCATTGTGCGCGGGGCCGCGGCGGCGGAGAGCGCGAAGAGGTTTACTAGGCCGGCTAGTTGTGGTCGGAACGCTACTAATGAGAGGTTGAAGTTTACCGGCCAGGCATTGTGGATGATGAGTCCTATGCGCGAACGGAGAGATTCGTATGTAGACTTGTCAAGCCCCAAGGAGGGATGGGCTAAGTCGGCTTGTATGAAAGTGACGCGCTCGCTAAGATTTTCTGTTGCTAGACCGGCGCCCGCGAAGCGATTGGTCTGGACGCTACGTCCGCCGTTTTGGCCTCGGTTGAGGCAGAATATGTGTCCGATTCCAGGTCGATTGAGGAGGGCGGCAAGTATATATGTGCCCAAGGCGCCAGTGGAACCCGTCAGGATAACATTGGCGTCCTTGTCTGTATTCGGTGCTAACGACTTTGGCGCCGGTATTTGATGGATTAATCCGCGATATGTGGCCAGTAAAGGCTCCATCATGTCCCGCTCGTCGGGCCCTTCATTCTGCTCTAAGAGGGCTGAAGTGAGCTGAGCGATTGTAGGATTTTGGTACACCGTGGATAAAGCAATGTGAGGACAATGGAGGGCGCGTCGTAGCGCACGAGTAAGTCTAAGGGCTTGTAATGAGTCCATGCCACGGTCGAAGAAACTGGTCGAATCATCTATGTCTGGCCAATCCATGATGGCTGAAATATTTTCCCAGATTCGGGCCTTGACTGCATCAAAGCTATCTTCTTTTAAGGATCCATCGACTCCTTCATCGTCTGGAACCACATCTATATCATCGTAGAGCTTGTCGATATCAGCTACATATTGGGCGAGACTGGCAGATCGTTGGATAGTACCCTTCCCTGCGCGGATCAGTGGCCGGTCTGCTGCTGTTACGAGAATCATCGTCTTTTCGATGCGCGCGTGGGCTGGTGCGGCCTTGTTAGCCTCTTCAACACTAGGCCAAATACGTTCGATCAAGGCAGCCTGGCCAGCGGTCGTCAAGGGCGCTTCTTGAGAAACCGGCTCGATTAGCAGAGCCGCCTGAAATCTCTGGGCACCGATAACTAGGACGCCGCTTAGCTCGGGGTTTTGGGCCACTATGTGCTGCTCCATCGTCACGGGATTCGTTTTCTCTCCATTCAGGAAAACGATGATATCGTCCGCACGAGCACGCCAACGCCATGCGTCGGATACCGTGGGGTGGCGTTCAAACAGGTCCTTGGTGCGATATTCTTCAAGTTTGTCTTGTCCTCGCATGCTGAATGCCGGCTGGGTATCAGCGAGCGCCTCGTCGCGCCGTATAACTAACTCATATGTGCCATCGGCAACTTCGTCAAATACCGCACCAGTACATGGATGGAAGCGTATATAATGCCAATCCGACAGGCCCAATTCGGCTGGTAGCAATTGCTGTGGGATACCGACTTCAGACGCGCCCCATTGGCAGCGCAGTCGGATCTTCTCTGCGACTCGGTCTCCAATTGCCTGAGGTAGATCTCCTCCGATATAAAGAATTAATTCTAATTGGCCTGCACAGTATTCAAGCAGATCGGGATTCTGAGCTAGTTCGGCTACCACCGACGGTACTAGAACCGCTATGTCTGCTGGTGTCTGCTTCAGGGCATCGACGAGCCCCTGAGCGGTTACGATTCCCGTAGCCGCCGGCGCAATCACTGTGTTACCAAATGGTATGGCATAGAAAATGTACTGCCCCAGACCAGCTCCCTATAAAGGTTAGATTAAATACCATGCTCAATTGATTCGGGTTTTTTACATACATGAAAAGGCGGTAGTGTCGCTATGACCCTCTTACCACGGGTTATCTGGTCAATCGACGTCATCCCGTTCGGAGGATCGCGGCTGGTAAACTTGTGATGCCGTGTTCCCGTTTCATGAGTCCATATCATAGGTTTCGGTAACCCTGTCGACCCGGATGTATGTCTTCGAAGATGTTAGAAAATGCCGCATTTCTCTCTGCGGTACATACCTACATAATGAAGAGTGGATCCCAACGAGCTTGGTCAAAGGTTTTGTCAAGAAGGAAATGAGGAAAAGGTTTCTCTAGAAGCTCCTCTACACTTGGTACAACGAGTTGACGCGGCTTGACAGCTTCAATAATGGGGGCAACAGACGGAGGCATCGGGTCTGTTGTCACAAGTGTCCGGCACTTGAGCACATCAAAGAGCCCACGATGTGCCGCTGCGGAGTTACGCGGTGATGTGAGAAGTATCTACCAACCTCTCAGCGATTTACAAATTAGATGATATACTAAGAGTGAAATTGACCTTACCACATAACCTGCTTTGATTGCGGCCAGCACAAGCGCGGTGAGCCGTACGTCGTTCGGACCAACATAGGTTAGGACCTCATGATCTTTACCAGGCCCAAGCTGCTCAACGAGCCACCAGGCCAATCCGTTGACCGCATTTGCTAGCTGGGCATAGGTGACAGTCCGGAAGCCGGCCTCATACGAATCAGGGGCTACGGGCCAGAGTCCATATATAGCACCGGGAGTCTCGCGTGCCAGCCGATCAACAATATGTGGCAGCAAGTCATCCTATAAACCGAAGGAATATAGTCAATAACACAGTTCCATAATAAAAGCCAAGGCTCCCTGAAACAGTCTGCTCACCTGCCAACGGGCGACGCGTGCGTGTTCGGAAACCATTGAGCTTGGATTCAGAAGAAATGCGCGCAAAGATGCCGATCTGGAGTACGTTCGAAAAAGTGGAACAAAGAGAAGTAATATCCTACTCAACGCTACACAGGCAAACCAGGATATATAGTCAACTTCTAACAGGAAATATTACCAGTGCGAAGGGTCTTCAATATATTCAAATCTACGGTGACATCTGACATGTTCTCCACCTTATCAACCATCTGCTTAGATCGTATAGCAGTGGTTGTATGGGACCAACGGTCGGGAATGTGGGTAAAGCTAGCCGTTATAAGTGGTACAGCGGGCATTGATCTTACGAAAGTACAGGACTTCAGACATGAAGGGGGGATGCAGTTGGCATGAGAAGAATAAAAGACCCACTATTGTTGTTCTGAGAACTCGGATAGGATGAGTTATACGATATAGTAAGTACCTAACAAAGAAATCCCAGTTCGAAAAAATCATATTCTCATAAGAATCCTAAACCAACAGTAAAGGGAATCCCCCTTGCTTCCTCCATTCTCCCTACCAAGCTGCTTCCCCTCATGCTCTGTGGGTCAATTTGCTCTTTCACCACCTGCGGTCGATAGTTCTTCCAAAGAAAAGGGGGCAAGCAAAGATAAATCTCCCCCTTATATACATGTACTTTATTAGTTCACATTCTTGTGAACATGTCCATTGATCACGATCGTATGCAGCTTCGAGGTATCCTGGAGAATCTCGATATTTTCCATGGGATTCCCATCGACCAGGATGACATCGGCATAGTAGCCCGGCAACACCTTACCCAAACTCTCCGGATAACCCATAATTTCCCCTCCTAGCGCCGTCGCAGCTATCAAGCTTTCCTTCGGCGTGTACCCGAACAAGTTCACGAAATGCGCCAGATCCCTCGCGTAAGTGCCGTGCGGCGCCCAAGCGAACCCGTAATCGCCGCCGGGAAGAACGCGAATGCCGCGCCTCCGCATCTCCGCCATGGCCTTGTTAGCCGCGTCGACCTCGTGCACCAAGCCCCTTTTCTTCGCCATCTCCGGCGTGAGGCCGAAGGGCGTGGCGGCGCCCTGGCAGGTGAGCAGCGGGAAGTTGATGGCCGGCGCTACGAAGACGCGGTCTTTGAGCCCTTCGAGCATGTCCATGCCCTCGGCGTCGACGTAGCTGGCGTGGTAGATGACGTCGACGCCGGCGAGACACGACATCTTCACTGAGGCTGCGGAACGGGCGTGCGTGCATACGCGCTTACCCCTATTGTGGGCCTCTTCGACGGCGGCCTTGGTCTCGGCTAGTGTGAAGTAGGTTTCTTCAGCCCTATACACACTCCATGATTAGTATTCACTTAATCTAATGATATAGGATGTTTGAATGGGGAAAGGGGGTATTAGAATACGTACCCCATAGTTTCGTGTGTGTAATCGCCTGTCATGCTCAGCTTGATGTTGTCGACCCCTAACTCGATGAATTCCCGTACGACGCGACGCATTGCATCTGCGCCGTCGGCGAAGCGGCTGATGCTAGGAATGATCGCACCTCCCGTCGTCGTTATCTCCTGGCAGTTGGACAGAGTGCGTGGCCCGGGTATCAAGCCCGACTTTATGGCCTGCTTGATAACTAGATCGAGCCGCGGTTGCGCTGATGCAGCCCCGAAGCACATCGTGTAGCCGCAGTCGAGGTACGTCTTTGCGGACTGTGCTGTGTGTAAGACATGCTCTTCCAGCGGCATCCGTGTCAGGCCATCCAGAGTTGGTGAGTTGTTCCAGCTTAGGTGCGTGTGAGCATCCACGAGTCCTGACATGAGCGTCTTCTTGCCCTCCCCGTCGATAACCAGAGTATCGGAATCAGGAGAGGCGTCAACTTTGCCAACAGCCTGTATTCTTTCCCTTTCGATGAGAACATCACCCAAATAAGGGTTCGACCCTGTTGAGTCGAAGATATTGACATTCTTGAATAAGATCTTAGGTTTATCACCGTCCTTGTGGTTGTTGATGGTGATGTCGGCGGGCTTAGGCTTGTAATATGGGAGTCCATTCACAGGACTAACCCCGTTGGAGATGTCAAATCGAACGTCGTCTAAGGCCGCCACAAGAGGGCCCTCAATCTTGGAATTACCATTGGTCGCTGACATTTTCGGGTTTTAGAAACGAAGACGTGTTTTTACATAGAAAGTTATTTGTGTAATATCTTATAATTTACTCTTCAGCTACCTACCTCGACAGCTCTATGAATAGCTGGTGCTTTAAAGGGTCTAGTCGTTCTTAACGTCATCATAAGTTAAGCTTACTTACTGCCGGTATGCTGGTTCGCATCATCTTTCTGGAGTGGGTCATGAGGTTGATCGCCGTGGCAAACCCGTGCTGACCGGAAACTTGCCGCTCACCTTGAAAGGTTCGGGAAGTTGCCGTATGACGATTCTACTCTATCTGCCGGTCTTGGCAGGAACCTGAGTATTACAATAAAACGACAGATCGCATTACAGCAGAGAATGATGTTTCATTGAATTCAAGATTCTCCTGCGGTAATCCATTGGCTCGGCTTTTGCTTGACTCGCTTTTACTTTCCGTGCTTACAAGATGGCTGAACATACGAATCTTTCCACCCCCTCATTTGGTTTCGTCGGCCTAGGGAATATGGGAAGTGTGATGAGCCAAAATCTAGCAGATTATGCTCAAAAGGAGGGGTTTCCGAAGGTCAAGATATGGAATCGTTCTCGTAGCAAGTCGGAGCAGCTTGCTACGGAGGGTTTCTTCGAAATATCAGACACCTTGGAAGACTTGGCACGGAGATGCAATATTATTCATGCGTGCCTCGCGAATGATGAAGTTGCGCTTTCAGTCTACCGACAGATTTTGGACGTTGCAAAACCTGGCATCGTGCTTGTCGACCATTCCACATTGTATCCCGACATATCCACGACGCTACGCGCTGAAGCGATAGCTGAAGGGTCAAGCTTCCTCTCTTGCCCAGTTTTCGGTCCACCAGCTGCTGCCAAAAGCGCAAACCTTCTGGTGGTATTATCCGGAGATGGGAATGCCAGATCTCTATTGAAGAAATACGTTGTGCCAACATTAGGGAGAGCAATGATCGACTGTGGCGACGACACGAGAAAAGGCGCGCTTCTCAAGATCCTTGGAAATAGTTGCATCTTAGGCACGATCGAACTCCTGTCGGAAAGCTTTACTCTGGCCGAGAAGACGGGGTTCGATGCCGAATTGTTCTACGAGTTCATACGTAAGTGGTGGAGGGCGGGTTATGATCTAAGACTAACACGATACTCCAGAACAATGGTTTCCCGCTCCAGCTTGGATGAACTATGGCAAGAAGATCCGGGATGGGGCTTTCAGTGGCACGACTGGCTTTACTATACCTGGCGGGATGAAGGATGCATCGTATATTCGGCGACTTGGTGTTGAAACGTCAACTCCGACACCTACTATTGACCAAGCGTGGAGCCATCTCACCACCGCGAAGGCGCTTGGCGGTGATAGTTTAGATTGGAGTTCATGTTCAGCTGGGATGCGTGTCACAGCAGGTTTGCCGCCATTCAAGGGCGAGGATTTTACTTTGGCTAAGAGATAGAACACCCCTCATAACCCCTTTTTTGTTATTATCTCCAAGACTACCATACCGGGAACCCCCGCTATCGGACAATAATTTACCTTCCGCGAAAACCATAGCCCATTATCATTATAATGCTTTTATTTAACTATAGTTATCGAGTAAACAATCATTGGTAAGTATAAATAATTATTAAAAGGTTTAAATAATTATTAAAAAATTAAAATATTTATTAAAAAATATATTTAAATAAGTTTTTTATTTTTCGTTTTTATTTTTATTATTATTAATAATAATAAAAGCGGGAATAAAGTTTATAAATTTATAAGTTTACGGGTTATAAATTATAAGTTATAAATTTATAAATTTACGGTTTTATTAATTTAATTAAAAATTTAAAAGTTTAAAAATTTAAAAATTTATTAATTTATTAATTTATTAATTTATTAATTTATTAATTTATTAATTTATTAATTTATTAATTTATTAATTTATTAATTTATTAATTTATAATTTTATTAATTAATAAATTTAAAATTTTATAAATTTATTATATTTTATTAATTTTTATAAATTTATAAATTTATTAACGTTAATATTAAAATAATTTAATATATAAAAATTAATAAAAAAATATAAAATATTATACGAATAAAAAATATATATATAAAAAATAAATATATATATATATATATATATAAAAAAAAAAAAAAATTTTAAATTTTTTATATATAATAAATAATATATATAAAAAAAAAAAAATTCTTAAGTTTTTTTATAAATATTAATTTTAATATTTAATTATTATTATTATTATTATAAATAAAAAAAGTTAAAAATAAAAAATAAAAAAAAAATAAATAATATTAAAAACATTAAAACTTTAAAAATTTTAAAAATTTTATAAAAAATTAAAAATTATAAAATAATAAATAAATTATAAAAAAATTATAATTTATTATTAATTTTATTATCGTATAAATTATTTAATTAATAATTTTAAAAATTTAATTTAATAATTATTTATTAATTATAAAAACGAATAATAATTTTTATATTATTAATAATTATTTAATTTTTAATAATTATTTAATTTTTAATAATTATTTAAATTTTTTAAAATATATTAATAATTATTTAATTTTTAAATAATTATTAAATTATGTATTTTTTTATTATAATAATTATTTTATTAAAAATGTTAATAAAATAAAATAAAAGTAAATAAATAATTAATTATTTTAAGTTTTAATAAGATTTAAAAAATCTTAAAAAATCTTATATATATTAATTATAAATTATAATAGTTTTTTTTTTAAATGTATATAATTAAAAAATTTAATAATTATTATTAACGTAATAAAAAACATTAATATTTTTATTAATTTTTTTTATATTTTTTACGTATTTTAAAAAAAATATATATATTCGTTTTTAATAATATTATAACCTTTAATTATATCGATATTATTAAAATTAATATAAAAAAAATAAATATTATTATAACTTAAATTATAAATATAATAATAACGATATCGTTTTTAAAAATTAATAATAATTTTTTTTTTAAATTATATTTTATTTTTAATTTTTTAATTATTATTAAATAATTACGGTTATAAACATTAAATAACTTTATAATATTTTATAATAAAAACTTTCTTAAATATTATAAATTATTTATTATTATATATTTTTTTTATTTAATTAAATATTTTAATATTAGTTTTTTTTTTATTTATTTATTTTATGGTTTATTAATTTTTTAATTTTATATAATTTTTATTTATTATTATTATTTTTAATAACGATATAACCCGGTTAAAATTTTCGTTTTTTATATAAATCCGAACCTTCGGGTAATTTATAAAAATGCGTAATCGAAATAATTTTATAAATCTTTTATAAATTTAATATATTTAATTTATACGTTAATAATTTAATTTTTTTTATAATTAATAATAAATTAATATATTAAATATTATATTTTTAATTTTTTACGTTTAATAATTTATATTTTTTATAAAATTATAAATATATATTTTCGTTAATATAAAAAAACATTAATTAATATTTAAAATTATAATATAATTTTATATTTATTAACGTAAAGTTTATTATAACTTTAATTTCTTTTTAATATTATTTATATAATATTTTATAATTTAATATATTTATTAATATTTTAATATTATTTAATATAATTTTAAATTTAAAACTTAACATTATTTCGTTAAATAATTTTCCTAACATTAATAATAAAACATTATTTATATTATATTAAAAAAAAAAGATTAATAAAAATTATAATACGTTTAATATAATATAATAATAATAAATAACCGATTTAATTTTTTAATTTTTCCGTTCGTTTTATTTATTAATTTAAAAATAATAACTTATATTTATTATTAATAATATTTTTATATAAGTAAATAAAAATTATTATATTTCGAATATAAATTTTAAGTTTTAATCCGAAATCGTTTTTATTAATATCCTTTAATTATATAACATTAAAATACGTAATAATAATCCCGTTTATTTTTTTACATTATACGTAATATTTTTTAATAATAAAATAACTTTTTTTAAATATTTATATATAATTATAAATAAAACGTTAAAATACGTATATCCGTTTAAAATAAAAAATAAATTTTTATTCGAAACTTTTAAAAAAATTATAATAAAGTTTTAAATAATTATATTATATAAAATTATTAATAAATTTATTAATTATATTTCGCTATAAAGCTTATTTTAATTAATTTAATTTTTATAATAATTTAAATATTATTAAATATATTTTTATATTTTTTTCGTTATATTTTATATTTATATATTTTTAAGTTTATATAATATTTTTTTTATATTAAAATAATATTTATCGTCGTATATTATTTATAATATATTTTTTATATAACTTATTAAAATTAATAATTTATATTTCCTTTTTAAGTTTATATAATAAAATAAATCATTTTTTAATTCGTATCGAATTTATTTTTATTTTTTATTTTTTATATTTTCCGTTAATAAATTTTTTAATTTTTTTATTTTTTTATTTTTTTTATAATTTTTAATAATCTTTTTTTTAAACTTATCCTTTATTTTAACTTCCGTTATAATATATATACTACCCATTATAATATTATTTATAATATCCTTAAAAATAAAATTTTCCTCGTTTCTTTTATATTATAAATCGTTTTAAGTTAATAATCGAAATAAAACATTAAAAATTAAATTTATTTTTCCGATTATATATTATATTTTTAAGTTAAATTATAATAAAAATATAAATGTAATAATAAGTTTCGTATTAAATTTATTAATATTTATTATTTTAAATATTTTTTAATTAATAATATTTTTTATTAACTTATAATCCGTTAATATAATTATAACTTTTATATAAAATTATAATTAAATTCGTATAAAATAACATAATTATATTAAATATATTATTTCGAGTTTTATAATATTATATTTTTTTTTTATTTTTATAAGAATTTTTAAATGAAAATTAATAAAATAAATTTTAAAAATAAAAATATTATTTCCGTTTTATTTATTATTTAAATAAAATATTATTACTTTAAAATTTTATTATTTTAACGCATTTATTTTTAAAAATATATACTTATTAAAATTTTAATAAGTTAAATTAAATGGTTATAATAATTAAGCTTATAAAATTTTAAAAATAATTTTCTCGGTTAACGTTAATTTAAATGATATTTTTTTTATATATAATTTTCGTTCGTATAATAACACTAGTATTTTTTTTTTACTTTTTTTTTATATTAATAATATTATTTTTTTATTTTATAAAAGTTTTATTTTTTATTAATAATATAAGATATATTTTTATAAAAACTTTATTATATTTATATATATTTTAAAATTTATAAATGTTATAAATATTTTTAATTTATATATTACGGATGTTTTTTTAATTATAATAATTATTTTTTTTTTATTAATCGTAAATTTAAATAAAGTAATAAATTTAAATCCGAAAAAAGATTTTATAAAAATTAAAATAAAATTAATTTATTAATATATTATAAATAATCATCGTAAATATTATTTATATTTTTCTTTTAAATCGTTAAATATAATTATATTATTAATGTATATTATATAAAAATATTCGAAAGGTTTTAATTTATAATTTATAAATTTTTACGTATAAATTAAGGAATTTTTAAACTTTATTAATATAACGTTAAACATTTTTAAACCTTTTAATAATATAATAATTATTTTATTATAATATTATTTAATTATTAATAATTAATAAAAAGATTTTATTTTATTAATAATGTTAAAATATTTTTTTCTTTATATTTTTTAAATGATTTTTTTAAATTTTAATAATAAATATATATTTATTAATATATTTTTATTTAAAAATTTTAAATTAATAATTATATATTTTTTTTATTTATTATTAATTATACGTTAAATAATAAAACATAATAAATTAAATAAAATAAGTTTTTTTTATTAATTTATTTTATTTATATTATATATATTTTTAAAAATTTAATTAATAAACTTATAATTTTATATATTTAATAAATAAACGTATTTAAGTTTATATATATTTTATTAATTATTTATTAAATTAATAATTATTTTTTTTTTAAATAAATTAATAACGTTTTTATTTATTTAATAATCGTGCCGATTTATAAATTTTATAAAACGTTTCGTAAAATAAAAATTTTAAATATATATATATATATTATTTTTACTTAAGATTTTAAATATATTAATTAATATTATTATTTTAAAAAACGGGAAATATTTTTTAACGAATTTAAGTTAAATTTATATAATTTTTTATATGTTTTTAAAAAAATTTTTATTTAAATTAAATATTTCGTTTAATTTTAAATATATTATAAAAGTTATAATATAATTAAATTTTTTAATCGTTAAATTTAATTTTACGTTATTTATATATATATTTATAATTTAAATTATATTAATTTTTTTTTTATATTATTATATAAAAAAATTCTTTTTATATTTTTATAATTACGTTAAATTTTATTCGTATTAATATATAAATATTTTTAATTATATTATTTATATAAAATATATTTTTAATATATTTTAAATTAATTATAATATATATTATACCGAAATAATTAACTTTAAAATTAAAATTTTAATTTTTTAATAATTTAATATAATTTATAAATAATATAATAAAAAACTTTATTAATATAATTATTTTATTTATTAAAAAAACATGTTTTTATACCATTTTTTAACGGGTAATTTATATAAATATATAAATATTTAAATATAACGTTAAAATTATATTAATTTACGAATAATTAAAAATCGCTCCGTGTTTATAAAAAAAGTCATTTCTTAATAATAAATTTAATAATAAACTTTTTTTATAAATTTATATTTTTATTAATAATTATATAATATTTTTATAATTATATTTTAACTTTTTTAATATATTAAAAAAAAATTTCGTTTTCTCGTATAAAATTAATTTTTATAAGTTAATTTTAATTATATAAAAAAGTTTTTTAAGTAAAAATGTTTCGTAATTTTAAATAAATTCGTTTAATTATTTTTTATTTATTATTTAATTATTTACGCCCGAATTTATACATGTTATTAATTTTCTTTTTTATTTATTTAAAATAATAAACTTAAAATTATTAAATTTTTTAATATTTAAATATAATTTTTATATTAATTAAGTTTTATAAATATTTATATTTTTATTATAAATATATTTTTATAATAATAATAATTATAATATTAATAACGTAACATGATATATTATGTTTACGTTATTATTTTATATTTTAAAATTTTTTTATTTTTAAATAAAAAACTTATTTTCGACATTTTTTACGTATAATAATTTATATTTAAAATATTAAGTTTTCGTAAATGTTAAAGCAAATAAATATTTAATATTTTTATTTAAATTTATATTAAAATGAATGTATTTTTTTAACCTTTAGCTCCGTTTTTTTATCGAAAAAAAACCGGATTTTAAATTATATAATTTATATTATAAAACTTAATAAAATTTACGAAAAGATAATAATTTTTTAATAATTTTAATAATGGTAATAAATAATAAAAATAATAATATATATTTATTAAAATAAATATATTTAAAATAATTTAATTATATAATAAATTTATATTTATATTTTTTATATATACGTTTATTTACATTATTAAGTCGAGTTAAATAAAATAATATATTTTTATTAATTTTATATTTTTTTAAAAAGAAATATTTATTTTTTTTTAATATATTTTTTATTTTTAAGTTTTTTTTATTTATTTAATAAGTTATTTTATTTTTTAAAAAAGTTTATCCTTTATTATTACGATTATTTTTAACTTAATATTAAAATTTATAATTTAATTTATATATATTTTTATATTAATGTCCGTAAAATTATAAATTATTATAACGTTATTTATTAAATTTATTTTAATTTTTATCGGAATAACGCGGATGGTTTCGGTTTTAAAATTTATTATAAAATTTATAATAATTTTTTAAATGTTTATAATAATAATTATACGAACGGTTATTATTATAATAATATTTTTAATTTCTTAAATAATTATATAAATTATTACGGTAATTACGTTTTTTTAATAACTTTATTTTTAATCGTTATTAATATTTACGGTTATAATAAAATTTATAATAACTTTTTAATTAAACATTAAAATTATAACTTTAAGAAATATTTTTTAAATAATATATTTTTTAAAAGATATTTTTCTTTTTAAATTTAAATTTATTATAATAAAATTTTATAAATTATTTAAAATTATTTATAAATATTAAACCTTTATTTATTTATTAATATATTATAAATAATTATTAATATAAATTTTAAATGTTAATAAATTAATAAAAATTTATAAATTATTATTTAAAACATTATAAATTATTAATATTTATTAATTTTCTTTAATTATATAAGTAATATAATAACATTTTATAATAAATATAATTTAATTTTTAAAGTTTATTCCGCGGAAATTTAAATTTTTTAAATATTTTATTTATTAAATTATATTTATTACGTTATAAATTAATTATTTAAATTTATTAAATAATTTCGAAAAAATATATTTTATATTTTTTAATACTTTTTTTTTATTTTTATTATTAAATATAAACGTTTATTAAAATTAAGTTCGGCCGCGTAATAATTAAAGAAATTTCGTTTAAATTTATTTAATATAAAATTTATTCGAACATTACGTTTTAATTTAATTAATAAATAAATAAATTAACCGTTAATAAATTTTTTTTTTAATAATTATAATTTTATTAATTTTAATAATAACATTTTAAAAATTAAAATAAAAATATTTAACGTTTTTAATATTTTATTTTTTTAATTTTTTTTATTTATTTCTTAATTTTATATTTACTTTAATTACGTTTTAAACATTATTTAAAATTAATTATACGTTCATTTTAAAGTTTTTTCCCATTATATATTTAATCGTTTATAATAAAATAATAATTTATTAAATTAAATAATATTATTTATTTTTAATAAATAAAATAAAAACAAATACGGTTAAAAAAATAAAAATTAACGGGGTTAATAAAAATAATAATAATATAATTAAAAATAACGCATTTATAAAAAGTGCCGGTAAATTTATAAATAATGCGGGTAATATTAATACGGGGTTAAAATTTAAAATTAATATTATAATTAAAATAATCGGTTTAATAAATTAATTTATTTATATAATTTAATTAAATTTAAATTATAAAATTTAAATAATTTAATTTACCGTAATTATTAACGTTTAAATAATTTAATTTATTATATATAATAATATTTAAATAATTTAATTTATTATACGTAATAACGTTTATATAATTTAATTAATAATAACGGTTAAAGTTTAAATTATTTAATTTAAATATTAAAATATAATAAATAAAATAATTTAAATATTTAAATTAATATAAATTAATCGAAATAAAAATAATATAAATAATAAAATTATTAATTTTAATAATAATATAAATATAACTTTTAATTTTTTAATATTAATTAATAAAATTCGCGTAAATTTTCGAATATTAATAAATTAATTAATGTAATAAAAAATTAATTTAATAAAATTAAATTATTAATAAAATAATTTCGCATTAATAAAATAAATAAAATTAATTAATTAAAATTATTTTTAAAAATATAATTAAAATTATAATTAAAATTAAAAAATTTAACTTTATAACATTTATAATTATTACGTTTATAATTATAATATAAATAATTAATATATAAATAATTATAATTATTATAATTAAAATGTATATAAATAAAAAATAAATAACTTTAAAATATATAAATAAAAAATTTACGTTTAAAATATTTATAATTAAATTATCGTAAATAATTTAATTATAACGGGTAGTTTAATTATAATTAATTTTTTTTTTATTTTTTTTATATAATTTAAATTTTAACGTTTAATATTATTAAATAAATATTTATTATAATTAAATTAACGTTAATTATAATTTTAACGTTTAACGTAATTAAATTAATAATTATAATAATTTTAACGTTTAAAAATTAAATATTATAAATTATAATAATAATAATTAAAATAATAAAATAATAATAAATAAAATTAATAATAATTTTATTATTAATTTTAATTCGTTTTAAAATATAAATAAAAATAAATTAATATATTTTATAATTATTTAAAATACGCGTTTTTAAAAATGTAAATTAATAATTCATTTAAAATTAAAAAAAATAAAAATATTTAAAAAGTTATAAATTATTTTAATAAAAGTTTAAATTAAAAAAATAATATTTTAAAAATAAAAAGTTTTAACGAAATTAATAATTTTCGTTTTTTTAATAATAAGTAATTTTTTAACCGAAATATTTTAAAAATAAATAATAAAAAAATTATTAACGTAAATATATAAAAATTTATTTTAAAATATAAATAAAAATAAAAATAAAACTTAAAAATATAAAAATAAAATAAACGTATAAGTTAAAATATATATAAAAATAAATAAAAAAACGGCGTATAAATTAAAACGTATATAAAAATAAATGGAAAAACGGTGCACGGGTTAATTACATGTAAAAATAAAAAAAAATCCGGGTAAACGCATATAAAATTCCGGTAAATTTAATTTAATATTAAAATAATTATTTTAATTTCGTTATTAATCGTATACGTTATATAATTTATAATGTTTTAATTTTTTTTAATAATTAAAAAAAAAAATTATTAAAAATAAAAAAATAATAAATAAAAAATAAATAAATAATCGTTAATATAAATAAACTTTAAATAATATTAATTTTTAATTTTATTTAATTATTTATATATTTATAAAATTTTCGTATAAATTAATAAAATTAATATTTTATTTTCATTTATATACGGATTTTTAAAGTTTTAATAATTTATTTAAAATAAAAAAATAAATAATAAAATTATAACTTTTAATATTATAAAACCGTATAAATAAAAATATACGGAAAATATAAATTAAAATATTACTTTATAACGAATAATAAATATTAAATATTATTTATTACTTAAAAAATAATACGGAATTAAAATTATTAATTATTAAAAACGTTAATAAAATAAAATAAAAATAAATAAATAATTAATTATTTTAAGTTTTAATAAAATTTAAAAAATCTTAAAAAATTTTATATATATTAATTATAAATTATAATAATTTTTTCTTTCGAATATATATAATTAAAAAACTTAATATATTTATTTAAATATATTTTTTATAATTAATTTCGTATATTAATTATAATTATATTTATAATTATAATTAAATATTTATTTATATTACGAAATTTTAAAGTTTATTAATTAATTTTAAATTTAATAATTACCTAGTTATATATATACAGGGATCCTTATATTGATTACCCCTTTTCCTATGACTAAGCCTTCTTAGCGTGTACCACCTAGTTTGCTTGAGGCATAGCCTACAACTTTCTATATGTACTATAACATTGGCACATTCTCCCACGTACGACCATAGGAGCTAGAATACTCGGGATCCCGTCCGCTCTCCCATAGATAAGCTGGCTACCGCCGGATTAGTAGTTGGGTCGGTGACGACCAGCGAATCCCCGGTGTTGTACGTTTTGGCTTTTTACTTTTTACTTGATATTACTTTATTCCTTTTGAGCTTTCTAGGAATTAATTTTGCAATTTCTGTACCTGCTTATGGCGAACGCAGGACGAATTGACTTCCGCGCGGAGAGCGGCATGTACTTGACTTCATTCACAATTATCGAAATGCCCCACTGTCAACCATCTCATTACAGGAACCCTCTAGATTCAGGAGGGTATCATCAATTGTCTAACCATGCCAAGAGCTTTCATCGCTTGCCACAGATATTATGGCCTTGATACACTCATCTGGGCTCTCCAGCATATGCCAATGTCCTGTATCCTTACAAGTTACTTGCTGCGCGTTCGGTCCAATATCGTTTACAATGTCCGCGCCCACTTCAAGCGTGGATACCTTATCTTCATCGCCGGATAAAATGATAACCTTGCCATTGATCTGACTCCATACAGGGGCCGAGCTCTGAGCCAGAGCATCCACAGCCAGAGCATACCCTTCCGGGTCTTGTCTCGTAAGCATCTCTCTAGCAAATGATACTTCTGCTTTTCGGTTGGCTAAGGATTTGGCTGAGAATGCACTTGACACGACCGCATCAGCGACCGCCACCATCCCCTGCCTTCGTACAATGGAGGAGCGAGTAGTGAGTGCCTTCTGAATAGCTTCGGGGAATGGCCGAACAGCGCCGAACGTCACAACTCCTTTTACTATCTCGGGGTGCTTAGCTGCGAGGTGAAGGCTAATGAGACCACCAAAGGAGTGGCCAACGACTACAACGTCTTTAAGCCCTAAGTGACTAATCACATCTAGCTATACGTTAATATTTCAAATAACTTTGGAGTTATTTAGAGACAAGAAATCTTACCTTCGCAGTCTGCTACGTATGACTCGACGCTGGAACTGGACGGCACGGAGCTTCTACCGTGCCCGGCGAAGTCGAAACGAACGAGGTCAAAGTCGAGCAGATCAGATACTAGGGGCTGGTAGGAGTTCGTTGTCCCACCGAGACCGTGGATGAACAGGACAGTCCTTGAGCCGCTCTTCCCTTCTCTTTCGTAGAAGAGGTTGACGGAGTCACGAAGTACGTATCCGGATGATGTAATTTTAGAAGCCATGTCTTTGTTGGAAACTACGGCCATAGGTATGACTGAGAATGGGAAACATTATTTAGCTTTAAATTATTATTTTCGTTACCGGAATACGTATGGCACCCTACCCGTCGGAATGTTGCCGCCAGGAAAAGTGGGTCGTCGAATAGGGGTAAGTCCTCATCTGCCCCTCGAACTATCCGAGCTGCGGTGCAAGATGTGTACAGTTCAGAAGAGCCCGAATGAATATCATATAAGGAGCATGATCGAGGGCCTTAGAGGCTATCATGCATGATTATCTGATACACCTTAGATTAAAAGGTTACCTATGTACAGATGTGACTTGACTAGGTACTACCTAAGACTTCCACTTCATACATTGCTGAAGCGTTCCATATCGTTATTCTTTGGCTCTACCTACACTAAACTCATTTTGTCTCCCCAGTGCACTCAATTCCACGATCGTAGACTACCCTGAGGCTTCCTAAGCCATGACCTGGCCATGACCTGGTCATGACCCATTCCTAAAACTTCAATCAAAGTTATCAAATAGAGCTACAATGTACGCACTGTACTCTCTAATGGCTGAGCAGGAAATTGATTCTGCTTCGGGTCCTATGATCGAAATAGACGGCGCTCGAATAAGCCCTTTCCCGAACTCGTGGACATTCGCTTGAGTTGTTGCCAGCTTGCGCGCCTTTTCGACAAGGACTGGGCTTCCGTCAATTTCTAAAGCGGCCCCCTTCTTCTCCGATACTTCAAAGACTGCTGAGACAGACATGTCTTTTGGATCGTCTTTCTGCTGGAATATCTCTAATTCTGGGGGTACGACAGGCGGTGATGCCGTAGCTGACGAATCCCAAATGTCTCGACCAACTACTCGCCCGTCTAGGGAAGTCCATCCAACAAGCATGAGGTCACATGAAAGCTCAACTTTTGAGAGGAGCGAAAAGACGCGGAAAGCACTGGTGAAGGACGTCTCAGACAAGCCGCCATCTAGAGGGAAAGCAATAGCTATAGGTGCAATTCCCGCATCCTTCCCGGGTCGAGTTATGTAGTTGTTTCCTGCACTATCTTCCTATATAGATATGTCAGAGATTGTTCAAACATACCTATTGAGGGTAAATGAATTACTGACAGAAAACTGAAGCGACTGGGACGCGGCGAAGTCCTTGAGAGCTCCCCTGAATGTTTTGTTTAAGAGAGTTTGCTGGCTTTCAGTGCTTGCATAGGCCTTTCGAAGATCAGCAAAACTGCTGTCCCCGGACATTGCCGCCGTATCTATGATGGATGAAGAATGCAAGGGGTCGTTAGTTTCACAAGTAGACCACTACTCTTATTAAAATGATAGGTACCTAAGCTTGTCTTCCCCGAAGAATGGGTCACCATAATGAAGCACCATTTTCGAGGGAGACAGTCAACGAATATTGGTGGTTATTTGTTTACTTGCCAGCAGGAGTATTCCCGTCGCGGCGAGAGCGAGATGGGGTAAGATGGTGCGAATAGGGGGGACTAGTGGACGGGAAGATGCCGAGATGGGTGGGGCATCAGATTGTGGGGTAAATAGCCGAACCGTGCATTCAAAAGAGACCGATCGAGGACTTCGCGCTTTTAACCAATTTGTCATCCGGATCGGAACTCCGATTGCTATTCGGCCGAGTCTTACGAAGAAGGATGTTACGAAGAGGGCTTTTATGAAGAAGTATTTGAAGAATCCTGCATGTTGTGTAGGAAGGAGAGGTTTATAAGCTTGGCATGTCTCCATGACAGTAATAGTTATTTATCTCCTTTTCTTTAACATACTACTCGAAATACTCACATATCTACTCAAACCCTAGGTAGATATCCTCATATTCAACAAAATGCCTGTATATCATATAGGTATGGTCTTACTGTGGTATTCGGAGCCGAATTCAAGTGCTAATGTTGTGATCAAGTGTTAATCCGACTAAAGCCGGGTGTCACACCGGAGTTGTTAGATGAATTCACCACCAGAGCAAAAGCAATGGCGAATCAGGTTCCTGGTAGGTTGCTGCCCATAATTTTTGCTGTAGGTTTTTTATTTTAACCCTCATATTTACCAGGTCTTACAAAGATTGACGTTGGTCCTCCTCTACCCATTACTGCAGATCGCAGCAAAGGCTTTGATATGGCTGTTGTAGGTGTCCTAGAGAAAAAAGAGGACATTACAGTCTATGCCACTCATCCAGCTCACATGCGGTATGCCGATCCCCTAGGCACCTAGCTTTCCGCATATGCTAACACGGAATACATAGTGCTCATGAACTCCGTGAACAGTTGTGCGAGGAAACTCTTGTATATGATTTAGAATTTCCTGCTTAGGAGGGCTATTTAAACCATGTCAAGACCAACTTCATATTCAAACACGGATTATAGACAATGGTTATTATCAATGAGGAGTCAAGCATTGACGGAAATAGAGTTGAAGTACTAAGCCGTGCTTTTCCTGTGGTGATACTGTGAGCGTAGTGGGATGCAAACACCCGGAGATATCGGAATTCCCATTTAAGAAATCATGTTGAGGATCCTCAAAGGCATAACAACGCCATGGCCGTTGTAAAACTCAGACACTCACTCCACTTCTTTGCTTCCGCCTTGGTACTCACTTGTTCGGAGAGCGACTCAATCGCCCATGAAAGGGGAGGCCGGCAGATAAACCTTTGGACACGTCTTAATGATGCTACAGGCCGGCTTTGATTTCGGAATGTTACGAGTGAGATCCGGGCTTCGGCTACCCTCCAGGGTGATTTACTTTGAATGTGGGGTAGTGAGATGATCTTTGATTTATAATCTTCGCCAACTTTTTAAAGAAGTGAAGATAGAGAGAAGCTAGAAAGTAGGTGGTTAACTGTCAATGTCATAATGCCTCAAAGTGATCTTAGTCGCAATAGCAACCCCCGACCATCGCGGAAATATGGATTTGCCTGCTCGAATTGCAGGAGACGAAAAGCAAGGTGCAATGGCGCCATGCCGAGTTGTCAAAAATGTCTTGCCAACAATGAGAGCTGTTCATATGATAAGTGAGTAGTCGAAGACGTTCAAAGTGCGAACACTGGTTTTCATAAGTTCATAGGGCCCCTTCGGTAGCTTATGCTGTATCACTGCAAAATCAATTGCAAGCGTACAAGGACCGAATCGACGAACTCCGGCGAGTGAAAGATGAAGAACGTGATACACTTTTAAACCAACCCATCTACACAATAAGCCCAAATGAAGGCCGGTCTCGAGCATTTCAAAGCACTTCGGATATCAACAGTCCACTCCGGGTAGACACTGCTTCTAAGCAAGACACGACCAACACAGCCGAGATGGCCTCTGTCGGAACAGATGGTCGCGTTTGCTTTTACGGAAAAACCAGTCTGTACCACATCGACCCCCAAAACTTTGAGCCAAATAGTCCTGAGACGAACCATAACACTAGTATCGAAGATAATAGCTACGATATGGCGTATGTGCCTTCTGTATATCCAGAGTTCTGTGATACAGCCTCAATTCTGGCAGAGACCCCATCAGCTCTCCTATCCGACCTTCTCGATACGTACTGGACATATCCACATCACTTGCATTGCGTATTGTGCAAGCCCCTGTTTCTACGTTAGCATATCTCTGTAGTCTCAAATTCCGGGTAGGTACCTATCTAACCGATATATAGGAGACCTATACAGTTCTGGGCCCTATGTGACTCCTTTTCTTCTGTGTGCTGTGCTTGCACAAGCCGCCCGATATTCCACGCGAATAGATGCCACAGAAATTGGACAGAGCTTTGCTGCCAAGGCTTTACAACTGTTGACAATTGATATGGGAAAAGGCAGTTCCATCCCGACCATTCAAGGTCTACTTGTTTTCTCGGCCCGCGAATGCGCCTGTGGTCGTGTGTCTCAGGGCTGGCTTTACTCTGGTATGGCATTCCGGATGATGCGAGATCTCGGGATAGACGTTTCTCCTAAGAAGCTAGGACATCTAGCGAAACAATTCTCTGAGGAAGATCTCGCGGTGCGGCAACAGGTCTTCTGGAGTTGTTATACCTGGGATAAAACCATGAGTGTGTGTGTTGGCCGAGCAGCAGTACTGCACTGCTCTGTGGAACTGCCCACGTCGGATACACTACCATTCGGACGCGAGGCAGACGACGAAGTGTGGCCGCCGACAATAACGAACACTTCACTCGCAGATGGTCTTGTGAAGCAGAAGGCTCTAAGCAGCGCACGTTTCGTAGCATACTGCGAGCTCAGCTTCATCACTGAAAGCATTCTCGACACACTATATTCAAGACCTCATAGCGGGCAACAAGAACACCTCTTAACGTATCTCGACACTACATTGCAGAGGCTACAGTCCTGGGCTGATCGGTTACCTCCAGAACTATTCATCAAAGAAGCTGGCGCAACCATAGTCTCTCCTCCACTGCACATCCTCCTGCTGAACCTAACGTACCACGCAGCTACCATTCTATTATGCCGCCCCTATCGAACCGTTCAACAAACCGCGAAGGAGAAATGTACCAAAGCATCTCAAATGGTCGATACGCTCTTTATATTACATGTCAAACGCTTCGGTTTCCGATATGTTACCTATTTGCAGACGTACACACTGTTCGTCGCCTGCACGATAAACGTACTTGACTTTACTGAGAACGACGACGCGGCTGGAGACTCGAAGTTGGCTCGTGAAGCGAATGCAAGGCTTCATTTCGGGCTCGAAATTTTCAGACAGGCAAATAGCACGCCGGCTGCAGCTCGATGCGCCGCCACCATTTCTCAACTATTTCAGAGGCAGAAGACATCCAAACAGAATGAGAAATTGAATCCAACGGCTCCAATAAGAGTCGATCCTCTGACGACAGACGCAGTCGCCAATTCGAGTGCTCAGGAACCTGCCGTAACCCCTTTAGCGGCGAATCCGCCCCTTCCAACACTATATCAAGCACAAGTCACCGCTGAACCGATAACTACGAATGATCACTCAGGCGCCCAAGATCGTAATTTGACCGAACCTTTTGACTTTTCTCTCCCGATTGAAACGCCGCTCAGGTGGCTACCGGAGAATGTCCAGGATGATGGAAGTTGGATGTTGATGACGGACGTGAATTTCAATAGAGACTTCGAGTTCCCATCTATGGCAGAGTTCTCATAATCTAGAAACATGTTCGTGTACTAAAGTAAAAAAAAAAAAAAAAAAAAAAAAAAAAAAGGGAGACCAACACTTAAGAACCAACAGGCTTAGTTCCAACACATTAATACGTTAACCCCCCGTTCGCCAGGCCCTAGGAGCCTTTTAGAGCTAGTACTTTTCTTTATTTTTAGTCACAATTGTACCGGCATGCCCTCAAAGAGCGACTACAAAATTCGGCCTCGCGCCGCCTTAACATCTTCACTGAGCAAAAACAACAACATCGATCTATTCAGCCCCTCTATTAAACACCAGATTTTGCTAGGAATAAATCATTTTCCATCCTTCGCCATGTTCGAGCAATTCCAACCACGCCATATCCCCGTGCTCTTTTCAGCAACCGTGATGACCTTCGGTGGGATGTGGTCTTACTTCGATGCGCGAGCTGCTATGCTCGAGTTTGGCCTCCCGGACCGCATCGCTAGCACGCCCGCTGCGTCGGCAGTCATGCACATCAACAACGCCCGCACGACTGTCCTCGGCATGTGCATGTATACCCTCTACTTTCGCCGTGAATTCACCGCCTGCGATACCATCCTCGCCATCTTGGGCGCCTACGCAGGCCTGGTCGACAGTTATGTGGTGTGGAGGGAGGGAAATCCACGCAAGGCAGCCTTCCGCCTCGCGAGCTCATGGCTGCTGTCCGCTGTGGGGTTCGCTGGGTGGACTGCGGGTAGCTAAATCAGCGGCCTGCGTTGGTGCAAACAGAAGGTCCATAGTGCTAGAGTTTCCCACTAATTCATGCAAGGGGGGTAGGCGGGATATTGGGGGCTATCTTAAATTCACACCTCGTTCGTTCGAGACTTTCCGGAGCCTCGTCTTTCTACTACGTAGTACCTCTCTCTGTAGCTGATCCTTCCATAACTGCATTTCCGATGCCCCCTCCGATTTGTCGATGTTCAACAGTTCGTTTTAATTTAATGATGGCAGTCCTTGCCGTCTGCCCTTGCAAGAATGATCTGCAAACATGAGCTTGGCTGTGGTAGATACCTACATGCTCTTGTGAAAAGTTACCGGCGAGTGAATTACAGCGGCACGCTGTCTTAACTCTGGCTGATGAATTCTCAACTATCACTGCTCCCCAAGCAAATAGGGTTTTAAGTGAAGCGAAAACGACATCTTCTACCAAGTGAACCAATGGATAGCCCCTAGCTCTCTGAATTATCAGAAGCCGACATCTTCTTTACATAGAAATCAAGTCCAATATGGCTGATCGGGAGTTGGCGCTGCAAGTTCCAGACTCACAAGTCGAAGTTAGAACTGAGAAGGATGAGTCCGAATCATTTAAACCTTCATGGCGCATCTGGACCATCTTCTTAGTGCTGTGTATGCTATCCCTCATGGCCTCCATTGATTCAACCATCATCACCACATCTTTGCCGACAGTTACGCGGGAAGTCGGCGGCGCCGGCCAATACGTTTGGATCGCGAATTCGTACTTGTTCGCGTGCACCGTCCCGCAACCTCTTTACGGCCAAATCGCAAATATCTTCGGCCGCCGCAATCCGCTCTTCGTCGCAATCGCTCTCTTCACCCTCGGCAGCGGTATCGCCGGCGGTTCTCATAATGTCGTCACGCTGATTGCCGGCCGCACCATCCAGGGTCTGGGGTCTGGTGGATTGTACGTCTTATCCGATATCATAATTTGCGACCTAGTTCCGTCCCGATATCGCGGCCCTTATATAAGTGCCGTGCTTTCTACCGCTGCTATCGGCGCCACTATAGGACCTATCATCGGCGGCGCGCTTGCCCAAGCAAACTGGCGTTGGATATTTTGGATCAACTTGCCAGTCATGGGCGTCGGGCTCCTGGCCATCGCTCTCGCGCTCAACGTACAATACAAACGCAGTCCTACGTGGCTCCACGCAATATCCCGCGTCGACTTCCTGGGGAACGCGATATTCATACCAAGCATGACGGCCATATTCTTCGGCTTGATCATGGGCGGTCAAGACGGCTACCCTTGGGGGTCGTGGCGCATCATTCTCCCGCTCGTCCTGGGCGTCCTCGGCTGGGTCGCTTTCCACGTCCACCAATCATCACGTATCTGCCGTGAGCCCAGCATGCCCACCCGGCTCTTCAAGCACCGCACCTCAGCCGCCGGGTTCCTCATGATCTTTCTCGCGGCAGTCATCATGCAAGCCACGGGGTACTTCCTACCAGTCTACTTCCAAGCCGTCAAAGGCGTCACCCCCTTGATGTCCGGAGTATCCTTCCTACCCTTCGCCCTGGCCATCATCCCGTTCGGCGGGCTCGCAGGCGCCTTCCTATCCAAGACAGGGCTATACAAACCCCTACACTGGGCCGGCTTCGCGCTAAGCGCCGTCGGGACCGGGCTCTTCTCCACATTACGCGAGGACTCGAGCCGCGGCGCCTGGATCGGGTTCCAGATCATCGCAGCCGGCGGGATCGGCCTCGTGTTCACGGCGACGCTCCCCTCGACGCTCGCGGCGCTGCCGGAATCCGACGTCGCCGTCGCCACGGGCACGTACTCGTTCGTGCGATCGCTCGGCCTGGTCTGGGGCGCGACGATGGCGGCCATCGCCTTCAACGGCCAGGTCGACGCGCACCTCAACCTCGTCGCGGACGCGGGGATCCGGCGGCTCTTGGTCGACGGCGGCGCATACACGTCTGCGGGCAAATTTACCGCGCTGCCGGACCCGGCCAGGGGCCAGGTCATCAGGGTGTATGAGTTGGCGTTGAGGGCCACCTGGCTGGTGTTTGTCGGCGTGGCGTGTCTAGGGTTTCTCGTCGCTTTTGTTGAGAAACACGTTGTGCTGCGCAAAGACCATTCTACCGAGTTCGGACTTGCCGAGAAGCCAGCCGAGGAAGAAAAAGCGGAAAAGGGGGTGGATATAAGCTCTCCAGATACCAAGCCATCTAGCGACGTAGACTGAGGGTTTGCAGAAGTTGATGTGGGACTAAAAGCACTGGTGTTGGGACATCGACGTGTATTTTATAGGTAATCTAGGTAGGTAATCCGTAGTCCTATCCACAAGGGGAGTGGTTCATCGATTCTTCCAATAGGCCAAAGGTTTGAGGTCGAGAAAATCTTCCACTATGGCCATTCAACGTGCACCTGAATTTGTAGTTAACTGAAGTCTGCCATGATCAGTAGGTATACCCAAAAAGAGCCATCAAGGGTCAAACCTCTCTCAATTAATAGCTTAGGGAGCTGGGTATCTCGCAAGATGTCGCCACAAAAGCAACGACAACAACCACTATATACACGCGTCGTCATTCGTCATACATATCCGTCCTCATAACCCGCGTCCTGACTTTTTAAACTGTTGCTGTTGTTGGTAAAGTTTTCCTGTGATTCTGCAATTTTAAACCGACCCCGCCAGACCGCCTTTTTACTGTAGTAACAGTCCATTTTTTGGTAGATGCGAAAAGATTACTTCCTCTCCTATATGCTCATGCAACTCTCACAACGACCTTCCACCCCAACGCGCCGGCCTCGCGTATAGCACAGGCCAGACATCCTCTCCTGCGGCGGCTAATCACCGCGTTCCAGCCCCTCTCGGCGCAGAGTGCACGGACCAAGATCTCGAGGTCGGATCCGAACTGCCTCCTACGGGTTCCGAGCTTCATTCGAGACGAGGGGCTCGGGCTCGGGGGATCAATACGCTCTACCCTACTACGGGATGACGCGGCGGTGCTAGGTCGCCTTTCCAGATCCAGGGAGCCAGGCATGCGAATCGGCGGTACCGCGGTAGGCTCCATACCAAACGACGACGAGAGCGAGGACATGCGGGACAAGGAGGGCATGTCAGGAGACTGGGGTGGAGCAAATCCGGTTACGCAGTCAATGACGAGGAAGCGGGGTAACTTGTTAGAGACCGAAGACTGGGATGAGCTCCTTGTGTGAGTGCGGGGTGCAGGCTTGCTGAGTAAATCGTCTAGGCTGCTGGAGGGTTGGTTAATGAGATCTACGAGGTGAATCGCGGTATAATTGTAATATCTATGAAGTGGGTGGCCTGGCGTGTGTTAGTAAAGGCGGATTGCGTACCTCACGGGTCGGAGGGGAGCTCACCTGTGATATGTGCCGGGCTGGAGGACTTCCCATTAGTATCATGGCCGCCGACGTCGATTTGTTGAATGGTAGGGCTAGTGGGTGATTTAAAATATTTAACATAACTGGAGGCAACGCAAGGGTGCGCCGTGACAAAATTAACATCATTAGTAAGCGTGAAGTTGTGATATTCGTCCTGGTCAAGTGAATCATGAGAGATCGTAAACGTCGTAGAAGCAGGGTATGTACGAATTTCCGGTTCCTTCTCCTTGCTGGGTTCGGAGAATGGATGGAAACCCTTATCTGCTGTAGGCGTTGTGCTTACGCTATCTATCGGAGCGTATAAATTCAACGACTTCAGCTCTATTCTGATGTTCGAAGGCGGCGACTTCACATATGCGTTTTCATATGGAATAACAAAGTCTGCCGGTAGCACATTAGAAGGCTCGGCATCGCCTAGAACATCAGATTCTCGTTCTATGATAGTTTTGCCATAGATCCGAGCTTTTCTCCCCGTTCGAGCAAGGTCGGCTGCAAGTGTAAGTAGCGTGGAATAAAAAAGATTTGAATTCTCTCAGGCTTACCTGGCATAGTATCAACAGTGACATTAACCCACCCCTCATCAAGCCCGCGTGGAACTACGTCGCTTGATATCCAGCCCATGCACTCTGCAGCACCTTGACCGGCGGCCAGAACGCGACCCACAATGCAGGACGTGCTCCAGAAACTCTTCCCGCTGTAGACGAATCCGCCACAAAGGCTGGCTCTCGGACCAAGCCTTGGCAAGGCATTTTCGTCAACTTCGAGTAAAGCTGACATAAGATAATGAGACAGCATGTCACCAGGTAAAATTAGACCGGATATGTATGACTTCGAAAACCAGCCAGATGCATGCAGAGCTGCTTCGATCTTCCGTCTCCTAGATGGCTGTCTTCTTTTAGGAATAGATGACTTGGCATTAGAGAAATATGAAGACCGTCGTGAATCAAACGAAACTGGAGGTGCCGTGATAGATGTTCCTTTACCTAGCGCCATAGCCTTCTCAGCTACTTTTGGTCCGGAGAACTGTATATCTGGCCAACGTAGCTTGCGCGCAAAATGTATTAGTCCATAAACTTGTCTCTCGGTGTACCTGCCCTGAATTGCGTACGCATATTCGGATTGAGCATTGTGACGATACTGGCTATGGTCAACATGATGTGCTCCATACATGTGCTCATGCTTTAGATTCATCTTGCTAGTTAACGACGAAAGCCAACCTTTGGGCGTGGATGGCTCAGAGTGGGACGTGTTTGTTTTCGTGACGTTGATGTTTTCGAGCCATGCTCGAGCAAGGATCAACGACCATTTGACGGAGATGTTTGCCTCCTTTTCAAATCTACGAACCTCGGACGCCTTTAGACTCTCGCCCAATCCATTCTCGTCACCGTCGGTGATGGCATCCAACCGGATGAGAAGCTCGCAGGCAAGAAGAATTTGGAGCAGCAGCCAGTATCGTTCTTCGCTTCGATCCTGGGCGTCTTTCCCCTCATTTATCGAGACCCCGTCAAAAATCTCATCGTCCATGGGGAAGGCCCACAAAATTTGGCCGAGGCGAACTCTCCATTCGACACGGGAGAAATCAATCCAGGCATTTGGTGCACCCAACACTTTTACTAAGGCCGAGATCTGTACAGCAAGACTGTAAGGATCCTTGGGGTCAATGACCCTCGTCGGCGGATAGAGAATTTTACTGAATAACTCGGTGTAAAAATCCTGGGATTTCATCCGGATCCCACTTCTCTCCGCCTGGTACCTCTCCTCATTTTTCATCAGCTGTTCCATGATGGTCGAGTCGTCCAAATGGCGCAAGCCGTCCTTGGACGTGATGAGTTTCTGGCGTTGTTCTACGATCACATGACCCTTAGAACCCAGGCTGTCGAAGCCATACTGCTCCTCCTGCAAGGCGTCAGCGACAGAAATCTCCAAAGCAGCTTGGTAACCGATCGTGCCCTTTTCTAGGCCTTGCATGCTAAGCATGCTTGGCCGTTCCTGACACCTTGCATTAAAGTGAGGACGCTTCGTGCCGGGCGGCGATGCCACAGACATGGGGTCGCGATGAATAATACGCGGCCACGCAGTGATACAACCCCAGGCATCGTCGGTGATCTGGACGTGGTCAGCTAGGTCTCTGATGCCCAACTCGTCATTCCAGGGGAAAGCCACGGATGGGTGCGGGGCTCCGGAGCCGTGACCTTGAGACCGAGCGAAGAATTGCGGAGCCCCGGAGAAGAGTTTCTCTATTTCGATTTCAGTTAATGAAGCCATGATGCGTTTTAGCTTCAGCACGGGTTTGGGAGGTCTGCCATCGACTTTGTCTATCGTGCCCGGGGGAGGCGGAGACGGAAGTGGTTTGTTATAGTTGAGAGAGCCTGGGCTGCCTGGGGAGCGCGGAGATAACAGCGGCCTCTCAGACGATGTCCGCGTGCTCGAAACTTGGCGTGATGCAACCTAAGTAATTAAGCAATTGTTAGTTGCCACTGACAAGTCTATAACAACTCGTCGAGTCTGGTATTGGAAATTATGTAGATGTAAAAACACGTGCTATTGCCTTATACCAAGACAATAATCTAGCTGTGCGGTTTAATAGTTCCTGCTATTCGAATAATTGAGAAATGAGAATAAAATTCAAGAAAAGAAAAAACAGCGCAATGCAGGGTCTAGGCACGAAGAATCAGCTGAGGTCAGAAGACGATTTTAGGGGGTTTCGCGTCTTAATCCCACATTGGACTGAAAAGGGAAAATTGTATTGGTTCCAGGTTTCTGTAGGTTTTTGTACTTCTGATTCGTACTTCGAAATTGTATGTATTTGAGAGCTAGGGGTTGCCTGCAGGTGCTTCGTGCTGCAACTGCTGGTAGAGATGGTAGAAATTGGGAGGATCGACTCTTGTGAGCTGTTTGGCAACTGTGCCAATTGTTGCAATTGCTGCAATACTCCAATCCGCTCAGCAAATAATAACGAACGATGAAGAGTCAGGTACCTGGTACCAGTTGGCAAGTGCCCGAAAAGGGATGGGGGATAATGCGTTTTAGAGGGTAGGAGCGGTAAGGGTAGCGGTAGGGGTTACTAAAAGAGGAAATATGCTGTAGGTTACAGTACCGTGGTTTCCGCAGCGTTGACTTTCATTGGTTTCTCCGCACCACTTACACCTGCACCTGTGCCAGCACCGAATGTACTTGTACTTGTGCCCGTCCCCGTTTGTGCACGGCGTGCTCCGAATGCGCCTAAGCTCCCAAAGGTTAGGCCTAAACCTAAAGTTAAAGCTTCTGAAGATTCCTTTTCGTTTTCGCCTTCGTCTTCGCCTTCGATTTCGAGCCCATCTTCATCAACATCCCGTCGTTGAGAATCTCTTTCTCCAATTTGCATACCGGTCGCTCTGATATCTTTCCTCAATTTATTCCGTGCTCGTATGGAGTTGGTCTTACGAATCTTTTCTCTTGGCCGACGTATAAACCCTCGAATGCCAGTGCAATCAGTCGACCGTTTCTGCCGGTTGCCATCTCTTGGTTCCTTGGCATCTTTAATGAAGACCAGTGCTGAACGTTTAAACACCGCCAACGAAGGCATCCTGATGAACTCGGCTTGTGTCGCTATTCGGCCGTGCAAGGCGTCAGGCGTGACGTCCAACGGCATGCAGCGCAAAACTTGCATCGAAATGTTACAGAACGAGTCTGTCGTGTGTCGTTATGATAGTGTCATGAGTGCCATGAGGACGACTGCCAAGCCAACCACTTCCAGTTGGGATTAAAATGGAAGCGAAATTTCGAGCCCAAAGAATACAAAATAAGACAACTTAAATCATCTCACAAAGTTGATGGTGGATACACTCGACAGCCGGTGTAAATGTCAAGATCGCACCTTCGTGAAGATCAGGCTGGGCGGCGCAGCCTATTTTTAAAAGCAAATCTTACTACATAGGTAGGTTCTTATGTCACTTATCCAGCATTCGGAACCTATCTCCCTATGTATATCTCGGACCGGTAACCTTCTCCGAATCGTCAGGTCTTAGTGTATGCCATGAGCCGCCAAGTTAGCGTCGAAAAGTGCCGGCCTTCTGGAATCCACGATAGATGGATTTGGGGTCATTGGTCTTCTCACCCAGCAAACACCCTTGCATCCAGGCTGTGATAACCATGGATGGTGAGCGATATAATCAGCCGGTAAGCTAGATATCGTGCATATGTCCAATTTGTTTCAAGTCAACTTCACAGCTCATAGGTCCCGTACATGGAGTGGACAGGGACTTTTCGCTGTACGGATCTCTACGGATTTGGTAACTTCAGAATCCCCTGGCGAATAATTTCGGTCATTCGACTCCAAAGGCCAATAGGACCGTGCGCTTCGCGCCCCGGCAGTCGTGGCATTCCTCGAGAGAAAAGCCACACCGACATTAACGGGCGTTTTATACCATCCACGTTGTTTCTGGGGCTCCAGGGCTCAACTAGTAGTTTCAGCTGTCATGCTTTACGTGGCTTGTGTGGGTGGTCATCAGAAGTTCAAAAGATAGTAGATCCTAAGATCCACCCGAACCGGACTTTCGAGCCTCTTCCGCTTTTCTACTACCCCGTTCGGGCCGCGAGTCCATCCACTTTAGATAGGCAACTTACGTAGTATGAGCTACTGCCAATTGCAAACAGCCTAGAGTTTCTACGATACATTAGAGCGTGACCTAGCTTCTATTATTGTGGGAAGTTCACGACCTATCTGACATTTCGAAACAATGCCAATAATACGAAGTTGTATTGACCTCGATTTCTAGCTTACAATGGACACGTCCTTTGGCTTTTTTTTGGTTAGGTCCCGAGCCCTACGGTAATGGGTCTTTTATCTCAACTTCAAGCCGAAAGATCCGGCTATTTTTGTGAATTTACATGGTACACACTAACCAACCTAGGCCGAAACACAGTCCCTAAAACCGTGTCCGTCTCGAATATTTCAATGGAAGTTCTCAGTTCTTCTCATTGACTATATACCTGTATTTAAAGCGATATTAAATTTGAAGTCGCCATATCCGATATGATGTGAGAGCCTCAGATGCGACTATTAGTCAGGTAATATTATTACCGACTACCCAGCTCAATCGTTCGATTTTTTGGAGTTGATATCTTGAGAATGGTTGCCGGATGACTATCCTAGTTAATGTAAGTTTCACCTGCATATGTCGTTTCTAGCGTCTACCGATTTTCGTCCTACTGATGCATCAAGGATCCCATAGTACCTTCGGTGCTGACTGCAACTTTTCTAGAATCGCTCAAAAGGTGACAAGGCTGTCGATCAGCTGCAACTAACGGCGATCATAGGCCAACCCACCTCATCTGAAACAAACGTCGAGATCCCCAGAATCTTACGTACCTACAGCTGAGTTGGCCTTAAGCCGTGACTAGCTAGCTCTTACTGTCAGACAGACAAGTTGTCGTATACCCTTTGGGTTGCCCACCAACTACTGAGTAACAGCAACGACTAATTGATGTTAAACAAGGCTTACATCATTAACTAGATTCTTATGTTGGTAATATAAGTTTTCAATCGGTTTGTGTCTTCCGATGCATGGGTACTCATTCAGAGCTACGCTCATTGGTGCAACTTATACACATTTTAAGCCACAGCAATACAATCCAATTAATAACACAGGTTACAGTCCCGATCTCTTGCCAAGACCACATATGTCAATCTAATGTTTCGTGGGTAGGTATAGCTATATTGTCTCGCAGGAACAGGCCTGTACGGCCACGGTGTGTCGGATCGGATATGATTCCGCGGATAATTGTTGTCTGTCGAGAACAAAAAGTCCCGACGACTGCTCAGAACCAAATTAGCGGCAGATATGCTCATGGAAGGTGCGGGAATTAGAGCCCAAACGTCTAGCGAGTGTCCAGACGTTGGAGCTCCATCCGAAAATCCATCGGCAGCCTCTTATAAGCCCGCGTGTGGAGTTGAGACATGTTTCATTATAGCCACTCCTGGGCAAAGTGGGATCTTGGTGGTTACGGATACAATACAATATGTGCGGTGAGCCGCCGTGGTCAGAAGTCACTCGGTGACACCAGCAGCCTAGCATACGAATATGCTCGTTTATCTGGTTGTTGAAAACAAACGAATCCGAATGTCAACAGTAAATCCTCTCTATTAGTAAGTCTTAATATTAGGCGCCCCTTCATTGAAGGAACAAGTAGGAGTAGTCGCTTCGACGAACTCCCTGTTCTTCTAAGGACAATTAGGAACCACCACCTCTTTTTGTCTCTGCGCTCCTGGAGTTCATTATTGGGTCTAGAAGGCGATTTGTTGCTACTATTCCAATATTATATCGAGCATAGCGGCTCCACACGTTGGATTAAATATGGACAAGGCAAACCGCAAGCTTATTCAAGATGACGGATGGCGCCACCAAGATACTACTAACTCGTCCTCACGAGGAACCAGAAAACCAAAAGTAGGTTTAGACTCACAAAACAGCACCCGGCGCCGTGGGCTTGGGACTCGTAGGAATAAACGAACGTAAGCTCTAGAGGTCAGCGGCCGCCGATGATCAAGAGGCTTCCTAAAGAGGGGCACTTCTAAAAGCCCTGCCTTCCAGAATGCCATTTCACGATACTGTGGGTGGAGCAGCAAATCGATTACATAAGACATGGTAAGTTGAGTAAGGTAGTATTACGATGAGAGCTAGGGTGTGTTGCCAGCACCTATTCAGTCATACTCAGAAGGAGTAGTACATTGTCCTTCGATATTCATAGATATTCGTAATAACAATCGGAGTAGGTGTGATGGCGTTAGCAAACTGCTGTTGCATAATGCGCTGCTTCAGCAGTAGTTGAGAGCGGGCTAGGACACAGGGGAGGGTTCCCTGACTTCGTGTAGGGTGGTAGGTCGGCGGTAGACAATTTGGCGTAGTCTTCAACACAGGAAGTCTGAGCAGGGCGATAGACATCGAAACCACCTTTGAATTGATGAGCACATTGCAACCCAAAGTCAGCGGGCCGACTTGGTCGTCATCCTATACCCTCCAACACGATTGCGCTAGACTTCTATGGGGCTGGTACCTTGCGTAAACCGACCATGAAAGGCTTCCTGTTCCCAATGGTGTTATATCCACAACACCATAGCCCCTAGTTAGAGGCAGCAGGAGTTCCAACACTAGGATGGCCGATCTCAGAGCCCAACCCAACCCGCCATCATATCATCAAATCAATTTCATTCCGGCAATCTTGGGTATAATGCCTTCCCGAACGCCGCCAAACGCCGCGAATGCCATAAGTACTAGCTTGACAAAGCTAGACTAGGAGTCTTCAAACTCGATAAATGCTTCAGATATATGCCATAATGTTACACGGGAGGCGTGTCGTGGACGACGACTAGTAGATACTTGAGCTCGGGCACGATGACGAGCTCTTGCTTCTTTGTGCGCAGCCTAAGTAGCTTCAATTCATCCTAGACCGACTTGTCAGCCCCTCATTTCGTCGCACTGTAAAGTAGATAGGTAGTCTTTGTAGCACTGCTTACCTCGGAATCAATTTCGTCGACCAAACTCCCCGCAGTGCTCAGAAAAGTCCAAACCATGCTCCCGAGCTCCTGGGCGGCCTGGGTCTCATTGTTGGTGTTGGCGTTGACGTCGGTTGAAAAAGAACCGCCAGCAGGGTTCGGCAGCGGGAGTGAGGTCTTATTATTGCTATCGGTGGCAGTAGATAGTCGCGCGGGTCGGATGGCGGAGATCTGGCCGTTGGTCTTGAGGACAGCGCCGTTGGACCGGTCGAGCATGAGCCATGCTTTGACGCCGGGTTTCTTAGAGAGCCGGTGCAGGGATTCTTCTATGGATTCCGTGTTGATGGTGGGCTAAGTTGTTAGTTAGATACCCTTTTTGTGAAGGAGGATAGAGCTTACTAGAGGTTTCTCGGCCATTTTGTCTTGTTTGTGAATTAGAGGATTACTTCAAGCTCTTCAGCTGTTTGTTGAATATTCCAGTGCCATGGGACTCAGTTTTAGGGGCCTAAGTAAATAGCTTAAGCCACTTCAGCCACTACGTAGCATCGCTAATAAGCCACGCCGATAAGATAAGAGCGACATATTGTAGCTAACCTGAATTGGATTATGCCGCTAATTACCGCCAAAAAGTTCAGTTGCGACTAAATGAAGGACATCAAAATGAAGAATCTTAACGCAAGATTCAAATGATTACGCCGAAATGATACTGCAAATTGCCTAAGTGAAATCGTTGCACCGAGTCTTTCTGGTCCCAATGACCGAGTCAAGATGGGTTCTAGTGCCAAGAAGAAGAAGGAAAAGAAGAAGGATTTTCAGAAGCCCAAGCTGAAAGTAGGAAAAGCCAAGCCAAAAGCTTCCAATTTCACAGATACCAGCTTTAAATCCAAAGGTATGATATCCTTCCCACACATATGTCTCATATATTATCATATTATGTAGTTCATGACTAATTAGCCGCTCATTAATAGCTATCGTATTACAACAGCAATTGGCTGAGAATGCGCCGAATCCGATTGAACGATTCAAGCATAACCTGTCTCTGACGGCCTCCCGCACAGATACTCAACGCAGAGATGCGCTATCGTACCTTGCCGGCCAGCTGTCCACCTCCCCGCCGACAAACCCTGTAGGCACGTCGACGTTACTTCAAAAACTTCTGCCCATGATGTCTGATTCATCTGGACCCGTGCGGAACCAGTTATTGAAGCTATTACGGAATCTTCCTGCTGATGAAGTCCGGCCCCACGTTGAAAGGATTATGCTTTACATCCGAGGGACCATGACGAATATCTCGCAGGAAGTCAAGGACGATGGACTTAATTACATGGAATGGCTGCTTGATGTCGCTGGAGAGGACGTCGTCTCAAGTCCTGGCTGCTGGGTCAAGCCGCTTCGAGACTTCATGTCCGTGCTAGGATGGACAGTCAAGATCGCCCCGGCCACCACGGCGAAAAGCGGATGGACATCCGCGCCTAGAACAACGTTCGGCGCCAAGAAATACGGACAATCCTTCCCGCGACAGATGCTCATACTCTCTAAATTCCTCGAGATAGGATTTAAGCCGAGTGAGCCCACATCCTGGTCTCCCAACGATTGGTTTGGCAACATAGGCCACGTACCGCGGACTCCAGACCCATTTGGATATCTTGGTTTATTCAAGCCTCCCAGAGATGAAGATGGCGAGATCTACCGCAACAGGGAGGACAGACAGGACGTCTTTCAAAGAAGATTCATGGCCGCGGTCGAGACCGGCGTAGATATGGCTAAGAAAGAAGGGGGAACTGCTGGGAGAGCTGCAGCAACGCTGGATCAGGTTCTGAGAGATGGGATGGCCGATTATGAACAGAACTCACGACTCGACGATGATGATCACTTGTGGGATGGATATATAATGTAGCTAAATCTCGATACATCATCGATATACTCTACGAACAAAACCTATAACCAACAAATTTGCCCTTCCGTTCCAACCATACACTTGACGTGTATATAAACTTAACTCACCAATATCTTTTCTAATTATGTATCGTATCCTCCTTTTATATCAGTCTGCTATTACATAATAGTCGAAATTCTTGGCAGCCCCCCTATGTACCGCACATATGTGCCTAAACATAATTGTGATAGACTATACACAAGTTATCAAGCATTAAACACGCGATAGTCCTTATGTGCCTCAGATACCTGTGTCAGGCAAATTTTGACTTAGTTCATGCGACATGACGAATCTTAGTTGTTTACTAGGTATTCATTAAAACTTCTTCCAGATTTCTCAGGTCTCTTGATAAATTCCCAATAATCTCTGCTTGGTCTATTCGCCTTCATATTTACTGCCTAGTATCTAGGTACCCACTACGTCCATGATTTGTCACCAGTTCCTACCCAATATGATTATGGGCTCTGAGTGACTTTGCAGTGGCAACGATTAGGCGTATACTATAGTAACTGTTCCGGGCGGCGGATAATTGTTCCCACTGGAGATAAAAGTCATCGACAATGGATATAAAAGAGCCGCACTGGCTTCCAAGGTTTTATTATGGCAACCAACATGAATTCAATGAAGCACCTTCCATAGATGCTATCAGTACAAGCAAAGGCCCCTTCCTCATAAGAATACTGTACCTAGATACTAGAATCTCCCTAGTGTTACCTTGACAAAGGCAGCTTCGACCCTTCGAGATAGGTATCCTAGTAAATATAGGTACATACATCAGTTTATGTATTGATATGCATAAGTGTATAAACGTGACGTAACATCATCACCATCATCGTCGCTTCCCCCTTGTCACCTTAGAACTCGAACGACCTTGCCGCGTGAGCCCTGACCGATCATATAGGTACTTATCTCCCAGGTGTAGTATAATGGACATCACTCGTACAATCAACAGCCACATATAGACAGCTGTTGCCAATCCGCAGAACAAGCCGCCTTTGAAGCCACCGCCTACTGCCTAGTGCCTGGAAAAACTATTTAACACCAGGTGGGATTCCCTCTCAGAATTCTTCCCACCTTCTTCTTCTCACCTTCTTCCCATCTTTCCTTTGTTTACCCAATCCTTTTGCCAACACCCTTCACATCATCATTCGTGAATCTTCTGAACAGATCAAATCTGCTCACAAGATTCATCCACAGTGAAAGGTAAGTATCATTCTCATTCTCATTTTCAAAAAGAATTTCCTGTCTCCGTTACCACCACCATCACCTTGGTCATCGCCCATAAAATTATATCCCATCCCAGAAAGAACTTCACACACATCTAGGTACCTATACGTTTCTTAATCCTTCTTGTCTCGCCACCAGTAAAAACACTCATTTCCTTCCCCATAAGCCTCTGCTTCCTACCTGTCTTTCACCATAAGGTAATCATCTTCTCCCTCCCCTTCAAATACGAACCTTACTTCCTCGTTGCAAACTCATCCGTCGATCGCACCCGTTCCTCCTACCGTTCGGTAAACATCCTTTTACGTGTCCCACACCTTCCAAATATCCATCCATCTTCCTTCATGTACAAAAGTCACCAAGGCTTTCCTACTGTATACGCAATAATTTCCTAGCCCCATTTACAAAATTAAACAACTCCTACCATCATTCTGCTTTACCGGACCCTGTATGGGCCCTTATCTCCTCCTCCGATCTGGCATTAAATTTCTAACTTGATTTTGCTAGGCACTTCGTTGATCTTGACAATCTGATAGGATATGTAAGTATTCATTTCCCCGGGGATTTCCTTGTTTTTTGCTATGCGCCTTGTCTCTCCACCGACTGGATGTGTATTTTTTTTCTCGCGAGTCGCACATCCAAGTACCTATACGTCTTCCGAGTTATTTACACTCGGAAGCGCTGTGCTCGACTTGTACATCACGGGGAATGTCACATGAAGTGGGCTTCTTTTGCTTGACCTTCAATTTATCTCGCCATACCCAATCTTGAGAAAGAAAAAGAAAAAAATCTTTATATCCATGCTAATCAAATTTCTCCAGCCTTTACGGAACGACTATCAATCAATCAAGCAATATGTCTGCTGACTGGGGAGTCTCGGATATGAAGGCAGCGCTTCCTGAGCAGGCTGCCGGCTCGTCCAAATCGGAGGCGCCTAAGCGCCCTGAGAAGCCGGTCGGTGATTGGGGCCAGCCCTTCAATTACGACTACACTGAGACCGATGTCGACCGCCAGTGGGGTGGAAATGGAGCCGTGTATGAGTGGCAGGGCGAAGAGGGTGAGGTTGCCCCTGAGAATCCCGAGCTGGAGATCCAGCTGTTCGGTGCTCCCGACGAGCGATTCGGTGCCGGTCTTGACATCTCTAAGTAAGTCTTATTTCCATAAGTTTCATGAACTTGATAGTCAACTAACTAAGCTAGGATCTACTCTATCAACGTTTCCCAGGAGGGTGAGACGCGAATTGCCCCTATCTTCAAATTTGAAGCTGCCGGTCTTCACCCGGTTATGTTGAAGAATGTCCAGATGTCAGGTTACGTAACACCGACCCCGATCCAGAAGTATTGTATCCCAGCCATCAACATGGGATATGACTTGATCGCCATTGCTCAGACCGGTAAGTTTTCATACTGCTATTGAATATGAAGGTCTGTAGTTTTGTTGACTCTATTTCAGGCTCAGGCAAGACCGCAGCCTATCTCATCCCTATCTTGAACCATCTGATGGGCAAGGCCAAGAAGCTGGTCCCTCGTCGCCCAACTCCCAAGGAATTCGACGAGGGAGCCAGCCTCATTCGAGCTGAGCCACTAGTCCTGATTGTCTGCCCTACTCGAGAGTTGGCAATTCAGATCTTCGATGAAGCACGCAAGTTCTGCTATCGCACCATGTTACGCCCTTGCGTCATCTATGGTGGAGGCCCGATTCGTGACCAGATTCAACAGATTGGACGAGGCTGTGATCTACTTATCGGCACCCCTGGTCGCCTCATTGATATCATGGAGCGCGGCCACTTGCTGAGCCTTCGTCGCCTTCGATACTTGGTGATCGATGAAGCCGATGAGATGCTTGACACCGACTGGCAGCCGGAATTCGAGAAGATATTCGCTGGTGGAGGTAAGTTGACACAATCCGTCGCAATGATGTATTAAGTTTCTAACTTTTTATAAAAGAGCAAGAGGAGAGCAATGTGCGATATATGCTTTTCTCCGCTACGTTCCCCGGAGCCGTTCGTCGTCTCGCTCGAGACCATCTCGCCACCAATCATCTTCGCGTCAAGGTCGGCCGCATTGGAAGCACCCATGAGAACATCAAGCAGGACATTGTCTACGTGGAGCAGCACCTCAAGCGAAATGCTCTTCTCGACCTTCTCTATTCCATTGAGCCCGGTCGCACGATTATCTTTGTCAACAACAAGCGCACCGCCGATGAGATCGACGACTTCCTTTACCACAAGGGATTGCCGTGCACCTCTATGCATTCAGATCGCACTCAACGTGAGCGAGAGGACGCAATGCGAGCCTTCCGCGCCGGAAAGGCACCTCTGCTAGTCGCCACCGGTGTGTCTGCTCGTGGTATTGATGTACGTAACGTGAAGCATGTCATCAACTATGATCTCCCGACTGTCGATCATGGAGGTATTCAGGAATATACCCATCGTATTGGTAAGTTACCCTTTGATATGGATAGTTAACACGGGCAACTAACACCACATAGGTCGAACTGGTCGTATTGGTCATACCGGAACTGCAACCTCCTTCTACACGGAACGTGACGAGCCACTCGCTGAAGATCTTACCAAGATCTTGATGGAGACCAAGCAGCCTGTCCCCGACTTTCTTCAGTCGTTTATTCCTGAGGGAGCTGACCCCTCTAACTTCAAGATCGAGGACGACAACAGCGAGGACGAGGACGAAGGTGGAGACGACGCTTGGAACACTGAGGGCTCCAAGCCCGCCGGAGGCGATGATGCCGGAGTCGCCAATGGAGATGCCTGGGGTACCGGTGCTCCTGTTGAAGAGGCTTCTGGTGATGCCGAGGGTGATGCCGGTGCTGGCTGGGATACTGGATCTACTGCCCCTATCCAGTGGTAATCTCTTCTGAGTACTTGCCTTTTTTGCCAAGCTCTGGCGAATATCTCGAGATTTTCTTGAGAGGCCCCGCGATGCGCATGGTCTCATACTTTCGTATTCGCTTTGCATTTCTGTTCTGTCTGAGAGGCATCAACGAGGATGTCTAACTGCCCTAATGATCTTTCCCCCGTATAGAGACCAAAGAGGCTTATCGCATGCAAAGGATACGAATTTCTGATAGCCGTAGATAGGATCTCTGAATAAAGACTGCTCTGCCCCCTATGAAGTTTTACATACTTCTCGCATGGTGACATGTTTCAATTTTGTGCTAAAATAACATGCCTTGGCGTATCCATGAGGTCAGTTCAGTGACCTCATTAGGTGCCTCTGTGTCAAATTTTACTTGGGTTCCTATCAATACTTTATTATTGTCGTAATGGTAGGATATAACCTGCTTTAGTTGACTCTTCAGCAGTAATTCAAGACTGGTGTTTTGAGGTTCCAACACTTATCCCCACCATAAACTTGCCGATGAGTGCTCGTTTACTGAATTGAACTTTCGAAAGCATTTTATTGGCTCTATAGCTTTATAGCGGATAAGGCGGTAAAATACGTTAAATATCTAGGCGCATTTAATAGCTAAGAGCGCTGTAATTACCGGCAGTTTGCAGCCCGCACTATATCCATACCTACCAGGTAGGTAGTATTATGGATAACAGACTCAAGCACTAAAATCCTCAGTGGATAACCCGTATCTATGAATGTGCTAAGGTGTCACGGGCCATAAGTTAAGTATCCGAAGTACCGCCTTTTTTTGACAATATGAGAACTTGGCGGTATCCACTTTTTCTAAGCTATACCATTTTAAGCGATCTACGCTTAGGATATTTTCAACTACACTTGATTTTTCTTAATTCTTTTAAATTTTTTAAGCATTATTCTTATTAAAATAAATATATGTGAATAATGATTTTTGGGAAAATTATTATAATATATAATTATTTAATATTTTCAATTTTTGGGATAATTATGGTTATTTATTTATTGTGAAAATAACTTGATTTGATATGGAAATTGCAAGAGCCTCAGGAATACGCTAGCCATAAATGGCAAAGCGTAGAATAAAGTGGATACCGCCAAGTTCTCATATTGTCAAAAAAAGGCGGTAATTATTTTAGTAAACACGCCCTAGAACTACCAGCGGGTATAGTACTATGGAAGATAGGATGTATGTGTTTATGAACTTATCACTGTATCGCGCAATTATCTATGTAAGCCTCCGATATTCACGATGTCGTCATTCGCAATTCAAGGTCCACTAGTTACGTTGCCGTTCTCCGTCGCATCCTGACTGGAACCTTGCCCTGAGGAGGCACTGTCCCAAGTGGATATACGCCGGATTGCAGTTCCATGTCTGATTTATTCGCCAAAATCTCGCAGTCATAAAGAGTGACCATCAGTGCCAGCGTTAGAATGTTTTGACGCTTGGTAAACATCCTACCCGGGCAAGCATGTGGACCACCGCCGAAAGGTACCCATGAACCTTCAGTCCCGCCAAGCGAAAAGTTTAGAGCATTTGTGTCAGGATCTCTCTTGAGAAAGCGCCCCGGCCAGAAACGATCAACTGGGTAAGCAGAGTTTTCTCCCGCGCACCAGAAATTGGGGTCCATCGAGGCTGGCGTGGAACTGGCAATGCACCAATGGTTTCGTCGAATAGTCCAATTGTTGATATGGATGTCACCTAATTCCGGATAACGAATGAGAAACCCGTGGACGCGTAGCCTTAGGTTCTCAGCGAACACGGCTTGCAAGAGTGGCTGCTTCAGTAGCTTGGCAACATCGAATGGTATCTGGCTGTCCGGGTCTGTTTGGACGCATGCTCTTACTTCTTCTCTGATAGCCTGAAGGAGTGTAGGATCACGAAAGGCTTCCAAAGTAATCCAGAACGAAGAGATGATAGCGTTGGTATTTGCACTAATTATATCACCAGTCAGATACCTAGGTAGGTAGGTATGATGCGTGAAGATAGAGTTCGAGCTTACCTCCAAATGAACGAAAGATCTTCGGATGCGATAGCGACCGCATCAAACCCATCCATGCTAGAGAACGTCTCTTGTCTCTCGCGAAAGAATCTGCATCCCCAGAATGGGTCGTTCCCCTCTCCGTCAACAGCGTCAGGGGTGAAATTTTGTCTCGCCCAAGCATGCCAGTCAAACACGGCGGCCAACGCTCGATCTCGAGCTTGATGCGCTTTTGGATTCATGAAGCGGGGAGTTTTAAGGATGAACTTGGTAACATTTTCGTCGATAGCCCACATATCCTGAGCGAAAGAAGGGTGCCGTAGCAAAAGGGCAGGTCCAGCTAGAGAGTCTACAGTCGCGGCTGTCAGGGCGGACTTGAAAATATACATGAAATCCGGGAGGTAAGACCACTCCGGGCCTATGTCTAGAGTGGTTAAGCGCTTTGTGGCATTCAAGTAGAACCGGCGGAAAAGGGATGATTGTCCGGGTCCTAAGAGAAGCCGTTGCTGGGAGATTCGGACATGATATTCGACGCGATTGCGGTGTTGCACCATAGTTCCGGGGTATGGTTTAGCATGCTCTCCCGAATCATCCTTGCGATATGTTCTCTCTGCCGTCTTCGGAAGTAGAAACACATTTGCAAGGAAGAGGCGGTGGATAAACAGGGTGGAAGCCGAGCGTTGTCTAACCAAGTCATGTATTTCTTTGGCTCCTTGGACAATATAGAGCTCCCGGAACAGAGTCTTGAGCCGCACAGGCTGTCGTTTCCAGAATGCGGGAGAACTATGATACGTGTAAGCGATGGCTTGAATATATGGAAACAGGTGAATGTACGTTTGCGAAAACCTTAAAGGATCCCAAAGAAAGGCGAAAGGAAGGGTCCCTAATATGGGTATGGCATAGGGCACGAGAGGCGGCCGTTGGTTCTTTTCATGACTACCTTTGGTAGTATGGAATCTTGCACTGGATAGCATGTAGCGGAGTACTGAAATACAAACGAGACATATGAAGACGTTAGATATGGGGAAGTCAGAGACGAGGGCAGCCTTAAAGTTCTCCATATTGTGGTTAAAGGGGTGGCACAGAAATTGACAGGAAACATTGGTATCATTGGGGGATCATCCAGGCTTGAGATGATATGCAGCTTTTAATCAAAGAAAGGCCAAGATATATTCCTATCCTCGGACTTTATATCACATTATATCGGAGGGCCTGCTGGCGCAGAAGGACGGAGGCAAAGGTTGAAGCTGTGTAGACACGCCGCGGCCCGGCCCGATAGGGGGGCAGTAAACACGTCAACACCTCAACTATCACCAACCACTACGAAGCTATTTATATATTTACTTTGATTTAAATATATGACCGGTGTGTGTACTGCCTACATATTAAACTTATGTCTCCCAGATAGGTAGTAAGGCTGGCCAATACACCGGAGACAGCGCCAACAAGACATAATTCTAACGGGTAAGACATCGTAGGTTGCGCAGTTCTAGACTTGGAAAGTGTGGTGATCGCCGCCAATGATTCGTTGCAGTGGTATGTAAGCGGCTGTTTCTGCTCGTCTAACGGAGGGTTGGATTATGTAGTTCGAATCGAATCTCTAACTCGATCGGCTTCTAATATGTCATTCAAAGTACCTACTATGTAGTATCCATGTCTCTGCCTAGTTCCATACAGGTCTCCGATGTCAAGTGGGGGCTATATTGATAGGGAACTGCAGCCTTACACTACCCATAGCTTCATGACCAGGACCTGAGTACTTATGTAGGTAAGCATGCCTTTTCTTCATGCTCTTCCGGTGTTATATTCAAGTCTAGGTTCCTGGCGAATCCTTGTCTCTACCTTAGGTACTTAGGTAGCTTTTCGCTAGAATATCTATTGAGTTTCTCTCTTTACAGGACCAACCGCTTAACCACAATGGACACTATGAGTACGCAGTCCTTGAATTGGACTCTCATCAACGAGATGGCCGCTGCTCTCACGCCAGAGCAACGCGATCAGGCCGATTGGAGGATCCGCAATACCGGAAAGCTCCCAATGGGCGACTTCCAGGTAAATATAGCGCCAGTTCCAGACACACATGCTAAACGTATCTCGTAGATAGCTATCGGTTGCCTTTTTGGGCTTGCATCTGTGGCATTTTTTGGCCGCATTACCATCCGCGTGGTATCTCGTCGCCGCGTCTTCCTTGACGATTGCTTTGTTATCGCCAGCTTCGCATGCCTAGCTGTTGCAACCGCCATCTTCTATAAGCGAGTTTTAATGATTTATACTGTCTTCGCGCTGATGAGAGGCGATGTGGTTATAACATTGATGGCTTCTCAAGAGATTGACGACGTCTATGCCCAGATGAACTGGTCTTTCCCTTACATAACGTTTCTGTGGACAACCATATTCATGGTCAAGCTATGCTACTGCGCATTCTTTCGCATACTTCTACAGTCCATGCCAAAGGCTCTCATACGATACTATTGGATTACGGTTGTTGCGACGGTCGTTTCTTGGATGTACCTGGTGTTGCAACAGCTGATAGTCTGTCCATACTTCGGATCGAATTCATGTAAGCTCCAATACCCCAATCTCACGATTGTCACTGATAAGGTCACAGTCAAGTGCTTTCCCACCCTTGCTGTGTCTGAAACGGTGTTGAATTTCACTTTTTGGATTGGGCCAGTTCTCGACACTCTGACGGACGTCGCGGGTATGAGCAAAATTTCAAAGCTTTGGAATATTCTCTGACGATATTTAGTTGTCTCGATCCCTATTCTTATCCTCCGTAAATCTCAGATGGAGATGCTAACCAAGATCGGACTTGGCGTCTTCCTTTGCCTCTCACTGTTTATGGTGGCGTGCTCCATAACACGCGCGGCCGGCACGTACTATAACGACACACTTGACAGTCCATGGCAGGTTTTCTGGCTACATACTGAGGCATGCGTTAGTGTGCTAATGGCCTCCATCACCGTCTACCGATCAATACTTGTCAATTCAAGCAAGTTTTCTAGTAGCTTTCAGAAATTTTTGAACAGGATCATAGAAAAGCGCGAATCTGACAAGCTCGTGAACTCGAAGACGCTCACCAAAAAGGCACAGTTCGGTCGATTTTTGCTTTCAAAGATACCCAACGCAACACTTACCGGCCTTGCTACCATGTTTGGTGGACCTGATCATACTCAAGAAGTAGACAACGACATGTCCATGCTGAACTCAACTTTCGATATGAGAGAGACAGATTACCATGAGCACCTTGGAAAGCCGCAGCCACGACCTATGCCATCTGTGCCATCATCTCGGAATATGGGCGAGAGCATGGGCTCTCGAGAGGGTACGTACTCCTAGCCTGGTACCGTGATTGGTTCCAAAGCATTAATATGACACTAGAATCATGGAAAGCGTCTCTAGCCAGTACTCGTGTCGCGAATGAACAAGCTACTGAAGAGCAACAACGCCCCCGAAACCGTATTGCTGCTTTCTTTCTGCATATTCTATTCCCCTCGTCACACCGTGTGATCCTGCAGCATCGAAGTGTCGAGACAGGGCAGCCCAGCACTGATGTCTCTTGATCCATAAGGCTTGGCATCGCAAAAACTATCCAGTCACCTTTAAGTTGTCTTAGGGGAAACGATGACATGATTGCTCGGATAACAGGAATAATTTCGTATGATTACAGGTATTGAATTATCAGAAATTGGATGGAGAAAGGTAACATTCGTTCATATGTCGTTTAGATTCATCCCACGTATAGTTCCTCTACGAATGGAATATGTCAATTATTTGTAATCTCTGGTGGAGAGGTGTGACCACCCTTAGAACTGCAGTGTTCCCGTCTTAGCGCTGATTGTTTCTTCAGCTTGTACGACTTTGTTGGTATCAGTAGGTACTGAAAGGGGGAGTAAACGATGTTGTATTTCTTAAGTTTAAACTCTCGTCTAAAACGTGAACAAGTTTCTACTTAAACCCTTGATTACGTAACCACTTTCACAGTACCTAGAACTGAATTTACATACCTAGTACATGTAAATACCTAGATAGGTCCCCAATAAATAAACCTTACCTGACGTGCATCATTCGTGGATGCTCGTGTGGTACCAACCTGTCGGTACAGTACCTAGAGAAGGCCCTGGCGCGATTGGCGACCAGCGACCCTCATGACCTTGTCCAGGTGTCAATACCTGCTTGTCAATTTGGTACGTTCTCAGGGACATCTCCAAGGGGACGATAACTATTGTATAATGGAACTTTACCTACCTGCTCCACTGTGATAGAACTGTATCATGTTATCATCAATAGATATATACCTTCCATTTACAAGAATATTACTAACAAATATTATATGTATAAAGTACCTATACATGATTTGTAGCCTTATTCAACACTTTCTGTGGCTTAATACATCAAATCACAACTACCGTCCCCATGGAGGTGTACCTACTTCGTACCTAAATTGGATTGATTGATTGGGTGGTTGGTTCAAGGTTGGTTGGTTTTGGCTGCGTGCTCCATCGCGGGCGCTTGCGCTAGGTCCCGTATCTAGTGTGCCTACGCATCCCTGACCCCTCCAGCCTTCTTCGCCCCCGTCTATGGACCCCCCCGGACCTTACCCTATTGTCTTGCAAGTCGCTCATGCAAACCCTCTTGCTTTCTTTCACCTCTCGCATCTTCCTCCAAAATGGCGTGGCTTACCATCTTATCCGCCGCCGGCGTCATGCTGTGCACTACTCTCGTATACTTGACTCAAGTTGTCTACAACCACCGTCGCAAGATCAATGAGCTTCGCAAGCAAGGCGTTGTAGGCTAAACTCGCAATGCCGATGTTTGAATACCATTTGCTAAAAGTGTTCAACAGCCTATGCCGAAGGAATGGAGCTGGATTACAGGCCACCTCACTGTGCTTCAGAAATACGTGAACGGAATCCCCCCAGATGCTGCCGTGGCATTCGCCATGAGAGATCTTTGCCAGGAATATACCGACACCGAAGTTTTCCTCATGGACTTTTGGCCAGTATATCCTCCTCTATTTACAATCTTCGGTCCTGGAGCCATTAGTCAGGTTTGTAACAAGTACAATCTGCCAAAGACAAAGGTTGCGTTTAGGTTTATGGAACCGATATCTGGCGGACCTAACCTTGTCACTATGAATGGGGAAGAATGGAAATACTGGAGATCTTTGTTCAACTATGGATTCAGCACCGGAGCCATGCTCAATAATGTTCCTCACATTGTCGATTCGATACTGGTCTTCCGCGAGAAGCTTGTCGAGAGGATTGGGAAGGGCATGTTTTCTTTAGATGAACTTGCAACCAAGGTTACAATGGAAATTATTCTGAAAGTTACTCTGTGAGTATTGTCTAGATGAATCTTGATGATATGTCTTACTCACAAGAGAAGAGATGATGATTCAAACTACCAGAGGTCGCCTCATGTCCTTGCAACTGCACTTGGGCGTGTGACAGCCTGGCATTCGTTTTGGGATCCTCGAGTGTTGATGCATCCTTTCCGGCCCTTCGTTCAGAAGTACAACGGGTATGTTATGAACACATATATCCATAAAGAGCTGGAGAAGCGTTTCCAGGAAATCAAGGAGTCTAGGTACTCAGATGATTATAAGGGGAAACCCAAGTCGATCAAATCCGTCACCACACTCGCTTTCGAAGCATACATCGCCGAAAGGCAAGACACAGATGCTCTTCGAGTAGACAAGCTTGACAAGACTTTCGCAGATTATGTCGCGTACCAGATCCGAACTTTTGTTTTCGCAGGAACAGATTCGACTGCCTCTATAATGGTCTACGTCTACCACATGCTTGCTAAGCATCCTGACTGGCTTGAAAAACTGAGAAAAGAACACGACGAGATTTTCGGACAAGAGCCTGCCGACGCTGCTGGCATCTTGAAGGAGAATCCCAGTCTTCTGAATAGCTGCAAGCTCACGCTCGCGTTCATAAAGGAAACACTGCGCCTCTATGGACCGGCCGGAACCTTACGCTCCGGAGCACCAGGTATCACCATCACGGACTTGCAAGGCAACCAGCAACCTATGGAGTATGCTGGCGCAAACGTACTCCACCAGGCATTGCATCTCAATCCTCGGGTATGGCCAAGAGCTACCGAGTTCCTACCGGAGCGATTCCTTGTCGGGCCCGAGCATGAGCTATACCCAGATCCGGCAGCTTACCGACCTTTCGAACAAGGTCCCCGGAATTGCATCGGGCAAACGCTGGTCTGGAATGAGCTTAGGATTGCTGTCATTCTTACTTGCCGGGACCTAACTATCAGAGATGCCTACGATGACTTCGACGCCAAGAGAGAGAGCGAGATGAGTATTTACGAGAGACTGAAGGAAAAAATCTTCGGAAAGCCTATCAAAACGCTGTATGGAGATAGGGCATATCAGACGGACACAGGGGGTTTACATCCTGCGGACGGGTACCCTTGCTATGTCGAGTGGGCAAAAGATCACTAAAGAATATTCATACATGGGTAGGATAATGAGGTAACCACGGCCTGATTGAGAATCATGGCACTTAATTCGGATGAAATGTCATAACTACAACTCCTCTTTCCCACTGAATCGTAATTCTAAGAACTTACTAGTTTAGCTGAGAAAAAAATAAATTAGATAATAGCTCAATGATACTTACCTAACTTTGCTCTATGAAATGAGTGGCTCGAGGAACTGCTGTTGATACAGTACCTACATGGCATAGGGCAAGAAGATGGACCTCTAAATTTAGAAGTCAAGCTTCCCCAATCATCAATAGAGGAGGCCAATTAATTAAGTCAATATATAAAGTTCACATGCTGTTATCTTCAGAGCCTTCGCGGCATCACCACATGCGAAAAGATGCGTGTAACTTGACCATAGCATCGCCCCCTATTTGACCCGGTGGATGGTATGACGAGGGCGAAGCGCGAAAATATCGAACCTTGGGAGGCTTAAAGCTAATTTATTACCTGAGGCAGGCTCTCGGCCATGCATACTAGGTATGCGAGGTTTGTGATGTTCCAAGGTCGTAACGGATGCGACGCGCGCCCACCGAAATGTAGGTAGGTAGGTGGTCGGATAATTAAGTAATTAAGACAATTACCATTTCGCACACAGTTAGAAACAGGCTGCTCGCCGCTCGCCATCCTTGGCCCCCGATATTTCAAGCAGGCTGCGTGCGCTCCAACGTTGTGACGAATGACCTATCAATCTGTTCAAGTGCCGATCCTGTCCGTTTCCTTTCTCATCGCCCCAGCCTTGAAAGTCGTGTTGGACCTAGATGTCTTGGCCCTTACATAAGTACCTAGGTAGGTATATAGATGTACTTCTTTGTACCTTTACAGTATCACATCCATTAATTAATTTACCAACTGCATGATGCCAGAGCGTTGTTACACACAACAGTATATACTTACAGTATATAGGCTGTTATTTTTTTCTTCTCACATTCTGGTTAGTGCGCTAGTCGCAGTCTTTTGCCATGTCCCTTCCTAGATCTTGAAGAACTCTCTGTTTTCAACACCTTCTCCTAAATTGCCTTGAGGCTATCCCCTTCATCACGGCGCTTTCATTCAGGTAACTTCAGATGGCGGCAGCAGTACCTTTGGCCGACGGGGTCTCTGATAATGTAGCCAGCGCACCAGAACCTTCCAGGAAAGGGCCAGCCTTCTGGTTAGTCATCACCTCTCTCTGCCTCATTGCCTTCACGGCATCGCTCGATGGGTCGATCATCGCCATCGCGCTTCCGCAAATCTCGTCTTCGCTCAACATCGGCGACAAATACGTCGAAGTAGCCAACTGCTTTGTATTCGCCCAAACGGTTGTCCAGCCCGGGATTGCACAGCTATGTGACATCTTCGGGCGGCGTTGGCCTATGATCATTGCAGTTTGCATATTTGCTCTGGGCAGCGGGGTTGCGGGTGGCGCGAACAATACCGCGACCATAATCGCCGGTCGCACGGTGCAAGGACTGGGAAGTGGTGGGATCATGCTCATGGTGGAGTTGATCGTTTGCGATCTGGTGCCGTTGCGGGAAAGAGGAAAGTACCTCGGCATCGTGCTGTCTACTGCTGCTCTTGGGTCGATCGCGGGTCCGGTCATCGGCGGGGCTCTTGTCGAAAGAGACTGGCGCTGGTGCTTCTATCTCAATCTTCCCATTTGCGCAGTCGTTCTCCCTGTCCAAGTATTCTTCCTTCGAATCAAGCATATCACGATCGCGTGGAGAGATGTAGTCACGCGAGTGGACTGGATCGGTAATATTGTCTTCATCGGCTCCATCACTTCTCTCCTCGTCGCCCTCACATTTGGCGGGACGGTATACCCATGGTCCTCGTGGAGAATCATCCTTCCCATCGTTTTGGGCTGCGTGGGCTGGATAGCCTTCCACGGGTATGAGTACTACATCAGGGACGCGAATGCCTGTGTGCCGCCACGTGTCTTCACCAACCGGACTTCGGTATCAGCCTTCTACATGATATTCGTCACCTCCATGTTGCTCCAGTGGGTCTGCTTCTTCTGGCCAGTGTACTTTCTCGCCGTCCGCGGCGTAAGTCTCGTACGGACAGGTGTCGACTTCTTACCTTATATGTTCCTGCTCATCCCCGGCTCCGCCATCGCAGGCATCGTCCTCTCAAAAACTGGTCACTACCGCCCTCTGCATGCCGTAGGCTTCGTACTAAGCACTCTGGGGCCCGGGCTGAACACGTTGCTGAAAGAAAACACGTACGCGGGCGCATGGGCCATGCTCCAGATCGTGGACGCGATAGGCCGTGCGTTTATCCTTCCTACGACGCTCCCCGCGATTCTGGCAAGCCTGTCGGAAAAGGACGTCGCGGCAGCTACTGGCATGTATTCTTTCCTGCGTAGTTTTGGTTACGTCTGGGGAATTACGATTCCGGCCGTCATATTCAATAACCGTTTTAGCCAACTTTCTTACCGGATTTCGGACCCTACAGTGAGCCAGACGTTGAGCGGCGGGAGAGCGTACGAGTTTTCGACTGGGCCTTACGTTCAAACGCTGGAGCCGGGCGTAAAGTCGGAGGTTCTAGGTGTGTATTTGGAGGCGTTGAAAGCGGTTTGGTATGGGGCTATGGCGTTTGGCGCTTCGGGCTTGATCGCGGTAGCGATTGAGAAGCACGTGCCGCTGAGGACGGAGCTGGAGACAGAATACGGCCTTGAAACCAAAGTAGAGGAGAAGGGAACCTCCCCCAGAGCCGAGAGTGGTAGGGAAGAAGATTCTTATGGCGCATAGTACATATCAGAAAGTCTAGTATTTTCCTAGCCTAGTTAGATGGGAGCTAGGAGGCCCGGCAGGGAGATCGACCCGCAAAGGAAACGCGAAAGAAGTGGTTTGGGAGAATAGGCTTTGTCATATTATTAGGTAGATGGTGGAATCTGTATCTAGGTGTGCCTACTGCTTTTAATAATTGTATCAGAAGTCCTCATGCGATAGCGGTCGTCGCTGGCCCCTGGCAGGTCCAGCGCTGCTTGAGGTTCTGTACTTTTTATTGAAAAATCCTGTTAAAACTGTTAATTCAATGAAACCTTCAAATAATGCAAATATCTCATACTTCATAATTGTATTCAATTGACTACCTAGTAAGCGTATATTTATTTACTTAAACAGAAATATCCTCCGCGTATTACAAGGAGTATAGCGCTGTTGAGTGCTATAATCTAGCGTCCAGTGCCTTTTTTTGCCTGTACTAATTGAATTAATTGAAGTTATATGTCCTCTTTCGCATGAGTTTGTTCGATTTTGCGATCAAGGCTCTATTCAATTTCACCTAATGAGATATATATCACCTAACTACTTAAATTGTTGACATACATATAATTGCTATATACCTGAGTACCTAGGTACCTCGTAGGTTGCAATGTACCTACATTGCATGATGTCAAGAAAAAGGTGGTCACGTGAAGATAATATGTATTGAAGATTTTTCCGATTTGATGAGATTTGGTGATCGTCGATTTCTTTAATCCGGTCCACCATATTTTGGCGGTTTTATGGGCCCGAAAATCGGGGGTTCCGGCATTAACGTCGCTTGCGCAGAAACGATTCCGGCGTTGAAATATTGCAAGGTAGCCCTACTACCCTAGTAATGAGCTTGAGTGGGGCGCGATTCTCTCGCAGGGCGCGACGGCAGCCGGCTAGAGAATGAAGGCTAATCACCGTTGGCTACTAGCCAGCGACGTTCATTTCAAGCTTCACGACCTCGACCGCGTCATACGTACAGCAGACTGGATTGCCTCAATCCCGCATGAGTATAACATCTCCCGTGCCATTATCTGCGGTGATATCTTCACGGCACGCACTTCACAGCCAACGAATGTGCTTGCGGCATGTTATCGCTTCTTGGACAAGCTAGCTAGCGCCGTGCCGCATATGAATATCATCTTGGGCAACCATGACTTAGCATATCGCCGTGACTACACCACTTCCGCTCTGGAACCGCTGGCTAATGCTCGGTTAGCCCCGTTCGTTACAGTCCATAGGGAGATTGCATGTCACAACTGGGATGGGAGGCGGGTACTTGTAATGCCATTCCGAGAGGACCAAGGCGAAATTATCAGATGCATACGCGATCTGGACCCGAATATCGCGGCAAAGACGGTGGGATTCGGACATTTAGCAATAAACCGGGCCATAACTCAGAAGCACATAATCGACCCAGAGACAGGAATGGCAGGGTTGCCTTCCAGGTATCCAGGCCTTACCAGCGCAAGTGAATTTGCGCCACTGGCAAGGACATTTACCGGCCACTTTCACAGTCACCAAACAATCTTCCAAGCTGCGAACAAGCAACATCAAGATCCTCGAGGAAGCGTAACGTACATTGGGGCACCGTTACAGCTCACCTGGGCAGATCTGTTCGATACCAGGAGGGGAGTCATTTTACTCGACCCCGAAACCCTGGAGACTGAGTTTGTAGATAATCCACACGCCGTGGGTTATACAAGCGTCGAAGCACAAGACGTGCTAGAGGACTGGGTAGACATCCAACAAGTTCGGGATAAGCATGTCATGATCACGGGAAAGTTGTCAATGGGTAACTACATCGCTGCCAGAGGTCGCCTTATCAAACTAGGGGTTCGTAGTGTGAGAGACGGGAAACGTGTTGCATCGGAATGGCGGTTCAGCCAAGGGAGTCTTGGCAAGACCGTGCTCCCTGCCGATATTCAGAGTCGGCGAGATCAGGAAAAAGAGGGTTCAGAAGACACGGGAAAGGCACAGGCTGACCTTGCTAGTCCACTGACTCTTGTTTCAAAAGAATTGACGACTAGTAAGGTGGAGCTTGAGCCACTTGACCTGGCTGGACTTATCCAGGAATATGTGTCCTCACTGGACCTTGAATCTACCCTTGAGGATAGGCGTGATACTCTATCTCTCGTAGGGAAGAGACTCTTCAATATCCGCAGTTCCATCCGCGACAAGGACGGCTCTCAAGTTGAGTATAGAGATATACTTGACCCGTCACCCCAATCTACTCTCGATACCCCTGCGAACGATGCTATACGATCATCCACGGCGGAAACCATCTTTGCTGCGGAGCCCGTTGCTATCGAAATTACCAACTTCCTTGGCATCCAGGGCACTCTCACTCTAGATTTCAAGCTTCATTTTCAGCCCGGTATCAACTTGATAGTGGGGCACAACGGGGCAGGGAAAAGTACAATTATTGAAGCAATCGTATGGTGCCAATTTGGACAGTGTATCCGAGGTGGACTTGGAGTAAACGACGTCATCAATGATGTTGCTGGAAAGAACTGCAACGTCCGCCTAACATTTGCAAACGGATACTCTATTTCGCGGTCTCGGAAGCACGACGTGCTTCGCAATCGTGTAATTGTAGAGAAGAACGGCGTATTTCAATCGCAATTCGAAGGGCCCGGTGTGAAAAGTACTCAAGCATCTATTGATGAAATGCTAGGAGTAGACTTCGACACGTTCATCAGAATGGTCTTGCTCGGGAACGAGAGTGCTCCAAGCTTCTTGAATTCTACACCATTGCAGAAGAGACAGTTGATCGAGTTAGTTTTAGGCCTGGAGGTTTTGGATGAATGCGCAGAGACTTGTAACTCGATGCTGAGTCAAGTGGAAGAGGAACTAGGAGACATGCAGTCGCGGCTTGAAGGGGTCACGCACACGGTAGAGCATCTAAAAAGTCGAATCAACCAGGTAGACCAGACGTTGAGGCGCCTACAGCACGAAGCAGCGTCTCTAACTAATGAGATGAAAAGTAAAGAAAAGAAACAACTAGAAATTTTGAACAAGAAGGAGCTTATCAATAACAAGCTCAAGGAGGACCTCAAGGATGACCAGGGGTTGCCAGGATTGAAATCTGAACTTCAGGGCCTTCAAAATAATATTTCTCCAGCCCAAAATGAGGTGAACAGGCTCGGCGTCTTAGCCAGGCTCGCTCAAGCCCGCTCATTTATAGATCGTGAGAAAGCCATCATTGAGCAAGAGATAATATCTACGAGGAGTCAGCTTTCTCGCCTCCAGGACGATCTTCAATACCTTCTTGAAGAGAATAACACATTGGAAGTACCACCTCCAATTATAGAAGACGAAGACAACAGAGACGACACTAGTAGCGTACGGGGTTTCCTACTGAACATCACACTTGCCTTTCGAAAATTTTGGAACCCGATCCTTCACGCCATTAGTCCGGGAGCAAGAGAGAGGGCCAGAATAAGGGAAGAAACCGCTCTTAAGGCCAAAGAAGCTAGGCGACGATGGGATGAGCACGTGAAAGCTATCGTCGCTCTCACTAACAGAGTTGCTGCCACACATTTTAAAGTAGAGAGTACGACACAGAGTATAACAAGACTCCCCAGCAATGTTGCCTCCAAGACTCGCATGAGCGAGAGTGATGTTCATCTAGCTCTGCGGACATTAACAGCACAGGAAGCATTAAAAGTGCCTAGCCGGTTGAATGTAGCCATAACCGAGCTAAGGGCCCTGACTAATCGACATTCTCACCTACAACGTGAATGCGACAGGCGAGAGCAGGAGCGGTTTCGCAAACAACGCGTCGTCGAAAATCAAGACAAGGAGATAGATAAAATAAGAAAAGACTGGGCGGATTCCTCGAATCGGGATCGTCTTTTGCTTGCTAGGAAAGAGCAGGAGATTACCACTTACAAAGGGCTCCTCGAATCGGAAGCCGAATCCCTCACCAAACTCAGTCGCCAGCTCGTCGATTTGAGCAGAGAGGTTACAGACATGCACTCTCACCGGGAAATCTTCGCCTTCTGGCAGTTTGCCCTCACTCGCCGCCAAGTGGCAGCCTCGAAAGTTACGTTCCGCCGGCACGTCGTCGGACGCCATATAGGCGAGCTCAACAAACTACTAGTGCAGATCCTGATGGTCATGTACCAAGACGCGCAGTACGCGCGGAGCATGATGGCCGGCACCCTCGAGACCCTGTTCGAGGAAGCCGACGACCGCGGCGACAACAACGATCCGGGAGGGAAGGCTTCGGTGCTCGAACCTTCGCTGTCGATGGCCCCGACGATCGGCTACTCCAAGCGCAGCGGCGGCGAGCGGAAGCGCGTCGACCTCGCGCTCTTCTTCGCGCTGTTCGTCATGGGCGAGGCCCGGAGCGCGCACAGCGCCCGCTACATGCTCGTCGACGAGGCCTTCGACGGCCTGGACACGGCCGGCCAGGCCGCCGTGCTGAAGCTGTGTCGCTGGATGACGGAGCGCCTGGCCCACGTGTTCGTGATCACCCACAGCAAGAGCCTCATCGGCCTCACCGAGGACGAGGGCGAGGGCGGTGCGGAGGGCGGCCTCGGCGCGAGTGTCGTTATTGCTAAGGCCGGTGATAGGGGCACCGAGTTTGAGGTAAACGGGACTCGCATCGGTAGTTCTTCTGAAGACGTAGAGGCTTAGAGGTGTCCGTTTTGGGTAGCGTGGAAATATTGCAGTTGGCTACGCGTCACGTTTTGCGAGGACCTTGCTTGCATAAGGGGCTGATTGGTAGGCATTGGAGATCATGTCTACTAGGCACCTATCTAATGTAATAGAGGGAATATATCCCCAAAAAACAAGAATTCATCCCCATTCCAATGCTTGCTTGTTCTTCTACGTACTAACTACTCTGGGTACTGAACATCGTAGAGTTCAAGACTACAAATTAGTTTCCGGAAGGCTCGGAGAGCTACCAAGGTAAAGAGTGGTTCATTCTCCTTGCCATCGAGGAGATATCGTAGGTTATCCCTCAAAACTATAGCCCTCGGAATAAATATTGAAGCGATAGTCGCTCGGCGAGTAACTAGGTAGGAATAATCTCGGAATGAGAGAGGTCGATCTCGGTATGAGTAAGACGGGGAAGAGAGGAGGCGGGAACAGGCAGACGCCATGAAAGGGTTCCACACACACACCTTGCGCCTCTCTATTTTCCTCGGCGTTAGGGATAGGGGTTTGATGTTTGGTCACGAGCAGGCAGGCATTTGGTTGTTTCACTTTAGAGGAACAGATTCTCGGATAATTAGAAGTCTTACTTCATGTTGATACGACGGATACGATGCCGTTCGAAGCATCAAGACCAGTACCTATTCTTCTCTGGCAGTATTACGATAATATCGGGTATAAGCACACCCAAGTGCGTACTAACCCGCACACCCACGCCCTCGCCCATACCTACCTAAACAAGTAGCATACACACTAAGTAATCTACTTCGGTCTTGTAGGTAGCTCACAGTCGAAGCTTAGCTTCCTGATAACCGTGGAAATTTGTCCCCTTTCTAGGTCCCACGAGTCCTGGACTGACTCATATGTAGATGAAACATTTAGGTGTCAGGAACCATCGATTCGACAGGATTATTCGCGGTTCCGCCGAGAAGGTTTGTCCTCTGTGGCACACCCTGATCGCACGCGTTGAGTGCCAGGGGATATATGTCTTCCATAACAGCAGCTCACCTATTAAGCGTAGAACCAAGCATGAATTCATTTGGCACACAGGCGACGCACGGTCAACCGGCGCAGCACGCTGATTCAGCACACGAAAAGCGAGACGAAGGCGACGAGTGCTCTTCGGGATCTCAGCTTAGCAATTCCCCGGCGCTGACATATCTCGTCTTCCCACCTTACCTTACCTTACCTTACCCACAGAACTGCGCCAACAAACGGCGTTAGACGGCGTTACGCAGTGATATGTTTCTGAGCCGTGCGTTACCTACATACCTGATCCATTACACGGATTTCTAATACATCACCTGGGGGTCACCGGGTCATTACACAATACCTGCAGGTAACCTACCTACCTAGTAGCAGCAACAGCAGCAGCAGCAGCAGTAACCCGGCGTCATTATCGCCGACAGGCAGCGAGCATCCACGACTTGACTTATCCCGTAGGAGCCGGGCGTCTGCTCCAAACGGCGGGTAGCTAACCCCTACCCATACAACCTCCTTGCCCATGCTCATGCCCATGCCAACGAAAAACACATCACCGCCTCAGAAAATCAAAAAGAAAAACCAACTCACCTATATTAAAAACATAATATTTATATGCCAACCTACGAGCATCGCGATACGTTACCGTTACGCCCCGTAACCCCGTCCTTCACCGCGCACCCCAGCAAAGCCGCGCGTGGCATTCACGCCGGGGGCGTTCGCATCCGTGAGCTGTACTAATAAGTGGGGTACCCACTTACCTCAATACATACTAACCCATGCATCTCTAACAAGCACCTCCAAGCGCTCTCATTGGCCGAACTTTAACTCTAGCGCGTGGTCTATTTCCCGAAGCGGTAACCGGCTAAAACGATTGGATCTGGTTGATCCGACCCTTAAAGTCCGGGTTTTGTTAACCTGGTAGGTCGACCCCGGGATAAATAATGGATGCGCATTACCTATGGAGACCTACACATTTCACGTCAGTCATGTTGACGATGACTCACCAGGTCGACCCACGGCTGGTCCCCCCTTTGATTTTTGACTCGCTCCCCTTCTGCCAACCTACAAACTGCCTCACATCAGCAAACAAGGGGGTGAAGGGGTAATATCATGATTCGGTACCTTCGTGCCGACTGTCAAACGTGTAAATTTGGCCGCCTCGTGACGGTGAGATATCTCGCGTCAGAAATTTTTGCTTCTCTTGAAAATCTTGATCCACAATTTTTCGGCTTCTTTTTCAGCTCAGGGTCAGTACTCCTAATGCACAAGTTTCACACGAGACAACAAAAAACTTGGCACTCAACATGAATAAATCGTAGTCTTTTTTTTTCGTTGCCTTTCCAGCTCGAAGGAAGCCATTTTATCAGAATTTCATACTATCTGCGGAGGTTGTCTCTCTCAAAGCTCTCTAACAGTAGTTTCCGCTTTGCTTGTGTGCCTCGAAGTTTCTCTTGATACTCGATTGCGCAACGCCTTTTTTCAGGCCAGATAGTGATAGAAACTAGAATGTCTTCGCGCGCCTTTCTTCTGTTTTTCTCGCACCTACTAGGTCGAAGGACAAACGGACATTCGTTTTTCGACGAGTGCCACATATATCGATCGGTGGGTTCGCGGGTACGCGTCATCTCCGGCCGTACGAATCAAGTAAAGACTAAAAACTTCATCTTGTGGCGCGAGGCTCGAGGTTACCGCACGAAGCGCTAGCTTGCCATATTTCTCGAGTTTGCGCCATTCCCACTGTCTCTGCTAGAACCACCACTGCTGTCGCTGCTGCCATTGAACTAGTCATTACTGCTTTGAACGAGCACTATGATTATCCCCTCCGGAACACCATTAGAAACGATAGCCCATCTCCCTGTTCATTCGTACACAAGCAACTACCCACCTTCCTTCCCCATATGCTGATCCTGGAAATGCATGAACCGAGAAAAAAGATGATTTTTTTCGCCTGTGCCATTGACCATTGTTGGGGTTCTCTATAAAGTATGACTTCCGTGGTATCAAGCCATTGAATCCCTCCCGTTGTAGAACAAAAGAAATAGTTGAATATTGTCACAAGGGATATTTGTCGTCGGTTGCGCGAAATACCTAAGCATACTGCAGATAGCAAATGATACTAAGGCAAGATACCTTCCCACATGCCCGGGCCACCGGGACCACCGACTGCAGGATGCATTGTGGGGATAACGTATGGTCGAGCATCTGTTGAGCAGCAGAATCGTTTTCGTCCCCCGTTCGACTGAACCGGAGTTTGTTGGTTGCCTAGATCCATAGATGTGAGACCGCGAACCATAGAATCATGGCCTTCTCTTTCATTGATACTGTAATACTGAGTACTTAGCATCTCGCGGACATTCTCTTGGAGGGAGTTGTCGATCGACGACGGTCTACTTCGCTTTGAGCCGAGCCTAGCGGGAAGCCGAGGCTGAGGGTTCGTTCGCTGGTGGTAACTGTGAAGTTCTTGCAGAGCACGAGCGGCGTTCGCGGCGTCATCAAGCTCACACCCTCGGGCCAACGGAGTCTCCATCGACATCTGTACCAAATCTTTACCCACCGTGCCGGTGTAAGATTCGGGCGAGGACGTGATACAATTCTCTTCGTAGTCTTCAGGTACCGAAGCGATGATAGGTCTTAAACTCTGCCTCTCACTACACAACCTCGCGTATCGGCGTCGCGCCTGAACATCCAATTTGGTGGACGGCGCGCTGGCCAGCGACGAAGCAGATGAGATCGAGGATGAGCGAGACGTACGCGACGAATCAGAGATCATCGATTCCGGTGAAGACGCTGTCGAAATAGAATTGGCAAGTGAAGAACGACGTGTCGAAACGTAACTCATAGGCGAAGAATTGATAGAGCCAGGCCATCGGTCCAGATTCTGGGAGGCAGAAACATTTGCAGCTTGCGCCATAGCGAAGCCCATGGAGCCTTTTCCGCTGAGAAGACAGGTAGCAACACTCGCGGCGGGAGTACTGAAACCGACTGACTGCGGAGTGAGACGGGGAGTAGGTAGTAGACCCAAAGCTGGGGCAAAACGACCTGGAGTATGTACAGTGGCCGGTGCAGGCTCCATAACGAAAGGAATATTAAAGGTTTTGGGCGTAGACAGATCGCTCGCGCAACTGGACGCATCCGACCGAGGAGAGGGGGCCGGTAGGGACGGAGTTGGTGTAGTATCTCGGAACTTGCTCGTTGAAGGGCTCAACGGGATGAGATCCTCAATATTATTCAACTCCGGCTCAAGGTTCAAAATCAAATCCCTCCACTCTTGGTGCTGGTGGTCTGGAATCTGGGAGCAGGCTGATCCGGATGAGGGGGGCTGCGATGGCGTATGCTTCAGAACGATTTCGGTCCACCGTTTAAAAACAGCGTCGGTGATGTGAAGTTTCCATTTTACAGCCTCAAGAAACGCCATCTCGTTCTGGTTAATTTCCTGCGTCGCAAGTCCGGATATCTTGCTCCAGGCCCGTGCCGAGTAGTTTCGATCCTGTAAGTACTTCGAGGCAAGAATCAAGGCGGCTAAAAACATACGACGACCACACTGAAGAACCCTGTTTGCGTGGACATCATCGGGTTGCTCCATAGTAAAATCATGCTTAGGAACATGGGGCTTAATCAGTATCAAATAATAGAGGGCGACTTGCAAAGTAGAGTAGCTCGTGCGAGATCGGCGCAGCGTTTCCTGGATGAAAGTGCGCAGAGGTAGCACGGCTTTGGGTCCCATTTCCTGTCGATGAAAAACGGAAGATAGTGGCCAAATTGCTTCTACAATCTGGGTCGACGAATCTAAAGGAGTTGAGCTCGGGTTATGGGGGTGTGGAAATATTTCGTTATTGCTTACCGACGAGGCTATCGACAAAGTTTACCTTGCGATCGCTTTGGCGAACCAGAGGCGGAGGACATCCGGTCCTAGTAGTCGCACCACTGTTGGTGCGTCGTGGATTACGACGAAGCTCCTGCGGAACTTCGGCTTGTTGCGGCTGTGCTGGCCAACAAGTGTTTAGTGAGATCTGGCTGCATGCAACATCAGATCTGGAAGGCCTAGACAGCCGGGTATAAGAATAAGAAGCGCATTGCTCTGACGAATCAGAAGCACATGCAGAAATGGTAGTGTCGTCGGAGGATTGAGAAGATGCTTCGGACCAAACCGAAGCTGCGGAGGATGAGGCGGAAGAGGCTATAGAGGAATTGTATGGACCATTTTGGGAGGAGTTGATAAAAGAAGGCAACGCATCAATATCGTTGCACATCATCTTGAGAAGAACAGAAGGTAAATAGTTTCTAGGACTAAACCTCCAGTCGTCTGTCGAGCAGAGTCAAACCGATTAGATCGATATACCGAGAGAAGGGTCGTGAATTCTTTTTTTATCGACTAAGAGGCTTCACAATAGCAGCATATGGCTATTGTAAAGCAGCAGATGGATCGAAAAAGAGAGATGGTTTCTAGACACGGGTGCCTCTAACCAGGGTTTCACGAACGATCAAACCGGAAGACAGAGCGGGACAGACGACTGGAGTGGATGATATCGATTTCGCAACCTGCATCGTGTGGCTATTTGTTTCTACCGGGGAAACAAAGAGTTAGGGGGTTAGGACAGCAGTCGCACCAGCTAGATATGCATCAAGCTGGGCTTCTACTTGACCAAAGAGTGGAAATCACGATACGTAAAAGTAGGAGTCGCGATTTGAGAGTTGCAAGATGCGGGTTAGAGCGGCTCGTCGAGGAGTTAGATTATCGGGATATCGGGGGTCGGCGCGAACGCGGTTGCGATTGCGATTTGGGGGTTGGAAGAATTGTTGGCGTCGGATTGGCTGACGATGTTGTGTAAGAAATCGGGTTATGCAAGGTACAAGCTGCAACCACTTTTTACTCTAGTATCGATAGAATATGCATGTGTGTTATACCGTTTGGTATGGTAGGACCAGGAGATACGAGAAAGGTAAAAGGTAGGCGTCCCCTATGGGAATACCAGTCCTTTTAAATTGAAGTAACGAAGTTATACCTGAGGCGAGCAGGCGACAAGATTAAAAATGTACGGTACGTGTTAGAGGTTAGAGACGGTAGAGAGGAGAGAAGGATGAGTCTTGAGTCGCGTGGTCGAAGCCGAAGAGTAAGAAAGACCAAGGACTAATAAGAATGACCAGGTGAAGGCGAGGACGATGGCAAAAGATGGCGACAGGGTGTACGGATGTATTTTAGTTAAGTGGCTTTTGCCTTTGGGTTGGTAAAGGTCAGGTACCTATTCGATGACTCTTTCTTTGCTGGTGTGAGGTGGCGAAGACAGTCCGATCATTACCGCTAAGTGGGCTGTTTGTACAGGTGGTCTTTGCGCCGAACCTTCTGAGAACCGTAAACCTTGGGAACCTTGGGATGTTGCGAGCCTGGCTGATACTTTCCAAGGGTGGTCGGTGCGTTCTGCTAGGTAGTGGCCTAAAGTACCTAGGTAACTTCGATGGCTGTTCAATGTTCTTTTTTGGGTGCTTAGGTGGCGCTGTACCGTGTTGGCTTAACAACTGGGGCTGCTATGTCGAATTGTGGTGTATGTTGTTAAATTTCATAGACCGTATTAACTGCGGACCCAGGTGACTCCCAACCTTGAACTAGCACGTTGCAAAAGAACTTGCAAGGGAAAAATGACCGTCACACGCGTGGAAGCCTGCGAATGGGTCCAGATCCAGATCCAAGCCGTGTGAGTGGCGATTCAATCCAAAAGGAACAAAGGATTGAGAGGAGATCTTGGTGAGTGAGTAAAAAAATAAAAATATGAGTACAAATTATTAAGATTGAAGTGATGTGTGAGTCGACGGAGTGTACGCAAACAGCGCTTTCTCTTATTCTTCTTTTTCCCTTTGAGTAATCCGGGGTGGCGTCTGTTGGCTCCAAAGTTTAGAATGAGAGAAGAGGAATAATAGTGCTGGTAATAGTAATAACAATTGTCGAAGGACTGTCAGAGGTCATTGGGACACATAAATTGGTGGATATAATTCGTTTCGTTGGGAGACCTTTTTTTTTTTTTATAATTCTAAAGGGGTATCGTATCGATGAATCGACTTTTAATTTTGGATTTTCCTCTTATTCGAAGTCTCGGAGAGTGCAAGTCAATGCCACTGCGGACCAAGTAGGAGGTGATCAAGAATAAGAATGCACACTGAAGAGAGGAGAGCAGGATAGCAGAGAAAAAAGTTTATAGAGACAGCAATGAACAATAATGTAAATTTGAAGCTATACGCTCAAGTATTGCTCTCTTTAGTATTAGAGCAGACTTTCAAGGAAGTCGCCTTGTCGTCGTCTAGATCTTTAAATCGAACATTGCGGCGGCTTTGTTCGATGGGAGGAGAGGGAAACGGGAGAGGACAACCGACGCATGGGGCACCGACGAGTTTTGAATAACGGGAACTGTGAGATTCGACACAGATGATTGGGGGGGATTGGGGGATACAGGATGTGTAGGATAGGTACCTAATGCATGTACAGTTCTACGGTCAAGAGGATGGGGAAATCAAAGCTACGAGCAATGAACGACGACTCCGAATAAACTACACACCACGGTAGTAAAGAGAAAGAGCCAATAAAAAGTTAACACTTCAGAGGAAGCCAGCCATAATAGGGGAATTATGGGGACCGTGGTGTGTCTACAAAAAATGGCTTCGCTACAAGTGGAGCAAAGCTCAAAATGGCAGGACACAATTGGTTTGGAAAGATTATTTGGAGTACTGACGAGCCACTCAGTGACGAGGCTGGGTTGTTTCGAAGCACACCCTCCCCTGTCAATCTACAAATTCATGATTCGCTATAATTTGCCTTATCTAATAAGGGAATAGTGGTCATATTTTAGATGCGTTTTATTGGTTCACTAAAATCGCGTGTGGGAAAGTGCAGGCCATAGAATCCCCTGCAAAATATGCACGTACTAAACAATAATTAACTATGTACTCATACCAGACTTTACTTAGTTAGGTATCCCACATGTTCCAATATGGTTTAGTGTCCTGCAAACTGTAAGTAGCCATTACGACCTAAGTTGGTCAAGGCCAGCTAGAAACTTGAAAGAACAACCTTGGGCAATCAATCTTTTATCGAGCGGAAATGATAGCAACCTTGAAGTTTGTGAAGAGTCATCGTCATTCAAACCATTCTCTCCAACTAATCCAACTAATCCAACCATCCAACCACATCCCCCCATCAACCACACCCCCCTTTTCCTCCTCCTCTTTCTATTCCTCATTCCTTACCACTTTCACCCCGCTGCTTGCAGGCATGCCCTCGCCAACCAACAATCAGATCGAGCATTATTTGCGTGATGTTGTTGTTTATTAGATGGGCGGCCACATACAATCAAGCCTGGTAACAAAGAGAATTGGCTGGGCTGGCTAGTTGCCTGACAGCCTGCTACCATGAACTATACTTTATTGGCAAAGGGAAAAATAGGAGAGAAGAAATAGAATAACTCGTTAATATTGCTTGCTCTTCCCCATGCCCTGCCGCTGTGTACATGCACCGCTTGCATGTACGAGCGTTCCATGTACATACGAATTCGAGGTTTGCTTGGAGCAGCCTGGATCATATGTACATTGCCACCAAGGGCGGCGGCAGCGGCAGCGGCAGCAACAGCGGCAGTAGCAACATTGGCAGTGACTTGGTGTAACTCTCGCCTTGCAAATGGTGAAATTTTTGTATGTTTGGGGTCAAGCCGACATGACCTACGCAAGATGGGATCCTCAGCTCTGCGATGGATCCATACGATAGTCTGGTCTGGACAACACTCAAAGCATCGGTGTTTCGAGAAGCTTCAACACGATCAACAGTTGTTCAACGACGACTTACATGACGATACCTCAGTTTAAAGATATCCATCACGAGATTTTCGTATTACAATACGTTATCAGTGTTATTTTCTGCTGCTAGTATGTCACTTACAGAGACGAGGTCGGACCCGCGTCTCCCCTCCCTGTGGCTCTGGGGTTACCAAGGGAGAAACAGTCACACCCCCCTAAGCCGCCGGCCACGGATCATGACTAGTATTGTCAGCCTAGATTAATCAGATCTTCGCCTCAGGCTCTTTATTCTTCGATACCGAGTGCTATTTTCGTCTCGATTTCGCAGCCCTGGAGCCTTGTTTACTCAGGTTGAATAGAATCGGCCCAGGTCATAGCTATCTCAAATTCGGGTACAAGGCTTTCCCATCCTAAGTCGAGGCTGGGCAGCTCACTGCCGTAGATCGGAGCATTTCGCCATTCCTGGCTTGCCACGGTCAACTTGCACGAACTTCCGGGCATTGTGTAGAATCTCATTACTTGTTTCGGATAGGAGTCACCCGTATCCGCCTTTTGTGACTTCGTAGTAGGCCACATTGTTTGAGCTACATATGGATCGGCCCACATATCGAGCCAAGATCCTCCATCGGGCGAAGCTTAGGCAAGCCATCCTCGTTGCCTTACATAAAACTTGCAAATGCTGAATGAGATTAGCCACCGCCTATCTACATAGGTAGGAACTCACGACGGCGAGGTTCAATCAACTTCACCCAAACAGTGCGAGTGCGATGCTGCGGCAAATTTCTCCGCAATCATATATCAAGTTTGCACGCATCAGCCCAATATGCAAATATATCACAGTAACAACCAATGAGATTAGATTTTTATTAGCTGACTTCTATAGCACGTATTCCTCGAAGAAAGGATTTCTCTATTTTGTCATAAGGTGATCAAACTTCGACGAGGAAGACAAGATAAGTCCGAGCCTAGGTGATCCATCATGATTCATTTTCATCTGGATACTACGCAAACTCCGCTCTACAGAACTCAGGGCTCGCTTGTTGGCTTGTTCCCTTTAGACGACAGTGCCTACGGATTAGACGTAGCAGTCTAGGGTCAAAATCTTCGAGCGCATAATAACGCGTAACTGGAGTTCGTCATGGCATGCTGTGGCTTTGATAAGCCATTTGTCCGAGTAGGTAGTTGCTCATACCGGACGATTTTTTCGCCGTGGAAATCGCGAGTATCTCCTGAGTTGGCGAATGACGTACGAGCTCAGCTTCAATATCGTCGTAAGATCTATTACATAGCAGATCATCCATGGCCGAAAATTAATTCCCTTTGGCGCCTACTTTAGCCAAGGTGAGTATAAATCAGAGTTAGCCCATAAGTGCAGTTATTACCAGCCCCGCCTTGGCGTCGACGGTGGCATCTGGAGCTGCATCACGGAATATCATTGTTGCTCAGACTGAATCAAGACCGACATTGGTCATTCGCCCCCTTCGCATCATGGCGCACGGGAGCAGCAAGACGACAAAGGCCGCCACATTAAGCCCGCGTAGTATCACGAAGTATGTTAAAGGAGGCGGAAGAGTTGAGGGGTATTCGTACTACATTGCTACCATATCCTATGGCAGATATCCCTTCAATATCTAGGGATCCGGGGCTATTTCCACCATGCAGGGTAACCCAGTTTAGGCTATCTATCCTTCAGGCTTTGAAGAAGCATATGGCGTCCATGACTCGCGACGTCAAGGTAGCAAAAGCCGTCGGGAAAGGCTAGACGAATTATCGTCAATGACGACATTCAGCCCGCAGCCCTCCTGGAGGCCTTGGTTCTCGAGTTGGGGGGGTAACGAAGGAGTGTATCAGCAGGGATATTGAATTCATCTCGAAACGAATCCCTTTCCCGCAGATTTAGCCCTTTAGAAGGGCCACATCTTTTGCCACACCAACCAATTAGACAAAGTTGCTACCAGGTGTACCAGTCACAGCCCAGCATCGCGATTCACGATGACTCAACTCGACCTCAACTTGGCTAAAATGGCGAATCCAATAATCCATCGGTATCACGAACCAGACTCAACGACTGATCCTGATGATTCAGCGCGAGATCGGAGTAAGACAATAATAGCATATGGACCTCGCATTGTGCCTCGCTTGACGTTGAATGTGAAAAGAATTTCCATAGGTCACGCCGATATTCATCTGGAAGGAGTCTAAAGAATACCTGGAGCTGTGAGCCAGCTGATGATGACTATGTGACATGGAAGAATATGACAAGCCCTAAAAACTGATGACTTCGGGGTTGCTTGAACGTCGGGGGCCACACAGCTGAAGCGCTTTCAACCGCTATTGAAAATTAACCCGTTGGCAGGCCACGAAGTCCTAGGGCACTGCGGCAAAAAAAATTTCATTATGATCTGGTCAGAATCTCATGATAGTCACATCGGCAAAGTAGCCTCTACCAATCCATTAATTACCGCGCGCATTTTCAAAAGGCCGCCGTACTAAACATGTTGTTATCCCGCGTACAGCATCCATTATGGGGACAAAGATGTCATCACGGCCAGCTACGTGCTCCGCTTTCTTCCGATGATTCCATTCGGCAGCACTCGGTATCTTATTGGGTTCGGCCTCCTGTTAGTCCATCGAGGTCTCAAAGATACGTGTCGGCCACATGCGACATAGTTTCTAGAACAAGTGGATTTAAGCGGTCTACTACGGATTGTAGTCATAATAGTCATAGTAAAACTTCATGATCACATCGCGGATGTTGAAGTTACGTCGGTCCGGCGCCGTTGCTGGTTCAACATCCGAAGCCCAAATCTCCCAACGCAACGACTCACGAAGTGAACCTTACAGCCACATGGTCGTGGTCGATTTCCCAGCGCCGAGATAGGCATGCGGTAGGCATACCTCGTAGTACAAACATGGTTCCTGACCCTGATGCCAATACATCTAATACATCACATGCGTCGCGCTTATCCCATCCAGGCTACTTACGACATTAAAGCTGCGAACCACTTCACTCGTGCTGGGCCGTGATGGTGTGTACGCACGCGGTCTGGCGGTAGCCGTACAGGACATCACGGCATCGTGTTTTTAATTGGGATTAGGGCATTGTCCGGCCCCGCCTCATCTAGCTACTTTCGACTGGGGTCATCGTCCAATGAGAGATGCTGTAGGTGAGTAATTACTACTATGTATATCCTGCACCGCCTACAAACCCACGTCCACGGCTTCGCGTTGGAAGGGTGATCTCGTCGTCAAATTCAGACCATACTCTTATTCCCCATTCCCTATTTCCTGGATCTATACACTCGTATAGCGTTATTGCATGAGGCAATATCTAAGGGAAGGTGGGCAAATCTCCGAGACATTTCTTCAACATCTATCACCAACCATGTGAAACCTTCGTGTGCTGGCTGGCGGTGTCTTGCTTTTACCAGTTTACCGCAAAACACCCCTGTAGCATCGGCTTCAACGAGAGAGGGCTCAGTCGACGGTGTCTTCGCAGTCGCCTTTCGCCGTCCCCGCATTAACAAGCGCTTTTTACTGCCAGGATTTTCCACCCAGGTTCCGGAGGGTTCAACATCCAGCACCGCCATCGTCGCGGGACCTTGGTAATTGCGTGTTTTGACGATGTCGAACTTCCTAACATCTTGTTACGAGGGGGGGCTCGAGAGTTTCCGATATCTAAGCAAACCCCAAGCAGGCTAAGTAAAAGTCAAGAAGAGGAGACCCGCAACTCTAAAGCTCGTCGCCCGCCGCATACCCTTACCACACACAACTCGTCACGCGCGAGGCTTGGACCCCAACAACCCTTCCCTCATTCAGCTGTAATATTGCAATCCGATCAGCCAAACAGGGAAAGGGGAGTGGAGGGGGTGGCTGCGAACCAATCTTCGGGAGCTACGGGCATTGGGTGCTCGACCCCCCCAGAAATCTTTGATTTTCGGGCCACTGACGGGCTCCGTATTGGCAGATTATTACTTCGGGTAGATTATATTGGGTGATTAAGTACGGGGGCCGATCTAGATACGAAATGGCCCTTCGTAACGGAGATTTATTTGTCGCCCTCGCGGAAGCCTACGTGTGTGGTGTAGGGTTTTGTAAGGGGGGTTGTAGATGGGTACATTGTTATGCGCTGTAGGCCTATGTATTTTTGCTTACCGTCGCCTCTCGACGGGTGGTCGGGTCAGCGGTATGACAATGCATTCCATAGGAGCATAGTAAAAGCGCATAACGGGAACAGGGCACATGATTGATGGATACTTCGAGCTTGGGTGTTCTATTGGTATTCCGAACCCCGTGAATCCGTAACCCCTCGTCCACTATATGCAGTCTGGGTCAGTCCCCGGACAACTAACACACACAAGCAGACAAGTCACGTTATCCTATTTTTTTCTTGGGGTTTTCTGGGCGTTCTGGAAGCATATTATCACAATTCGAAAACCAACATGCGGAAGCCTTCGTCCCTGCGAATTTCGTATCCCGATTCCTATCACTTTCCCCCGCTTTACCATATGTACGGCAGTCTATAGCGCGTGTCGTATGTGACATGTACGTAGTAAGCCCGCCGCCCTGCCCATGGACGTATAGGTAGATTGTATTCCCATGTACATACAAGTGTGCGTGCATGCATACGGCTGTAGATCCGAGGCGAAATGGCCGATGATGAATTTCCCAGGTAGGAAGCCATCCCCAGGCAGCAGCGAACTTTCCAGTTACCGTCGCTGGGTGGTCTAGAATTGTCTAACAGATCTCCAGCATCTACGGACAGACATGAAACATAGTTGATGGGAGCTACGGTATCACAAGAGCCCTGACCTACATGTCAGCCTTGGAGTTAATCAAGAGGTAGTATATCCTAAACATCTGTAGAAATATTGCATTTTTGTGGAAAGAAGGGGGGTCATTTGAGTGCCTTATCCCAGGATCCCGCCATTTCTTGCGCGAACCACATCGAGGCTAGGACACTAACAATTATCATGGTAGGACCATCATCGTGATCATGATCATATCGCGTTGTCTGCAGGATAGAATTAAGCTTCTCATCCTCTCCTGATAGTCAAAGATTGAAATTATCTAGTGCATTTACACGACGCGGCAAAGGATCGCTAGCCACATGTTGTATTAGATAAGGAGAGGAAATAGGTAGGTAATCGTGAGACGGTCGTACGTTCATCAGAGAAAGAAAGAGAACACAATACCACCAGCACTAGAAAATGATGAAGCACCCGTCAGCTCTGCTAACTCACCTAACGCTAGACTAGATCAACTGGCTAAACCGGCTTAAGGGTTCTAGCCTGCCTTGCTAAAATGGCCACCGCTCGCGTCATCTTCCCTTAGTCGAGTACCGGTATCTAGGCTTTCCTACCCAACTTCAGATCACAGATCGCCAAGGCGTTACTCATCGGTCGGCTACGCGAGTACGTAAGCGAAGGCTCTCTACTCTACCATACCAGACACCGACAAATCCTATCAGCCTTAGCCCTGTTACTTTTTTCGGAATCCTTTCGGCCCCAATAGATTCTATTCTCCTGCGAGCCGACCTTCGGAGGCGACTTATCATAAATGTCATCGACGAAGTGGCAACAATAAATAAGTCTGAGTACGTGAGCGGGTAACCTAGGTAGGGTAGGTAATCAGATTGATGAAGTAAGCTTTTAAGGTGTAGCAATAGGTACCTATTTGGTGCCGCCGAATAGCGTCTCACCTGTATGTAAGCCGAACGGCCCCCAAAGCCTTGGGTAAACTTTTGCGATGAATCAGCCGCGTTCGGAGAACTACATACACACATACCTACACACGCGAAACGCACGACCACATGATCGCGACGACATGCGGGGAACGCGCTCGCGCCTGTAACTAGACCCGTGGTTCCGCGGCGGCATCCACTATCCCTCTTCTCCCCTTGAGCGAAGTTACGCGGGTACGCGCCGTTTTGGCCCCCAACACACAGCGGAGCGGCGGAGCACGGTAGGTATGGTTATACTGTACCTAGGTACGTCAGCTTGTTACCTAGATGTGTAAGGTCCCGGCACGTGAGGTGAAGGGAAACTGGGTAGCTCGGGTATCGTAGCTTGCTCGCGGCCACCTACTTAGCTCTCTAATCCAGATGAACATGATCTACCCTACCGGCTATCCGGGCTTGCGGGGAAGATCTCTTGACTGTCATTTGACGGTGGCTGTGAGCCATCGTGATCCTTACTTAGAGCATATTGTCATCGGCCGACGTGAGCCCTAGCGCGGAGGCGAGGGGGTTAGGTTGGTGTGTTGGAGGGATGGAGATGTGGCTTGCTGCCTGGCGGTAGCTCATGTGGCAGGTATTGAATCCATGGATGACTTGAACAACTTTTCATAAGGAAGTTTGCCGCTGTAATCCTAGGCTGATATAATATAGTTCCACAAGCTTACTATTTTTGTTCGTCGTCATGGCTGTCGCAATACAGGCGGCGAGATCTAGGGGCAAGAGAATGCAAGTGCTTGGAGATGTTTGAAGTTAAAGTTGGTTCACGCCGAAGAGGGTCATGACACAAGCCGCCGATGAGTCACCACAATCCTAGTACCTAAATGAACATGATCCCAGTTCAGGGGTAACCGAACACTTGTTGGACCGAGCAGGCTTACACGCGTACGTGTTTTCGGGTTCGTGAGTAACATGGAGATTGAAAACTTCATCCAGGCAAAGCCTTCGCAATATCATGTGGGATGGGTGTTGACTGCTAGACCGTGAAACGGGCTACTAGTAACGCCGGCACATAGTTTTGGAGTCACCATAGCTGACATAACAGCGGACTTCGCGATGGGTGCTTCGAAAATGGTGGTGTGAAAGATGAATAGCATGAAGTTCTCAAATAGGGGTTGTCACGCCGTCGGGTACCTACCTAATCTGTTGAGTCATAGTGGATGAAAGGATGTTGTCCAAGTAAGTACCGTATCCAATGCGAAATCCTCAAGGCAGCCATTCTCATTTATCCGGATTCCTAGAATACGTATATCGCTCTTCTAGGGATCCATACTCGGGGTAATAGTTTCTAACGAGACTCTAACTCCGAAATAATACGGATAACGTAGGGAAATATGTTTGTCTCTGCTGGAGTTAATAACATAGTTGACTAGATGTGCGAGTTTCGCTCGTTGGTAATTCCAAGTATTACAATAGACCTAAGTACGTGATTTTCAATAAACAATGGCATTTGAACTTCTCACTTGCTTAGTAGTGAGCAACCGCCCTCCTATGTACCTGGTATGTAAAGCTTCGAGGTAATCTAGACAGTGACCGCAGGTCTCCACTCGTAGTGGTGAGCCCCTTTCGAAGGCTTCCCAGGGTCCTCCCCTCTCACATTCGGCCTGTCATATGCATGCGCACCGAAGAAGTCCATTTCGGCCTCCATGAACTGAGTTGCTAACATCCCACCACCGACATATTTCAAGTATTCTAGACTTGCGCTGATGGCAGGGACATAGTTGTCCCATTCGATAGCTTTCAACGTGATCAGCTTCAACGCGTCAAAGTTGCCCCGCAGCTCGGAGGCGACCTCGTCGATGAGCTTCAAATTCATGATAGGTTCCTTCGCGTTTAGTAGAATGGGCTCGAGCATGTCTGCAATATGGTCTTCTTGGATGATGCACCCAGCCCTCCAGATCTGGATACACTTTCCCAAATTGACATCCCAGTGTTCATCCTTGGAGGCACGCGCAATAAGTTCAAGGCCTTGGCAGTACGAGCAGAGAAAGGATGCATAGACAGCCCTGCGCAAGCTCTCGATGAGGCTTTCCTTATCCATAGAATCCACACGTCGCGGCTTCGGAACTTGTAGCTTATCAACTACTTTCAACCTCTGCGCTCGATTCCCACTGGCTACGCGGAAGAAATGACCAGCTGTGATGGTAGGCGCGGATATGTGTCGATCTGCGGCATCCTTAACCGTCCAGAACAGTGTGCCCTCGGAGTTATCGTCGTCTTGCACTACTTTGTCGAGGACATCATCCAATACATAACCGCCCTCCCCTTTCCCTTCACCACGCTCATCGCCTTCAGGGGTCCTTTTCTTTTGACAGATCTCGGAGCCAATCTGGATTAGGTATGTATTCCTTAGCTCTGCCTCAGAGTTCCACCTACCAAAGATCTTTCCAATTTCATCGTACGAGAGTCCAAGCGACTTGTTGAGGAAGTTCCAAGCTTCACAGACAACGGAAAGCATGCCATTCTCAATCCCGTTGTGAACCATTTTGACATAATGGCCAGCCCCGCGAGGTCCCATATACTGGACGCATGGCTTGCCATCGACAGCAGACTTGGCCGAGAATTTCTCCAATAATGGAAGCACAAACTCAACAGCTTCACGATCTCCCCCTGGCGACATACTCGGACCGCGCCTGGCCGACTGGTACCCACCGCTGACACCCATGCCAATCCATTTTATGCCCCTTTTCTCGAGCTCCCTCTGGCGCCTTTCCGTATTGCGGTAATTCTCGTTTCCTCCATCGAGGACGATATCGCCTTCCTTCAAATCGTCACTGATTTTCTCCAAGACCGAATCTGCGGGCCAACCGTGCGTGATGGAGAAGATGAAGATCTTACGCGGCTGGGAGTTCAAGCTTCTGGTAAACTCATGGATATCTTTGAAGTGGTCTACTTTTCCCTTTAATGTTTTCGTCTGCTCTGTCATCTTCCGCGCCGCGTCAATGTTCTTTTCTGAGACGTCCCATAGGGATACGCCAAGGCCGTTTTCAGAGAAGCCGAGTGACATCATTGTGCCCATGTTTCCTGCACCCACAATGCCTATTCGTTTGATCTGACTGATATCGGGATAAGGCGCCATCGTGTATGAATTGATGCTGGATACACAAAAATCGATATTCCGATGCAAAATGAATATGCTGTTGATATCGTTATACTTGATACTTCGACGCCTCAAATTGACGTTGCTAATAACGTGTCAGTTTGAACTTAGGTAAATTGAATCACGTTTAATAAACTCTGAATATCGTCTGTCCTTAACTTGACGCAGGTATGTTGTCATTGATTTGAAGAATGATGATATGATTCGACGTCGTAGTGACGCAAGAAACCAGATAATTAGTACCGCATATCTAACGAATGAGATCCATTGCTTAATTAATCACTAACCCCTATTTTTAACATGAAATTGGCTTTGTCATAAAAATTGTTTGTATCTGTATTTGTGATTGTTGTTACAGACCTCGGGAAGTTAGAATCCGTGCATGCTATTGAGTAGAATGTTACCTAACCTCAAAGCTTTTATTATCAATTAGGTTGGAAACATGACAGCATCACAAATTTCAAAGGTAGGTATAATCTATTGGACTAAATAAAACGAGAGGACAGCTCGTTGCAATATAGCGCTGTATCGCAACGACCAAGTTTCATACCCTGAGGCTCCATCTATGCTATCCCCTATGCTGATAATTCAGTGATGGCCATTCTAAAAATGGAATTACCAGCACTGGATAGAGCTAGCAGCATCGTTCCAACCGTTTGGCATGTTCTGCTTGCCGCCTGCCGAGGAGTCCCAGTGGTCACCTGCACAGGAGTAGTCCCTGTATCCTAGTTAGCCCGACTGGAGAAATAACTCCCTCCCCCCCTTTCCCCTTTTGCTGACTAGGTAGAGATGCAGGAACTCACTTGAAGAATCGGCAAGTGTGACCGTCATGCACAGCGAAGGAGCTGACGTCGTCGTTCTCGGCGCTATTGATTTGGTCTGGAAAAAGGGGTCAGCCGAAAGCATTCGAAGGTAGTTTGCTGGACCGGGGCTCACAGCATTGGTTGTTCGGGGCGCTAAGGGTCTAATGCGTGCCCATTAAGTTCCAGTCGCTCCAGAGGTCGACGGTGATGTCGCGGGCCTGGATGGTGCCGGCTTGGGCGAAGGCTGCGAGGGCGCTGATGGCGCTGATGAGGATGAAGGTCTGCATTTTCGGAGTAGTGGTTTAATTGGTAAGTTGGAAGTTGGTTGGACTGGTTAAAAGTGTCTTGATTGTTATGATGATGTTGAGGCGTGATGATCTGGGTTGATGATCTGGGTTGAGGTACAAGTGCTCCGGACCTGAACAGTCTTTTATATCGAAAGAATGCATCTTGTTAGAACTTGAATATGCCGTTGACCTCAGAGATCTACACCAAAGAAATGTATTTTTGCTGATTCTGGAAGCATGGCACGAATACTTAGCTAGGACACATATGAACAGGAGAATATCTAGGTAAGCATACAACCCGTTTGCTGTCAAGCGCTTGAACACGATCCACTCTGTTAGTGAGTAAGTATCGAGGCAGAGAAAATCATTTCTATTGGTTTTCCTGCTTCATTTGGGGATATGTTGCGGAAGTGTGATGGAGATCTCTCAGCTGATATAAGACGGCACCATCGTCGAAAGATTTCCAACTTATAATCTCCAAAAACCTAGTTAATGAGCTCAAATTGAAGATGGAATCTACTACGAGCTACGTGATCCCAAATAATACCTTCAGAAGTGCGCCAAGGTTCTATGAGCACCGTTGGCTAGGAAGATTCTACCATAGCTTGGGACCATTGGGTTAAGACTTCTAAAGTTTTTCTATCAAGGCTCGATGTTGCGATTGTGCTAAGCTCTTGGAATCTATCTCTACAGGTTGATTAGAGCGAGAACTATATATATAGCTAACCATGGTATCCGTGAATTATTGATTATGTTCGAGCCAGCTATGCCGGTATTCTAGCTGCCCCTTATTCGACGTCCGTTAGCGGTGAAAGGAAGTTTCTCACTGCCATATCCTCTTGTCCAACGCGGAAATATAACCTTGGTAGTTATCTCTCTGGCTATCGCGTTCTCTCAGAGTGTTGTCTGGACCACGTTGCCCAGTATCCAGCGATCTCTTATGACAACCAAGTGGGGAGTTTGCAAAGCCTTATAAGTAATCATATCATAGGAGCTTTCGCCTTCGGGCAATCGAAATGGTCTATTCATATGATGCTCGAATTAACGTTTTTGTCTCACATACCTACAGAGGGTGGGTTCGAATCAAGTTCAAACCAAGGTTTTTTTTCCTTTTCTTTTTTTCCTTTCCCTTCCCTCAACTTTTTCATACAATACAGGTATCAGATAACACTTCAAGTATGATCTGATGTTTTTAATTGTTTGTTATTTTGTGGTGCTTAATGTAGATAGATTGAACATTGCTGACGTTGTAAGTGTCATGATGAATAAAAGGGGCTCCACGTGACCAAGGGGGTAAAAGATCCTTCAAAGGAAAGGAATTCCCCCTTGAGAATTTCAATTATTTCTCCTTCATATCATGGCACCACTTATACGCGTAAATGGCGTGGTGGTAAGATGAAAAGTAATTATCTCTTATCCCACTGTCAGTCTCGTCCTGGCCCTAACTCCGCTGGTAATGATCGACCAGGTAACTCAGCCCGTTCTGTGTGGTCGGTCGACGGCGGTATCGACCAGGACGTATTTCTTTCATTATTGCCAGCCAGCTCCGATGGTACTTTCGTAGGTTGATAGTGTTCGACGAACTGTGGCTCGTACATGACCGCAGGTCGTCCAAGGCGTCTCCTCCGACAGCGCCTCCACAGAAGAAATGTTCCCACAAGCGCTAGGATGCCAGCTATGGCGGCGCCGACCCCAATACCCGCCTTTGCGCCTGACGAAAGATCGTCAAAGGTCGGGTTCGTGGTTGTTATTACCGGAGCTGACACAATCGGGGTCGTGGTCGCAGTCGCGGTCGCGAGGTCGGATAGATGCCACCTGATCGCAATGCCAAACGCGTTCAGGGTGCCGCCTCCGGTCGTCGTGGAAGTTTCGGGGTTCTTTCCGGGTGTGCGCGTGGTGTACTGGTACGTGATTGAATCCGGCATGCTCTGGACGCACAGGTCCGTCGTGAACCACGGAAAGCCTTCGGATAAAGTCTGGCAGCTATAGCCGCTGTGCTCGTTGAATTGCATTACAGCATGTCAGCCTAACCTATACCATACACATGCCTATCTAGGTAACCGGTGTGCGCTCGCAGCCGACACGAATAAACGTACCTAGGACAACACGTCGCCGTCCTCTCAGGCTCCTCCGTATACGCACACGCAACCGTGTACCCCGATGGACACCCGCCGGGCGAAATATACGCGCCCGAGCTTGGGCTCCAAGATGTGGGAAAACAAACTGACGTACTTGTCGTGGGACCAAGATGGAACTGGCGACACGCGACCGTAGAGCCATTGCCATCAACACAGGACAGGTCCTGGTCGACGACGTAGTAGATATCTTGGGTACAAGATGGCGCGGGGTTGAATGGGGGCGTTAATACTGGAATCTGGACAGCGGGGGACGAAGACGTTGGTGTTGTGCTGGTAGTAGTTGGCGTGCTTGGCGAGCTCGTCGTGTTGTCCGTAAATTCACTGCCCGTCGTCTCGGCCACACTAGGCTTGGGCTCATCGCCGCTGCCTGTCGACATGTCGAAGGATGACTTGGTTCGGACAACTGTGTATGAATCTATATGACAGGTAGCGAGGAGAGATATGTGTGTTGTAATTGTCCATCTCCGGAGGTAGGTAGGTTAAGTAGGACAATAACTGAAACAACGAATTTAGGGTGGCTTGGAGGCCACGCATAGCGGTCCAATGAGGTCGAGTGGTGAGATGTATGTTTTCACGAGGCTTGAGGCGTTAATTTCCAGCAAGCAGCACATGTCAATTAACGTACACGAAATGCGTGGTATCAACTAAACTGAATGATCTAATAGACTACTTGTAAATGGTATCCGGCGAAAACTTGGGTATAAAGGCTTCTCTACCTCGCTTAGGCAGCTGAAAATACCATATGGATAATACAACATCACCGCACAATAACAAGTCATGTCACGTGTCGAGAACATTAGGAAATGCGTTTCAGAGCAGTCTATTTCGTTGCTTGCAAGGCGTGAGACTACGGAGTATTACCGCGTGAAGCAACCGAATGAAATGGATCCAGCACGCGTTACGACGAGCTCTAGCGTCCGAATCAGCTAATCTCTGGACCTCTCTGACAGTGTACCGCGTCACCCGTTCCAAGCCAAACATAATGTACAGAGCCGTGGTGCCAAACGAATCATTTGCTTTTCGGAAAGAAACCCCCTTTTGTGACTACGGGGGCTCAACGCATTAAACGAATCCTCCGAGTCGTTTCCCAGAACAATTCTTGTGCGAAGACTAAAGAGATCAACCGAAATCGCCGATGTAGCTTACGACGCCATGTAGGTACTGGCATCGATGCCATCCTTGGGGAATTCGCTATGGAATTGGTCAGTAAGACGACCGGGTATATGGAAATTAAGTTGAACTTACGGAACTGGGACCTCAAATCGCTTTTCAACAGCCTTCAAGACTTCCTGGTCTGCATCGGTGCTCATAAATGATATTGCCAGTCCCTTGGTACCGAAACGGCCGGCACGACCAACGCGGTGGAGGTAGGAGTCGGCATCAGCGGGCAAATCGTAGTTGATAGCCAAGTTGATACGCTCAATGTCAATACCACGACCGAACACGTCAGTGGCAACACAGATGCGCTTATTGAATTCTTTGAACTCCTTATAGCGTTTGATACTATGATATAATTAGATATGAAAACACGTCCAAAAGATGTATTTGTACATACCGCTCTTCTTGGCTAACGCCAGAGTGCACCGAGATAGATGGGAAGTTGCATTCACGAAGCAACTTGTCAAGCTCGGTGGCACGAATGGTGCTCTTGACGAAGATGATGACTTGGTTGAACTGCAACTCATCGAGAAGCTCGTTGAGCTTGCGATTCTTCTCCCGCTCTTCGAGCTTGATGTAGTATTGTTGGAGACCGTGGAGGGTCAACTTGGTGTCTTCATCAACATAGTGCTCGGTAGGGTTTTGCATGAACTTCTTGCAGATCGGCTTGACCTCGTCAGAGAGTGTAGCAGAGAACATCATAACCTGCTTCTGCTGAGGAGTGGCTCGGAAGATATCCTGGACGTCTCGTCGCATGTCTTTCCAAATTAGTTAGAATAGAAGTTGAATGGAACGATTTAAGATCTTACCAATAGCGTCAAGCATCTTGTCACATTCATCAAGGACGAAGATGCGGACGCTTGTGAGTCTGAGATACTTGTCCCGGACGAGGGCATTGAGACGACCAGGAGTGCCGACAATGATGTGAGGATGAGTCTCCTTGTTCTTCAGAATCTCCGCATCCTTTTGGATGGGAGTACCACCGTAGAACACGCCAGTCTTGATGTCGGGCATGTATTTACTGAAACGGTTGTACTCGTTACGGATCTGGAAAGCCAGCTCGCGAGTATGGCACATGACCAAAACGGAACACTCGCCAGCGACGGGCTCGACTTGTTGAAGAGTGGTGAGAACGAAGACGGCGGTTTTGCCGAGACCGGACTTTGCTTGGCAGATAATATCACCTCCGAGGAGAGCCTGAGGGATACAGGTCTGTTGGACTAGGAATCGATCGAATGTTAGATAGGTTTTCCAAGAGTGGTGAGGGACGCGAAGGTAGGAATTCGACAAGGTCCGTCCATCATCGCAGCATTATTTAATTTTTTTCAACTCCCAATCCATCCTCGCGACTTCTTCGACGGTTCCATCGATGGATGGATAGAAATGGTGTGTTCGTTGTAGCACCAATTTTCTGGGACGTACGCGTTGGCTCGAAGCCAAATCCACTCGTCCGTTGTCGAGAATATACTGTTAGGATTCACCGTCCCAACAAGTATCCAAAGCCTCTAATATCGCTTAGAGGCCAAACCAGGCCACCGAGACAGACGTAATAAATACCAGTCTCATAAGCTTATAGGGCAGTCCGACATGTCTTGTCCAAAACAACATCCTCCGTACACCGACAGTGATATGCATATGTATATGGCTCAGGCGAATGATTTCACACGCGCCGACATTTTTGCCTTGCTTCTCCGATATTTGCTTTTTGTTTCATTTGCTTGCGATGAACTTGCGAGATGGACGGACGCTTGAAGAAGGAGGGATGGATAACTTTTGAAAAGCTGTAACGTGTAAGATGTAGACTAACCCTCCGAAGGATGTTCGAATCCGCAATCGGCTATGGCGCGTAGGAGCTCGGGCTTCAGTAGGAAATCACGGAAGCCGGTAGCGTGAATGCCAACGTAAGAACCCTTCTTGTCAACGCTATTGCCAGAAGCGGCTGCGTCGGTCTTCTTGCCGTTGGTGGTGGAGGCCTCGTTGGTGCCTAGCTCCTCATCGGAGTAGTCGATCAGATCCTCTTCGGTCGACATGATGATGGATTAAAAAAGACTGTCGTGATAATCAGGCTGGCAAGTTTCCCGGTTCGCGACGGACGCGAATCAATTAAAGTGCGTTTGAAAAAAATATGCCGCGAGGCAAGAATGAAAAGAAAAGAAGTGGAAACGCGGTGGTGATTGTTGATAAAGGTACGCGAAAGCGGTTGTTGGCGACGAGGCTCTCGAGGTTAAATGTGGTTGAGAGGGAGAAGAAAGATGGATGTTGTTAGGAAAGGTTGGAAGTGGATGGTCAGAAAAATAGAATTGACCATGCATGAGCTGATGGAATGCGCGACCGAATTTTGGAGCTAGTCCTAAATAGGGCTACTATGGGGCTATGAGAGAAACGGGCTGTGCACTGTGTCATTGGTTAGCTGGCAGTCTGGTACTACGTATGTAGGTAGTAGGTAGGAGGTAGGCACACTGACCGAGTGACTGGCGCTGTATCTGGGTACGTATCCGAAAGGTTGAGTTTCCCCAGACTTTCTGACTTTTCACTGTGCTACATACTTATGTAATCTTCTCCAAACGCGATGACTCATGGCTATGTACTTGGGTACCTATCTAGATATCTCCACAATTCTCTCAAAAGTTGACCTTTCAATGTTCTCACTAGATCTTTAAAACGACAAAGCGAATCCGAGACATGGGGAAATCCAAGGGAACTGGAAATGTACCAAACCGACCAATATATTCTCGAATTTCATATCTATACCAAGCAGCAACGTACCTAGCTAGTCATTCAGAACCGAAAGGTTCCAGTAATGTTCCTCAAAGCTCCGAAGGTGGTAAGGGGGATATATCAACACCAAACAAGCAAATATCTCATAATAATCGCACTAAACACACTCTCTCGCGACACCTCATCACTGATCTTCGATCTACATCGTTGAAGAGCCAAATTCGCTTATCTCCTGCTATGAAGCATACCATGTGTAAACTCTGCGATAGCTTACTCATCGAAGGAGAGACAAGCAGCTCCGTAGTTGAGAACAAAAGCAAGGGCAGCAAAAAACCATGGGCTGATGTACTTGTTGTCAAATGCCACACCTGTGGAGGAGTGAAGCGCTTTCCAGTCCAAACCCCTCGGCAGAAGCGGCGGCCTATACGTGAAGAGAAATCGGAAGAGAAGCGTGAGAAGCAGAGGCCAGTCTAATTGATCACATTTATGTCTAAGATTATCCTCGGGCAGATCTACCATACCTATCCTAAGAACTATTATGGCGGTACTATCATCCTTCGCGGTCGGGAGAAGACAGGATTCTTAGCCATTCACAGCCTTCGCACAAACGGTGGCCTCGCTCCAGATATGCGTTCATTGTCGGAGCTTGAGATAGCCTCACCGAAGCATCGCATAGACCCGGAGCCAATTAGGACTCGGATTTTAATATTCGCTTCCAATAAGTGGTTGACTTTACTTGTCATAGGAATGCTTATTTCATAATAAGTAATATTGGCGCATAACCAATTGTGGCTTATGCAACGATTGACTGGCTAAGACTGCAGAGGTCAAGCAGGCTGTCACCAGGCAGTGTCATGGGCTTAACATTGAGGCGATAATGAAGAATACTACATACATCTACAATATCATCCCGGACATTCTCCGTTCATTCCCCGTTCACGAGGGCCTTGCTCCCAGAGGAAAACGGCTTCCATGTCAAATATGGCTACAACCATACAGGGATGCGAGCGCATCATCGTCTACAAGAACTCGTGTGTAGGCATTCCGTGGAAGGTCAGTGCTAGGCTGGCCCTAGCGCTATCCCTGTTTTACGACTCGTTACGATCTGGTTTCTCTCTCCCTTATGCAACAACCTCAGTCCCTGAATCTGACAATTTTCTATTAAAAAATTGCCTATAGTTAAAACGTTCGAATTCCGGCATAAATATCAATTCTTCTTCGCTTCGTCTAACTAGACGGTGTCTCCTGAATAATAACCCCCACAAAAACCATAAGCACAGCAGCATATGCCAGTGTTCCCGCAAAGACTTGGTCTCCTTTTTCGACGACGAACGCTAGGAGCAGCCCAAATATCGTCACAGCAACTGTCGTAGTCCCCAGATCAAAGATCAGATCTCTCTTGAGAGCTAAAAGCCACATGGGTCCAATCAAGAATGCGGATCATAGTAATGCTAGGAAGACCCGCGTTAGGAGAGCCCGTCGTAAAAGGCTCTGAACACTGGCGTTTCGAGTTCCTCCAATAGGAACCGGTTTTTCACCTGCGCGAACTACCTCCCAAGGACCAGTGGGCAATGCATACTTTTGCTCTGAATCTTCGAAATCATCCACGCCTTTTTGGGCGCGAAGAATTGCTGCCCTTAGGTGCACGTGATCTTGATCTCGCTCGGACGAGGCGATGAACATGTCGTATTGTTTCTGCGTAGCATCGGTCATGTACTCGTAGTCTCGAACGGCTTGTACTGTAATTCCGTCGTTAGAAGCATACTTCGGGGATTTTCGTTACATACCTACTATACGCCTTCAATATCGCGTCCATTTTCTTCAACCCCACTGGCATGTCGCCCCAGCCCTCGGCCTTCTGCGATGTCTCGTCAAATCTCATCTCAACACCAAGCTTGATGAGATCGATCTGTAGTGCTCTCATGTACATCCTTTGCATCTCGGCGAAGTTAACGCGATAGCCTAACCTGCTGCGCGGCACTGATGCTGTTTGTCCGCACAACCCGCACACCATCCGAATGAGAAAGTCTTGTATGGCCCATCTCGGCGAGACTAATGTAACAAAATTCTCGTAGTGTTGCTTATATGCCTTTTCCCAAGACTGAGGACTAGCAATTCCGCTTGCTGGTGTAACTGTATTGTCTATGGAAGTTCCTGTCGTATTTTGCTCTATATCGTCCATCTCCCCAGTCACGAATGTGTCCAGTCATAGATCAAATAGTAATACTGATCATGGGAACAATCTGGAGGGCTATGTATGCAGGATACCTACCCAGGCAAGTACATCTTTCAATTATTGAGGGGAAACCCTCGGAGTACTACGTAAGGTAGGCTGTGGATGGTGGCTGACTGGCAACTGATGTAAGCGGCTGAGAAACCTGAGGACTTATAATTCGCCCCCATCGCTGACTTCCGTCGCATTTCGATATTAATTGACCAACTCAATTCAATCAAGCACATACTTAACCTAGAAGGTTGACATTACCTCTATTCTATTCGCACACTGCGGCTCATTCCACAGAACAACCACCCCCTCGGTTACCAAATTGATCTTGATGCCTATTAATTTGACAATAACGCAAGAGAACGAGAGATGGCTGTCTATTTCGTATGCAGATAACAGTGCCAAGGCACTAGCAACCCATCATCTAGAATGTATCAGGACGTGGCAAGAAACACAGAGGAGATCAAAACGATTACGATTTAAGGAGCAACCCGACAACAGCTTTTTACTCCGGTGTCGTAATAAAGGTGTCGAATCATTTATCGAGAGAACACACAGAGGCGGCCGAATAATAGGGAGATATTGGGCGATCGAAATTCCAGGCACCGAAAGAGCCGAACTTTTCGTTAATAATTTCATTCTCAAGGTGGAGGAAGAGTGGCGAATAAGGTCAAACCCGGAGTCTGTAACTATGTTGGTGCCCAAGCAATACGAGGAAGACGAGTGGCGCGAGGTCATGTTAAGAGAAGACCAGGAGGGCCGAGGAGCGAGATCGTCCCGGAAGAACATATAAAAGAGCTTACGCTGACGCCACTTACGGACCTTTGAAGTTATAATACATCGATATCATGTCCTCATCATAGCCTACCTATACAATTGGAACACATTTATATAGAGCACGCATGTTCTACTTCATCGTACCACCAACTACTATAAGTTACGAGACTAGCTGTAGTTTGAAATTATCGACTATAAGGAGGAAGTTGTCCCCTTCGGCGTCTATGCAAATAGGGGTGTTACACGGATTATGAGGGGTGAATAACAAAAGCTCCTTCTATATTGCCCTTCCAATTGTTTTGTCTACCTACGCAATGCCCTGGCCTACCATCCTATCTCCTCCAGATCAACCAACCTAGACAATCAGCCCTCCCAACAACCTGTCTCTTGAGGCAACCGGATAAACCCTTGGTAATCATCCGTGTCTTGTACGAAGGTTTATAAGGATGGATAATTACTAGAAGTTTAGCCTACGGGCGATCTCAAATTAACATGCAATTGTATATTAGGTTCCAACTAAATCTCCAACTAAAGTTTTGCCATTTTGTTGCGGAGGGTGGAGAGTTCGAATCTAGTTCAGAGCAGTTTTGTCTCATTCTTTTTTGCCCCCTTTTTGAAAAAGGTGCATCCTTTAAATTTGAACCTTAATATTTAGTACCAGACCATGGGAGGAATGCCGAAATCGGGAATAGGGGTGTTTGGTCAACACTACCTGTAAAACTTAAATTTGATGAACTTTCTCCGATTGCGTATTAAAAGAAGTTAAATCCCAATTATATTATCCTTTGACTTACATTGTTACATAGTCACACATCTAAGACCGGACTCCTTTCATCTAAACTGATACACATATGCGAAGAAAAACGCGCCACAACACTATGGCAAAAAAGGTGAAGAGTCATTCTGGCAAAGCCTCAATCGGTGGAAAGGGACAACACGAGGATCCAAACGGACCCCTATTTTTCTTCAAGCCCAATGAAGCCCACGGCGAGTTCTGCCAATGGAATCTGGCCGCCTTCACCGTCAGCAAGGCCCAGATATCTAACCTCGTCGGCCACCCCACCGAAGAGGACGATTCCGATGGCAAGCAGTTGATACGTTTCAACTGCGCCGAGCAGTTCATGATGTACTGTAAAGCGGGCCGGTTCCACGATTCTGCCACGCAGAAGCTCATCCTCGCCACACAGGATCCGAAAGAGCAGAAGAGGCTCGGAAGGCTGACTAAGGAATTCCGCAGAGCAAGTTGGGACGAGATCAAGAGCGCTGTCGTGGTCGCCGGGAACATGGCCAAGTTTACCCAGAATCCACATCTAAAGAACCTTTTGCTGGATACTGGCGATCGGTTGCTGGCCGAGGCGTCTTCCCATGATCGTGTTTGGGGCATTGGTTATACACTTAAACAAGCTCTTGCGGGTCAGGATCAGGAGACTTGGGGAGAGAATAGGCTAGGAAAGGCGCTGATGGAAGTGAGAGAGCGTTTGCGAGGGGACAGAGTGGGTAATGATACTTAAGGTTCGTCCAAGTATTTATCTGCCATGCCGTCCCGACAGAGTTACAGAGAGAGAGAACTCGACCACATATCACGAAAATTCTACGATATCGAGCTGATGGTCAAGTCAGAGAAAAGACCGCAAAGCCAATCTGCCTACAAGGTAGTCATTTCAACTTTCTTTGACGTTCCAAATTCGGCATCATTTCATACCGAACCCTTGTCACGGGCTCGGCCTATTGGCATATCTCAATTGACTACAAGCTCGCTTAGAAGGACTAGATGAGAATCCCGCATGAAGCACCGCAACTTTGCGCTGAGTGTTCAATATTGCATATTGCATAGTGCATATATCAGCTTTCAGCTTTACTGCATGTAAGCCACATATGATATCAAGAAACGGAACCAATCGCCGGCGGACGATAGGTAGTCCATTCCATTCAGTCAGCTAAGATGCAAGTCGTGCAGTATGCCACAGGTTGCATAAAATAACCGATTAATTAATGAACATCTTTCAGGAATATAGTTTCCCGTCTCTTTACCTATCTGGGCATACAGATACTATGTGGGTACCTACATAGTGACTATGTGCGCTATGATGTATCTCTTCAACTGGCGCAATTCTGTAGCCAGGGATTAGAAGGTAGAATTCCCATAAAAGCTTGGTTCTGAACCTTTGATCGACGGGGACCACCATTTTTAGGTTAAAGCGTCGTTACTATAACTAGTACAAGGTGATATACCTAGGTGTAAATCCATATTCCGTACATTTCCCTATATTCTAGACCTGATCTACTAGGTCATGTGAAGCTGTATTGTACCTTTTACTAATCCCTGGCCGCACATGAAAACCTGCGCTAGCCAAGGCGATGTAAGTAATGTTGCACAACATAAAACACTTAAGCGTGTCCTGTACGCGCAGTCACATCGTATATACATCACTCCGTTTTAAGCGCCAGGCAATATCTACGTATATTCTGTTCGAAGAGTCCTTCTAATTCGCTGGAGGTATCCATCAACATATGCACTCGAGTATGAAGCCCCCATCGATCAGCAATACGTCGTTTTATCATTATGGGAGGTGGATGATGAATACTTCTTTCTATTTGGAACCAAACTTGATTTGCTACTTTGAAGATGTCGTCCACCAATCAGCCATCCTTATTTCCCTCCCTATCCAAGATCTTCGGTCTATACTCTATAGAAATTGTGATAGTATATCTCCCTTCTAGGATAACAATAGCTGCAAGAGATAACAACAAGCTGGTACAGAATTTTGACCCATAGCAATTGCTTGGGATGCTGATATTCATAAAGCAAGCCTGATTCCACTCATCTATGCTTGTGGATGAATATCGCAGTTGTGGCATTCCCTCGCCACTGCACTGACTTTAACTCATATATTCTAAGCCCAGTTTCTGTCACTATTAGCGATCCTTAATCATGGAGAAGCACGAGCAGTTAAATGGTGCCTGTAGCAATGGGAACAATGGTGTTAGCTTCTTGATAAACGGGGTGAATGGAGCAGCTTCCCCCATTCAAAATTCCCTCAAGGATGATATCCCAGAACCCATTGCCATTATTGGCATTGCATGTCGTTTGCCTGGCCACTGTAACACGGCAAAGCAGTTTTGGGACTTCATGATGAAAGAAGGGGTGGCTAAAAACGACACCCCTGAGACACGTTTCCGTCTTGCCGGACACTATGACGGGACTCAGAAACCATACACCATGAAGACGCCAGGAGGGATGTTTATGGAAGATGTTGACCCGGCAGACTTTGATGCTCAATTTTTCAACGTCAATCATGCGGAGGCTAGCTCTATGGACCCCCAGCAGAGGAACCTGTTGGAAGTAACCTATGAGTGTCTGGAAAACTCTGGCATCCCTATAGAGAAACTTAGTGGTCAGCGTGTTGGATGTGTTATAGGCACAAACTCTAGTGGTGAGTTGCATACAACTTCTAAGGCAATTTTTCCAAGCGACTAGAATCTCTAATAGCCCTCAGACTATTACGATATGGCATTGAGAGATCCCGAAAACCGTATGATGTCGCCAACTATGGGGCCGAACCGGGCTCTTCTTAGCAACCGTATCAGCCATTTTCTCAACGTTCACGGCCCAAGGTAAGCATTTTCTTCTGTCTGCTCAACCGCACAATTAACTGTATCTCTTAGTGTTTCTATGGACACTGCATGTTCAAGTACCCTGGTAGCTCTTGACATGGCTTGCCTCTACCTCCAGCGTAACCAAGTAGACGCTATGCTGGTCGGTGGAACAAACATGTATTTCAGCCCGGAAAGGAACCAGGACATGAGCTCCATGCGTCATACAGCTTCCGCCACGGGACAATGCCACGTTTTCGATGACAGTGCGGATGGTTATGTTACGGCCGAGGCGATCAACGCGGTCTTCCTAAAGCGGCTGAAAGATGCTGTCGAAGACGGAGACCCGATTCGCGCTGTCATTCGCGGCACCTCGACGAACAGCGCTGGTAAAACTCCCGGTATTGCTATGCCAAACGCGAAAGCGCAGGCGGCTGCTATAAGGGCTGCGTATGCCAACGCTAGTATCCCCGAATCGGAATTTTCCGACACAGGATATCTTGAGTGCCATGGAACAGGCACACGTGTCGGAGACCCAATTGAGGTCGAGGCTGTGGCATCCGTATTTGCGAAGGATAGATCCCCTGACCAGCCCCTTGTCATCGGCTCAGTGAGTATTTACGTCTAACTCACCACATCTTGTCCTCGTTAAGTATCTGTGTCTAATATTGGTATCTGGAATAGGTGAAAAGCAATATAGGTCACTCAGAAGGAGCCGCTGGTCTTTCAGGCTTGATCAAGACAGTCCTGGCCATTGAAAATAAGAAAATTCCCGGGACGGCCAATTTCACATCACCTAACCCAAAAATTGACCTAAAGGGATCCCGAGTAAGAGTCACGAGTAGTGCAATTGCGTGGCCAGAATACTCTAAGCTTCGCGCTAGTATCAACTCCTTCGGCTTTGGAGGTGCGAATGCTCACGCAGTCATCGAATCACCCGAATATGTGCTAGGTAAAACAGCATCGAGATACAGATCGTCCTATATTCCGAAAGACAGTATACAAAATGGCGTTCCCAAAAATGGGACCGACATATCGCCAAAACCAACCAATATTCCGAAGCCAACGCTTGTCGTTTTATCTGCCAACGACGAAGAACCCCTCAAGGGGTCTATCCAAGCACTCGCAGCTCACCTAGCCAGGCCGGATGTGCGCGTAAGCTTGAAGGACTTAGCATATACACTTTCAGAGCGTCGAACCAGGCTTCACCACACAGCGTACAGCATACAGAGAAGTCCTCGGATAATACCGGATTCATTTGTCATGGGAAAACGGCTTGGCCACGACGTGAAAATCGGCTTCGTGTTCACCGGTCAGGGCAGTCAATGGCCGACGATGGGGAAAGACTTATTAGATTCATTTCCCCGTGCTAGGGAGATTGTGGAGTCCTTGGATGCCGTGCTAGCGGCACTTCCGGAGCCTCCTTCATGGTCACTGATCTCAGAGCTAACTGAAGAGCGCGACCCTGCCGTTCTTCGGGAGCCCGAATTTTCCCAGCCTCTTGTAACGGCACTGCAGCTAGCATACCTCGGAGTGCTTTCCGACTGGGGAATAACTCCTCTCTCGACGGTTGGACATTCATCTGGCGAGATCGCTGCTGCCGTTGCCGCTGGTTATCTCGGGGCCGAAGAAGCAATTAAGATCGCGTTCTTCCGAGGACAGGCTGCAAAACAGCTACCTCCTAAACAACCGCTTGGAATGCTTGCCGTGGGAATAAGTGCCAAGAAGCTTGAAGAATACATGGACGCTAGCGAGGACCAAATTCAGGTTGCTTGCTTCAACAGCCCACGGAGCCTCACCCTTTCCGGGACCGTACAGGCGTTGGAGCGGTTGAAGGAAAGACTGCAGAATGATAAGTACTTTGCGCGCATGCTTCAAGTAAATTTCGCCTATCATTCGAAGTATATGGAAGAAATCGGGAATCGCTATGCAGAGATGTTGCAAGGACATTGCCAAGTTACCCCTGAGAAAAGTGGGGGCGTAGCAATGTTCTCTTCGGTCCACGGAGTCCAGATGAAGAAACAAACAACAGATGCAGCATATTGGGTACGAAATATGACATCTAAAGTTCGCTTTGATGAAGCGGTGGCTGCTATGTTTAAAGCTGGGGATGTGCCGGATTTCTTCATTGAAATAGGTCCTTCGAATACCCTGGCTGGGCCAATAGCGCAGATCCTCGAGAGCGTGTCACATACCGGGCCACAACCGTCCTATGTTTCTGTTGCTAAGAGAGGACCAGAAACATTGCTGTCTCTGTACAATGTGGCGGGAAGGATCTTTGGAGCTGGAGGTACTGTAAACCTTGCCCGTGTTAACGAGTATAGTGCTGGGGATGAGTCGCCATCCACTCTTATTGATCTCCCGAATTATTCGTGGAATCATTCGAAGAAATATCTCCACGAGAGCTTGTCTAGCAAAGATTGGCGATTCAGACCATTTGTTCGACATGATCTTCTGGGAAGCAAGGTTCTAGGGACTTCATGGCATTCACCAGTGTGGAAAAATATACTGAGACTTGGCGATCACCCCTGGCTTATGGACCATAAAGTCAGTCAGGAGATAGTATTCCCAGGAACGGGTTATTTGACAATGGCTATCGAGGCAATTTATCAATACACCTATATGACAACCTGGATGAAAGAAGAGCCGAAGAACTATAGGTACCGACTAAGGGATATCAAGTACCCCAGAGCCCTTGTTTTGGAAGAAAGCGAGGATATAATGACAATGCTCAGTCTGATAGCAGTCCCCGGTTCTAGCAGTTGGCACAAGTTCAACATATCTTCGCTGAAAGATGACAGTTGGAATGACCATTCTTCTGGTTTCATCTGCATAGAAACCGACTTTATAGAGTCTAAAGCCCCAAAAGATGCACTCTCTCCCCTGAAACATCCCTCCTCAGCTCAAATATGGTACAAGCGCATGCGTGGCGGTGGATTCGATCTTGGGCCGTCTTTCCAGAAGCATCTGGCTATAGAATATACAGCAGGGCAGCACGCGGGACGGTCGATAGTGTCACTCGAGCCTCCCTCTTCCCTTTGGCCACAATCTGCTTATCCCATGCATCCTGCGTGTATGGACGGTTGTTTCCAAACGGTCACCGCTTCGATGTGGCAAGGTGATCATAGCACTATCAACGCTGCCTTGGTCCCCTTCCAGATTGACAGCGTTATCTTGCCTTCGAATTCTCGGCATCCCAAAGAAGCAATTTCCGTAGCTCGGTCCGACTACGTTGGAATCGGGAGAACGGATCGAGCAAAGAACTACTCTTCGTCATGCGACATTTATGATCCGGAAGATGGAAGATTGATATTGGAAATGAGAGGGCTACGCTACACGGAACTAGACTACAAGGACACCTCCCTGTCTCATACATACACGCGGATAACATGGGACGCGGATATCACGTTACTTTCGGAACCAGGTTTCAATTATCTCGTGGATTCTAGCGGCAACGCTACCGAGAAAATATCATCTATCGCTCAAAGATTCATTGACTTGGCTGCACACAAGAACCCCAACCTTAACGTCCTTGAGATCAACTTAGACCCAACAGACACTTCGAGCTTATGGCTAGAGGAGAACACATCAGATAACCAAACGCGGGCGGCATTCTCTCAGCACACGTTCGTTTCAAACAGTACAGCAACTGTTACTGCAGCACAGGAAGCGTACTCTAATGCGCAACGTACTGAGTTCATCGTAGCCAACTTCGCGGACCCTAAAGCAACGCTAAATAAACAATTTGACCTAGCTATTATCAAGATCCCATCGACTCCTTTTCCAGGGTTGGAAGCAGCTTTGAAATCCATCCGAAGCTGCTTGAATGAGAAAGGAATTGCCTTGGTTCTCGACCCTAGTGAGAATCTAGGCTCACTCAAGTCCGATATTGCTAGATCTGGATTTGGCACGGTGTTCACTTCAAGCTCGCTAGCATTAGCCTACGCGAAAGACTTCGTAGAAGAGCGACCTTTACAAGATCTCTATCTATTCCAATTCGCTGGCGAAGATGATAGAACGTCGGAAACGGGTTTATCTAAATCGTCTTGGAACATAATTCCTGCTACCAGCCCCTCACAAATTCCACCAGGAGGTAAAGTTCTGGTCCTTGACGAACTGTGGAACTCTATCATGCCACACCTCGATCAGCAACAGTGGAGAGCACTGCATGAATTGATCGAGAAAAGGTGCGACATCCTCTGGGTTACTACAGGCGCTCAAATGTCGGCGCCGGATCCTGCCAAGGCCATCGTCAGCGGCCTATTCAGAGTCATCAGGGGCGAGGAGCCTCTTCTCAATCTCATCAACTTGGATGTAGAGCGCCCTTCAGGAGAAGCCACAACCTGGGCCATTGACACATGTCTGAAGATGTTCAACGATGTCAAAACTAAGCCCAGGAAGGAGAGCGAATTTGTCGAGCGCCATGGGATAATTCATGTTAGCCGCGTGTTCGCCGATACGCCCTTGAATAAGGCTAATGAAGAAGAAACCGCCGGTAGACCAACAGAAGTAGTAGATTTCCATGGTTCAGAATCAACTATCAGGCTACAGGCGGACCGCATTGGGAATATTGATTCCCTCCAGTACAGCCAAGTCTCCTCAGGGCCGTTACCCCTGGAGGAGGGCTGTGTCGAGATAGAAGTCGTTGCATCAGGCGTCAACCTCAAGGAAGTTTTAGTAACGATGGGTATCGTTCCGGAGAATGAGCACCTGCTAGGTGCTGAAGGAAGCGGTATAGTTGCTCGCGTTGCACCTGACGTAACGACTGTCAAACCGGGACAGCGGGTTGCCTTCTTTGGAAAGGGTTCTTTCGCAAACCGAGCCCAGACGAAGGCATACGCTATGCATGAGATTCCTGATTCTATGAGCTTCGAAGAGGCAGCCACTATACCTTGCGTCTTCATGACATCGATGTACTCACTCTACCGCTTAGCGCGGGTAAAAAAGGGGGACCGTGTCCTCATTCATTCCGCCACAGGTGGTGTTGGCATATCAGCTATCCAGCTCTGCCACCATGTTGGCGCCACAGTAAGTCACCGATACCCCCGGATCCCATATTTCCCAACCTGTCTGCCAAATGTCTAACACCAAGGCACCTAGGTATATGCAACAGTAGGAACTCAAGAGAAGCGCGAGTTCTTGAAATCAAGATTTGGAATCCCAGACGAGCGCATTTTCTCTTCCCGCACCACCGCCTTTGGGAAACAGATCCTAGATCACACTGACGGAAAGGGGGTTGATGTTATTCTAAACTCGTTAACCGGAAATCTACTAGATGAGTCATGGCGCATCATCGCCGACGGAGGGACGATGGTCGAAATTGGTAAAAAGGATATCCTGGACCGCAACACGTTATCCATGGAGCCGTTTGGCCGTAACGCCTCGTTCCGGGCCTTCGACTTGGGGCATAAGGAGATCACTGGTGATATAATAGCAAGGTATCGTTACTATTACATGAAAGGTCCATTTATACACTTCAGCTAACATCCTAGCAGCCTTCTTTCGGAAATTTTCGACCTGATGCGAGAAGGCCACCTAAAGCCCCTCTCGCCTATGCATCTCTTTTCATTCGCTAACGTCCCTGATGCCTTCCGACTCATTAGAAGCGGCAAGCATATAGGAAAACTAGTCGTCAGTGATGGCCAAGACAGCAAATTGAAGGTACCCGTGCGCCCGGCACCTCGTCGTATGAACCTCCGAAGCGATGTGTGCTATCTAATCGTCGGCGGGCTCAGGGGCCTTTGTGCTAGCTTGGCAATCTACCTAGCTAAAAATGGGGCGCGCCACCTCGCTGTGCTATCTAGGAGTGGATACAACGATGATAGATGCCAGAAAGTAATCAGCGACATCGTTGCCCTTGGGTGCCATATCGACTTGATCCAGGGAGACATAACCTCAGTGGAGGATGTGAGGAAGGCAATGAAAAGTACTAGTGCCCCCATCGGTGGCATTATCCAAGGCGCTATGGTTCTTCGTGTAAGTGACCAATAAACCACCTTCGCTCCGAATAGAGCCCTAATAAGCAATATAGGACCGCATTTTCGCCTCGATGACCATAAAGGAGTACCATGAAGCCCTGGCTTGCAAAGTTCAAGGAACGTGGAACCTCCACAACGTTTCAACTGAACAAGGCCTTAACCTAGACTTCTTCGTCATGCTATCAAGTATTTCCGGTATCTGTGGTAGCAAAGGTCAAGCCAATTATGCAGCAGGTAACGCGTTCCTCGATGCTTTCGCATCGTACCGGCGTAATCTTGGTCTACGAGCATGTTCGATAGACCTAGGAGTAATCGAGGACGTCGGATACATCGCAGAGCACCAGCAGCTACAAGACCGATACGACGCCGCCTATTGGGATGCGATTAACGAGCAGATCTTGCGAAAGATACTTAACTTCTCGATCCAGCAGCAGCATACCACCCCTATCAATTCCCAGAGCGCGGCTCACATGATCACGGGGATCAGAGTGCCACAGCCTGAAGATTCGCCTCTCCTTGGCGATGCCAGATTTGCGGGATTGCACTTGGCGGGTGACGCGAACAACCGAAAGACCAACCGTGACAGTCCTAAAGATGTTCAAGCCGTCCTCGCCTTGGTGCAATCCAAGGCCGAAGCGAGATCCGTCCTGGAGCTAACTATCGAAGTCTTAAGCAGATACTTCATTAAGAACTTGAGGTTATCCGAGTCACTTGATGCCACTAGACCCTTATCTACCTACGGCATCGACTCCCTCGCGGCTGTCGAGTTTCGAAATTTCGTCAAAATGGAGCTAAGCGTCGAGCTCACGACGTTGGAAGTGGTGAATGCTGGATCATTGGTCGCTATTTGTGAGAAGATAATCTCACGTATCTCGCTAGATGCGGCTCAATGATGTGTACCTACTATGTTAACTGAGTGCATTGGAGCACCTCGCATCGCGTGCTCAAAGGTTAGAATTAGATTGAGATATTGCGTTTCTTTTTTATTAGTATCAAGAATTCGAGTTTCCTTGCGTGATGTCTGTGTCTTTGTAGAACTTAAAAATCGATGTACTTGGAATAGGGGTAATAGGGGGAGGGGTAAAATAGGGGTAATCTTTACCCAACCGTAACTCCTTAATGTAAAATCTTATAACGAATCCGTCTATTATTTCCCCAACAAATTCCTCACAACTCTCATCCTCGAATCCTTTTTTGCCCTAGTCACTAATCCATAACCACCCTTGCCGGCTCATGAATCGAAGCATTCGGCAACGAAGCCGAGTTGCAAGTTCTACGCATTCCTTGCCAAGTTCGACTTCAAACTACCAGGTTCCAATTTCATCATCCTGACGCCAAAAACTTGGATGAGGTCTCGAGGCGCAAGTATCCGTGAATATCGAGAACACGGCTTTCGCCGCGTTATACAAGGCCTAGGGAACGGGATTAGGCAGTTGGGGTTTAGTATGTACTATCTCAGTGATACGGAATCTCTATAATTGGCTCCCGCACCGTACCCACCCCCACGATCTTACTACACGTCAGTGGCGTGCTGAGGGACGACTAGTGTACCTCTTATAAATAGGTATGTAACAGCCACACTCATTCTACTTCACAAGGTGGATGGATTCATTGAGCCCTTCTTCATTCACTACCTAGGTAGGTATTCGCTCTCGTCAAGGCTCGGCTTCCAGCGCCAACTTTGTTACTCGACCCAAAGTTTCGAATACTACCTACTCTCTCTATTGCAAGGATAACTCTTCTTGATCAATACTTCATGCCACGGTCGCTCGATCCTCCTTCCTCTCCTTTTATATGCTCCCGGTTCGACAGTCCGTGTCCCAGTCAATCGCATAACCACTGCATACAACCCTCAACATCAAGCCGCGGGTTCCGAGATTCATCTACGAAATGGCCAGTCCCCGTCAGAAGGGCCTATGTAGAGTTCAGGCGCGATAGATGATACTCTATCGACCAAACGTCTTCGTTTCCAGCCCAATTACAAGCCTCCCATAAAACATATCACCCTACGCTCTCTGTAAATGAGAGTAAATAGCGGTCGTCCATATTTGTCGCTTGTGAGCTACTCACAGCAGAAGGGGAAGGGGAGTCCGTGTGCAACCCCCTGTTCCTTTTTGCTGGCCGCGCGGGTCCAGCCGAACAAGCGCGGGAGGCCGCGGGCAACCGGGCAAATATATCCCCATTTATCGATCCGTGTCGGCTGTTTTGATCATGCTGTCCAACTCCTCTCCGGGGAGAGGCAGCTCCATTAGCAGGAGCACGGCTCACTGCCCCTCTGCTGGATTTCGAACCTCTCGCGGGTCGATCTGAACTTCCAGCTTTGCGCTTGCGCGGATTCGCCGTGGGGTCTCCCTGAGTCCCATCGATGATATCGTCTTGAACTTGCCGCCCACAATCGCGTGTAACCTGCTTCAAGGGATCATAATCATCGGCCTTCTTTATCGACGAGTCTTGAATGGCAAGCATCGGAAGCCACCACAAGGCCAAATTGACGGTGAGTTTATTCGTGTTTTTCTTACCCCAATCCGTAGCCCAGGGGATAACACAGTATTCCAGACGTGTGCGAATTGTGTTTTCTGGATCTGAAAAGGGGATTCCTAGTGTTTGGTAATCGGACAAGTCGATATCTTGGTCTTCTTGGTACTCCGGATCTTCTTCATCTTCTTCGGGATTTTCAAGAAATTCACCTTGGGATTCTTCTATCTGCCTTTTTTCGTAATCCTCTAAAGGTTCATCCGCGGCCTCCGGACCTTTACGAAATGTTGAGAGACGGACAGGGACCAATTCTTCCTCGCTGATCACAAACCCGTATCTTGTTTTCCGGAGCCACATGTACTTGGTGATTTGCTGTAGTACTAGATTGGCACGCCTCCTTTTTCCCGCGTCTCTAGATTTTATCCATTCTGATTTCCACTTACTTGCTGGTTTGCTGTCTCCCGGGACTAAATTGATGTGTACATCGTTCACTTTCTGGCCTTCTTGGTATACGCACCAGTCGGGTTCTTGTTTTCTTTTGCCCTTTCTCGGTACATCACCTTCGCCGGTGTTTGTCATGAAGTGGAGAGTGCCCTTGACCAAGTACTCCTTAAACTCAGTTGCCATCAACGCTTTTCCGGTTCCATCGAGTGAATGCTGAACGACAGGTTCATTCCAATGTTGCACCAACCTTGTTACTGAAGGTTCTTTGTAAATAACTGTTTTCGCGGAAGCCACATCACTCGCATCTCTGATTCTCGGTTCACGCATTGTCTGCCTTAGTACATGCCCAAAGCTCGCGTTTAAGTTCCCCCAGGTGAGACCTCTCCACCGCTTCACGTCATAGGGCCCGTACACTACTGGGACCTTTGTGCTGGTTCCGTCCTTGCAATTTTCGGAGTTTGGTTTTGGGTTTGGGAGGGTAAGGTATTGTAGAAATGTTGTAGCCATCTTCCAAGTAGTGGCGCCTATAGAGCAGATTCCTGTCTGGGATTGTGAGTAGTCTTCCATGTCGACGAAGGAGCCCTTCTCTTTATATATGATCCAAGGCTTTAGGCTACAGTGCCATCCAGATATTGGATGGGTTATCAGACGTATGTGACTTGGGGGCGGTTGAGCCGACCAATGGCTCGCTTGAAAGCTCTACTAGATGGCCGCATCTGAAGACTCTTGACTGCAGGAAGTTTGGAATTCAATCACGACACACATGCATGACGGTGTAGGTGTATGGAAGCTTATAGGGCTTTAGGATATCCTTGCAGGAGTCTGGCTACCCTATAGACGAATCATAATTATCGGGTTCCCACCCCTCAGGAGAATTCTGCCCTATTATTCACATGTTCTCGATCACTCTGGCAGTATAACTTAACGGCATACAATTTGCCAATGCACACAATATCATACCGTATCATTGTCCGATGCCTTTCCCCGCTTTCCCCGGTACTCCACCGCGGGTCCTCCATCTCCATGCCGACATCTATTTTATCGACACTCCGATCTGTACATAAGATCTTTGGACGAAGCCCTTTAAGCAACATGGGTGTATCGATATTGGTACCAAGATGGCATATCTGCCTTCAGATATCAGAGGCCCCAAACTATTTCCGTTCACAGAAGATTTTGCCAATGCTCAATTTATCAGACTTCTAAGCTCAGAGGACAATGATAGTTCTGGTGAAACATCTCATGCCCGGGTATTCCAAGTGATCATAGGGAAAAAGAGATACGCTGTCAAGATTGTGAGTTCAGGGGGCAACTTGTAGCATCCCAGGCTAATCTGAATACAGTTTAATTTTGTCCCACTGGAGGACATCCGCCCTTTTGTGCCTACGAAGGAGCATTTGATAACAGATACTGTAGTACGACAACAGCTAGATCCTTTCTTCGCTGAGTGTCGTGCATTTGGACTTTTGACTGAAAAGGGGAAGGATGACGAACTCGCGGTTCACTGTCATGGCTATGTGTTGCTCTCGGAGGAGATAGAGCACCTAATTGAGGAGAAATTCGGCATCCGTGACTGGAATCGTTCTGCAGAGGACGAAGGTAAACCCTTGAGGGCCATTGTGAAGAATTATATCCGATTCCTGTCTTTCGATAGGCCAAAAAAGCTTGCTAAAATGAGGGTGAACTTAAAACAACTGAACAAGATGGGAATCTACAATATGGATATCCGAAAGGAGAACTATCTCGGCGGTCATTTGTTCGACTTTAGCCTTGCCATTACTTTGCCGCATTTGAGTTTTTCGAGAAAATTTCGGAGCGAGAGACAAATTAAGGACGATATGAAATTTGACCTGGCATGCTTCGACTCTTTGGTGAAACATGTGAATAAAGAGAGGACCAAGGTCGATCGCATGAACAGGAAGCGCTGGAAGAGTCTGAGGTCACGTTCGACTTCAAGGACGCGCGAATCAAATGGGGGAGTGGTGCATTAATTATTAACATGTTCATGGGCGTACAATTCGTATGAAGAATAGTGAAAGGTACCTTAAGGGGTGGGAGGTTAGCCACTTTCCAGTACCATGACGAACAACCCTCCGCCGCCACCTTGCCGTGCATAGTGCCTTGTACATATACAGCCCCAATAAGACGATATCTACCTTCGTCTCCTTCTTGGAGGGCAAGCGGGCACCTACACCCCTTAGCGATGAATATGCGACCACCTCTGATCAAATTTAAGTAGGTAGCTAGTCCCTGTTCTTCCGTTCCGCGTTGTGAAGAAAATGCGGCTCCCACATACCTCTCTTAAAGTCACAATACACATCTGCATTTCATTGACGAGTGGGTCGATTATTTTGCAATCGTCATCCCAGATCACTTTCAGTGGTTTCGCAACTTCTTCCGTGAATAGAAGTCAATATTGGTTAATTTTCCGATCAAGTGAGCTTCGAAGATCGATGACACTGGCTCGAACCCCCGCGTTGTTATCATCTGAGGTATTTGCATAAGATAATCCAGGCAGAAGGATCGAAATGATGACCATACAAACACGTCGCTGAGGTATGTAGTAACAAGATCAGCGACCAGAGTGCGTCAGAACGCTTCAGCTATATCATGATCCCCGACCGTAGGCCACCCGGAATCGGAACCCACGAAGCTAGAATACACAATATAGTACCCATTGGATGTCCTTTGGCGACGAACAATGAATTAGATATACTAGCTTGCCTCGTGCCCGAAAAGGGATAACGGGGTATGCCAGCCCAGAAGCAACCGTGCGTCTGGTGTGGGCGGAACGCCTGATCGCGAAGCGAATAAGATCTCGACGTGAAGGAGAAAATCGCGAGGTATGACTCCTAAGATAAAGCGTCCAGTTAATGTCTCAAGCTAAGATATGGACTATTCTTCTCCATTTCGATCCTATAATAGCGGATTATATGTGTAATTCTCTCGACCGACAAGGAGTCCGCGGAGAATGTACCACAGATGAAGCTTGGGTACCTTCATGGGAAGAATATTCTCCTGGTGGCCGTCTCTGGAAGCCACCAAGCCCTCAGACGCCCGCGGATATCCTCTCCATCATCTCTTCCGGCCAATCCAGCCACCTATGCCACTCGTCGGGTAGGTGTACTCGAATACTTTGAAGGAGCAGTTGACCGGCGTTTCTTACGATCCAACTTTCTCGACATAGATGTAATGGTATGGCGTAATAGGAAAGAGCAAGTAGGGCCTCCGGTGTTCTGTCGGCTATGAGCTGGTGAAATTCGACATTGATCTTCGCCGGCCACGAGATCAGAGATAAAATCGCGGTTACCAAGGACGAGCCATTTTTCTCCGTTCCGTCAATCGAACTCAAGAACCACTGAATATTGTCCAAGGCTCTTATGCAAGTCGACTTCTCGTCGTTGTTTAACGTCTTCGAGTTTTGGATGCAGCTTTTCAGGTCGGCAGTATGCGACCCCGGGTTTGCATATTCCATCATACTTGTGATTGCTTCCAACCCGAACCCCATTTCAGATTCAAGCATCATATGCCATGCTTCCGTCTTAACGGCCCGCACTCCGAGGTGCAGCTGCATGCAATGAACAAACCGGTCCAGCAAACTGTGGATATCTGCCGATCCAGCCGAGTCCACCGTTTCGATGAGCGAGTGTAAAGTCAAAAGCCATGAAAATAGTAAGATTGCCATGCAATTGTCTCGATTAACTTCTATCATTTCGCCGTTGAAGATGCCGAGAGCGTGCGTCTGGAGGCCAATGGCATAGTGTCTGTATAACTGAGCATTCGAAGGCTGGACGTAGGATAGATGAAGCGCTGAGAAGGCTAAGACTTCATTCAATAGAAAAGGATAAGACAGTGCGACCTCGGTGATCAATGGCGCTATCTTTTTATCGGAATCATCGTATGGGGGCGGTAGGTCAAATAAGTTGCTATACATAAAGTGATGAAAGAGCTCCATATGCACCATGTTGGCGACCGCGATGTTTGGGCATGGTAATTCTTGACTAGGGCTGGGAGGAGAATATCGAAGGGGCGACGGAGATGCGTCTAACTGACGAGTGGGAAAGCCTGGAGTTGGAGACGATGTTGAGTCTTCGCTCACAGTTGGGAGATGTGAATCTGATGTTAGAAATGAGCAGTATCTCGAGCTGATTTTGCAGTTGCCGCAAGCCGGCCGACCTTCATCGCACTAATTTATATCGGTTTAGCTTCAAAAGGATCAAGTTTCTCGTGATAATCAGTTAAAGTACCTTGATATGTCGACTTTTACATACAGAACATCCCGCGCGAGATTTTTTGTGAGAGCGACGAGCTATTCTGACCATTTTAACCTAAACTCCTCACGTTTTGATATTTTAGACTCGGAAGATCGTTAGAAACAGACTGATAGATCGTATTTTATATTGTTGTGATCATATGGGGATAATGAGAAGGTTTGTGACTTAGATTATGCATACTAAGTCCCCGGGTATGTAAAATATGGCACGTGGAAACGTGGCCGAAGGCCGGGATTTTTCGGAGTACAGGCGCCATAGGATGACCTGACCGATGATGACCGGGCGGAACAGCATTCCTTCGATGTGATTCTGGCGGTGGTGGCTATGAAATCCAATGTCCGGGGATCCGGATACCGAACCACGTAACATCGCTTTCGTAGGCGTCTAACGAATAATTGTAAGATATGAAAGAGCGATATTTTAATCATTTAGATATCGACAGACCAATACCTACCGAATAGGTATTTCGGATCCGAAGCCTAATTTCAACTTCAGTCAGCAAGGTAAATGTTGTCTCGGTATTGCCGGTCCACTCGCGTTTGAAGAGATATCCATCCGCCGACGAAAAACCCGATAATCCGAAAGATGTTCCAAATATCAGTGAATCCCCTAACACCATACAACATATTAATGTTTACCTTCTAGTTGATAGCTTAGTACTGAGTTTGGAATATCACTATCATGATAATGAGTAATCGACGTACCTAAGGATTTGGATAAGTACACCTCTGGCAATAGTGTTTTGTATCTACTAACAAAGGTTATATTTCTCACTACGGCGACTTTCGTTAAGACGTCCATGTGGCCGAGCGGATGTTGTTCTCCGTGGATTGCTCGTGTGGTTCTCTCCGGCTTGTGTATGTCTCAGCCTCAAAGATTGGGGGTGTATTATAAATATAGAGTCTGCACTATTGCCAGAAATGGGATCATCCAGCCAATGAGATCCATTTCTTTATGCGTTAGGGATGTTTCCTAGTACTATTTCTTCTTAGTAACAGCCACCAATGCCGGCTCGATCGGATGGGAATGGAGTCAAAGCCCATCACCTTCGACGTATCTTGGCCGAGTATACGTAGAAATCTTTTGAAAAAAAAGCTCATATCTGCCGGCAAGCCCAAAACCCAGCATGGAGTGGAACCAAGGAAAGATCTAAGGGAAATAAGGCCACTCATATGCCCAATTACCAGCACGAGATATCCCGTTCAAGCTCCAGCTACTTTAAATCCGAAACCTCACCATCATACGAAACCATCTTTCCGCCATCTTTCTCTTTGCTAGTTATCGCAAGCATCTTCATCATCCCATCAAGCGATTCCACGAGGTCCACCGGAGCCTTCTCTAGCCCGAGGCCGCGGGCACCGACATTTCCCAACTCCGTCTGGACCCAGCCGGGGTTCAAGGCAAACGCATTAAGCCATTCATCCTCGGCATTGATGCGGACAACGAACCAGTGCAGCGCCGCCTTCGACGGGCCGTACGCAGCGTTCGTGATCGGAGGCTGATCACTAGGTATTCGGAGTTTACGTTAGCCCAAACCAACCATGTTTGCTCAGCACCCGCCATATAATCCTTCCCATCATCCCCTACATTTCACAGGAAAAGCAGACACTCACACAATAAACCCAGCACTCGACCCCATCGGCGCAAAAACCGGCTCTCCCTTCGCCCTCCGCAACAACGGTCTCGTCGCCTGATACAGCGCCACCACGCCGTATACATTGACCCTGACATGCATCTCCAAATCCCCAATCCTCAAGTCCTTGACCGCGGGCCACGTGGACGAGATTCCCGCGTTCGCAATCACCACGTCTAAATGCTCGATCCCGTGCTTCTCCTTGAGCTCTTTGACGGCGTCGCGGGCGTCCGTCTCGACCGCCGCGTCGAGCTTGACGACGATCAGGCTGCTGCCCTCGGCAACGGGAAGCCGCGAGAGCGCTTGGGAGGCTGGGGAGTCCGGGTCCCGGTTCGCGGCGATAACGATGTGGTTGGGCTGCGCAAGGTACCGCTCCGCAAGCCCCTTGCCTAGGCCACGGGCGGCGCCCGATATGAGTATAATTTTGGGTGCCATTGGAAGTCAATTTGGTGCTTGTCTATATGAAATACCTATTAGAAATTCGTATAGACGGGAGGTAGAGAGATTGCGGTTTTGTAGTGGCGATAGAGTTGGTGATATTACACGTCAATTACCCCGAGCGGGGTGAACGACCTATCCGCCGTGGCAAATTGTACACCCATTGTAGCCCATGGTATTTAAAGAGGTAAGTTCATGTAGGCTATAGGTGACACTCTGTAAGCGATTCATAAGATAGGGGTAGATAATGGAACTCCATGGACGTGATTGAAGATAGCTGTTACCTAAATGAGATTGTTTTGTCACTCTGATTACAAATATGGCACCGAATCGACTGATGCAATATGCTGTGATTACAATTATAGCAATCTGTGTGGCACAGTCCCAGGTAACTTGGGTCAAAACTTGTTAGTACGAACGTTGGCGCACATTTCTAGCATTTGAGATACTCAGCTGCGTCGTCACGTAGCTTAATCAAACTCGATTCGGATACTGCTCCCCTAATCAGTCGCGACCTCAAGTGGCTATCATAATGCCACGAATTGTGATATAGTTGAGGCTCGAAGTTACCACGTACCTCATCCTAAAGGCTATAAGCTCATGCCTTCTTACCTCTATAATTGATCCCCCCTTTTAACTATGCCCTATCGACTCTTTCGTTGCGACGTCTGCGCCTGTTCCTTCACCGACTCCTCACCCAGTACCTTACTCGCCGCCATGAACCTATTGTCGTCAAATCATTAGAACACACTCACACCGAAAAGAAACATGAAGAAAAAGGGAGGAAGGGTCAGGAAACTCACAATCCACCATGCCAACTCCCCAACCCCCTCATAGCCTCGGCCTGCACACTCGTCATGCGCAGGAGGTTCTCCGTGTCCGCCAGGTTAGCTGAGAGCTGCGCCAGCTGCGAATGGAGGTGTGTCTATTCGCACATCTCATCAGTATAGTTCTTCCACCCTCCCTCTATTTCCTATTCCTCAATTCCCATATTTCCAAGCACGTAGCCCCAACTCACCAATTGTCTCGCCTTGACCGCTCCGCCGGTAGATGTAGAGCCCTGAGGCGCCATTGAAGGCCTCGCGGTGTTTTGCATTGCGGTAGTGCGATCTCCTCTAGAAGCCATATCGGTCCTTCCTATCCTGCTTTTTTTCCCTTTCTGCTAATCGCGAGATCCGCGCCTTCGCGTCGGCGTCTGCCTCCGTTCCGTAGACCGATCGCTCGACACACTAACCGCAATGCGAATCTAGAAGTCGTCTAATCGCGCGGCACGATGGAACGCAGCTCCGAAAGCACGCTCACCGTCTAGCCAGAATATGCAACAATCGTCTAATACCCAGTTAAGATCGGATGCTGCAGTTTCCGCTGTCGCGAGCTCGATAGTATCGTCTCGTTTCCTTCGTTTCTACAGAGAACGCGAGAAATCCGGTTTAGTTGTCTCAGCCAAATTCTTTAGCCTTAAAAGAATCGCAATGGAGAAACGGATAAACTCAGGCTACTAAGTATTTCGGATATTCGGATATCTTGATAATTATAAATAAAAATAAGAAGGCGCGGGAGAGGGGAATAGTATCGCAATATTCGTAGCACAATTGCACCTGCCTTCAGTTACAAACCAGTTTACCATTCCAGCTTCCCCACCCACAGCCAGTAAACGCGGTGACGCGTGATTTTTAGCTTTCCTCTTCCAGCAGCCCACCTAGTCTGCTAACTTAGTGCGGGGTGTGCTTTCCAGGGGCTTCCCGAGACGGTGGCCCAAGCTCTTAGCGTTGCTCTTTTAGCGGACCTTTGAATCTTTCCCCCCGGAACTCGTGGATATGTAACTGCACATCACGCCTACCCACCATCGGGTACGACTGTAACATCAACTTAGGCCGGCTTGGCATCATCGTTAATCGGCACCGGCATTAAAATCGTCTGAACTTGAGATCGCAATAGCCTACTAGACCTCCATTAGACTTTGCGGGAGCGTCGTTGATAGGTAGACGTTTCGAATGTCAAGATGCTAGTGTATCCCGGGTTGATGGATGTTATGGATAATATTAGCTTTGCGAACATCCAATTAGGATGACTTCTATCACGATATCTACGAGCGGTTACGCCAAAAGATGCCTCAGCCTCGATATAATATCAGACCTGCAAATTTTTTAGCCCATAGAATGGACAGTATCATTATCACACACAGAAAACACTTTCGTCGCGATTGACGAGCTTCTCACATTTGCGTTGTCGCGAATAATCGGTCCCTGTTAATTAAGCCTAGCTCTCAAGGGTCGTCTTAAGATGACCTCCTCTAGTTCTTGACACGACCACCTTGACTTCACTCTTTCTCATGTTTGCTGACCACGCCCCGTGGACTATCTCCCACCTCCGAGCCCACGCCTTGTGCCAACCTTTACAATATTAAAATCCAGACAGAAACCGACAAATAAAACAAGAGAAAGGACAAGTCCTCCGTGTGGTGTTATATCGTAATACCAATAATGCCATCCTCTCTAGTCTCGTGCTGTGCACATCCCCCACCCCCTAGACCTGGCGGACTCCTGCTTTCACAAACAGCTTAGTCAACCTCATTTTAATTAGAGGCTAGTCTTATTTCGCAGGCGGTGTGCGCGCGTTCGCCGGTGAACTAAGAGCCGGGGATAACCAAGTTCGCAATATGCAACGAAACCAAGTAGTATGGGAGTTTGCTGCGCATCCCAATCCGAATGTCTCCTGGCCAGTCGATAATCCACTTCACACGCCCGAGTCAAGTCTCGTTGGATATCCTCAAAATATTAACGTCGCCAGAACAGCGCCGAATAGGACAATGCGGGAAAAGGAAATTACGTAGACGGCGCCGAGCCAGTTGATCAAGACAGGAAAGTCATTGCGTAGAGTAGACAGATGGAGAAGAATATATGCGTTCCGAGGAAAGGCGACAGACCCCGCATCCCAATGCAATATTACCGAAGACGAATAGCCACTGCTTCACAACCTTCCAAAGATGCTTATGTACGTTAGTTTTCCCCTGCCGAGACGAATAGAATTATGTGTGCGTCGTTATGTTGTAATCCAAACCATTCCATCTAACCGTATCGAATGCGCCGTGATCCGAATAAGACAAGCTCGACAACCCATATGCCGTCAATGCGGTGTCAACCTACCTACAAAATCGTCGGGCAAGGCACCGTAAATTAACCCGACCAAAAAGACAAAGTACGTGCCGTATTAACTACCTCTCGGGCACACAAAATCCACCCATTAACTTCACTTGCGCTTCGTCGCGCTCGAGGCGTTTAGCGGACTCCAATCGGAGGTCGAGGACCGAGACTACTTTGGCTACTGTGAGCGGAGGGTTCCGAACCTAGGTTCGTCGAATCACCACTCCCCGCGCTGGCGCTCGCACTGCCCGTCAGACTTCTTGCTGTCTTCGCGTTTGGTGGTTGGAGATTGCTCACCCCGACACGTTGTTCAACTTGCTGTGGCGCGACCATATTTCCCTGGCCGGGGGGATACTTAGGAACCGGCTGGCGGACGCCGTCTGGGGGTGACGGTCGTCCGTTGGGTCCAACTCCGAACCCGTTGGGCGGGGATGGTCGCCCATTTCCTCCTCGAATCGAAGGACTATAAGGGTTTCCCGGTGATTGACTAACACGTCTGGGATATGGTCCCCCGTTCATCCCGTTTGGGCCACCCGGCAGATCATGCATGTGAGCCGCAGTAAGCGAGTTCGCCCTAGATCCTGCCTGCATATGTCCTCGATCGACATTACCATACCGGTTGGACGTGAAGCTCATTAGTGGATCGTCGAGAATGTTGTCGTGAAGACCGGGCGTGGCATTTATAACCTGACTAGAACGATTTCTACTACCAAATCCCGGTCGCCACCTGCTGCCACGGGAAGACATTCCTGGGCCAGGAGGGCCCTCGGGGTTCATTCGTAACTCGCTCTGGTTTTGAGGAGGCTTGCTGCGGTTTTTCCTAGATGTAACGCTCATCATGTCGAAGTTATCCGGGTCGATCATGGGGGTAATGGGCCCTGAATTCGGATCAAAGTAGTCATCCTCTTCATCCTCATCGTCGTATACACCACCTCCGCTACGTACTGGAGGGGCGCGTCTCCTACCGTTAGGCACGGGGCCGGGACCAGGTCCAGGAGGGCCACCGCGTCGCATGCGCATCTCCTGTTCTTTCAATGCTAGCTCGCGTTGTCGTAATTGAAGTTCCCTTTCGCGAAGAGCAATATCTGGAGTGTCAGCATTGAATCCGCCATCAGCGTCGGCCGAATCCTCGTAAACAACCAAATGGCTAAACTCCCCAAGGTCGGTCTCATCAAAAGAACCACGCCTCGATGGTTGTCGTGACGGGGCGTGTCCATTCGGTGCACCGTTCATAGAAGGCCTGTATCCGTTCGGAGGGCCACCGTTCATGGGAGGTCCCCGGCGCATACCTGGGGGCGGGCCGCTAAAGTTGGACGAATTTCTAGGTCTCGGTCCCCGCATTGGCATGCCGTTTCCGTTCGCGTGGCCGTTCATTACAGGACGCGGCGGCGGGCCTGCAGTTGACATACGAGGCATCGGGGAGGATGCTGTTGGCGAACCGGAAGCAGCAGGTAGTCCATTAATCTCCTTAGGCCTGGACTGGTTGACAGTGTTCAGGTTATGGAAGATAGCGTAGAGTGTCTCGATCCGCGGTAGCTTGATACCCGAGCTCTGGGCTAACTTGATAGGCGATCCAAGAAACGTTTCAACCTCCATTGGCCTTCTTGCCACGTAATCCTGCCACATAATGCTTGGAGTGTCCGAAGGCTCGCACTGTTCCTTAATAATATTCTCCTTGAATTTAGCGTCGAGTGAACATCCTTGCGCAGTAGCTAGTTGGATAAGCTCGTCAATTACATCTGTGATTAGCTGCCTGACACCAGTTTTCTCTAGTAGAGCTGAATGAGAAGGTGTTTCGAAAATGACGCTCGCGGGGTGAAAGGCAATAGGACTAGAAGATCAGCAGGTATCCAACTCGATCCTTAAAGAGACATTTGACTTACCCAATAACTCGCTCAAACTGCTGCTGTCTTATGTTGCTGGAAACTTTGCAATCAACACGGCCTGTGCTAAGGGTCATGGCGAGCGCCTGAGCCATATCCTCCTGTATTTGCGCGGGGATATTTTTACTCTTATTTGCCGGACCAACCCAGATCTCAGTTGAACCACTATGCTCAAATTCGCTCGACCCCAACTGGTTTAATTCGGCATTCGAAACGAGTGACAAGACGACGTTCGTTGGGAACCTCTCCTCGAGAGCAGCCTCCACGCCCAGAGTATGTGTCGTATTGACAAGAATGCAGGTGTGTTGAGGGGTGACGACGGCGTCAATTACCGATGCGAGATCGTAAACATCCGGTAGGGCTTTAATGCAAAGGATGACATAGTCTAATGGGCCTTCTTTATTATGTACGGCATCTTCCGGTGTCCGAACGACTAAGTGGAGAAATATTAGCAAAGAATGGCAGCCACCAAAAGGTAATGGAGAATAAGACTTACCACGTCGAGGTTTGAATCGCTCATTGCCAAATGCGTCAGATTTGAAAGAAATGCCATACTGGTAGACGGCCTCAAAGCCAGATTTCCATACGAGAGTTACGTCGCAGGCATTCGTCGCTTGAAGCCTCCAAGACAGGAACGCAGAGACGGCATTTCCACCCACTACACAAACTCTCATTAGCTCACTATCTTCCATAGCTAGATGGGCTCGAAGCATATGCCAGCACGTCGGGCTCTCGATACAAAGCGGAAACGAGTGAGTTGTGTGGAATTGAAGAAACGAAAGACAAGCTTCGGGTTGGGAAATGGCCTACCGTCTCTTCCGAGGACGGTGGCGGTATCGATGCGGTATCGAGGGGGATAAAAACGACTTGCTCGAGAGGTAATTTGAAGTCAAATTGGGAATGCAGGTGACAGAACTTAGAAATCAACGAACCTGAGAGGATTCTCAGACGAGGCGCTACTGGTGCCATAATGGAGACCAGGCGTGAACTAGGCGAGTTAGGCCACCGTTGAAAAAATCCTGTGTATCCGCGCCTGTGTATCGTGCGGGCGTACTCACGACGGCGTCGGAATGAGCCAAGGTAGCCCTGTACAACGGCGA